GGTAAAAAGGATAAGTCGATCTCGTTTCCAGCCACGTTCTAATGCATGCTCTGTGGAATTGATGCCGACCACCGCACGGAAGTTTAGTAACGACTCCGTCATGGAGACGATCAGTGCAAATGGCGTAGTTCTCGTCGTTATCCGGCTGGTCTTCTTCGCTGTCTGACTCGAGCATAAAATAGAGAGAGATCGGGGGACTAGATCTCTTAAAGCTCGTGGTTTCTTGTGAATCACCAATTTACGTATCGGTGGACTCGTCCTCGTGCCCACTAGCAGGACTGTCTTCTAGAATGGACTGTGCTTGCTCCGTCCTGTAAATCGCCTCACGGTTATCTATCAGGTCCGAGCCGTCTTCGAGAACAACTGTTAAGAGATTAAAGCCAGGGGACCTAACTGTGCCGTTAGCAGATTGATTGAGATCAGCGAAACAGTTAGAGCAGAGATAGTTTTGGCTTAGCAAGTATGCTCTCAAACAGCGCTCATGGCAGTAGTGTCCACAGCAAGAGAACAGAGCGTATTCCTCATATCGCAATATGCGATGGTCGCAGGCAAGACAAGGAGTTGAGAGATCTGCCACAGCCCTATAAAGAGTAAATTAAACGCCATCGAAGAATATCAGACGTGGTGCATCAAAAATTAATTAAGACATATTTCGTAGAAAATATGCAGGTAATTGCATTAGATTTCGAGAATGCAGAAGTGTGAATGAGGAGTGCGTCGAGATATAAGAGCGCAGCAGCAGGTGTGTTAGCCATCTAGGCCTTATAAGCAAGTAGAACTGTTTTTGGCGAGCTAAATAGTTTCTATATACTAAAAGCACGTTTGAGCTTTCGTGCTTTTGTCATATACCGTTATGGGATTAAAGCGCAGACGTAACATTGCTAAATCAACACGGAATTAAGTTGATGTGGTTATATAAAGACAGGTTGATATCGTCCCACTTGACATCAAGCAATCAAGCAATCAAGCATCATAGATTACTCCCACCGCGATGGAAACGAACAGCCTTGGGGCTGGCCCGACAATAGTTCGTCCCGACGTGTTGGCAATGATGACTCGGAAAGAAGTCTTTCCCCAGCCCGGGACATACCAACGCCCTCAGACCCAGGCATCCAGGAAATAAATGAGCGATACAGGGATCGTCCGCCTCCAGGACCTTCGCCAACCTCTCCTCAGTTTGTAGATGCGTTGGATAACCCTACAGCTAAATCGCCGCGTCGTACTGCTGGAGCTCAGCGCAGGAGAGCGTAGTCGGGCCCAGGTAACACCGGTAGCCAGGCTGCTGAAGCGGCACCGTCTGCATCTCACACTGAAGAGAACGTAGCTTCTGGAACTCAAGGGGGCATCCTTAACACGGCTAGCTCCGCGGTCCGCAGTCTGTTTGGCTCGCAAGCTGGTGACTCCACCAGGCAAAGTAATAGGCGAGGCAACGAGGACCGTAAACCGCCAACGCAGAACAACACTGGCGCCGATGCGGAAGCAGCAGCCGATAGATCCCCGTACCCAGACATCTCTACCCAGGCACAGACTGCGTTAATGGGTCCATCGCCGCCTACGGCCGACGATCGAGGCCCACCAACCTCTACCTAGAATGCAGATGTCCCGATGCAGAATGCACCACCCATCAGAAATGCCAGCCGGCCGGCCCGGCAAGACAGAGAGGCAGTAGAGGTAGATGACGACCAACCTCCACCTCCGGTGAGAAGAGGATACAGAGAAGGCTGGGCATGCGACGATGGCGTGTGGAAGCAAGTAGTAGCCTACAGACCTCGGGGCAGCGGCCGCCAGGTCATGTTAAAGAAGAGAGCTCCAAATCGCCAATATTAGAAGTACGAGTGGGTCGCTGCTCATCGCGTGGGAGGCGCCGCTGTCGTAAATGGGTACATCGCGCGCATTCGCGCGCATACGATCAAGCGGCGTCGATAAAGTCGAGACTTTTCGGACAGGCAGCATCGATCTTCTTCGAGAAATGACCGATAACGATTACGAAGGCATTATCGGCATAGCTCCTGTGAGAAGGTATCAACATAATGAGTTTGGGTGGAGGAGGATGCCTGCTCAAGATGTGCAAGTTAAATTCCGTGGACAACGTGATCTTGTTTGGTATCCGAAATCCGAAATAGCGCGCCAGTTTGGACGGGAGGTGATAGAAGGAGACATCGCGGATTTCTGGCAGAGATCTGGGATCGATCCGCCGGTGATGAATCCGCCTGACCTTACCTATTGGTCCGAGGCAGACCAACGGCGCTCGGCGGAGCACGAGGAACCAGACCGTACTATTTCCGTCGGAACCTGAAGCTCAAATTCCCCGACGCCCTACCCATCGACAGGCTCAGCAGCAGTATACTCACCAGCGAGACCAGCAGCAAGTCCAAAATCTAGCCCAGACGCGGCGAGAGAGAAGCGGCATCGTAAACCGCATTGCTATATCGAGGAGGGGCATTCTCACGCCAGAACACACTCCAGCACCTGAGCGCCCCTCTGACTTGGAGCAGACTCCATCTGCTGATGCCGAGTTCCAAACGCTACAAAACATCCTTCGTAGACGTCCAGAGCTCCTAGGGCGAGTGCGAAGCATGGGGCTGTGAACTCTCTATTTATTGTAGAGAGAAGACTTGTGGGTTTATAAATTGTAACTGCTCTGCGAAAGCCACCAAGTCATAACTACTTTTCTTGTTTACTCTTTCTTTTTCCCCTCGATTTAGCTATTCCCCCCCCCCCCTTTGTTTTTCTCTTTTGGAAATGCAGTCTCGATACAGTTTTTATTTTCTCTTTCTTACAGTCATTTGTCTATATGTTTGTCTAATGCAATGTTAAGTATTTGCCCAAGGCTCTCTCTTATATTCAAGTATCTAGTCTGGTTTTGTAGCTATCTAAATAGTTTTAAGAACTAATGCCTATGACCTTCTGATGCGTTGAGACTCATTGTATATTGAGGAAGTTGAATATAGCTAGGCAACGCAGCATGGGAAGGGAAGGGCAGGAAGGGGCAAGACGAAGTGAGGTGGGGGATCGCCAAGATCCCGAAGGCAGCATTGCGGCACAGCAGAGAAAGAATGGGGGCCAGAAGAGCCGCTAGGGCACGGCGATAGGGATCTAGAAAGGCCCCGGCAAATTTCGACAAGAATTCCTTGTTTTATATGCAGATCCAGGTCGTATCAGCCATTTCTTAGCTTCCACGCGGTCGGAAGAATATAGAATTGGGCCTCTGTACTAAAAGCCCGCTGTTTGATCACGGCAACTGAAACAACGCCAAGAAATCTGGGGCTGTTATTCAGAAGCCTGCGTGCAACAATAACCGACGCGGGCTGTCCTGGACCGTGCGTGGCTGTATATCGTCGGAAGCCCTGTGTGATCATCCAGCTGGAGCGACCGCTGATCGTCGCAGGCTGCTGGTCGCTCGTTTAGAATGTGATAGCAGCGGCATTAGCACAATACTTATCATCCCACGCACTCCCTACGGCACTACTCAGTGCTCCTCGGCTCTCTCAGTCTTGGCCCCGCTCGCCTAACCACCACTGTTTGCATCGCAAACTCGTCTTGACTGAAACATAGTCGCTGGTAGGAGGAGCCCGAGACTTATGGAATCTGCTACTAACAGATTGCAGAGTATAGGTAACAGCGCCTCACTCAACCTGATAATACTATCGCCTTCTTTTGCGATCACGCATTAATCCCGCCATTCCAGAGACCTTCGGAACACAATGAAGGCTCACGAGAAAAGACAGCTGGGAACACTGTGAGGAAGCTCAAACCAAAGGATGGTATTGCTATTAAGAAGAAATCTAAGTACAAAGAGAAAGAGAAGAGACGGTGAAGGAGAGGTGGTCGAGTAGATATACCGACCACCCTCGGCGCGCTATGACTAAGCTGAAGGAACAACGTTGTTCCGGTTCCTGCCTGACCTGCGGAGCCGCTGGGTAGCCACCCGGCGGTCCGATCCTCTGTCAGTGCCTTGGGGGCCTGACATTAGGAAGGAAGCGGAGGATCTTATTTGTCCGGCGAAAAGGTGGGCACTCCACCCCTCTATAAGCCCTACGGGAGGCAAACTACGTAGGTAGTATATAGACGAGGTAAAATCAACCAGCCAAGCCCACTCAGTCCTCATGCCACTCATCCAGTGCCGACAATACTACCTCGTTTTCATCACCCAGTGCAACATAATGTCTCTTCTCGAAAGGACTGATCGAGCGTGAAGAATACGAGGCTGGCATCCAGCTTAATCCTGGATGCCCCAGTGAGAGGTGGATTTTTCTTTCGGTTGCTGACTTGAATTTGGCCCATCGCTTCCTATGGTTCGGTTGCCAAGGGAATCCCAGCTGGTAGCTTGGTCCACGGCCAGACAAGTGATGCAAGCCAAGTCTTGGTCTTCATTCGCCACAGAAAGAGCAAGGGGCGGAGAGGACCTCTGCTTGCATTATCGAAAGCCTGAAGATCTCGAGTTCTGGGAGAAGTGAAGCCACTTGCATCGACCGATGCATTCGGTAAGCGGCAGGATCAGTACAGATACAAGTGGCTCCATTTCTCCCAGGCCCACTGATCCTTCAGGCCTTGGCTACGTGTCGGGCTGGGATGTGCATTCTCTGGCCCAGTAGCGATCCAGATCCCAGCGTCGTCTTTTTCAGTCCCCTCAGAGCATGATAGCAGATCTTGGGAGGGAACATTTCGAATGAATTGGCGTACGATCCCCTTCTGGCATTCGCGCTTGGAATGGCGATAAGTTGTGGAACCGTCGGGGTCTTTCAGAGGTGGTGATATCCGTACCCAGTGTAGACCAGCATGCCATGGCGTTGAGTCGCAATGATTGCCGCCGTGTTCGTGCGCTCGCATGGATCGCAGAAGTTGTTGAAGGGTCGAGTCTGCGATAAAGGATACGGAGTGCACGGGACCGCGCTAGTCCCAAAGCAGAAGAAGGTGGATGTGAGGAAGGGGCGATATGGCTATCGATAACACGGCGTTCCTTCCTTCTGACGTCATGCATAATTCATTTCTCGTTTGTCTCAGGCTCGCGGTGTCGCCGCATTGCCGGCTCCCAGGACGTTGCAGATCCAATTCTCCTCGTCGTCGCATTTCTTTCCGCTCAACCCACACCTCTCACGCCTGGCCAAAAACTCCTTGATGCCCTCGGCGGTCCACAGCTCATCTGGTTCCGGCGCCTGAAACCTCAACTCACTCCACGACAACAGTGCTCCTTCTCCGCCATCACCCACCCAGTCGCAGATTTTCCACAGCACGACGACCAATCTCTTCACCTCCTCCACCCTGACCCAGGTCACGAGCGCCAAGTCCTGCTTGCCGAACTGCCTCATGATTGTGGGGTAGTCGAAGGCGCTCAGGCGGCGGCAGCAGCAGACGAGGTCAGCGAGGAGCTTCTGGGTGTTTCGAGCGGGATCAGCGGTACAACCGGTGGGCGAGGACAGAGGGAGGCCATAGGAGGCGGCGAGGATGAGGTGGATGAGGATGCCTTGGAGGGTGCCGAGCGGCCAGGCTGCCGGCGGATTGACGTCCCATTTGTCCTGCATGGCCGAGTCAGTGCATCGGAGGGGAGAGCGGACGAGACAAAGGACGTACGCGCTGCTGGTACAACATGACCATCAACCGCCTGTGCAGGTCAACTGCGACAACGCGGGCCGCCTGGTCGTCGCAGCCGTCAGCAATACCGCCGCCCACCCAGAGGCTAGCCGTGACCATTGACAGCAGCAAGAAGGGCGGTTCCTGCTCGGGCCGGAACGACGCTTTGTGGAGGAAGAGCCACTTCGGGTGGAAGACCTGCCAGTACGCACTGACGTGGCGTCTGATGGTGGCAAGATTGGGGAAATTAGCCCAGGTGTGGCTGTCGAGCGAGAAGTCGTTGGGGACGAGCATCGAGGCGTCGAGAGCGAAGTGTTGGGTGGCGTACGACAGGTCGGCCACGGTAGGATCGTCGAATTGCGGTTGCGGGAGCAGCGCTCGTGGCGTGAGCTGGCCGTCGTCGAAGTTCTCGACAAAGTACGGATGCGTGGGCGTGGGCGTGGCGCTGTCGCTGCGGGTGCTTTCTTCAACAACCAGGGCAGGTGCAGTGTTGGCCCGTCCCTGGCCGTAGGTACAGGCCAGGCTCTTCTCGGAGCACGTGCGGCACGGCGTGTTGCCGTCGCAGCGGGTCTTGCGGGAGCGGCAGACGTCGCAGGCTTTGGCGGTCCGCGATCTCGTCAGCTCAATGTCCTCGTCGTGGAGCTCGAGATGTCGACGCAGAATATCCCTGGAGACGAATTAGCTCCAGGCCCGAAACCTTGTTTGGACAGACGGATTACCTGCGGAAAAACTTCCGCGCGCAGTAGTTGCATGAGTATCTGGGCTCCTTGGTGTGCTGTTGGGCATGCCGATTCAGGTGCTCCTTGCGGCGGTATGCCGACCCGCAGCCGGGGTACTCGCAGCGGAAGACGGCCTGCGGATCATCGGCGGCGACCTTGCGTCGTTTTGCTCGCGGTTCGTGGCTCATGATTCGCCAGTGCGGGCGCGTATCCCGGCGGAAGCGGCCCCAACAGTCAAGCAATCGCATCCGAGTGGGATGTATGCTCGTGTGGAGGATAGGTACAGGTGGGATGCCGAATGAATAAGTACCGACCATACTAAGCGTTTCCGGTGGCACCCGATGGGATGCCGGTGGGATGACCAAGCAGCCGCAGCTTATGTAGTCGCCAGGAGAATGCCCCGGCTGCAACACAGCCCCGGAGCTTGGTCGCTTTGAGAGACCACGGTTGAGAAGCGTCAGACTGGTCCGGACGAGGCTGCCGTGTCCAATGTTTATTGCATCACTGTCTTCGACCTGCTGAGATGCTTGCGCACGGACCCGCATCTATACGAACGCCCGAAAGGGAAATGCCCGCCTCCCTGGAAGTCTGCTCTACATCTTGGTCCCGCCCAGGCGTGGTCACATCAGCTTCCATGCAATCAACGTGGGAACATAAGGACAGGTTCGGCTTTTTTTTTTTTTTTTTTGGCGTGGACGCAATAGGGTCACGGTAGACGGCAAGCTTACGCGAATTGAAATCTGGACACTCTTTGGCAACAAATTCTTCAAAGCGGCCAATTTGAGAAAAGTCCTTGCCGCGCATTGGCCACATTTCAAGTCGCGTAAGCCTGGCGGTAGGTCCTGACCCCAGCTCAATGTACCGACTATCTACCGGCTTGGCGGTGCCTTCCTTTCTGCTGCTTGTCCAATTCACCCACCTGCCGTGCAAGCTGCTCGGTACGTCACGCACTTGCGCGGTGCTACGACGACCGACTTAGAATCGGTTCGCTTCCCTACACCCCCTACAACTACGAAGCGACGCGACCGACAAATGGATGCGACCGACGAAGCGACGCCACCGTAGGCGACCCTCGACGCGAAATTCAAGATCGAAACGTCGACTTCCTGATGACCCGCCTGCACGGCCACGCCTTCTACCTGCTGCACGCATCAAGCACGAAGACACTGGAGGACGCAATAAACGGCCAAGATGACGCCTGCCAACCGCCTGTCACGAACGCGACATGGTCGATGGGCTGTGCGATCGCCTGAATGAACGCTTCACAGACACTCTCTGCAACGCACGCCGAAAGAACAGCTGGAAGGACGTGTGTTCGGCCGTCGGTTTGACAATGAAGATCACGGAGATGACGAATGAAACGACTGCGAAGAGTCTCTGGCCCCCGGAGTGGAGGTGGGCTCTGGTCGTCTCGGGGAAAACGAGGACGTAGTGAAGAGACACGGTGGTCCGAGGCGCTTCCGTTGCCATTTCGTCGCGAATACCGCCACTCCACTCATCAGGTAGCAGGGCGCCGACCGGGAACGCCCTCGCACCGTTGCTCGGCGCCATACTCCACGATGAGTCGCATCTGTGGGTTCAGAATTAAGGCAACGGCTTCGCCCGTCCGATGGGTCTGCAGAGTTTCATAAGCGGTAGCAAATCGGGATACGCAGGGCTTCACATCTTGAAGGAGTAAACGGGATTCTGCTGCAAGAGCAGGATTTATTGAATGCCGAGCACCACGAATGTCGTCCTGCAAATTAAGAGAATACACTTGTGCAAATCGTGGAGCAGACTGGATAGACCTCACCACCAACAGAGAAAGCCTGGTGATGATGATGCACGGCGCACGGTTGCGGCGATGATCGCCATCGAGTGAACGGATTGGCTGGAATCGAGCAACGGATGATTGACGGGGTGACACGAGGAAGTGAGGGCTGATTTGCCATCCCGAGAGTCTCGATTGGATGGGTAATCCAAGGGCTTGCTTGGCTAATTGCGGAAACGAATGCGTTTCTGTGTGATTGTTCGCAATACGCGTGTTCCTCTAGTATAGCCAGATACGCGTGGCGGCGTCTGCTTCTTATTCCCTCAATAATGTTGGCAGGATTGATGCCTCCTGCAATTTCTGAGGCTCGAGGAGCTTTATTGCCGGCCTCGGCTCGTAGATCTGGTGGAGTGTCGTAGTCGTGTTGCCAGCGGCCTCCAGTGCCTTGAAAGATGATGTTATCTTCTAGGCTAGTGGTGTTATTATTTTCTTCTTTACTGCTGGGAGTGAAGTCGTTTTCACCCCCTGAGCTTTGCTATTCGTAAAGGATAGGTGACTGCGGAGCAGAATCGAAGTGATCTTCGTCTACGGAGGCCGCCTAGGGTGAGTGCGCCTCGTGGGGCGAATGTTGGCCTTGAGCTGAAGGCTCAGGCGTAGGGAGAAGCTGGGCATCTAGCTGTTCTTGCTCCTTGTCAGGCGGCGTGGATGGGCCGTCCTGTAGTGGTTGTGGTTAATCCTGCTGCTGTAGTTCTTTTACACGTGTTTGATAGAGCTCTTCATCTTCAGAGGAAGATTCCTCGGACTGAATGAGGTCCTCTATGTCAGGCCCCCAAGGCACTGACAGAGGATCGAACCGCCGGGAGGCTACCCAGCGGCTCCGCAGGTCAGGCAGTAACCGGAACAACGTTGTTCGTTCGGCTTAGTCATAGAGCGCCGAGGGTGGTCAGGTATATCTACCTGCCCACCTCCCCTTCACCTTCTCTTCTTTTTGTCTTTGTACTTAGATTTCTTCTGGATAGCAATACCATCCTTTTGGTTTAAGCTACCTCACACGCGTGATAGGACGATAAAGTTCCAGTTATCCCAGTCCTGTGACGTCCTGAGGACGACTAAAGGCTTGGAAGAGGTCATAGTGGGTGGTGCTGGACGACGATTGGCGTGTGGGGCTGATGCGACCGGAGCAATAATGTGTTTGGTAACCACTGGCGAGAGCGGGTGGATCCACGCACTAAACTAGCAACAAGGCCGAATAATATGTAGTGACTAATGATGATCGTCAGCGAGGTTTGATGCTCTGGAGTTGATACTTCGAGATTTGTTGATGATAGAACAGTATGGCGAGGCAAGACTCGCAACTGTGTGCTGATGAAGAGTTTTCACTCTGTGAAACGTTGTCCGTATGCCGCGGATCAATAGGAAAACACTTGAGAGTGTCGGGAGGAGTATTGCTTAGATGGTAGAAGGCATCAACGCAATTCCGGGCTCCTAACTGTTACACTGGGTGATGAAAACGAGATGGTATTGTCGGCACTAAAGAGAAAGAAAAGAAGAACAAGTAAACCACGGTAGTTGATATACTATCTAAAGTACTATCTGGGGGATGTACTGGGGATGAATTAAAAAAAAAAAACATGGCCGGGCTACGACGACTGAGCTACCTGACACGGCAATGCACATGACAGCGGCGGGATTTCGACGGATATTGAGAAGACGCGACCACGTTCCAGGCGCGCAGCATATTAAAAACAGAAATTGGAACAACATGAGGATGGATTAAACGATAAGTTGGGATGAGCATGGAAGCAAAGAGATCCGGATGAGAACTTTTAGAAAAGCGAGATATGAGATCGGACTACAAACGTAGTCGGAATGAAGGATCTTGGAGACATGCAAAGCGAGAAGGATCCAGTCCAGAGCGGCGAAAGAATAGGAGAGGGCTGGGCATTGTTTGACTATTCCGTGCATCAATACTAGATACCCTATGCGTGCAATCCGAAATCCAGCTTTCTGTATTGCGTGTGTAGTTAAGGACTTGAACCGTGAAATATACATGAGAGGGTTCGCGAGAATGTGACATACACGAGTGACAAGTAGCAGGGACTTCGGATCGCGGCGCAGGTCTCGAATTCAGCTCTTCTACACTGGAACTCGTTATCCGCCTGCCGCCTATGTGGGGCTTTCAGCATGAGAGAGACTTTCGGCGCATTCCGTATTTCAGCACAGAAGCGACGGCAGCGCAACATTCGTTGCCCTTCATGGGACGACAGGGGACTAGAGCACAGCCCGAAGTGGGCCCTGTCAGGGTAGCGAGTGTCAGATGTGATGCATAACCGGCGAAACCGATGCGGTTGGAAAATGGGATTCCGACAGAATCCGCAACCGCATCTTGAGCGAGTCGGTGGGAATCTCGGATTCCTACGTGGCACCCAGGATGAGGTTGGATTGGTTCGAGGGGTGAGCCGGGCTGCAGGCAAGGATCGTGGTGGGTAGTCATAGATCGGTCAACCTCAGGGGGGCAGATCATGCAAGGGCTCCCTCATTTGTGCGATTGCCAGCCAAATCCCGATCGTGGTCCAGATAAGGTCAGATTATAAGGCCGTCCATAGCGCCGTCTCTGCTTACTAGATCTGGAAAGCGACGTCCGCAAGATCGACGTTGCCACGGCCGGGTGGGACAGGCACGAGACGAGGAATCAAGCTGTGGAGAAAGAGGATGGCGAGCTTCCGGACACTGCTCCGTAACGGAGTGGATGAGGAGAAATCGACAAGAACGAGAGCAAAGGAAAAGTAGTACTACGTAAAGATCAAGTGAACCAAAAATGCTCTGCGTGAGCGTTTGCGCATGTATTGTAAACCTGAGCAAAGATACGGAGATAGCGTGGACCGTGCTGACAAACGACGCTGCTCACTCTCATGTCGGTCAAATTATGGAAAGGTGAGGGGCAACGGGCCGGCGGGTGCGAAGCAGTCCTAAGAGGTGGGGGTTGTTGGATCGTTAGTAGCATCCTTTGAACATTTTTGTGTCCAGGTGAGACACACATACCTCGAAAGAAAAGGTGAAGAGCCGCCCTCGCCAGAGTAATCGGAATCGAATGATACCGGGATACGGTACGCCGCGTATTGCACTGAAGTGTCACACGCTTGCGCATGCACACAATCTTCGCCCTGACTCCCATAGGGGTGCAGACCTGCGCAAGCGCCACCCGAAGGCGGTGCTGCCGGCTGGCCCTGGGTTTTCTGATGCCAGGAGCAGGCGTGTTCACGCCAGGCCCTCACGGGCAGCGGCCAGAGCGCCGGGACGAACCCAGGCGATGGCGGGTGAAGTTGAAGATTACTCCGAATTTCTCATTTGCATGCAGCGACAGCCGAGCGAGGCGCGGTGTCTGTTTGTGAGCAAAGAAACGCAGCATTGGCGAGGGCGGCGCTTGGAGGAGGAGAGGATGAGTCGATCGCCGCGAGGAAATTTAAGCAGGCTGACGTCGGTGGGGTGCACATGACTAAGCGAGGATTCTGCCACCGCCCGCTGATCCGGCCGCGACTGCCGTTCGAAACGCCGCGACGCTTCTTCGTTCCGCCTTGCTGCCTGGCCTGGCCTTGAGCTGTGCCGCTTCGTGCTCGACAGCGTGCAAAAGACCAGCCGAAGCTGTGTCCGGACGCTACACCCGCCGCCGGCTCGATCATCGGCAGACCGCTTGGATCCCTGTCAGCCATGCAATCCCCTCGTGCATTGATTCGCGATGACCGGGGCAAATCTGCATCCCCATGACCAAAATCCCATCTGTGGCGAGTCAGGTTGTCAGCTCGCCATGAGCGTGCTTGGGCGCCAGTCTGCTCCTGGCTACCTCATTGCACTCTTTACCGACTTCATCCTGCAATTCTTCCTACAATACGGCATTGTCTTCCCTTCCCTTAAGCGGTCTGACTCGACATACGTGGACACGTCCTAATTGAAAAAACGATCCACGTCTGCATCGACGATGTGCTCGACGTTTCAGTCGACGATCTGTGCGCCCAATTCTAACAACACAGCCTTATCCCGAGTTCCCTGTTGTTTCATGACATTTGCTGGCTTGGGATCATGGTTGAATCTCGCTTCACGGCCGCGGCAGAATGTAACCATGAGGGGTTTTGATGGTGGCGGCATCCAATCGGCTCAAAGCCATGCTCCAAAGTACCGCACTCGTGGCCATAGCTCATTCATCACAACGCGGGTCATCGCCGATGGCTCAAAAGTCGTACGAGGAAAAGCGGACATGCATCACGTATTCTACGGGCATTAGGTTCTCAGTATCCATCCCTTCTGATAGGAACCTAGGCGTCACCCCACGACAATTGGCTTGAAAGAACCGGGTACCCCTGGCTGGCGGCACAGCCTGCCGCTGAGCCACGTTACTACAGTCCGCATGTCTGCTTCCGGTAGCCCATGACACGAGCCTCTCAATGCCAATAACGATTGTGTGCCTCCGCCGGCATTCTGTGTTGAGGGGTATACAGCTGATCTGCGGCACTTCCTCAGGGCCCTCCTATACAGCGACTTGGCCAACGACCGTGCTGCATTTTGGAAGTGAGCCCCGCGAGAGCGACGGTATCATCATCAACGCGCGGGGTTCCCGCCGAATGTTACACAGACCGCCTGGGCCACACATTACCCGTGTATGACGTATTCGGCATGACATGTCCAAACAGATGGACGTCAGTCAGTCGCGGCCTGAAAGACTAGCCTCAGCAGCTCGAGTTAGGATTGAAGGTTCCTTGGCTATGTTGCAATTGACCAATCGGCACGCCCGGGACGCATCAGCCTGTGTGGCTCTCTCCTCAGCTCGAAAAGCGGGCACTTGGCCGTTAGGGACCCAGCAGAGTTCGCTCTCACCCGCGGGCATGGATTCGTGCCGGACGAGTTTCCTCAATCGAAGTCCCGGTCCGTGCGGAAGCGCCAGAAGATCGCCAAGTTGTGCATCGAATATTGTTACGAGGATCTCGGTTTTCTCAGCAAAATGCCATGTGCACGAATCCAAAATGCCATATCGGCGATACGCCTGCGTCGGGGCATTCCTAGCGCGAGGGCACAATGGCATTCTGACTTCCGTCATGCGATTAGGGCACCGTGCCCAGAAGGTCTCGCCATGGCTGTTGGAGCTAGTGTCATCGAAGGTATAAAACTGTGCCCGTGTTCCGGACATCGCGCTGCTGCATATTTCATGTGCCGTTTTGCCTTGAAATACCGTTTCACTTCTACGCCGTCCGTGAATCTTTGCCTCAGTAAAGCTTTGCCCCAACGGCACCTGATCACCGTCATGTACCACCACCAACACCAACCGTCTTACAATCCGTATGCTACTCCGGATCCACCACAATATGCATCCCAGTATGGCAACTGGCCAGAGCAGCCTGGGCAACATGATCCGATGACCCCACATTCCTTCTCTGGCTCGTTCCATCAGCAGTCACGCTCGCAATATCACCAATACCCCCAATACCCGCAGCAATATCATCAATACCCTTCGCAGAATCAATCGTATTCCTCGCCAAACCAGCAGTATAACCCACAGCCGCAACATCCATCTCCAGCACCGCACCTCCAGAGAAGGACGTCGGCACAGGAGCGTTGGGACAACTACATCACGAGCGCCGAGTGTTCAGATACTCTGCAAGGTGGTACACCTCACCTTCCAATACACCAGAGCAACTCCGATCCGCTGACAGCCAATTGTAACAAAGCAGACAACCAGATGTATGTCCACCAAGTGACGTCGGAGCTTGAGCAGCGTGCTCTTGCGGATGAACGCCTTGAAGGCCTCTCGCAACAGCACGGTGTCGAGACACAACATGCGCAGCAGGCGGAGCGCGACCGCCGCTTGAGGTGGGCCCAGGAGATGATCATTCAGAACCCAGCTCTCTGCGCCGAGGTCTACTGCGCCATGTCGAAGCTGCCGGCGTCTAGGAGGAGGGGATCAAGCACGGCTGTGCCTCCGCCGCCGAGTAGCAGGAGTAACAGCAACTCCAGTGTCAACAGCAGCAACTCGTCGTACCGCAACAGCCCTACTATCACGACCCTACCTTCCAGGTGAACCTTCCGGGTGGTTAGTAAGCGGTGGACATGCAGGAACCACGTGTCAAACCACGGGTGATCACTTACTCTTCTTTCTTTTCACTTTAGCTTAGAAACCTTGTCAATTTATACCCATTTGAACTCCGTCCCTTTTGTTGAAATCTGAGTCACGTGAGGGAAAGCAGTAAGTGGGTGATTAGTTGATTGGTTGAACTAGAGCTGGGGGCGCCGGCTGCATGTTATCTTATCCGACTGCCAAGGCGCTAGCCCTGTTAGTCATCAGATCACGAGACCATTGGCCCTGCTATATACCGATACTCAACACTGACCTCTTCAGTCTGGGTGTTTGCGGTCAATGCGTGAACCTGACGGGCCAAGCCATGTTCGGCTGCAGTACCTCCATCGAACCCAGCAGCCCCGGTGTCTGCTCGTATGTCTCACAGCATCCAGGATTAAGCTAGATCCCAGCCTCGTGTTGTCCACCCTTGATCAGTCCTTTCGAGAAGATACATTCCTGTATCTGTGCTGGGGTTGGTTCGTCTTGCCGATCTCGTTGGTTGCTGTAACCACTGCCATACTTGTCGCAGCTATCATCGTCAAATTGCACAGAGATGTTTGGTCCAGCATCTTTGTTATCGCGCTATCGAATTCGCCACGAGAGCAGCTACTGCAGCCTACTGAGAGAAGCTTGCCTGCTTCTCAAATACCATCTCAGGCCCGGTGCCCACAAGCTTCTCGTAGATTTCAGGATCAGTCGCACCCTCAAGCCCAAAAAGTAGAACCCGACTATCGCTGTCTAAACCCAATTTTCCACGAAGCGATAGATCTTCACTGGCTCTTAGCATAAGCCCCATGCTTGCCGCCGAGGATTCTCCACACACGACAGGAATATCCTGTCCCAGCCCGGTCGCTAGAGCCTTCATGCCATCGACAGCGATTGAGTCTGGCACAGCAATGAAGTCGCTGGCAAGCCACAAAAGGATTTTCAACGCCGCGGGTGACGGGGTGCGACAAGCTAGACCGGCCATCAAAGTTCGGAGATCGCCCGGAGAGTCCTGAGGTCGCCCTTGTTTCGCGCTCTGAAAAAGGCAGTCTGCCGCTAATGGTTCTACGACAACGAAGCGTGGAAGACCTTCGCGGACCGCTGCCTGGTTTTGTTTGAATCGAGTGAAGAATCCCAGGAATACAGCCGCGGCGATGCTGCCCACTCCACCACACACAAAAACGTGAGTGACTCTTTCAAGTTCCGGGATCATGTGAAGTGCCTCCTCGACAACAACCATGTATGCGTTCATCACATGCTGAGGAATGCCACTGTCGAAATCGCTCCAGGAGGTGCTGCTGACGAAGTGCCACCCGTTCATTCGCGCGTCTTCCCTTGCTCTCTCGACCGATGCCTCGTACTCTCCATCAATGCGAATAACCACGGCGCCCAGTTGCTGCATCGCCTCTGCACGACCGCTGCTCACGTGGTTGTGGATGTAGTCGACACAACGACAGCCGAAAATCTTTGCTCCATAAGCAAGGCCTCTTCCCTGATTCCCGTCTGTAGCAACGCAGACGGTGATGCGTTGAGTGATTTCGTGGTATCTCCCTGACCGCAGCTCGCCAGACGATGGGTGCACACCTCTGCGCAAAAATATCTCATGCGCCAAGATTTTGTAGACGGCGTACGGTGCACCAAGCGCCTTGAAGGACCCAAGCTCCGTGCCGAATCTCATGCTCTCGTCTTTGAGAAAGAGTTTGCTGATTCCCATTTGGCGGGCGAAGTTTGGGAGATCTCGAAGCGGTTGCGGCTTGTATTCGGGCCAGCTTTGTATCTCGTCGACGGCTTGTTTCCAGTTGCAAAGGTTCTGAACGCATACCGAAGCATCATTCTCGGCGGCTTGGTTGAACCGAAGGATATTGGAATGGTGGGAAAATTCCATTACGGTCGAGAAAGAAGAATGTCTTGGTCTGGGAATAGCGTATTACCAAGGGCGGCGGAGCAAGAAAAAGCACAATGGCCCCAGAAGTTGGCCATTGCCGAGTGATCTTATATATCTGCAAAGCTCCCAAGATTGCAATTCAAATCAATACTTTAAGACATCAACATTCAACCAATGAAGACGTGTTTGGTGAAAGTGGTTGGGATATCTCGGCGGTTTGGAAGGGTCACCGAGAAGCAACGTCACGAATATACCGAGGTCGCTTCAAGGATGCGGCGCTACTTCATATGCATCTCGGCGAAAATGACAACTTCACCGACAGAGACTGAAGCTTCGCGATGATTCGCCACAATACCATAGAACACAAGCATTGGGGAAAGAAATCTGCTCATTCAGGCGGTCAAACATACATAACAGTAGCAGGAATACGGAGGAATGGCCAAAGGTGAGACAGTTTTATCTCCTGATTTCGAATAAGCTACAGTGCTAAGCACTGCCCGAGCCCGGCGTTCTTAACCAATCAAGGACGGCCTTTCTCCTCCAGCGATGCTAGGTTCCTTTAGTACTGCCGAGTGTGGGCGATCAGGGTTAGTCGAAATGGCGTCGCCTCGTTTGGTAGCTTCGCGATCTGATTTATTCTTTTTTGTAAGGCGTTGAGCAAATTACATACGTGTAGCCGAGCAAAGTCGGGGCTGTCTGGTACCTGTTTCCTTCGTCATTGCGCCCCAGCGCATTTCGAAGATATACCCTGGCTCACAAGACGCAACAGAAGATTCATGGTTTTTCCAGTAGCGGTTACTCATCAAAGCTGGCACCTTTGTAATGTTCATTTACATGTTTCTGAGTCTATCACCGACACTTCGGACTTCATTTGAGCCTAGGAGTAATCCCCGCTGCCTGTGATTATTTCTGTGTGGATCGCAATCATCAGTTTATTCTTGTAATCTGGCACTCATCTATAAATAAAGTGCATGCCCTGTAAAAGGGCTCGATATTTGGACATCACGAAGAACCGATAGGTAGTTCCCAGCAGAAAAACTTCATATTTGGGAATGGTAAACTTGAATCGACGTGAATGGAGCTTTTGAGAACTGATAAATTAGTAGGCACAAGAATGCCTACATGCAGTCTTGTTGCGATCCAGTATGGTGTGTTTTGTACTTTGCACCATGCCTGCGAGAAGTACTCTAATGGCTAGAAGATCCTTGACTTATGTGCTGGCAATGAGGTATTGGCTGGCCATTCAATATGCAGAGCAAATATCCAATGTGATACTAAGTAGGGCCGAGCTCACCTCGATGACGTCAGCAAAGCGCTCCCCAAGACTTAGTCAACCAAGTGTTAGTCAACCAACGAGCGGTGTCGTCCAGGGTGTGATGTCGTTTGCAGGGCGCGTCTCACTAGTCGGCTGAGATTTTTTATCACGCTGAACGTGTTGAAAACGCTCTGGTTTCCTTTTCGTTCACGCTGCTACTTACCTTCACGGCATCCAATTCGAAAGCAACACAAGTCGTCGGATTTCTCCCCAGCATCTTATCACTACTCAAACGGCTACACTGCCGAGATAATGCGCGTCGGCTTCCTGGGACTTGGGGTCATGGGCGTGCCTATGGCATTGAACCTATCCCGCAAATTCCCTCTGACCGTTTGGAATCGAAGCTCATCCAAATATCCTCTTTTGACCCAAGCGGGCGCAAAGATTGGCGAAACACCATCCAACGTTGTGGAATGCTCCGAGATCATCTTTTCTATGTTGTTTGATGGTGCTGCAATCAAAGCTATCCTCGACGACGACTTCAAGCGAGCCATGCGGGGCAAGATACTCGTCAACAGCAGTTCCGTGACAGTCGAATGCAGCCAATACCTGGCGGAGCAGATCAATCAAGCCGGCGGCCAATTCATCGAAATGCCTGTCAGCGGCAGCAAAGTTCCCGCAGAGCAAGGTCAACTGGTCGGCATGCTCGCCGGCGACCCTGAAGTCGCGGAGCGGGTCAAGCCGATCGTGGAGCCCATGACGAAGGCTGCAATCTTCTGCGGGCCGATCGGATCTGGCCTTAAGACGAAGTACTCCACCAATCTCTTCCTGATCTCCATGACCGCCGGCCTGGCCGAGGCCATGAGCCTTGCGCAGGCGCAGGGGCTAAACCTGGAAACCTTCGGACAGGTGCTTGATGCGGGCCCGATGTCGTCTGCGTATTCCAGGTTAAAGATCGCCAAGATCATCCACCAGGACTGGTCTGCCCAGGCCGCCATTAAGGATTGCTACAACAGCACACGGCTTATCCATTCAGCCGCGCAGGAAGCCGGTATCCGCTCGCCTATGATCCAGCTCTGCGAATCGTTGTACAAAGAAGCGAACGAGTCCGGACTCAGTGAAGAGGACATGATTGCTGTTCATAAACTAACGCAGTTGGCGAAGCGCTGAGATATTGATATGCGCGAAAAGGAAGTCAACCATTCGTCATGTGGGAGGAAAAGCCACGTCTTGGATCTTTTTGTTGTTCTATGCCGGCCATGTTCCCGAAGACTTGATTGTTCAGAGCTAAACAATAGAGATTTGTATACCTAGGAAAATAATACAAGACGAGAAAAGTCTGCATGTAGCCACGCGATTCTTATATTTGTCATCCTACTTGAAAGTATTTATTTCTCGCACTGTGTACCGCAGTTGCTTTACAGGCGAACAGAGTATAAAGCCTCCACCCTCACGCTGTTCATACCACTCGTCCACAATGGAGAATACTATCTCGTTTCATCACCACTTGCAACAATAACAGTAGAGTTCATATTGTTCCTTCACAAGGAATGCTGATCGATCTGGTTTGGGTGGTACAGCCGGCGCAAGGAGGGCCCAACGTGACTCCGGCATTCAAAGAATGTCCGCGAAGGGGTAAAACCTACGTATACCTAATGGATGTGGACGAATCTGTTATAGAGCCAAACTCTCTCTTATATAACATCTACTTTTCATCTAGAAACATCGCATTGTCGCTACGTAATTTAAGGTTAAGTAAGATACTAGAGATTTTGGTGTTCCTTAAGTACGTCCGTGCAGACACGGGATAAAGGCCCGGCGAATTTCTCAGCGAAAACAATGCTCATTCGCGGAGACACATCGGACCCAGAGGTTGGCCTGCTGTGCTTGGTACTACTCTTAAAAAGGTTAGCGCACAGCAACCGGCGCTATATGGGTTGGGGTTCTTCGAGCTGATAGAGAACATCTTGGATCAGTGCCGAAGCTGAGGAATCAGTAACAAAAATGCAAGAAGCAAAGAATCAGCGCGCGCTCAAGGTTCTCCTACTCGGGATTGATGGGGAAGAAGCAATGGTAATCGGTAGCCACGAAGGACAAGAAAGACTGAAAGCCAAGTTTCGACCTGAAAGTACGCGCTTCACCCTGCAGGTATCTTTGCGCCAAATCAATCCTCATCTTGTCAACGAATGCTCAAATAAGACCAGTCGCCAAAAACTAAAACCAAAATTTGTTCACTTCACATACCAACTTTTCCCGATCCTTTCCATTTCCCATACATTCCTCAGCCACGAAAATGATCCGGATTTCCTATTTTTGATTTCCCTAGTCCGTAGATTCCTCTCTCTCTCTACATCAGACAACCATTCTTCTTGCTCGAGTGAAGATCTGACACCGCAACCCTCAACTTCTTGCCCGCAACGTCTACGAACGCCTCAACCAGCCATTCATACCAGACTTTACGGTCATCCGTCTGGCGCCACATGCTGACCGCGATCTCTGAATCGTCAGGAATGTAGATCGGATTCTAATAGACGCAATTCACCATTAGTTATGCTCCTAACATCTGACACACGTAAAAGCATGTCACATGGAGAAGAGAGCAGAGAAGTAAAGACGTACCTTCAACGGGAAGTAAATCGGGAACCAACTAATCATGTCCTTGCTCTTCTCATCGATAGTATTCGGGTTCGTGCTGAGCTCGATCTTCCTTCCCCACTTCCCCGGTTGCTCGCCCTCGCACGTGTACAACACCGTCTCGAAGTAGCCGCCGAGGCCGTGGCACACGCCGCGTTTGGCGCAGCGGAATGACAGGCGCGAGAAGCGCATATTGTGTTCGTTGGCGCCGTCGCCACCCGTCGCGCCGCCCGCGCCACCCGCGATGCTTCCGCCTTCCCGCAGTTTCGCCTGTGCCAGCACGGCCGGCGGCAGTGGGTGCGTAAACTCCCAGACGAGCTGAACGTCAGGCGTAAGCGCGGTGGTTTCCGACGAATTCTTGGCGGCGGCAGACGCGCCATTTTTAGCCGCCGCGGCGTAGCTGCCAGCGACTGGTGAGGCAGGTCCGCTGCTGCTACTGCTGCCACTGGCGGCCGGCGTGGCAGGGAGGGTGGAGAGGTAGTCGATCTGGTGGAGCATGACGACGTGGGGAGTCTCAGGGGTGGTAGGGTCGGAGAGGGTGCGGTTGTTGATGTCTGCATGGAGCTTAGGTGCCGAGAGAGGAGTGAGATGGGCAGTGTAGCTGGCGGGGATGCTGATTCCGTGGGTAGGGTTGAGCACATGCTGCACGCCATCTAGGCACTCTGGGGACAGCTCGTTATCAGCGAACGAGCCCAGCAGCTCGGAGACCAAGATATCGACATGGCCGTGGGAGCCATCTGGGCGGTGCGGACCCTTCCAGAAACGCATGTCGGACTTGACCACAGTGACTTGACCGGCCCAAGAGTCTCGGTTGTGACGCTGCAACAGTACGTATGCGTTCGGGTTCTTCTCTACCGCCCACATGTCGATTTTGACACCGGAGTTGCGTGACGCATTGAGCGAGCGCGTCACAAGAGGACCACGGCCAGCTCCAGCAACAGCAACGACAACCTTGCCATCTGGACCTGAGCCTTGCTTATTCTGCGCGGCCCAGTCCAGCAGTGCTTGTTCAACGGCGTTCTGGTACCATTCGTACTTGACTGGATCCTTCTCAAATACCTCGTACGTGATGCTCTCAAGATTGTCCGCCAGAGGCTGCAGTGGAGCTTGGAGGAAATCTTGGTAGCCAGAGCCGAAGCGTTCAATCTGCGACTTGGGCGGCTGGTTCTTCTGAAGGTGGCGGATGTAGCTAAGATGGGGAGTTGGGTCTGCTTGTTGCTTCTGTTTGCCTGCCGGCAGCTTGGCGGCTTCAGCGGGAGTAGGCTCGGACGAAGGGTGGAATCCGGGTGTGAACGAGCCGGCCTCTGGAGAGAGCAGCCCGTTTGACATGGTCATGAGGGTCTCATCATCGTCCACGCCAGGAATGGGGCCAATGTCCGAGAGCAACAACCACGGCGTGTTGCGGAGGCGGGTGTAGCGGGTTAGCAGTGCCTGATGTGAGACGGAAAGGACGCTATATCCCCGTTTGTTCTTCAGAAAGGCAAAGCCAGGAATGGAAAGGAGGCGCAGAGGTTCAGAGAACCACCGGGACTGAACAGAAATTGGAGGAAGTTGGCGAGGTAGAGTCAACGCTGTTCAAATGGACATCAGCAGTAGCTCGTAGAGATCCTAATTTGGGGGCGGAATAGCGCATTTTCAAGACCCTGGGCGCAGACCTTTGATGATTGAGGCTAATCGGAAAGAGGGTGTGGTAGATGATTTAAATTCTTACCTACGGAGAGCCTCGAGTTGTATTTACATACAGTTCTGATCAGATTCCACGCATCCCAGGTTCCGAAAAGGTCAAGCGCTGCAGGCTGCTTGGAGCCAGATGTCTTCAGATACTTCTCGCGCGCGAAGGGAGCGAGGTGCCCCATCTCGTCATTCTGGTCTACACTGGGGTCATCGACCATGGGCTGCAGGATCACAATGTTGATGTAAGGACCGACGGCCAGAGCTTCCTGGATAGAGCGCGCAAACTGAGACACGCCGGCGGCCTGAATGTCGCCATGGTGCAGCTTGGGACCCTGAACGATGATGTTGCCAACGCCGCAGAACGAGGCATACGCAACTTCCTGGGTGAAAACCTGGCGGGATACGTGCGCAATCACGGGATCGGGAGAAGCAAGATCGATCCACGGGCTGGAAAGAGCGAGTAGCTGCGAGATGGTGTCGCCGGGTGCCAGGATGGTGTCGTCGGGCGTGAGGGGGCTGATCAGCGGCAGCGGAAGGTCTTCGGCAGGCCGAGCCTCCAGCTGAGCGTAATGCTCCGAGAGAAGTTTCAGAACACGGGTGTGGAAGTGCTCGTTGGTGATGGGGGCAGTAAGCATGTCATACTAGAGCGAGTCAGCGTGCGATTGTGGCTTGAGGTGGAGGTTGACGTACGCCGAGGTCCTGGGCCTGATGCAGCAGCAGCTCCGTCACGGGATGGCTGCGGCGGGTCTCATGGTGGCCGACGTAGAAAATGGGCATGTCCTCCATGGTGGCGGGCGATTCCATAGCAGTGCGCGGGGCAGGCGGATCACGCGGCTGGTGCGACGACAATGGAGCGGAAAATCGGCGGGCGTGAGCACAGCGCAGCCTGGCCCTGGGAGAATCAGGTGCAGCGCGCGCAACTCTGAGGCCAAAATTTCGAGGGTCCACGGTCGCGGTCGCGGTCGCGCTTTGGCGCGGAGCAGCGCGATTTTCCGTCCGTGCGCGGGCGGTGAGCCGCTGACATAAGCGCGGGTCGCGAATTATTTTGCGGCAAAAGTCCAAACACCATCACCGAGCGCAGCCAGGACACGGACAGGCCGCCTTCCTCGCCATCCCTCCCGCCGCACGCCGCCATGGCCGACCGCAGACCCGACGGCGCCGAGAGCCGCGCCAAGCGCCAGAAGACCGACGCTGAAATGGACCCCAAGGCCAATCCCTACCTCGCTCACATGTACGAGGACAGCTACTCCAACGGCGCCGCCAACGGCTCCGGCCTCTCCAACCTCGTCCGCCACAAGACCACCGCCAAGGACGCGGAGCAGGCCGAGAATGGCCCCAACAACCCTTTCACCGGCCAGCCGCTGTCCCAGAAGTACTTCAACATCCTGAAGACTCGTCGCGATCTGCCCGTCCACGCCCAGAGGCAAGTGCCCCGCTCCCCCCGTCGCGCGCTCGCTAACCTTACCCAGAGATGAGTTCCTGCAGATGTTCCAGAGCACCCAGATCCTCGTCTTCGTCGGCGAGACCGGTTCCGGAAAGACCACGCAGATCCCGCAGTTTATCCTCTTCGACGATCTCCCCCAGTCGCAGGGCAAGATGGTTGCCTGTACCCAGCCCCGTCGTGTCGCCGCCATGTCCGTCGCCCAGCGTGTCGCCGACGAGATGGATGTCGCTTTGGGCGAGGAGGTCGGTTACAGCATTCGTTTCGAGGACCGCACTTCGTCCAAGACCATCATGAAGTACATGACGGATGGTATGCTGCTGCGCGAGGCCATGAACGACCACAACCTGTCCCGCTACAGCACCATCATTCTCGACGAGGCCCATGAGCGTACTCTGGCTACCGATATTCTGATGGGTCTGCTGAAGGAGGTCGTCGGCCGCAGGCCCGATCTGAAGCTGGTCATCATGTCCGCCACCCTGGATGCTCAGAAGTTCCAGCGCTACTTCAACGACGCACCTCTGCTTGCCGTCCCGGGTCGTACCCACCCCGTCGAGATTTTCTACACCCCCGAGCCCGAGCGTGATTACGTCGAGGCTGCCCTGCGCACCGTCCTCCAGATCCACGCCACCGAGCCCGAGGGTGACATCCTCCTGTTCTTGACTGGCGAGGAGGAAATCGAAGACGCGTGCAGGAAAATCAACCTGGAGGGCGACGAAATGATTCGCGAGGCCGATGCCGGACCGCTCAAGGTTTATCCGCTGTACGGTACTCTGCCTCCGCACCAGCAGCAGAAGATCTTCGAGCCTGCCCCTCCGCCTCGCACTCCTGGTGGACGCCCCGGCCGCAAGGTCATCGTCTCGACCAACATTGCTGAAACCTCGCTTACCATTGACGGTATCGTTTACGTTGTTGATCCCGGTTTCAGCAAGCAGAAGGTCTACAACCCTCGCATCCGTGTCGAGTCTCTCCTGGTGTCGCCCATCTCTAAAGCTTCTGCTCAGCAGCGTGCTGGTCGTGCCGGTCGTACCAGACCTGGAAAGTGCTTCCGTCTCTACACCGAGAAAGCTTTCAAGGGGGAGCTTATTGAGCAGACCTATCCCGAGATTCTACGCTCCAACCTGTCGGCCACGGTTCTGGAACTGAAGAAGCTTGGAGTCGAGGACCTTGTTCACTTCGATCTTATGGATCCTCCTGCACCCGAGACCCTGATGCGTGCTCTGGAGGAGCTGAACTACCTGGCCTGTCTTGATGACGAGGGTGAACTTACTGCCCTCGGCCGTCTGGCATCCGAGTTTCCTCTTGATCCCGCTCTCGCGGTCATGCTCATCTCGTCGCCCGAATTCTACTGCTCGAACGAGATCCTCTCTCTCGTCGCTCTCCTCTCCGTTCCGCAGATCTTCGTCCGTCCCGCTAGTGCTCGCAAGCGGGCGGACGAGATGAAGGACCTCTTCGCTCACCCTGACGGCGATCACTTGACCATGCTGAACGTGTACCACGCCTTCAAGTCCGACGACGCCCAGGCAAACCCCAAGCAGTGGTGTCACGACCACTTCCTGTCGTACCGTGCCCTCCAGCAAGCCGACAACGTTCGTCTCCAACTGCGCCGTATCATGGAACGTTCCGAGATCGAGCTCATGTCGACGCCCTTCGAGGACAAGAAGTATTACGAGAATATCCGCCGTGCTCTCGTCAGTGGCTTTTTCATGCAGGTCGCGAAGAGGGATGGCACGGGCAAGACGTACATCACCGTCAAGGATGAGCAGAACGTTCTGCTGCACCCGTCCACAGTCCTAGGTCACGACAGCGAATGGGTTGTGTACAACGAATTCGTGCTGACCACCAAGAACTACATCCGTACCGTGACGTCGGTCAAGCCCGAGTGGCTGCTGGACATTGCACCCAACTATTACGACATTGCCTCTTTCAAGAAAGGCGACGTGAAGATGGCGTTGCAGCGCACCGTCGACAAAATGAGGCGCAGGGAGGCCATCAAGGGCAAGCGCTGAAGTGGTGCGGAGTGAGGCACAACTTGCAGCACTTTTTCTTGATGCATGCCGCTCCGGACCGGTGGCCATTGTCGTTTGTTCTTCTTTTTTCAGCGTGGCGCAGGATGGGTTTCCTACGGGTCTCCTACGGACCGGAAATAGAGAATGGCCCATTTCATTACTTTAAGCTACAGGTGCATTTCTACTTGGCGCTAAGAGGGCAAAAACCGGAACAAAATTTCGGGAGGTCTTGCTCCCAGGGACTATATTGGCCCAGTCAAAGTTGGCCTACGCATAGGATGGTAGTCGGGCTTGAAGCGAGAACAAATGAATGGCAGCTTCATCGATCAGGACCTTCTCAGAGGTGGAGAAGGAGCTTCTAACAGCAGTATAGAGATCTTGCAGCGGTCAATATGGTTGTTGGCTTGAAGTTGAATTGAAGCGATCTCTGCATCAGTGTTTATTTTCAAGGACTTGCTGATGTGTGTGTGTTTCCTGCGAGCGATGGGTGGTTGTTCAGGATTCTGCTCGTAGAAATATCCCTTGGCTTGCACATATGGCTTGACGCGATTTTCCATATTGTCTTGTGAAATCCGGTCAATGGAGAACATGGAAATGCTGATGAGGAAGAAGATACCTTCTACTGGTGTGGCTGACGTCGATTAATGGAAAATTCTACATGACAAAAGTATGTAATTGAGAACAAATTGGGCACGGAGAAAGGGGAAAAAGCAATTCAAATAATATTCATTCATGGGAAGCTAGTAAAGTCCGCGCATCCTTTTGATCCGTCACCGTCTCGAAAAAGCTTCTGCTGCGAAAGGATTTAAATAGTCAGTTCATTGTAGCCCGCATCTTGCTAGTCGGGGTCCCTTCAACACCATTCACAGCGGGTTGTCACCGGTCAGGGTCTTCCGGTAACGCAACAATTTTTGGCGTGAGAGCAACCGACCCTTTCCCCACATGTGCGGGCGGCCTGAACCGGAGCAGCGCAACGCAACGCAAGCCTCCCCATCCGCGCGCGGCCAGAACACGACCATCCACCCGCGTATTTTCCTGACGGGAAAAAAGACATTCCTGCATCGCTCCGTCCCCGCATCGGCGAGTCCCGGCCCTGGTCCATGGCTGCAACTGAGTTCGCGCCGGCGCGCTTCCTGCAGCACGCAACAAGCACGCAGAGGGCCCCGTCGCAGGTCCAGGATCAGCATCAGAAACAGGACTGGCGCACGAAGCCTGCACTGGTAATCCTTAACCAGCCTGTCGAGAGCCTGGACCTACTGCAGCGCCTGTGGGCACACACGGGCTACCGCCTCTGCGCCGACGGCGGCGCCAACCGGCTGTACGATATCTTTGCCGGCCTTGACGACGCCGAGGAGCAGAGAAGAAAGTTTGTATGTACTTGGTTTTTTGTTCGTGCAGTCGGAGCTATGATGATCACAGCCCAACGCGCTGTCACCCACACGCCCCTTACAGTAAACCTCGGCTGACATGTACGCAGCTTCCGTCCGTTATCCACGGCGATCTTGATTCGATCAACCCCGACGTACGCGCCTACTACGAAACCCTCGGCGTGCCCGTTACACGCGAGCGCGACCAAGAATGCACCGACTTCGGCAAGGCCATCCGGAAAATCGCCAGCGTCACCAAGATTACGACCGACGACGTCAGCAGCGCCTCGGAAGCCGACGATGCCAGCAGCAGCAGCAGCTACCGCGAGATTCTCGTCATCTGCACGCTGGCCGGCCGCGTCGATCAGGGTCTACGCCTGGTGTACGACCTGCTGCAGATTCAGCGGGCCGCCCGCTCGCCTACGCGCCTCTGGCTCTTCTCCGAGGCCAGCGTATCGTGGGTGCTACCGCCCGGCGAGAGCCGCATCGTGCTCGACGGCAGCAGCGGCGTCGGCGGCAAGTACTTCACCGCGAACGTGGGCATCCTACCCGCCTACGGCCCTGCCGTCATCTCGACTACCGGGCTCGAGTGGGATGTCACCGACTGGCCGACGAGCGTTCATGGCGCCCTCAGCACCAGCAATCACGTCAAGAGTAAGATTGTAACGGTCAAGACGGACGTAGATGTCTTATTTACGATAGAGCTGGCCGACTCTCTACCCTGATAGAGGTTTCGAATTGAGCCCATGCGGGGATTGCAGGCTTGCCCGCAAGCGGGTTTGCATGCATTCTCAATTCAGGCCCGCCCGCGATGAATCACGCCAGATGATTGATCATCTCGTTAGGAGTGAGAAGTCAGTACAGGTGTGATATTTTGGATTTCAAGTTAATACTGCAGATAAAATATTTAGATCATATATACATCGTTAGATCTACTTCATATACTTGCGGAACAGTCCCCGAAACTTTATGCAACATAAGATTGATCACGTCTTCAATTCTGGATACAGGGATGTTGCATATGAAGGCTAGTATTCGTCCATGGAAGAAGAGGAAGAAGAAGAAGAAGAAGGGGTCTTGGCCAGAGTTGCGGGACTGCTGGACCCTGGCGCGCGGTGCGCACATGCTACGAGTATTTACGGAAATCATTCACGTCAAATTGCTGGCCTTGTTCATGCGCCCGGCTTGGGTATGCGGGTAATGCCTTGGGTGGTTGCCTCCTTTTCTATTTTTGCGCGTGCGATTGGTCGCAGTGAAACGGCATGCTGATTGGCTTGATATTGTTGGAAAAAGGAGGGGGGCCAAGCAGGCAGGCTGCAAGGCAACCCGAGACGGCGGCAGGCCGATAAGCCGCAGAAACGGGATGCGGGTGGGTGACGGTGGATGGTGGTTGGTGGTGGGCAGGCTTGGGATTGTGGCTGTGGGCATCGAGTTAGCCGAAACGGGGTGAACGCAATATGGCTTGAGATCATAGGCTCGGCCCAACAGGCCGACAAGTGGACTGCCAAGTTGTCTCCGACGACGATGATGTCTCGCGAGAGGATCTCGGCGTGGCCTGGGAGCTGATCGAGGTGGAGATTGTGCTGTGCTGTTTTTTCCTTGAAGATCGAAAGGATGGGTTTGCCTGAGGCGTCGGGACGATGACGGAAGGGCGGTGCAGCACAGGCGCAGTGCACTGACTTGGGTGGGGCGGCGGCGGCTTCGAGGCTCGTGGCTCGTCGCAGGCCTGCTGCAGTCTCGGTGGTGGTCTCGGTCGCGGTCGCAGCTCCGTCGCAGAATGAGGACATGGTGGGTCAGGCATGGCGGCCGTGAAGGGAAAGGCGCCCAGCTCCTTCATTGCTGCTTTTGTCAGTGGCGCTGGCGACGGACGGAATTTTCGTCACAGGAGGCTGGAGGCTGGTGCGGCAAGCGGCAGCTCGTCAGGCGTCCGGTTGGAGCTGCGCAGCGGTGGGGCGGCAGATCAGCGAGACGGTGAGAGGGCGGCACTGCGCTAGGAAAAGTCCGCCATGGACCTGGAAACGCAGCGGACTTTGGCGTGGCGCGCATCAGAAAGCCGGGCATCACGCCCGTCGCGTGGGTAAAATAGCATGGCGTTCGACGGAGATGAGAAGACGCAGGGGAGGCCAATGCCAGCATATACTTCCGGGCGGCTCGCGAGCACCCGTCACCTAATTGCCTTGTTTGCGAGCTTCCGTGCGCCGTCCCATTGAGCCGCATTTTCCGACGCCGTGCCGCGCTGCTGCCGGCTTGCCCGCTTGGCCGCAGGCGCGCTGCTCACACACAGGCGCCGCCGAGCAGAGTCCAAGACGCGAGTCAGGGCGGTGCTGTCTCATGCTGCTTTTCTGTGCGCGAGGAATGCCATCCAGGTGTGACATCAGCTGTCGGCGGACGGGTGGCCTGAGCGCGCGGGCCTGTGCGTCCCCGGAGCCAAGCACCAGAGCTCCATTGCGCCATGCTCCATCGCGACGACCGATCGCCCGGCTCGAGCGGCGTGGATGCTACTGTATGCCCGCCGTGCCGCCCAGATGCCGCGCCTTGGGATTCGCGATGCTGCAGGCCGTCGAGCACGCGCAGCTGCCAATGGCGCGGCTGGCGGCTCTCCACCGGCCAACGAGGGACGGATTGCTGGATGAGCACAAGGATCCATTGCGAGGGAGCGTCGCGGCGTGAGCTGTCAGCCACAGCATGGCGACACGCGTCGCAGGGCCAATCCATCACGTCACTGCGCGCGCCTGCATCTTGCAAGGAAGCTGCGCGGAGGGCAGGAGCCACATCTGCCGCTACCCCAGCCCCCGGCTGCCTTTTATTCTCTGCACGCGCCGGCCCCCAGTGCGCCTACCCGTACCACCACTTCGCATTTGCTAGACTGCCGCTCGTTCAGTCAGTCTTGTCTTCAGGCCGCGCTCCGTCCACGCCAACCTCTTTCCCGCGGAGCTCCCACTCTCCTTGCTTTCTGCCGGCAGTTCTTAGGATAACAGCTTCACTTCAAAATGCTACCACCGATATCCCGCCTGGCTGGCGCCCTTTCGCTCGCCGCCGCCGTCGCGGACGCCCAGTCCACCGTGTCCATCACGCCCACCGCCAACGCCGCCAAAGCCAGCGGCATCTCCCAGTATATCCCCCCGGACTATGCGGGTTTTGGTTCGTCTTCCCTTTCCACGATGCGCCGGCGTCGTTTCTGACCGTGAGCAGGAATCGAGCCCTCCAACCTGTTCTCCTTCACCGGTGCTGAGAGCACCAACGAGTTTTCCGTGAACCTGATGGAGAACTTGGCCAACTACACCGGCAAGCCTGGTGCCATTCGCCTTGGCGGCAACACCGGCGACTACTTTCTCTACGAGGCCGACATGAACGAGTACAAGGTCAAGACGAACGAGAACTCGGTTGGCCAGGGCGCCATTGCCAGCGATGCCGACATCATTGGCCCCACCTTCTTCGAGGCTGTCAGCAGATTCCCTGAGGGCACGCCCATCATCTTCGGCCTTAACCTCGCCTACTTCCAGGCCGACTACCTCGACCAGATTACCCTCATGGCCCAGGCTGCCCTGAACAACCTGTCCAACGTTGAGCTGGTTGCCTTTGAGATCGGCAACGAGCCTGACTTGTACCTCGAGAACAGCTTCCGCAACGGCACTTGGACTGGCGAGACGTACGTCGACCAGTGGACCACGCGTGCCGAGGCTGTTTACGAGCGCGTTTTGAAGCCCGCCGGCTTGCCCGTCAACTTCTTTGAGGGGCCTTGCACTGCCAGCACTATCGGGACCACGTTCGAGATTGACATGCTCGTCGACAACGGCATCCAGACCAACGTGCAAGGCTCCAGCAGCCCCTACCTGCGTGCCTGGAACCAGCACGACTACCTTTACTTCATCGACGTCTCCACTTTCGCCATCACCGTCGACTGGATGATGAACCTGGACAACACCGAGTCGCAGTTTGAGTACTGGGAGAGCCAGATTGCCATTGCTCTCAAGACCGGTCTGCCCTATTATCTCCGTGAGATGCAGAGCGTCGGTCCCGTTGGCCTGGCTGGTGTTAGCGACACGTTTGGTGCTGCGCTCTGGAACCTGAACTTCTTCCTTTACGGAGCCACGCTGAACATGTCGTCAGTGCAGATGCACATGACTGACAATTCCATGGCCGCTCCATGGCAGCCCATCGACCGCAACGGTGTCTCGAAGAATGTGCGCCCGGTTTACTACGCCTATGCTGCCATGGCCCAGTTCATCGGCTCGGGCAACGGCACCACTCAGGTTGCAACTCTCTCCAACGACAATGTCCCTACGGACTACAAGAGCAATGTTCGCATGTATGCTGGATACGGTGGTGGTGAGCTTACGTCATTCATCATCATCAACTCCAAGCAGGTCAACGCCACGGAAACCAAGGGCAGCCTGGACATCTCGCTCTCGCTGCCCGATTACAAGGGCCAGACTCTTTACATCTCGCGTCTGACTGCTGACGGCGCCGACTCCACCACCGGTACCACTTGGAACGGCATGCAGTATTCGGATGATGACGGCAAGGCGAAGACGGTCAACGACACCGCGGAAAGCGTCAATATCGGCGACAATGGCAGGGCCACCTTCAGCGTCCAGGATTCGGAGGCTTTGATCGCCTACATTGGTGCCAAGTTGGGTAGCAATGCCGTTACCCTGAACGGTACCACTGTCAACAGGGAGAACGGTGCTTCGTCGACCACTGCCAGCACGGCAACCCTCGCCGCCATCGCAACCACCTCTCTCGCCATCGCCAACAGCATTACCGGTTCCGCAGCAACCGCTACCGCCACCGCCACGAGCGCGGCCGTAAGGGCAGGCGATCGTGGATACGGTATGACGATGCTCATGGCCTTCACCGTCTTTGCCATTGCCACGTATCAAATCTGGTAAAGAAGCATTTGCTCCCCATTTCCCCAAAGCTTTACCATCGATTCTTATCTCCATTTTCTTTGCATTAGTCCTCGGCGTTCGGCAATCTTGCATGGATGAGCTCATGAAACGGTTACGGTTTTTTTTTTCCTCTTTTGGCATCGAGCCACGGCACAACTGCTTGAAGGATATCAAGCAAGGAAAACATTAGATCTCACGGCTTTACGGCGTCTTCTTGCATCAGCGACGGATCTCCTTTTTGAATTCAAGCATGTCCGAACCTTTTCTATTGCTTCGCGCAACATCAAGCGAGAGATTCCCTCTTCTACCTTCCTGAAGTGTAGATAGCTTGTTCTCTTTTTTTTTTCCTTCTTACCCATTCTTTTCGGCGGAACGGACGGATGAAGAGTAATAATAACGACAAAAGGGGTGGAGCAGTCTTTTCCCCCTCTTCTCCTTGCTGCGCCTTTTAGGGACGGAGGCAAGGGGGGATGCATTTGCATAGGCGGTGGTTACAATCAGCGGATTTTCGGAAGATAGACGGGGGTGGGGAACTTTGAAGCGAAGGCTTCCTGGATGAAGTATAGAGAGATCGCTGGGAAAGGAGGGGAGCCTTGCGTTTCCTCCTCCCTGGGCTGCTGCAGCTGCCTGCGAGGGTGGTTGGTAATGTTAATAATTTGATGCTTGGATGATGTTTCGTGACACCTGTTCATTGCACGTCAAGATTCCGTTCGGTGCAAGGTATCCTGTATGGTTGAGTTGTGCGGTGGGCCTCACTTTGGTTTCCATGTGCGAATTACCGTCTCAGACCCAGTTTTGCACAGGACCCAGATATTTTTTTTTTAAAAGAAAACAGTTGTGATACAGGTTAGGGGGCATGAAGCTAAGCCTAGGATGGGAAAAGAACCGCAATTTCCCACTGACCTGGATGATCTATTGGCCAATCTTGCTCCGGAATATTGATCCGGCCGAAGTTTACATGTAATGTGCATATCTAGGTCCCGTTCAAAACTGGGTCTGAGACGGTAGTCCAAACGTACGGCCAGGTTGGTCGAATAGCGAATAAGAGCACACGGCCTGCTTGAAGTCCCCTCTCTGCGAATTATTTCTGATAGAGGTGTGGATGACATGTGTAGTTTGATAAGTATTTTCATTAGTATTAGATGTTTTACAGTGTGCTTTCACCTCCAAAAGTGACCTTTGTACAGCCATTCAGTAAGGGTGATTTACATACAATCATTGCCCACTTTCTCCATGAGTATCGTCATTCATCCAGCGTCCAGGGGATCAGGTTTCGAAAACCCCTTTCGAAATCCACCCAAACGAAAGTCTCCATATCACAGTAAACCCCACGCAGGGGGAAAGTAGAAGCTGTTACCTGGTGTCCTCTGCAAACGCCGACTTCCTCCCCACCTGCGCCGTCTCTCTCGGCTGCCGCCTCGCACTATCCGCATCACTCCCATCCGGAGGAGTGCCCCTCGGCCCCTCCTTCACAGCGCTCGCGCCGTAACCATTACCACCCAACTCGTGCATCTCCGGCCCCACGGCGTCCAGCTCCTGCGGGCCCAGGTCCTCGCCGGCGGGCGGCGGCCTCGCCGCTCCCTTCCTCGCGCCGTCGTCCTCCTTCTCGCCCGCCAGCCCCGGCGCGTCGGCAGGCTTCTCGTGGATCTCGGCCGGCTGGCCAGGCAGCTCCGACGGCCGCCGCGCCTTCTCGTCGGCCATGAAAGCCGCGGCACGCGCGTCGTCGCTGCCGTGCTGGCGCTTCTGGCGGCGGCGGCGGCGGCAGCAGAGCCATATGGCCAGGCCAAAGATGAGCGCCGCACCGGCGACGGAGCCGACGACGGCGCCGGCGATGGCGCCGCCCGAGATGGATGAGGACGAGGAGGAAGGGGTGGACGACGGGGACGATGCGGAGGTGTTAGCAGGCGGGGGCGGGTGGAACATGGTGTAGACGGCCGGGTCGTCAAAGCCGTTGGCGGGCGCCGTCATGGTTGCGTTGCCGTCGGGTCTATTGCTCATCTTGTCAGCACAAGCACAGCAGCAACAACATGACAATTATGGACTTTTTTTTTCAAACCCGGAGGTTGGGGATTGGAAAAGGAAGCGAGTGGACTCAGGGATCGACTACGTACGTCCCGCCAATCCTCTTGACGACCGCGTCGGGCACGCGGAACAGGGCGGCCTGGCTGGCGTTGTAGAAGGTGCTCCACGTCGCGCTGACCATGTCGAACAGCCGCACGCCGGCGGCGCTGTCGTCGCACGTCGTCGCGTTTAGGTTGGGCACGTCGCCCGTGGTCTCGATGCCGAGCAGCGAGGCGTCGCGCGCGCCGCCCGTTGCCAGCATCTGCCGCTTGCCGGCGCTGTTGCACGTGTGGCCGAAATAGCCCGGCGCGGTGCTGGACCCCGGATTCACGAGCGTCCAGGTGAAGGATGGGAACGAGAGGACGTACACGTCGTCGTAGACGGTGCCGCTGCCCGGGTCGATGCCGCCGTGGATGTAGCTGGAAGGGAGATGTTAGTTTGAGGATTAATGATGGGTAGATTCATGGGCATTTTTGGAGGTGTAAGGAGAGAAATGGTGAAGGAAGAAGGGGCAAGAATGAAACGGAGGAAGGGCGACGGACAAGTTGAAGCTGGAGTTATCCTGAGGCGATTTCTGTCCTGGACAAACGCAAAAGTCCATTCGCGGCGGAGGAATATCGCCGGTCGTGGTCTGATTGACCCAAGTGACGTTTTCATCTCTGAAGCTGTCGCAAAGACCGACGGTCGTAAAGTTGATCTGCCGCCGTGTCAGTTCTTCTGCCAATCATTGTAGCTGCAGTGTCAAGAGGAAATGAACTCACGAGCTGGCCATTCGTAAACGTGTCCGATCCCTGGCCGGAGCTCATCATGCCGCCGAAGGCAACCAAGGTCCCGTTTTTCGACTTGCCAAAGCCCGGGGCATGCAGCAAGCCGCCGGCCACGCGCGGGTTTCCGAGCGTCGTGGTCGACAGATTGCGCGTCTCCTGGGTGTGCAGGTCAATCATGACCATGCCACCCAGGTAGCTGATCTGGTTGAACGTGTCGTTGGTGACGGTGCCGCCGCGGTACTGCACCGATGTGTACAGGCCGTAGGAGCTGCCGCGGTCGTACTGGCCGTTCAGGAAGAAGCCCACGCTGTGGGCGACGTCCTCGGTGACGGGGCCCCAGTTGGGCCGCCAGGGGATCGAGGCCGAGATGTCGTACGACTGCCAGTTGCGCAGCTCCGTGTCGAAGGACCAGAGGGTGGTGGGGTCCTTGGACGGCGGCGCCCAGTCCGGGTCTGAGTCGTTGGCTAGGAAGGTCGAGCCGCCGAAGGTGAAGAGGCGGTTCGACTCGGACATGGCGGCGTAGAGGCCGCCGCGCAGCATGTTGGGCGGGTTGCTGTCGGTCGAGTTGTCGGCGTAGCGCCCGATGCGCGACTCGGTGAAGTTGGTGCTGGCGTTCCAGGACTGCGACATGTCGAACTCGTAGATGTATTTGTCTGCAATTGCTCAGAAACAGAATCCAATGGCTGCAAAAGGGACTCACTGAAGCCGAGCCATCGCGTCCGATTGTCCTGGTACAGCTCCACGCCGCCGTCGATGAAGATGGAGCTCCGGCGCAACATTGCTTCGAGAGTCAGCGCACGCGGCAGGGCGGAAAAGCGAGGGCGGAAGCCAACCAGAATGATGCCATCGCGCGCACCTGTCATACACCGGGTCGAAGTCCTGGCCGCGCGCCCAGGTGGCCAGCGCCAAAAGCGCGACGGCGAGTCTGAGCAGCATCCCCCCCAAAGTGGGACATGAAACGCTCATTGCGAGGAAGGGAAGAAGTTTCAAGAGAGCGGATCCGCGTTTCGCAGGGCTGACGGCGGCTGGGGTGAGGGGGACCGGCCTCTAATCAACCTGAGCTTCTTCTGCCGATCATCCTGGCCAGAAAGTTAGGCCGTCGATGTATAAGCAAGCCATGACGCGGGGAGAAGGGCTGGTGATTGGCCTGCTTGCGGTTCGTCCTGCAGGTAACGGACGCCTACGACCACGTGTTTGGCTTGGGTCGGGCTGGGGATAATCCATTGGCGTGCCGAGCTCCGGAACTGAGTGAAAACCCCATCAGGCTGAAAAGGTTTTAAAGATAGAGAAGTGCATATGCGTCGGTGCTACCCTTGGGTCGAGATGGGGGTGGGTGGGCAGCATTTTTCACTGAGCACTCTCGACCCAACGTCATCAATGGTCGAATGGGATGCCGAGGACACGCGAGTGGCGCAAATCGTGCATCCCACGGATCGCATACCATGGTGTGTGTTACTAGTCTGTCTGACGTAAGCGAGCGTGGTTGGTCGTCCGCATGCAGTGAGAGGAACCCCAGACGTGCGCTATTCTGAGTTCGCGCACGTGCGAAGCCCGCATTGTGATTGGCTGATCTTGTTAGGTATTAATAGGAGTCTCGCCCGAGACAGCAGATTATAAAAAAACGTTGCGCCGCCAATGCTTCCCTTCTATATGGACCTTTTCCCAAGTGAACGCCGAATCCATGCGAAACAAGGCCGCCCAGATGTATATACTTTGCCTTTCCCCAAGTCAGAAATGTCGTTAATAATCATCGAGCCAAAACAACCATCAGGGCGAGGCTGACGGCCGTCGTCCAAAGGCGTCCTGCACGACGCAAGGCTGCGGCGGCGGACTTGGTTGACGTCGTCGCCTCGCTCGTCGGCTGCTCCGTCGCCCAGCCCAGGCCAGGCACGCTCGTCGTTGCGTCCAGATCTCCAGACGAACGCGTCGCGAAGGACGAAATGGCAGCCGTCGTCGTGGTGCCGTCGACGACGGCGACGACCGACGACTTGCCCACGGCACTGATGGTCACGCCGGACACGGTGGCGGCGGATCCGCCGGCCGAGATGGTCTGGGTTCCGATGACGAGCAGGCCCGGGGTGGCTTGCTGGGCGGTGATGGTGTGCGAGCCGACGCTGAGCACGGCGCCCACGCCTGGAAGCGAGATGGTCGAGCTGCCGCCGACCACGAGGGCCGAAGAGGCGGCCGAGATGGTGGCGCCGTCGATGACGGTGACCTGGCCGGGGGTCAGCGTCTTCCCGCCCGGCAGCAGGAAGTTCTGGCCGTCGGCCGAGATGACCTGCGAGCCGAAGGTCGCGACGGGGCGGTCGCCGTCGGGCAGAGAGACGGTCGAGCCGCCGCCGACGACCAGGGCCGACGAGGCGACCGAGACGGTGACGCGGTTGATGACGGTGACCTGGCCGGGGGTCAGCGTCTTGCCGCCGGGCAGGATGAAGTTCTGGCCGTCGGCGGCGATGACCTGCGAGGCGACGGTGGCGACGGGCTGGGCGGAGTCGGAGATGGGCAGGGCGATGGTCGACGAGCCGATGACGACCTCGCCGGTGCGCACGATGATGGGGGCGGTGCCAATGGCGCTGATCTGGCCGGGCACCATGGTCTCGCCGGCGATGACGATGTTGTGCGGGTTGTGCGGGTCGGCCGAGACCGTCTGCGAGCCCACGGTGGCGATGGGGCCGGCGCCGTAGCGCGGCTGGGCGATGGTCGTCTTCACGGGGATGGTGACCATGGCCGTGGCCGAGGGCTGCTGGGCCGACAGGGCCGTGTGGTCCGTCGTCTTCGCCGTCGGCGTCGGCGGCAGCAGGTCGCCGACGGGGGTGAGGAAGTAGGGCGGGTCGAAGACGTACTTGCGCCAGAACAGGCTGGTGCAGTTCCCGAAGAGCGGGTCGATGGCGGTGAAGAAGGCGGGGTTCGTGGGCAGCGCCAGCCACGGCAGGTAGTCGTCGTAGATGGTGTTGCAGCCGTCGCCGCCGGCCGCGGTGCCGCGCACGCCCAGCCAGTTGTCCCAGCAGCTCTGCTGCGCCTTGTACGCGCTCAGCGGCACGGGCGAGTTCATGTCCTGCCAATTCATCGACGTGGTGCGCTCGATTGGGTCCGTCTGGCCGAAGACGAGGCTGGAGATGGCCGTCGACGGCACGGGCACGATGGCGTCGCTCCACGTCTTGTAGCACGGCAGGCCCTGCAGCTGCTTGAACGAGAGGTAGACGGTCGGCGAGGTGAAGGTGTAGTCGCCGGACGTGGCGAGGACGGGCGTCGTGGGCGAGGGCGCGGCCGTCACGGGCGCGCCGTTGGTGGCGCAGAGGTCGGCGGGGTCCTTGGAGTGCGGCCAGAAGATGAGCTTCACCTCGCCCGCGTCCAGGCGGCAGTGGTCCTCGCCGTACGGGATGATGCACTCGTCCGGGCCCCATTCGCACAGCGGCGGCGCGGGCGGATCGACCGTGGCGGGGTGCGACGTGGCGTACCAGGACCGGTACGACTCGACGACCAGCTCGCAGCCGCGGTAGTTGAAGGTGCACGTCGGCGACGGGGCGGGAAACGGGGGCGGCAGCGAGTTCACGTAGATCTGGCCCAGCGTCGTCGTCGTGGGCGCGGGGCCCGAGGCGCGCGGCACGCCATCGCAGAAGGTCGACAGCGGGCCGGTGTAGTTGCCCAGCCAGACGGTGTCGTAGGTGGTGACGGACGTGTAGGAATACGACGAGTGCGAGGCCCAGTACCAGTCGGACGACGACGTGTACCAGGCGCGCTTCGCAGACTCGCAGGCCTGCACGTCGCGAACGAGGCTGCTGTCGGTGCCGGTCCACGGGAAGGCGGAGGTCGAGGGTCCAGGTGTCGTCAATGCGGCCGTGTCGGGAGATCCGGACGATAAGGGGTCATTCGTGCCCGAGGCATTGGGCCATGCTGCGGCGGCCGTCAGCGCGGCCCGCAGCAGCGCCTGCCAGAGCCACAGTCGGCGATGCATCGATGGAGTGCTGCATTGGACCTGCGCAGAGGGGAGCGCGGAGAGAAGAGGAGAAAGCCTGGGGTTGAGACGCGTCAACCCAGAGTTGGCCGAGTCAGGACGTGACGTTCATCAATTCGTATTTTCTGCAGCTTGGCCCGGTCGGGAAAGGCCGGCAGCCTGCCAGCGGCCCGATCAGCAAGCCCCTGGTGCCGATCCGCCCTCTCCTTCCAGAACCGAACGCCTTCTGGACGCCCGTAGAACAGCAATTCAACGCGATCGACGCGCGCATGGTCGCAGCTCTGCCCTACAGGCACAATCAAACGCCTCACCGCCGGCCGTTTTCGATGCGCTGTCTTGCCTCAGTCGTCGGTGGCCTGAGGTTTTCTTCGCGAAGGATCCAATGGCGTCGAACATGAGGCTGTCGGCTTGCGCCACTCCAAGGCTTAGCCCCGCCCTCCGCTTCTGCGCTTGATGATGCCACTCTGCTGTGGAACCTGACCATGCGTTCTTCGGACCTGCCGAGCGGTGGGTCCGTCGACAACAGAGCGCCCCTATGACGCGGGCCGAATTGTCACTACCTACTCGAAAGAATAACACAAAGCAGATTAATCAGGAACTGGCTCACTCAGACAAATTGCTCAAAGCTTCCCCGCATCTTCTTCGACAGTTCCCAATCTCCCGTCTATTTCCCGGTGCCACGTTAACACGCCACGATACTGCAGGATTTTTGCGTGGCGGCACGTGGCTTGTTCTTTTCTCAACGTCGACTGTGCTGCCATCATGCACATGAGGTGAACACACGAAGGAGCATTCAAATTCCATTCGCATGTGGTCTTGAAATCAGCTCTTGAACCGTGCATGTCAAAGTTCTCGTGTTTGAAAAAATTATTTTTTTACTTCATTTAGCATCTATAAGCTTTATTGATGCCAAACAACCATGAATAAGCTCGGATTTCATTTTGCTTGAAGTTTGGTCAAAAGAGTGAAATTTGGTGTGAGAGTTGGAATTGTGACACCCCAAAAAAGATCCGCGAAGTTCGTAGGGAAGATCACGGCCAAGGGATGGGCCGACCTCAACTGCGAGAACAGTGATGGTTTCGGAGGAAGGATACGGCCTGTGTGCACATGCGCACGTGTGGCTAGGTATTCTACCAAATGTGGCTGTCGTGCGAGCATCGCGCGTTCGTGTCTGGAGCCGCCGGCTGTATGTTCCTCTCGGGAAGAGTGAATGGCTGGATGCGACTGCTCATCTTATAAAAGACAAAAGCACAACGTCTATTTGTGAAATGTTGATGAGCCAGACGTAGTACGGGAGCCCAAGACATGCGAGGGGTTGTTTCAGCCTGAGGCGTGGACCAAGGCACAGTGATCATCTCGTGGCACCCTGAGAAGGCGGTCAGGGACTTTTTTTTTTTTTTGCACCATTGTCAGCTTCGGGCACGACATATGGACGACAATGCGAGCCAGGAATGTGGAACAAATAGAAGATTACAGTGACGATTCGACTTCACGACTTGTGTAATTACAAGTAGCTCGTTAGGTCAGACTTCGAAACCCTCATCTCTTCACCTCTTGGGCCCAGGTGATGTTATCAACACGCATTTATCGCTTTCGCAATGACTGCAAGCATCCACTCACTGAATTTATCAGAGAGACTTGATCTTGATGCCAGTAATTGCTGGCGTTAACTTGCTGTGTAGAGTCAGCAAGGCAAGCTGCAGCGAGACCGAAATGTGTTGATGATCGGCACAGTCCCCACGGCCCTGAGACCGCTCGTCTAATTCCCCACATGCTCAGATGCAATAAGTAGAAAGTGCTAAGCATTCCTGGATATCAGAGCAGAGGGCGCCTTGAGGCCGTGTGGAACCCCGCACAACCGACTATCTCTAGGTGATTTCTAGATGATGGAACTTTGAGTGATGACTGAACAACGAATCTGGATGGGAAGTAGTTGCTCCGGAGACGGACATATCTTCCACCTCTTCCTGGGCGAAGGGTCTCTTTTCTTCGACTTCCGGGCGAGGGCCTGATCTATTATTGTGCATCTGCTCCCTAGAAGCACGTGACCTCTCCGTGATCGTACGATCTCTTTGCCGGGCGTCTCGGAGACCCACTCAGGTTGGGATCCGGTGTGCAGCGCCACCTCCAGCTCAGAATCAGGGCCAGGACGCGGAACATCAGGCTACCGGCGAGGCGTGGGCTGGATGCATGACGATGGGTCCGTTTTCACAGGCGCTTTCAAGCAGCCTCAAGGCGATGCTGGAGCCACAGAGGCTGCGCGCCGGCGACGACTTACGCGCCCAATCAGACTTAGCCGAGAGTGCAGACGAACACGTCGGTGGCCAGGGCCAACCACAAGGCTGCGACGCGCCGTGTGCCACATATTTAAGCGCCGACTCCAACAACGCTGATTGAACGGCTCCTCGCACATCCTGCGTTTAGGAACGCCTTATCACCCGCGAGAAAACTCAGAACTGTCGGTCGACTCTCACGCGATTCCAAGTCTTGGTGTTCTTTCAGCCCTGTTCGCTTTAAACCCACAGTTCCTGCGATAATCCCCAGAAATCTGCTGCCGCATGACAACCCGCAACTCCATGTCGCATATCGGCCCCTGTCGCCCCTGCCTGTCGACATCCGTGTCCCTTTAACTCGCTCGCACTCAGCTCTCGCCGAGTGGCAATTGCTGTTCAATCGTTCGCTGGTCGTTCGCTACCTTTTTTTCTTGCTTCCTTTGCCCGCTCTTCTTAATATACTGTTAATTCACCGGGAATCTGCAATGGGTTCCCAAATCCGGTGGAAGTCTCACCTCGAGCCGCGGAAGCTCGTCTTCTACTTCTTCTTCTACGGGCTGCACATTTTCCTGTTCGCATATGGCTGGTAAGAAGCCCTCGACACCTGGCCCGGTATTTTGCTGACGTCCCCAAAGGTACAAGCAGGCCTCGGACCCGCGTCTGGCACCGCTGAACCTGCTCAGATTCTCGGTTTGGATCTCTCGTGGCGCCGGCCTCGTGCTGACGGTCGACACGATGCTGATCGTCTTGCCCATGTGCCGGACGCTTCTGCGCTTGATCCGGCCCAAGATCCGCTGGCTACCCCTGGACGAGTCGATCTGGTTCCACCGCCAAGTGGCGTACAGCATGGTCTTCTGGACTGTGGTCCACACGTGCGGCCACTACGTGAAGTGAGTTCCCCCAGACAGCGGCCATAGCAGCAGTGCTGACAGTTCGCCGCAGCTTCTTCAACGTCGAAGCGACCCAAGTGCGGCCAGAGCTCGCAGTGCAGATCCACTACACGCAGCCGGGCGGCATCACCGGACACGTGATGCTGCTGTGCATGCTGCTCATCTACACGACGGCGCACGCCAAGATCCGCCAGCAGTCGTTCGAGACGTTCTGGTACACGCACCACCTGTTCATCCCCTTCCTGCTGGCCATGTACACGCACGCCACCGGCTGCTTCGTGCGCGACACGGCCGACCCCATCTCGCCGCTGGCCGGCGAGCAGTTCTGGAAGCACTGCCTCGGCTACAACGGCTGGCGGTGGGAGCTCGTTGGCGGCGGTCTGTACCTGATCGAGCGGCTGTACCGCGAGGTGCGGGCGCGGCGGGAGACGAAGATCGTGAAGGTGGTGAGGCACCCGTACGGTAAGTGGGCACTGCCAGCACATGGCCCGCTCCACCCCTGCTAACGCTACCCAACAGAGGCCGTCGAGATCCAGTTCGTCAAGCCGTCGTTCAAGTACCGCGCCGGCCAGTGGCTCTTCCTCAACTGCCCGTCGGTCAGCTCGCAGCAGTGGCACCCCTTCACCATCACCTCGTGCCCCTACGACCCGTACGTGTCGGTGCACATGAAGCACGTCGGCGACTGGACCCGCGACTTCGCCAACGCCGTCGGTGCCGGTCCCGCCCAGGCCGAGTTCTACGACGGCATCGACCCGCTCGGCATCTACGAGGTCGCCCTGCAGGCCGGCCAGGAGATGCCCGCCATCCGCGTCGACGGGCCGTACGGCGCCCCCGCCGAGGACGTGTTTGAGAACGAGATCGCCGTGCTGATCGGCACGGGCATCGGCGTGACGCCGTGGGCGAGCGTGCTGAAGAACATCTACCACGAGCGGACCAAGGGTGCCCTGAAGCGCCTGCGCAGGGTCGAGTTCGTGTGGATCTGCAAGGACACGCGCGCCTTCGAGTGGTTCCAGGCCCTGCTGGCCTCGCTCGAGCAGCTCGATGCCACCGGCGCCTTCCTCAACATCCACATCTACCTGACCCAGAAGATCGACGCCGACACGGCAAACAACATCGTGCTGAACAGCGTCGGCACCGACATGGATCCCCTGACCCAGCTGAAGGGCCGCACCAACTTTGGCAGGCCCGACTTCAACAAGTTCTTGGGCGGCTTGCGCGACGGTATCACAAGCCAGGGCCCCGAGTTCATGGCCGGCTTGGAGAGCAGCCTGAAGACGACCGTGGGCGTGTATTTCTGCGGCCCCACCGTCGCTGCGAGGGATATCAAGCGCGCGTGCAAGGAGACTTCGAGTCCGGACGTGAGCTTCAAGTTCTGGAAGGAGCATTTCTAAGCGATCGGGGAATTTATGATAGTGTATACCCAGACTTGCTGTGCAGTCTCCTTTATTTCAATGATTACGAACATACGGATGATGACTTCTCACTTGGAACCAGTCGTAAAGAATGCAGAAAGAAAACTTGTACTGTCTCTTAACTTCCCCTCTAAGCTTGCTCGAGGATCTTCCTGGCCGACAGAGGCTTGATGTTGGGGAACTTGACGTTTAGCGAGGTTTTGGACGGCAGATCCCAGTCGCCAGCGACCATAATTAAGCCAATAATGGCGAAGAACTTGGCCCGCTGTTCCTTGGTTCCGAATCTATCGAAATTCTCGAAGCCTGGGATATCAGTGACATCCCCCCCTTTCCAGACGCTCCTCACTGTCGTAAGTGACGTGGAAAATGACAGGCTCATTTCCCGATCCGGGGATTGCAGCCACTTTGTTGGCAACATTGACGAATGGAGGTGGGCCTGGCATGTGGGACTTGAGGCGAGGGGTTCCGAAGTAGTCCATCAAATAGCCATTGAAGAAGAGGGTCCACTGCAGACCAGTTTTCTTCACTTCCTCAACCGCTGCATTCCGGTATGAAGCGCCTGGCACGGGGATGCCCCAATTGTTCGAGATGAAGCGTTTAGTCGACGTTGATGCGTGAGCTGCCCGTACAAGATTCATCTCGGCTCTTCCGGAAGACTCGCCGCCATACGAGCCTAGGCAAGAGACGACTGTGTCAACTTCGTTGGCCTCGAATGTCTTTTGGAGAGATTCAACATCATCGTAGTTGACATGGACATTTGCCCATCGGTCGCTTGCCTCTTGAGTACTCTCAGTACTCTATGGAGACCAATAACAGTGGAATACACCCACCTCTCGAGAAAGTACGAAGACCTTGTTCTTCGGATTTGAAGCCAGCACCTCAGCCAACGTCTTGCCGACTTCCCCCAGCAATTGCAACGTTGGTCATTCTGACTCTATTTATTAGTGGAACAAAACGCCATCCGACATGCGAGCCCTGTCGCATCTGTGCTGTCACTTACCTTTCGGGGTATAAAGCTCCGCTACGCCGCGCCGCGTGGTACGACCAATGATTTTCCGGCTGCGTCTTCGCGGCACTGCTTTACTCGCGTAGGAAACACCGGGACATAGCCGCTTCAGAATAGGCGACGTGGCCCAGGGTGAACCAGCTGCGCGGGACAGTGCGGCACAGCAATCTTGGTGGGGCATATGTAGTTTCTATAAAGCACTTGGATGTGACCCCGCGTGCTGAAATCCGTGCAGAAAAATTTCAGCAGCACTTCGAACTTCGTATCGCAAAGCATGTCCACCGAACAGGCAGCCGGCGCAATTGAGGTCGACACGGCGGCCGAGAATAACGACGATGGCTACGCCGAGTCTAGCGCGTCCAGCACGCTGACCTCGATCAAGTCCGAAATTAGAAAAGGCATGGAGGAGAATGGTAGAATATACGCCGTGTACGGCGAGAACGGTAAGTAGACGATCAGAGTAAAAGCGTACCCCCCTAATTCCGCGCAACAGAGTACGCCATGCCGGTGGACGAGCGCGAACAGGACCGGCTCGACATGCAGCACCACAAATACACGCTCCTGACGGACGACAAGCTGCACCTCGCGCCACTGCCGGCCAAGCCGCAGCGCATCCTCGACATCGGCACGGGCACGGGCATCTGGGCCATCGACATGGCCGACAAGTACACGGCGGCCGAGGTGGTGGCGACCGACATCGCGCCCGTGCAGCCGACGTGGGTGCCGCCCAACTGCTCCTTCATCCTCGAGGACTGCAACTCGCCGCAGTGGCAGTTCGCCGACGCCAGCTTCGACCTCATCCACTGCCGCGACGGCTTCATGACGGTCCGCGACTGGGCCGCCTTCGCCCGCACCGCCTTCGCCCACCTGCGGCCCGGCGGCTGGACCGAGCTGGCCTGCATGATGCCCGTGCCCGAGTGCGACGACGGCTCCATGCCGCCCGACTGCGCCTACGTCGAGGCCTGCAGCGTCTTTCGCCGCATCGGCGAGGCCATGGGCGTCGATTTCCTCGACCCGAAGCGCTACAAGCACTTCCTCGAGGACGCCGGATATGTGAATGTTGAGCAGCGCCTGTTCAAGATGCCGTCCAGTGAGTGGCCAAAGGACAAACGGCTGAAGACGATCGGCGCCCTTGAGCGGCTCAACGTGGTCGAGGGCGGCGAAGCCTTCTTGGTGAGGGGTGTCACGAAGCAGTTGGGCATGACGAGGGAGCAGATGGAGGTGCTGCTTGCGAGGATGCGGAAGGAGCTTAATTCGAATAGGATACACGCCTGGGTTCCCTTGTGAGTTCGAATATTCCGTTAGGCTGGGGGTTCGCTGCTGACCTGGGATTTAGTTATGTCGTCTACGGACAAAAACCACACGGAAACTCTTAGCCAGGTCTCAATTCCTCCACCGAATCGCACAGGGACGAGAGAAGAGACACAGATATGATGAGGGTGCCTGCAGCCAATCAGAACTCCCGCACGCCGCAATAACCCGGAGGGGAGTCAAGACAGCGCTTTTCGGGAGGTATCCCCTCATAATTCTGTCATTTTCCTCATGCAGCTCTAGGTAGTAGCCTCAAGCATAAGAGGTATAACCAAACGGACAATACTCTACACCAGCAGCATGCAAGACAACCGACGCCAATCTCTCGGGTATGAGTTTCCCTGGTTCAGCTGTTGTTATCTTTCATTCGCATTGACCAGATATCAACTCTTACCGATCAAGTGCCCATCCTGGACAGAGTATATCAATTGCTTCATATCTAAAGCGTAATGTAGCGCCTGTGAGCTCGACGTGAGCGAGGCGTGAGTCAATATCTGCTTTGTTGCTGACATCTGGTCCTTATTTGGCATGCGTCTGTAGTGGTTAAGGAAGAAGACCTTGGGACCTAAGTTTCTCGGGCATTTCCCCCCAAACTATACTCAAGTGTTTCGAAATATTTCTTCGTGAACGAGACTGCCCACGTCCCGAAGCCATTTCCAGCAACTCCATGACCTGCAATAGGGCCTGTTCCTGGCAAAGGTGGCAGTGCCTTTCTGCTGTTATTGTAAAGTATTTTGCATGGTCTGGGTGACAGTCAACGATGGTAACAGCCGGCATGTATACCTGCTGGAAGACCACACGGAGGTTGGTTGCAACATCATACTGTCTGGAGCCAGATCTTTGAGCCTCCGGTAGAGGAGGATGCTTGTATTGCATTATTAATGAGTGTGATGCGTAACTCGTTAGTCGTTACAGCGGTCTATATCCATCCCTTCGAATTTTTGAATAGCCTAAAATACCCATTATCATTACCGTACCATCATTTTTTACTCCGTCTCTCACTCTTTGAATCTCTCCGAATTGCTTCTAATTAAGAATTTATGCGCAGTGCACAACACCGTCGGCGTGCGTGTGGCACTCCTGAGTTTTTCCGTTAGCATATCAACATAGCTCAAGCAAAGCAAAGCAAACGAGAACTTACAGCGGGAGCATCGGCGGTAGTAGAGGCAGCCTCAGAGCTAGTCGACGTAGGCGTAGCAGTCTCGTCGGCAATGCAGTGGACGATGCCATCGCTGTGGGTGTGGCACTCCTGACCGGCAGCGGCGGACTCAGCAGAGACCGAGGGCGCGGGAGTGGTCGTGGGAGAAGAAGTCGGCGCCGGGGTCGAAGACGCCGAGGCAGAAGAAGACTCGGAAGCGGACGTGTCTCTGCCTGTGCAGCCCTCACCCGGCAGAGCGATGTCGTAGGCGTAGACGTCGAGGGCAAAGTACTGCAGCGTGTGCGTGTTGCGCACGGCGTCGGCGGGGTTGGTCTTGGCCAGCTCGAGGCACTCGGCGTACGTGTCGGCATAGTGCTCGACGATGGCCTCGCCGATGGCCGGCAGGTGGTACAGACGGTGGATCAGGTCGGCGGCGAAGTAGAAGTTGAGCTTGCCCGAGGCGACAGTGTAGCCGTAGCCGCACATGCCCTCGAGCGGCTTGCGCGTCTCGTAGGACAGAGAGCAAATGACGGTCTCGTCGGTTGCGTTCTCACCGCGCCAGTGGCCGCCCCAGCCTGTGCGTCTGAATGTGAGCGGGGGCATGACGAGCATCGGGGCGCGACTTACCGTCCTGGTGGCAGTTGCCGTCAATGTCATCGCAGCGGAACCAGATGCCACCGCGGTCGGCACTAACGATCCTCTCGTACCATCCAATAACCTCGCCGGTGGGTGCCTCGCCGAAGTACTTGGTGTAGAACTCCGAGCTGTTGCCAAAGCGCAGGACGTGCTCCTTGGCGTGCTGGGCCAGCTTGATGGCCTCGTTCAAACCCTTTGTGAGCAGAGCACGCTCAGTGGCGTTGCAAGAGGAATGGATGGGGTAGTCAGTCGTCGCGCCAGCAGCCCAGTCAAACGGTGTCGCGCCCGGGTTGGAGCCAGTGACGGTCTCGGTGACGGTGACGACCTCACGCCTGGCACGAGGGCTAGCTGCTGAAGCAAGCGGGTTGAAAGCCAAGGAGGCAAGGAGGGCGCTGAGGAGAGCTTGCTTCATGGTTGAGGCTGGGCGGGGGTTCGACTGGCTGAGAAGCGCTCGTGGGGAGAGGACGAGAGGTAGGGATTGTCACTGGCCCTGGAAAGCGGTTCTTTATATATTCGCCAGACAAGAGGTCACTCTCGATGCATCTTACTGAATGCTACCTTGCTGTCCTCGCCAAGGTGGCAACCGGCTTGCAAGGAAGGACGCATAGGCGTTCTCCGATGCTGGCTCCCACAAGCGAGTGGGCTGAATGACGAAAAGGTCGAAAAAGAAGCAAGTTTGCGAGTACCGGCAGACACGAGCTGCTGATGGGCAGAAAAGGCGGCCACAGCCAAGACGGAAGTCAAGTGTGCAGGCGCGGGCATCAGCACAGTTGCGGCATGGTAGGTGGAGGTTCCAAGAAGGCCAAGCCAGCGCCGGTGCCACCAACAGCATTTGCCGATTCGGCGTGTAGTCATGGTTTGTAATGGCGTCGCCGTGACACGCGAGCGCACGCTTTTGAGCCGCCTGTATAACGCATTTCCCGTTTTGGACAGGCCCGGGTACCGCGCACTCGGAGAAACACCAGCGCAGCGTAGTCGATGAAACAGTTCTGAGGAAAGGCGGAGTGGAAGTTTGCGGTTCCATGGGGCGGCTGAGAGTCAGGGCGCGAGACAAATAGCGCGGGGACTCCGGCGGGACATCAAGGTGCTCAAACCGGGGCGCCCACACACCGTAGAACCGCGATCCTGCCGGCCCTTATTGGCCACACCCACCCTCCGCTGCTAACATGTCAGCCTGGCCCCAGTTTTGCACTCCGCCTGCTCGGCGGGCTGCTTGGCGTGCCAAGACGCTCAAAGCTGCCTTGCTTTTCCGGTACGGCTTGCTCATACCTATGTCCTTAAAGTAGTCCAAGCACGTCTTTCTCGCTCTTCCTCCGCCCTTGCACCGTCTTCACCCCCAACGCAACCATGGCTCTCAGCACGAGGCTGCTGTTGCTTGCATACGGAGCCACCCTGGCCCAGTCCCAGACGGTGTTGCTGTCTGCATGCTCCCGCATTGGGAACGAAAGGCGAGCTCGAGCCTCCTTGTTTATTTTCCTTTTGGATTTACTGACCGGGAAAATTCCACAGGTGGTGTCTTGACCAAGATGGATCAAGCGTCCTCTGGACTTCTTATGCTTCGTCAACAGTTGCGTCTACCGCACCTGCTACCACTGCGGCTTCAACAACGGCTGCCACGTCTTCGAGCTCGTCCATAACAGCAGTTACCTCTTGCCATATGCACGAGACAATTCAGTACAGTCAACGCCTTCCTACATGCTTTGCCAATGCTGACCACCATTCAGGTACTGCATGGCTGGCACTTCTGAATTCCAGGTCATGAACACAGCCACCGCGACTGAAGAGCTTCCTGCGCAATACACCGGTTGTCACTCGCATGGCACCGAAATGTATGAACTTGAACTTGCAACCACCCGGTGCTGCCGAATCTAACAGACGGACAGGTACTGCTTTGACGACACGGGCGAGGAATACGTCGTTGTGCCAGAAGGTGCCGAAGCGTCCGAGGATCATGACCATGAAGAAGAATCCACCGAGAGCTCGAGTTCGAGCCAAGAGGGTCAGAACTGCCACTTCCATGCCGGCGTTGAGTAAGTGCAATTCATGTTCTTCGATCTAAGTCCAAGGAATATGCTAATCACAACCTCGAAAAGACACTGCGTGGGAGCGGGAGAATCAGAAAGCGGGGGCACGAGGTCGTGCGAGCGCACTGACAGAGAATACAACGTCCCGCTCCGAATCGGTCTCCTCTTCGTCGTTCTCGTAACAAGTGCTATTGGTATGTCCAACACCAGATCTGAATTCTCTTGCTGACAGAACTAGCTGTCTTTGCACCGATATTGCTGGGGTCGTATCTCCAGAACAGTGCCGTCAACTTCTGCTTGATGATCCTCAAGCAATTTGGCACCGGCGTCATGGTGTCAACTGCATTCATCCACGTAAGCATATCAATCGGCCTGGCAACCCGACTTCAAGCTAATGCTCTACAGCTCTTGACTCATGCCACCCTGATGCTCACGAATGAATGCATTGAATACCCGGTCGAGTACGAAGGCACAGCCGCCGCCATCATGATGGCCGGTATTTTCCTCGCTTTCCTGACCGAGTACCTTGGAGCCCGGCTGCTCTTCTGGAGGAACGACAAAAACGCCCCTGGAACCAACTCGTCCGTTAGTTCGTCAGATCACCACCACGAGACTGGCGGAGGCAGCCTTGAGAGTGGCGACAAACAGGCCCCCGCCAACACTCTCACCACACTTGCCGGTTGTGGCAACTCCCTCACCCACGTGCACCCCGGGCAGGAGAAGCTCGCCGTAACGGTCATGGAAACCGGCATTATTTTCCATTCCCTGCGTAAGCTTTCCCCCCTTCCTCCAAAATGCACCAACCAAATGCTGACAAACACGCCCTCCGGACACAGTCATCGGCCTTACCCTGGTCGTCTCCGGCGACTCCTTCTTCCTCACACTCTTCGTCGTCATCATTTTCCATCAAGCCTTCGAGGGCATCGCCCTGGGCGCACGTATCGCCGAGCTCCCTTCCCCTTCTTCTTCGCTGCTCGTCCCCGGCACCCAGCCCGTCACCATGACCACCAAGCTCGTTATGGGCGCTCTCTTTGCCCTCGTCACCCCCGTCGGCATGGCCATCGGCATCGGCGTGCTCGACCGCTTCAATGGCAACGACCCGTCCACCCTTATCGCTATCGGCACCCTCGACGCCGTGTCAGCCGGCATCCTGGCCTGGGTCGCTCTGGTCGAGATGTGGGCCGGCGATTGGATGCATGACGGCCCGTTGGCGAAGGCGGGGCTGGCGAGGACCTCGGTCGCCCTGGTGTCGCTGGTGGCCGGGATGGCGTTGATGAGTTTGCTGGGGAAGTGGGCGTGATGGGTTGCAGCCGAGAAAGGAGATGAGGAGAGGAAAGGGTTAGGATCAAGGGGGTCGGTAATGCTTAATTGATGGGAAATGACAACGGAAAAAATGGTAGGTACAGGATTTTTTATGAATGGTAGTGCTGGTTCATATGGTATGGCTATCAAGGGTGTTGGGAGAAGACGGACACTCATTCATCCCTTCGCAGTAACGAAATACTAGATACGATGCTCGGATAGATTACAAGTCTTTAAACCGAAGCCAAGGATCCTTGAAGATGCATTTTCTGCTCATGGAAGACTTTCAATGGAATTTCTCGTAGATCGCACTTATTGAAGAATTTAGCTATTGGGTAGATGGACTTTGCCTCAACGGTATCTGTTTTCCCACGACCTCAGCCGGGGGTGTTGCCATAGCCTCAACTGGTACGCTAGAGATGCACCCAACGTATCAACCAGCCACGCTAAGAAAAGGCTATGTCATCCATCCAGTTTCGGGTATCCCGAAAGAACCTGAAGACATTGCCATAGTCAAATCAGAGTTGGTCTAGTCTAGTCACGAAATATTCACATATTCGAGGCAATCAACCACTGCCCTACTTCGTTCTGCTCCGATTGACCGCCTTACCTCATGGGTTAGACTAAAGGATGAATGCGGCCCGCTCCGAACGTTAAACTTGTGGCGGTGAAACCGCCGTTCACATGGCATGTGCGAGTCAAGTGGCCATAAATAAAGACAACCGCCCATGCTCTTTGTTGAATTTCTTCTCCTTAACCCACAAATAATAGCTCGTAGAGCAAGCCAAGGACGAGGTGGCCGGGTAGGGCCCGGAAAGCGTGAAGTTGCGTGTCCGTAGTGGAAGGCTTCCAAAACATGGTTGGCTTTTCTAAAACTATTTTCAGCCATTGATCAGCAAATGCCGCGAAATTTCGAGAAGGTTGCATTGTCCTCTACGGCGAATCCAAGGCATATGTTGGTGCGAATAAGCGTGCTTGGCCGGATGCAAGGTAAGGATGCCATTGGTCAGGCTGGAGATCGGACTGCTCGGCGCGACGATCTGTTGCACGCTGCTCAGTGTCGGCCGTCTCATACAACCAGGAATGCACCTCTTGGAGCTGAGAGAAACGAAAAGGGTGTTTTGAATTCGTTTGTAAACTTGTTCTGATGCTCTTTGGAACTGTTGTGATGTGTTTCTCGACAAATGAATTCAAAGCCAGGCTGCGAGGAGTGTCGTTGGGTAAGACGTCTGTGTAACCACGATGAGACTAATCGCTAGTGAATGAATTGCATCCTTTGGAGTGCAAATCATTCTCAGTCCCACAGTTTCTCTATTTATGAGAAACTGGGCCGGGATTCAGCATTCGTCTGCAAGGAAGTAGTCTTCAAATGAGTTTTGCGAAGATCGTTTGGGTGGTGCTACAGGAATCGCTTCCGTTCGGGAAAATCTGACTGCAGCTCGGACATATTCCATCAGCCCACCAATCAGTCAACAAGATGAACAGCTCACTTTAAAATCCAAAGTCCGCTAAGGACGCGTTCGTCAGTGCAACGAATGGCATCAGCGGTTATGCCATTGTCGAGCATCTCATCCGCACGCCCAAATCGGAATGGTACCTCGCCATCAGAGTGTTTACTTTCCCCAGACTCCAATATACTACCGAGGCAATCTCCCGATGAGCTAAAATGGACCTCTTTACGGGGAAAAAATCGTCATATACTCGTGGCGGGAGCTCCCAAACTACTGCATGAATCTAGTTCCTCGCCGCCGACTTTCTCGCTCCACAAGAAGAGACGGCGGCGAGACTGATGCACGGTTGCGAGGACGTGATGCATGCCTTCCTTACCTCCTACGTGCACATCGATGATTTCTCGAAGTTGCGTGACATGAACGTGCCCCTGTTCGAGAAGTTCATCGATGTGATTGGTAAGGTCTGCCTGAAGCTGGGGATAATATACCTGCAGACCGGCGGAGGGGTTAGCATACGTGAAACAGGGAGTGCAAAAGACTGGCCGTGCTCGCAGCACTACGGCGACCATCTCGGGCCAGTCGCAGTCCCACTCACCGAAAAATTCCCGCACTACAAGGACCATGGCCTGAACTTCTACTACATTCAGGAGGATGATATGTTTGTGGTCTAGAAGTGTCGGAATGACTGGACATATAAAATCACCAGTCCGAACGGCATTGTCGGATTTATGCCTCATTGTAAGCTGGCCCTCAAAATGCGTTCGGGTATACCGTTTGACCGTCGATATGTCCGAGGCGCCCACCACGGCATTGTACTTCTCGATCTCCCGTGAACTTGATGGAATTAGCTTGTTCCCCGGCAAAGAATTCTTCTACGATTCCATCGACAACCAGTCGTACGCCCCGAGAATTGCCGACATGAGCGTCTGGACGGCGATATCGGATCACTGTGAGAACGAGGCATTCAACCACTGCAACGGAGATGTCATCGTATGGCGCTACTTCTGGCCGAGCCTGGCAAGTACTCTGGCCTCAAGGTGAGCAGAAAACCGGGAGCGGCGAATATTCACTGGCACTGCCCAGCCGATCCATGCTTCCGAGCCGCCCTTCGAGAAGACCAAGGATAGGGCCGACACCACGGCCGACGAGATCGACCTGGTCGAGTGGCGAAGGACAGCAAGCCGGTACAGGCTCGCGTCGTCGCCAAGTACGGAGGCAATCCGGAGGTATTCGACTGGGGCGGCCGGGGATTCTTTATATGGGCGATGAGCAACAATCGGATCTACGGCTAAGGCGAGGAAGGTTGAGTGGACGAGGCTGGACAAGCACGACGGGTGGATCAGGTTGTGGGCATTCTGCTCAGAGCGAGCGCCATGCTGTGCAGAACTAAAAGGGTACTTGTTACCAAATGCAGACCGGTAGCCGATAAATCCGAATTCGAGAAGTTCCACAGCAGTCTCCACGTGGTGGTGCGTAACACACGCCTTGTGCGTTGTGCGGTGCTCACAGCTGTATATCCGCAAATCCGACGGACGTCGGATTTGGCGCAGCAGTGCAAACATGGCCAATTGCCCATTTCGGAGAAGCACGATTGAAGAGTGAATCGGTCAGCGGCAGCGTCACGAGGGGTGCAGACGGAGGGGTGCTGACGTCACGTACAGAGCAGGGGTGGCTGTCCGTCTTGGCGGCAGATCTCATCACCCGTGCCTCGCAGAATTGCTGAACGGAACACAGAGGAATCACCAAGTCCGATTAGACGTCCGTCAATTCCCGCACCCTGTCAGACATCTGCTCTCGGCGATGGCAGATGCGCCAACAGCCAACCAGGATGCGTCAATATTTGATCCTCGTGTCAGCATGGACGCTGCAGGCGGAAATGCTGCCTCCACTAATCATGATACCATCATCAGACCGCTCAAGGGTCAGAGACCTGCACCGAATGTGCCAGTGCCGATATGTCCGGACTGAAGAAAATGTATAAGAAAGTGTTCGGAGTGGTGGTTGAGGCAAACCATCAAACTCTCAACTCTCTTGTCATGGCATTTCAAAACCGGAAAAACGTGGCCCTGTGGCAGGCCTGCATCGCCTTGCTCGCCTCGACTGCAGCGTCGGCCAATTCGACTCTGTTTGAGCGGGGAACGGTCATCTCATTCGACGACGCAAGCCAGAGTCTCAAGGTTCTCCGGAACACGTCGGTGCTCATAACTGGGGATAGGATCGCGGCCATTTTCGACTCCTCGCAGGATGTCACCATCCCCTCCGGCACCGAGAGGATCTCTGCGGAAGACAAAATCATCTCGCCTGGATTTGTCGACACGCACCGTCACGGTTGGCAGACAGCGTACAAGACGTTGGGCTCGAACACCACGCTTGCTGAGTACTTCTCGCGATATGGGGAGTTTACTCAGGCCTCAACCGTCTTCGGTGCCGACGATGTGTACCTGGGCCAGCTTGTGGGAATATACGAGGCGCTCAACTCGGGCGTCACGTCCATCCTCGAGCACGCCCACGCCACGTTCTCGAACGACACGTCGGCAGCGTACCTGAAGGCTTCCATGGACAGCGGGGTGCGCATGTGGTGGTGCTACGCCTTCCACGAGCTGTCCAATGGCTTCTCCATTGCGGAGCAGGTGGCCAACTTCAAGGAACTGAACCAGAACGAGCGGCTGGGCAAGAGTCTGGTCGAGATGGGCATGGCCTACGACGCATTCGCGTCTGGCTCGTCCGAGGAAATCCAGTCCATCATCGATCTCGCCAAGTACGAGCTCGTTTCCCCCCTTTTGGGCTCAGGCGGCTGACAAGACACAGAACGTCCAACATCTCGGCCTTCACGACGCACTTCCTCGGCGGGCCGTGGTTCGACGCCAACAGCCCGTCGCTCTTGCAGCAGCTCGACTTCCTCAACACGACGTTCCCAATCGTCTTCTCGCACGCCAGCTACATCAGCGCCGACGACGTGGCGCTGCTGCGGCAACACAACCACTACGTGTCGACGACGCCCGAGTCGGAGATGCACTACGGGCACGACCACGTCGACACGTCGCTGGCGCAGGACCAGGCGGCGCTGGGGGTGGACACGCACTTCACGTACTCGACCGACATGGTGGGCCAGGCGCGCATGTGGCTGCAGGCGGTGCGGCTGCAGTTCTTCCGGCGCACGCTGCAGGGGTGGCGCATCCCGACGACCAGCCCGATGAGCGTCAACCAGGCGTTCCTGCTGGCGACGCGGGCGGGCGGGCTGGCGCTGCGCAGGGACGACGTGGGGGTGCTGCGCGAGGGCGCAAAGGCCGACGTCGTCGTCTTCGACGGCTCGTCGCCCAACATGCTCGGATGGGTCGATCCCGTCGCCGCCGTCATCCTGCACTCGCACGTCGGCGACGTGCAGCACGTGCTCGTCGACGGCCAGTGGCGGAAGCGCGACGGCCGGCTGGTGCTGCCGGCGGGCCAGAACAGGACGGACATCGAGCGCAGGTTCCTGCAAAGCGCGAGGAGGATCCAGAAGGTGTGGCTGGACACGCCGCTGCCGCAGCTCGAGGGCGAGTACCAGAACGGCGTCGAGTATGCGAAGACTTATCAGATGGACGTGGTGAGGGGGAACGGCACCGGGTATTAGAAGCGGTGGTTGGAGTCATGGGAACGGTCGTCGACAGTTAAGCACATAGTCCGTAATACGTAATACTCACCAGCATATCGCATTCATGCACGCTTTCTTGGATCCGCAGGACCTGCACGTCCGATCTTTAGACAGGAGTCGTGGCTGATACTCGGCAGGGTGACTCCAGAGATCCTTTTCCTACAGTCGTTTTTGGTTTCTCGTCCGTGCCGTCGTCTGTAGGTACAACATCGGAACATGAGGGGACTTGTGGATGAACGACCAGGATAGCCGAGAGATCGTAATCCGTCCTTTCAACGGTGGATGTTCGGAAGGCTGTGGTTGTGTTGACTCGCTAAATTAAGAAGTGCTGTCTAGCGCGTGCGGGGTTCAACTTCTCACTCTCCGCCGGAGCTTTCGAGACTGGGCCGGCGGAGGACCCAAACGTCAACCCCGGCGGAATGGTAGGAAAGGCAGTCCTCAACGCGGCCGGCGGAGAGGATGCAGGGGTTCGTTGAGCTCGCAGCGCTCACGAACTGCTCAGCACCACTAGATAATGGCACATATGTATACCGGCCCGGCGCCCTCGAGGAAAAAGCGACCAATTCCTTTCAAGATGGCTTACAGCATTGCCAATCAGACCGAGACCCCCGAGGTAAGCTGGTATGATGCTGAGGATTGAGAAGAATATTGACCTTCTGAGCAACAGGTCAACGATGCCTTCGTTCTGCGTCCGGGCGGAGAATTCTACTACGAGCAACGACCCGTACCGACGGCCGTCACAGGAAGGGATGTCCTCATAAGAGTCGTAGCTACCGGCATCTGCGGGTCGGATGTGAGCACCACACCCCCATATCTCTCCCTCTGGCTGACATACGTGCAGGTCCACTACTGGCAACACGGCCGGGTCGGACCCTACGAAGTCACGCAGCCCATCGTCCTCGGCCACGAGTCGTCGGGCATCGTCGTGGCCACGGGACCGGAGGTGGGCAGCGGGCTGGCCGTGGGCGACCGCGTGGCGCTGGAGCCAGGCAGCTCGTGCAACGTGTGCAGCTACTGCCGCGCTGGCCGCTACAACCTGTGCGCCTCGATGCGCTTCGCCGCCACGCCGCCGCACGATGGCACCCTCGCCACCTTCTACACGCTGCCCGAGGAGTGCTGCTTCCGCCTGCCCGCCGCCCTGTCGTTCGAGGAGGGCGCCCTGATGGAGCCGCTGAGCGTCGCCGTCCACTGCAGCAAGCTGGCCGGCCTCGCGCCGGGCCTCTCCGTCCTCGTCTTCGGCGCCGGGCCCATCGGCCTGCTGGTCTGCGCCGTCGCCAGGGCCTTTGGCGCCGCCGCCGTGGCCGTGGCCGACATCAACGAGCCGAGGCTGGCCTTCGCCCGCGAGTATGCCGGCGTCGAGACGGTGCTGATACAGCCGGGCCAGACGGATCTGGCAGCGAAGGTCGTGGCGCAGATGGGGCTCGCCGATGGCTTCGACGTCGTCATCGAGGCCACGGGCGTCCAGTCGTGCATCGGCGAGGGCGTGTCGGCACTGAAGCGCGGCGGCACCTTTGTGCAGGCCGGCTTGGGCTCGTCGCAGGTGCACTTCCCCATCGGCCTGGTCTGCGACAAGGAGGTCAACTTCAAGGGAAGCTTCCGCTACGGGCCTGGCGACTACGCTCTTGCCATCGATCTCGTCCGCAGGGGCTCGGTCAGCGTGGCCGAGCTCATCACGCACAGATACTCGTTTTCCGAGGCCGAGAAGGCCTTTCAGGGTGTGGCCAGGCGGGAAGGGATCAAAACTATGATTTATGGGCCAGGCGTCAAGGCCGCCGATGCTTCGAGCCGGTTATGAACGGAGACAGGGGCTGGGATAGAATAAGGGATGACGTTATGATAGATCGTTGTAAAAAAAATTAGATTTTTCCCCTATCCATGTTGTTCTTCAAACGCTGCTGTTTTGAGGTTGGGGGTCCATGGCCAGGTCCGGTTTCGGTGGTCCGGTCTACTCTGTCTGCTCAGTCAGAGTTGTTACACAGACTAACAGAAGACGACAAGGCACAGGGAAGCACACTGCAGCTCACCTCCGCTAAGCCGAGCCTCAGGCGAGACAAGACGTCAACAAAGCTGGAGTAGGCGGGGAAGAAGCGGAGTTGGAGGCGGTAATTGCCTAGCGGGCGCCGTGGCCTCTTGAGATGCCGCCGGCGCTGCTCCGGCGGGTCGCGGGATCGGCCAGCTAAATACCCATGCCCCTTCGAACTTGTCTTGTGCAACCGCTCCAAAATGGATACCCGCACTGTCCCGCCGTCGAATCAGCCCCAGATGTCCTCCGCCGGAAAGGTCAGCAAGGCTTGCCAGCGCTGCCGTCGCCACAAGAGCCGCGTGCGTGACCAGCCCCGCATTTTTGCCATCCCTTGCGCTGACCACATGCCAAGTGCGACCTCTTCCGTCCATGCACTCTCTGCGTCCGCGCCGAGGCCGAGTGCGTGTCCGATTCTGGGCCCACGCAGCCGCGCGCTAAGTATATTCTCCGGTCCTAGGCTGCGGCCGCGGTAGTTGACCGGACCAGGCGGCAAAAGCTCTCGAATCCCAGCACCAATCGCCAGCCTGCAGAGTCCGCCTCGGGAGATGCCCGCACGAGCAACACCACTCGGGATGTGCCCGAGGTGGATCAACCTGCCCGGACCCCCGTGTCAGTCCGTGAAATGTCCCACGTCGACGACTATGGCGAAGCCGACTCGACCATGGGCATTACCCGCAGGGTAATTGCTCTGCCTTTAAGCTGGCCCGGTCCCGGCTGATCGAGTCCTTTGTAGATATTCCAGCTGGGGAGTCGGGACATGGACCTGAGGGTCTGCTCGGCCATCCCTGACGGAGAAAACCTCGCCCGTGGAGCCCCTCCCGCTGCTACTCGCGATGTTCGCCCCATATCTGCCATACTCGGATACTCCCTGCCATCCCGGCCTGTCGTAGAGTTCCTCCTCGAAGAGTACTTTGAGCTCGTGCACTGGTTCTCGCTGGTCATCTACGAGCCGCTGTTCCGCAAGGAGTACAACAGCGTTGCTGATGGCTTCGCCTCACCATCACAAAAGGGCTTTTTGACTCTGCTAACCATAGTCCTCGCCCTCGCTGCGTGGTACCGCTCTCAGAAGCACGTCGCCGAGGAAGCTTTCCCTGGCGAAGACTTCCGCGCCTGGAGCTCCGACCTGCTGCGCCACACGGAGCTGCAGCTGTTCGATTTGATGGACGACTGCTCGCTAACTTCGGTCCAGGTTTGCATCCTGCTGGGTTCGTACGGTGTGTACCATGGGAAGCCTAACGTCTCGTTCGCTCTGCTGGGCGCAAGCATCAAGATGGCCCAGGCCCTCCGCTTGCACAGAGAGTCCTCTCGGGGTGATCCCAGCGCCATCGAGGAGCGGAAGAGAGTGTGGTGGACCATTTACACGTGGGACAGGTAAGTGCTCCTCTTTCAGCGCCGGGCAGCCAAAACTGAATACGCGTAGGTTCGCTTCCATCACTTACGGGCGGCCCCTGGGGATCAATGAGAAAGATTGCAACGTCTCAATGCCAGCCGATGTTCTGGAGGACCCCTCCTTTAAGTACAGCGGCAGCAGCGGCGCTAATACCCTGATCCATTATTCGGCCTATCAGCGCGAGCTGAACACTCTGTACCAAATTGCTTCGCCCATGATTGAGGCCATCTTCGGTACACGTGGCGGCGAAGCAGCCTCTCAGAGCGATCGAGCTGCCATGGTCACGGAAATCGATAAGCAGCTAAGGGACTGGCACCAGCGGCTGCCCCCGCATTTAGTCCTCGACCTTAACAACGACACCCGAGTGGACAGTCTTGCAGAGGCGAGGGCGCACAGGCTCCAGGCCCTGTCCCTCCAGCTTACGTACGATAACATTGTCATTGTCCTCCACCGGCCTTTCTTCGCTCAGCAGGTGCACTACCTGACGAGAGTTCTGCCCGTGAACTTGCAAGGCTCCACGCCATCCACGTACGCGGCCGACACGCCCCAGTCCATGGTCATGCCCGGCAGCTTCAGCTCCGAGACGTGGTGGAACGCAGCGGTGAGGACCTCCCGGGTCACGGAGCTGCCCAACCTCGCCCAGCTCGCCACCGAGACCCACCTCGTCGCCTTCCTGGCCATCAACCTCTTCAACTCGGCCATTGTCATGGTCGTCTGCGCGCTTTCAGACCCTCTCTCTGACCGAGCGCAGGAAGCGAAACGGAACATCACGCGCATCTACCGCCTGCAGGAACTGCTGGGGTACCGCTCCAAGCTGCCAATGCAGAGCAGCGTCATCCTGCAGGATGTGATCCGCGTCTTGCTGAATCGAGAGGCCGAGGCCATGTTGACGTCTGTGATTATGCCGCCGGCCCAGTCGCAGCCCGAGCAGGACGCGGCTTTGAGCATGGCTTCGCACGGACGCTCGCGTACTGTCGAGGATACCTTGAGGTTGCCACTCGACATCCCTTCCACCACCGTGGAATCTGCCGGCGTCATGGGTGATACGCAGACCGAGTCTTCGCGTGAGGCTGCCCGACTGAATGGCGGCCTTGCATCTGTACAGAGGGGTACGTATTCTCTTGCGAGCTCTTCCGTGCTGGGAATGTGTAGCTAACCGTCCGGACAGTACTGCCGACTACTAGGGCCGAGTCTTTGAGTTCTGCGGCCTCACAGATGGGTCAAGCTCGCCAAGAGCTCATGCAGGGCGACTTTGAGGGCACTACCTCCCAGAAAGACCCAAATGGATACAGTGCGATAGGGTCGCCTCTGGGGAGCGCGCTACAAGGCGAAAAAGATCTATACTGGATCTGGAGTTCAGTGGCGGATTGGCCATAGCGCTTTCCACAAGTATGATCAAGTGACCCTCTGCCTAGTTCCCAACCCGCTCATGCAAGATTTGCTTGAGAATGCCACATCCTCAGCGAATGCGAGAAGTTCGGTCCGAGGAAGACCAATCGAGCCCGGCGAAATCGTCATGCTTGGCGAGAAGAGGCGCCGCCGGCCGCCATTCTGCTTGGTGTTCCGGCGGCCATGGCTGCTCTTCCGCCGGAACTCTGCGCCTGCATGCTAGAATCCCCGTGGGGATCCCGCAAGAGGCTGTTTTGGCTCAACAAGCAGGCATATATTCGAGCAGATTCCCCGCATTCTCTGGCGTTTCGAGTCTCCAGCCCTCTCTCTTCTCTGACCGAGCCTCTTTTCCTGCAACCCGTCATGGCGACCACGGAGAAAGTCGGCGAGACCACAATGGAGCGTCCGGCTCCAGGCCAGATCACCTCTACCGACAATGGGGTGAGCTGGCTGGAGCGCACTCTGAAGCCCAAGACCTACAAGCCTCGCTATCCATTCGTCGGGAAGCCTCTTTTGTGGATGACGTGCGCCTTTGGCAGCTTGGGAGATGCGCTTTTCGGTTACGATCAAGGTATGATAGCCCTGGTGCCCAAGACTGCCATGTCCATTAACATCGTGATTAGGTATCATGGCTGGCCTCCTGGTGAACCCCGTCTTTGTGAAGCGCTTCTTCTCTGAGCACGGAGGAATGTACGGCAAGCACGGGGATGTCGACCCGTCCATCACCGGCATCACCGTTGCTTGTCTCCAGGCATCTGCAGCAATTGGATCTCTGATCGCAGGCCGATTAGGAGACATCATCGGCAGGAAGAAGTGCGTCCGCATCGGTGCCTTCCTCTACTTCATCTGCGCCTTCATCCAGGGGTTTGCCCCCAATCTCGCCTGCTTCATCGCCGGCCGCACAATCCAGGGTCTCGCGGTTGGCTTCTTGTCCATGACCGTCCCCGTCATCCAGACCGAAATCGCTGCGCCGCATCGCCGTGGTCTCATGGTCGGCATCGAATACACGTTCTTGATCGGAGGATACGCGCTGTCGTGCTGGGTAGACTACGGATTTTACTTCGCATTGCCCAGCAATGTCTCCTGGCAGGGTCCATACTTCGTGCAGATGGGCATCGCTTTCGTCTTGTTCTCCATGTCTTTCTTCCTCCCCGAGACTCCCCGTTGGCTTGCGCGCAACGGCTTCGCTGAAGAAAGTCTGCAAACCCTCGCCGATCTCCACGCCGACGGCAATATCAACGACCGCCACGTTCAGCACGTTTTCCTAGAGGTTCAGGAGGCTGTACGCTATGAGTCGACTCTCGGACAATGTTCCTGGCTGGTAAGCCCCTTGCGACACCACAGCCCACAGCCAGCTAACGCAAGCACCAGGAAATGTTCACCCGCTACAAGAAGCGCACCTTCGTCGGAATCACCGTTCAGGCCTTTGCCCAGCTCAACGGCATCAACGTCGTCTCATTCTACCTTCCCAGCGTGCTGGCCAAGGCCGGCTACTCAGACGAAAAATCCCTACTCTACACCGCCGGCAACTCGGTCCCGTACGTCGCCGCCACCATCAGCGCCTGGTTCCTCATGGACCGGTGGGGAAGACGTCCGCTGCTCATGCTGGGAGGCGTGCTCATGGCTGTTATGCTGAGCATTGTGTGCGTGTTCACCGAGGCGAAGCTTGACATCGTGACCAAGGCAAACGGGCTATACGCCTTCGTACTGCTCTACAACGTCATCTACGGCTTCACCTGGGGCCCCGTACCGTGGCTGCTGCCAGCGGAAGTGTTTCCGTTGCGTAGCCGCAGCAAGGGGATGGCCCTGGCCACTTGTAGCAACTGGACCTTCAACTTCATCATCGGAATGTCCTCGCCAGACGCCTTTGCCGGCATTTCCGGCTACTACTACGTAGTCATCGCCGGCTTCTGCCTCTTTTCGGCGGGCCTGGCCAAGTTCTGCTACGTGGAGACGGCGAACCATACGCTGGAGGAGATTGCGACGGCGTTTGGTGATAAGGCCTTTGCGTTGGATGATGAGCAGGTCATGCAAGGCGTTGTCCCTAACGGAGACGAGAAGGCTTGAAGGCCGATTGAGATGAGGAGTGCGGGGCCAGAGGATGGTTGGTCACGAAATAAAGTTGTTTCTGATGAGATGAAATGTGCTCCGTACCGTTGTAGCCAAAATAATGAGTTCCTATCTACCGAGGGCCCCGTACACTACTATTATTGATCGCTTGTCTCTCATTCATTAGTCTTTGAAGCAGCACATCGTTTCTTCGGATCGATTTCACATTCTGAAGTTTTGGAAATGGTGATCAAACTAAGAGCTGCGATCATGTTCAGGACTTCCACCAAGTAATTCAAACAAGCTCAAGTAAATCTTGGTGTTGAACTGCAGGTAATCTGGCGGCCGCTTGAACTACTTACCTTTTTCTTGGCGCTTGATTTACTTGATACTAGTTTACCCAGTTAAACTGGTTCGTACCACCTACCACATTTGGCTTAGCTATTACTATTATGGGTATCTTCGGGACTCGGTAGTAAAACGATCGGGGTTACTTATAACGTATGTAGTATCCGAATAGAATTAGCGCTAGCTAAAACAGCTGCTTCCGCCCGCGCGGACTTAACACCACTCCTTACGATTCTTAAGTAACCTCTTATTTTATATATGACTACTAAATATATCAGTTTAACGTATGTTTTTATCGTAAAAATGCTCCGCGTAGCGTTCTTAGGTATTCTACCGCTTTAAAAGTATATTTTAGCGACTAAATTACTTGAATTACCTGGTATTTTACAGCCGTAAAATTGATTTACCAAGCGGGGCCAAAACTGTATAGGTAAAATGAAATCATTATTTGAATTGCTGGAAGTTCTGATCATGTTCGGAGCAGTGGTAAATTTGAATTTATGTCTGGTACCTCCTATTAGCCTCTTATTCGTTTCTTATACGTCTCCAGCATTCGAAATGCCACATGTATGAGTATTGCTGCTGGGCAAAGGGTTGTATTTGTGAAATGTTGCGGAATAAGCCTTTTTTCCTCTGTTGATTCCAAGTTTTTCAGGCAGTTGGAAGGACCCAGAGTTCCGGGTGTAAGCAACCTTTATAGAAACTATTCAGCGTTTAGAAAGACTTGTTCATGATGAGAGCTTTGTAACCCGCATGACCCGACATAATGGTAGTTCTTTCTGTTTAAAGGGATCCAATGAGAATAAGGGCATTGACTGTGGTAGTGTTGTTGCCAAGCAGCGCCATGCCTGTGGAGATACTATCCTGAGTCCGTAGTTGTGCCGGTAGAGCGGCAATTATGGTAGCTTGGCAATTACTGATTCCGCTGCCTAAAATGGATTGAGCCCACAGCGCTCATAGAATGCTTTGTAAGCCTTAAGTCCAGCCGCGTTATCTGAATCCTGGGTTATGCCAATAGTGAGTCATCGGACAGAATATTAGCATGCCTATCTGTCAGGATCTTCATTTGAGACCAATTTGGACCTTTCTTAGTCAACTTGACCGAATCATCAGATGATTTCCTCGATAGTCACACCATCACCAAAGGAAGCCTTCGAGATGGAGCTTCACACAAGCAAAGAAGCACCGGCGAGAGGCGATATCGCCGATTACCCCGCAGCATTTGCGCAAGAAGCCGAGCTTGCGGAAGGCCCCCAATATGGAGACGGCTGCCAGATTGACCTGCAAAGGCGCTTGCAGCGGCATGGATCAAGTGGCCGAAGCAACTAGGTAGGGCCAGGCGAAGAAAGTGCGGGGTTGAAGGGGCCAGTGGGTCTGTTCGAGAGGGCTAGCGACGCAACGGATAACGGGACCGAAATACTCTATCTGTACAACACTTCCGTACGATGTTCGACGAGCGTATCTGTGAAGTCATGTAGTGCCGGTAGTTGTCCCTATTGGCTGCTCGGAAGATCCGAATGGACGATGATGGTTAGCGTAGTCGGGGGAGGTCCGATGCACCATACAGTGTCCTAGAACTGATACCGGGAGGGTGACCGATGCATCTCCAAGCGATAGTAAATGCGGGGAAGAGCTACCACATGGCTTGACAGGGAGGGGCATTTGATATTCAGAGTCGTAGTCGCCTGTTGGTTGTAGAGCATTCACGACCACAGTCTCCTTTATCCCCACGAAATGGCAAATTCATCCATTGCAAGGACGCCCACGACGAGATTACTGAGGATTCGAGGATCACAGCAAAGACCATGCATCTTAAGAAGAATCGCAACGGTCAGCACGCAGCGTTATGACTCGATCCCGCAGAAAGAGGCAAGCAAGCAAGGCAGCGAAGCAGCGACGGAAAGTCCTCTCCCGCCGCTGTCTGGGCTGCCGACAAGCATGCTCCTCAGATCGGTCTGCATCAACGCTGTATCCTCCAAACCGCTCCTCCTCACGCCCTCTCTTTCCATCCTGTCGGCGCTCTGCAAGCCGAGAAGAAGTTCCCTCTTGAACGTCGACCGGAATCCACTGTTCCATGCCATCTTGAAGGGGACATTCTACAAGCAGTTTTGCGCCGGGGAAAGTGGAGCCGAGGTCACAAGGACGATGCGGCGGCTGCGAGAAATCGGGTTCCGCGGCACCATCCTCACATACGCAAAAGAGACAGTCTTCGACCACCGCACAAACACGCAGCATGGACTGGGGGTGGCGGCAAAAGAGGAGGGAAAGACCAAAACCTGCGAGAACATTGCAGCATGGCGGGAAGGCACGCTCAAGACGGTTGATCTGCTGGAGGAAGGCGACCAGCTCGCGCTCAAGTAGGTCCAGCCGTATACATGCCGGCAAGGGAAGCCGAGGATGCTAACATTGACGCACCAGGATGACGGGCGCCGGGCCCCTGGTCAACGAGCGCTTCACGGCAGGCGATCTCCCGCCGGCGCAGATGATGGACGCGCTGGACGAGATCGCGCGGCGGTGCCGTGACCGCGGAGCGCGCATCCTCATCGACGCCGAGTCGCAGCACTTCCAGGCGGGCATCGAGCGGGTGGGCGTGGAGCTGATGCGCAAGTACAACACGACGCCGGGCTATGCTCTCATCTATAACACGTACCAGGCGTATCTGAAGAGCACGCCGGGGCGGCTGGCAAAGCAGCTGGCACTGGCGGCCGACGAGGGCTGGACATTGGGCCTCAAGCTCGTGCGCGGGGCGTACATGGCGTCGGACGAGCGGGCGCTGATCCACGACACGAAGCAGGCGACGGACGCGGCCTACAACGCCATCGCCCAGGGCGCGCTGCGCCAGCACATCGGCGACTTCGGCAGCACCCGCGCCTTCCCGTCGGTCAACCTGATCCTGGCCAGCCACAACCGCGACAGCGTGCTGGCCGCCCACGAGCTGCACCGCCAGCGCGTCGCCGCCGGCCTGCCCACCGTGCCCGTTGCCTTCGCCCAGCTGCACGGCATGTCGGACGAGGTCAGCTTCGGCCTGCTGCAGCTGAAGGCCGAGGGCCAGGGCCCCGAGGTGTACAAGTGCTCGACGTGGGGCAGCTTGGGTGAGTGCCTGGCCTATCTGACGCGGAGGGCGGCCGAGAATCGCGACGCGGCGGGCAGGACAGCCGACGAGTATGCGGCGCTGAAGACCGAGGTGGGGAGGAGGCTGAGGGCGGCGCTGTCGCCTTCCCGGTGGTTCGGCGGCGCGAGATAAAGATTGGAAGGAAGTCGGATGCAATCCCGGTCCGCCTGAGGCTGCACGTGATTTTGGCGGGGTTGGGTTAGTACTTAGCGATGCGCTCATGAACGTCTCTTGCAACTGTCTTTCTAGCATTATACAAACATTCAAACCATTTCTGTTCAGTTTAATCATGGCCGAGGTGAAAAGTGGCTCTACGCTTTGCATTCTGGGCTGCGGTAGGCACGCCGAACGCCGACTCCAAAGCGACTGACACTCACGACGTCCCGAACAGGCAATCTAGGCAAGGCCATTCTCACGAGCTTGATCGAGGCAGCCCCGAATGATGCTGGGGCATTACCCTTCACGCACTTCATCGCCTGTGTGCGGAGCGAGAAGTCGGAACAAGCCTTGAAGGAGCGCTTTTCCCAAAACTCTCACAAATTAAGCATATCCAGAGGCAACAACACCAAAGCCCTGCAGGAATCCGACGTCGTCATCCTGGGCGCGGACCCGGCCGACATCGAGACGGTGTTGACGCAGCCCGGCGTCAGCGACGCGCTCGCCAACAAACTGCTGATCAGCGTCGTGGCCGGCTGGACACGCGCGAAGCTCGAGACGACCCTCTACGGCAGCGAGACGACGGCCAGCAACCAGCAGCAGCCAGACGGCAGCCGCCGCGCGTGGGTGGTGCGCACGCTGCCGAACATCGCGGCGCTGGTGTCGCAGTCGCTCACTGCCATCGAGATCTCAGAGCCCGCCCTGCCCGATGCCCACCTCAGCCTTGTCGAGGCCGTCTTCCAGCGCATCGGCCGCACCGTGCGCATCGCCCCGAAGCTCATGGACGCGACCACGGCGGTCGCGGGGTCGACGCCCGCCTTCTTCGCTGTCATTTGCGACGCCTTGGTCGATGCGAGCGTGGCCGTCGGCATGCCCCGCGACGCCGCCAGCGCCATGATCTTCCAGTCCATGCAAGGTACCGCTGCCATGCTGCAGAATGGCGTGCATCCCGGCTTGCTGAAGGATCAGGGCACCTCGCCCGAGGGCTGCACGATTGGTGGGTTGATGGTGATGGAGGAGGCGGGCGTGAGGGGCCACATGGGGCGGGCGCTGCGTGAGGCTGTCACGGTTGCGAGGCTGATGGGGAAGACCGAACATGTAAATGACACAAGACAGTAGGGTAACTGAATCTTGCAAGTGTTGTACTGCTTCGAGCAGTTTTGACTTTACACCGCAATGGCCGAGTCGCCGGGTGCTTTCGGCGTGTGAATGTTCAGTGGCTCTTTCCTCGAGCGGCCATGTCGAAAAACGCAAGAGCCTGCAATCTATTTCATTATTCACTCCGACCCAGACATCAAAAGCGTCATCCACGCTCTGCTCACTCAGCCCCCAGCTTTCCATGCAAGAACCACCGCACTTCCCTATTAGTGAGCAATCCCAGCCCGAAGGCCGGGATGATTCGAACGCAGCGCACAGCCGTCGCGGCCGGCATGACTCTCCAAATCCCCGCAAGCCTATCTGAAAGGGCCACTTTTCCAGATCGGTCGTACAGACTGAGGCCGAGCAGATGCACCGGGGTTGCCACCAATTGCGATACGACGGGCACCGTCATCTGCGTAAACGTCGCCTTGGCGTGCGGACCAGCAACGTCATCGGGAATCGACGCCGCGACGCGCGGAGGAAGCACGAAGGATCCGAAGATGGTCAGCGCGTCGCGAATCAGGAACGTGATGGTGGCCGCCTTCGGGACCGCTGCCGATGTGGGGGTTTTGATTGCGCCTTTGGCCGCCAGCTCGGCTGCGCTCCCGTAGCACTGCGCGAACCGCAGATCCTTCTTGACTCCCAGCGGGATGTTGACTGCGAGCGTCGACGCGAATACGATAGTGCCGGCCGCCGCTATCCCGAGGTCCTTCGTGATGCTTTCGGCGCCGTTGGCTACCGCGTACGTCGCGGCGTAGAGTGTCCAGACGGAGGCAAACGGTCGCGCCAGGAAGAGGTTCCTCGGTCGCTCCAGAGCAGTGAGGGTGTGAGCGCGCAGCCCACGGATAAGTGGTTTGTTGCTCGACGCCTTTTCGACCACCACTCTAATGGCACAAGGTTAGCACATTCCTGACCCAATGCAGCGCTACTTGCCTGTCAATGAGCGTCACCGACGGAGCCACCAATGTTGCTGTGAATGCCGCCGCGCAGAAGTCCCCAAACAACTTGCCCCCAAGAAATTGCCGGCCATGGAGGCCATACTGCTCGCTCGAGAAGCTTTCGATTTCTTGTTGCGCCATGAAGCCTGTCGACCGTTTCTCACCGTCGAGGTGCAGCACGTCAATAGACCATTATGGTGACCCTGGTCGGATTCCTTCCCGACCGAGCGACACCAGCTATCTACCCTTTTTGGCAACCAAATGCGGTGCTGAAGTGCGGGGATATCCTGCAGTATGCTCTCTCGGGAGAGCTCCCGGATCCCGGCGTCATCCACGCCTTGCCGGTGATCTCATCCATGCAATGAGCAATGCGGGGCAGCTGGCCTCCGATAAAACATGTGCTTTTGCACTTCAAGCTGTCTTCGCCTTGCATTCTTCCTGTAATTATCCCTCGTCCAATACAATGGCTGTATCCTGGAAGCTCGCATCCAATTCTGTTCGGCCGTCGCCGGCATTGCTGAGGCCTTCGCGCGCCATTCCCACCGGGATCCGTCTTCAACAACGGACCAAGGCAACCGCTCCATTCAGATTACCCGACCCTCGCAATGAGCCCAATGTAAGCAATTTGTTGTCCGGAGTGGAAAGCCAACATATACTGATGCGAATTGAATCGTAGCCTGCCTATACGAGGGGCTCGCCCGAGCGGTTGAAGGTGGAAGAGGCATTGACAAAGCTCCGGTCGCAGCTGCCAGTGCAAAGCGACATTTACTACAACGGCAAATCGCAACAATCATCGAAATCTTGGGACCAGGTCCTGCCATCCGAACACGCCACCACCTTCACCAACTATCCTCTAGCGTCTCGAGAGCAAGTCTCAGCTGCCATTGAGTCTGCGCTCAAGGCGAAGAAGGATTGGGAAGAGACACCGTTCGTCGACAAGGCCGCCATCTTCCAGAAGGCAGCCGAGTTGGTCACGGGAAAGTACAGATATGAGCTCATTGCAGCCACGATGCTTGGCCAGGGCAAGAACATCTGGCAGGGTGAAATTGACGCCGCCGCCGAGTTGGCAGATTTCTTCCGTCTGAACTGCAACTACGCCGCTGAGTTGCTCGAGAGGCAGCCCACCCGCGGAACCAATGGCATGTGGAGGTATGTGCATACACAAACTGAGCTTGTAGATGGTAAATGCTAACACTTGACACAGCCGCATGGAGTACAGGCCTCTGGAGGGTTTCGTTTACGCTGTCTCGCCATTCAACTTCACCGCACTCGGTGGTAGCTTAGTGTCTGGCCCTGCGCTGATGGGCAACGTGGTCCTGTGGAAGCCCTCGCAGTACAACATCTATGCTAGCACCATCGTGTACAAGATCTTGCTCGAGGCTGGCCTGCCACCGGATGTTGTCCAATTCGTACCCGGCGATGCCGAAGAAGTCACGGACGTCGCCCTCTCCCACAAGGACTTCGCCGGCCTGAACTTCATCGGCTCCTCGGACGTGTTCCGGTCCATCTATGCTCGCATTGGCGAGGGCATCGGCAAGAAGACGTACCGCGAGTTCCCCCGCGTTGTCGGCGAGACGAGCGGCAAGAACTTCCACCTCCTCCACAACACCGCCGACGTACCCAGCGCCGTGAACCACACCATCCGCGGCGCCTTCGAGTACCAGGGCCAGAAGTGCTCGGCCACCTCTCGCGTCTACGTTCCCCAGTCCCGCTCGGAAGAGTTCCTGTCGCTCCTCAAGAAGGGCATCAACGAGATTACTATCGGCAGCCCGGACAAGGACCTCGAGGCCTTCATGGGTCCCGTCATCCACAAGCGTTCCTTCGACAAGATCAAGTCCATCATCGATGAGAGCAACAAGGACAAGGACCTGAAGCTGATCACCGGCGGCACCTACGACGAGTCGGTCGGCTACTACGTCAACCCCACCGTCTACCAGGCCAAGTCTCCAGACCACAAACTATTCAACGAAGAAATTTTCGGCCCCGTGCTGGCTGTCTACGTCTACCCGGATGCCGAGTGGACCAACATACTCCAGAGCGTCGATCAGAACGGCGGCGGCCTCGCCCTGACTGGCGCCGTGTTCGCCCAGAACCGTAGTGTCATTCGCCAGGCCGAAGACGCGCTCCGCTACTCTGCCGGTAACTTCTACATCAGTAAGTTTCCCTATGACGGTAACCATTGTTGAAAAAGCTAACATGACTGTGCTTAGACTGCAAGACGACTGCGGCGCTGATCGGCCAGCAATCCTTCGGTGGTGCTCGGTCTAGTGGTACTAACGACAAGGCGGGCAGCTCTGACATCCTGCGCCGCTTCACTAGTCCTCGAATGATCAAGGAGGAGTTCTTCCCGCAGACTACGTTCAAGTACCCCAGCAACCACTAGTAGAAGTACGGCATGAGTAAACGGATGGGTTGTATTAAAAAGGGAATGGATATTATTCAATGAAATCAGAGTGCATTTATGTAATTGGGCTGCCTGTTGTGCTGTTGCTTCTATTCTGCGGTTTCATTCAGCTATTCAATCGAGCACGACGAGTCTGCCAATCCCTTGTTTTCGAAATCAGTGTGAAGATGCAGAATTGAAATTACGCACCTTACTCTCAGTGGTTTTGCGAGCCCATGAACTCCAATCCCTGTTGAGAATGATACATGCAGCGTATGACAGAAGCTCGTCGGGTAGGAGTCTGGTTTGGGTCTCGCCGGGTGGGTGCGGCGTGCGGGAATTCTAATTGGCTCTGCCGCTCCAACGTCAGATACCGAATGCTCCGCTGCAGCTCCCGCGGATATGCGTACTATCTTCCACTTTGATATCATGCCGGGGTAGAATCCGGTAATCGGACCCGAATGTGGCGTGAGTGCTGCGGGGTGACTGACTTGGGTAGCATGGAGCGGGGGTGTTTAGTCTCACCGGGACGTCTCCCGAGTTATCTCTGCTTCCCCGCAGCTCAACCCGGGATCTAGTTTCTGATCCCGACTCGCGGGGACCACGCGATATGGTGATCCCGCTGTGGCATGGCGAGCATGCGGCGACCGTGCTGGGAATTCCGGAGTGTGCACTTATATGTCAATGTGCACCCAGTTGCGATAAGGAGTCAGTAATATTCCCGATACGTCATCTTAACCATGGACCGCAACGAGCCTATCATTGTTGTCGGAGCCGGCGCATTCGGCTTATCGACGGTATTCCACCTGTCGCAGGCGGGCTATACCAACATCTCCGTCTTTGAGCAGGACAGCCAGGTCCCTCCCCGCCAATCAGCCGCCAACGACATCAACAAGATCGTGAGAGCTGAATATGAAGATCCGTTCTACACCGAATTGACTGTGGTATGTCCAATGAGTCTTCACTTCCGGATCTTCTGTGATAATCGAAAGATTCACTGACCTCCGGCCTCTAGAAAGCCATTGCCGCGTGGAAAACACCCCTCTTTGCCCCACACTTCCACCAGACCGGCTTCCTGCACTGCGTCTCGGGAGCGGCACCAGACAAGGCGCTGGGCACGCTCAAGCGCTTCCAAGCGGCGGCTGAGAGCCACTCTCGCATCAAAAAGCACCTCGTCCCCATCGACAGCGACAATGACATCCGGCAGCTGTTCTGGCAGTACGAAAACGCGCCGCTGACGGGCTGGCACGGCTACCTGAACCGCTTCGACGGCTACGCGCACTCGGGCGCCGCGCTGCAGGGCATCCACCGCGCAACGGCGGCCCGCGGTGTGCGCTACTTCCTCGGGGCGCGCGTGGCCGAGATCGTGTACGACAGGGACAGCAAGAGGGCGGTCGGCGTGCGCACCGCCGACGGCACCATCCACGCCGCCAAGCGCATCATCGTCGCCTGCGGCGCCGCGGCGGCCAAGCTGGTGCCGGCAGCCGGACGGCAGCTGGGGGTCGTGGCGAAGAGCTGGAGCGTGGCCCACGTGCGGCTGACGGACGACGAGACGTCGGCCCTGCGCGGCATCCCCGTCACCTACGCCCGCGACCTGGGCTTCTTCTTCGAGCCCGACCCGCGCACCAACCTGCTCAAGCTGTGCCCCATGGGCGGCGGCTACGTCAACACCGACCCCCGCTCCGGCGTCTCGCTGGCGCCCACCGTCGAGGACAGCGCCTTCATGCCGCCCGACGACGAGAAGAAGGTCCGCGAGCTCCTGCGCCAGACGCTGCCGGCGCTGGCTGACAGGCCGCTCGTGCAGAAGAGCCTGTGCTGGTTTGCCGACACGAGCGACTCGGATTTCATCATCGATTACGTGCCCGGGACCGACCGGTCCGTGGTGCTGTTGTCCGGGGACTCGGGACATGGCTTCAAGATGTTCCCGATATTCGGGGAGTGGGTGCGGGATCTGTTCGAGGCCCGCGATGGGCGCCAGCCCGTGGCCCAGTGGAGGTGGAAGGAGAAGAAGCCGGAGAAGGATAGTAATTGGGGAGGAGATGTGAGCTGGAGACTTGGAGAGACCAAGGAGTTCTCTGAGATCAGGCCCTCGAGGGAGTCAAAGCTCTGAACAAATAGTCATAGCTCACTTAAATGTCATGTCTTGATGTCCTTGAAAATATTCTGTCACTTGCACGTATTTGACAATGTAAAGTCGCGGCGAGTTGTTCACTGAGAAGACGTGCATGCCATCTTGCCGAGACAGCTGCCTGGACTTTTTCGCCCCGCACATGCAAGAGGTGCCTGGTTGTCACAAGGCTATGGCGTCGCCGCCCATGCTCTCTGAGTTTACAACTACAAGTTCGAAAGTGTAAAAAGGAAACCCAAACAGAAACCTCGCTATGCATTACAAAGGACCCTCCAATCTACCAGATGCTGTGCTCTAGAATTTCATGAGACATCCACTCGTTATCTCCGCTGTCAATCGCATTTACCGTGTCCATAATTTGGGCACCCGCCAAACCACCGTCGAAGCATATTTCATCAAGGATGCCAGAAATGGGAGAAGGTAAAATGTTGCCTCCAACACACTGTGCCGCTGCCTGCTGCATGGAAGCCCCGAGCTGCACTTCGGGCGGCGGGTGACCCTGAAGCGCGTCCTGCTGAGGGTTGAAGGAATTGGACGCGCGACGAGAATGCATCTGCGACAGCTGACAGAGCATGCTGTCTAGCTTCCGCAGCTCGACAATCCGATACTCGGCAACCACATTTCCAGCTCCGGCCATCTCATCGAAGATTGCGTATGCTTTGTCCAGCCACGTCGCACGGTTGCCAACCAGCTGCGGGTCAAGTGAAGGAGCCAGTAGGATGTTTACCGTCGATACAGAGATGGCCTCGAGGTCGAAGGGTAGAAAAGTTTCTGCGGTCAATGGTGAGCCCATCTGTTTTTACCAAGATGTGAATGTCTGAGCTCACCCAACAAATGCTGCGCTCTAACGCAGCTCAGGATGCTGATCATTTGCTGAGAAGAATCCATACACATCTTCGCCAAGTTCAAGGTGGTCTGGGAGGAATGTAGGGTGATCCGGTCTGATCCTGAACTCTCAAAGCGGATCTTCAGGAAACAAAACAATAGTGGCCGTGTTGCAAGAACGATGCACTAAATCAGAAATGTCAACCCTTCACTCTTCTCGAAAACACGAATGCAAAACCACATTGCAACACTTACTTGATGATAGAGTAGATGTAAGTAAGCGTATGTCCGCGAAATTCCGCTGATAGCGTTGCCCAATTGTAGTGGGAATGAATCCCGAAGTTCGTCGGCAAGATGTGCGATGCTGGCGAGGACCTCCTTTGTGCTGAGCAGAAACTTGCTGTTGAGCCGGCCATCGGCCCCGTAGACGCCTGCAATGACTGCGGTTAGACACGGGAAGCGTGGACGATCCGATTTACTCACCCCTGTTGATACGGGCGATAGCCCGAGACAGCTTGATTTGCATGCTGAGGGCTGCAGTCCTCTGGATGGAGCCTGAGAAAGTTGGAAGATCGGGATGAACGTCGTCGTCGTGGATGGACTGAGGAAGACCCATCAAGGATGTCATTTCTCGGTCCAAAACATATGTTGTCCACCAGGCTCTGCGGCATCTTTCGACGTGAGCCTCTCCGAGATGGCGTACTGGCATATCGGTGTGCATGCCATGGCAGAGTGCAATCCTCATGGCTTGTCCAATCTTGGCATTCATTAGATTGGACTATGAGTTTGGGACCTGCAGACTTACATAGTTGTGCGCCGCATCTCGGTAGTCCAAGCACTGGAGGTACAAAGAAATGGAACAGAGAATTTCCGTGGAGACCAACGGCCGTCTCTCCAGTACGATTGTATTCGGTAGCAGTTGGACGGCTTTTACAAAGTAATCGGTACCAGGGGGCCGCTTTCCTTGGTTCCTCTGAGTGGTGAATGCTTTACCAAAAGCAAGGATAATTAAAAAGTGGATGTACCATAGATCGGCCTCGGCAATCTTGTGGGTAGGATCCGAATAGAAGTCGTATAAACTGTCCATAAAGGACATCTCGTCGAACAGATGGAACATTTGTCCACAGTGGAACTTGACAGCATTGATTAGGTAGATGGCGTAGTCGAGTGTTGGTAGGGAAGGAGTCTCCAGATCTGCTGCCGTCCGACGGTCGTTCCAATTCAGGTCGTATGCCGCTCCATCGAAGAGAAGAGTTGTGTTGGGGACGCAGGTCTGGTGTACGTATTGGTGTGTCATGCACAGAAGGCGGCGAGTGAATGACCAATTCGACGAGGTTCCGAGATAGACTAGATTGCCGTCAGATAAGTCAGATTGATAGCAGAGGCAGTAAAGACGTACATGTTCTCCCATCGCTGGCTGCCATGAAAGTGGAAGGGCCGGTGGATAGCGGATTTGTCAAAGTAGAGGCCACGAGATCGGAACGCGAGCCGGAGCGGGTGCTTTGATCATTTACCGGGGCAGCTACAGACTCGTTTGCTCCTTCAGACCCGTCGTCGGAATCGGCTGCAACAGAATTAGCTTTGGTTGATAACATAGACATGGGCGAGATAGAGACAAACCACCGTCGGATGCTCCATCGGGATCTTGGCTGGCACACACGGAGGCGGGGGTGCCACATTCTGCACCACTACGGCGCTTCCAGGCTTCGATCTTGCGCTCCAGGTCAATAATATACCTGGTTGTAGTTAGCAGGTATTGGTCAACATCAGAGTAAAGGCAGGCTACCCTCGGGTGACGAGGATTTTTTGGTCCCGTTCGTCAAAATCGCAGGATAGTTTGCGTTTGCTACAAGCTTCACAGGGCTGCGAGCCGGAGCATTTGATCTTCTGGCGGCGGCATCTCACGCAACTGAGTTCAAAGTTAACTGGATGATTCAGGGCCGGGCCGTTGCGGATGTGACGTACGCGTTGCAGGAGCGTCGCTTTGTAACTCGACCTCTGGCATTTCCTGGGTCCGCTGGACCTTCGGGCATCCTAGACTGCCTGGACTGAGGAGGCATGGCAGCCTGAGTGCAGTTGATGGGGTGACCAAGCGCTGTGGACAAGGCCTCGCTGCTGCCTCTCTCTTCTTATCTCGTGATGTGGATCTGCAGCCGAAATGCGGGGTAAAAACCAGCGGCTTTAGGCCGCATCGGGCCTATCACGGTTGCTACCGAGATAAACCCTCGTCCACGTACTGTCCACGCGGCAGTGCTGATAAAGGAAACGAAATCCGCAAGTGTCCAGATGCTTCTGCTCTGTCCTGTTCTCTGTTGCATTTGTCACAATGGGCGAAAGGGCTCAACGAGTGTCAACGACGTTGGTTGTAGTCATCGATAAGATAACTATTTTTGACTAGTCCTTCCGACATGTTCCTATCAAGCTGGCTGAAACATCTAACGTCTCTACATGAAAATCAACAACCATCTCCTACAACAGAGACCGACCAGCCTGCGAAGCCTGTTCAATCTTTCCGACCTCGGCCATGATCTCCTCAACCGCCTTCTTTGCCGCCGGTCCGACTTCGTCATACGGGGCTCTGGGCTTCAGCTTCTCCACCGCACCTTCAATGCCCGCCAGCCTGGCCGAGTACCGCGCCACGGCGTACTTGGTCGCCGCAATGCCGCTCTTGCACGGGCTCTCGGCCAACGACGTCTTCTTCTGCAGCTTCATGGCCTCCTCGACCCGTCCCTGCTTGTATAGTTCGTAGACCTTCACCGTGGTCCGGGGGAAAACGTTGGCAAAGGCACCGATGCAACCCGCGCTGCCGGCAGCCAGGCCACCGATCAGGAAGTCTGCCTGGCCGCCAAAGGTCGCGAACTCGTCGGGGCTGAAGGTGGCGGCTAGGCGGGTGATCTTAGCGACGGAGCCGCACGTCAGCTTGACGCCAACGACGTTAGAGCGGCCGGACGGGCTGGCGGCGGCGCTGGCGCGCACGATGGCCGTGATGGTCTCCGAGTCGATGTCGACGCCGTTGCAGACGCCCGGGAAGTTGTAGACGACGACGGGCAGCGGCGCCTTGGCCGCGACCTCGGCGAAGAAGGTCTTGACGACGCCCATGGTCGTCGCCTTGCCGAAGTAGGCGGGCGGCAGCACGAGCAGGTAGTCGGCGCCCGCGTCCTTGGCGTCGCGCGCCAGCTCGAGCGTCTGCTTGGTCGAGTGCGCGCCCACGCCCGCCATCAGCGGGTACCCGGGTCCCACAGCCGCCCGCGCCGCCCGGATCACTTGCGCCCGCTCCTCGCGCGTCAGCAGGAACGCCTCGGAGTTGGTGCCGAGCACCACGATGCCCGTCAGCCCAGACTGCGCTAGGTACGCAAAGTACCGCGACTGCGCCGCCAGGTCGACCGTGTCGCTTGCGTGGTCGAAGAAGGTGACCGCCGGGCACCACACGCCTGCTGGCGGGACGTGTGGGAGAGAGGATGACGAGGCGGTTCTGGATCCCATGGTGGGCGGATTGTTGGAGGATGGAATGGACAGAATAATCGCGGGAATGGGGCAAAGGACTTCAGGGCAAGCTGCGCTTCACAACGATCTGTTCCGCAGGCTTCTTCATTCTCTACTTATTTGTTACGGGGACTGAGAACCCTGCTGCAAAGGGAGTTGGAGTCCATCAGAGCCATGTACGCGGATCGAGTGCCGTGACGACGACCGGGAAAGGTCAAGACGACAGATGATTGGTAGGATTTCATATTCGCGTGGCTTTGATAAGCCGGCACACTCACCGTAGCGGCCAATCAGCGCTCGCACTAGTCATCTGTTGCCCATATCAGGCAAGTAAAGGTCGGATGCAGTCCCGTAGCACTTTGTGGGGAACGCGGGGGTTACCGCACATGAAATCCGGGCGTGGAGAACAGTTACCAGCCACCGTTCATCTACCGAAGCATTGCTGCGTCCTACGTCATATTTTATGGGTGTGTGCCAGCGGATCTGCTAGCAGGTCAAGTGGGGCTGGCGCCCTTCTAAATTAGACATCATCCAAGCAACAAACACCCTCGGTAAGGCCACAATCTTATATATTGAACTACTTCTACCCACCGACTACACCGAGTTTGAATTGTCGGCACAGGACCATGCCGCTGAGCCGCCTGACGCTTTGTAGTCGGCCACGATACCCACAATGGCACCGTATGTACCGGCCACCATCAGAAAAGTTCCAGACGCAATGACAAAGACGCACCAGCAAACCATAAGAGTCCACTTGGTAGACGCCCCCGTCTTACGTTTGCCCCAGTTGTCGTAGAGCCACATGCAGCCCATGGGCTGGAAGCACATGAGCGTTCCGAGAAGGGCCCCGACAAGCGCAACGAGGCCGTAGAAGACGGGGATGGCGCTGGCTATGATGTACGCGATCATTGCAACACTGAACGTGCAGCCAAGCCAGGTAGCCCAGTGGATGATGGAATTCTCAGTGAGGTGGTGGGACCCGCGGAGAATGCGGACGAAGGCATACTTGGCCGGGTAGTGTGTCATGAGCGTCGTGGTGACGATCAATCCGGGCAGAGCCAACCCATAGCACACCTTCTTCATAACCACTCCAGCCGAGCCCAATGCTGGTGATGCAACGTATGATCCGCAGTAGTAGTAGACGACGGTGCCGATGGCGATATAGATCGACGTCACGCACGTCTGGCAGATCATCAACGAGCGAGTGTAGTACCGAGGATCGCGCATCTCCGACGCGATGGAGAAAAAGGCGGGCGTTCCGGCGTAAGCGAAGATGAGCGACGCCAGAGCTGACGTAGCTTCAGCGAAGGTCGGGTTGCCGAAAAGTTTATAGTCAGACGCCCATTCACCTCCCTGCGGCGCTGCGTCGGGGCGATCTTGAACTCCGACAGCCACGGTAAGGGCGAATACTAGCAACCATCAGGTCAATCCACGGAGAACAGCAGAATTCAGAGCCTTACTCGAAGTCACAATGCCAGCCAAGCCGATCCATGCCAGCCACGTAATGCGTCCGAGCGTCTGAATGCTACCGCAAATGAATCCCACAATGGCAGAAACTGCAACAAAGACGGCCGTGCAGGTACCGTGCGTTGAAAGGGCATTCAGGCCGATTGAAATGCTGAGCATGCCAGATCCGGAACAGCAAATCCACCCTGTGAAACGTCAGAGGCAGTCTCTTCCCGCGTTTCCACTCTACTCACAAAGTGCAAATGCAATTGCAAAAACCTCACGACCAATCCGGCCAAACAGCAACCCACCAACATCGTCGATGCTGTAGACCTGCCCGTGGCGCAATTTGAAAACGCCAATCATATAGCCCGACCAGGTGGTGATGGTGGCGATGGTACACAAGCAAATGATGCCGGGGATGAGGCCGAGTGCGTCAAAAACGGCCGGGATGGACAGGACGCCCAAACCAACCTGCGTCTTCATCATGAGAGCAATTGCCCCCAACCATCCAACCTGTGCTTCGTTAGCAATCATACGACCAAAGGAGACTTGGATTTGCGCACGTTGCGGTAGTTCGGGCCCCGTTCCGTAATATCACCGAAAACTGCATCTTCTTGGACAGGGTTTGCTTCATTCTCCTCTTTCTTAATCGACGAGGGCCGCAGAGCAACCTCCGGGTCGAGCTCTCTCTTCTCGTATGTCTGTGACATATTGATCATGCGCTGGAAACGTTCCTGCAAAGGACAAACGGTTGAGGTGAAGGAATCGTTAGACCCGGCCGCTTATAACTCCCCAGGTCTTGGCCCGCTATCTAGGATGGGTCTCCTGGTGGCTCGTGCTACAGCCCCGGAAACCGGCTTTTTAGGTTAAGGCCCTATGTCATACCCCGCGTGCCTTCAGCTCCATCCTATTTAGATTAGTCGCCCGACATTGCACGAGTGGGGTAGGGCGCCTCATATACGCCACCGGGATGCTTCCCGAAACTGCGGCCCAAAAGCCCGAGCGCTGCTATCTGAGATATTTGTTTAAGACAACAAAGCCTTTCCACATTGATAAGCTTGCGAACACTTTGATAGGACTCAGCACAGAATACACTCATCAATGGCATGATACATATCTTTGCGACGTGGGCTGCGATAGCATTATCATACTAATCTTAGCATACGAATGGTCTATCAGTGCCATCTCCATACAACTTGACAGACGTAAACGATGCGCTATCAGATTACGACGCAGAAGCCACATTGATGTCAAGTCATGATCTATTCGTTTTCGGCCATCTGGCCGTGCTAGACTAAGCCTCCATCCTACGCCTGCCCGTCGTGGCCCGGAATATGCCAGTGGTCTCCAACCCGGTATCCCACGGGAAAGGGGTCAGTAGGATCAAGCGTAGACTGCCTGAAGCCCGTGAGCCAGGCTCTTCCCTTCACTCTGGGATGCACGGCGTTGAACTCCCCAACCTTAGTTGTGCCGCGAATCTGACAAATGAATTCTGTTCCAATGATGCTTCGGTGCCGGAACGTCTCTCCCTCCTTCAACTGACCCCTAGCATGGAGAACTGCCATGCGGGCGCAGGTGCCAGTTCCACAGGGGCTCCTGTCAAGTCTGCCTGGCGAGACAATGACGGTGTTGATCGCAGTCTTGCTGTTTTCTGGGCCGTCCTCCAATGGCTCGGTGAATTCAAGGACCGTGACGCCGCGGATATCCGGGTTTTCTGGGTGGACCGGTGTGTACGCGTCCTGGACCGCACGCTTGATCTTCTCGCCAACTCGCACAAGATCGGCTCCGCACTCGTTACGAATAGCAAGGCCGACGGACGGTGCGTCGACAAGCACGTAATGCATGCCGCCCCAAGCAATATCGACAGACACTGTGCCCAAGCCAGGGACTTCGACCTTGAGATCCAGGACGTGCACAAAGGATGGCACATTGTCGAATGCAACGGCCTTGCACTTTCCACCTTCGCAATCCGCCGTAACGCCGATGAGCCCAGCCGCAGTATCCAAGCTGAGCCGCGTTGTTGGCTCCTTCATCTCCACCATTCCCGTCTCGAGAAGGACGGTAGTTGTCGCAATTGTATTGGCACCGGACATTGGAGGATACTCGTCGCTCTCCATGGTCAGGAATGCTGCGTCGGCTCGAGGATCGCAAGGGGCTAGAATCAAGTTCATGCACTGCGAGGATCGTCCACGAGGCTCCTGCATTAGCAGCTGGCGCGTATCGTCTGCTTTGTCGCGGAAGTAGACCAGCTTCTCGTACATGCTGGAGCAACCAGTCGGGTCCAATACGCCACCGACAACGACATCCCCAATCTCACCCTCGGCATGGACACCGACTATCGAGATTGAACGAGGGGCTGGCATTGTAAAGTCTGGAAGTGGAGTCTTGGAGAAAGTCAGGCCAATTGGATCGTAAAGAAGGGTTTCGTGTATCGATCAACAGCAAAGGATGCAGAGCAGCTCAAGTGATCCTCTATATTTCTTGGGGGGCACCCGAGCAATGGTGATGGTGTCGGATGTGTCATCCGTTAACCGGAAAGACCGACCGAGCGGTTATGTGCCGACCGATAACTGGACTCGGGTGATCCGATTATTGGCGAGACCACGGATCGGAACGGCCGAGATCAGAACGCCTCGGAATCGGATGTGGGGACCGAAACTTGAGCTGTATATCTAATGACGAGTTTCATTACGTGGACAATCATTTGACCAGACTCATTCACATACCATAATGGCACACGAGACTACGAGATCCAGAGAAACAGAAACCCCTCAGACCCGTACTTTGCAGGGCAAGGTCGCCATTGTCACGGGCGGCTCTCGCGGCATCGGCAGGGGTATAGCTCTCGAGCTCGCCAACCGCGGTGCCAATGTCCTCATCACATACGCAAATTCCAAGGCTCAAGCAGAGGAGGTTACCCGCGAGATTCGGGCACTCGGAGTTGATTCCATTGCGGTTGCTGCCGCGGGAACGGACCGAACAGCACCCCAAGCCATCGTCAAAGCTGTTGCCGACAAATGGGGAACCATCGACATTATCGTCAACAACGCAGCCACCGGAGGCGAGTTCGGACTACTTGAAACGACGACCGAACTTTTCGAGACACAAACCACCGTCAACCTTTGGTTCCCGCTTTTCCTCATCAAAGAGGCGGTCCCCTACTTCGGACCTGCGCCGAGAATCGTCAACATGTCCAGCATATATGCGAGGAGTGGCCATTCCGGGTGTTTGGTCTATTCAGCCTGTAAGGGAGCTATGGAGAGTGCTACTCGGTCGCTGGCCCGGGAGCTCGGGCACAAGTACAACGCTACGGTCAACTGCGTTAATCCGGGCCCTGTGAACACTGATTTGTGGGCCAAGGCAGTGGAAACTCCAGAAGCTCAGAAGTTCTGGGAAGCAGCCATTCAGGACACGCCTGCGGCTCCTAGAGTCGCAGAGGTGGATGATGTGGCACAAATAATTGCTTTCCTATGTGAGGAAAGAAGCCGCTGGACGACGGGGAGCGTGGTGAATGCAAACGGCGGTATGCTGTTCGTGTAGCCTAGATCTTATATCTAAATTTATGAAGACCAAAATTGAGTTTTGGGAGTTTTCTTGGGGAGAAAGACTATATAGTGCCTACGTATACGTGCTATTGGACCCGTGTGGTAGTGCAAGTGGTGGAGTAGTGGTGGTTCAATGGATACCAGACGGTGTTGAAGGTGAAAATTCATAAGCAGTGAGATACAAGTCTCAAATTGACTGTAGATATTCTGAATATACATCGTTGCGTTAGCTTCATGTGTGTATATCGGTAGAAGCGTTCGAAAATTGTAGCTAGTCTTCGTGGTAGAGAGGAATCTGGTTGACACGCGGACTGCATAACTAGATAAAACGCCGTTTATTTCAAAGGTCTGACTTGTAATTTGAAGTACTGTGCCCACATAACTGTCAAATATATATCACAATGCACACGATTATTGCCCTTTCGTATTCAAGACCAATTACTGGATTGCTGAGCACTATTGGTTCCATGTTGCTTCTACCTTCTCTGGAACATGATTGACATCTCCTGACATGGTCAATCATCCTGATTGCTTGGCAGTTCGGTATCCTTCTATGACTTTTTTATATTTTCATTCGGAGGTGCTTAAGGATCAAATTCCATCACTTTGAGGAAACCAGCGTTAAGCAAGTTACTCGAACGAACCCCATTTGCGCTCACATATGGTTAAGTCACAATGCTATAGTACTCCACTATTGAGCAAAGCTTTGAGAGTGGGTGGGCCTGGAAATTCCAGCTTATTGCATGATAGTACAGTTGCCTTTTCTTTCTCTTGGCGGTCCCGCCGCTGTATGAAGAGTGTTCGTCGAAAAAGAAACGTTTCCGCAGCTAACGTAGCCGGGCAGAGTTCTGAAGTTCAAAAACCTATACTCAGCAATATGAGCCTTGAATATGGACCATTTGTTGCGGGGAGTTCCTATCGGCGGGCGGCTCGGGTCGATGCGCTCTAGCCGAGTCACAGAGTTGAGAGTATTTCTACTTTTGGAAATTTACCCCACTTCTTCAAATTACCACACAACGTTGGGATTCCTTCCTTTTAAAGTGATTGAACCAGCATTGATAAGAGCGTTATCATATGGTGGCCAGCCGTACCACTATTTTCAGTAGTCGGTGCTCTTGACTGCAAAATTGGGAGACACTCCGAACTGGTGTTCTGCATTTGTTCCGCATGATAGGTGGATATAAGATGCATGGTCTTTCGGGCTATGACAGTTACTGTGAAAACTACCTACTGGTTGTACCTTTGACTACACTACTTCGGATTGCATAAACATTTGCTTTTGTTACGTCAAAGATGGGAAGACACGCTCAGCAACACCCTCTCGATCCTCTCTCCAATGTCGAAGTCCGCCATACGGTTCAAATTCTCCAGCAGCATCTGAAGCTATCCTCAAATGGACAGATTCGCTTCAAGACGATCGATCTTGCTGAACCTCCCAAGAAACTCGTGCTCGACTACTTTGACAGCCAGCAGCATACACAAACGCCGCCACGACCAGATCGGAAGGCACGAGTCTACTACCACGCGAAGGGATCGCAGCTTCTTGGCAAAGCAATCGTCAATATCTCTTCCGGGACGGTTGAGGAAAATGCGGAGCTGCCTGATGTGCAGGGCCCGGTTGACTGGGATGAGTATGAACGGGTACACAAGGCGTGCACTTCGCACCCTGCCGTAGTAGCCGAGGTTGAGAAGCTCAAGCTTCCTCCAGGGTTGGTACCTCTAGTACTCCAGGGCTGAGAGAAAAACTAACGACTGAGTTGTAGCGCCAAGGTAACGAACGACCCTTGGGCATACGGCACCGATGACCCTCACGAGCGTCGGCGGTTTTTCCAATGCTACATGTACATCGCCCTCAATGACGACCCGGAAGCAAATTACTACTCTATCCCAGCTCCACTGGCTCCCGTGTTCGACGCTCATACCCTGGAGCTGGTCCGCATAGAGAAACTCCCGCTCGGCGACGGGAAAGAAGTCGACGACGAAACCCAGCCGTGGCAGCCTGTCAAGCCGGTTGAGTATAGCGCACGCTTGCTTGGGGAGCAAGCGTTCAGAAAAGATCTCAAGCCGCTGCAGGTCATCCAACCAGATGGGCCCTCCTTCTCGATCGATGGGCGGCGCGTTGCCTGGCAAAAGTGGACATTCCACCTGGGATGGACTATCCGCGAGGGCCCTGTTCTGCATGACGTACGGTACGATGGGCGTCCTCTATTTTACCGCGTGTCAATGAGCGAAATGACGGTGCCATATGGTGACCCCCGGGCCCCGTATCACCGCAAGCAGGCTTTTGATCTCGGCGATTCAGGTTTCGGGTTGACCTCGAATGCTCTTGTCCTGGGCTGCGATTGTTTGGGGCACATCGCGTACTTCGACGGGATCAGGGTGACGGGTGTTGGCGAGCCCGTCGAAATCCCCAATGCCGTCTGCATGCATGAGGTTGATCAGGGAATCGGCTGGAAACACACAAACTGGCACACTGGCGCCGCGTCGGTCGTGCGTGACCGTCAACTCGTCATTCAATGCACGGCTACTGTGGCCAACTACGAGTATATCCTGGCTTTCGTGCTGGACCAGGCCGCGAACCTCCACGTCGAGGTTCGCGCTACAGGAATAGTGTCGACGATGCCCATAAGACAAGGGCAGCATTCACCATGGGGGACCACAGTAGCCCCAGGAGTGCTAGCCACCAACCACCAACACTTGTTCAATGTGCGCATTGATCCATTCCTTGACGGGGTGCGCAACAGCATTGTGTACGACGACTGCATCCCCATCCACCCCGACCCACAGCTCGATCCGTATGGTTGCGCATTCCGTGTGCACACGACGCCTGTCACCAGGCCTGGGGGCTACGACCTTGATCTAACCAAGTCACGGACCTTCAGGATCATCAACCCCTCCCGCGTGAACAGTGTTTCAGGGAAACCCGTAGGGTACAAGTTGCACCCTTGCCCGAGTCAAATGCTCATGATGCCGCCGCATACATTCAATTATCGGAGAGGAATATTTGCCTCCAAACCCATCTGGGTGACGCGATACCAAGACGGCGAGTTGTGGGCTGCGGGAGAGTTTACGAACCAGAGCCGAGAGGACACCGGCCTGGCCGTGTACGCTGCCAGGAACGAAAATGTAGAGAACGAGGATGTCGTCTTGTGGCACACATTTGGCGTCACGCACGTTACGCGACCTGAGGGTATGTCTATCTCACGTTGTTTGGAAGTATTGATGCCGCTAACTGCATGCAGATTTCCCAGTAATGCCGGCTGAGAAGTTCAGCGTGTCGTTGAAGCCGACCAGCTTCTTTGAGCAGAACCCGTCGAACGACGTACCGCGCTCAGAGCAGAAACTCAACAGGTCGACCCTCTATACTCATGAGAATGCTGCAGAGGGCTGTTGCAATGATGCATCAGACGTGGGATCCAAGCTGTGATAGATTCGATGAGATGTTGTTGGTCGGTTAGTTTATGCGATTGAATTTATTGTGTTCAGATAACAAGACAATTCTTGATATTTCTGTGTGAAATGTTCATGATCCGAATTAATGGGCGTTCTTGTAGGACAGAACGAGCGAAATTTCTCTTCAAATTATTTGTTCTCTTGCTATGATAAGAGGTAGGTTTCTTAGTTAGATTATGCGGCATAATGCACAGTTGAACAACAAGCAACGAGTTGTTGAGTCATGGCTCGAAAGGAGAAAAGACCGCAGTTCCAATCCACAATCTATGGAGCATCTGACACTAGAAGAACAAAAGCCCTCCACTTGCGCTAACAACACTTCCGGTTACCCACCGGCTCTCCTCGGAGCATAGGAAGCTGCGTACTTGTTAGAACAATGGCCCTGTTTTACTTTTCAGCAGACTTACCTGACGAGCGGTACAATATCTGCGACCTCACCCATCCTTGCCTCGGCAGGAGTACTATCAATCAGTGGCTTCAAGGCATCAATGAACTCCTGTGAGCTGGCGTAGTACATTTCTGTGGCGACGGGTCCAGGGTTCACGCAGTTTACGGTAATGCCGCGGGATTGCCCCAGCTCCGTCGCCCACACTCGCGCCAGTGCCTCTGTTCCCACTTTACTAGCCGCGTAGATACTTTGCTGGGGAACCCCCATCCTGGCCGACACGGATGAAATGATAACAATTCTGCCACCACGTGGCATGTGCGGGAGCGCAATCTGCGTCAAGAACACGGGTGCTGCCGCAATCGTTAGAGATAAGATCGCACAAATGGAGCTGTAGAACTGAGCGGCGTACCTTTCAAGTTCAGATCTATTTGCATGTCGAAGAAGTCTTCGTCAAGATCCACCAGATAGCGGTCGTCGCCGTTCCCGGCGTTGTGGACAAGCATATCGATGTGCTTGGAGGGGCTCAGCGCCAGTGCCGCGTCCACCAGCCTCTGGCGATCTGCCGCAACAGCCACGTCTGCGCGTACTGCGAGGGCTCGTGCTCCCAGTTTCATCGACTCGATGGCTTGGACTATGCTCTCGGCGGCGGCGCCGGATTTTTCGCTCGTATAGTTGACCACGACATTGGCACCGCGCCGACCAAGATCCAGCGCAATGCCTGCACCAATACCCCTGTCCCATACAAGTTCAGTTGGATGCATGAACACTGCAAGAACAATTTCTTCTTGCTATACCTTGAAGATCCAGTCACAATCGCCGTCTTTCCCGTAAGATTGGCTGAAAGCGAGGGCATTGGGGTGCCGTTGGAAACAGGGTTTGTCGCATCTCCTGAGGAAGGCATGTTTGTTCGGCGCAGGTAATTTCAGTTTTGACTCACAATGGTGTAGTGCAGATGCAGCGAGACCTTCACCGATTAAATAGCTACTTACTTGATTCATGGATTCAACCCGGGGAAGGCTTCGTCCCGATTGTAACGTCATAAGCTTGCTGATATCTCATATCTATTCCGGTAGCTCTCTCCTCTCCAAATGTCGCATAGCTGGCATTACTTCCGTTTTAGGCTCAAGTGCCAATCGCGGTGCCGAGGTGCAGATACGTGGGGCAGCTCTTCGGGCTTCCCCGCAACTTACTGCGGTCGGAGGGGCCATCTCTCATTAGCGTAATTCCGACGTAAATCATCGCTTTTCCGGTATTTACACAGCTTTCTACTGGCTATTTGCCCTTCCCAAGTCCAGTAGTCCCCTTATCGTTGTGGAACCGCAAGCAAAAGATGCCCGTTTGACGTAGAATGCCAAGATCAAAGCACTACATTCCATCTGTCATCTGAGCAGCTCACATGCAATACAACTTCGTGGGGAAACGTGAGCATGCATTTATCAATTGACTCAATTTGCTATCATAGATGAGAATTGCTGACGAGCGTCGACACGATCCAATCAGCATTGGGAGATAAACGCTCAGAAGTCCTTCGGCGCGGTCCCCTTCAGCAACTCCGGGTTTAGCGCATAGATAGGATCAAGCTGTTCCAGATAGCCGCAAGCCGGCTCGCTCATGGAATAGCCGATGAATTCCTGAATTGGCCGGTCGTAACCCTTGACCACGTCCTTCGGAACCGCAAGAAATTGGTTCTCCTCTTGCCGCAAGTAGCCGCGCACTACAAAGGTGGAGAAGAGCATCCGCCTCTGATCCTTGGTGACGTTGTCGCCGCCACCGTGATACGCGGACGCCAGCATGATGAATGCGTCCCCCTTCTCCATGTCGGCAAAGATGCATTGATCCACTCGCGGTGGCGTGTCGCGGTCGGTGCCCCTTGAAAATAGTGGTGAGTAATTGCGACCCAGAGAGCTTTCGTGAACGTGACTTACCAAAGATGGCTACGAGGAATGAATTGCGTTCCACCGTTCTCCTTTGTAACCCGCGACCCGGCCACGAAGAGTCCCACAGCCGTCTCACGGTTTCGATCACGCTCGTCGTCCCACTCATCGATCTCCGTATGGTGATTGTGGCTGATGTAGTCATCCCGATGCAGAGGCTGCGCCTTTCCTCCCGGCCCGATTCTCATCGCTGTGCATGAGTGAACGTAGGGCTTTGACACGGACTCCTTCTTCGTATCACCCCACCAGAACCAGCTCCGAGTGGTGAGAAAGTGCGCGCAAACCGCCTGGTAGAGAGGATGCATCAATTGCGTCTTGGTGTAAGTCGGGCTTCTGGCTATCAAGGATGGTGCACGCTGCGTCTCCTCTAACGTGGTGGTACAAGATCATTACATGAGCAAGCATTTTTCGCGCATGCTGATGGAGGCTCGAGACTCACTTGGGAAGAAAGCGCCCTCCCATTCGACGTCAGCATCGAGTCGTTCTTTGACGTCCTCGCAAGCCTTGTCGACATCCTCTTCAGAGACCAAATTTTTGACGAAGACCCCACCGTCGCGCTTGAGAAGATACAAAATGTCCTCGAGAGGGGCGTCCGCAGGCACCTTCTGGACTTCTGGTCCGTACTTTTCAATGCGGGCTGCTGGCATATTCGGTTCGAAACGTGTGTACAGTAATGTGTGAAGTGGTTAGAATACGCCATCTTTCGGAGCGTTCAGTGTCGCATTATATGTACAGAAGTCATTTGGTCTGCCACGGGAAAGGAAAAGTGGATGTCAAAGCGGAGATCTGGGGAGACGCTGTTCCACGTGCATTGGTAGTGGGGCTGGATTAGATAGGAACTACAACACACTCCTATGGAAGGAGTACCTGAACAGGCACTAGAATACGCTGTCGGCACGACTGAGTGCAAGAGATGCTCGATTAGGAACAAGAACGCACTGTTTCCACACCTTCCAGGAAGAGCATACCAACCAATGTCCCCGAATGCACGAGCCCCTCTTCCAAGCACACCCCACAGGCTTGGCAACTGCGTCATTCGGTGGATCTCGGATGTGTCCTCTGCCAAGAAATCTCATCTACCCACACACTTTATCTTGAGTTTCATCGCAAGCTTGCATTTTGATTTGCTTGATACCAAAATGGGAACTGAATTGACTTTTTGTTATCGACCTTTCACGATGGCAGGAGGATATTCAGAGTAAGATACCACATTAGGTACCCATTGCATGATAAGGGTGGTATCGGACAGATACTATCTCCGAAGTATGCAATGCGTTATTCTGCGAACCCCGCAGTGCAAGGCCTTGATAACTGCGACGCGATAATGCACTCAAATTACTTTTAAAGAGGCTCGCCATAGAGCCTTAAAGCAAACAACCACGGAAAATCCATTCAGACTATTCTCACAATGCTGCCACAACAGTCGATCGAACATTCACCCCCGAAGAAACCGTCATGCGATGTGCAAGGCGAATTATGCGGTAGCATCATTGAAGGCTCTGTTCATGATTTCGCGAATCTAAATGATGATGAGATACTCAGAGCAAATGGGCATGAGGCTGCCATGCCCCGGCAGTTCAAATGGATCTCTGCTTTGGGGCTTGGCTTCTCCATCACGAATTCTTGGGTTGGGTACTTGGTAAGCACTTCCATGATCTGTCGTAGAGAGCGGGTACTAAATCATTCATCTTCAGAGTGTCTTCGGCCAGAACCTAGTCTACGGAGGACCCCAAGTCTGCATATTTGGTCTCCTCGTTGCGTTCGTAGTACAGTCCATCGTAACTCTGGGGTTGAGTGAGTTGGCCTCCGCATTTCCAGTAAGTTTTCAAGACAGGAAAGATTTATGAACAAGCTTCATTGACTCCAACCGTAGACGAGCGGCGGACAATACCATTTTTGCTATGTTTTGAGCCCAGATAAAAACAAGCGTTTCGCTGCATACGTCATCGGCTGGATGTCTACCATATCATGGTGTATTGTGACGTATGGGGTTTCTCACATTACAAGTCTTTGCTTTTACTAACGCTGTGGAAGCTGCTCTGGAATTTCCCTCGCTGCAACGTCTCTACTCGGGATGATCGCCTTTTGGGAACCGACCTTCGCAATTTCCCAGTGGCAAATTTATTTAATGTACTCTGCGGTGGCTCTAATCACGAGTGAGCAATAACTTGTCCCTCCAAAGTTAGTTCTGAATCTGATTAACTTATTATCCAGTCGCCCCTGTGTTTTTGACATCAAGGCACATGTCGTGGATTCTTCAGATATCCCTCTATACCTCGCTACTGGGGTTCGTTGTTTTCTTGATTGTTACGCTGGCAATGCGACAACAGACACAGCCAGCATCATTCATCATCCAACCGGGTCTAGGCACAAGTGGGTGGGATTCAGGAACAGCTTGGCTACTGGGCATTACAAATGCCATGTACGCTTTCGGCGGAACTGACGGAGGTAATCCCAGGCCTCTTTCCTCATTGAAACTGTATGTTGCTAACTGAACAAGCCATTCACATCAGTGAAGAGATATTACATCCAGGAAAACATGTTCCCCAAGTGATGTGCATGACTATGGCAATAGGGCTTTGCACTTGCTTCCCCCTCGTACTGGTCTTGATGTTCGGTATGAGTGATCTGACGGCTGTCAACAACTCTGCGTTGCCGAGCATCGAGATAGTCTACCAGGTGTACGTCAGTGCAATTCGTAGTATCATGATAATACTGACAGTGAGGCAGGATCGGTAATAGATACGTGACCATGTTTCTGTTCGTTTGGCTTTTGGTGGTCTATGTTAGTAAGTTTTACCTTTTTCTCGCTACACGTTTCGTCTTGATTAACTTTACGTACAGTCTGTCTTCCTGCACAGTGGGTGACATGTGGTAGAATGACGTGGGCTTTTGCCCGAGATGTATGTGAAATAATGTGATGAAACTGTAGTGGTATATGGCTAACACATCTATGACCTACCGTAGGGCGGGCTTCCATATTCCGCTTACTTCTCTGTTGTAGATGCTCGATTCGGCTTCCCCATTCGAACCACTGTCGCTGCCTTTATTTTCGTCATTTTATATGGACTTCTGTACCTGGCTTCCACGACGGCATTCAACTCCATTGTTACCTCGGCCGTGCTGTTCTTGAACATCACTTATGTGGTACCCCAAGGGATCCTTCTCTCCAGAGGCCGGAAAAATGCCCTTCCATCTCGTTACCTCAACTTGGGCTGGGTTGGTTATTTTTGTAATATCTTTTCTGTTCTCTGGATCGTAGTTCTCGGAGCCTTCATCTGCTTCCCACCTGTTTTACCTGTGACTGTTGGGTCTATGAATTACACAAGCGTTGTACTCGTGGGTCTTTTTGCTATGATTATTGGGGCATGGTTCAGGTTCGGGAAACATGAATTTGAAGGTCCCCATATTAGTCCAACCTTGCAGTCGTAGAAATATCATCACGGTCTGCTTTACTTCTGGCAGATGGCGTTTAAATTAGTCACACCTGGGTGGGTCCGTGCAATGATAATAAGCTACCCCTTGGCGGACATTCTTCTCTGGTAATTGTGAGATCAAAAAGAACAACAATAACATTTGAGGCTACCTTACTATAATCTGCCAATTCTTGAAGCTTCGCTCTCGTTCATCAACCATACATGCCGCCAGAAGCACTTCCAACTCCAGTGGCACAAATGGCAAAGGCTGTCAAAATGGGGCATGTTGGATTCATTACCAAGCTACAGGCTCGTACCGCATAGGCTGAGGCATGGTATCCTCCGTGAGAGCCAAACCAGGCCTGCCAAGCAAAGACGTGCTGTTTTATGAGAGCTATGCTGACGGTAGCGTTGCGCCAACAGAGTAGTGTAAGTGCAAGATCCACCTCGATATGGCATAACGGCGATAGACTTAAGACAGCTGTACATCTTCACCAACACTGAGAAAGGGTGGATTTGTCTATCGGGACGTATAAAGTATAGATGGTGTCTGTGCTATCCCCGCTAAATCCGAGTCCACGACCGTCCATGCCGTTCAACGGAGTCTCCGTTGCGGAGACCTTAACGCCGTAAGTCATCTTATCTCCGGTACCAACAACATAAGCCCTAATGCAGAAGGAATTCCAAGTGAGCGACACACATCCTAAAGGACGAATGATGCGGAAGAGCATCGATATGTAGAGTAGATAAATCTTCATGTCTCCTTCGTCTCAAGAAATCTCGAACCACCGATACATACTGTTTCCTGCAGGATTGCGTGAGAAAGCGACCTAATCATGGCTGAACCTGCTAATATTGCTGCTTTCCTCATGGCTGAGAAGGCGTACCCGCTGGAAGTCCGGGAATCTCCCTACCCCACGCCTGTCAAGGACGAAGTAGTGATCAAAACAGCTGCAATCGCCATCAATCCTGTCGAGTAATTCAGGTCCTCCCCTTTTACTCCAAGAATACCAGACCTCTAATATACCACGTGTAGCTGGATTGTGCAAGCTACGGCTGTGATTCCCTTTCCATACCCTTGGATTCTCGGGTAAGTCAACTACAAATGCCTACCTACCTCCACTTCCTTCCCCTTTCCTGGTGGTCTTTACCCTCGCCCCCCCCATCTTACCATTCGTTCCCGCTCACAACGCCACGGTGCATCGCTAACCCCTCCGCAGCCGCGACTGCGCCGGCACCATCGTCGCCATCGGCCCCGCCCAAACCACCCACCGCGTCGGCGACCGCGTCCTCGGTCTCGCCGTCGGCTTCGCCACCAAAGACCCCTCCTGCAGCGCCTTCCAGGCTTACGTAAAGCTCTCGCCACCCCTAGTCACGAAGATACCGCCGGCGATCTCCTTCGTCGACGCAGCGGTGCTGCCGCTCGGCACGGCGACGGCGGCCGCGGGCCTTTTTGAAGACTACCTGCTGGGGCTGCGGCTGCCATCGTCATCGCCGCCATCGCGTGGGTTAGAGGCTGAGACGGGCGTGGCGGAGAGCGAGCGCGAGGCGGCGGCGGTGGTGGTGTGGGGCGCGGCGAGCAGCGTGGGCAGCTGCGCCGTTCAGCTCGCGGTGCAGGCTGGCTACGTCGTGCTCGCGACGGCGTCGCCGGCGAACTTTGCGTATGCACGGGATGAGCTGGGCGCCACGGCTGTGTTCGACTACAAGATCGCGGGCGTTGTCGAAGAGATTGTGCGGGTTGTGGAGGCGGGCCGGTACAGGCTCGCCGGAGTGTTTGATGCGGTGGGTGGGGGCGGCGCGGTCGAGAAGTGCGTCGAGATTGCGGCCATGGTACGCAAGGGGAGCAGGCTGGTGTGCACAGTGAGGCCGCTACCGGACGAGTTGAGCCAGAAGTTGCCCGAGGGTGTGCAGTGCGGGCAAGTCATGGCGAGTGAGATTAGGAATACGCCTGTTGGCCCTGCCGTGTTTGAGCAATTTTTGCCGAAGGCTCTGAAGGACGGTCGATTCAAGTGCTTGCCCGGACCAGAAGTTGTTGGAGAGGGGCTGCACAGCTTGCAAAAAGGGTTGGATGAATTGAAAGCAGGGGTTTCGGCGAAGAAGCTGGTAATCGTCATGCCGTAGCGTCGAATAGCTGGACCAATTTTCTACAATCACAGTACCAAAATCATGTTGTAGGCATAAAGTAGCTATGGAATAAAACAGACGGGATCATGTAATGACTGCGTAGGATTCGCCTAATTTGGACCAGGAACGCTAGAGCACGATCGACGATGCAGATAGTCGACAGCAGTATGCAACTATACTCATAAGTTGGTAGTATCCCGAACCTTAGCCGTGACCCTGATGTTCTGCTGTTTCACAAACCAAACATTGTGCGTGGTCGGCTCTTGATTCGGGTCCACCAGAGAAAGATCAAAGTGTCGAACCAGATGCGGAATCACCTTCGAGATCTCCATAAGAGCAATGTTCTTCCCTATGCAAGTTCTTGAGCCGTGACCGAACTATTCGACGAATTAGAACTTGCTTCCGACTTTGGATTCAAATAGTATCTTACCGGCAGCCAGTACCTGTCCAGAGCTTGTTGTGCTTCCTTGCTGACTAGCCAGCGCTCTGGTCTGAATTTGTGCGCATCTTGGCCGAATACCTGTTTATTGTAATGCGCAACCCATGTGTTGACGCCTACGACTGTCTGTCCGCTCTTTTCAGTATGCATAACAACACAACACGAGAAATGCGGTGCATACCCCTTCCGGAAAGAAATGACCCGAGATTGTAGCTCCTCCTTTTGGAACTACTCGGCTGAGGGGAAGACCTGTGGCAGGATGTATCCTCAAGGCTTCTTTGATGACGGCCTGTAGATATGGCATATCTTGTGAATCGGCAAATGTGATTGCCTTATCAATTCCCCTTCTTGAATACATTTCGTCGACCTCCGCTCGCAGCTTTCAATACACCGTGTCAGTACATCATTGGTCCAAAATAACTTGGTACGCACCTTGGCCAAGGCATGCTGGTTCTTGAGAAGGCACCACATGATACTTGTCAGGCTGATGCTTGACGTATCGCTTCCAGCAAACACATTCATCATGCAAATGCTTAGGATGTCAGTTTCCGAAAGCTTCTGTGGCTGCTCCTGATGGATCCGCAAAGCCTTTCCCAAGAAAGTCTCGCCCTCCACGTTTTTCTTGTAAGATTGCACCTGCTCCGTGGCGAATTTGGCCACTTGCTGGAAACCGTTTGCGCCAAGCATGTTGACGATCTTGAAAATGACCGGATGCGTCTCGGGGAAGACACCGACGCGCGCCGAATACAATAGAAAATTGTCCAGCCCGTCGATGATATTTAGTGCATCATTACCGGCATCAAGAAAGCCAAAACGCTTCGAGACCTTTCGCAAGTGTCAGCCCAGTAGCTTCGATGCTCTCGAGGAACTTGACGTACCGATATCTCCCCGATCGTGTCAAAAGCGAAACATTGAAGCCACCACTGCAGGTCAAATGTTGCCCCAGATCTTGAGAGGATCAGCAATTCATGATTTTGTGGAGTTTCAGGGCTGCAATACATACCGCGAAAATTCCTTCAGTCTGTCCACTAAAAAGTCCACGCAGTGATCTACCGCTTGTTCCATCGTCACCAACGTCGACATTGAGTACAGCGACGCAAATTTCCGTCTTTCGACCGCATGAGACTTTGGATTCGAATCTGAAAATATGTTTGCCTGGTGCGGAACGCCGCTGGCCGAGTACCAAGGGCCTTTGATGAAGGCTGTTCCGTGCCCGTAAAGGATTTTCATGGCTTCAGGGTCGTCGATTGAGTACTCGTTTGGCGCGATGCGGACAACGGGCCCTAACTGGATCAGCCATTGGACTTTACCGAACTGGATATCCTCCTACATACCGTGCTTTTGATGCAGATCGATGTTCGTCCATGGAAATGTCCCGGTCCAGACTTCTTTGAAATACCAAAGCCGCGTAAAACGGGCCAGAAAGTGCCCAGGTACTGAGCGGAGAGGGGATCTTATAGCTTGAAGGAACTTGTTGGCCAGCCATATTCCCAGCGTTAAGAAGATAAGGTAAGTTGTAAGTCCCATGCTTCCCGGCAAGCTTATTTTCAATTAAGGAGCGATGCGAGATAGAGTCCGACAAGACCGCTCCTGCGAGTCTTCGAGAATTGGATTCTATTTTGAGAAGAAAGGATTAAGCTTATTATAGTTGGACTGACGTCGCGTCTATTCGGTTCATTGACTCCGGAGTCCGAGCGTAAAGGGTATGGTCGAGAAAAGAGCATCCGGCCCGGACCTTAAAGGAGACAGCGACCAGTGAACGCTACGGCATTTCATTGATTGTTTCATCGTGCAGAATTTACGAGGAAGATCTCTCCCACTCCACCTGCGATCGACCTCTGATGCCTGCTTTGTGCGGGGTATTTCTGTTTTCGGCCCATCATGTAAATCCGACTCGGCCGAAACTTGTTCACCAAAACTACCCATGATGTGCTTCAATTAGCAAATCAAACTCCCCTTACAGTCGGCGATACTCTAGTAATTTCGTTCTTGCATGCTCATTCCACCCGATGTAGTATACATTGCGAGGAGACTTAAAAGATCGTCTAGAGGCCGTACTCAGAATTCCACCTCCACCGTAAGTACGGAGTATCGGCACTCCCCCGCTCTACCGCCTATATTCTCCAGTAAAAGACTCGGAAGATGCACACTTCCGAGCCGGATGCATTACTGGATAACCAATGATACAAGCTAACATAGGGATGAGCTTGAGGATGACGTCGTGCTGCAGTACAGTCTACACGAGCAAAAATGTAAAGGTGGCAGAAAAAGAAAGGCCAGCAAGTGAAGGCACGGGCCAATACTAAACCCACTCACCTCCACTTCTTTTTAATACCGACATGACCAGCAGGTACTGGAGCAGACACCCCCTCACTACTAAAGACGGGCACGTGAAACCCGACACTATTAGTAAATCGCACCACCCATTCGAAGAATTCTCGAGTTTGAAACTCAAAGCAAATAGAGACCGTGGCGCACGTGTCTTTGAAGATACTGCTATGTGAAACCAAGGAATGACGCTCGAGCCAGCACTATTGAGACAGCGCTAGCTGGTACAACCGAGGATGGCGCAGGTAGTGCGGCAGCGGGCGTGCGGAGATCCGGAGAGGTTGAGCGCAGGTGGCCTTACCGACGCGATGAGTCTCCTATTAGATACCAACATTTTCCCCCGCTTTTTGTCCGAGAATATGGGCCCACTGTGCAAGGAACGTCCTACAGACTTTGCTGCTATGGAAGGATTCAAAAGAGACCTAAGGCGGAGGGTCGGCTATATTGCAAACTTTGTGCGGTCGTCAATAAGTTGGCTGAAAGTTCGAAGATATGCACGCCTGCTGCATGGTGGGATGTGAAAGTGATGAGAATAAATCTGTCCCATTCAAGGTCATTGCACAGGAACCTGACAGAATATGCCCCAAATTGGTTCTAAATTCATGAATGAGATAACCTTTTTGTGTCTTTGTGTCCTGGTAATCCCAGGACGAGAGACAAAGCTAATAGACTTATCCAGTAAGTCAGTAGACGAATCGAATAGACTGTACACAAGGCGCGTATCGAAGTGGCACTGTACACCGTGATCCAAGATTGACATAGGGTCTCTAGACCATCTTTGTCACACCACCAGCAATAGCAATGCCAGCCGCATGCGCCTACATTGGATTAGCATTTCGTTTGAAAGAACAGTGGCAACTGAGTACTCACCAAGGCGTCCTTTGCAACTTCGGTGACGAATCGTTTATGGTATTTTGCAGTTGCTGGGGAAACGTCAGCTCCCAGTTGCGGCCCCATTGATCGCCTTCTGAGCCCAGCATTGCGCTCAAAAGCCCCTGCGGCGTACATTTGCTCGATCTCGCGAAGCAATAGCTTCCGCTCAACATAGTAGTCCATGAACCAGACAATGGTAACTATCAGCATGACAACAGTGGAGGACCAAGCCATCCACAAGAACTTGTCGCCCCTGCATGCTGAGATGCCGACATCGGAGCCGAGTTGGTTGATCTTGTCCACCGTTTGAACCAGTACGCCCGTAATGACTCCAGTCGACAACCCGAGACCAAGGAACGCGATCTTTAAAATGTGTTAGCAGAAGATTCGTAGCACAAGGCCCGTGTTCGGGCACTTACAGCTGAGAGTCCAAGATTCAACAAAGAGACGCGAGTGCCATGAGTGTACCTGCGCGCATCGACCATTGCTATTATCATTCCGAGTATGAAGACAAGACCAGTAGCGGCGATGCCCGTGCAGAGGAAGAAGAAGACGGCCTGATACGCGTTTTCGATCTTGCCGCCAAGATCGGTGATTGTTTGCGAGAACGATATCTGGAAGGGCCCGAGTGTTTTCGAATTCGCAAGTGACACGGGGTTGATTGAGAAGAAGGCCGTGCTCTTTGAACAGCCCTCCAAGGTGCGGGACCCGTCGGAGCTGAAGTTCCCAAAGCAATAATTCATCACATGAATGCTATACCACTCGTTCTTTCCGGTGACCATGGTCCCGCTCGCCGTGATGGCTCCGGTCTGCTCGTACGCGATAGCTGTGTTCTCGGCAGTTTGATTCTTGAGGAGTTTGGAAACATCTAACTAATAGGAGAATAGGAGTCAGCTGAGAGTTGAGAACTTTACACTAGCAAATTCCAGAGACTTACCACCATGATATCGGCATCTTCAATGAAGTTTGGCTGCCAACCTGCAAAGAGAGAAAGCATAGACAGAACGACAGCAGCAGCCGTGCATATCACGGAGACAATTGAAAAGACTCGCATGCTTGATGGAGTGACCGAAGTAAAGTTCGTAAGAAAACGTGAGTTGAACGAGAGAAACGAAGTGAATGTAATGAACGTAAGAGGAGAAACTCCAAATCTTCTCAACAGACCAGGTTGATGCTGTTCACAAGTGCGTGTAGATGGGCGTTTATCTAGACCCCGAAAATGAGTTTGCAAGACAGGGAACATGAAAGCAACTTCGGAGTGGATGCCTGTTTCGAGACGAATAATGAGGACTCGTAAGGCAGGTCCAGGCCACCGTTCGAGAGCCATCCCGAGTCTGTCATGGATCCTGAAGTCTGTATGCTTGCGATCTGGTTTCGTTTTGCGTGATCATCGCTGGTGAAACTCCGCTCATTTGTCAGCCCGGGACTGAGGGGATACAATGATAGGGAAGTACTAGATGCCAAGTGTTGTGCCTAACGATAAGTAAAATTTGTTGTGCCTCATGTGTCGTCGATCTCCCCACTGCAGGACCTTGTCTGCTGAGCCACAGCGGACCTCGGTCTTATCTACGATCTTGAATTCGGAGTATCGATTGGAGAAAGAGAGCCATGTGAGCCTCAATACGCCAACTGCTGTACTGTTCCCGTGCGGAAGAACTACTAAGCGACTTTGATCTTCCAACTCACAGTTCAACGATTTGACTCCCGTGAATGATTTGGTGGGGTCGATTGTGGTATCCCCGTATCGAAAAAGGAAAGGCACCGGGGTTGTCTAGGAAATTTGAGCCGGACTAAGGGAGAATGTGGTCCATCAATGCTGGAGTGCACCTGATTCTCAAACGGCTGTCCTTCCACCTGTTTCTGCCGTCTTACAGTCAGTGATCCTCCCTCGTCCCAAGTTTGATTTGACTCTGGGATCACGATGACATCAAAGAGGCGGCCAACTAGGATCATGGCTGGGTCAGAAATGTGATCATGCATCCACTTCTTGCAGTGGGACTCTGGCACGAAAATCGTCACAGGGAAGCTCGAGCTCATTTGGGTGATGTAATAGGTGAGGGCCCGGGGTTATGCTTCTTCTTACAAAGTGATAGGTCAGAACCACGGCCTTCAATGAAATATCAACATATCTCTAGCGCTCGGACGTGGAATACCCCCTGTAGGCTTGTAGGGCTTCAGCCCCTTTCATGAGGGACATGAGGCACATTGACCCCGCGCGGAGGAGAAACAAGCCATACGGAACAGAGACCGATTGGCTATCAGGGGTTGGCAAGGCTTAGAGCTAGCATTTGTGGCTGTGTACTGCATCCTGGCGTTCTGGCCCTGAGACCACTCAGGCGGTGCACTACATGATCTTTGGGATGGGTCGATCGCGTGGCAAGGCGTCTAGAACAAGCAAATCCACCTATTTGATTGATGGGGGCGATCATCCCCACTACGTAGGGATCTAAGGAACTTTAAGTGTATTCAAGCTCCAGAAAGCACATACGGCCAAGAATAACCACACGCGGCTTGATGTTGGTGCCGAGCTCAGCACTGTCAAGTCGTCAACATGTCCTCGAAAGAGGCCGGCATCAATGTATTTCAAAGCTTGCGGATAACACTCTGCACCTCTTCGCAACATCGACAGTAACGGACCAAGCGGCTTCTCCTCAAATGTTGAGCGGTGAAGTGCTACTCTTACGTGTGCTGGGGTGGGCCAGCCAGAGACCGAAACACTGTGTTCCAAATGTGGTAGTGATCGGCGTAGATCAGTAAGAAAATTAAATGACGTTTTCATCGTATTTCGTACGGAGAGCGACATCATTTGCTAGCTGTCAGGCGGGCCGGCCCACTCTTGTTCCAACCCATACCGCTTTGGATTTCGCAATACTAGAACTTGGGGTAGGATATGAATATGGGTGAGATAAGAGTAGATCTTTGGAGTGTCCGCGAATCTATCCAAGACGTACCCTTGCTATTCCTTCCTGCCGATCCTTTCGTATTTTACGCTCTGTGATTGGCTCCATCAGAAAGGAAAGCACAAGGCTCCTACACCGCACTGAAATGACAGGATGGGCGGTCTAGAAGTTGAGAGGCGCATTGCTCCTCAATCGATGGTTCTGCCATGGTTGAACCCTGGCCGCAGAGGGAGAGTAGAACAGGTGGTAGTAGATCATTATCAAGGCGTTTTTATTCACCACGTTGAACGGACGTGGCTGTGTTCGCTCGTGGCTACATAAACAACCATCAGCTTCTTCGGAAGAGAGCATACCATTTTCAAACCTTTCAGTTCAAAAATGATTCGACCGACTTCTTTGCTGCTGGCAGCTCTGGCTTTGACAGCCTTACCTTTCTCAAATGCTGGTTCCAGTGCTGCTTCTGACGCCTGTGATCAGATCGACTCCAAGATATCGAGTGCAAGCGATATCGTCAGCAAGCGTAAGTGAATTGACTAACACATCTCTCGTTACGCCAAGCTAACTGCACAGTGAACCCCGCTTTCGTGCATGATATTCATCACTGGTATCTGTCGTCAAGCCAAATCCCAGAATGCGTTTTCGAACCCGGTTCCGTTGATGACTTGGCCACTGCAGTAAGCTGCTCTATACATCCTATAGGACATTTAGAGTGCTTACAAAATGACACAGATGGAGATAATTAGCTCGACGAGGTCTCCATTCGCCGTGAAGTCTGGTGGACATGCATCTAATCCAGGATTTTCAAGCACTCCGGGTGTCCACATCTCCTTGAAACGCATGGATCAAATCGTGCTTTCTGAAGATAACTCTACCGTCGAAATTGGCATGGGACTTGTAAGGAACCCTTTCCTGCTGATATGCTTTGTCAAACTAATCGTTGTGTCACTCATTTAGACGTGGGCTGATGTTTACGAAGAACTGGACGACGCTGGCTACAATGTTGTTGGCGGCCGTGTGGTTGGCCCAGGAGTCGGTGGTTTCACCCTTGGTGGTGGCTTCTCATGGTAAGCAGCTCTTCCGCCACCCGGTGCTATCGTGACGAGTTTCACAAATGCATTCCATCCACAAGTGTGTTCGCTCAACTGATTCGTATCACTTTACAGGAAGACTAATCAATACGGTTAGTTCTACTCAATTTGAACAGTAAAGATGTCACGGTGGAAAACTCATTGCTAACTATTGAAGGCTTGACGTGTGACACGGTCAAGAGCTTCACCTTAGTGTTTCCGGTAAGTATCAGCCTCTATCCTTAATATTTCCTCATAGTGATCAGCTGAAGCTAAATAACTTAAATTAGAACGGAACTATCACTCGCGTTGATTCGGAGCAGCCAGACCTTTTTTTCGCTCTGAAGGGAGGGTTAAACCGTTTTGGAGTTGTCGCTTCTGCTGAGTTCTACACCCACGAACAGCCGCCCCAGGTATACGTAAGTTGTACATTCTGATGTCTCTGTAAGATGGTACCAATACTCAAACTACATAGGGTGGAGTAAAAGTCTACGGAAGCGACGAAATCGACGCTGTTCTCAATGCGACCGCTCAGTTCGACGCGGAGAACACCGACCCCAAAGCGCAAATTATCACAACACTTCGGGGCGAACCGGTGGGTATGGTGTCTCTGGTGCTATTCTTTTATGATGGTCCGGAGAGCCCGCCAGCATTTGCTCCCTTCGAGAATATCTCGTCCATTATCAGTCATACAAAGACTCAAAGTTTCAACGATTTCGTAAAGGGATTTCCCGCAAACTATATGCCACAGGCTCGTGGAACTTTCCATACACTTTCTACCTCCAAATTGACTCCCGGGTTTCTGGCTGCTGTCCGAAACGAGACAGATGTAGGTTTCTGCCCATCTATATTTTCCTTAGAAACTAACAATGTGCTTCTCCAGACCCTTAGAAAGACCATGATCAAGCACAGTGGAGTGAGCGTCAGCTACGATATTGAACCGTTTCTGAAGACGTGGGGTGAGCATGCAACGGAGAGCGCCTATCCTCATACCAACTCACCACTACCTGTAAGATGAGACCGACCATCTCAAGAGAGAACACAGCTAATGTATTCACTTATACAGCTTAACATGGATTTTGCTTGGCTCTCGTCTGATGATGATGAGTACTGGTATAATGCGATGCGCTCGTCTGTCAATCGTTTGAAGGACGTTGCCATGCAGGAGGGAATTCACTCCAACTTCACAACCTACCCTAACTACGCCATCACAAATACCACAGCTGAGGAACTCTACGGCACTCAGAACGCAGCGCGTCTCCGCAGTATCCGGAATCAGGTTGATCCTGACCGTGTAATGGAACTCGCAGGTGGATTTTCTATTTGAAATCTTTCGTCGGTCATCATTTACATTCTTACCTGCTGAGCAGTATTCTTCCTTCTCATTCACTCATTGGTATCATCTCTTCATGTTTCAGTTCCTCTTCTACACCGTGTGTACATAAATTGGCTCCATTTTTCCACACATCCTTGTGAAATTGTATAAATCACTTCACTACGATTTCTGATTCTTTTGTCAGTGGTTATAAGTAGTACAGCCACCTCGAAGCTCTCAACAGAAAGCATAAGATCGATGTAGGTTTTCACAACCACCTCTGCAGCCTGGCCACATGTCGGTATCAATGGCTCACGAAAAAAAGTGCTTGGCCACCCCCCGTCCGAAAAGCATCTAGATCTATCGTGTAAATTGACCGCCATCCAAGCCTTTCTTTGGCACTGCTTCATCGACATGCATCGTACCCATACCCGCATCGAGCTTTTCAGTATGAGCCCTCACGCCGGGCATTTTCGTAGATATGGCATGCGGATCCTTTATAACGATGAGTGAAGGATTGGTCCGATAGTATTCATCAAGATCCTCGAGACTTCGGTTTGCTGTATCATATTTTAGCGTTTGCGAGACTTGATAGAGAAAGCTTAGTCCGCATACCTGTCTCGGGATAAAATAAGTAGATGACAGGCAAGAAGACGGCGTTGAAGACGGTCCACACAATCCAAAAGCGCCACCCGAGGCTCTCGATACCGATAGGCGTGATTTCAACGATGACGAAGTTTGTGATCCTGCATTGCACGAGTTGAGCTCGAGGTCTCCGTTGTCTTGACACTGTACATACCAGTTGGTCGCAGTCGCTACCGCCGCCCCTTTTGTACGCATTGGGTAGCTGCTGATTTCCGAAGGATAGAGCCCTCAAGTCTTTGTTAGCTTGTAGTTCTTAGAGAAAGGTGTTAGGAACTGACAAGGAACCCCCAGCATGCCCATGCCGAAGGCAATGTAGTAGAGGAAGAAAAATGCGATAGATGCCGAAGCAAACGCTTGGCCGTTACTGCTTGTCGTTGAGAATCGTAGCAAGATGGTAATGATAAGGAATGCAAAGCCTTGTCCAAAGGTCGAGAGCATCATGAGCTTCCGCCTTCCCCACTTCTCGACCAAGGGAATGGCCAAGGAAGAAAAGACAAGGTACGAGGTTGCGTTACAGGCCGTCAACAGCCGAGACATCTCGTTTGAGACACCGACGTATTCGATGAGCACTGTCGGCAAGTAATAGCTCATGATATTAATGCCTTCGAACTGCTGCATGAACTGCGTGCCGGCACCAAGGAGCAGACGACGGATAGTCTTCGTGGATCCGGTGTTGCGGCCTCGAAGAAGATCTCTCCACCTGATGCCGTGTTCTAGTTCGTAGCGTACGCTGTAATCGATGGTCTGAACCTCGGTAGTTACGTACTCGTGCTCCTCTGGTTTGTCTTCGAGGGCCGCTATGACCGTTCGCGCCTCTTCCATTCGGCCTTGGCCAATGAGCCAGCTAAAACGGATGTCAGTTCAGCGAACTCTCATAGGATTGCTTGAGCTTACCGCGGCGACTCGGGAAGCCATGGGACCGTAGCCCACAGAATGAATATGAAGAAGAACTGGAAAGCCAACGGAAACCGCCAGGCAACAGACCCGCCTCTGAACGAAAGGCCATAATTGATCCAGTTGACAAGAGTGAAGCCAGCGATGTTCATCGTCATCTCCAAGATGACCAGCTTTCCTCTCCATTTGAACTGCGAAGTCTCTGTTTGCCAGATTGGCGCCGTTGCTGTGTTGATGCCATTTCCAAAACTAGCGTTGTTAGATTTTCCATTGGTTCTGCCACAGCCCTGGGATGCCTTACCCAAGAATGATTCGCCCGACAAACATCTGCGCCAAGCCATAGGAACTTGTTTGGATGAGGGCGCCAACGGCCATGACAGTGGTGCCCAGGAGAACTGCCTTCTTTCTGCCAAGCCTCTCACCAATGGTAAAGGCAATGATGGCACCGAAAAAGCAACCAACATCGTAGATAGCAGTGACGGTGGAGAGGACCTTGGTCTTTCCAGGGCCGACCAAATCGTGAAGTTCGAGAAAGTTCTGTGTGACGACAACACCGCCTGCATTCAAGGTCAATTTTTTATTCAAGCAAGGCGGGGATATGTGACGCACTGAAAACACCCTGATCGTAGCCAAATAGAGTCATGTCGGTTGCGCACGCAACCTGGAAATGAGTAAGTGACTGTGATGTATGTCTCAGCGTGAGACAGGCGTACTGTAATCCAAAACGTGAGCCATCCGCCTCTCTGGCCAAAGAATGGCTTCTTTCCGGTGTCGTTTGAGAGCGCCATGGTGTATAAGACTCAGCAAGTCTTGTTTACTGAAGAGAAACGAAGGACAGGGCCGTGTTTATATGCTCTCGTAGAACACGCCATAGCCGCGAGACGTCTGCGGGGAAAATCTGGGGTCGGGACGATGAGGCAGCCAGCGTTCGGGTAAAGTCGGCGCATATGCTACTCAAAGCAGTAATTCAAGAGATGCTGACAGTCAGGGAATTCTGGCGGTCGCAGGCTAGGCGATTCCCTGCTTTGCCGCATACTGGGCTTGTTGGAGTGCGTTAGCGTGGGGATTTGCAGTGCGGCGGCATGGTGCGGGGAGCGGGGTGTTGATGTCATATCGACCCCCCACGGGAAGCGACAGCATGTTTCCCTTCAGGAACAGGATGTAGAAAATGTGTCATTCCGGGTTTTCCTTTCGGTTTGCATGCGGCATTTTCCCTGGGATAGTGCAGCGGCATTATAGAGCATGTCACGACAGGCGCAATGCCTGGGCAAGTGCTTCCGCATCTCTTGAGGCGAATTGGAAGTTTCGAAGAGTCACATTTAGCCGCTCCAATCATTTCGGACGGTCTACCCGTGCGAGCCCCCATTGGCCTCAAACTGATCGAAATTCGAAATACCGCTCCAGGTAGGACCACGTTGGTGTTAACATCTATTGGAATGTGGGACCTGGCTACCGTTTTCTAATGGGGCTTTTCCATCCATCGAAGGGTTTCCGTTGAGCGTTTTGTTTCGAAATATAACTATTGCGTGATGATACACTGATGAACTGACGAGTCTTTATCGAAACAAGGAAAGCAAGCAAACATTGATTTAGCGGAAGATCTCCTCCGAGTAAGCCATGCCCCATCCTTCGACCAAGTCCTTGACTCTGTCTTCGGACATGATTCCCAGATCTTGTTCGATGCTTCGAATCATCTCAACTATCATACATTGATCGGATTTCTCCGCCAGACATTGACCCGCCGTATACAAAGGCTGCAGCAAGTGTATCCTCAGACTGTCATCTGGCGTGCCCAAAACGATTGAAAGAATAGCCTTTGCGTGGTTGCGCAATTTATGCTCCAGCGCACGGTAGGCACCCATAAGCTCAAAGTTACTCCTAGGACTGGTGTTGGATCGAAAAAACATGTTGCTTGGCCCGCACATCAAGAGGATGATTCGGGCCATGTGATAATGTATCATAGCGAATGCGCATGTACTGCTTGTAAACCAAATCTCCTCGGCGAAGATGTCCGAGGCCGGCCCTCGGCTGCCGAACTCACGTTTTAAGATGGCATCAGGCTGGAAAGATGGAGGGATTCTCTCAAGCCAAGTGTCAAGAGCGCAGTGTAGTCTTGTCCACTGGGCCTCGTGCTCGGCCGGGGCGAGAATATTAGAGACGGTTCCGTACTTGCAATTAACTACTTTGCACAGTAAGCGGAGCAGGGCGCGAAGGGCCGTCTGCTCATTGTCATGGTGCACATCGACGCTGCCCGGTGTGGGCATGTCAGTGCGAGGATATCCAGCGTCATCAAGTGGAAGCCCCATACTACGCCAGAGAAGTAAATCTTCGGTGTCGACTCGCGTGTGTCGTTGAGAAACAACTGATGACGATGAGTGAGTAAGTGAGCATCAGCGGCAAGGGAGGGTCTTACAAGACTCCTTGAAGTCATTGAGTACGAACCACCAGAAGAGCGACTGATGGGCTATCGACTGGTATGGGCGCGGATGGCTCGTACGAAGGGTCTCTTCTCTGCCGTCAATCTGCAGAAGTTTGCAAATTCCATCGACGTGGCCAGACCACGCCCTCATTGTAGCGCTGATATCTTCGTATTGGCATAAGATGCAAGCTGCGACTAGGCGAATGGCGGGCATCTCATGGTGCATTTCGACTTCTAACATGGGTCCGGATATGGTGGCCACGCGTCCGTAGATCTCGGAAGGGGATGGGACAAGGCTGCTGAGGCTGGCTGAAGAGCCGGGACGGTTCTCTGAGATTTCCCTTGCTAGTGCCTGGATCGCCTTTTCGTAGTACTTGGCCCCGTACCACAGATAGTCCAGCTCTGTGGCTCTGATTGTATCCATGACCTGGATTTGGCCATCTGTAAGTCGATTTCGCGGCTCGGGCTCATCCATTTGGCCCAGTTGCTTTGCTGAAGTTGCGCAGGCCGAATATCTTAATAGAGGACAGTGCCTCGCCAAAATCAAGACTTGGCGACTGAAGTAGTGATCGGATGTCACAAGATCCATTCTTTACAGTGTAAGTGACGGTCGGCGCCGACATATGGTTGAAAGGGGCCCATACGCCTTGCCCAGTCCTTCGGAAAATTGACGTAAGAAGAAAGCGATTTCATCTGCATCTTCATTGCCTTCCCTGACATGATTATTGTGTAGAGTCCGAGTGGGTGCTGAGTTGTGGGTTGGACCGAGAAAAGGCGCTGAAATCGCGTCAGCTACAGATCAGAGGTGTTTTGACAGTCACACTTACGTTCAGGCCAAATAGGCGTGTTGACTGCATTTGCAAAGGGGGTATTGGAACTTGGGTGTTCGCCGGTAGCATCTGGCACTGTCTGAGCGGTTGCCGGTGCTGCGTGGTCAGAAGGGACTGTATCGGTCACCCTGGGGCTTGGCTCGTTGGCGATTGGGCTCGGACCGGCGGGTCTGGCTGCGGGGGAAACGTGCGCAACTAAGGGAATCAGCACGCAAGCAAATGGGTGATTGTAAGCTGACGGACTCTGCTGAGGGGAGCCAGTCGGCGCCTCTGCTCTCGGGATATCGGTGTTCGACTGCACAGCTTGCTCGGCTGTTTCTGCTGCAGCGGGAACGGAAAATGTCAAAGCATGCTGTCTGAAAAGACTGTCAAGGATTGGGCAAGAGCGACCGGCGCGTCTGCACTGGCCGCACTGAGGGTGCGTCTCGTCACACTTGATCTTCCTCTTTCGGCACTCGGAGCTTCGCAGGACTTGGGTCAGCGGCGGAATCGTCATGCAGGCGGATGAGTGGGCCACGTACCAACCCTTGCGGGATCTCGCATGGCCCGGTCTGCGATTCTGGCCGGGAGTTTGGTCAGCTCGGCGATTGGACTTGTCGACGGCTGCACAGCGCATTCTCGTTTCGCAAGAATTGACAAAAGCTATCAGCGAGTGGCCGTGGCGTGGCAGAGCCGACGATGGTCAAAACCCCGCCCGCCTAAGCTGCCGCTTTTGGCAGAGAAGGACGCCAACCAGAAGCTACCGCGATATTTTCCCGATGTGGACAAGGCGGCAGCCGTCCCTCCACTGGACGCGCGGTCCTCGGTCATGTCCCGGTCGAAGTGGGTCCACACCACAACGCACAAAAATCCGCTAAACTTTCCACATCTGGCCGGAAATGCGGAGGCGGCTACGCCCCCACTTTGCAGTACTCCACCAATGCTGCAGTCGAGCTGTATAAAATGTCAAGCGTTCGAGAGGGTGCAATGAGCCACACGACCAATCACCTACAATGCCTCTTTACCAGCCCCCCGACGTCAATGCCCACGTGCTCTCGCAGTTTTCCCTCAAGGGCAAGATTGCGGCAGTCACTGGTGGAGCCAGAGGCATCGGCGTCGAGATCGTGCGCGGCCTGGCCGAAGCAGGAGCCGACGTAGCCCTCATCTACACGTCCAGCAAGGACGCCCACGAGACAGCCGCCCAGATCGCGCAGGCGACGGGCGTGCGCGTGCAGGCCTTCCAGTCCGACGTCGCCGACCGCGATGCCATCGCCGCCACGGTGAACAAGATCGCCGCCGAATTCGGCCACGGCCGGCTGGACGTCATGGTCGCGAACGCCGGCGTCTGCGCCAACGTCCCCAGCCTCGAGTACACCGAGGAGACGTGGCGCCGCAACAACAGCGTCAACCTGGACGGCGTCATGTGGACCGCCCAGGCCGCCGGCAAGATCTTCAAAGCCCAGGGCAAGGGGAACTTGGTCATCACCGCCTCCGTCAGCGCCACCCTGGTCAACATCCCGCAGACCCAGGCTGCCTACAACTCCTCCAAGGCCGCTGTGGTCCATCTAGCCAAGAGCTTGGCCGTCGAGTGGACAGATTTCGCGAGAGTCAACTGCATTTCCCCAGGCTTTATTCTCACCGAAAGTAGGTATACCGCATCCCGATGCAACTCTGCTACTTTTGCTAACATCCTCTCAGTGCTTACGAAACAGCCTCCGGAATTGATGGACCAGTGGCTGGCCCAGATTCCGGGACGCCGTATTTGTCACCCCGCCGAATTGAAGAGTGTATGTTTTATGCAGAGCGCTTTCTGAGACTGAAGCTGACATGTATATTTATAGGCTTATGTTTTCCTCGCGAGCGATGCCTGTTCTTATATGACAGGTGCTGATATAATCATTGACGGCGGTTACACTCTTCCTTGAGCGCTAGACTATCATAGTAGAATCAAATGACCTTTAATTGTATCATGAATTCTGTCTCATAGAATTTAGCAAATTGAAGAATTAATAGCGAAGAAAGTCACCCTGTTAAGCTCCACGAGCTTTTCGTTCTCACATACAACATTACTCCTTTTCATACCAATTCCACAAGCACCCTCGGTTACCATTTCCACATAGAGGAATGTTAATGTGTGTAGTTTCCCAATATAGAAATTGGCATACTGAATGGCCGAGCAGTAGATGTCTGTGTTTCTTTATGACATCATTCACTGGCTAACCTACTCTCACCATCGGCTGATGTTCAGCAAGCACGTGGGCCGGAAGATGACCGAGAACTACTACGTTATACATGAGCCCCGTGTCAGGTGACAGAAAATAGCGTCAGGAACCACAGAGCCTCCGGTGGGGCTCTGCTCGGCAGTTCGCCGAAGCCGATGCAGGCGCATTTACGTCACCGAAGCCAAACACAAGGCAAAAGTGGAGCCAATTGGGTGGATAGCCGCGGATCCATGATAGCCAAAACACGCAAAATCTCAGTCCAGACTTTCACTTTCAAACATGGCATTTAATTTTCTTTCTTTTTCTTTTTAATGGATCACGGCTGTTCACATGTCTCCGGCGCCAAAGTCGGCAAAAAAGTCTGGCCCAAACCCTTCGAATCCCGGCACCGTCACAAGCTCCAGTGGCTGAGTCTGGGCACCGATCGTCTCCAGTATCTGGTCCAGATTCATCTGGCTCGGTGCTTCGCCCGTCGAGGACGGAGGGAGGAAGCCTTCTACAACAATCAGCCGTTAATGACACTGCTTCACAAAGCACAACCCCGTTCCACTTACCGACGTATCCACCGAGGATCTCGCATGCTTTCGAGGCCATATCGCACGCCTTGCCCAGCTCTGCCAGCGTCGCCAACGTCCGGCTGAGCTCGGTCCGCCATTGGTCGGCCAAGAGATGTGTGGCATCGTATATCAGACAGGTCGCGAGGACCACACCGGCCGTGGTGAGCCAGTACGACGCGTACCAGGCAAGGCCGCGATTGCGCTCCGCAGCGGGCTTGGCGGCCCAGTAATCGCAAATGGACAGGGCGCACTCGTGGGCGATGGAGACGCATATGGAGACCGGGTTGGGCATGTAGCGGCCGTCGGAGGCCTGGATGTCGAGCGGGGCGCGGGCGCGGATGGCGGCGAAGAGGAAAGGACGGCAGATGATGATGCGCAGGTGGGCGGCTCGCCACAGCAGGATCATCTTGGGGCTCGAGGCCCACTCGTGGTCGCTGCCGAAGTAGGGCGGCAGCGAGGCCAGCCAGTTGCGCACCTCGGCGTCGAACTGCAGCACCTCGCACGGCCGCAGGCTGCACGACGAGTGCAGTTTGACGTGCGCCGCGTTGGCGATGCGCGCGAGGCTGACCTGGGCTTGCAGGCAGGACGTCACGGTCGGCACGTTCTGCGGCGGCGGCAGCAGGTCGATGTCGACGGCCAGCTCGTAGTCGTGCATGTTCGTGGGCAGACCTACCGTTACCCCGGTGAGGGTGACGGGCGGGCGGCCCAGGGTCAGGCGAGCCCCGGACTCGAAGACGAAGAGAGTCCACCATGTGCGGCGTCGGAGCTCCATGACGAACGGGGTGGTCCTGGAGGGGTGGAATTCGCGGTGCAAGCCAATGGCGAGGGCCATGTTTACAGCGACTCCCAAGATGTTGAAGCCGGCATTTGGCTTGTTGCGTTTTTGCAGATAGTTGCCCATCAGCGTGAGCGACTGGACCAGAGGCAGCGAGCCCTTCTCCAGAATTGCTGCCGTCAAGTGGGAGCGGGCAGCTTGGTACAGCTGTATGTCCTCCCTGCCCGAGCCTGAGGCGCCCACAAACGAGCCGATGGCAAGCACGATGTGGTACAACAGCGGCCACGAGCCATCTCTCGGCTTGGCTACGGCGCCTATCGTGGAGTCAGCGCGGGGAAACGGGGCACGCTAGGAAGCTAGGGGCGCTTACCGGAGATCTGTGCGCGGAAGGTTGGCTCATGCAGGATGGGATAGGCGGAGTGGTAGTGGGCGAAGTAGTCGTCGAGCAGGCGCGTCAGTTCCGGCGGACGGGTGAGGGCTGCCAGGGTGTCGGTCTCGGTGCCGGTGGAGCTTCCGGCGGAGCTGGAGCGCGGGGTGGAAGCGCTAAGCTCATTGAGAAATTTAAGCGCAGCGCTGCCCGATTCGGTGCCCATGTAGCCGTGCGGGTCGACAGTGAGCGACACCATGCCGTCGACGAGGTCTGAAAACCCCTGCGATTCGTCGAACTCGAGATCGTCGGCGTTGAGTGGCTCCGTCTCGATGACGCTCTGGTCCGGCAGAACGGGGGACGATGCAGGCTGGGACGTGTCTGGAGTCATGGTCCGGAGCGCTTCGTGCAGTGATATGTCGGGCACGTAGCGGCGCCAAGTCATTTCCACGCTGCGCAGAAGGTTTTCGTAGTGGCTCAGGCGTCTGCAGTGGTCAGCACGGGCAGTTGCGGTGTGATGGCCGGGGAAGCAGACTTCTCCAGGATTCGGATGGTATGGGATGGCGAGCTGTAGATGCACGTCTTTCCGTCTCTAGCGCAGTTGCGGCAGGGATCGAGGTTGTTGCAGCGGACCTTGCGCCGCTTGCACTCGTCGCACGCCTGGTTGCGCCGTGCCGATGCTCCAGTAGCGCTCATTATGCAACGGTGGAGAGAGAGAGAACTCGGATGATCGCCGAGGTGGGTGGTGGCGGGAAGGAAATGGGACGGGCCAGCGCGGAGCTTAAAAGCCATCGTGAGCTTCTCCAAATCCACAACACCTGCAATCCGCCCACCATGTCTCCCTCCGCCGACGAAGTCCTGCAGCGCAAGCCCACCAACATTGCTGTCCAGACAAACCCCGACCACGATTTGCACGTCGCCGAGGTCGAAGTCCCCCAGCCCGGTCCCAATGACTGTCTGGTTCACGTGCGCGCCACGGGCATTTGCGGCTCTGACGTGCATTTCTGGAAGCATGGCCGCATAGGGCCAATGATCGTGTGTGGCGAGAACGGCCTCGGCCACGAAAGCTCTGGAGTTGTCATTCGCGTCGGCGACAATGTTACCCGCTTCAAGCCTGGTCCGATTCCTGTTCTCCTTTCTGTTCGCTTCCGGACTGACCCCAGAGAACAGGCGACCGTGTAGCCCTCGAGTGTGGTGTGCCTTGCTCCAAGCCCACCTGCTACTTCTGCCGCACTGGCCGATACAATGCCTGCCCCGACGTTGTGTTCTTCTCGACCCCGCCTTATCACGGAACACTTCGTCGCTACCACGTCCACCCGGAGGCATGGCTGCATCGCTTGCCCGACAGCCTGACTTTTGAAGAAGGCTCGCTGCTCGAGCCGCTCTCTGTCGCCCTTGCCGGCATTGACCGCTCCGGCCTCCGTCTCGGCGACCCCCTGGTCATCTGTGGCGCTGGCCCCATTGGCCTCGTCACTCTGCTTGCCGCCAACGCAGCAGGCGCAAACCCCATAGTCATCACCGATCTAGATGAGACCCGCCTGAAGATGGCCCAAGACCTGGTGCCACGCGTGCGTCCCGTTGTTGTCAACCGTGACGACACTCCCGAGGCACTTGGCTCCAAGATCGTCTCGACCCTGGGCGAGGAAGCCCACCTCGTCATCGAGTGCACCGGTGTCGAGTCCAGCGTGCACGCCGGAATTTACGTGCGTAAACTCCCCACCCGCATACGTTTCTGGAAAACTGACCTTGCATCCAGGCCGCGCGCTTCGGCGGAGCAGTCTTTGTCATCGGCGCTGGGAAGAACTTCCAGAGCGTCCCCTTCATGCACCTTTCTACCAAGGAAATTGACTTGCGCTTCCAGTACCGCTACCACGACACGTACCCAAAGGCAATCAGCTTGGTGGAATCTGGTCTTGTGGATGTGAAGAAGTTGGTTACGCATAGATACTCGTTGGAAGAAGGCTTGGAGGCATTTAAAACCGCTTCCACCCCCTCAGCAAAGGCTGTCAAGGTCCAGATCCTGGATGATTAGTGTTATGTCTCATGATCTGAACTCAATTCAATCTCCTCCCGAGAAATTTTAGTACACGCATTTTGTGGCGCACGGTGTTTTGCTACCCGATCGTAAGCTCCACAGTAGCAGAACCGTTATCATTTGTAAGCGATACCTCCCAGCACGGTATTTTCCCCTCTCCAACTGACTTTTCAAAGCAGGAAACTGTCTAAAATACTCTGAATATTCCAAGTATTCACCATTTGCCTTTGCTGTTTACAACCCTGGGAGTATTCTCAATTCATGATCCACGTTACTTTGAATCTTGCAGCTTTGTGTTCAGCAAATGCAGTAATTGTCTTCTCCAGAAATGACGTTCTCAGCACACAGCAAATATACATCTATTGGTCATGTCTACGTCACATCCGCCGAAACAGCAATAAGTGCTTCTCTCGGGCATATCCACCCATTGACATCTTCCTCCGCACTCTGCATCATTTCCCCCAACCTCAGCTAGCCTGCGACCCACCGACCTTGGCCTCGTAATCATCCGGCGCCGGCTGCGAAGTGGCGTTCTCGAAGTGATACAGCGTCGGCTCGACCGCGTCGCGGCGGAAGAAGACGTACCTGGAGATCCACCACGGCAGCACGCGGCCGGCCTGGAAGCGGGCGTGCACCGTCGTGGGCACCCCAAAGACGCCGTCGAGCTCCTCGAGGCTGAGCATCTTGGTCTCGGGCATGAAGAGGAAGATGGCGACGAGCGCGAGGGCGTTGAGGCCGGCGTAGAAGCCGAACGCGCCCTGCGGCCGCAGCGCCTGCAGCATGCGCGGGAACGTCAGCCCCAGCACCGCCGCCCAGAAGTTGTTGGTCGCCACCGCCCACGACATGCCCACCTCGCGGTGCGACAGCGGGAACACCTCGGACGAGTAGACGAACGCGCAGGGCCCCTCGCCCGGCCCGTAGAAGGCCACGAAGATGAAGATGAATAGTGCGATCAGCCCAAGGTGCGCCGGTGAAGACGTCGGGATGTAGAAGGACAGCCCGGTCGCGAGGAGGGAGAGGCACATGAACGGGAAGGTGGCGATGAGCAGCGTCCGTCGGCCCCAGGTATCGATCGTGTATAAGGCAGGGAATGCAAACACGAACATTGCCTACGTCCATCAGTAAGGGGCAAATATCCATTTCAACAAGTGCTCTTACCATGCCAAAGCCCCAGGACACAAGAAGTGCAACGATCTGGCTTGCACCAGCCTGTAGGAAGATGGTAGAGGAGTAGAAGGACATGATGTTGACTGTGCATTAGACCCCTCGTGTCAGAAACTGCCCAAAGCATTGTTCCGCCTGGGGGGAGCACTTACTGCCGCACATCTGTTGGGCGATCATGACAATTCCGGATGCCTGCGTTGCCCGGCGGATTCGCGGAACAGTGAAAAGTTCAATAAACCTCGTGAGCATATTGTCGTTCTTGAACCCCTTTGCTTCGATCAACGCTTCTTCGGCTTGCAATTGCGCATGGATGAAATAAAGGTCTCGGGCGGCTTGAAGTGGTGAATTGCGGAGCCGAAGAAGGGACCTGTGTGCCTTGACGAATTTCCCTTTCTTGATCAGCCAACGGGGTGATTCCGGCGCAAACCAGATCCCAAGAAGCAGCGGAACCGCAGGAATGAATGCAGATCCCAGCTGAAGTCTCCATGCAATTTTCCCGGTATTGATGACCGCAAGGTTGGCCGAAAATCCCAGCATGATTCCGAAGGCGACGAACAGCTGCCATGACATAGTCAATGCTCCACGAATACTCGTCGGTGCGTTTTCAGCGGAGAACACGGGCACTGTGACCTCTTTCAGACCCATTCCCAATCCAAGCAGTAGTCTGCACACCAGAATCTGAGGCCATGTCTGGGCCAATGCCTGTCCAATTGGCGCGAGCAAGCTGAATATCGCCCCAATGAATATCGTACCGCGACGGCCAATCCAGTCATTCAAGGGGTCGGAAAGCCAAGCAGCACTGCGAAAGTCACTGTCAGCTAAATATTTACACAACATGCAGGGTCAAATGTGCGTACAAGAGGGCGATGGCCATGTATGGCGTGCCGTTGATAGCACCCACAATCCAAGAGTTCCTTTCACAGGTTCCATTGGCCTCGCATACAGCTCCAGTGTCGGCTATGCCAAACTCTTGCGGAAAGGACAAATTTGCTCCATTCGATCCGGTCTGATCCCAGCCTTGGATGGCGGCACTGATTGAGTTCAAGAGGATCGTGAAGTAAAGTGCCTTCGGGTGTTGCCACCTATGATTCTTTTCAGACCGAAGTACGTTGAGGTCTTCCTCACTGAGCTCTTCAACAGTTTCGAATTCATCAGCCGCCTGAGCGACAAGAGCGCCTTTGCGAAGATCGGGTAGTATGTCGGTCAGTTGGTGATTCTGCGCAAACGTCTCGACGTCGTGAAAAAGCCTTTCCTTCGAGATTCCAGCAAGGGGATTTTGAATTCTGCCATCACTTTGTCAGAAGCTGCGTCCACAGAGTCTGGATGGACTTGTTACTTACTCGCCAGTAACATTGTGACTCAAGTTTTCCACAATTTCCTGATGATGGATCGCATCTGAGGGGGAGATCTCACCGGCGCTGTGCTTCTCCATTGTGACGGGTTGTTCTTAATGGGAAGTCCAATGCGCTAGAGAACGGGACGGAAGCAGAGTTGTCACGCAGGAGGGAAGAAAAATCTGGGGCGAGCGTCAATGCTTTTAATCACACCCCCGGTCTGGGGTAACCTGGAGAAGCGGGGTAGAATCTTGGAGAGGTGGAGCCTACTCGGTGAACCACCGAGCCCAAAACGCCTCCAAATCGCCGCCGGAGAGCCTCATTGCGCTAGGGCAGACGCTCGGGATTTGCCCGAGTGGATTTTTGTTCCGGCGGAAGCAAGGCGCCTAGATATGACGGACTTCTCGATGAAGCTACGAGTCGGAGCCGCTTGGCTCTCACGCGTAGCGGATGGCCCTGTGTAACTTGACTCACAATCTGAAACGGCAAAAGAAGTGGTCCGCTCGCCGTAGAAAAAGCACCTGCAGCCTTAAATACTCACAAGGAGTCTGTCACGGTCGACTTATTAGCGTTCCGTTATCTAGCTGTTACGATTACCACTGGTAAAACTATGTGTTAATAAGCCTCGTCTGCTTTCAGTCTCGGCTTTTCTTGTCAGTGTTGGATCGGCGGTCCTTCCTTCTCAGTCTAGCCGGTCCACTACCGAGCGGCGGCCTTTCCTTGAGCGGGGTCAGAACACGAACCCGCCGGCTTCGTGTTACGGTGGACTTTGGTCCGCCGGCTCATTGGGCACACCTCGCAAGAAACCTTGGGACCTACATGAGCTTCCGCGGATGGCATCTGAAAGCCCTGTCGGGTTCTCTTTCTTTTTCTCGTTCTCTTTCTCTTTCGAATCCTGCGTACTCCACTACTGCTTCCCACTTTCACTACCCGGCGAAGTGGCTGTGCTACCATCCAGCCACCAAATGAAGCGAACTCGCTTGGGTCACAAGAAGTCGAAAAATGGATGCACACACTGCAAGAATCGTCATGTTAAGGTGCGTCAGCTGCGTGCAGTCACATTAGGGATCGAGCGAATGCACACAGCTGAAACTTTTCGAATTCCACTTTGTACTGAAATTTGAGGCAGTGTGATGAGCAACGGCCATGCGGCAGTTGTAAGCGATACGAGATGGACTGCAGTCTCACTGCAATGCCAGAGCAGAATCGCGAGTTCCAATGGCACAATTCCACCATTGCTGGGGTAGAGCCTCCGGTCTCTGCAGACCAACCATCCCAAGCCACTTCAGCTGGAGAGGGCGCTCACAGCCATGCCATCGTTCCTATTATGGATACGCCACCACCAGTCTTTTATCCCAGAGAAGCGTATTCCCAGCACCTGATTCACTCCCTAAAGGCAAAAATCGCCGACGGGAAGAGACTTTTCGACAGCCTCGAAGAGGAAATGCAGATTCTAGACCATAACGTCCCAATACCAGCGCAATTGGAGTTGGGCATGGAAACTCCCACCTCAGATCTTGTCCAAACTGGGCCAAGTGACTGGCTTAAGGATTTGCAGCTACTGAAACACTACCTCACCACCGCGTATCTGTCTTTCTGCCAGGATGAGCGCCTGGCCCCTCTCTGGCAGCACGTCATTCCAGAATGCGCCTTCTCCCACGTCTGTGCTTATCATCTCGATACCCCCGTACGTTGCTAAGACTTATTAGGAGTACCTGATGCACGGCCTTCTTGCTGTCTCCGCGCTGCATTACGGCCATGCAAATCCCTCGCACAAAGAGACCTACAGCCTTCTGTCCGCGCGGCACCAGGCGCTCGCGCTGAATTGGTTCTCATCTCAGCTGCACAACATAAACTCAGAGAACTACAAAGCACATGTCTTTCTCGGCTCAATCGTCTTCATGTTCCCCATATTTGCCGTCGCGGAGGCCGGCCGTGAGCGTCAGATTGTAGACACACATGACATTGTCCAGTCGTTCGTTCTACTGAAAGGCAAGTCTTACCGCACCTCTCCTCTACCTCGTATATAACTCACGAGGGGGTCCAGGAGTAAAATCGATTCTTGATACCCCTCCAACGTCCCAGTGGGCCGCTAGTGGAGAGCTTGCCCCACTCACCGAAGTTTCAGTGCCCACCGATACCCCGGCGAGCGGCGAGTTTGTCAGGCAGCTAAACACTGCGCGGAGCTCGATCAAGTGCATCGCTGCCGAGCGTGAAGAAACAACGGAGGTCTTGAACACATGTGAGGCTGCTGTTGAAGCGCTGCAGGAGACGTACACTCGATCTATTGTGCCCGGGACGATGGCGGACGGTGTCTGGCTTTGGCCGCTGCTTTTGCCCGAGTCGTTTATCTCACTGATAATGGAGGGCCATCCATCGGCACTGGTCGTGCTGGCACATTTTGCGGCTCTGATGAGATGCTTTGAAGTGTACTGGTGGTCGAAAGGGTGGAGCGAGAGTGTGGTAGATATGGTAGTGGCACGACTGGAGGCACGGGCATTTACGTGTGTAGAGTGGCCGGTTATGTGTGTCAGAGAAGAGATTGACGTGCGAACACTGGCATGATAAATGTACGATTTAAAGGCGTGGGTATTCGAGAAGATTTTTATGTTTGGTACCTGAAAATAGCATCTTTCATAATTTTCCTATCATGGGTCTTTTAGAATAATGATTCTCCAGCGTCCCCTGTATGCTCTAATCTGAACGCTCTGTACCGCAGCTCCATGAAGCCGCTCTTCATAAGAAATTTGATAAATAAGGACCGATGCAACACTACTTAATCGGCGGCAATTACCAAGGTGTGAAACATAGGGACTTGAATTTGTAAGAGAGTGGATGCCGGAAAGAAAGGGTTCCGGGCAAATATGACTAAGTTATCAATACAAAATGCAGCCATCCTGCATCAGACTCAGTCGACTCTCAACCAATCTCCTCTGCACAGCCACAACCGCTTAAAGAAATGTCTACCCGCTTTTTAGTTTTCGGCGGCACAGGTAACTACAAAAGTCCTCACGTGTGGGTGAGTCTGAAAGTAATGAAAACGTATGTACAGGTGCCATCGGCCTCTATTTCATCAAAGCCGCCCTTTCGGCCGGCCACGCCCTGGTTCTATTCGTCCGAACACCGTCAAAGCTCCCCGAAGATCTTCTGTCGCACCAACATGTCTCTGTCATCAAAGGCGACCTATCCGACGCCGCCGCTCTCGAACGCGCTCTGAACAGCGGTGCAAATGCTTTCGTCTCATTCGCCGGCCCGTACTACGGGACAAGTGGCACGGTCCGCCTTCCTATTCCATCCCTCCCTTTCCTTATGACGCCTCGGCCGGCATATCATTTTGAGCTTTGGGGTGCGACTAACAAGCCGTGCAGCCCATCACCGACTGCTACAAGACGTTCCTTCCGAGGTTAGCCGAGCACGGCATCGCCCGCGCTCTCGTACTTTCCACCCCATCATGCCCCTCACCGTCTGACAGCTCCTCTCTCTTGTGGGGATTCGGACGACTCACTATGCAACTGTTTGCAAAGCAAATGCTACTGGAGATGCGCGGCGTGGGGCAGACCGTGCAGTCTCTCCCTGTGGACCAGGTGAGATGGACCGTTTTTAGGGTTGGAGGACTGAAGGACGGAGAGGAAATCAATGAGGTGGTGGCGACATTTCTTGGTAGTGGGAAGGACACAATGGGAGTGACCAGGAAGAGTGTGGCGGAGTGGGTCCTTGCCGAGGCGGAGGAATGCAAGTGGGTCGGCTCCTGTCCGTATATCTGCAACCCTTAGGGTGTTCTAGCGATGTTTTACGCGCAATGCTATCCAAATACTCAGGATTGCTACACAATAGTGGTGAAGTGCGGCCTCTGTAGCCTGTACTCACCCGTGATGTCGCTGTCTAGCCCACCCTGTGCTAGTCCCTTGGCTTCTTGCGCGTGATGACTGTGCCGTAGCACTACTCGGTAAACCACTGTTTAGTACGTGGAATGCCAAAAGTGTCTCAGCCTAGAATCACTCATCTTAGAGCTCATGGCACTGTGAAGTGCAAGTTCAACTTGGAAATTTAACGAGTTCAATAGATTGAGGGGTTTAAATGCCATTCCATGCTATATATGAAGTTGAATTGACAGAGACAGTCTTGGCCAGCCAGGTGGCTGGATAGTCCTACTCATCGCACAGTTCTGGCTATTTCTATCTCAGAAGCCTATTTTTACTTCTAATAATACCCCAGTGTAATTCAACGGGCTTACTCTGACGAGAATATAGTGGTGGCAGTGTGTGTGAGACGTATGCAAGGTCACATCCGGTCAACCCGGCAGCAGAATATTTATATGCTTCTTGCAGTGAGATGGTTATCACACGATTGAACTGACTCATCGAATTTGTTATATCTACAATAGATGCTACCCCCTGCAGACAGCTTCTCAGCTTGAGCGGATGAGTGCTTGGCAACGATTCGAACACTGGAAGATTGAACGGTCTCTTGTAGGCTGGAAGTTCAGTCTAAGACTAGGGACCCTTCTGGCAACATTGGTGTACGCGTTCAATACAGCTGCCCTCGTTTGGGCATTGGGCTACGCTCAAGATATTGGCGATGGCCGTGCGATTCTATTCGAAGGAAAGTGTCCCAAGGTGCAACATTACAACACCATTTTCCACATGTATATCAAAATTGCGAGTACGCCCCTTACAGCAACCAGCAACTTCAGCATGCAATGCCTTTCGTCACCTACCAGACACGAAGTCAGAAGAGCACACAGGAAGAAGGTCTGGCTTGACATCGGTGTCACAAGCTTGCGATATCTTCCCCACGTCAGCATCCGAAAAGCATTGTCATGGACTATCTTGGCAGGAACCTGCTTATCTCTCCATTTGCTGTAAGTTCTCCCACGAACAATGATTGATGATGAATTAATAGCGAATCAGCTTCAACGCAACCATATTCTCCATTGATACAGGCTCTTATACTATCTACACTGTTAATCCGGGAGTTTTCCGAGTCACCGAGGATTGAGTTCTAGTCGATCCATCGATCGTCTCATCCAACGTCCAAGAAGTCCAGAAAATTATTTACGAGCAAGACTTTCCACAGGCCAATGAAACGATCTACCTTCGGCCAACTGTTCAGCACTATACAAAAGGCTAGTGCATTCATATGTTTGCACGGCCGTTCATATCTGATCGTCATTTTGTTTTTCTGGATTTATCAGAGCACAAGAATCTCACACGAGTTTTCAACATAAGCCGGAGGATTGATGCAACGGCACTACTTGATCCCGATAAGTCACAAGGCTGCCATATCGATCCATATGGATGGATTTGCTCCAAGGACGCCTTAGGAAATTGTCTAGATCCGTGCAGCATGTCTGAAAGGCAATATTGACTGGACTCCCTTTCAATCGGACCAGAAGGTATCCGGTTGTTACAGCACCCAAATGGAGGAGCATTGTCGGCTTGAACTGGCTTCGCAGCTATTCATTGCTGTTGTTGCTATCATATTCGTCAGAGCTCTCATTGATAACATAACTGCCTATTACATGGAAGCAGCGCCTCTACTGACGGTCAGCGATGCCGTGAGCTCATTCATCGCTCAGAGGGACCGACATACGAGGAACATGCAATTTATACAGCTCAGAGATGCCAACTACAAAGCCGCTTGGCCATCTCGCCCTAGGTTGTGGTATCCATCACGACAACGCCGAAGAATATACGTCAATTAAATATGACACTTGACAGACCCCAAATCAAAGAGCGGTATACACAGCCTAAAAATGAAGGAGATAAACTGGTAACTTCAATTTCATGCATACTCCATGCATACTAATACTCTCGCCCAAGAATAAGAATGTAAATTTCATCTCCTACGTATCACATCATGCCATTACCACAACATTCATGTAACTATTAAGCTATGAGTCGACTAGAGAGAAGGAATTGCGATTTCGGGTAAGTCGGTATGGAGTGAGCGTGTGCTCAAGCTAGAGGAAACGATTATGTAAAAGGCGTTGGTTAGCGTGGCGGCTAATAAAGACACAGTCACGCTGACGGGTTGCATCATAAAGCCTCTTTTAGCCGCGCGTTGACACCAGGAAAAAGAATTTGTCTACATAGGATCTAAAATTCTATCGCGGCATCTTTGCTGGAGATTAGTCCGACCAGAAGCCGGACAATGCAAGGGGAAAGGTGCACCATAAATAGTGTATGGAACATCAGATATTCGGATGTCAAAATAGTATGGAGAGCGGATGCGGGGTCGGGCCTCGGGTCGAGTCATGTCTGCACCCCCAAAACGTCCGAGCTAAGACCGTGACGGAAATAATTCTGAGCCTAACAGCGGGAGCGGCGCCCGCGTGTGATCACTTTCAAGCCAGACCTGGGCAAACATATTACGGCAGCATAACGCTCGTTGAGCTAGTCTTACTCTTTCCCACTTTTACGTCTACGTCAGCCCCAGTGTCTCCAAGTATCTTCATCCAATCTCTGCATCTCTTTCCAATTTGAGCATGCTTCCGCCCAGCAACGACCGCCGTAGCCGGCTTCCTCCTTGGATCAGTCGTTGGCTTGGCTATCGCGCCTCGTCTCCCGCACCTCTCCCTTGGTACTTGACCTACTTGTGGTCCTTTGTCGCTGCCTTCTGCGGGCTGTCGGTCCTTCAGGCAATATTCAACTACTCAAACTACTTCAAGGCTCGTCACGTGCCTGGTATCATAGCCTCATACGTACGTTCAGTCCTCAAAATAGAGGGTCTTTTAATCAACTGATCATATCCAACAGGGCGCCTCAGCAGTTCTTGTCTACGGTGTGCCCCAGGCCCCGCTTTCTCAGCCACGGGCTCTCGTTGGCGGGCACTTCCTCAGCGCACTTGTTGGAATTTGCGTTACAAAGCTTTTCAGCCTCATGCCTTCGGACTCCAAGTTCGAATCACTACGCTGGCTAGCCGCCTCGCTATCCACAGCCATTGCTATTGTCGTCATGCAGATCACGGAAACGACACATCCACCCGCAGGAGCCACTGCATTATTACCTGCCGTCGATGAGGACATTTGGAACTTGTCATGGTACTATCTCCCTATCGTTCTGCTATCTTCGACCATGATCCTCCTCGTCGGCATTGTTATCAACAATACTCAGCGTGTTTACCCTGTTTTCTGGTTCGCTCCAGCGAAACCTGCCAAGGTTGAGCAGGGGCCGGAGTCGAAGGGGTGACCGACAGCCGGCTAAGCAACAGACCTTTGGCTTTTCTACCCAGTCACACTGATTTAGCTGCCACTAGATGGCTACACCCTCTGACACAATTCATGGGCTGGTGTTGAGAAATTTGTATATAAGCATCTATTGTGCATTTTGAGGGCTAAAACGTACCTGATAGACTAAGTGCCATGAGGTTTCCATTACCTAAAAGAGGAGAAAGAGTCTGGCTATGATATATGTACTTTTTGAAAGCTTGGCTAGGACGGGTGGCTGCAAATCGTTACTATCCGAGTATTGCCCTTAGAGCAGACCATCGTAATAATAACAGAATTGAGGAATGGAAGACCCCAATTTAGTCCGGAGATGATCCTGTTCTGCAGCCGAAGGAGTAGTCAGAGTTTCTTGTGAGCATACCGTGCGACTACAAAATAGTCGCATTTTGAGTTGGTGAAAAAGTTCGAGGTGGGTAGCGATGGTAGTAATTTCCTTCCAGCAATCCAATACACGTGCTGCATATGCTAGCTATGAGATCAGTGTCAGTTTGGGCCGCCTCATTGACATGGATCAGGTTGGAAAATATACCTCCAGTGGAGGGGTCTGCAATCGTTGCGAAGAAGGAATTGGCCATATCCAAGTTGTTGAAGCTAATACTGCTGGATATTTATATACCTCTGTAGACCTCGAATACTGAGTTCTGAAAGCAAAACTAATATTTCTCAACAAAAACCTATCCATATTAATGCACTCTAGCCCTGCCAATGTACATACGATATAACTACCACAGCGACAAGCTTCCCAAATTATTTACATCACAATGCAGCAAGACTCATCATTACTCTTCTCATCGTCATCGCAGCAGCAGAAGCAGGATCCAAAACAACTGTCACCTCCGCAGCAGTTACAACAGTCATCACCGCAACAATCCCCACAGCAGCCTTCATCGTCGTCGGGTGGGGGCTTGGACTCGGTCTCTACTTGGTCATAGGAAACCTGCGTCACACTGTAGTCCGTACTATGTGAATCCGTATTATGGCTCTCGTTCTCGAACTCGGAGTGATGCTCCCACGCCTCTGTAGCCCCCACGCCCAGAGCGGCTCCGCCGGCAACTCCACCAGCAACTCCGAGCATCGTCGTTGACGAGTACTTGTTTTGCTGCGATACGTTGATGTCTATGTGTTGGTTCTGTTGGTAGCTTTGGTGCTGTGGTTGGTAGCCTGAGTTCTGATAATGCGGGGCAGCATGCGGTTGTGATTGATGGCCGGGGTGTACATGGCTCTGATGGTGCGAAACGGGATGTGGTCTTGATTGTTGTTGATAGGTAGGCTGAAGAGGGCGTGGGTACGGGTTGTGAGGTGCATGATGTTGCTGGGTTGTGTGGTGCTGCTGGACTGTGTGGTGGTGATGGGTTGTGTGGTGCTGTTGGGGTGCGTGGTGCTGCTGAGGCGCGTGGTGTGGTCGCTGATAAGTGGGATGCGGGTGCGGTTTGTACTGAGTATGATGAGGTTGTTGCTTCTTTGGAGGCGCATGGTGGGCGGCATGAGGTTTGTGAGGCTGCTGCGGAGCCTGGTGGTAGTGGTGAACTGTGGTGTGGGTTTGGTGTGAATGCTGTACTGGGCGGTGGTGGGTTTGGCGCTGCTGGTGGCGGGGTGCGTGCGTTGTAGGTTTGTTGTGAGCAACCATTTTGATTGTTGTTGAGATAATACGCTCAAGTGCAAGTGTTGAGAGCTAGCTGTGTAATGATTGAGGACCGATCTATATAAACTATCCACTTGAGCCTCACTGCTATTGTTTTACGGGTCTTCCTGTGGATGCAACAAAATATAATTAGTATCACCCCAGCCTCGTGCGCGCGAAAGAGCCGTTAAGGAACCAATGCTCCTTCTGTACTAGCACTGTTTGCTGCTCGAAGCCTACAGGCTGGCTACCGACGAGGAAGCATGGCACTGGTTCAAGTAAACGAGCCACCGACGGCTGAGACGCTGTAAATCAGCAGCCACAAAGCGCCACTTGGAGTGGTTGGCACACCCTACGGGCCGTAGATAAAAGCAAATGAAAAGAGGTAGATTTGGATCTTCTCGAAGGTATTCTACAGTAAACTACATTTAATCTCTGGGCGTATTTATCGAGAAAAGAAAAGAGAAGGCTTGATTTGCAAAATAAATCCCATCCGCACTCGTCAAAGATGAAACAGATATTTCGTTGTTTATTCGTGGCCGGTTGCCAAGTGCATAGCCCGTTCACATGCGGGGTGCAAAGCGCCACAACGCACGCCATGTCGCGGTAGCCCTTGCGTACAGCCCCCGCTTCCATCCCACACCTAGCGCGAACTCTGTGAGATCCGCCAAAAGCATGTTATTGGACATTTTCTGGCGATGCAATAGGTTTAGCCGGCATGATCCGATAAACTACAGACATATCTGTATGTACAGCCCCCGACACAGCACACTGCAGACTCATCTCGATTCTCACGTCAGCCGGGAGCCCCTGAGATGCTTCATTTGCGCATTCGCGGCTCACATCCCCGTCCGATTCGCCCAAATATGCTAAGAACATGCATTAGCGGTTATTTCACGTCACATCACACACTGAATCAGGAAGCATGGACCGGGAAACACCTCAGCTCATGTGCAATAGTAGACGGCAGGATGCTGTGGCGCTGTTTGAGCCTCATCAGGCCCCCATGCGGGACGGATACCTAGCAATCTGGGTCTGGCAGGCGTTCTGGCCCTGGCGGCGAACGATGCAAGCAACGGCGACGCACTTTCTGCGCCAGCTGTGCTTATGCATCCACATAATCTCATCAACTTATTGACCCTTCTAATAGAGGCGGCAAGGTTGGAGCTGCGCGGCTTTATCCACGCTGTTGGTGTTTCTCCAACATGGTCGCATTCGACGATCACGCACTTGATCTCGGATCCAAAGGCATGCAACTTCACAGAATTAGATAATGACGACTACTCGAAAAAGTATGTCGCGCTTCCCTTCTTAGATAATGCTTACCTTCGGTACTGCCAAGTAAACGCCTCATTGGGTCCTTTCTCGTTCAACTGTTACTTATTCCAAGCAGCCAACTGCGATAGAGATGATTCAGCGTCCTTCCAGAATGAATAACATCTCACAGCAAGAATGATAGGAGATCCTGGTATCAGAGTTTCCCATTCACATTCGCCTAACTCCGTATTTCATTGAAATCCTACACCAAAGCTATTTCCCTCCCTTTAACACTATATCGACAGCTAATACGCCCTACACATGGCCACGGAAGCACGTTCCACGCGCTCTATACCTAATCCCCAGTTTCTGCACGTTGAACTGACATCCTCAAGATCGTCCGACGAGGGAGCCCTCGGCATCTTCCTACTTCACAGATGACGTAGCAAATAGGCCAAACCTGCACCTCATCACAGAGGCTACCCTTGAGAAAATCCAGCTTGAGACGGCTTTGGGCAGTGTTGTTGCTTCGACGGGAGTCCAAGTCTTGATCAAGGATTGGAGGGCGTAGATTTTTCTGAACGAATGCCCACGGCGAGGTCATTCTCGCCGCCGGCGCAGTCAAGTCGCGGCAGTTGCTCGAGCTCAGTGGGATTGGCGACCCAACCATCCTCGGCGAACACAACATCCCCGTCAACGTCAACCTTCCCGGCGTCGGTGAGAACCTACAAGACCACGTCCTCTCCTGCCCGAGTTACGAGATCGCGCTGGCGACCAGATGTGCGGCGATTCGCTGCGCGACCCGGAGCTCCTGTAAGCTGCTCTCCAGCAATACCACGATTTCCGCAGCGGCCCCATGGCCGGCACGCCGCTCTCCTTCAGCTACTTCCCGGCCGCCTCGGCATCGGGCGTCATCTCTTCTTATCTAAACTCTCTCTTCCCTCGCCACGCACCTCGGCGCCCACGCCTACTTGTCCTTCCTCGCGCACGCGGCGCAGTACTCGCTGCTCCGCGCGCGCCTGGCCGACCCCAAGGAGACGGGCGGCGGGCGGCGAATTCATGTACATACCTGCCACTGCAGCTTAACATCAACGTGACGGGGCGCGCGACGATGACGACGATGCAGGTAGCTGTTCAGTACGTCGATACGACGGGCGACTACGTCAGCGTCCGTCGCCATTGCTGAATCATCCGCTCGACCTCGAGCTGCTGGCGCGCTAGACGCAGTTTGCCGAGCGCGTTGCCTGGACGGCACCGCTGATGAGCCTGCTGAAGGAGGAGGGCAGCAGGCAGATTTCCGAGGAGATGGATCCGTTAGAGAGGCGAGACGTGGTGAAGGACGTTGCGGGGGAGAAGGCGTGGGCGGCGTTTCATCAGTCCGGCACATCGGAGCTGGGGGGCGTGATGGATGTATGGGGTGAAGGGGTTGAGGGTTGTGGATGCGAGTATATTCCGCTCGAGACGTTGGGGAATATTCAGGCCACGGTGTGTGCCGTCGCGGAGAAGGCGGCCGATTTGATCAAAGGGGGATGATAGATGCTAAAATATGCCATCTTTCTACGCTTTACTGGTGCGTCCAGGTTTCGAACCTTGCACTGATGGTACACCAGTGGTAAATGTGATTGCTATTGAATGTCAATAGTCTGGTCTTGCATTATATCGGGTAGAAGCTCTCTCAGCAAAATAATCCAAGCGCTTCTGTATATGCCTAAACTTCAGCAGAGAGTATTTCGTAGATGGGCTCTCAACCTTCGGTTGATCGGGATCGCTCCGAGAACAGACGAGATTTTCAACACCCGTTACACGAATCTTGGAAGACGTTACGCCTACGTGTGTGCTTAAATCGTTCGGTCGAGGGCATGCTAGTCTGGTTCTGAGATGGCCCAAAGAGTGTGGTCTTTATCCGAGTTTCGTCCTGATGCTGGACTGCGACGAGCGGGGAGAACTGCGGACCATGCGGGAATCTTTCCCAAAAAGGGATGCTTCCCGCTCTTCTCGCGCGCGTGGCACCTGGTCAGCTGCAGCATGTCGGACAAGATGTAAGTAAAGTCTGCCGATGGTTGGATATTGTGGGCCATGGGTCTCCTGATGTATGGGGGCCAAAACCCTCCTGTTCGAATGCTTCGGATCAAAAGACTCACGCTTGAATACTTCCAGACCACGCGCAGGAGTATGATTCACGCTCGCTCAGGCATCCCAGGGGCGAGCTGGAGGACCGAAATCCCCCAGAATATCTGATGGTTATGGGCACTGGAGCTTTAGTATCTGTCATTGGCTGTGGAGACAAAGTTGGCATCGTGCCCGCTATTTGCGGCGCGGTCCAGCGGCCCGACCGTGGCCCGCTGCAGATCACCTTCACCCCCACCGTCCCAGGCAGCACTGCATCCATTACAACCCATCACGGGCGGCACCCCGTCCATCACGCCAGCGGCTGCAGAATTTTATCGACTCTATGAGCCCATATCCCCGCACTCAAGGGGAAAAAGGCCATCATCCGCGGGACCAATACCTCACTGTCTGCACTTCGCCGGGTGAGACAACGTTGACCCCCGAGCAAACATCAACATCAGGATCAACACCAACAACAATACCAACAGTAAGACAGGATCTCCTATCCTTGGGCTTCCCCCTTGGTTCCTGCGTTCTGTACACAGTGGGTTTCCGGCACGCTGGGTATGTTTCTGCGCCGCATCCGCACGGCCCCACACCGCATACCGGCTGCTCTTGGCAATGCGGCGTAGTACGAGCTGCTTTTGCCTATTATGTATTGAGGAGGACTTGTTGTTAGGCTCCCCAGCATAACGGCTCCAATGACGCGGCGCAGTACGGGTGTGCCACGACGGCGGAATTCTCGGTGGCGGCTAAAACCTACATGCTCCCCTTCAGGACCTAACACTTGCTCGACTTTGGCACACCACTGTTAAATACACTCCGGCTTCTCGCTGACACTGGAGTATTTTGCTTGCAGTATCTATTACCAAGTCAAGACTTGAGGTCTGAGGCAGTCTGCAAGTGTAACGCGATTCCATTGGCGGGGGTGCGCCACGCCGCATTGGCTGGCACACCTGCATGTGATACGGAGGACCGTTTGCATGGTTCAGAATCCTTCCCTTGCCGATCGATACCAACGAACATCTTCATGTCGCAATTGACTCGCCTCTGGATCAGGTTTCCTCCTTGACAGGGCAGTGAGTAATACGGATTGTTTCCACACGTGCCCAACTTGAAGCTACTTTAGAGCCCCCATCCGGTAGGGCTGTCTTTCCCCGTTGAGCGAATGCTCCACTGTTCAATCGTGACATCGGGACGCGCAGACTCAGCTACATAGCCTTCATCCCGACTTGCTGGAACCGATGCTCCCTTCCGTAGCGTAGGAAGGAATTTTGGAGAATGTACCCTTACCCTGTCTTTGGTCGATACGTGCCTGCTGTTGATCACGAGGCAATTCAGTGGCACAAGGGATGCTAATAATGTATAGGCACCCAAGGGGGCGCATGTGCTGGCCCCTACAGCCAGTGGCACAGCAGATGAAGCGTCAAGTTGAATCCTTCGATCGGCACACAGTATGAGAAAGTTGCCTTTGCCTGCCGCAGGCAGCCCATCAACGAGCGGCAAAGACTAAACTAATGAGTCTACCATCTCAACCTGAGATAACTCCGGCTTGGCGTACCATCGCCATGTACCCTTGCGCTCGCCACACGCCGCATGGAGATTCTTGGTCAAGCATGGCTAATGACTTACTTTCAAGGGTAAAGCTTTTCGTAAACCTGGTAAGACAGCCCTTGCGGCCTAATTAGTACTCCACTTCCACGCCATGCGACATGCACGAGCTGCCACATTTCCGGGAAGCCGGAATGGCGAGTTGCAGCCTCATTCTTGCCAGGGACCAAGATTGGGGCATATCGCAATCGAAAGCGGGAAATACGTTGTTGGGGAGCTGGAATATAGACTTGCGGAGAAGGCAGGGTTCCCACTCCCTCCTCGCCACTTCTCAGTTTCTCGCTACGCTTTCCGTACCTTATCTCTTCTACCCAGTCACTTAACTCACCCAACGCTTTGGAACAATACTTCATGGCGTTTGGCAAGCGTTGTTTGATTTACGGCATACTGGCTGGATCGTTCAGCCTCCAGCCAGCGTGCGCCTTGCCAATCTTGGACTCCTTGGTCAACCCCTACCTTGACACACTCAAGTCAATCTTGAGCGGCAAAGGTCTGATTGAGGGTACGCTTGGTGCAGTTCAAGGTGCTCTGGGTGTGGAGAAGACATTTGACTATGTCGTTGTTGGTGGTGGCACAGGTGGCAATGCAATCGGCGTGCGCCTCGCCGAGGCCGGCTTCTCAGTGGCCATCATCGAAGCGGGCCTGTACTACGAGATCGGGAAGCCTGTCCTCGGCTCCACTCCTGCAGGTGGTATTGTTGGGATCGGTGCCAACCCCTTGGACTCGGATCCGCTGGTCGATTGGGTCTTCATGACTGAGCCTCAGGCGGGCGCGAATAACCGAGAAGTGCACTACGCTCGCGGAAAGTGTCTCGGTGGCTCGTAAGTCGTTGCCAGAACCAGAGACCCAATGGCACGGGACTGACAATGTCATACCCACAGCTCCGCTCTTAACTTTATGATCTACCACAGGTATGCAGTCATGGCATGGTCCTCCCTTCAAAGACAGTTACTAATCCATGACAGAGGATCGGAGCAGTGCTACCAACAATGGGCAGATGCCGTCGGCGACGACAGTTACACATACCAGAACCTCGACCCATACTTCAAGAAAGCTGTCACCTTCACCGAGCCCAACAATGAAAAGCGGGGAGATAACGTTACCAGTGAATACGAAACAGATGCTTTCGCAACGCCTGGTGGACCTGTCCAGGTCGGATACACAAACTATGTGTCCCCCTTCGCCACCTGGATGGAAAAGGCTCTTCTGGCGGTCGGCTTGAAGAAGACGAGTGGCTTCAGCAGTGGAAAGTTGCTTGGCACTCACTACACTCAGACAACCATCAGGTCTTCGGACCAAACGCGTAGCGCATCTGATGCGTACGTCAAGAGTGCACTCGACAACCCGAATCTCTCTGTATACACCAACACCATGGCCCAGAAGATCCTATTCGATGACAACAAGACTGCAACAGGCGTTACAGTCCAGTCCACTGCCATCACCTACGATATCCATGCCTCCAAGGAAGTCATTGTGGCCGCTGGCTCTTTCCAGAGCCCCCAGCTTCTGATGGTCTCGGGCATCGGACCGAAGGAGACTTTGGAGCAGCACGGAATTGATGTAATTGCTGATCGTCCTGGCGTCGGACAGAACATGTGGGATCACATCATGTTTGGCCCCGCCTACGAGGTCAGCTTCAACACCCTCGACTACACGCTCCACAACCCGGTCGCCCTCGCCGACGCGCTGGCCGACTACGCAACGACCGCCGACGGCATCCTCTCGTCCAACGTGGTCGAGTTCCTCGGCTGGGAGAAGCTGCCACAGGAGTTCCGCCAGAACTTCTCCCAATCGACCGTGGACGCGCTGTCGCAGTTCGCCGACGACTGGCCCGAGGTGGAGGTAAGTCCTACCTGACAACATCCCTCCTCCCGCATACTAACATTTCATCCAAGCTCATCAGCGGCAACGGCTACATCGGCGACTTCTCGCTGCCGGTGCTGCAGCAGCCGCTCGACGGCAAGCAGTACGCGACCATCCTCGGCGGCATGGTCGCGCCCACGTCGCGCGGCAACGTGACCATCAAGTCGGCCTCGATGAACGATGCCCCTGTCATCAATCCCAATTGGCTGACCACGAAGGCGGACCAGGAGATGGCCGTCGCGCTGTTCCGCCGCATGCGCCAGATCTGGGCGTCCGAGACGATGCAGGAGGTCGTCGTCGGTGACGAGTACTGGCCCGGCTTGGACAAGGGCAGCGATGAGGAGATCCTCGAGGTCGTGAGGGATAGCCTCATGACCATCTGGCACGCCGCGTGCACGTGCAAGATGGGTAAGGAGGACGATGAGATGGCGGTCGTGGATACGGAGGCGAAGGTCTATGGCGTGAGCGGTTTGAGGATCGTGGACGCCAGCGCGATGCCGATATTGCCTCCTGGACATCCTTCGAGCACTATTTGTAAGTTCTTGTCTGCTGATTTCTACTATTGCAACGACGCTAACAAATCATAGATGCGCTTGCGGAGAAAATCGCGGACGGCATTGTCAAGAGTTGAAAAAGAGTATTAATTTCTTCGCTGCCTGTATTTATTTCTTTTGTTCTTTTCTTTAGTATAATATTTAATGGATTTTAACTTAAACGCACCTCAGATGGATGCAGACATTACTCCAAAGCGCAAGCAGTAGAGTAGCTTCGAGATGACATTCACCATCAAGATATTGCCCCCGTATCTTTGGTGTCATCTTCCAATCGAGAATCTACTTCGTATTACGATGTCTTTAGCTCAATCTCGCTTCACGTCGGGACTTTTAAGCACCCTTGCTCCAGAATGGAAGCCCATAGCCGATCTTTACAGATAAACTCTGATGTAAAAATCATCAATCCCTCTTCTTACATTTCTCATTGGCCCGCCTTGGTTGTGCCACCAAAAGCCCGAAAGCTTATTTGGCGGCGGAGATTGCCGATGGACAGCATTAGAGGCTTCATTGCGGCATGTAGTGTGCAGAGTAAGGATGTGAGGCGGTACAATATTCCCCGAAGAGAGGCACTCGGCTGTTGTAGTGGCTGGCCCCCAAACTATGACGTCGTTTCTACAAGCATCTTTGGCAGCAACGCCGCCAATTGCCGTGCTGTCAGCACTCTGTGAAGAAAAATGTCCGTGGTGCAGCCCTGTTTTTCCCGCGCGAAAATCTTACACCATGCATTACTGCAGCCACTTCTTCAAGCGCAATGACGTAGTGGTTCTTTCAGCCCCGAATGACCTTCCACAAGATAGGGTCTCGGATAAGCACAGCGCTGTTTGAAAAGCAATATAGAATGCAGGTGATCCTGGAGAGAGGTGCGGCGTGTTTCGCAGCGTAATTCTCAAATGCGTTCCCTGCACCCCCGTCCATTCGGCAGCAGTCAAGCTTCGTCAAGCGTGGTCCAGCATGGACATCCACAGCCGTTACTCTTCGATTGACATCAGCCAGGACAATGGTAGCTATGGTGTTGAGCTTCTCGACTCGACTAAGCAACGGTCGATCACAGAGGAGGTTCACTCACATATCGAAGAGTCAACTCTCCGGCCGACAAGACTGCAAAAGCTGAAAGATCATTGGACATGGGAAATTTCAAGCCTAGCGCTGAGTCTGGTGACCCTAATCGCCATCTCAATCGTTCTGCGCATACTGGATGGGAAGCGGTTGTCATGGTGGAAGTCGTCAATCAGCCCAAACTCTCTCGTGTCTGTCTTCGCTGCTGTCTCTAAATCGGCTATGATATTGTCGATCACGGAGTGCATCAGTCAGGCCAAGTGGCTATACTTTTCCCAGGAGAGACGCCGGCTGTACACCCTGCAACTATTCGACGATGCGAGTCGAGGGCCATTGGGCTCGTTGATATTCCTCTGGCAGTCGATGTTCAATATCAAGGACGTCCTGGCCTGCGTGGCTGCTATTGTCATGATTGCAGCGCTTGCTGTTGACCCGTTCATGCAGCAAATCATCGACTATCACCTACGGTCCGTTCCCATTGCAGAGATTACTGGCGCAACAACTCCATCCACACAGATGTATGACTCTGGCACTCTGATGGATGCCACACGGGCCAAATGTATGCTGTAAGAGGAAATCCCTTCCGTGAATCAGTGGCTAACTGAAACCGGTAGCAATATTTGCTGGCGTAGACATGCAGTCAGCAATCGTGAATGGGATATTGGGCATCTCTCTGACTCCAACCTTCCACTGCTCCACGGGTAACTGCACATGGCCGGATATTACAAAACTGGGGGTTTGCGCCAGCTGCACAAATGTGACAACTGAGACCGGCAAGTCCTGCGGCAGCCGAGATCCGTCTTCATCCACACAGACGTGCCAGTACACAACGCCCGCCAACATCAACATCACCGCCACGAACGGCCTGGGCGCCAACGGCACCTATACCTACCTCAACACAAGCGTCGACACCGTCTTCACGGAGGACAATCAGCCGCTGCTGCGCTTCGGCATACTCAGATCCCCACCCACCGAAAACGCCGACACAGACGGCGTATTTCCGCCCGACATCTCCGAATGCACCTTCGAATGGTGCGCGCAGAAGACGACCGGCTTCCGCGTCAACAGCGGCGTCTTGCAGCCAGGCAACACCACAAGCACGCCCATCAAGATCGCCTTCACCAACGGCCAATGGACGCCGCACACCCTGAACGGCCGCACCTACGTCGAGCTGGACATCGCCCCGGACGCGCCCTGGGACGGCGGCAGCAGCAGCAGCAGCCGGGCCTTCTACGTGCACAGCGCCGACTACAGCAGCACGCGGCAGCTGCTCGTCAACCTGCTCGTCACGCAGCTGGCCTCGTTCAACGCCGACGCGAGCGGCTTCCAGGTGGCGCCGGTGCTGCTCTTCGCAGGCGGGGACCTGTCGCGGACGATGGGCGCCGTCGCGGCCAGCATGACGGACCTGGTGCAGCGCTGCGACAACGGCTCCGCCGTCCGCGGCCAGGCCTTCCGCGACGAGGCGTTCGTGCGCGTGCGCTGGCCGTGGCTGGTCCTGCCCGCCGTGCTGGTGCTCGTCGCCGCCGCCCTGCTGCAGGCGGCCGTCGTCGTGAATCGTCGTCGGGGAAGCGCGCTGTGGAAGTCGTCGGTGCTGCCGTTGTTGTTTCACGGGTTCGAGCGGCCGCTGGATGCGCCGCTGGGCGAGAGGCTTTCGAGGGTGGAGGCGAGGGCGTGGGGGATGGAGACGAGTTTGCGGGAATCGAGTGAAGGGGCGTCAAGGTTTGTCATTCACTAACGTGTATGTATGCATTATGAACTCCAGGGTTGGCGTTACTCTTTTTGAGAGAGAGCTTGTAGAGGCTTTCGACGTTGTTCGGCAGTTTTCGGTTCCATTGAGTTCGGGTTATACAGGACGTTCTAATGGCCAGGAATGATTCTTAGGCTTACCGGTTATCTCAGAAAGTAGAAGTCAATTTTAGGACTAGCACGCTGCATTTCAGTATGGTTGATACTACAGCAACATGTGCTAATGGAGAGGGGGCAAGTAGATGGAGGCCTACAGCAACGTTTGCAACGGGAACGTCGCGCCCACGGACTCCAACAATAAGCTCCGGACCGGAAGTCTGGGAGCATACTGAACATGAGAATTCACCTTCTCGGAGCTGTAGTTCCGTAGGTACGGTGAGAAACAAGTACGAATTTCCACAGCAAATCCCGCATCTGCCTCGGCGAGGCCGATGGAAGTTTGTGGGGCGCAACTGCTCAATTCATTCGTCCATTACTTGCTGACCGTTCCTGTCATCCGTCGGGTATTCTGAGCGTTTAATGGCTCAAAATAAATTTACTCGTGTGACTGCGGGGTCTGACATTCCTTAGGTGGAGCTGTTGGTGGGGGCGGTATTGAGTTTTCCCCGCTTTCGCCTACTCCATACGGGGCTACGGCACGCTATTTTTGAGCAGGGCTCGAGAAGTAGACAAAAGAAAAAGTTTGATGATGATGGCTGAGCTGAATTTGGATGTAAGCCTTCATCAGCACGGGAACCATTCGCTCACACGTGTTTGATCATCTCATCTCAGAGAATGAAAAGCGTAACTTTTTCTCATTGGTAAGAGGTATCTAACTGAAACTGAAAAATGCGACAAAAATTCTTTTGACATGAATCGTAACGTGATATGTATATCATCACATTCACATGAGCATCATGATCGTGGCGAAGCCGACGAGCATGGCAAGACCAGACTGAGCCATTCCGCGGCTGGAGGAAGAGCCGCTGGTGAACTGACCAGGGCCGCTGTTGCCGTTGTTGGTTCCGTTAATAGCAGACGTGACGTGTCCGGTCGAGCCGGGAACGCAAGAGCCATTGCGCCACATGGTGTCGAACACGGTGGTCCACACGGACACGGGGTCGAACATCATGGGCGCCGTGTAGAAGATGCGGCAGTCGGCGTACTCGGGCACGAACTGCAGCGGCGTGTTGCTGTCGTCGCCCTTGCGGTAGTTGTTGCGGTAGTTGAGCGCGCCCTTCCTGTCGCCGGCGACCACGGCCGTCCGGTTGAGGACCTGCTCGGCGTCGGCGAGATCGGTGACGCCCGACGCCTCAAGAAGGTCGAGACTATCCGAATCGAATGTTTCGGCGAGGTTGCGTATGTAGTCGGCCGCGTAGATGATTTGGCCCCAGGTTAGAACTTCGGCACCCTTCGTTCCGCCGACACCCACCATGGGTCCGTTCTGCGGCCGGCCACCCATGACGATAGACTTGACACCAGCCTGTGTCTTCATGAGCTCTGCAAAGACTGCGCAGGTCGAGGCGCAGGTGCCGTCCTGGAGCAGGACGATGTTCTCGGCCTTGAAGGGCTGCGACGGGACATCACTATTGTCGCCGTAGCCGCTGACGCTGAAATCGCCGACCTCGAGCGGGTCGCTGAAGTTGTTGCGGACCAGGTTGGTGAAGTTGTCGCCGTGGATTGCATCGGGCCCAAAGAAGGCCTCCCAGGAAGGGAACTCCTTGTTGTTGACGTCAAGGCCAGCCGACTGGGCCCAGAAGTGGCGAATGATGCCGTACTGAAAGCTGTCAAAGATTTCTTCCTGTGCCGTTTCATTGTTCGCAATGTCATATTCGTCCGCTATGGCAGTCACAACTTGACCCATGGCGTTGTACGAGTCAGCCGCCCTGACACGCGTGGCGCCGTAGGGTTCAATCGAAGGAAATAGCTGCTTGAAGAGATCATAGCCAAGAAGGATGGAGCCGCCGCCATTTCGCCGGAGGTCGACAATGAGGTATTTCTTCTTCTGCGCAGTAGCCTCGGCAATGACTTCACTGACAACGTTCTGGAAATCTGACATATTTGCCGCCAAAAAGCTTGCGCTGCTGATGACTGCCACGTCCTGGTAGCCGGTGCCATTCAGGAAATAACCAGAAACACTGTTGTCCTCAGCTTTGGCAACCGGGTAGGGATAGCCAAACGCAGTTGGGATCGGCTCTGCCGAAGTTGACTCGGCCGGAGATTCGGATGTTGGCGTCGGCGTCGGCCCCGTGCAGAATTTGCTGAAGAAGGCCTCGCCGCTATCCACACCACTGAAGTTGGCCGTTGGAAATGCAATGTGTCGGATGGTGGCCTTGGTCCCATTTTCGAATCCAAAAACACTCGAGCTACCTTCGTAGGTCAACGAGTTTTGGAAGAAGCCACCCCCACTTCCTGAGAATGATCGCTTGGCTGGGTCCCAGAAGATGGTTTGATAGCCCACGTCAAGGTCGGGGCTCTGAGAATTCCCAATCGCGAGCCAGTTAAGATAGTCCACGACGGATTGATTGTTGACTGTTGTGATGGCAGATGGCGTAAAGTTTGACTGTGTTCGAGCTTTTGCGATGTCATCTAAAAGAAGACGGCTTAGTACAACCATAGTATAGAGGGCTGATGAAATACTCACTGAATACGTAGACCTTTGGAAGGGATTTTCCGTCTGAAGAGAGTGAAACAAGTTCGACAGGGATATTGTGTTCGTCAACCTTCCCAAATGCAAAGACACTGGACATATCAGAGATGTAGGCTGTGTGCCCGTCATCTGCAACCATTTTGTGAGTTCCTTTCCACATAATGTTCAACTTTTAGTGTTCTCTTACAAGCTTTCTTCAGCAAATTGCTAATATCAATTTGCACGGCATACTCATTGGTGTAGCCACCCTTGGATAGCTTGTTCGCAATGTCATCGAGGCCACCGAGGAGATCGACGGACGGCCTGGCGTAGCCCTGAGGAGGATCTTTCAGGTACGCCAAGGTAGATTTCCACTGCATAATGTTCCGAATCTCCTTGACCAATTGCAAGTCGCCGTCGGTATCAACTGGCACAGATTGCAGACAATCGAGACCAAGGGTAGCAGGAAGTAATGTTGTAGTAGCCTCGAGGTATTGACTGATTGTCGCGCAGGCATTTCCACCTGCTGTAGGTGTAGCAACTGTCGTGTTGTTTGCTGGTGCAGCAGATGCAGCGGCAGCAAGGACCGCCACAGCAACAGCGCCGTGGGCGAGCATCTTGGAGAAATGAGTGCTCAAGAAAAGTTCAGATTGACTGCAAGAAGATGCTTAGAAGCGAATCGATGAACAGCTAAAAGGTATGCTGCAAGATGAGCACCTTATATGTCCTTCGTGTTGGATATCAAGCATCTCACCAGAGATGTCCTTTTTCCCAATAAAGAAAATGGCCACTTCTCAGATGTATGAGCACTGGCCATGGCTGTGTGCGCCTTCGCGTTCGCGTGGCGGGCCGGTGGGGCTGAGCCGCTAACCGCAGCATTTTGCGGTGTACAATAGCCGGACTTCAATGCTGATTCGCAGCCGCCTCAGTAAGCACTAAACTCATTGAATAATCGCGGGAAAGTAGAGCCAATCATACCTCCTGCTGAAGTGCAAGCCAGTTGTATCATGGAACGAACAGCTCATATGCCCTCGTATGACTTGCATATGAATAGGCCAAGAATATTTATATAGGTAACGCGTACACATGGCAGCCACGAACCAGACATAGAGCATGAGAACTTTATTCTTCACCATCTTGCGGCTCGGTTCTTCGGCCAAGACCGGCCGCGTCGTATACCTCACTAGCAGTCCTTTCCTTGCTGAAAGCCAGTGCTGTGTAGAAGATGTGGCACGAAGGATTTGATGTGGAGTCGCAAAACGAGGAAAAGGGTCCGTGTCAAGTCTTCCTTCACTCCAGCTGATGGAGTTTTCTCCGAGGGTGGTCGGTGCCTGTCGATGCATACCAGAAGGGTATGTTACCGCTCCTGAAGACCGTAAGCACTATTCCAGATTCTTGCATGTCATGACATGACGGGATTTAGTCACGGGTGTCAAGTTGCTTGAAGCCCCTCTTTAGGTGGCCCACTTGCGGGGCATGACAGGCGGTAATCCATGGTCAGGAACGATGGAAGGCGGCGGGAATAATTAGCGCCTGAGCCGTTGTCTATTTGGGGGCCACGCCGGTCTTAGACCGAATTACCTAAACGAGCAGTCGACGGCACGCCAAGCCAGCCACTCCGTTGGCTCAGCCTCATCTGGCACGTGCTTTTGTGGAACTGGATTATACAAGCAGCGACAGTATCTGCAGCTATTGGTCGATGCGAAAGTTGCTCCAGTTGCGCTGGCATCTGTGCTTTTGTTGGTCAACTTCTGTCCGGAGATGCTCGCGCTCACTCCTCGGGTAGCGGGTGACGTCATACGCGGGCCTGTCAGCCCATCCATCTAAAAATAGACCGGTCCTTCAAGCCGAAGCTCTTTGTCGAGCCTGGCCAACTTGTCCGTTGTCCCGATCCACTACCAGTCACCTCCCGTGTATAAGCGTACCAGCCGAGAACCCATACTAAAAGGTTCTGGAATACCTAGATCTTTTGGTACAGCTGCGGGTGGCTGATACAGTGGATTAATTCCTCTCGTGCTCACTTCGGCGTACTATTATTACAATTTTATCCTACAGAAGACAATTCTTCTCTAGTTGTACTAAGGAACGCTGTAGATAAACCCTAAAAAATGGCTGATACATGTCCTATTGAAGTACGAAGAGCTATACATAATATTCACCTACACTAGAAGGCCTTTTGGGCTTACTCGCATCCTTGAGTGAACGTAATCTCTGTTAGTTGCGCTCACCTTAGAGGGTAAATACATTATGGTTTCGACGTTTCTACTCATGGTAGCGCTAGCAACAGCATATTCGCGGCGCAACTTCTGTCGTTCCTGTCCCAGCTCACAGGCGTCCTGGAGAGCGTGGTAGCTCTCAGGCTAGCTTCATTGTCTACCATGTTAATTGTCACTTCGAAAGCGGGCCTTGCCGATCAGGTCGAGTCATTTCTGGGCGGCTCCAGCCAGTTACAAGTCCAAGAAATGGCAGTACGGAACACCCTTGGCGCTCCTACTGAGAGCTGGGCGGCGGCTTCCTTCTAGAAGCTGATCGAGAGTTCCTTTGTGTTCCATAAGTCGAGAAAGGCTGTATGATCTCGAAGGAAACGTAAAGACTGGAGATGGAATTCAGTGCAGTGATACACAGCAGTTGATGGTCTTGCGTTCGGCCTAGTGGAGTTTCCAATGTACGCAATATCTTTTCTGACGCCATGCTACCAGTCGACTCTTAATAACGCACGAGATAAACACTCGTTTCCAGGTCGGTGGCGAAGGCGAGATATACCATTGGTGTTTTAGATGGTTATTAACTAGGACTCTTATGATCAAAAGGCTCAATTAGATGCTGCCGGAATAAGTCAAGGCTGCCAATCAGCAATCCAAGTACTAGTCAACATGATCCAGCAAAAAGTAAATTTGCTTCAGCTCCCGTCCTACTGCTTTCCGGGGACCTCGCCTACAAATAGAACCCCCGAATTCCCCTTTTCCAACTCTGCAATGGTCTCCGGAGACGGAAGCCACTTGTTTGCCGATGCTCGATCGTACCACCGAGTCAGCGCCTCCATGCCGTCAATCCAATCCACTCCCATCAAGTCCCTGCCACACGCAACAAAAGCAGCGAAAACACAATCAGCGATCGTGACATCGTTTCCGCCAGCAAGACTCAAGCTCTGCCTGTCCAAGACATCGTCTCTAACCAGGCCATCCACTCTCGCCAGCAGCTTGCGAACTTGCAAGTGCGCATCAGCGGACGCCGGGGCGCTGAAGTGCTCGGGCTTGATCCCGAACCAGTGCATGCGTTCCTTGGACCCATGCCGCATCTGCACGTTGGACCACTGCATCAGCTCGTGGGCGAAGAGGACAATGTCGCGCGTGCGAGCCTGCCGTTCTAGCGTAGAGCCGCTCAGGTCGCGGAAGCCCGCTGCGGCGGGGAAAGTCGCTTCGAGGTATTCCAGGATGGAGGCCGACTGGGTGATCCAATACGGGTCGGTGGTATTGTCGCTGCTCGACACGCGGAGGACAGGCAGCGTGAAGCCCTCGGGCTTGGGCTCGCAGCCGGTAAGGGTCTCGAATGTGCCCTTCGCGGGATCCATCCGGACTGGGATGAGTTGCAGCCGGCCGCTTTCGAAGAGGGAGCGGGGGAGGTGTTTGGCGAGGAGGTAGTTCGTCAGGCGCCTGGGATATGGCGTCCTGGGGATATACCAAATAGTGAGGGTGGTTTCAGACATGATGAGAATTTGATAAGAACTTGATGGGAACTCGGTGAGGAGTGGTTGTAACTTGATGGTTGATGTCTGCTTGATAGGCGCTACAGCGAGCCTTTTATCCACGCTTGAGTTCCAAAGAGGTCTTATCTTCGGCATCGAAAAGGTTCGATGTCCTTACTCTGATTTCAAATCAAGTGCGCGTTGTTGATAGTCTATCAGAGTCATGCTCTGGCAGTATGGTGTTGCATCTTGGAGTGCACGGCTCGTAAGATTCCAAAAGTGGCTAACGCCAAAAGACCCTTGCACATTTGAGCGCACGGGTCGTAAAACCCCAAAGCGGTAATTGTTTTTACGACCATAGCAACAGTGCTGCTTAACGAACAACATTATGTCGCCACGTACATAGTTTTCGGAGCATCAGACTTTCGGATAACTCTAATTCTTTCTATCGCGCGTACCAGTCGCTACGCTCCACGCGCTTCCATTTTCATGCTCGATCACAATAGTATTCGAAGCTCGTCGATACGTTGCAGAAACAACGCTGCTTAACGAGCCTGCTGAATGTTACGGCCAATTGTGGGTGCAAGTATTTAGCCGTGCCACGGGTCGATATTGGGAACCGGCCTTTTACATTGGTTTGTCATTGGCTGATATGAACGCGCCAGGCAGCCGCTACCTGCACGCCCTGCTTCGGATACTGCGGATTGTTTGGCCATGACACGTCAGGCGTGTTCAGTCTTGATTGATTGTAAGTTCATTATTGAATCATAGTTGGGCTTGTTTCGGCCTCGGAGTCTATTGGGCTCTCAGATTTATAATCTGTTTGCAAGAGGCCGAAGCTTCCTCTGGGATTGATTACCTTTTTCTGTGGTGAAGTAGCAATCAGCTCCGCTGCTGTTTAGTAAGGCTTCGCGCAGTTCGGACGCCATGTGCACGCGCCATGGGCAAACAGTAGACAAGTTCAATGTTCTATAAAGTTGAGCCGAACCATCTCTTTTAATGCGACATCACTTCATCACTCAAATACAACATCAACAACTCCCCAGTCTTCCACAATGGTCAAGATTTTTGCGTAACGCCCCCGTCACCTACAAAAGCAAACGCACCTCCACTAACGCATCCACCATAGAATCGGCGCAACCGGTTGGATTGGCGGCGACGCCGTGCACCGCATCGCGACTGCGCATCCCGAATACGAGTGGACGGTTCTGGTCCGCTCCGCCGCCAAGGCCGCCGAGGCCGCCACATACGGGCTGCCGCCTTCCACACGCTTCGTGACGGGCGACTACGAATCGCGCCAGCTTCTCGCCACCGAGGCCGCGGCCGCCGACATCGTCCTCAACATGGCCGACTGCGACGAGGCGGCCGGCGCCCGGGTGCTGCTCGAAGGCATGAAGGCGAACAAAGACCAGCCGGGCTTCTTCATCCACCTGTCGGGCGCCGCCATGCTGGAGTGGGACGACCAGGTCAGCGGCAAGTACGGCGAGGAGAGCCCCAAGGTCTACGACGACTGGGACGGCTTGCAAGAGGTTACTAGCCTCCCGGACGCAGCCATGCACCGGCCCGTCGAGAAGATCGTGCTCGAGGAGGCCGGCCCCGTCCGCACCGCCATCGTCTCCCCGCCCTGGATCTACGGGCGCAGCAGGGCGTCGCCCGTCGAGCATAGCGCCGCGACCATGACCATCCCCATGTTCCAGGCCCACGGCAAAGGCATTTGCGTCGGCCAGGGGAAGGCGCGCTGGGGTACGGTCCACCTTCATGACCTGAGCGAGGTGTTCTTGCGGCTGGTCGAGGAGGCGGCGAAGGGAGGGGGCGCCGCCACTTGGGGCCGGGAGGGCTACTATTTCGTCGAGAGCGGTGAAGAGGCGCTTGGTGAGGTGAACGCGGCTCTGGCGCGGGCCATGTTCGAGAACGGATTGCTCGAGTCGCCGGAGCTGGACACGCTAGATCGAGAGGCGGCCGAGAAGGTCACGCCGTTCGCGTTGGTGATTTGGGGCTGGAATGCGCGTCCGAAGGCCGTTCGGGCGAGGAAGTTGCTTGGTTGGAATCCTGCTGTTTTGACCGGACTTTTGGAGGACGTGAAGGATTGGCGTTGGGGGCCAGACAGCAACTCGATCAAACCGTTTGAGTTGCCCAAGGGGATGGTGGGTAATATGGAGGCCTAGGCTACGACTTATCTGTTCATGAGTTTAGTCTTTCTTTTTTTTTAGGAGGAATAACAATTCATTCTCTACTCTAAATGAACTTTCACTCACACAAGCGATCCGTATGTCCTATCAGCGATGAGGTTCAGAAGTTGCAGGATTTGTTCCAAGATGCCTTGGCAGTCAGCAGAACCCCGCTTGATTTGTAATACATGTCCTGACCTGGCGTCTTTCACCTTCAAATGCTGACGCGGAAGAACTATAAAAGCTTCTCGAAAATTTATGTGTAGGGAAGGGCTTCTCAGCTGACATACTTGAAAAAATCTTGCACACTTGTCCCATCTCGGAGTATCATTAAGCTATGGCATCGATCAGAAACCCTGCCCTCCCTTCACGTGCGACTGTTCTTGTCACTGGAGTGAATGGACTAATTGGATCTCATGTGGCTGACAAACTACTTGAGCATGGTTACAAGGTCCGTGGGACGGTACGAGATATGCAGAAAAGCAGCTGGGTGGTGGAATTCTTCGAGAAGAAATTTGGCCCAGGGTTGTTCGAGTTGGTAGAAGTCCGGGACATCACCGAGGATGGTGCATTCAACCACTTTCTGGAAGGTAAGTCGCAGCTCTGCGGATCGCCAGAAGCAGGATAACTAACAAAGCTTCGCGTAAAAGGAGTAGCAGGGGTAGCGCATGTTGCTTCGCCCGTCAGTCTGGATCCGGATCCAAGCAAGGTCATTCCAATTGCAGTCAATGGCACTCTCAACATACTCAAGTCCGCAGCGAAAGCAACGGATGTAAAGCGCTTCGTCCTCACGTCTTCTTCGTCGGCAGTGACTGTCGCGAAGCCAGAGTCTCAGGAGACCATCACCAAAGATACATGGAACGAAGAAGCTGTACAGATGGCAGACAACCTACCAGATGACCTGTCTGACTTGGAAAAGGGCTTCGTTGTTTATGCAGCCAGCAAGGTCAAGGGTGAGCAAGCCATGTGGGACTGGGTTAAGGCGAACAAACCTGATCTGGTGGTCAACTCAGGTAAGAGCTAGTGAGATGCCCAAAGGGAACATGCTTATATGTGGTACAGTGCTTCCTGGAGGAAACTTCGGCAAGATACTGAGCCCTCAGAACCAGGGCTTTCCATCGACAACTCTGCTGGCGTCGGCTTTGTTCAACAACGATGAGAATCTCATCAAAGAATTTGCTACATCCTACCCTCCAGGTAAGTCTCCCACTCCGGAATGACACGCTCGACTGATGCTTTATATCAAGAATGGTATGTGGACGTCCAAGACAATGCTCGGCTCCACGTTGCTGCGTTGACTCATTCCGACGTCTCCGGGGAGCGTCTCTTCGCATACGCTTCCCCTTACAATTGGAATGACGTACTGGCAGCCTTCCGCATGGCGTTTCCGGAAAAGGAGTTCAGAGATGATATCCCAGGACTATGGGACGACTCGACTGTTTGTGAGCCTGCAAAGAGGGCCGAGTTCCTGCTGACTGAGATGGGGCGACCGGGATTCACTCCTTTGACTCAGAGCCTCAAGGAAACATTCGAGGGCTCTTGATTCTATTTTATACGCGAAATCACCGTTGAGGAATCGTTCGGCAATGGAAGTGCAGCAAAACGATATGATGTCACGGATATTCTATTCATACTTGCTTTGATGATACATCACTGAACACATGTTAAACGAACACTCTATCGATTTGGATGAATCAATTCACTGCGAATACACCATGAATGATGACGAGTTTTCTTCTCTGGCTAGTCTAAGCTTCCCAAAGTGGGGCATTTCGTCGAGATTTTATACAGTGGCGAACAAGGCCATCACTGCATCCGCACAATGTGTTCGGGCTCATCCATTACTCCTTGCACCGTCGATGAGTTTGTATCCACGAAAAGCTATCATGCAGTGTCGACTTCGAAGCTATTTTAGTGATAATAACATAAGATCTTGAAAGTCAATCGCCCGCGAAGGTCACATCGCGGTAATGCAATATGGATTTCTACCATCAAGACGGCTTTTGCGCTGTAAGAAAGCAGCATCTACAATAAAGCTTCTACCTTTTGTTACACAGAAGAAGGTACCATGGTTATAGGTTGGTTGAGTTGCAAGTAGGTTCTCATGAGGTTGTGAAAGCGAGCACCTGTTTGTGGTTTAGCTCGCTAACTGTAGTACATTACAAACGCGCCGACGTCTGTCTATTGATTAATGATTAATATTTACAGGCTTCTTCTAGTTCGCCATGCGCGCAATCTCTAAATGTTAATGAACAAAAGCAAGCCAACTATCCATCCAATCCACAAAGCTTCATTGGACCACAGGTTTCTGATCCCGTGCGAAGCTCCTGCTGATGTCGGCACTCCGTTCGTCGCGACTGGTGCACCCATCCGGTCCGAAGTCATCAGGGGGCCGCCACCACCACCACCACCTTGGCCTCCCGAGGCTTGACCCACCGGCGTGCCACCGCTACCGCCTGGACCAAGCGTCGCCACCGTGCTCGCCGGCGCCGTCGCCGTTTGGTTCCCCGCATTCTCCACCACGACCGTCTTGCCCCCAGCGTCCGTGGTCAACCCCACCACCGTCCCACCCACCGTCACACTGGCCCCAGTCATGACCGTCCACGTCCGCGTCCCCTCCGCAATCCAATACGCGGAGCCGGCCGGCAAAAACGTCAAGTTCCCCACGGCAACCGGTGGATTGTTGCCGCCGTCGCTCCCTGCAGGCGCTCTCTCAGTCGCCGTGACCGTCGCCGCCGGCGCCGTCGCCTCGCCGCCGCCCTCTTTCCCCGTCACCACGACCGTCTGCCCCGACGGGCCGTCCGTCCGCAGCGCCACGACCACGCCGTCGACCGTCACGCTGCCGCCGGGCGCCAGCGTTGCGGCGACGCCGACGCCCCCGCCGCTCACGCTCTTCAGCACGTTGTACGCGCCGGACCCGCCGGCCGGGCTCAGCTCCAGCGCGCCGACCGTGACGACGGCGGCCGAGGCGGCGGCCGCGGCGGCAGACTGCTCTGCCGGGCTGGGGCCGTCCCCCTTTCCACCACCCGGTCCTCCTCCTCCTCCTCCTCCTCCTCCTCCTCCTCCTCCTCTTCCGCCTGGGCCTCCCCGATCATCACCACCGTTCGAAGGGATGGGCGCGGGCGGCGGCGGCACGGTCGCGACGGCCTGGGCGCCGCCGGGCGCTTGGGCGACGACGAGGTAGGGCCCGGCGTCGTCGGCGAGCTCGTCGCTCTTCATCATGGCCAGCACGGTGCCGCCGGGCAGCGTGAGCGTCGTGGCGCTGCCGTCCGGCCCCGGCGCGAGCGTGGCCGACGGGTTGCCGTTGACGACGTAGACGCTGCCCGCCGGGTTGAGCGTCAGCGGCGCCGCGCCGCCCGAGAGGGTGATGGCGATGGGCGTCGGCGTCGGCCGCGGGGGGAGGTCGCGTCTGGCGAGGTTGGGGTGGCGTGGTCCGGGTGCGGGCGAGGGGTCGAGAGCGAGTTGCTGCTGCTGTTGTTGGTGGTGGAAGGCGAGGGTGGTGGTTGTTGATGTGGAGTCGGGATGGTTTTGGCTGCTTTCGGTAGCCTGGGGAAAAACTCGTTAATGCATCGCTCGAATAAGAGTAGGTGTAGAGGAGTCCCTTACAGTGCTCGCGGTTCCCTCTGGAGCGAATGATGTGGCAGTGTTCTCCCATGTATAGTCGTGGGGGATTGGTAGCGGTACCAGCCACGCTGTATCGCTTGTGCAGCCTGCATCGCCTGGCTCGGTGAAGCATGCTATGTTTGTACCTACAACCACTGTCGACTGCGGCAAAGCCCAAGCGCCAGCGCCGTACGCTGCAACCAGCAAGCTGAAAATGGTGGGATTGCACATCCTTCCACGGAGACTCATGGTTGCAACCGTGGAGAATGCATGTGGAGAAGGGAGCGTGGCCACCACGCTGGGGAAAAAGTTTTGGTTTTAGGGCGCCGCGGCGAGCTGGAGCGAGCGGAGAATAAGAACGTCAATCACGGACAATTAAGGTTACTGATACGGCCCGGTCGGCTAGGAATCCCGGGGTGACCCGTGTCGCATAAGAAAAAGAAATCGCACCGACCCTCGGACGCTGTTTGACGAAGGTTTTAGCACGAAACGGCGGAATCACGGCATCTGTGGCTGCTGCCCAGAAAGAGAAAAGGGAAAGTGGTGTTCCAGCATTAAAGAGCCTGCCACTTGCGGCACCTTTGCCGACATCGGCCGACCAATCCCACGCCCGCGCCCCTCACCAGCGTTTCCGCCGCCCCACAAGGCTAAAGTCAAGCTTAGCAGTGCACGGCCCACCGATTCTAGGCAAAGTAGGCCGTCTCAGCGGTTTGATTGGCGTGTCGACGCATTATACACGCCAGATAAGGCAAAAAGTAAAGGGAAAGGCAGGTCCGGAGCGGCCGCTTAAATCCAATTCATTAGTAATGCTAAGAACCCCCAAGACCTGTCGCCAGGCGTGCAACACTGTGTCACCAGCATGGGGCGCCTTACGCCACGCTAGTATGCCCATCGTTTCTCCTTACGGGCTCGAGTACGGAGAGATTGACTTGTATTTCTTCCGCGCCCTTTGACGAAGATTGGTCCCGCCATTGCGAATGATAAGAGCCTTGCACATTATGTATTAGCCTATGCGTCCGTAATAACATGCAGTTGATGCGCATACCTATATAACTGTTTTGCGGGGCGTTAGGTCCTTGATTGCTCCGGTCGCTCCTCTTGAAATAGCCGTGGAACGACTGTTCGTAGCTGCGGTAGAATGGATTCTTCCACCTGCGATTTGTTCTGCTGCTGCCGTAAGTAAAGGGGTCGATGACGATGTGAAAGCAGCTTTGCATGCTATTTTTGAGCGCAGGCATGGACGCGCAAATGATGCCCAAGCACGCTTCCATGATGGTCAACGCAAAGGCTGGACGGACAGCCCATGTCACATCATAAGTCTTGAAGAAGATGCGATAGATGCCTAGCGTCCGAATGACTCCGCATGCGCAAGTGCTGTGCCATTGTCAGCGTGCAAGAGTCTCAGTAGGGATCACCACGACGTACAGAAGGCCCAAGCTGAAGACGACACCGAGCGCGAACTTCGCGCGCCGGGAGATGCGCAGGTCCCAAAACAAAGCCATGGGCAATACGCATGCCACAAAGTCTTGTATCGCGCTGATGACACCAGCAGAGACCATTTTTGCGCCTTCGTTGATGCAATGGTACTTATGCGTCGTTCGCCAAAGAGGATTGGCCTTGTCCCAATACGCATTGATGGGACTGCATTCGAGCGGAACGGCCAGAGTGTACGCCACCGTGTACGCGCTGATGAAGATGATATTGCACCAAATTGTCCATTTGAACCACGATCGAATTTGGTCAATGCGACGGTAGAAACAGAGTATTGAGATCTTCGTCAGACCGGTGCTGGCTAGGTAGAAGATGGAGATGGCGAGGACAATCTTTACTCCGAGCGAGGTTAGCTTATTACGCACAAGGAAAACGATGTGAGGATCCATGCCTTTCTACTAGTCGCGGCCATATCCGCGGTCAAATCCCAGGTGTGACGATCAAACCCGTGCTTTTCGGCTATAAGGTGTGTGAGTCTAATGAGTCGCGACCACCCGATGCTAAGCAAACTTACCAAGACATGTTGCGATGCAAAGTCCGATCGTAGGAAGCTATGCGCGCATGTTAATACTGGGTCCGTTGACCTGATTCGTTGCACAAACCATAGCGGCAGTGATGAGCGCATCGTCTATACCTGCATTGCGCCGTGAATGCACGCGGTCGTATAACCTCGCCAGGAGGGTACACAGGGCAAGGACAGTGAAGACAATGCTGATGATGGTCAATGTTGGTGGAGCTCGGATGCCGTGTGGAAAGGCATCCGTCTGCCATGCCGCCACCAGCTCCAATGGAGCCACTGGGCCACCAGGCATGGGGAAAATGCCACCAACGACGGGTTCGAGTAATGGGTGTTAAGGCTTTGGATAAAGGCGACTTGAAGGTAGGGCCGATTGAAGAGTACAATGGTTAGCATGCCAAACCTTGCCATGTGCTACTCATGCTCCCTTTATTATCTCGACCACTGAGCATACCAGACTGCGTTGAGAAAAAGCCACCGATGCTACAGATCTGATAATGGTGCGGCTGGACCTCGGTCTACATGGTTTCCGGGCGATCTACAATCAAACAGGGACAGCAGAGGATGTGCTTTTGGGATTGGAGAAGCCATAGAGGCACTGCTGAACCGCATCCGCGGGTGATAGAGGCCTTGGTGTGTCTAACGGGCTGCAGGTGTCAGAAAGTTAACAATCTAAAATGGACGTAATCGACGTGCGCCACAGCATATTAGGTTAAGCTATCGTGCCGCGTTAATGAGCTGACACGAGCATTGGAAGACGCTGAGTGGGTGAATTGCTCAAGGAAAGCGGCTCGGCAATTCTACCTGGTCGCTCCCCGCGCGCAAGCCGCCACAACGCCAATCTAACGGTTTCAAATCGTGGCGGTTTTGCATGACAGGACGCAGGTACAAGCAGATACACTGGTGACGGAGTTAAGTCCGCGTGGCGAGGCCTCTCAAAAAGTGCCGTTTAGGAACCGAAACCTAGTCGTTCCTTCACAAAGCCCACTGTACTTACCATCCCACCGGAGAAAAAAAGCAATGGGTGGAGCTGTCTCATACGATACCATCGTAGCTCGTGGCCGCGATGACCGCCGACAGCGCTATTAGTATCTTGACGCGTGTCCCGTTCTACGTTGTAGATCTTTCAGCTGCGGCAAAGCATCGCTGTATGACCTCAGCTGCGGATTTGCTTGGCATTTATTGGCTTTTGCTTGAAGTCTGTCGTTATGTACCTCCCAACCCCCTTTCTGTGTGCAGCTAAAATACAACGAGACTTTTGAAATATCCAAGCGGCTCTGCAGGTGGACACAGGCGTTTCAGTCTGCCACTGAGTACGGGCGCTAAGCAACGGCACCAAGCTTGTTTTTGCAAGCGAAAGGAGATCGCTTGTGCTAGTGACTAGCTGCGGATCTGGCTTGATTCTGCAGGAGCTTCAGTCGGAGCTTCAGTCGTCACGCGATCGATAGGAAATAATTAACTCTAGTGGTCCAATGATACGTCATCACTTATCATACAAGTATTATTTCTACCGGCGGGGCCCGACCAATCTCCAAGAATACATTGCAGAAGCACCCACTAAAGTAGCTGCCTTCTCCGCCATTTCCTGGCTCTCGCTGCTCGGTATTGCAGCACATATGATACGTCATACCCCATAGATAGCATTCGCCGACCACAGACTTCTTGTTTCCAACGCTTCTCAGAAAGAACAGGACTTCAGCGCCTTCCAACTGCCAAATTTCGTCACCAATCTTAGGCTGTTGGAAACTGAAACCTACCGAGAATTCTGTTCCGAAGAAATGATCCTTGGACCACCCATGAGGCTCCACTTGGGCCTCAAACTGATCAAGGTTGCAATGGCCGTACATTTCCACCATCAGATCCGTGCGTGGTGTAGCAAACGAAAGCCCGTCTCTGGTCGTCATGGTTACTTTGTCTACCTGCCGTCCGAGCACGCGCAGTTCCCGCAGTTTTGTCGATGGACGGATCGACGTATGCCGGTTTCCGAAAGGCAATGGATTAACGAGTACGCCGTAGGACTTTCGTAACACTTCCCGCAGTTCTTCTTGACGGGGCAGGGTCCAATCCGGTACCCAAGAGGGAAGCCGCAGGGTGGGAATCTTGGTGCGGGTTGTTGCACAACTGGATAAAATATCCAGGGCCCGAGAACACCTGATGATGTCATGTGCGGTTTCCATGTAAACGGTCTCAGCCGACTTAGAGTAGTCTGCTGCGTACGGTGACGTCGGCTGCTGTATGAGGATTCCAAACAGCGCAAAAATTTTATCACGAGGATCTCCAGCCGAGCAACCCCGAGAGTTTCTGAGAAGGTCGAGCAATTCGTCTGGATGCACGCGCCTGCAGAGCTCAAGCTTAAGAGCTCCGGGCAACGGGGGAGCTGACACTTGCAGGGAGGATGATCGCGCATGCCATTTGCTTAATATGGTCCGGAATAGCTCCCACTCCATGACCTCGGTATCACACCCAATTACCAAAGCTTTCCTCGCATTCGCAACCTCTTGCAGAACCCACACCCTGTAAAACCAGAGGCAGTCGAATACTATTCGAGAGGCTCCAACGTGGATGAGCTGCAATGACACATCCACGAGGCAGATGAGTACTTGTGTTGCACTGGAGTAAATCTGCGGCATGAGGCCAACCTGTTGGCTCCGTTCAGAGGTGTCGCCCTGGTTGATGCACAGTTGATCCATCCAAATAGTCCTCTGTTGGTCTGGCAATCTGATCCTTTGCAGCACAGCCTTTGCATTTAGTGTGATTGGGATATCTCCGAAATTTGTCTGCGCAACAGCGGAGAAGCTGTTATCTCCCTCCTGGTCGGCCCACGTGTATGACACAGCCTCGTATCGGGGAGGCAACCAGCGCGTTAACTCCGAGTGTATTATCCGGCATTGGATAGGATCGTCACCACCCCCGGGCTGTAGTACCACCAAGCGGATCTCCCTCTTGGCTGGATTAAGCCGGATATATTTTTCTTTCAATAACACTGTTGGGGGCTCGTAATATGCCTCACCGCTGAGATCCAGGTCGTCGTCATCTTCAATGCCCTCAAAACCATCATTTTCCAAGTCTTTGGGAAGCGTTGGAGGCGGTTCTTGGTATGTTTCACCATTGAGGTCCAGGTTGTCATCGTCTTGGATGCCGTCAAAGTCGTCGTCATCCGACTCCCGGAACGAGGCAAGGATTCCATCCGCGTCTGGGTGCGGCGATGCTGCTACCTCTCCGCAGCCCAGACAGAATGAAACGCCGCCATTGACGGCCGTGTCCGGGCGGGCACAGGTGCAAGCCATTCCTCGACTGGCCCCAACATCGGTTCGCTGGGGGGATCGGGTTGGGTGGAGACCTGGTGAGCTGTTAAGGGGATGTCGAGTATCAGTCTTGCCGAGGAGGATCCCGCCGGGTGATGTTCGAGACTGAAAAATGGGGCGGAGATCCTCACGTGATACAAAACCGGTGTGCTTCAGCGTGCTTCATCTCTCAGACATAAAAGGATCGCATTGACGCTGCTGTCAGCGAGTGAAACGGTTGCATATATTCCAAGTTCTGCAACATGGAGGCGTAAGGAGAAGGAGTTCCGTAGTTTTTTCCAGATGTGAACCTTTGCAGCGCCAAGCCGAAAAGACACAAGAAAAGCTGTTTAGAATATACCGGTACGCGCATTTTCAAATAGCGTGAATTCCGAAGAGGTCTCGATAATAAACATGGGCTTTAGTACGTTGAAGAGAACCACTCAAGCATCTCACCATGGCCCCCGCATTATCTACCCGACGGCGGGGGCGCTGCTGACGGCGCTGACAATCCATCCGGATCCGCCGCATCCACCCGCCCATCCCGATATATCAGAGCCCGGAAGCCCTCGCATCTGACAGCATCTTTTCAGCAATCCACCACCCTACCACCCCACCTACCTACCTGTCTCTCTCTCTCTCTCTCTCTCTCTCTCCACACCATGGACCAGCTACGCCGCCTCGCCCCAGCTTCTCTGCCCGCAGCTCGCGCTCGCCTGCGCGAGCAGCGGACCGCCCTCACGACCGGCGTCATGTTCGGCGCGCTCTTGTGGTGGGGGGTGCGCGACTACCGCGAGTTCCTGGCGCTGGGGCCGGGCGGGGTGCCGTACAACGTGCTGGGCTGGGCGGCCATCACGCTGCTGATCCGGCCCTTCGCGCTCAGCAAGGCCGCCGCCACGCGCACGGCCGACTACCCGCCCGCCGCGGGCGCGCACGCCGACGTGGCTGCGCTGCCGCCCCGGGAGGGGCCGCGTGCGCGCGTCGGCGGCATCGCGCCGCACCGCCAGCTGTCGCAGCATCCGCCCGAGTCGATGCGGGAGGTGAGTGCATGAATAGCCAGTTTTGTGTCACAGTTGATGTTTTTTTTTGTGGTGGCCGACGACCAGGGATAATCGTTGACGCGCGTTGTGCGTTTTTTTCTTGCTCCAGTCCATCCACAATCTCTTCGCGAACGCGGCGGCACAGAACCCGGGCCTGCTCGAGACGAAGAAGTCGCTGTACGAGCGGCACAACGACGCGCTGTTCGTGTCGGACCAGCTCCTGGGGAACGCCGAGGCGGTCGGCCTGCCGCATACGGCTACCGCGTCTCGCGGCGAGATCGGGCACCCGCACCCGGACCTGTCCATTCACCTCTACGTCTCACCAGCGGACGCGCGAGTGCTGATTGAGAAGGGCTGGGCCGAACGCCACCGCATGTCCGTGCCGGCCAACTCCTGGTCCAAAGCTATTCCCATATTCCGCAGGATCGGCGACACCTTTTTGATGGTTTACGGCCCGAGGAACGAGGAAGAGATGGTGGTGCTGCAAACCATCCTGCAGAATAGTATTCGATTCATGACGGGGAGGGAGGACTGCCAGTTGCCCGAATGGAAGACCCGTGTAAACGGATAAAAAGTAATTATGAAGTCTCGGTAGTCATCTCTTCTCAATGACGGCTTTTGCTAGCCCTGTACTATAGCGATATTTATTTTAGTCTCGACTTCATCAATACGTGGCTTCTGTATAAATCAAGCTTCAGAGATCAGCCAATTGTCAAAATACTTTCCGGCTCCTGGCTGGACTATGAGTGATGAGATATAGGCTTAGGCGACAGTTGATAGTGGCACAAACAGCATCCCGAGCTTGAGTATAGACGATGGCCCGGCGATGGATGGGGGTTTGAATTTTGGAACAAGGCACTAGAATGTTAGGGGTTGAAATTCAAGCCAAAGGGGAAACAAGCGAAGCTTGTGTGAGGTTTAGCACGTGTGACTAGCGCGCGACCGTGAACTCAGTATCTACCCTTGTCATCGACAACTCATCTTATCATGCTTCGTTGGATGTCCATGATACTTTTACAATGCCTTTGAAGCACATTCACCGTAAGAAACAGCCTCCACAGGATGAGCGCAGCATTCGCTGCGCAACCAGAAGCTACGTGGTCCGTCCCAGTTCATGACAAGACCGATAAAAAGTGCTATAGTCATGTTCTCCACTTCGACTGGGTGCGTCTTTGTGTACTTTTGGTCCTTGCATTTCTGAAAAGCTTGCCAAAGCTCTCAATCCCTTTTTCGATGTTTTCTAGGCTGGCTTAAGCTAACCACCAATAAACTTTCCACTCATCATCATCCTGTCTTCATCCTCTGGTAGAGAAGTTCGATAGACCTGTTGCAGCTCCTGATAGCATCTGCGTACAGGCCGTGCTCCAGCACAGATTTCCAAATCCGTAAGTGCTACTTAAAATCTCTCTCCCGTTGGAAATTGCACCCAGACTGCGCGCATACTTCTCTGAGTCCGTAATTAAAATAAAACCAGAGGGAGGAGCCTCTACAGGACTATGCATTTCTGTAGACCACTTTGATTCCGTTATATGGGAGCTGGTGCATCAACGGGAAGCCAGGTTTCGATAACATGTATTGGTTGGGACATTGTAGTCTCATGGGCAAGATTTATAGACTCTGACTCAAGTAAAGGATAATGTAAGATAGTGTCAAGCTCTCGTTGAGAAATAGAGTCTGGCCGAGCGACATTCTCTGTCTGTGCCGTAAGTTCCGGTGGAGTGACGACATCTGGCCGTATTCCAGGCTTCACAGCGATAGGAGAGTTCTGTCCATTAACAGGTCGCACTAATTCATTTATTGACTTTGATCTCTAAGTTTTCAGATTGAGATGTATGAGTAAACATAAACCAATGGCAGGACGTGGGCTGATATTCGTGTATCTCATCACGGAGACCCAAAACCAGGTGTGAGCAACTTTTGCTTCCCAAACATTTTTCTGACCCCTATGTGACGCCAGAACCCTCAAATGCATGCCAAGGAGGTTATGGACCTATGGGCCAGTATTTAAGTCAGGTCTAGAACCCTCACTTGGCCCATTGGAGGTTCAATGTGGAGTGGGCAGTTATTATACCGGTCCGTGATATATGGCGGAAGAGGTGGTCTACAACATACTCATGGAGAATATCAGCTTCACCTGGGTATTCCGGACTTGATACTAGTCAGAGAAGGTGGATATTGATTTGTGAGTGACTTTCAATAGGATAAAATCCCATTGTGGGACGTAGTCGGGGTCTGCCATGATGCTCTCGTTGGAGCTGATTGAAATGTTGCTTAAACGAAATTTCTTGAATACCTCTTCACCATAACCTGAGTGAGAAATACCTTTCTGCAAGCTACTTTCAGATGCGTTCAACTAACCTTTGGAGCCCTTTGGGGATCTTTCGAGTGCCATGATGATACTGCGCGAGGGTATCGAATGCTCAAATGGCCGTGGCTCGAAGAGGCATTCAAATACATCGTATGGACATATTATCTAGTCTTCTGGGATTTAGATCTTCAAAACAGCTATAATTTCTCTATACTTCTTCTTGCAGAGAGTTCTTGGAGACTTTATCAACTCTTAAGAAAATGAAGGTCGTAAGCTGTTCAAAGCTCAGCCTGGACCTGAGCAAGGCAACCCAGGCCATGATCTCACTGAGGTCCCTAATCCTCTCATTTGCAGCTCATATAGTACATCCGTTTGGCCCTGCATAGTTCGTGTTCTTGTAACGCGGTCATGTCGGCACACTGGTACATCTTGTTGCATGCCGCCAATTTAAATCCAGCCTTTCGCTTAAGAGAAGAAGAGGGATAATGGACTACTAACTCATTTCTGTAATTGTGGGATGCATTGGTCGCTTCGACGATATTATTGAGGTGGAATTGGATGAGGCCGCCTTCGTATTACCACCTCAAACCACTACAGCCTCCAAAACGGCTCCAACTCTCCGTTCCTCTACATCCTTGCGAAGTGTTGCAATAACCGCTTCTAAGTCGTCAAACTTGTCTACCGTTGCCGTAACCAGATTGCCTCCTGCTGCAGACTTTGCAATACCGAGATAATCCGGACCATTGCCTCGCAAATCAATTCCCAGTCCGTGGTCCGACGTCTTGGCCGCCAGCCCATCCGGATGCACATCGTTGATACAAGAGCGCGTTGCCTTCCACCCACCATTGTTGACAATGACGGTCAGGAACGGCGTCTGATGCTGGTGCTGAGCCCAGTACACGGCCGAGGGGGCTCCGAAGATGAAGCTGCCATCCCCCGTGATGCTGCAGATGAACCTACCTTTCCCATCACGCCCGCCCGCACGTCGATTCACACACGGCCGCTCGTTCGCCGTGTCGTACAGCTCCGTCGCGATCTTGATCCCAACCGCCGCGCCGCCGCTCCAACCCAGCCCGCTCCCGCCCTTCGTGAAGTTCGTCCCGGGCACCTGCAGCGCCAACTGCTCGCTCAGCGCGACCTGGTTCGTCACGACGTCGCTGACCCAGATCGTGTCCTGGGGCAACGCGCGCCTCAACGCCGCGAACAGCGCCGCCGGCGTCAAGCGGCCGTCCGAGGCGGCGGCGGGCCGCGCCTTCTCGGCCAGCAGCCTGCAGCCCTCTTCGTGGCGGCGGCCCAGCTCCTCCCAGCGGCGGTCGAACGCGGCCGCGCGCTCCGCCAGCATCCCCGCCCCGGCGGGCCCGCGAAGCCACTCGCACAGCTGCTCCAGCGCCGTGCCCGCGTCGGCCGCCCACGTCCCGCCGCCACCGCCGCTCTCCTCATCCGCACCTACATCGAACAGGCCCATCTTCTCCTTGCGCGGGTCGCAGTCCACGTGGAAGATCCTCACCCCGCCGCCATCCCTCCTCTCCGGCCGCACCTTCGTCGGGATCCACGGCACGTCGACGTCCAGCAACAGAATCACGTCCGAGCCCTTGATCGCCGCCGCGGCCCCGGTCGATCTATGGATGGCGGCGCGGTGCGTGGCAGGGAACGACATCTCGCGGAACTCGGCGTCGAAGACGCGCAGGCCGCGCACGATGGACGCGAGGGCGACGAGCGCGTGGACGGCGCCGTTGCTGCGGCCGAGGTAGCCGGTCACGACGAGCGGGGAGTCCGCAGCCAGGAGGGCGGTGGCGATGGTGGTGACGGCGTGGGGAGGGAGGGCGCCGAGGGTGGAGGAGGGAGGGGGTTGCGGGGCTGTGGTAGTAAGAGAAGAAGAAGAAGAAGAAGAAGAAGAAGGTTCGTCAGGGAAGAAGGCGGGGTCGGCGGGCGCGGCGAGAACCTCGCGCGTCGCCGTCAGGTAGACGGGGCCGGGGCTGGTGGCGACGGACATGGCGAGGGCGCGGCGCACGATGGTGCGCGTGTGGGCGGCGTGCTTGAGCTCGGCCGTGTAGCGCGCGTAGGGGGCGACGATGGCGTGTTGGTTCGGGACGTCCTGGTACCTGTTCGGTGCGAGATGCGTTAGCGTGTTGAGGTCGAGGCATGTGGCCTATGGAATGGCGAGTTACTGTGAAGTGATTGGAAGGTTTACCACTGCACGTGCTCTGACCGCGAGCCTGGAAGCTCGCCGTGAAGAGTCAGGGGCGCCTGCCCTGCGAAGATGAGCACGGGAGCTCTACCGGATGAGGCATTGTGCAGGCCTTGGCCGAGGGCTGCAGTGCCAACGTCGACGTGGACGATTACGCATTGGGGACGCTTCGTCAAGCGAGCGAAACCGTCTGCCGCAGATAGAGCTACGAACTACTCCTTGTGTTAGTATAATCTCCGGGCTGTGTTGGTAACAGCAGTTGCTGTTCTGTACGATACCAGTTCAGGTAAGACGGAGTCGGAGATGACGCTAGGGAGTGACCGGTAGAAGGGAAGAGGTGAAAAAGGTCTAGCTCGTAGAGAATGGTGCGGCTTCAAAGCGGGCGTGCAAGCTCCGCAACAAGAACAGAATAAAGGCTTTGGAAGGATTTCAACTTGCCTCGTGTAGGAAGATCAGGAGCTTTGGCCAGGTTTTGCCCTCTTGTTGTCGTCGATGATAGGCCTCAATAATGCTGGGATGGTCGGACCCAAGCACGGCAAAGAGGTAGTCGACACCAGCCTCGGGTAGTGTAAGCGAGTCGAGGATCTTATCAGTCTTGAGGAACACCTCCTTACCAGCGCTAGGCTCTCAAGGAAGAGATCAGCTACCGTGTATGACTTCATGCTTGCTGCTATACGTCCCGTTGGTGAAGTGTCTCAGATAGTATTCGGCTCCGATAGGCAGAACAGCACTCGATGGGCGATGGATGCAGTTCAGGTTGCGGCGTGTTGGAGAATAACGAGAGACGGGACCAAGGATGCAAGATGACATGCAATTACGTGATATACCATGTCGACCAGAGCGGCTCATCGTTTCTCGGCATTCGATTCCGATAAGGCAAGCATCGGGGTCGGGTGGGGCAGGGCGGGACCCAAGGTGGGGGATGAGCGGCTCGCCGGGTCGATGCGCGCCGTAAGGTCCGGCGGCACAGCACGGCAAGGAATCGAGCCGGCACTCACCAATAAGGCTCTTCGGCATCCCCGTCAGTGGGGATCTCCCGGGCCCTCACGGGTTGCCGATATGGCACGGAGAAGTAACAAGTAACGGAAAGTACTATGGTATGTTTCACTTGCCCACAATCCATCTAATCTACATGCTTATACTTGGCTGGGGGACTTAAGTCAATTTAGCCAATCGCGGAGGGTAGCCTCTTCGGGTTAACTATCATGACGCCGTCGCCGGGTAAGGCTAACCTCATCATCCGCTAGCAAAACTCATACACACTTACGAAGACATTATTGCGCGTCCATCCAGCATTGCTCCCAATTAAAATGTAACTACGCAAAGAAATACCCGAAAGGAAAGCGTCTCAGTCCACGCCGACGGCACTGGTGGAAGAACTCTGGATCGACACGCACGTCTCAACCTGAATCTCGCCCCTCCGCACCGGCCCGATGATGCGCTCCTCGCTCGAGCTTTCGCCGTACCGGTTCGTCGTCGTGGCCGTCGCGTCCACCTTGCTGCGCCCCTTCTCCGGCACGAGCCCGGGAAGCTCATGCAGGTCAGACCGCCCGAGTATGGTGCCGTTCGAGAAGGGGAGCTGGCCCAGCCTGTACGCCGCCGATCCCCTGTTGCCAGGGCCGCCGCCGCCGCCGCCAGGGCCGCTGCTGCTCCCGGTCTGGTAGTAGCCCTTCTTCGACGACTGGCCGACGCTGGACGACAGCATGGGGATGATGCGGGACAGCAGCCAGCGCAGCGACGGCAGGCAGGTGCAGATGAGGCCGACGGCGGCTTCGATTCCCGACCACAGGAACGCCGGTGCCGAGTCCCACGTCGTGTCCTTGACGGCCTTGGTCGATGCGACGAGCGCCTTCATGCGGACCGCGCTGCACACGCAGACGAAGAGGCCGAGCGCGAACAGGATGCAGAGCCCCAGCTTCTTGGCACGCGACATCTGCAGTTTTTGGATGAAGGGGATGGGGAGCAGTGCCACCCAGACGTCTGTGAGCGTGTTGAAGGCTGCCCAGGACCACCGGAACGCCGAGTTGTTGATGCATTGGCAGCCCCCGGGCATTTTGCGGTTCCAGTTACAGGCGACCGGGAGACACTCCAGTAAGGTTGCCATGATGAAGCTGAAGGAGCCGGTTATGACAATGGCGATGGACCACAGGCATATGACCCGGAAGTTGTGGATCTGGAAGACGCGCAGGTAGAGCAGGAGAAAGGCCAGCTTGTTGAACATGATGACGCATTTGTAGAAGATTTGGAAGAGGAAGAAGTACTAGCTACATGTCAGCATACTCTCGGACACGACGAACTGCCGCCGAGAGCCTACTTTGAGCGCAAGCCGTAAGTTGCCTCCTGCTTCCGGTATTTCGTCTTTTCGCAGGCCGAAGCCGTTTTTGACAGCTGAGGTGATCTTAGTATTTGCTTTTCTCTGTCTGCAAGGCTCCACTAACCTTCGCAACCGATGACGGTGATGACTATCAAGCAGCACTGGAGAATGTCAGAAAGAATTCCGGGTCCCACGGTCGCACGAGTCCACGCACGTTGGAAAGCGCCACCATCGCATCCTCCAAGCCATAGCCAAAGCCTTTTCTTTTGTACACGGCGCCCATGCGAGTGCAGACGATGCATGTTGCGAGCGTCCCTAGCGAGATGGACACGCCAGTGATGGCTCTGCCTTGGCCGTCCCAGGCATCCATGATGGGCAGGTGTCGAGCAAGAAGTGGAACCCGACATCGACGCGCGGGAGCGCTCCCTTTGCAGTATTAAGATGGCAAAGGGGCCACGCGAGCGCTTCTGCTGTGCAACTGGCACATTTCCATTCCTGGGATTCTGTGTTTCACTGCAGATCGGCCCCGACGGATGATGATAAATTGCTTTTTCCCAAGTGCCGCAAAAAGGCAATCGAAGCCAGCAAAGAGGCGCCCGCCTGCCAACCATGCAGCAGGTGTGGGAGGTGATTACGGCAGCTTACGCAGTGGGGATCCGCCGCCATGGTGCAAATTCGACCACCACGCCCGGAAAAATACGCGCAGCGGAAGGAACCGTGCTCGCACATTCCTGAGGCGTCTAGGCCCGCTTGGTAAGGTGTGACGGCCCGCGGTGGGTACAAGGATGCTTAACGGCGACTGGCAGTGCTTGTTTACCGAGTCAAGGGTCGGCCACGCCGCACAAGCGTCCCGGTCGTCTCTTGGCCACACGCGCGGACAACCCTGGCCTCGACTTCTTACTTGTGGGTGTCCTGCTCCCAGCGCACATTTCTCGCGTGAGACACGATGGCCAGAAAGTGTTTTCCGTCGTTGAATGCAAGCCTCGTCGACACGCGGCAGGCCGTGGCATGGTCAGCCCTCTCGCTGCCATCGCGTCGATCAGCCATGTGCTGGTGCCCCGGTCGATACAGAAAGTGAGCAGCAGATCTTACGGCAGTGGCTGGCCAGTGGCCGCTTAGAGACGTACATTTTCTCCGGCGGACCGCCACCTCCGCACTCCACAATTGGCTGCATTAACAAGGCATATGCAACTCGGAATATCCGTCGTGAACCCTTGGCCTTCGTCTCTCTCCGCTCTGTGCCGCGCGCAATCAGCTCAGCATTGCATTGATGATAGGACCATGGCCTCATCTATCTGTGGCCTTCCCTGCATATGTGGCGCCCCTTGCCTGCCCTCTCCGTTCTGGTGCTGACGCCGCCCCGCCCGCGACACCGCGAATCGACGCCCGTTCTTGGTACTGAGCCACGGACTGTGCAACCTGCAGATGCCCAGGAATTTCCCGCCCGCCTACAGGTTACTTTTGCTTGCCCATGCCCCGACCATGTGGTCGAATGCTTTTCCCCTCACAATTTTTTTTCTCTCTCGCTCTTCTCTGCCCTGTGATCACGCTTGTAAGCGACAGAAGCAACGATGAGCATCAAGGCTCCCGAAGTCACGGCGTCCGGCGCGTCCACGCCGCTGGACTCTGAGCGCCTACCCGGCGACGCCTTCGACCCCAAGATCGAGCGACGCATTCTGCGTAAGCTGGACTTCCAGGTTGTGCCGCTGCTGTGTATCCTGTTCCTGATATCCTTCATCGACCGGTAAGGATGCGAGGATTCATTTCAGCTCCTATACCGTGCAACGCCAGCAATTAACGACCCCTGCAGGTCCAACATCGCGAACGCGAAGATCCAGGGCATGGAGGAAGACCTGAACCTGCACGGGAACCAGTACAACATCGCCGTCTGGGTCTTCACCCTGGCCTACGTCGTCTTCGGCGTCCCCGCGAACCTGATATTCAAGAAATACGGCCCGAAGACCCTCAGCCTCATGATGCTGCTCTGGGGTAAGGTTCCACCAGCTGCTGCTTTTCCCGCCTGACACCGGGCCGCCTTCCTGTTGCTTGTTTTTTTCTCGGGAGGCTTACCATGTTTCGCATCCTGCAGGTATCACCGTTATCGGACAAGGCGTGACAAGCTCTGCGGGAGGCCTCATTGCGTGCAGGTTCCTCGAGGGAATCATGGAGGCCGGCTTCGTCCCCGGCTGTGCGTATCTGATCGGAAGCTACTATAAGAAAGATGAGTTCTTGAAGAGGTACACCTGGTTCTTCAGCGCGGCCATTGCGGCCGGCGCCTTCAATGGTGTATGTAACCCCGAATAATACGAGCATGCAGCCACTGACGTACGCAGTTGCTGGCAACACTGATCTCGAAGATGGACGGCGTGGGCAACTACGCAGGATGGCGCTGGTAAGAGATCCCCGCTGAAGAGATCCTTCGGATGCAGGCGCACTGACACCCATTTTCCGTCTAGGATATTCATTATCGAGGGTCTCATCACCGTCGTCTTCAGCTTCTGCTCCATCTTCTGGATCGTCCCTTTCCCCGAGAAGAGCACCATGTTCACGCCCGAGGAAAAAGCGGTGCTGCTGACCCGCATCGCCGAGGATGGCGGCGGAGTCCGGCACGACAAGCTCGACCCGAAACGCTTCTTCAAGTACATGATGGACTGGAAGATCTGGCTCTGGTTCGTCCTAAACCCCCCAAACCTGCACTGCTACGAAAAAATGCCCCGCCCGACCAGCACTAACAAATATCAACAGCGTCCTCTCCTACCTCGGCGCCGAGGAGAACGCCGCGTCGGTCATCGCCTTCCAGCCGTCGATCCTGAAGGGGCTGGGGTACACGGCGACGCAGGCGCAGATACACAGCATCCCCATCTACGCCACGTCGTTCGTCTTCTCGCTGACGTGCGCCTGGCTGTCGGAGCGCCTGCGCCAGCGCTACGTCTTCGGCATGCTCGGCTCCGTCATCTGCATGGTCGGCCTGGCCGTCGAGCTGGCCCAGCCGCGCGACCCCAACATCCGCTACATGGGCATGTTCTTCGTCACCGCCGGCCCTTACCTGACCATGCCCATCACCGTCGTCTGGAACGCCATCAACGTCGGCAAGGGCTACAAGCGCACCGTGGCCTTCGCCTGCGTCATCGCCCTGGGCAACTGCGGCGCTTTCGTCGCGAGCAATGTGTTTATTACCGAGGAGGCACCCGTGTATCATACCGGTTTCAGCACCAATATGGGCTTTATTTCGTTGAGCTTGGTCAGTCAGACGGCATTGTATATCGGGTTGAGGCTGGAGAATAGGCGGAAGGACAGGGAGAGGAGGGAGCTGCCTGCGGTATTGGACCAGAAGATGTACGAGGACGCGGGTGAGAAGCATCCGGACTTTAGGTATCAGTTGTGAAGGACTAGCAGGCCAGTCCTTCATGAGTGGGGATTTAATCGGTGCGCTTCGGGACATATACAGCACGATAGTCTATTAATACGAGCTGGTTCTATGTTGATCAAGACAAGGAAATCAGGTAGAGTGCGAACACAAATAGAAGTACGTCGTTGAGAAAACTTAACAAAACACTGCCCTACTTTCTTCAGCATTATACCGGACCAATCAGTTCAAGGAAGGTAATGCCACATCCTGGCTCTACGGAATATCTGCTGCCTCTAATTTATCAGAGCCCCAAACACAGCATTGGGTCTGACAAAACTTCACTCTTTCCCGAATTTTCCGTGAAGATGGTCTTTCCTTCGGATCGCGTTCCAACATCGTCAATGCTTCCTCTACCCAGATCTTGATATTATCAGACACCTCCTGAGAACGCAACTGCCAGAGAAGAAAAGTTCGTGTTGGCTCAATATTCTGTTGAAAAGAATTCAGTCGAGCGTCCGCAAGCTCGTCCCGTCGTCCAATTATGACAGCTACCATCTCAGCAAATACGCAGCCGAGAGAGAATACATCAGCACTGAATCCTCTGGTTTCCTGCGCAACAACCTCTGGTGCAGCGTAGAGTCGGGGGAATGCTGTGGGAGATGATGTTTCTGCATCCTCTGCAGATGCGTAGGCCCGTGCAATCCCAAAGTCTGCCAGGTAGACTCTGAAATCTGCGAAATGTCGGATAGAACTTTTTCGCATATCTCGGACAAGGACATTACGTGGCTTGATGTCCATATGTTTGATGAAATGTCCGTGGATATAATCCAGCGTATTGACGAGACACGGGAAGAAAGAAGAAAGGTCGCACATCATTTGTTCCGTTTCGGCGGTTTTCTCTTCACAGATGCTTTCCATAAAGTCTTCAAGGTCGTGTTCGGCCACTGGGTATAACAGGATGTGCAAATCCTGTCTGTTGTTAAAGACGTAAGTTCCGATAACCTGGACGAGGTGTGAGTAGGATAAAAGCTGCAAGTGGGCAACCTCTTTCACAGCGTCCTCACGTTTCAATCTTCTGTTGCATCTGATCGTCTTGCGAGCCAATCTTATTCTTCCACAGCGAACACTGTCGACCGATCCAAAGGCGCCATGGCCAAGGTTTCGTTCGAAAAGCAGTGGGACTTCCAGGGCTTCTTTGGCGCTGAACTCCGCATGCTGCCCCTTTCCAGACCAATTCTGTTCCTTATTGAGCTCCGGGACCAGGCGGAAGGAGCGCAAGCATCTCAACCACGGGCTCATAGATTGAGGACTACAACATAAGACGGAGTAGCAGGCCAAAGGCGTCTTGGAGTTCCCAGTATGCAGCCGAGGGGAATAGCAGCCTTGTCCCGTAAGTTCCGGTAGGACACCGCTATATTGGTTCGAGGTCCACCGACCATGTTCTCGCTCCCAGATCACGGCCGGCTCTTTTCCATTCTCAAACTTTTGGACAATCTCTTCAGAGAGGATCTTAACATACTCAAGCGGTATCCCAGGGGCCTTTGATGAAAGAAGAGCCTTCAAGGCAGTCACGAGATGTTGCCTCTGGAATCTCTGAAGCTTCTTTTCGCACATTGATTTTAACCAGGCTGAAAGAGCACTCAAAAGCCAAGGTTCTCGACAGAGCTCGAAATCGTCCGGACCAACCATCAGGATCCGGGGCTGGGTAGGGTTGGACCGTGGGATCTCGCTGATGGGGCTTTGATTCTCATGCAGGCCAAAAGAGCGCGACCTGATCGGCAAGGGTTTACGTTGCTCAGCTTTCCTGTAGTAGAGAGGGTTTCTTGGGGAGTGAACAGGAACACGGGATCCAAAAGTAAGTCTTCGGATGTCGGAAACGGCACTCTTGAAGGTCATGGTACTTTCGAAGGTTACAGTGCTGCGAAAGGTCCGGGCAGTCTTGTAGGTGCGTTCGCTATCATATGAAGCTTCTGATGGAGCCATTCGAGAGAGTCCAACATCCTTTGAGACAGGAAATTGGTGATGAGTGCCCGTTTCAGAAGCAGAATCCGGGTGTTGAAGACCCCAGAGAGCGGCACCTCTACACGTAGCAGACCACCTATCCAATATCAGAAATAAGCGTATTCCGGCGTTCATGTAATACCTACGGTCTGCAGGGTTGCACAACCTGTACTCCGTAAGCTCGGCAGGACTGTTCGAGCCGATGGTACAGGTAATTGCTAGTTCCGAAGCCACCGGCCAGAATAAGCGACTACGAAAGTCAGCTTAATTGCCTGCATTAGCTTTAGCCACATACCTTGACTTCTAGCTGGTTAGATATCGCTTCTTTAATTCCATCATCAACTTCGCGTATAATTCCTTCGCACAGTTTGCTGAAGATTGTTCGCAAAGTTGCGCTGCTGTCTAGTGAGCAAAAAAGGGCTGGTTTGAAGCGGAATTTGTAAACGTACGGCTTGAGATGAAAATCTCGACCTTGTATCCCCTGATTTTCGCTGTTCTTGATGTTTGAAAAGCCCACAGTGAGTCCGTCTGTGTTGGAGCCTGAACATGATTTGTCCATCGCTTCAAATTGTTCGAGAATTTCAAGATTGAGCATTGGGGAACTCCTATCGTGCCGATGAGGACCAAGCTGGGCGCGAAAAATACTCTCAAACCATGTTTCGATTAATGTAGAGCCACAGAGCTCTTCTAAAAGTTTTGTATCAGTTATAGCATGAGATCTCAAATGAAGCAGCTTACAAACCTCTTCCAGACAGATATCTTTCAAATTCGAATGGCCATAGCGTAATGATTTGGTAGCTGGTAATGTCCTGCGGGACAATTTGAGTAACGAGAACCCGCGAGTTGGGACTATACTGACCACTTTATGGACTCCTGCATCACAGACTATGATGATATCTTTGCTCTCCCAGGACCTCATGTCTTGCGTTGGAACCATCCCATTAAATAGTGCCAGAGCTGTGGCCCTGGGCTCGGAGATGAATGATATGTTGAGCGGAAGTCCGGCATGCCATGCTATTGTTATCATTCGCTGTGTACAAGATGAGTCCCAGTGCCGAGGCACGGTAAGGATAAAGGATGGAGAATATAGGGATTCCCAGTCTTCTTCACGATGCCTGCTGATATGAACCTTTGTGTGATTCCATATGCACCGTAGGTAATCAGAGACAACGCCAAAGCTCGACTGTTGTAGGTGTACCGGGGGATCTCGACGGTGAAGCTGTAGCTTTGGTCCAAGATCGTTGACGTTCTTCATGTTCACCGCCCTTTTGAACCCTTTAACCTTCATTGTATCTTTCCCTAGGTTGTATCCCCAGCCAGATAGCTCGCCTTTGTTGTTGTACGATACTGCAGATGGGATTTTCTCGCGGGTAGCGTTCGGTGCTGCAGGGTCAGGCCAGTCGTCAACCAAGTGGACCTGTTCGTCGCTGCCGTCAATTGCCCAAGAAACCTTTGAGTACCTTAGCGGAGTGTGAGTTTTGATTTCTTTACTTCGAAAAAAGGTACCCTTACGCATCTCCGAAGTCGATACCGACTATAATTTTTGGTGTTGCCATTTCGGAATTCTTACCGACGGTCGTAAGAGCGAAAGAGACAGAGAGTCAGACCATGCAATAATCAGAAAACTGCGGCTAATATCCCCTGGTGCCAGCGTACTCAGCCCTTCCAGTGCAGGAAAAATGACGTTTGAGGCTGTTGCTCATGCAGCTCAGCCTGATGATTATGGTGAAGCCTTGCGCCAAAACAGCAGCCCCACACCTTCCGTCGACCGGGATCTGTTCCGACGACCAATTCGCGCCCGCCAACAGTGCGCAAAGTAAGCCAGCGTCTGCCTTGCGCTCTTTTTCGGTCAATGCGGCGATTTCGCGTACAATGTCGGCCTTCGGTTTTGTTGCGCTCTCCCAGCCAATCGCTCAACAAATTCGCCATGATTCTCTTAGAATACTTGCCTATAACGAAAAGCGATGCCTGGAAATACACTCTTAACTAATACAAATATCATCTCAGTTGAGACACTGAGGTCGTGGGGTACGTTTCGAATGACACCTATCACTCTGTATTGCCCAAGTATGACTCTTATGCGTATGCATATCCACCAATGGGGTTTTGCAAGTGCAGCATGACATCTTATCGGCGCAATGGGGCTCAGCCTGACCAGGCTGATTACGCAATTCTTTAACCCGATCATTTGTGTCTGAAACGCTAGCAACGTAGGCTTCAACATGGGGCGGTGATGCGGCTGGACGATGGCGCGAAACTGAGGAGGTGAACGGGTGATGTATTGAGCTACCCGAGAGAGAGCACTGAAATCCCCCCTTGACGATCGTGCCTGCCAACAGCGGCTTATTTGCGTAATGGCCTGATTGTATACCCGCAAATGTAATATGTTTTCCTAGGGACTGGGGCAAATTGTCTATTTCGCTTGGCTGGGTTTCGCCCAGAACGGTATTTGAGTCGAATTTCAATACGAAAGCGGGCGCGCAATAAAAGCCATTGAGGGCCTTCATCGATGCTGCACCAACCTGGTGTGCCTATTGACGCTGTAGTAAGCAAGTGTGAACACGGAATAAGAATATGGAACGATAGCTCGGTTTATTGGGTTATAATGCCGGGGGAGTCTCAAGGACTCAAGGGTGAAAGAACCGCGCAAATGTTTGCGCTACCCCAATGCGTAGTAACTCGTTCTCAATAGGATGTTGTGGCTCCCCTGGCAGTACACATATTGGTCTGTGATTGAGAACGGCACCACGATGGTAATGGTGAATGGAGAAATAGGCAGCGTGTACTTCCAATACGAGAATATAAACAAAGTCGGATTAACTTTACAAAAGGGTTGAAGTAAATGTCTATGTAGTCGACAAGTCTTGTGATAGTATCTGGCGTCGGTCAAGTATCGCGGGGGTTTCATTTCCCGCTCTCGGCCGGACTGAGCTTCGAAAATGCCAAGTGGTGTGAAGAACACTGCCCAAATGCAACGCCCATCGGAGAAACTTCAAGGAGAAAACACTAGGTACTTTGATTCTATAGCACGTTCGTAAAATGTGTTGAAGGTTTGAAGTGTGCCTTGTCTATTTATAGGTCATTAATTAATCGTATTGGTCGGAAACTCTTGCCGTCTACAAATGGTATAGGAAAGTACAAAGGAAAATCACAAAGGAAAGGGCGCTAGGCGGCATTACATAATGAACGAATGTTCCGACCGTGCCGCGCTACCGGCACATCGGCGGCAAAGGGCTGCTGTGCGTGCGTGCGTCTGCTTCAGCAGCATGCTACACCTGAGCACGATCAACCAAGGGGTAATAGTAGTCCTTGTGCACGTCTCCAGCACGGCGACGCTGGTAGCACTTCAACGACGCCAGCGCGAGAACCGCAATCGCCGATAGCGCGCCGACCATGGCCAGGGCCACGACGTGATCGCCGAGCCAGAAGATGACGGCGGCGTCGTCTTCGTGCCACGAGCTGCCGCGGTAGCTGCGGAACATGCTCTGGCCGTTGCGGTCGTAGTCTCTGGGCATCAGCGTGAAGAGCTGCTCGGCCGGCGGCACGTCGTCCTTCTTGGCCAGGTATTCCTCGCGCATCTCCGACAGGAAGAGCGGCCCCGTCGTGTACATGACGGTCAGGTATGGTGATGCCCAGTTGTGGTTGTAGTCGGCGAGGGCGCGGATGACGCGCTCGAAGAAGGGGTGGTGCGGGACGCTGCCCATTACGTCGTTGCTGACGCCGATGGGCGCGGTGAGTGGCAGCCAGGCGGGGTACTGCAGCAGCGGGTCGAGGCGGTAGTTGCAGCCCTGTGTGTGAGGAAGAGCTTGTGTCAGACTGCTTGTATAGTTTTGCGAGAGAGGGTGTAGAAGGGGGACACGTACGTCGTCAAGGTCGATATAGATACCGCCGAAATGCACCAGCGCGAAATACCTGATAGCATCGGCGCGTTGGATGACGTGCGGGTAGCTATCCCACGTCGGCTTGAACCAGGGGTATTCTTTCGCGATGAACTCGTTGGCATCCTCGTCCGTCCAGAACTAGGCATCGTCAGTGCTTGAGGCTCAAAAATTTTCATCCACAGTGCCCATGCTAACCTTGTATTCGTAATCGGGATGGAGGTCCAGACAAGATTGCTGAGCCTGCTTCCAGTGATCAGGGATGGTCCGGTTGGCGTATGTTTGATGGATGATCTTGGGGATCTTCGCATTGCTGATGTAGACGGTGTCGAAGTCGCTCGTTGGACGAAGCAAGAGTGCGAGCGGCTTCCTCAGCGAATGCAAGACTCCCCAAGAGAGGAGTGCAGATGCCAGGACACAGCCGAGAACTCGGGGGCGTATCCGTTTTCCATCGAAGCAGCGAAAGGAACCCATGGTATTCACGGCTGTCGGTCGTAAAAAGCTTTCTTGGTCGTTATTTAGGGAACTGCTTGCTTCTCGGCGGATATGTGTAGCTGACGGGTTAGGGAATTGAGCGATAGACAAGCCGTGGTGATGAACACATGAACTTGTCGCGGACATTTCAGTCCTGTTATAGTCACCGCCATTGTCTCGTATCACGGAGAATCGGGTGCTAGGGAGGTGGCACAGGAGACGTACTGTCCTTTGATGCTTCGTGCCCAGCGTTGAATGGCGCTTAGTGTCAGGGGGGACAGCGTGGTCGAGTCCTCGTAGGGAACGCGTAGGGCAGGCACGGACTGTGTGTTGTGTCAAGTGATGGCCAGTCCCCTAGCTGTACAGCCTCAGGAAGAACGCGTGTATGCCTTGCAGCGCGCTTGATAAGATTGGGAAAGTGCAAAACTTCCTCACGACTCACGACGCTCTCCGTCAATGACTTCTATCTTCCTAAAACCCAGCCAAGTTCTCATAACTTGAACGCAGAATTCAAAGAGTGCAAGTCAGTTCGAGAACAATTGTTGATGGTCCAAGCGAGTCTGCCTTGTCCTGTGTGGTGTCGAACTACCGGACGCCGGTACACATAGTGCGAAGAATTTGTCCTTGAAGTCTCCACAAATGTGCCGCCATGACCTGAGAAACTGAGGGTTTGACCACGCGTTGCCCCACAAACAATAAAAGGACGGCCGTGAATATAGGAGCAGGGTTGTATCGCAATCGAGCCATTTCTGTAGAGATGCAGAAGTATAGCCTTTTAAAAAGTGACAGGCCCTCTGCAAAGTTCCTAACCGACACCTCCATAATTCTATCGTGGTTTTCCTTATGGACAAGTAGAATTCATATACCCGATGGCTTCGCTGGCTACGGTGCAGATTGTTGTGATTGTCTATTTAGCCGGCAGGCTGATTTGTGCAAAGCTTTGTGCAGCTCGATATACTTTCGGTGACTGTTGTTTTCTTTCAAAGCTAAGCAGTGAGAGTTGGGTCTTGATTAAGTTCTCACCACGAGGAGGGTATTCGGATGCAATCTATTGAGAAGCTCCATCTCTCTGCGTCCTGAATTCCTCAAGTACGGGCGTCTGATAAGAATAAAGACACGGGAAGGCGTTCTCCCGAAGCTTAGAAAGCTTCGACTGAAATTCAGTGTACGAGATGGAGAGGCTAACAGCGAGTATTTTTCTTTGTTGTTAAGCTGCTAGGTAGTTTGCAGCACGGTCTGGCCACTGAGGTGGTTTTGGTTAGGTCACAACCATCAAGCATTTAGCTTCATACATTCGCTTATCTTAAGTTCTCCACGGAAAGACCTTGTGTGTCGTACGCATTGCTGGATTCGTAAAAGAATGATAAGGTTTGATTGGAAAAGTCTTTCCACTGCTGCGAGGTGCGCGACCGCTGCGGGTGACTGAATGCACTGGCGATGATTCCAAAATGCATGCAGCCCATTAAGTGATTACTACCTGATGCGCAGCCTCGGCATATTGGGAGAGAGCTAAGAAAGTTTTATGAAAAGGTGCAAGCGCGTCGTCAAACCCGTCTAGCTAGGGCGGTGGCATTATTTGGTCAGGCATACGAGTCTGCCTTACCAAGTCCGTATCACTGGCTCGGTAACAGCCGCACGTGCTGCGGCAGTTGAAATGTGCCGACTACATATGTAAGCTTTGTTCTCGGCACGGGTGCAAGGCTCGAGCCGAAGCCGTTGTGGCTTCCTGATGGTACAGCGGGGAACCTCGCTCATCCAGATCGCCGGAAGACATCAGCTGCAGCTGGTGGTCTAATACAATTTGACCCCCGCAGTAAGTCTGATAGGCTTGCGGTTGCGTCGCACATTCCACCAGCTTGATGTCTTGAGAGGAACTACACAGGAACTTAACACCGGGTTTAAGTCGTGGAAGAGTGGGCTTGAGCTACGTGCGGACGAATGCCGGACGTGGAATACAGCACAGAAAATGATGTCTTGAGCCCGATACAAACTCCCGTCGACGCTGATTAGTCAGTGCAGTCATCCCTTAGCACCAGTCAAAAATTCGCCAGCCCTCATACTGGTGCAACCCACAAAACTAACGTTTCAGATGGGGGTTTCGTTGGTTGGTGTGCAACAGCAAGGAGCCTCGGCAGGTAGGCTGTGCAGGAGAGAGCCGCTAAGATTAGGCGAGACTGGGGGCCGGAAGGTAAGGCGGCACGAGGCGCACATCAGGGGTGCGTGCAACGGTCTACAACTCCTCAGCCCTTACATATACTGCAGCATGTTCCAACGACTTCACCAGACACGTAGCGCAGGAAGTCACGAGTACGAGGAGAGCAGCGTCGGAAAATACGGAAGGGTTCGGTTCTCTCGGAGGGGCTGCGGTCTTGTCCGGTGCTGATCCCCCAGCCCTAACAGGGCCTTCGACCTTGGCGTACGGCGACTTTTTCAGGAGTAAGTCAGGAAGGATTCCGTGTGTAGCCGCCCAAGATGATGTCTGCCTTGAAGCCCCACTTTTGTGAGGTTGCAACACGAGGGGCCGCTGACTGCTGCGCCGCACGGCCTGACATGGAGCTGAACATTGCTCTGGCATACTTCAATAGCTGATCGCTCGGTCGAATGAAAGGCGTCCGCGGGTAGCGCGATTGCCTGACCTGGGGAAACAATCGCCGTCCCCTCCGCATCCTGTGTAGATCCGAGATGACAGCCCTGTTTCGAGGTAAGCCCTCAGCCGATTGTCTCGTATAAGGCCGCTAGTGCAGCATGGGATCGTACCTGTGACAAAAAAAGATGCTCAGCGCCAAGGCACGGGGTTGGAGGCGTCAATCAAGCTTAAGCTTAAAGCGGAGATCCCGTGTGGTTGCGCCCTCAGCATGCCGGTTGCGCCATGTTTCCTCTACCTGTTGCTCTGGGAGCAGCAATACTGCTCTCAACCACCAATGCCCTGGAGCTCGACATTACACAGCCGGATTCGATACGAGATGCCGCCTCCAACATTGCCTACGGCATGATGAGCTGGTACACGGGGAACAACACGGGCGATGTTCCTGGTACGTACCGTTCAGTCTGAAACGAAGCAGCGCTAACGTTTTGTATAGGGAACCTGCCAGATCCGTACTATTGGTGGCATGCAGGAGCCATGTTCATGAGCATGGTCGACTACTGGTACTATACAGGCGACAACAGCTACGTCGACGTCACCAAGCAAGCCATGATCCACCAGGCCGGCGATACGTGGGACTTCATGCCCGAGAACCAAACAAAAACCGAAGGCAACGATGACCAATTGTTCTGGGCTCTTTCAGCCATGTCCGCCGCCGAAGTCCGCTTCCCGAACCCGGACAGCAACCAGGCATCCTGGGTGGCCCAGGTGCAAAACGTCTTCGACCTCCAAACCAGCCGCTGGGATGATACGTGTGGCGGTGGACTACGGTGGCAGTACGTCTCCCCTCGACGCCGGATCACCGGCTACAGTACGCTCTAACAGCAACATCAGGATCTTCACCTGGAACAAAGGCTACAACTACAAGAACACCATCTCCAACGGCGGCCTCTTCCAGATCTCGGCCCGGCTCGCGCGCTACACGGGAGACGCGCAGTACGTCGAGTGGGCGGCCAAGGTATGGGACTGGTCGACGGGGGTGCTGTTCCAAAACGAAACCGACACGACCATCGTGCTCAACGACGGCGCGACGACCGAGAGCGGGTGCACGCGCTCCGACCCGACGCAGTGGACGTACATCTACGGCGTCTTCATCGCCGGCACGGCCTACATGTACAACCACACGCGCGACCAAATCTGGCTGACGCGCACGACCAAGCTGCTCAACACCGTCGAGGCCACCTTCTTCATCAACGCCGCCAACGGCGTCACCGGCAAGGTCATGTCCGAAACCGCGTGCGAGCCCAGCGGCAACTGCGACATCGACCAGCAGTCGTTCAAGGCCTACCTGACGCGCTGGATGGTGCTGACCGCCCAGATGGTGCCCAGCCTCGAGGCCCGCATCTGGGGCCTGCTGCGGCCGTCGGCCCAGGGCGCCGCCCTGCAGTGCTCCGGCGGCGGCGAGGGGCCCCGGAACGCGCCTGATGCCTGCGGCAGGCGCTGGGACCAGGCGACGTACGACGGCACCTCGGGCTTGTGCGAGCAGATGGCCGCGCTGCAGGCCGTGTCGGCCATGATGCTCGGCGGCGCCGACGGCGGCTTGGACGGCGTCAACCTGTTGCCGCCCGCATCCGTGGCGGCCGGCGGCGGCGGCACGAGCAAGCCGAAAGAGGACGGTGGCGGCGGGAAGACGAGCGGGAAGACGCTGCCGCTTGTTTATACCGAGGACATTACCGCGGGGGATAAGGCGGGCGCGGCCATCTTGACGATTCTTTTGGTTTCTGGAACCCTGTCGGTGGGTTGGTGGATGCTGTAAAAGGAGGAAGTAACTAGGTCGGTTTATGGGGCAGAAGTGTGGAGTCTTGGTTTTTATTTCTCCTTTTCTCTCGGTCTACGGCTGAGGACATCTTTCTCTGCCTAGGCCTTTTTTCTATTCTTTTTTATTTTTTTTTTTCAAATCAGGCTTGCCACCGTTCTGCAGGTCAGAACGCTGGTAAGTTATTGAAACCCGCATAAGCATAAGCGGAAGGCGTATCGGGAAAGCATCCTATTATAGAAAGAGCATATATCTTTCAAGAAAGACTGACGCCGGCGGCAAAAATCGAAATAAACTTTTCTCCAAACAGACCCGCGAGCCAGATATCCCTGACAAGATGCCTTCCGCAATACAGCTTTAGACAACTGGGAATTCTTTCTCTTTTTGATTGCAGGTGGCAAGAAGCTCCATCTTAAACTTTAGGTTATATTGCCAAGATTGGATGAATTCACAAGTAAGACCTACTCATCACTATACCAGTGCTTCAAATAGGCGGGCGATAAACGATGTGCATGAACCAATGCGGATGCATTTGCGTCATCAATGGCTCGCATCAATTATGTCACACCAAGCCCGATGTATCAAGCGCCATTCTCGCGTATCTTCAAGTAAAACGACAGCCCCTACGTCATCCCCAGCCATCGGAATGTTCGCCCGATATTTCCTACGATTATGATTGGTCCTTCCGCACGGTTCCAGAAGACAAGGCTGGCTGGCAAGCCTGATGAACCCACACCTGGATGGCACGGACTATAGGTGGATGTTCGCCTCATTCTAGAGTAGCTTCGTCGGGGAAGCGGGAAATGAACTCCTATTCATGAAGGATTCGGGGTTCGGGACGAGCCGAAAGGTCATCGTCGCTTCATACGCAAAGAATCTAGACTTTTCTAGACTCCGTTACGCCTGTCGTTCACGCTTCTCTGGCGGCAACAAAAAAAAAAGGAGGTTTGCAATGTTCTGAATGAGAAATTATATAGCAAGTAACACGTAAATTCGTCATCGTGTCATTAAATGCTTCGCTTCGCTGTTGGTATATGTACATGAAAAAAGCACAAGAAATAGCAAATATTATGATGCTGGTATCGAGCTCTTGGGCACTATGCGACCCGTCTCTGGCAGCATGACAAGCTCCAGCTCCGACGCCTGCGATGGAGAAGGGGGCCTCAGTGGCTTTGTGGGCTGGAAAGCGATCCCGATGCCCCCTTGCTGTCCCGCAGCAGAATCCAGCCTCTCCGCACCGGCATCTCCCGCTTCATTCGCGCCCACGTACTTGACCCTCTCGATGACCAAGTCGTCCCCCGCCCTCGCGTCTTTTGGAGCAGAGCCGGGACCCGACTCCTCGATTCTGGAGAAGACGCCGTAGTCGGCCGATCCCTTGCTCCGCCGGTTGTTGAAAGTGAAGGTGTCGAAGCGGCGCGACGGCGTGACCGACGACGAGCCCCGGCCGCCGAAGGACAGGTCCTTGTCCTTGATGACGCTGATCAGGTTATTGAGGACGGAAAACTCGAGCTTGAGCTTGATGCTGTAGACGGCGCCCTTGTACGTCGTCTGGATCTCGTACTGGTTCGAGTACTGCACGCCGAGCAGGGTGACGTCGAAGGCGAGCACGACGGCGTTGATGGCGACGAGGTGGTACAGGATCTTGCGCAGCGCGCGGTTCGACGTCGGCGACGGCTGCAGCAGCCGCGTCGTCTCGTAGATGTACAGCACCGAGATGAGGATCTCCTGGAAGGCGAAGACGGCGATCTGGATCTTGTCCCACACGGTGAAGACGCCGAGGAACGGCGCCGGGTTGGGCGAGTTGGACCCGAAGGCCATGACGATCAGCGGGACCGACATGACGACGCCGTCGAAGATGATCATGTACAGCACCAGCCGCAGCTTTCGGGCATCGTGCATGACCAGGTGCAGCCGCGAGTAGAGCACCACCGACTGCCCCGTCACCATGGCCGGGAAGCCAATGGCAACCAGGAGGACGGGTATCCACCATAGTGATGCTGGCACGACGCCGAAGAACTTGAGCACGAAGCCGAGAGCGTGGGGAGCGATTCCGAGGGTAGCGACAATAAAGCTCCAGAAGTACAGGCCGCTCCGCTGCTTAAAGGTGGTGAAGATGATGACGAACAGTTCGACGACGTTGTAAAAGGAGATTGCCAGGAAGCCAGCCATGGTCATCAGGATGGGGGTACTGACATTGGCCGCGCCTGTGACGCCGTCGCTGGCCATGGTGGAGGAGACGTCGAGTCGTGTAGTTGGAAGAAGGGTACGACGGTGCGGATTTCCCGTTACCCGCGGACCGTTGGGTCTGGCGCAATAGCTGCTAATGAGTCAGGTCCGCAAACCAAGGTCAATGCAACGGCAAGGCAGGGATTCCGGACTTCAGGAGTGGTTGCAGAGGGTGGCCACAGAGCGAGTCCCAAAATGGACTGCTTGCTGGTGCAGAGAGGCCTTCAGGAAGATCCCGGCCAGCGATATATATTTTGTCTAGGCCGTCTAAAGCGGCTGATGGGAACTCAGCTACGGCGGGTCAACGTCTGGCTAGGTCGCATCCTTCCGCCTTTGGTTCCCTGTTGGGCTTTCCCCGTTCCCCGCAGGCCGGGGTGGATTAAGCGATAGGTGAGGTCGAGTCAGGTACACCGCACTGACGATCGATCCGTCTCGCTCGTTGGTGGCATGAATTGCAGTTGTCACAAGAGACGAGGGTCTCCCGACTTCTTACTCTATTGCGTACAGCAGGCCTCGAGTCAGTAGAGGTGAACTGCTGACCACGGCCGCGTAGACCGTCTCTCAATTTCCCGCCCTGGTCGTAGTTTCAGCGGAGGCTGGACCGACTGTGGCGTATCAGATATCGGATCCTTCAGGGCACGATCCGAGGTGCGGCGGCGTACGCGGCTGATAGGACGCTCGGGACAATTCTTTGAAGAAAATCAGCAGAGAGATCAGCAAAATCTGGATATGCCGAGGCGGGGATCGAGGAAAGCACGGGCCGGAAACGTAGGGCGCCTCATGTACCGCAGCGTTAGCGCGCCGCGCCGCCAGCCGTCATATGCGAACGCCTATCACAGCCGTGACGTGCCCATTTAGAGTTGTGGCTTCCATGCCGGAGAGCGGAACCGGCTCCCGCAAGCCCAGCCCCTTGCAGACTGGCGAACGGTCGGGGCGCGCCTCGCTCGTAAACCACATAAAAGCAAAGAGCGAACGAGCTGGTGATGTGGAGACCTAGACAATTAGCGACGGCGACCGCCGTAGCGAACTCGCCCCTTTCCGGAGGCACCACCGGATGGGCTCCGCACTGCAAAGCCATCACCAAAACCCATACGTAAAACTCGGCTGCCCAAGTATATTTAGGTGCTCGGGCATCATGGTGGGACTGCACGTATGATTTGCTGCTCTTCTGTTTTGGCTTGATGAAGCTACTTACGTGCCTTGCAGCAAGCACCTACATTAGTTGCGCCATTCGAAATGTGACCTTTCACATCTTGGTCCCCAACCTTATTCCGGCTACTCCTCAGGCCGCTGGGCATACACAACGTGGCTACAACCCGTCAGAATCCGGCCCAAAACTTGGAAGAATACGTACTAGTTGTACATGGCGTGGATGCTCTTGTTCTTCAGATCATTCCGCACCTTGGCCAGGAACACGTTCACCTCGTCAACTTCCCATCTCAGCATGTCGGTGAATATGCGGTAAGAGAAGGCCTCGAGGCCTTCGAGTGATTGGATCAAATTCATCAAGCCACACTGCTTCTACAGTCGTGTAAGTGTGTGATGTCTCCTCGGCCGAGCCGTCACATGCACCTACCAAGCTCTTATCTTTTGGCCACCCTCCAACCGGACACTTGAAGACCTCGTGATGGACGTTCACGAACCCCGCCTCCTTCACGTACTTCTCCAGCCGCGGGCCGGGGTCGCAGTCTCTTTTGGCGTTGCGGCACGCTTCCCTCAGCGTGTCCAGCCACTTGGTCATGTCGTGCTCGGGCTTCAGTGAGCCATCGTCGGAGAAGTACACCGAGTCGTAGTCCTGGAATTCGACCCACCCGCCCGGCTTCAGGTTCTTGTAGGCGTTGGTGGCGAGCGCGGGCCAGTCGCCGATCGAGCCGGCCATGTAGCGGGAGAAGATGAAGTCGAAGGGCTGGCTGTGCGACCACTCCTTCTCGACGTCGTCGATTTCGAACTTGACGTTCGGCGGTACCTGCGAAATAACGGGGAGTATGAGCACACGTTCATCCGCGCCAAGTACGCGCGCCCAGTTCCCCATGGCTAATGGTGAGAGGGGTCAGGGTAACACCACGTCAGGTTCTTGTGCGCCGCAAGTATCGCAAACCGAAGCTGCACGACAACAACAAGACACGTCAGCGCACACCGTCAGCGCGTATAGTGTGTGCCCTTCATCCGCCACAACCCGTGTCGCATGCTGCAGCTGAACCCCGAACGGCCTCCTCGCCCCTCCGGCCTCCTTTTGCGCAGTTCAATTGGCCCGCCTCTAGTTTCTCGAAAGCACATACCCACGACGGTTGCACCGGGCTGAGATCGTTGCCCAGAATCTGCGCATTGGGGAACTGGTCTCCCATGCATATGGACCAGATGCCCGTCCCGCAGCCAATGTCGAGCACGCGGCCAGCGAAGTCTTCCGGGAGCGGCGTCAGGTGGAGTCTGTCGCCGGTCAACTTGGTCGTCATGGCGTGGGCGAGGTCCAGCCGGTCCTGCTCGGGCTCGTCGTTGGGCAGGATGTAGGAGCCATCCTTGTAGGCGTGGTAGCGCCGGCCGTTCTGCACGGGGTAGTTGACGACACTGGACGTGAGCGAGGCCGAGAAGGACGACAGCTGGTCGTCGACGGAGCCGAAGGCCGAGTCGTTATCGTACTGTTGCGCTGCTCAGCGGTCACTTCTCGAGGCTCCCCTCTCTTCCCATTAGCACACCTCGGGATCAACTTCGGGGCCGGTCGCGGGCTGGCTTTCGGTGCACATGTTGGGCGATTGAAGAAGTCGGAGGATTTGGAGCGGGAGCGGATCAGGGATGCCGCGGCCATCTGGGCACCGGAACCCACATTATTTACTTGCTCGTGGCAGCTGTGCCGCACTTGTGGGGCACTGCGTGTGGGGATGTCCATTGCCGATGTGCGTACGCGAGCACATCCCCGGGCTATAGCTGCCTGTCACCCCAGCCTCTGCTGACTGCTTTTGCTCCGCTGCATGCTCCTTCCTTTTGCTTGTGAGCGCAGTCATGCAAGGCGATAATAGTAGTATCATGGGGGCTGAAACACCCCCAGTCATGCCGCGCGTGCAATTTGAAACGCTGCCATTCCCCTGCTGCACTGATCTGCCAGCGTTAACCACAAACCCGGATTTGTGTGTCAAAAGCAATATGTTGTTGGCAGCCTCAATTACGACCTGCTCCTATGGCCTGATTTTCTTACTTTCTCTTATTTCCAGATCCTCTCTTAATTCTTCGTCTCATAGCATCTCGGACGCAGCTCCGTTCTATCCCCGACCCCTCTTCCCAGTCCTCTAACCGCATCACAGAGCCGCAATATTCGCAACGTGCGCGCGCGTGGCAACCCCTGCCTCCGGATCCTTCGAATTCACCTCGTTGTCGTCCTCCGCGGCGGCCGCCACCATCTGCGCCTTCAGCTCGGCGAACTTCTTCTCGGCGTCCCAGACCCACGGCGTGTCGGCGGTGAAGAGCAGGTCCATCTCCTCGAGGGTGCGCTGGTTGCTCTCCGGGTACAGCGCCCAGACCATGGGGATGGTGATGACGTTGCAGGCGCCGAAGATGTACAGCGTCTTCTCGCCGATGGCGTCGAACATGACCGGGCACAGCAGCGTCAGCCACCCGTTGCCGATGCTCCATCCCACCACGCCCCACGCGTTGCCCTTTGCCCGCACTTCGAGAGGAAATATTTCGGCCGGGAACAGCCTGTTTGGTTGTTAGCTTTGAAGTGTAGCGAGAGGGAAGAAAAAAAAAAGGGGGGGTGGTTGGTGACTTACCATGGAACAGTCAACCACGTCGCACCGAAGACGGAGGTGAAGATGAAGACGAAAGCCGCTGATGCAGCACCATACGATTCAGCCACAGAGATGTTCCCGGCGGCGCGGGCGTTAAGGCCGGCGCGCGCCATGCCGCCGGCCAGGAACATGGCGATGCCCTGGCCGACGGAGCCCCAGTACAGGGTCCAGCGGCGGCCGATGCGGTCGAGGGTGAAGACGCAGACGAGAGTGGAGAACATGTAGAAGATGTTGTTGAGGCCGCTGATCCACTGGCTTTTTGTGGCGTCGAAGCCGGCGATGCGGAAGATGGTGGGGGCGTAGATGGTGACGCCGGCGATGCCCACCCACTCCTGCATGATCTGCAGCCAGATGACCAGCTGCACCCGCCGCCCCGTGTGCAGCTTGCCCGACCCGATGCCGAAGAGCATGTGGAAGTACGAGTGCTGCTTGGACGTCTGCTTCTCCAGCTCCGCGATCGCCTTGATGTCTTCGAACTCCATGTCCGCCTTCTGCGCGTCCTCGCCGCTGCTGCCGCGCAGCCGCCCCAGGATGTAGCGTGCCTCCTGCTCGCGGCCGACACGGACGAGCCAGCGCGGAGACTCGGGGAAGAACCAGACGATGCCGAGCAGGATCAGGAGGGGGATGATTTGGAACGCGATGGGGAATCTCCAGCGGAAAGCAGATGCACCGCCGTCAATGTAGGAGAGACCGCTGGAGGCTCGTCAGCATAAGCCGTTCTTCAAATCGTAGGCATGAAACTCACAATTCCAGCCAGTACGCCACCACAACACCAAAGATATTCAGCGTAAACTCAATGGCGATGAACTGCCCGCGGGAAGTGTGCTCGGCCGTCTCTGTAGCCCAAACGGGAACGATTGAATTCAAGACTCCAGTGCCGATACCGTTGACCGCTCGCGCTGATGCTGCGTGAGTACTGCCGTCTCCGTATACTTCGCCCGCTTCAGGGTTACCCACCGCAGATCATCCAGTCCGCATTCTGGGCCGAGCACTGCAGCGCCGCGCCGACAATCGCCCACAGCGACCCCAGCGCAATCGTCTTGATGCGGCCGACCTTGTCGCCGACCCACCCGCCCATCAGCGCTCCGAAAAGCGTGCCCAGGTAGTACACGGACACGATGCCGCCCTGCAGCAGGCTGTCGGTGACGACCGGGTCGCCCGTGGCCTCGTCGACGTAGCCGAATTTCATCAGGTCGATGTAGTGCTTCGCGTTGTTGACCCCGCCCATCATGCCCTGGTCGTAGCCGAAGAAGAAGATGGACAGCGCCGCCACGCAGTTGACGGCGATGAGCAGGTTGCGCTTCTCCAGCCGGTCCGCCACTTGCCAGCTCTTTCGTCCCGCCATGGCTATCCTCTCTCTTTCTCTCTTTCCTCTCAAAGGCCTCGATGTATGTGGATGGCTTTGCTTGCGCGCGGATCGGTCATGTCAGCGTAAGCTTGAAGAGGGGAAACACCCCAACAGATTGATATATGTATGCGTCGGCATTTGAACTTTTTCCTCTGTTCCGGCGGCGGCGAGTCTTTTTCTTTCGCCGCCCGCCGAAAATCTTACTATATGACGGCATGCATCGCCATCCCGTTATCGCCCGCGCTTGGGTTGCCGCATTCGAAGGGTCGCGGTGCCTCCTAAGCGCCACGGGCTGCCCGATTCGGCATCCCGGTGGGCGGGAACAGGTGAGGGGTGTGCCGACGGGAAGACGTGAGGGGGAGAGGAAGAGCGCGAGAGTGCCGCCGGTGGGTGGTCATTGAGTGTTTTGGGTTCCGGCGGGTGACCTTTTTGTGGGGTCTCGTGGGGCGCGCCAGGGCCGAAAGCAAGGTTGCGGGGAGCGGAGCGCGGGCGCGGCTCGCTGTTTGAGTGATGGCGATCGGCACCGGACTACCGTGCCTTGCTTTGCCAGGATGCTCGGGCAAATTCCTGCTCGCTATGTTGTCTTCGATTGAAAGTAGATCTAGGAGCGCTCTTTGCTCGGTAGTTTGAGAGCTGGTAGATAAGTTCACTGGTTTAATCAATCGGGCTATGTACTGAGTAACCAATCAAGCTTTAGCCAAGGAAAGTGCTTGAGTGTGCCACGAGTGTGCCACTACAAGTTACTTCGCACTGTTCCATACCCGAATACCTATACAGACAGTATTGTCATCAGAATCGGACACGATAGCCACGCGACACCGCCGCGAGAATTCGCTTTCTTGTAATTAGAAGCCCCATGGTTCCTCCAATATTTGTGATAATACTACATAGGGAATTTTCTATTCCCTTTATTTGAGCATGAGCAATCACAAGTAGGCCAGACAGCTCACTCCATGATTGTACATAAACCATACTTACGTGTGTCAAGATCATATCTAATGAGAGGTGTTTTCGATAGATACGGAGAGAAGATGTCGAAATTCCAGACCCCCTGAGTGAGAAATTTTGGGGAGGATTTTCCCACGCCCATCGATGCACAACAGATCTAATATCACCCATAAGCGGGCCCGGCTTTCTTGTTCTGACTACATCTGTTTCAATAGCCAAGCAGAATTTTCATTGTCAAAGTAAAGCGACAAATTAAATGAAAGTTTTCGTTGCACTGGAACACGTGCCTCTGCATGAACTCGACCCCATTACTTAACAAGGTGAGCTGGATGAGCGCCAGTCCCGCCCGCTACAGCCAATCTTCCTTCCCAGTCTTACCCCCACAGCCAGTTTCGACCCCATTGACCTTCTTAGGCTGCTATGGCTCGGAGTCCTCTGCTTACGAATACTCGTCGTAAGAATGAACCGAGTCTACCACGCCGACGTACCAAGATTTTGCAGGGACAAAGGTGTGCTACCGACACCCAGTCTCGCCCTATGTCAATCCCGTCAAACCAGTAATTGCGGTAGTAGATAACAAAACCAACAGAGTACGCACTTAAATAAATGTAGTCTATTTACGAGGCGTTGAAGTTCCGGATATATCTTGGGCGAGTGCGGGTATCTTCTAGCTTCAGCCCGTCATACATATATTCTTTTGATGTTCCGTTGCACGTCATCCCTCTAAAATTTGCTTACACGTTTTGTCTTCGCTCTTTTTTAGAGCTCTGCTATTCTTCGCGCTAGCCATCGGCTGCAGCACCCCTCTGTATGGTCGCAACGCGATATGAATTACGCGGTGGCTGTGGTCGACTCTCAATCCGTCATCCAAGTTTGCGCATCATAAACAGACATCATAATTTTGGAGGCTAGCGAAATATTGCCGTTACATTTCGGTACCCCACAAAGTTTTCCAAACGTTCAACGCATCTGGCCAGCGCGCCTGCCGCTATTCCCAATCAGTTTTTATGGAATCCCTCCCCGTACGCCCCCGCATATGCCTTATCGGTCCGTGCGTAACACTATCTCCTCGGGCTTGCTTAACCTTTTCATCATGAATGATGATTGCAAGGGCGGCGAAATGGGTAATTAATCCCTTGGATTTAACCAGCGGTTTACCACGAAAAAGAATGATAATCAGGACCACTCCAGTATTTAAAGACTGCCTGACCCCGCATTACATCTCATATCCAAGTCATTGAACTCCGGGTCTTGTCTATACATCGAAAAAATGCGATTTTCACGAACCATTTCAGTTGTTGGCGTACACGCAGCCGGCGAGGTTGGTGATGTCATTGTTGGTGGCGTTTTGGACGTTCCGGGGAAGACTATGTACGAAAAAATGGTCTACTTCTGGACCAAGGCCGACAGTCTACGACAACTTCTCTTGAACGAACCCCGAGGCCGAGCGTCCATGTGTACCAACCTCGTCCTCCCACCATGCAACCCTGCCGCTGATGCCGGTTTCCTCATCATGGAGAGCGACGAGTACGTGCCCATGTCCGGTTCCAACACCATCTGCACGGCAACGGTGTTGCTTGAAACGGGGATGGTGAAAATGGTCGAACCGACAACCCAATTGGCACTGGACACAGCAGCAGGGCTGGTAACAGTAACCGCAAAATGCGAGTCGGGCAAATGTAAGAGTGTGGCCTTTGACAACGTCCCCTCGTTCGTTTTTGCACTTGACTTTGAAGTCGAAGTACCCGGAATTGGCGTTGTTCGCGCCGACATAGCTTGGGGAGGCATGATCTATGCCGTTGTCGACGCTTCCTCCCTCGACATTCGCATCGAAGACCACAGAGGAAAAGAGCTCGTCGAAATTGGAGAGAAGATCAAGAGAGCCGTGCAAAACAAAATCGACCCTGTTCACCCAGAGAACCCTGGCATACATGGCGTCAGCAACTTCGAGTTTACGGGACCGTTGGAGAACGACCCGCATGGACACGGGAAAACGGCTGTCAACACAGTCGTCGTTTCGCCTGGACGGCTCGATCGAAGCCCTTGCGGTACAGGAACTTGCGCCCGCATGGCTATACTCCACGCGCGTGGTCTTCTCGGAGTTGGCGAGCCATTTCGACACGTGAGCATTACCGGATCGGAGTTCACTGGCCACATCAGAGGAACGACGAAGGTGGGCGATTATCCCGCTATCCTGCCAACCGTTGAGGGGAGTGCGTGGATTACCAGCTTCAAGCAAGTCGTGCTCGATCCGACTGATCCTTTCCCAGAAGGATTCCGAGTGGGTGACTCGTGGCACGTACCAGGCTGTTGAGGGATTTGGTACTTTTGTGATAAAATGGGGATAAGCAAGAGATTATGGCGGAGTATGGGAATTACAAGTGGTTTTATGTGACAGTATCACTAAAAAAGGAGGAAATAAAACATCAGTCGGAACGGATACCACGATCGAAAGACTCTAAACAGCCCTTGTCACGAATAGAAGTCAATCCAAAATCAAATGAATTCCTTTTGTGAATCTAACATGCGGTCACGCATGAGTTCTTCTGTGTTCTCTTGCTGTAAGAAACCCCTCAGGAAACCTTCTCTTTCTTTTTTCTTCTCCAAAAACAAAAATAGAAAAACTCATTGAATGAGCTACAGTGAATAGGCCAACGTGAGCTCATATAAAAGACAAACACGATCATCTTCCAAAGTCTTCATGAGGCTATATAAAAAGAAATTGTATTAACCACAGCAAGCTAAAAAGTAATATGAAACTTGTCTAGGCACCGATTCTTGTGTGGAGTACGCGGGTGAAACGGCCCCCAAAAGTAGCAAACAGGGATTTGATCTCACGTCATCTTAGTCTTTGGTCCCACAGTACAGTCCACTCTTGCAGATGCTGGTTAAAAAGAATTCCCTTTTACCGGGCATCGGAATCTTTGCCGATTACCGAAGGCAGATGTATCCTATGAAATTCATCCTATTATCAGAGCCAAATAGGTGGAGTACCCCCTGTCGGCAGGATTCATTCTCCTCACGCTAGTGCCGGCTCCGAGTGCGGCTTAGGGTAAGCATATTCCTGATTCAGATATCTATGTTCTTGGCTTGCGTCTGCCGCCTGGTTGATAGTGCTGTGATACAACGCTGTGCCCACTTAAAGCCTAGGTCCGTTCATCTCGAGCGTGTCAGCTTTTGTGCTGAACCATCCATACCTCAACTCCGCCATAACAATGGCTTCTGTCCAAGGACTGCTGGAATGGCCTTTATCACTTGCACGTAATGATTTGCCGTTGGTCCTGGTGACCTCTGTAATTGCTTTCGTTCGTTCTCTATCCAAAGCTTGCATCCCATGTATCTTACGCATGTCAGGTTATCATCCATGCAATCGGCACTGTCATCTACAATGTTTACTTCCATCCTCTATCCAAATATCCCGGTCCCATTTCAGCCGCGAGCACGAATTTGGCTTACTGGTCTGCTACCGTGAGGGGCGATCTCCTTCCCTGGGTTCAAGATATCCACAAAAAATACGGCGAAATCGTGCGCACCGGCCCCAACACTCTCAGCTACACCAACCCCGAGGCCTGGAAAGACATTTACGGCCATCGCACTGGCGGTAAAAAATCCAACACGAAGGACCGATTTTATTACCCTCCAGATTTCAACGGCCGTCATGCAATCAATGGCATTGCTAATGACGAAGAGCACGGGCGCGTGCGGCGAATCTTCTCCCACGCCTTCTCGGACAAGGCCTTGAAAGAGCAAGAGCAGATCTTTGAGAGCTACTCAGACCATCTCGTGGCCAATGTTCGAAGCGGTGTCAATGACAAATTGGACATTGCCAAGCTTTTCAACTGCACCACGATGGACATCATGGCCGATCTCACATTCGGCGAGCCGCTTGGCCTGCTCGACAAATCCGAGTACACGCCATGGGTGGCAGCTGTTTTCGGTTGGATAAAAGCCGCAGATATTTTTCGAATCACGATGGAGTACCCGTTTCTGGGCCTCCTGGCCAAGTATCTGACGCCGAAAAGCTTGATTGAGCAGCGGAAGCTCCACTTTCACCACTCCTCTGACCGCGTCGATCGGCGTATTGAGCGGGGGAGCGATCGGCCAGATATCTGGAACTTTGTGCTCAAACAGCCAGAGGGCAGACGGCTCGACATTGGAGACATGCATGCAAATGCGTCAGTGTTCATGCTCGCGGGGTCCGAGACCACGGCGACTTTGCTAAGCGGCATTCTCTACTTCTTGTGCAAGAACCCGGACAAGATGAAGAAGCTCCGCGATGAGGTTTGGGGCAGTTTCGAATCGGATCAAGAGCTTACCATAGAGAACCTCCGGAGACTGACGTATATGGCTGCCTGCATTGACGAGGCTTTGAGGCTCTACCCGCCTTTGCCCATAGGACCGCCACGAGAGGTGCATCCTGATGGGAACATCATCTGCGGAAGATGGGTGCCAGGCCAGGTAACTTCCCTTCGAGGATGACGTAGCAGCTGCTCGTGCCTTTGCTGACGGATCCGGAAATAGACTCGTGTGGCTGTTGCGCAATACACTGCATACCGGTCTCCACTAAATTTCAAAGATCCCGAGTCATATATCCCAGAGCGTTGGCTGCCGAACACAGGGTATGAGAACGACAGACGAGAAGTTATGCAAGCTTTCGCATACGGGCCACGCAACTGCATTGGCAAAAAGTGAGTCTTATACATGTCCCTTTCGGTCACTTAGGCTAATGCAGGAGGCAGTCTCGCTTATCACGAGTTGCGCATCATCTTGGCCAAGATGTTGTGGAACTTTGAGTTCAAGCTCCGTCCTGAAAGCGATGCATGGATCAATCAAAAGTGCTACACTTTATGGCAGAAGACTCCCCTGTGGGTGGAGGTGAGAGCTATCCGGTAGTTTGATGTTTCTTATACCTATTGTTGTCTTTGGATATGGATAGGAGCGACGACACATTGTATTTTCGCTTCTGAGCTCTCATGGGCTATCTATGATTATTCATGATTGAGTCATTAGTTGTTGTAAAGTCAGGGGTAGATTCGGCAGACGCACCTTTTCAATACCACGAAGAATGCTTGTGCATCTCATCGGCACTACGAGGGAAAGTCTAAGCGCGTTGAAAAGCAAGGCGTGGACGTGAGCACAGCGCTAAATGTGATCTTTAGCCATATCTGAAAGGGTTTAGACAATTCACCTGCAGAAATGAGGCATGTTAAGACGGCCATGAAGCGGTGAGTGGACGCTGAGGGTGCATGGAATGACGCAAGGTATTGCGGGGCAAGCGCACAACGACCAGACCCAACCATTAAGTATGCAGCGGCACCTCATGGAACAGTCAGTGCTGCTCAGTGGCATTGAGGCAGCCAATCAGAGCAAACAAGAGACCACACGCTGATTCGCGAAAGGCCATGAATGAGGGACCAGACAAGTCGAAGATTTTCGGGGCCCCGGCCCGGGCGGGTGCGCGTTGCCCCGCTTCAGTTGCGGGGAATTATTCGTGTTACCGTTGATCGTGACTATGATCCTTCCTTTGCAGGTGTAGCACGAAGTAAGCGGAGCAGCCTCGTGCATTAGCTACAACACGCAAAACAATCGCCCTTCTTGGCTATTCCCCACCTTTCGAGCTAATAAATTGGCATCACGCTATAATTATCTTGGAGTCGTTCCTGAAAGCGTTGAAGAGTTTAGTCGTCCTGTGCTGTCCATACGTACACGTTTGTATTTTGTTGGCAGTTTTTCTTAGATCCCATGGTTTAGGACCCGAGCATCTAGAAACCTTCTTTGGCGGCCACCGAGCCGGAAACAGCATTGACGAATCAAAATTCGCTTAAGTTTAAGATAGGGTTGTCGTGGCGACAGGTGTAAACATGTTGACTGTTCCATTTCCGACGGCACGTGCCTGTCCCTAGTTCTTCGACGCGGCTCACTTTTCTAGACTCTTCCTCTACCCATTTTTTTTTTCTCTCGTGTCCCTTTGTCTTGTTGAAATTGAGCTGGCCCTATCCCTGCTCTACCATCCCGTTGGGCCCAAATTCACAGACCCTGTGGTCTGGCCCGCCCAGTACCAGCCACAAAATATATAAGTACGTCATCGCCTGTAGCATGCATGGACCGTTGAGAAGAGCCGCATCAATGCCCAAGAGTGACCCACCAACTTTAAACATCAGAACGCTTCAGCCAGGCATATCCTGGGACACATCAGCCATGCGTGGCGTGGGGACCGAGTGAGAGCCCAAGCTCGGGTGCTGGCGGGCGACGGCGCGGCCATCGGTTATTCTGCAGACGCAGGGTCCTTTTTCTTCTTAGGTGCCGTTGTTAGGTCTATTTTTTACTCTTGCGGGAGGGTCTCTCAGGCATCGACTTCAGAACAGTTGAGTGGCTTCCTCTGCTTTGCAGAGGCATATCTGTGGTTTCGAGCGGCGGCCAAACAGTGCCCCCGCGCATCTGATCGACCGATCTACCCAGCGCACAGACGTTGACACGTTGGGGCGAGCGAGCTGTTCTCCGCGCTCTCGCAGAGAGGACGTCATTGCTCGTGAGCGCTCGGCATCTTGCCCGGACAAACAACGTACTACGTGGAGGAAAGGGTGAAGATGGACAATGCAAGGGCACACCTCGCTCCAACTCAACGCCACCAGTTTTAGTCCCGATCCCGGCGGCAATCTGTGTTCCGTGAGGCGTTGAGGTGTTTACACGTGCACTAAGCGAGCGGCGGTGGAAGCCTCACTCTTACCGCCTCCGTCGTTAGTGCATATCGATAATTTTTATCAGCTGGCCAGGAACTGGTACCCGTGGTGTTCAGCCCTGTGAGAGAAAAAATTGATTCCTGGCAACTGACTTTCGCTAGCCTCGGCTGCGGAGAAAGGTGGCTGGTGACTCGAGGGAGCACGTACCCTCTTCTAGGCTACAAAAGCTCCGTGCGGCCGACTATGATGAATAGTACGCAGTAGTCGACACTGCTAAGCCCTGCCGGGCTGTTGTTCTTCCGCTGTCAAGCCCGCTTTGAGCCCAATGGCTTGGTTCCTCCCGCCATACGCGTATGCCGCGGGTATCGTGGGCGAATTCCAAATTTGTAGGATAATTGGAGGCTGGTGTTGTTGAGGGAGGGGGAAAAAGCAGTCGCGAAAGATCAGGTCCAGCTCGGCCTGATGCGCGGCCTACTTTTCCTGTTGTCCACCCAACCAGCACCAGTTCTGGCATCATCCCCATCCACGTCAACATCACGCATCCCCGCCGGGTGGACACGGTGCTGATGGAGGAAGGCGTAACCGCCCGGAGGCAGTTCCTACTCGCTGCTCGTGACAGAGACGGGCCGAGGTGAGACATCTACGATGAAGGGCGAGATCCACGAGATCGAGAAAAACATGCTGCTACATCGATACGCGCTGCTGCCGCGGGGGATCATCGGCCGCGACTAGCCCAGTACGGATGGGTTGCTGTCCGGGGCGGAAGATGGGCGGGATGGCGGCGGCGAGCACCACGGCGAGCAGCTCTGATGCACGACATAAGGAGGAAATAGATGGAGCGCAGGAATAAGCGATACTGATAGAGGCCAAGCACCTTGGTGGCGTGAACAGATGATAGTCATGGCGTCATGGCTCGCGCTCGAGTCGAGAGGCAGAGAACGCTCAGACCCTGCAGATCTGAAGGGGCCGGGTATAATTTTTGTGCCGCGGCGGTGGTGGACGGGCTTCTCTCCCGGTTCTTCCCTCGACGGCAGCGCCTTGTGCTAGATCAGATCACCGATGGGGGCGTATAAGGCAGGGCTGTTGGGCACGTTGTCGTGACTGGCGTGACTGGTTAATTTGGTGTGGCGAAGAGCGGAGTGAGCGGTGTGGGTGCTGCAACACCGCTCCGGCCACAACACGGCCAGGAAGACTGCTCTCTCCGGCGCCGCAGCAGGTTGTTTCAAAAAATTATTCGAGAAGGGTGCTAGGTATGCAGGGCTCGGGACGCGGCGCGCCGGCTGGCATGCAGCGCCGGGGCTCCCTCTCGAAGCAGCGGCGCAGCCGGCTCAAGCGGGCGTTATCGCGAGACGCGGAGGAGGTGTGGGCGCAAACCTGATTCGGGAAGCCGGAAAGCGCGACCCCGGGAGCTTCCATGCAGCTTCGACTGTGCTTGGTGGTGCAGTGGATCTGGGCTGGCGCGGCTGTCAGAGCCCCACCGGGCTAGCGCTCCAATCACTCGCGTCGGCCGCGCTGCAGTAGTTTCATTGCCTCCGATTCTCGCCCAATCATTGCGCGCACTGATCTCCTCCAACCTGTAGCGCGATTCGCGCGAGCCTGCCCCCGCGACGCGTGACGCACCTGTTTGCTACAACTGCTGTTTGTCAAGAACCCTCAGGTTGTTTCGTCGAGTCTGACTCTGCAGCGCGAGCAGCGCCCCGCCTGCCTCAGGAAGTGCTTCGGAGCGAGAACCCTGGCGATCCACCAGTGTGCGTCTCACCTGCTGCAGGCGTCATGGCGTCATCCTCGTCTCCGTCCGCGTGCCGCACGTGATGGCTGTGATAGGACGGCCGTCGTGGCTGCCGCGAAGTCCAACACCAAACGTCGTGATGCCTCTGCTTCCTCAACACCATGACCCGCGATGCGCCGCATACACGCCCAACTGCGCGCCTGCGAGCGCCTCGTGCCCCCGCCAAGCTCCGCCGGCGAGCCTAAACGGCTCAGGCAACGCCGACGATGACGATAAGGCCTTGGAAGAAGGAGGAGGGATCTTCTGAAGCACAGGTCACTTTCGACAACGCAGCAATCACGCGCCAGGACGCGTCCCATGAGCGCGGTGTTTGACCAAACAACCATCGTGCCACTTCGCGCCCCGTCCCTCACCCATGGTGGCCCCGCCGACAACCACCGCCGAAGAAATGGCGGTGAATGGCGATCGTACTGCTCGAACTGGTGGACCCGCTCGCCCTGGTCACGCCGCATTGGTCCCCATCCTTCGCCGATAAGATGCCAATGCAGATATACCGCTGCCCGCGCAGCGCCAACAGCTTTCTACAAGCAAAGCCTCCATGGGGGCCGCTGAGTCCAAGGCCGTAGCCGCATCGGGCGGATCCACCGCTGACCTCGCCGCAACCACTCCCTCCGCCTTCGCTGGCATCCAACTCGCCGCTGAAGCCAACATCGCGCCTGAAGTGACGACCATGGGCAACAACGCCTCCGTCCCCGCCGCGGAATCTGACCAGAATCCCGACGCCTCCCCGTCGGATCTGCAGCTGGCCGCCGCCGTCGAACCCGCCGCCGCCGACGGCACTAACGACCTGCAGCAATCCATCCCGTCTGCCGACCCAGAGCCGCTGCCTGTGGAGCTGCCGTCGGCGAGCCGCCCGTCCACGGCAGCGGACCGGTCCAAGGGTAGGGATACCAGGCCCGCCTTCCTGCGCCGCCTGACCATTGCCCCTTCGGCCGTCTCGACGGCTGCTGCTCACCATGAGAACGTGTCTGCCGACCCGGCGTCGTCGAGTCCAGCCGAGGGGCAGGCGATTGGGGCCAAGGAACACTTGACCAAGTCGAATGCCTCAATCATCCGTGTGTCTCCGCCCATGAAGCCTGTGGAACTGGCAGCCACCGACGCAGACCACGAACACACTGCTGCTGCATCCGTCACTCTCCCGCCTTCTCGTCCGTCGACTTCCTGCTCCGTGAGCAGCCTCAGCTCGGCCGGCGACGACTTCGTCCCCCACGCCCAGTGGGACTCGATCAACCATGCCAATGGTGACGTCTCTCCCCTTGACAGGTCCCTGAACAACTCGCCTGTAGGCTCTTTCCGCGACCAGCAGAGCTTCCAAAGCAATGTCGAAGAAGGCACTCGCACCTTCGATGGCTTCTCGCAAGCCGGCGGCTCTATAGCTTTGTCTGAAGGCGACGCAAGCTGGCGCCGGGAGAGCTGGCAGAACCGGGACAGTGAGCCCGGCTCGTGGCACGAAGAGAACCAAAGGAGGCGCAGCCTGGCCGCAGAGCAGCGCCTCGACATGGCGCTCGAGAGCCTGCGCCGGAACAGCATCCCGAACAGCGTTGCTACGGGCCAGACGTTCGGCTCCTTCGCCCACCCCTACGAGGACGAAGATGATCTTGAGAGCTTCGACGATGGACGTTACGAGATCAGGCCGGAGTACCTGCCTCTCCCTGACGATGCTACCGACGGCACTGCCGATGATGAGCTTTCTATGAGCATGGCCACCGTCTCAGACATCTTCGATAAGCGCTACAGCACCGGCGTCACGAGTGAGATGACCAACGACGTTGAGAACGATATGGACAAATCGGCCGCTACTGCTCTGCACCATCCTCCGGCGGGCGAGTCCGCGGCCGATGAGCACGATGAAGCACAGGACGTAGAGCATACGGGCTCGGACACCGAGGTGGACAAGGCGACGACCGTGGGCAACATCGACGACGTCGGTGTCCCTGAGGGAGATGCTACCGTTTCCGACGATATCTCCGAGATGCATGTGACGGCCTCGAACGTCGCGCCTGGAGCCGTGGACGATGCCGCCCCACTCGACGACGGCGTGGAACAAAACAGCGGGTCTGCCGCGCAGGTCCCCGATAGCGAGACCCCGACCGCCGAGCAGATCCTTGCCCTGAACGAAACGCCCGTTGAGTCAGTCGAGCAACTTGATTCGGCAATCGAGGCGGTGGAGGTGCCGACCGCGGAAACTAAAGAGGCGCATCCGCAGCACGAGGAGGCGGACGCTGTTGTTGCTGGTCCCATCGACACCATGACCCCAGACATCGCTGAGTCGATCCCCACCGCCGAAAACGCCCAGGATGCTACCACCGCCCTGGCACCCGCCGATGACGGAGACGTCACTGCTGCGACCGAAGCAGAGGTGCAGCTGAGCAGCATCAAGGAGCCGGAGCCTGCTGGTGTTGAAACACGCACCAGCATTGCCGACTTCTCTATCGCTGCCGCTGCCGCCGCCGCCGTTCCAGAGAAGGAAGAAAGCAGTGCAGGATTGGAAGACCTCTCTTCGCAAACGATTGTGCACAAGGTAATTGACGATGCGCCGCTCGTTGCCGATCCTGAAGCAACGTCTGTCGATGTTACCGCTTTCCCTGCCGCCGAGGCCTCCGCTGTCTCCGAGAAGGACGACGCCGAGGAACCCACCGAATCTATTGCTGACACTGCTGCTGAGATCCGTTCTAAGCTTTACTCCCCTCACACCTCCTCCTCGCAGGCTGCTTCGTCTGTGGCCGCCGAGTCCATCAGCCTCAAGGATATTCTTCACGAGGATGTGACCAAGGAGAACAAGAAGGATGACGGAGAGGGTGGAGCAGGGCCAAGCCAGGGACTCGACCTGCGGCACGTTAGCAACGCTGGCGACGAAGATGGCTGGGCAATCCCAGACCGTGATGAAGAGCCGCAGGTCGCCGCCCCCGTTCGCTCGAGGAGGAAGAGCTTGCCTATGCTTTTCAAGGACATCAAGGACAGCAGGAAGGAGAAGAAGAGCCAGCTCCCCGTCAAGAAGGAGCCTAAGGAGGCCAAGATTTCCCTCCCATTGAAGAAGGACCACAAGCCGATCATCTCTACCGCTGCCGCGAGGGAGTCGCGTATTCCGAGTGCTCCTCTCTCGGCGAGCATGGCGGAGCCGGCCAGGACGCCGTTCAGCCCTAGCAAGAAGGCTCGCAACGTGCTCCACCGGACCCCGCCGGCTCTCAGGTTTGACCAGCCGATGCCGTCGCCCACCAAGGAGAAAGAGAAGAAGAAGCGTACTTCCCTCCTTGGCGTCGTCTTCGGCCGCTCCATGACTCCGACTCCCGATCTGGACAAGGAGAGGGAGCGACAGCTTGAGAAGCTCAACAAGGAGAGGGCAAAAGAGCAGGAGAAGGCGAAGGAACCGAAGTCGAAGAAGGACAGCAAGAGCAAACTTGTGATGCCCCAGCGCCGCTACAGCTTGGCAGGTCCACTGGGCGGGCACGATCACCACGCTTCCTTCCACATGCCTCGTCTTCCAACGCCCAAGCGTGTTCAGGAGATCTCAAGCCTGTCTCGCCACGAGGGCCCGAGCCGGGCTCAGGAGCGGCCTCGTAGCGGCAGCCAGTCTCTAGACTCGCTATCGCGCGAGGGCGGTTCAACCAGCCCCTCTGCCATGGTTGCTCAGGTTGCGGCTGCTGTCGATGCGAACCACCGTGAGCTTCAATCCCACATGCGTAGGCCGAGCATCATCCCCGAGCCTGATGCGGAATGGGACGAGTGGGAGCAGAAGGCACGCGAGCTGGATGACAACCGCACCAAGGTCAACGGCTCTCCCGCCTCGCAGATCAGCATCCCAGCTGTTCTGCATGGCCCTGGCACTCCTACTCAGGCCAAGCTCCACCCGCAGAGCTCCGATAGCTACCCCTTCTACCAGTACGCGCCCCCGCCTCTGCCTCCCCACATGCAGACTCCCCCGAGATCTTTCTACTACGGGAACACTCCGCGCTCTGTCACCTTCAACGACCAGTCCCCGCAGTACCCCCCTTCGGGTTACCCATCCCTCCAACGCCGGTATTCTGAGCACTTCAGCTCGGCGTCTGCGCGGGGTCTGCCACCGTTCCCGCCGCGCCTGTACGGTCTCCGGGACAGCGAGTACTCTGGCGGTTATCCTCCTGTGAGGCAGACCAGCCAGCCCCACCTGCGGCCCCAGAGCGGCCAAAGCGGCAGTGGGCCTTCAAGCCCGAATCCTGCCGATGTCGCGCCCTTCATCAAGGACGAAGACAAGATCGTGCCGCCGCCGCTCTCGGGCAGCCCTGTCGCATCGAATGTCGCTACCGTCGACAGCTTCGAGGCAACCGACCCGGCCTACGTGCCGCCGCCGGTCCCTCTTCCCGGCGAGTCGATGGAGGAGTTCTTGGACAAGCAGCGTGCGTGGTACGAGCAGCACGCTCAGTCGGCAAACCGCCGCGACAGCGGCTACTCGCCGCAGTACAACAACCTCCCGCCGCAGGCCTTCTACCCTTACCCACCCCCGTGGTACTGGGCAGCAGCGGCGGCGCAAGGCTACCCTGCTCCTCCCATGTCCCCCCACACGCCGATGCAGGCGGGCTACCCGCCCTTCTACCCTCCGGCACCGGCACCGGCACCCGTGCACAACCACAACCACTCGTCTGAGGACTACTACCACCAAATGCTGCGCGAGCAGCATGCGCAGGAGCGTGCTGCCAGCAGTGACACCGACTCGCCGCGTGACAGGAGCCCGCTCCCCGCTGCGTACGGTGGATACCCTCCGCACCCAGCTTACGGTCCTCCGCCTCGGTCCTTTACGTCGATCCCCGCTCCGGCCGCCCCTGCCGCGTCATACGGATACCACCCCCGTCAGGAAATGCGTTGGCGCGACTTGACGTCCGACGATGGTGAGTCGCGTCACAGGGGAGGGCAGCAGAATAAAACATCGCACAAGCGGATTGACTCGGGTTTTGGACAGGACGCTACTACTATTACCCTCACTACCGATGAGGACAACAACAATGAAGCTGGCGACAAGAGCCGCACGAGCAGCTCTGGCAAGCACAAGGGCCCCATGATTGGCAGTCTCAACCCGAATGGCACCGAAGGCAGCGGCCTTCTGGCCAGACGGGCGACGGTCAGTAATGGCGGTCTCAGCCGGAGCGCTAGCAAGCTCGAGACGGTGATGGAGCCGGTGGAGCTGGCGGACACGGACGTCGGCTGGAAGAGTAGGGCACGCCTGGGTAGCAGGGACTCGTCAACCCCGGAGATGCACGCGGCGAGTTATCCGGGCATGGAGTGGATGCCGGATCCCGCGGCGGTGCAGCAAGGGTTCGACTGATTTCTGATGATTGGAACGATGTTGATGATTGATGGATGATATTAGCTTTCTAGCATGTTTTTTGATTCTTTACCCCATTTTTTATTCAACTTTTTCTCGGCATTGCTTGCGGTGGAGAGCGTTCTCGCATGGTTTGTTGATTATATCTTACAGGATTGGGGGGTAAAAAGTTCTCTTTTTGCTGGGATTCTCTTTTTCTCCTTTGTTCCCTTGTTTCTTGGAACGGCGGCTCATCAGAACGATTATATCATCTGGATTGTTTCATTTCCTTCTCACTTTTCCCCTTCTCTCCTACATATATCTCCTATGTTTCCTTGCATTTCAGGCGTCGCATATCCTGACCCCGCCTGTGGGTTTTCCGATTACCCTACTCTACATGTGTTTCATCGATATACCATGTATGAATGATGTGTACGTACTACTCCTACTCACTCACTCACTCCGACTACGACGACAGCTTCGTACAGCTGAGAGCAATTTCCAGATGCTCCGTGGGTTGTAAAATGGAACGGTTTCGTTGTACAGAGATTTCACTGTAAGGATGAATGTGTTCTGCTCATCGGATATCCATCGACTGCCGAAACTAGCAGAATCAAATGGGCTTTATAGCACGTCGTTCCAGGATCCGAGACCCTTGCCTTTTGGCGTCGGTGTTGTTTCCGCTAGTGTGCGTCTCCCTCTCCATTCGAGTCAATGGCGCTAATAGACGAGGTGTGGATGGTGTGCTCCCGAGGTTCTCGTGTTTCCTGAGATTATTAGTGCGTCATCGTCGGCATCTGCGGCATCTTGCTATGCTCGCATCGCTTCGTGAGAGATTCTCTCATGGTCGGGAAAAATGTCTGACGAACAAGATTGGGGGTGTGGAGGATCAACAGGGCCCCTGAGACATGCAGGTTGGGGGCCGTTTACAAAAAATTCCTCCGAGCAGTTACTCGTGTCACCGGAAGCCTCGCATCCGAGGTGCAGGAGTCAGCTCATCTCTCGCGCGCGCTAAGATGCAGACCGCCAAGAGTAATCTGTAACACTGCACCTTTGCAGTAAAACGTATCCAGGCGGGGGCATCAATACGTCGGCGGCGATCGAAATGGGCGTAGTGGGCAAAACACTCGGCCTTTAAAAGGTACAAGGCTCGCATGTTGTCGAGTGGCTGAGTTTCGTTCCTCCCGCGGCGCCACGACACTGAAAAGAGGTTTGGATCCAACGCTGAGCAACTCCGGGGGACAACCATGGATCTCGTACTCGAGCTTTTCGACGCCTACGCTTTCGATCGCGTATACGCAACGTTGCTGCCGGCGCAGCCCTTCCCTGGCCAAACCGCTTCAGGAAACGCCTCGATTCCTCGGTCATGCCTTGACAACTACGATTTCAAGCCCGCCAGCCAGTACCTTTCGTTCCCGCCTTCCGAGCTTGCATGCCTGAGCCAATGGTCTAGAGACAATGTATGGAGGCAATGGATATCACTATACATCATAACCTGGTGCGTTTGCTATTACAATTGCATCGCAAAATGCTTTGCTGAGTCCAGGCCCCCAGGCTCTTCGGAACCGTCATCTATTTCGCCTGCGCCACCTTTTCCTACATCTTCATTTTCGACAAGACCACCTTCGCCCACCCCAAGTTCCTCAAGAACCAAGTGAGACTGGAGATCGCACAAGCGGTCCGGGCGATCCCCATCATCGCCGTGTTCACGACGCCCATCTTCCTGCTCGAGGTGCGCGGCTACTCGAAGATGTACGATAGCAGAGCGGCGGGGCCGGGGCTGTGGTACGACGTGCTGCAGTACCCGCTGTTCATCTGCTTCACGGACTTCTTCATCTACTGGATCCACCGGTACCTGCACCACCCGTCCGTCTACCGGCGCTTCCACAAGCCGCACCACAAGTGGATCATGCCGTCGCCGTTCGCGTCGGTGGCGTTCCACCCGGTCGACGGCTTCGCGCAGTCGCTGCCCTACCACGTGTACCCGTTCCTGTTCCCGCTGCAGAAGTTCGCGTACATCGCCCTCTTCGCCTTCGTGCAGGTCTGGACCGTCGTCATCCACGACGGCGAGTACGTCGCCGAGAACCCCGTCGTCAACGGCGCCGCCTGCCACACGATGCACCACCTGTACTTCAACTACAACTACGGCCAGTTTACTACTCTGTGGGACCGCGTCGGCGGCTCGTATCGTCGTCCGGACGACGCGCTCTTCCAGAAGGAGCTGAAGCAGTCCAAGACGGAGTGGGAGAAGCAGAGCAGGCAGATGGAGGATATTTTGAAGGTCGTCGAGGGCGATGACGAGAGGTCGTATGCCGCGGGGGATGATGCTGCGGAAAAGAAGGCCCAGTGAGATTGCTAATAGGTTAAGCTTTCCATTTTTTTTATTTTTTTTTGGGGAGGAGATATGACGTCTGGACGGAGATATCGGGGAGGGGATTAATATGGGAAATTGGCTAAGCGCGGTGGAGCGGAATGACTCGCTCTGCGCCTCGGGAAAGACAAAGAGATAACGGGAATAAAAAAAAGGGGGTTCTCATTGGTCATCGGCAACGTGCGGCATTCGGCTTCATTGCGCTGGCAGTGTCATCACCCGCGAGCATCTGCTCGGCTGCTATTCGAATGAGCAAGCAGAAGATGTGTTCGTTGGCACGCCGGCTGATGCTTCGTGCATGCGCCAATCGCACTCTCATATCATTAATGGCTTCATCGATGAGGCTTGAAGAATTCAAAAATGCTTCATTCTGTATGTATGCTTGAACATAGGGCCTTTCTTCTCAAGACACCCAATTGCCTGCCGGCTTGGGGCATGGGTCGATTCGAGCGCCAACGGGTTCGCAACTTCCGCTATCGCCATGGAACCAACACCAATCTGGTTCATTTAGCCTGTTGTAAAGGAAGATGTACGCTTTCAGAGTCCTCACCTTGTGAACATTTGCAGTAATTGCCGATAAAATGGCGTGGGTCGGCACTATTTGCCAGCCGATCAGTTTGTGGGCTTTTGTTTGAAGCGCGAAGGTCCTTACTTGTTATAGCACGGTTGTATCTGGGCAAGAGCGACTGCAGACGAGCTGCACAAGGCGAGTATGGAAATAATAAACCTCATCGTTGATTTCGTTGTGGTAGGAAGAGTTGGTTCGATTAGGCGCGAGGTTTTCTCTTGGAGAGCGGATGCTGTGAGAGTAACCGCCTGATTAATACTCCTGTGTGGTTGCGCATTGAAAGCCTGGTAGATGGTCGAATGTTGCCAAATCCTGCGCGTCGCATCGGGAGGTTGTGGTGGCGCTTTTGTACTGTCCAATTTTTCCGCTTCCTTGACTCCAGCCCTCACGATGTGTCCATAAAATGTGGGCATGGGTTGAATCAATTCGACTCGAGGTATGACACGCAGGTTTCTAGATGCCCGGATGACGTGCGGTAAATGGACTGACCAGGTATTTCTCGTGTACGGCTGCAGTGTATACCGGATACCAGGTATAGCCAAGAGATCTGTCACGTCGCATTGAGCACAATATGGAAAATTCTACCAGATCAAACCAAGGCATATGTGTAACGATTTCCATTCTGTCCCGGGATCCTCGACGAAACCAGCTTGGCGCAATGAGTGCAGTCCAAATTCTGCTTCTCCGTCACCAAAAGCGTTTCTCGTCCCGGCAAAGTGCTTCGTCTGAAAGTCACCGTCGCATTTGGGAGTGATCCGAGCAGGGTTTCTCGACAATAGTATTTGTTGTTGTATCGCGTACTTGTGCTACTGCGAACCTTGATTTTCCGAACACTCAGTCTTCTCCTCACTTGTGCTCGAAGGACTTCAAGATATAAACATAGTTGGACGGACAGTCAACTCACACTCTCCATGTCTTCCACCTCGGTCATCAATATGCGTATCCTCCTTTTCAGTATCCTTTTCTGCCTGGCTGGTCTGTCACCAGCAAGTGCCCAGGATTTCTTCGACGGCGTGAGTATCAGGCTGCAAACGATGGGCTGGCCCTTAGTCTGACTCTCATGGTGATAGACATGTTCAGTACCGTTCCCTTCAGGCAAGGGACAATGTCGATTCTACACTTCGGAGCACTCCGAAGGACTCTCCGGAGCTCCTTGCTCCGAAAGCCGCCCAGTGAGTCTCTTACATCTTTGCTTTTACTGTTTTCTCACTAATCCAAGAAGTGCAAGAATGTGGGCAGCTTTTGTAGATACTATGACAAGGGCGGTGATGGCAGTGCGACATGCTCGTGATATGTCAAGTTTTTGTTGTACTCTCTCAGTTCTTCATGACACTCATTAATATCACTCGTTTTCATGACCAATTGCAACATATGTACCTTATCAATTCTTGCTGCTCTAGTTGCAACGCCTACCTACCAGCTAGCCACTTTCACTCACTCCGCCCACTCGACCCTGCAGAGACGCGTGCCGTGCTCGCCCTCGTCGACCTCGTACCAGTCCTCGCCGCCGACGCAGGTGGGGCACCACATCAGGGCGGCCGGGTCGTGGGCGCGCTTGATGGCGCGCAGGCGGGCGTAGTTGGGGCCGAAGAGGGCCCACTGCCAGTTGGGCTCGTTGGAGTCGGCCTGCGGGCGTCAGTCAGTCAGCCAGTCAGGATACGGGATAGAGAGAGAGAGAGGATTACCTCGTTCACGTAGGCGCCCGAATCCGGAGCCAGGCGCCGCAGCGCGCGGCCGGTCGAGTGCGTCATGTCGTGGGCGGCGGCGCTGGCTTCGGCGGCGGGCAGCGCGGCGTCCCAGCTGTTGGCCACGATGAGGTGCAGCACGGCGTCGCGCCAGGCCGGGTTCAGCGAGTTGGCGACGGGGACGCTGCTCGCGATCATGTTGCCGACGATGCGGTTGTCCGAGATGGGTCCCTTGTTTTTGTTTTTAGCATGCTGGAATACTTGTTCATGTTATATTGTATGGACTCACTTTCGAGGGGTCCGGCTTTGGGCCTATGCTCTCGAGCGTGGCGGCGAGGAAGTCGGCGTCTTGCAGCGCGGCGGCCGGGATGAGGCGTGAGGTCTGCGATCCGCCTCCAGTGCCCGTGGAGTCACTCACGTTGGGCAGCGAGTTGTAGAGCTGGATGAAGGTCGGGAAGTTGAAGAGGTTCGCGCTCAGGGTGGTGGCGTTGGCGAAGGCGTCGAGCGAGGACACGAACTGGGCCCAGGATGCCTGCACCGTGGCGTTGGATAGCTGGTAGTTGAACAGTGTGAGGTCGAAGGTGAGCGGCTCGGTCGAGGCCGACGGCGGGGAGATGGTGTAGTAGCCCTGGAAGCCCTTATCCCGCAGACCTGGAAGGAAGCCGTGGATCTTAGCAATCGTCCTCCACCACTCTCCGGTCGAGGTCGTGTCCTTGGCTGTGATTTTGATCGAGCCCAGGGCGGTGGGAGGCATCGGGTAGGCCTTCATGGTGACATTGAGAATGACTCCGAAGTTACCGCCGCCTCCGCGAATGGCCCAGTAGATGTCAGGGTTCTGGCACTCATTGGCTGTGATGAGATGGCCCTCCAGAGTGACCAGATTGGCTTCAATGATGTTGTCGGCGCCCATGCCGTACGTCGACGTCATGTAGCCGTGGCCGCCGCCCATCGCCCAGCCAACGACACCAACGTCCTGCGTCACGTTAGCAGTCGAACACTCGAGGAACTACCGGTGCTGACCTTGTTCGTGCCTCCGACCATGATTGCATTATGTCTTCCGGCGTTGGTGAAAACCTCAGCGTCTTGGGTTCCTGCACCAACTGTGGCGGCCATATGTGCGTCGGTCGAGTTCGACCCGCATCCCGTGGGGACATAGTGGTCGTGGAACTCGAACGTCTTCATGTGATGCGTCCAGATGCTGGCCATTCGGTTAGCATTTCACTGCGGCATGGTTGGCGGGACGCACGAGAGACTGCCGGCAGCGATGGCCCGGCGAGAGCTGTGTCCGGTATTCTTGACATTCAGCCGCAGATTGTGCTCTGTAGCAAACCGGATTGCCGCCTGCACGTGGCTCGCATCCGTGGCGTTGACAACATAGGGAGGATAGTCGCCAATGATGCAGCCGCGACTGCCTGCAGCAGGATCGCCGGCGATGCTGGTCCCGTTTGCGTAGACTGGCAGGCAGCTGTTGTTGCCCGCACTTGGGTCCTGGATGCTGACAGGGTTGCTGGAGTGGAAAGATGGCTTTTTCCACTGCGAGATGAGGCTATCGCATGCGGCTCGGTCATAGTTGCCAAAAGACTCATAGCAGACTGATGCCGGAATAGTGGTGCGAATGAGACGCCCGGATACCGTTGTATTCAGAGCGTCCCACGCCGAGTCGGATGGCCAGCAGGGATCCGAAGGTACCTGGAACATCTTAGGATACTTTGTCAAAAGCCTTCTCATGAGCCACTTACACATTTGCAGTCCGGGGCAGCGACAGCCTCGGAGCTGTAAGCGAGCGCGAGCAGCGGGAGGTGAGAGAGACGAAGGTGCATGGTTGCAAGGACAAATCGAGTCGTAGTGCTTGGTGAATCAGTTCGAATTGCAGCGGCTGCCAGCTTTTATAAGCCCGACTTTCGAGAACCATGGTTCTAGGGGTCTGGGAGCTGCAGGAGAATTCGGCCGGCGAGCTCCACCGCACAAGCCTCAGATCTCTTCTTCAGCATTAGATTCCTAACTGCCACGCCACATGGAGGCCCCTGTGTCTCGGTGCTGCGTCTTACACAGCCTCCGTTGACGCGCAAATTGGATCAATTGAGGGCTAAAACAGAGCGTGGTGAGGTGAGTATGCCTTGCAGAACGTATTCGTGTCTGATCTCGGGCTCGCCGGTAGAACCTCGCATGCGCCACCGAGCGTCACGTCAACCGTCTAGAAAGAGACCGGCAGCTGAACGGGCCGGAGTCAGGGAATCAGATGATGCTCTCTCGATTACATTTGCATATTTCACAAAAAGATGGCCTACACATGTTGCTCTATCTGCTCCTGAGGCCAGCGCAGCCAGGCCCAGTAATGCTCATCAACGAACATATGAACGCCAGCAACAATATGCTCCGCCCAACCCCTCATGTACCACATTGGCTCCATCGACTTCAAGAGCGGCGCAAAGTAGGCCAGAATGACCAGGGCCATGGGCCTCTTCTGCTCCAAGCACAATATAAAGTCTTGTTTCGTACGGTATATCCACCCCATGACGACCTGGTTCGCAGAGTCGCCGCGGTACGACCTTTCGGGGCCCCTTCCATACCTCCCTTCGTAGCACCGCGTCAGGCCATCGAGCGCTTCGACGTACACATCGGCCTCGGTGGCGGCGGAGATGAGCCACGCCCGGAGGTCCTCGAGCGGCCGCTCCCAGTCGATCCACGGCTTGTTCTCCAACGCAGCGGCCGGCTGGGTGGCGCTGCTCCGAAGACTGGCCATGGGGGCGAGCAGGCCCGTCCTGAGCACCGCGAGCCCGTACGTGTTGACAATGGCCCGCAGGCCGCCAAGCAGAGGCACCCATTCCGACGGGCCGTTGTCACTGAAGAGCAGATAGTCGCCGGGCGACGGCCCTTTGGCCAGGACGTAGAGACAGATGAGGATGGCCGAGACGTAGATGGCCTGGCAGTTTGTTTCGTCGGCTGTCGCGAGCAGCTCGGTCGTCCTCTGCAAGCCAAGGGTGGAATAGTGCGCAGCCAGGGCGGCGTAGTGGGCACTCTGCTCTGGCCGCAGCGAGGCCAGGTGCATCGCCGAGAAGGCCATGATGTTGTGCAAGACGCACTGCTCCGAGAAGCCAAGAAGAGGCACATTCACTCTCCACATGGTCCGCACTCCTTCTCTGTCGATGTCAAGGTACGTGTAGGTCGAGTACTGGTGCATGAGCTCGAGCTCGGCGAGGTCCACCTCGGGCAGCACGGCAGGGACCCTGGCTGTGAGCGCTGCTGCTGACGTGCACTTGGGCGGACGCCCTCGACGTCGCTTTCCGGGAGCCAGGCTCATGATGGCGCTGATCAGGCCCGGGTTCCCCGAGGCGAAATCGCAGGCCAGCCTCGAGCAGACGCATTTGTTGCAGACGGGCTTGGATTCGTCGCACTGTTTTTTGCCGTGTCAGCCACGCCCACGACCCTGCAGCCGGCCCATCGTTTACCTTGATCCGCCGACGCTTGCAATTCTTGCATCCATCACGTGATTTTCTGTGCGATCTTCGGGGGCCACTCAGGCCGACGAAGGCGTTGTTTTCGCCTGGAGACATTCGTGCGGACCTTGCTTGGTTGGGGGGTGACGCGAGAACTCAGAGCTTGGCCAACCGAGAACGTAATCGTCTGCAGCGCGCTTCGGCGAGTATAAATTTTGGGTGGCTTTGTCAATGCACTGGATCACGGTGCGATTCGTGGTGTGGCGACGGAGAGCGGCTGTATTGTTGCAAAGAGACTATACCCCCTCCTGCTGGATCCAAACCCTTTCAGGCATACTTGCAGAGCACAGGATCGTCCGCAAGGCAGACCCATGGTTCACAGCCCTGTAGTTCTAGGATAGTTCCCCCTAACCTGCGGAGCACGAATACGTTGGTTTGTAAAATTCAACGTATTCGTAATCATTTCAGCCAATCATGCTCCATGATTCATGCCGGTCCCGCCCCAACTGTTGACCTCCATCATGCTGCATATTCGCCTTAAAATGCTGTCGCCTTCTCAAGTCGGATCACAGGAAAGAAAAGGCCCTCCCCAGCATGGCAGACAACAACTGGTCTCTCGAAGTCAGAGGCCTGCTTTCACTGTCGCCTAGACGATGGCCTGTATGACTGACAAAAGAATCCAGACGACGGCCGCGTCGAAGTTGATTTCTGCGGTCTCCTCAACGCGAAGCCGACCACCATCGCCCTCTTCTTCGGCGAGTAAGCGAGAGAGAGCCCTCTATTCGGACACGGTGCTAATCCACCGTCTCCCCAACCAGCCCTTCCAGGGCGCCGTGGTCGCAGCTGCGAAGTCCGGGCCGCCTCCCATCCCCCACAAGACGCTGAACGCCGACAACCTCGCCCGAGCCATCCGATACTGCCTCACTGCCGAAGCAGCCGCGGCAGCCAGGGCCATCTCGGAGAAGATGCGCCCAGAGTCCGGCGTCAAGCGAGCGGTCGAATCCTTCCATGCGAACCTGCCGCTGGCCGACATGAGGTGCGGCATGCTGCCCGACCGCCAAGCGTGCTGGAAGATCAAGAAGTGCAAGCTCTCCAAGGAAGCCGCCGGCATCCTCGTGGCGAGCGCAAGAGTGGAACTGAACGATTTACCATATAATAGCCAGTTACGTAAGTTTATCACTACTGCTGTCTATGAGCTCTTTTACCAAACCAGAATCCTCGCCGAAGGGTCTGGAAATATTATATCATGGTGCGTCATGATTTTTAGTCTTCCTTCTCCGGGCTTGAACTTAAGCTAATCGTAGTTGAGTAGGAAGCAGAAGACGATTAAATTGATCTTGTTGGCGGCATTTCTTGTCGTGAAATTGACGTTAGAATGCATTCTTGCTCAATTCAGCCAATGCTTTTGTAGATGGGATGAAAGTAGTTCTGCATCGCGGTTAACGGCACCAGCGGTAATCGGCAAAGGCGGTTACCGGCACGGCTGGCGGCCCACAACAACGAGAATTGGATGTACGGAAACGAACGGACAGCCTATGGTGAGAACGCGTGGCGCTGGGCCAGAACAGTGTCTTTTTGAGTTGAGCATGTTTCAGTAAAAGATCTGAGTAAACCAACGACAAGCTTTTGTAGTTGCCGATCGGATAGTAACCCGACGGTATGTGGGGCTCCAAGTGCCGAAGACAGACGCCATCGCAGTTGTGCTCCTTCATATCTCAAGGGATAAATAAACCTGTCTGGCACCATCTATCAACGCTTTGTTGTCCTCTTTTGTCATCCATTTTTCCCACTGTGACTTCTGTTTGCCATAAAACTCTCCGGCATCTTTATCAATATCTCTCTTACTTTTCACCTACCAAACGCTATTCACGTACTGTAGATCCCCAGGCCTGGTGCCTCCCTTTCAATTCCTGTTTTTATCTTCATCGATCATGTCAGTATCCAGTCCTATCAAATTTCGTACAGACCGCTAATAGTGATCAGCTAATATCAAAGAGATGCGAGCGAAAACCGAGAATGTCGACATATCTTCCTGGCTCGGATGGAGTTGGCTTGCGTGCACTGCTACTCTAATTGCTTACCTTACCGGCATCACCCTCGTTCGGTATTTGCGCTGCATTGCTTGCTTGAGTGCTAACTCCTGGCAAAGCTACTTCGCCGAGCCGAACTGGTGGCATGGACATTTTAAGCGCTATTTGTTCGACTCTCCGCTATTTCGTACTCGTCATCATCGCGAGTTTAAGTTATCGTCAGCAATCAACATGGGGACTATTCCAAGTCGGCTTCAAACAATCTACCTTGTCGCCTACTTGAGTATCAACTTTATCTTCCCAGTCATGTTTATTGACTTCAGTCCCGAGGGCAAAGGTGCGGCCGTTCAGCTACGCAATCACTTTGGTGTTCTTTGCATTATGAACATGCTTCCGCTGTTCCTCCTGGCAGGTCGTAATAATCCGCTGATGAAGGCCACCGGCATTTCATTCGACACGTTTAACCTGGTCCACCGTTGGATCGGCCGCATTGTTATTCTTCAGGCACTCGGCCATACCATTTCCTGGCTCGTTCCTAAGGTGCAAGCCAACGGCTGGAAGGCCTCTGTTGCTGCTTCGATCCACAATCAGTTCATGCTCTGGGGCACTGTTGTAAGTCGACTTGTGATGCATTTTCATGCCTTCATGGCTAACATAATCAGGGAACTATCTTTTTCCTTATTATTATGGTACAGGCTGCAGGTCCAGTTCGCCACGCTTTTTACGAGATATTCCTCCACTTCCATGTCCTGCTTGCTGCCATCGGTCTTGCCGGTGTCTGGATCCACTGCCAAACTCACAACTTCCATCAGTTTGAGATTGTCAAGATCGTTCTCGCTATCTGGGCTATGGAGCGTATCGTTCGCCTGTACTGGATTTTGAAAAACGGTGGCACCAAGGCCGAGATTCAGGCCCTTCCAGGCGATTGCCTTCGGGTTACCCTCCAAATCGCTCGCCCCTGGAAGTTTGAGCCCGGCCAGCACGTCTATATTTACATACCGTCGATAGGCCTGTGGACCTCTCATCCCTTTTCGCTTGCTTGGAGCGAGGGAGAAAGCACCTGGGACGATGAAAAGGGTGGAAGCTTCTCTCGCGCTCGTAAGACAACGATGAGCCTTCTTGTTCGTCGCCGCACCGGATTCACCGATGCTCTCTACAAAAAGGTCCAGCAGAGCTCCGGCAAGCTTCTCACCTCCGCTTTAGTAGAAGGGCCCTACGGACATCAAGATTTGACCTCGTACGGCACCGTAATGCTGTTCGCTGCCGGCATTGGCATTACTCATCAAGTCCCCCATGTTCGAAGCCTCATCGATGCACATAACAACCATACGGCCGCCATACGCCGCATTACCTTGGTCTGGATAATTCAATCGCCGGAACATCTCGAGTGGGTTCATCCTTGGATGACAGAGGTATTGTCAATGCCCAGCCGCCGCGAAGTGCTCAAAGTACTTATATTCGTTACTCGCCCACGCTCCAAAATGTCGTCTCCTTCATCTACCGTCCAGATGTTTCCTGGAAAGCCGGATATCCAGACGCTTGTGGATCAAGAGTTGATTGAGAGTACTGGTGCATGCGCCATTAGTGTCTGTGGTACTGGTTCTCTTGCAGATGACGTGAGAGCCGCTGCACGCATCCGTCAGACAAGATGGAACATCGATTTCTTCGAGGAAGCTTTTTCGTGGTAGAATCACATCGCTTCGAGGGCAGAAGCTTTTCATCTCTTTCTCGAATATTAGTTCGTAGAAAAAGAATCCTTCAAAGAAGATACATTTACAGTGGATTTCCTCGTCGTCACCTACTGCACGTGACATGCCAAATGGCCCCCACGTTTTCTCGCTTGTTTATTTATACTGCTGCTCTCGTCCACTTCATTCCCGCGTGGTTCAATCTTACACAGCCTCGCTCTACCTTTGCAGACTGCCACATCATCCTCTCGCATCAACACGCACTTGTATGCGGCCACGATCTCAAATACTCTCGAAAGAACAGAGCACCGACTATCCTCATCATGGACCATCTACTCACTCCAAAACATCCAGCACGCCCTACGCCACGGGTCCGCTACTTCTGCCAGCAGGAATATGATCGGGGGGACTTTCTGACGTACCCGGAGCGCATGGGCTGGGTCGACGAGGGTGATACTTGGTTAGATCTCAGCGCATGGTGCGATGCAGACGAGGCGACAGCATTTCTTCAACAGTGGCTGTTTTTCGGCTTGCTTCATGAATTCTTCGGGGATTCCGCGGACTTTTCTGCATTCATCGAAACCGACGAGAACTCTGGAATCCGATATGTTCATACGAGGGAACTTTTACCGTTGGCTCGGGCATTCATGGAAACAGAGAAAGTCGACGAAGTGTTGTCCCTCAGGAAATTCAACTTCAGGGCATGTCTGAAAAAGACATTCAGCGTTTACCATGCCGTCACCGACGAGCAGGAGGAGTTTCTGGATCCGTATTTCCAACTTTCCTTGGTTGCCACGGCGCGGTTCCTAACCCATGTAGCGAAACTGCTCTACCCCGATGAATTTGAGATTTGGAACTGGACTCTTCCCTGCATCAGTCTGGATGAGGATCGGCTTGCAAACGCGAAGATTCAGGACCTAGATGCCGACATGGATATCCTTGGCGTGGAGATGATACAATCGGGATGGTGTCCCCGGCAAGTGGGTATTGCCGAACGTTGTTCCTTTGAGACTTACTACTTCTGCTCCCAACTTCGGTTGGGGAAGCCAGCAGATCTTGACCATCGGGCTTGTACGCAGTCGCAGTGTCTTGCACTCCAGGTCGAGAAAGGAACCTACCACACCAAGCACGTTCAACCTGGTTGTGGGTGCGCATGGCGGTCACTCGATACGGGTGCGCTGGGGGACATCTTGCGAGCCGGTAATATACCAATCGTCACACTTGGTGATGACGAGAAGCTCCATCTGTCCTCCGCCGAAATCGATTCGAATGACCCTACCTACTACGTGGCAATATCGCACGTCTGGTCCGACGGTCTCGGCAATCCTCAAGACAACGCAATGCCACTTTGCCAACTTCGCCGTATACAGACACTCGTACAAGGTCTATCGACGCTACAGAATCCTGGTGCGCCGAAGACATGGTTCTGGATGGATACGTTATGTTGCCCTGTAAAGGACGAAAATGCTCGAAGAGTGGCTATACGAAGAATGCGCCACACATATCAGAAATCCGGCAGAGTGCTTGTTCTCGCAGCGGATTTACAGGAAGTGGAGGCCTCGGATCTTCCTCTTACAGATCAAGTGTATCTCGCGGGCCTTTCGTTTTGGGCCTCACGCCTCTGGACATTGCAAGAAGGAGCTTTGGGGAGTCATGTGGACATGCTATTCAAGGACACCGTATTTCCACTTGATTCCGCCTGGAACGCAAATTTGGCGAACGAAGATGAATGGGGTTTGGCGCGGGTTAACCCGGTTGATTTCGACTACATGCTGAGACTTATCCGCGGCGACAAGACGGCTCAGGCTTCCAACAATGATCCTACCAGGTTCTCATTGAGGTTTGCTGTAATCGCATTGTCCCGCAGAACCACGAGTTACCGCGAGGATGAAGCCCTTTGTCTCGGTAGCCTGCTGGAGGCAGACATGCAAGAAATCACCCAAGCAGAACGCAAAGACCGCTTGAAGGCCCTATGGCGCACTCTACCGTCGATACCACGGGAGGTACTGTTCTTAAGAGAGGCGACTATGGAGGAGCCGGGGTATCGCTGGGCTCCAAGCACCTTGCTTGGTATTCCTGACGCTGGCGACCGCGTGATCCTCTCAAGTGAAGGTACCGCCATAGCTACACCCGAGGGACTGCGGACAACAGCGCACTGTATCGACCTGGATAGCTTTGAGTACCCTCTCAAACGCCCGATATTTCAAATTCTTCGGATTCGGGACCGGAATAGTGGAGAACTGTACTCGTTGGTCAGGCAAGCACCGCTTCTGAACAAACCAGAGAAATCCTCAAACTTCTTTTCTATTCCAGACGTACATTTCATTCGAGTTGCATTACTGGTAGAAGACCCTGTGATAGGACGTGGCGGAAAGTACTGTGTCATGGTCTTTGTCTATAAAGAGGAGGGCGGAGTAAGATACGCGCGCCGTGGAGATCCCGCGTTTATCATCACCAGAGATGTTGGCATAGACTGGGAAAACGATGGATCGGGTTCTGATGAAGCCGGGAATTCTTTGGAAGAGATCTGGGGAAATGAAATATGCTATGAAGCAGCGGGTTTATTGCAAGAAAGGACATATGCTTGGTGTATCGATTGATCAGTTTCTAAGTATAAAGCAAATAGCGAAAGCTTCACAGGTATCTGCTTGACTTTGGCATACATATTAGCATCATGGACCATATGCTAGCAAGATGCACGTATCTGTCTAAACTGAACTGACATTAACTCACAATCAGGTATTGAATCGTAAAAGTATCTAGAAATGTGGCTATCATGAAGAAAGTAGAAAGAGCAATGATCATAAAACAGCTCCTTTCGTCACCACCCAAACGTCTCCGTATGCAATGCGATGCTCTCCATACTTCTAGACTTCAGCACCATCTCCCTCTGCATCTTAGCCACTGCGTTCGACAACTCGACTTTAAACCCCTCAGGTCCGCACCCCAGAACGAACGCGCGCGTCCCGCTCACCAACGACGGCAATAAGCTCGCAATAACAGGGCGCTCGTGATGCACAACGAACCCGCCCTGCTCCTCCACCTCCACCGTCCCCAGCCCCTCAGTCTCGGCACTGAGTCTCCCCTCCTCATCTCCCCGGTCAGCAACACCACCATAAGCCGGCGGCGGAGGCGCAGGCATCACATCCCCATCACCACCCCGCTCACCACCACTCCCGGCCACCAACACTCCTCCCCCCGCCCCTCCATTCTCCTCCTCCTCCTTCTTTTTCTCCCCGACCTCCGCCTCACTCCCACTACTACTACCACTCCCACCCGTAACATACACATCGACCACGACCCTCCCGACCCCCCTCCCCCGCCCCGCCCCGGCCTCCTCCACCGCCGCCAACACCTCCCCCACCTCCTCCCTTATCCACTCCACGCACTCGGCCCGCCGCACGACCCACACCAGCCGCACGGCGCCGACGCGGCAATCGTTGGCGCCCGCCTCCGCGTCCGCAGCCATCCGCCGGCCCAGGTCGAGCAGCCACGGCACGGCGGCCGTGACGCCCGTGCCGGCGGCGACGAGGACGACCGTGTCGACGGTGGCGTGCAGGGCGGGGACGCGGGCGCCGCGGCTGTGGGGGCCGTCGATGAGGGTGCGGAGGGGAGGGCCTTGTGGTGGCGGCTGGTGGTGGTGGGAAGGCTGATGGGCGGCGGCTTCTTCGAGAGAGGAGAGCGAGGAGCGGTAGAGGGAGGCGGGTAAGGAGGAGGACGGGGTTCCCGCAGCTTTGGCGGCGGCGAGGGCGGCGAGGCGGGAGGTGAAGCCGGCGTGGGTGCGGATGAGGAAGGTGAGGGTGTTTGTTGCTGTATTTGGGGGTGATGGCACCGAGGCGATGGTGAAGGGGTGGTTGTCGAGGACGGAGAGGGAGGGCATGCGGATGAAGGCGTGGTCGCCCGGGTGCCAGCGCAGGGCGGCGGGCACGGCGACGCGGACTTTGGTCACGGCGCCGGGCAGCGGCTCGAGGGTCGTCGGGTAGCCCGAGAGGAAGAGGAGCGAGCGCGTCGAGAGGAGGAGGCGGAACATGGTTTGCAGGAGGAGGATGCCGAGCGTGACGTACATGTAGACGGGCTAATGGCGCACAAGCGGTTAGCGGATGTCGCGATGTTGTGCAGGTGGATGGGGCGAGAAAAAAGGGGGAACCCTACGGCCATGTATTCGCCCTTGATGTGCCATGCAAGGATACCGATGAAGGAGAGACCCAGGAATATGTGGGTATAAACAAAAGTTTCGTAGAATTTGCGGCGGAACCAGGGAATGGAGAGAGCAATCATGCAGAGGAAGAGAAAATATAAAATGGTCCCAGATAACTATCAGGTCAGCAGAAAGAAATGAAAGATTCGGGCCACCCTACTTACTTCGCGCTTTTGGTCGATGTACAACTGAGCGAGGTAATCAAATCCGCCATCCTTGATTGGTGCATAGATATGAGGAACCTACTGAAATCAGCGATACGTAGCAAATTGCACTTGAGCATACTCACCGTATGGATGGTTGCAAGAGCGAAAATGACTCCGCCGACATATCGATGCAATATATTGAGCTTGGTGTAACAGATTCCTGTCAACAAAGTAACGATGTTGACTTTCCCACCAAGGGCAATCAGAAGTGGCATCAAAGCTGAAATGCAGAGAGCGCATCGTACTGATAAAGGCGGGGATCCAAAGCGGAAGCGAGAGCGTAAGTATGGTTGTTCGGGGAAAATGAGGCAGGTAAAGAATACGGTCGACAAGCTGAGCAGGGCTAGCATGCCAAACGAGGGTAAGGCCTGCAGGCGTCCAGTAAACCGTCGGTATACCACTGAACGGTAACACGCTACCACGCGGTGTCTCCAGCTGCAAGGATGTGTCGAAGGCTGCCGTCTGGTGTATCGCCGCGCATGATAGTCCCTCATGAGGTATATGAAGTTTCCAAGGGCAAATAAAACACCCCAGGATAGATAGTAGCAGAGGGTCCAGAATCCATAGTCGAGCTGGCTTATCAAGCTTGTGTCTTTGTACGATTCATTCCAACCAGCAGCAAAAGCATTGCAAGTGTCGTTCATGCAGTTGGGGTTACTGATAGGCAGGTCTGCGTAAGGGGTTCCACTGGGTAGTGGCTCGTCTGGCCATCGGTTTGGAGCCATTGCTGAATAATTGAGAGACAAAACAACAGCATGCAAAATGACGATCCCGTAGCAGGCTCCGGGGTGTTAAATTTAACAAGAGGGAATATTGCAGCGTTCATGTGCTCCACCGAGGGTTTGCATTAGCCAGTATATTAACCATCGGCGCGAGCACAACCGCCGGGCCGCGCCCGCCGTATCGGACGTCTCTGGCGTGCTTGTGGAGCCGGAATCATGTTGAGACATCGATTCATAGGCTCTCGGGTTTTTGCAGGATGATGCAACGTCGTCGAGCGCTGTGAGAAAAACGCACTCGTACAGTGGAGGCCCGCACTAGAGATCCACGTCATGCTGAGCCCCGCGGGACCACTGTGAATAGGTCCGAAATCACTGGGCAGAGCTGGTGGTGGTCGGATCTCCTCTAGCCGTTATCAAAGCCGATGCAGATCAGTTCCAATTGGGGGGTGAGACAATACAGTTCGTTTCTGATCCTTTTTTGAGCCTCAAACAAGGATGTGCCCTGCTCGCATAGGAACAAGCTTAAATCCATCCTGCCCCCGCCTCTGGTTCCCTTCCAAGCCGGCCTTGGAGCTTTCAAGCAGTTCCTGACAATTTGCGCCTCAACCAGGCTTTCATTGGGGAGAGAGTGCGCATGAAGGTTCCCCGATTTTCATCACTGAAAAGGACACATGGCGCGGCGGTGTAAAGTCAGCAAAGGCTCCATGCAGCTCGGCTCCGGCTTGACATTGAGCTCGTACGACATGTATCTACAAGCTTTTCCAGGGAGGTGGATTAGGGAGCCCTAGATCTGACCGCACTGATCGAAGTGCGTCCAGCCTCGTACTGATTCGGGATACTTCATGTTTCGATTGGGCCACGGTGTGGCGCTAGTCAAGCTGCCTGAGACGTGCAGAATTCCCGTAAAGGTGCATGCCGTCTGTCGGAGAGTCGGCGTTTACTGTCGCCGCCAATCTCGCCAATGAGAAGCGTCTGGTTTGCATGAGAACAGCTTTCGGCTGTTTTGTGTCTCATCCTTCAACACCGGGCCTTCGGAGCGATTTTCCGCTACCCGACTACACCACGCTAAATATCAGCTGAGCGGCGAATTTGCCATAGTAAAAGGCGTCCCACACGACATTAACTGGGCCGCGGTGGGCTTTTGAAATTGCAGAACTGATATACTTCTCCCAGGTCGACACGGCTGAACTGCGTCCGAGCTTCATCGGCAACGTCATGACCGCGTGGATATTGTCCGAGGCGCATCTGTCAAGACGCTGTGAGCTGCGCTGCTTCCCGTTTCCAATTTGGCCTGCAGATCGTTGTCCGACTAGGTATTGCCCACGACGCGTCTCCTGACACGGCAGGCAACCGTGCTCGAGCAGGAAGGAACAAGTGTCCGCTGACGTCGGCGAAGCTAAACTCTAATTTCACAGCTGACGATTGACCAAAGTTTGGACCCTTACCCTAGAGCACAGCATATCTATAGAACACTCCGCCGTCCCGAGTCGACGAAAAAAGAACTGATTCTCAGCGAAGCCGTTCCCGAGTCGCATTATCGTGTCTAAACAAAGCACCACCCCCGTCGTACACACAGCCCTCAATCATGGCATCCGTCCTCCTGCTTCGTAGAACCGCCTTGCGTGTACCTTCCAAACGCCAATTCGCCCACCAAGATCCCACCGATCACGGCGACGAAAACTCCAACATTGAACGTCATAACCGCTAACATCCTGTCACCGAAATACGTCAGTTGTCAGGTCGCACAAAGCACCAAAAATAAACAAACCACCAAATAAGGAAATAAAACAAGAAAAAACAAATGACACGCTCACAACAGCGGAGGAGAGAAACAAGAAAAAAGTCTACTACTTACAGCAGATAGCCCAACGCCGCCCTCCCGCACTCTAACGTCGATCTGGGCCCGTCCCTTCCCACCCGCCACGGCCCGCTCGGCGTCCAGAACCCTGCCGCCGCTTTAACTTTCTTCTCCTTCTCGTCGTCTCCGTAGCCATCCGCCACCGCCACCGCCATTCCGGCAGATGAAACCGGCCTGGGCGAGAGCGGCTCCCTCTCCTCCTCCGAGGCAGCACCGCCTTCGACGTCATCGTCGAGAACGCGTTTATCGACACCACCACCACCACCACTCAGCCTCCTCACCCGGCGCCACCACCACCCAGCCGAGCCAACCTTCTTCCTCTCGGCCGATGTTGTTACTGTTGCTCTATTATTATCGTCATCATAGCCGTGTTGCGCCTGCCACCACGCCGTCCTTTCCAGTTGCGCGCGCACCGCGCCGAGGAAGCGGTGGAAGACGCTGAGCGCGAAGAGGAGCACCAGCGCCCCGGCGTAGGCGGCCGGCGTCGTCGTCGTCCAGCCCGGGAAGAGGAGCGTGACGGTCGTGCTGGATGAGAAGGTCATGGCCATTGTCATGGCCGGCATTGTCATTGTCGTGCTGTCCGACATGGTGCTGCTGTTATGAGCCTGGTTCGTGTGGTCATGGTGGGATTGCATCTCGTCCATGATGGTGGTGGTGGGGATGATGATGATGCGACTTCGACCCGTCGTGTTAGCCGTCGAGAGGGAAAAGGCCTGCGGAACTGCGGACGGGTGGTGGTGGTGGTGGTGGTCAACGTGATTTCATGAGAGTTATGAGGGTTGCCTCAGTGCTCGCTTGAGGAGAAAACGACGAGGATGGGGGCGTGAACCGGGATGCCGCAGACGAGTGATGCCCAGCGACAGTCCAAGAGGCTGTTCCTGCATTGGAACAAATAAACGTCGCATTTATTGACTTCTCAATCATGCGCCAGTAACTGTTTGGAGAGATATCCGGAGGTTGGTTGCGAGATGGCGCGGATTTCTGGGGCTGAGCCTGCGTTGAGCAAGTTTGCGGCGGTTGGAGCAGGTAAACTCATTTCGGCCTCATGTCCAAGTAGCACCACATACGAGAACATCAGGGCTAGACTCGACACCGATCGCCTCAAGAATTACTCGATATGCCATTTCCCGCCTTTTGACCATGCACTACGCGCATGAGAGAGGAGCCGGCTGACGACGGATGATCCCGCAGCGACTGGTAGCCTCACTCCGCATGACCTGTGGAGGCGCCTTCACCTGAATGCCTCATCCCTGCAAATAGCAGCCTGAACAACTAAAAGGCCTCAACCAAGAAATCGAACAGCCTGTCTTCCGCAATGCTGTCCCGAAGACGTTGCTCCTGGATTTCGGGCGCCGAACCCCATTTTCGCCTGCCACCAACGGAAAATGACTGCCTAGCTGGCCATATGGGCATTGTGGGCGGGAGGTAATTTTAAATGTCTCTGAAAGAATTAGACGGGTGACTGGATATGTAATTGGCCTTGATTATTACCAATGTTGTCTGAAAATCCAGAGTTGACCACACAGACAGCCTCCCAGCCTCAGTTGATCGAAGGAGTCAGCAAGCTCTTTGCGATAGGGTCTCGTATTCTCATGCGACATTCAGAGAAGCAAGACGCCTATGATGAGCTATACTATGATATTGGGCGCAAATCAATCAACCTTTTTTTTTCGCTTCCGAGACAACAAAGTAAAGGGCAAGGCCTTATTAACTCTCTGTAGTACCATGAAGGCCTGCATGGGCGCAAAGCGCATCTAAAATTGAGTATTACTTAAGAGCTGGTTGGTATGGGTAGCGTGTATACCATCTGTAATGGCCCTACTCGAGCCAACTGGCACATAAGTCGCAGGTCCTTCCTCACATTTAGAAAGGTAGTCAAGTACAGCGATAGCATATCATTCACCTTACTAAGCAGAGTTAATAGCTGTATACCATAGTTAAGGAGTTCGGGATGCTGCAATCCCGATAAGGCACTAATTGGTGCCTGAAACTAAAGGATCGATAAGAACCATGGTACTTCCGCTTTAGGAGCTTATATAATTTTCCGCGATATGCAAGTTAGAAAACTAGAGTGACGACTAATCGCGGCTGCATGTAAGATGTCGGCTATGCATGTAACCTGTCAGCATCTTTGTGCTGACGGGTGCCTAATCAGCTGCTGTCTCATCCTAGTCTGATTGACCCCGCTCTCCCAAACATGCGCGAACATGATATCTGGTGACACCTTGACTGCGGAACCTGAACAGATGGTGGAAGACGGTCATATGGCAAGCTCGAGCGTCAGACCCGGCACCTCCGATGAGCAACGCCGCAATGGCCCCCACGGACCTGGGAGGTGGTCGGACGACAAGTGGACCAAAGAGATTTTGGAGCAGTGAGCCTGTTGCCATTCTCTGATCGAGTTTGTTCACATCACTGATAGGACACTTCAGAAGCGCGATATCACACTGGCAGTCCAAAATGGAGCTCCGCATCAACCAATTTCGAGAACGTGCAAGCACCGATGAATGGAAAGAAATCGAAGCAAGCCGCGCGCAAATGATTCTTTTGGTTGAAGAGGCTCGAATAGCACATGACACGCGAAACCCGGATCGAGATGGGAAAACAGCGACTATCCGGGACAATATCAAGAAGGGGCTGAACAACGCTGCTCAAGTAACATTTACCTACGTCCAAATGTTGGATGTAATGGTCAGTCAAGCTCCAGAGCTAGTAGCCATAGCATACGGCGCAGTCAAGATCATTTTGGCGGTTCAAGTCAACTTGCAGGAGGTGAAGGAAAAGGTACCGGCGTTCATGAAACGAGCAAGCGCGAAATTCGAGGCGCTAGACCACCTCACAGCCTATCGCCCGAGCCGCAATCTCGTATCCGCAATCTCCCAAGCATACCAGCTATACATCAAATTCCTCGCGAAGGCTGTGAAGCTATACACAGAATGCCGAGCAAGTAAGATACCCGCGGACACATACGTCTTATTTCTAACGCACATTAGAGAGAATGTTGAAAGCGACCATCCATCCATGGAAGAATAGATTCCAGAGCATTGTCGACGGTATCGAGGAGATTTTCAGCCATATTCGTGAAGTTTCCCAGCACCATAACGATCTGGAAACGCATTTGGGTCTCCAAGCGACCAGACAAGTTCTCAACATCGTCAGGAATCAGCAGTCCAACGGTGAACGGATGCTTGCCTTGCTGGAAAGGCTTTCTCAAATGGTCCCTGTCAATTTCAACAAAGCCGAAGATATCCGGGAAACAGCAACCGCCGTTCGGCAACAAGTGGATGAGGTCATGGATCAACCGTGTTTGGAACGCCAGCGCAGCCAGCCCCCGACTGAAAACGAGACAGATATCGATGAAGACGGCATGAGCCCCTCAGAGGTCATTGATCGGGTACTCAATGATGTGTTTACCGATCTAGCGCAAGAGGAAAGCCTCAATGATGCTGCCCGACGCACAAGAGCAATTATGGAGTTTCCATCGATGCACGACTACAAGCCTAAACAAAAGGGGCAGCTTAAATCAGAGAGGCTTATCAGCTGGCTCCAGTCTCCGGCCTCACAGCTCCTGTGGCTTGATGGAAACAACCTGTTGACTGTGTCTGACTGCAACATGCTGTTCACCAACCCTCTCATCCTTGTGGCTGAAGGAAACTTTGATTCCGCCTTAGTCCTTCGCCATAGGTACGAAGACAAAGCCTCGGCTGGATCCTATGTTGCGCTGGCGCAATCTTTGATATCTCAAAGCCTGAGAAAGAACCCTGATATTTTCCCCAGCATCCGATCGCGCATGGGGAAAGAGACGGCCACTAATCTGAACCACCTCTTGGATCTCCTTATTGCATGCTTTCACAAAATTAACGCTTCCTGTGTTCTCATAATCATCGACGGTATCGACAAGATTGGCATAGAGCAAGCGCAGTTGGAAGAAGCGTTTGTCAACCAGCTGGGTCGAGTCATGAATGAACCAGAACTGCTAGTCAAGGTGCTTTTAACAACTACCCTGCGGCAGGAAGAACGTGTGGATATGACAGTGTCCACGAAAGCGCTTCGCTCTCAGATGGCTCGAAGATCTCCAGTACGAACGCTCTCTGTCGATGGCATACAAACAGACTTCCCACTCCTGTCCCATGAGATTGTTCGGATACAGGAGAGGAAGTGCGAGTTCGTCAGATTCAATCAGTTGCCGTATCTGTACAGCCATGGATCGACAATATTCGAGTGGCAGCAAGGTCATCTCACCGCGTGTATCATATCCGAAGTTTCTGGTATGGAACCCACGTTCAGTGGGGGCTTAATGCCCCTTGTATTGCGTGTGTGGCAGGTCAACCACAATGGATTATACTTCACAAAGCGATTTCGGGACATCCGAATATCCCAGTTCCATGGACAGAGGAGGATATCCAGCTTGAAGCAAATTCCGGCAGGCTACTTACCCGACGAACCAAAACATCGCAAGCAGCTTTGCGCAAGAGGAAGACGATATTGGATCCTGGGGCAGGGAGTGCATCATATGCAAATCACGACAGCATCTGTAAGACTATTTACGCTTTCCATATCTACTAACTAACGATTGAAGGGTCCCGTTCGCGTAATCGTGGACCAAACCGCAAGCTCACCCGGAGAGATTCCGGCACAAGAAATTGCCGATCAATATCCCGAGATGAAAGCTGCGGATGTCAGGCCGGGGTTGCTTCATATTTGCTCCCATGTCCTGAATGTGCTCATCTTGCAGGACTTTCGATGGGGTTAGTATAGAACAGTCCAGTACGCCCCTGTGTGAAGCTGACTTCATAAAGCTACTTCCAGCGTTGATGACATCAAAGATATCATCTTCCCAAACGATCCGTTTAGAAGATTGCACTTGCCCGCTGATCAGATCGAACTTCTGAAAGGGGTTGTCAAACCAGACACTATGGGCATCACTATCCTACTTCACGGTGATCCGGGAACGGGAAAGTCGTTTACAGCAGACTGTGTTGCTGACTGGGCACGCTTACCACTTGTTCCACTCGTTGTTGATCGAACCGAAGACAACCCTGCTCCTTCCCTAAAGCAGAATGTGCACAGCCTCTTCGAAGTCACTAAGAGGTGCAAAGGCATCGTTCTCATTGATCACGCCGAATTGCTCCTCGAGAAACGAATGGCGGATGCTGGCGAGCGTAACTCGCTTGTGGTGACTACTCTTCGGCACTTGGAATCATTCAAAGGCTATGTTCTGTTAATAACTGACAGAGCCGATGCTTTTGACGAAAAAGCAAAGTCTTTGATATCTTTGAAGATTGAGTTCGAACGCCCGCAAGGGATATTACAGAGGCGTCTCATGCACGACTTTCTTGGCCAATTAGCAATTGGGGAGAACCCGCTTCAAAGACCTTTCGAACTCGCTGCCAATGAAGACGAGATTGCCTATAAATTGATGAAGATCATTGATCCAGGCTCCGGGCGAGGTCCGAGCGGTCGACAGATCAAGGCCTTTTTCTACTCAGCTGCTCTTCTGGCAGCTAAGGATCCGGATCAAACTGATGAAAGCAGAATCCGCATAACACTTGAGCACTTCAAGACCGTTTGGAACTTTCATAGTCGATAGACCATCCAGAGATCACATGTAATGAGAATATCAGTGGTGCTATGGAGTCAGATGGCGCAAGGCACTTGAGGTTTGGTTGAGAACGACTCTCATTGGAAACCCACGATCTTGAAACCCCTCGTTCGAAATCATAGAGTGAAGACCTACTACTTTTGGTAGTAAGCCGCGAATACGTGAGTAGGCCTTACACCTCTCACAGGGCTCGTTGTATTGTCGTATAGAGATTTTCCCGTCCACTCAAGCGAGAAACACCAGAAGGGATGACTACGAGTTCCTTGTTTTGTTCAAAGTCTTTCGTTCGGAGCGGGGTTACACATTCAGTTTTGTTACGGCGATCGAATTTTTTTTCCATTGCAATTCCATGCATACGTATCCTTTCGTACACACATATCTCATTGATCTTCTGCACTTTTCTCAAATCTTGATCTTTTAAGCACCGTGACCCAAGCTTACCCTAGATACCACCATAATTCCTCCGCTCCAAACAGTAAGCCGTTTTCTCTCTACGCTAAACAGTCTCCCAACGCCGACCATGCGCCCGAGCTCCAAGGCGCACACATGACAGCCCTCTGAGCATCCGCAACGGTGCCAACGCCCGCAAACGCGGCGGCCAGCTCTTCCGCTTGCAGCGGGCCATTCGGCGGCACAGCCCTCTTCGCCGTGACAAGCGCCATCTGTGCCGGATAGACCTCCTGCTCCGTCTGCTGGCCATCTGCGACGAGATCCGCGAGCTGGGTCCAGCCATGAGGCAAGTGAGGGGCGAGCATGACGCTGGTCTGGACCTCCGTCCTCACGGTATCGGCGCCACTGCCGCCAGAAGAGGACGACAGCTCCGCGATGGCGTCCAGCACCTTCTCGATCCGCCTCAGCTGGTGCGTGTCGAGATCCGGTCTGGTGCGCAGGGCCTGCAGGTCGTCCCGCACGGCATCCATCGTGTCCGCGTCCTCGTCCAGGCTCGCCATGGCGCCGAGCAGCACGACGGCGCCGACGTGCTCCGGGTGCTCGCCCACGCACTCGAAGAGCTGGTCGCGCGCGACGCTCTTCTCCTCGGCTCCGCCCTTCGCCCACAGCACCTCGGCGAGGGAGCACACGACGTCCGGCGCTGAGCCGCTGTCCTGAAGCGCGGTGCGGAAGTGGTCGATGGCGGCGTCCATGGCGTTGAGGTTGTACTGCGCGAGGCCGGCCGTCAGACGCGCGCCTAGGCGGACCTTACGACGGGCCTCGGCGCTCATCCCAGTGCCTTCTTCTTCAGCCGTCAGATCCAGGGCTGTTTCGGCATCTTCAGCGGCGGTCGAGAAGTCAGAGGCCGCAAGACGGTTGCGGGCGAGGTCGGCCTTGGCTTGCGCAAAACGGGAGAGAGCTTGAGGCGATTCCGAAACCTCGAACTCGGCTTCGGCGGTGGCGCAGATCTCTTCCAGTGCGGAAATGGCGACGTCGTAGCTGCCGACCCGTTCGAGGTACAGTGCTGCTAGATGGCGGTGCGGAATGTCTGTTGACTTTTGCGAGTATAACTGTTGGAGAGCGAAGAGGGGTTGGATGAGTTTCGTGATGTCGCTCGAGGCTGATGGAGACGAGAGGAGGTGGTCGAAGGTGGAAACCGCGTATTGCCTCTTCACAACAAGAGATGAAGCATCGCTGATCTCGAATGCATGAGTGAAGTGAGACAATGCCTCCTTTGCATCTCCCCACAGCAGGGCAATGAGTCCTTCGCCCAACCAAGCCTGCGGGTAGTCAGGATCTGTGGACTGGGCGCGGGCAAAGGCTGTGTGAGCCAACTCATAGTCATTCTCCAAGAGATAGAGTGTCCCGAGATTGACCCACACCTTCGCGTTGCGCTCGTTCAGATGCAGGCTTCGAACGAGGGAGTGCTGAGCAACCTTGGGATTAAGCTGTGTGGTGACAATCCCGAGAGCATTCCAAAATTCAGCATTGCCGGCTTCGAGCTCGATCGCCCGCTTGAAGCATCTCATCGCTGCCTTCAAGAGCTTCAAGCTCTTCTTGCCCTGTGCGGCTGGGTCAACATCTTGCTCGCAGCACACATAGGCTCTGTATTCCGTCCAACCGAGGTTATACCATGCAACAGCTTGAGCGTGGATGTCGTGAGCGCAGGCATAAATTGCCCGCTTTTGGGCAAGAATCGCCGCGTTGAGGCATTTGCGGGCTGGTGATGAACCCTCCTCCGACTGTTCAGATAACGACGCAAGCTGCTCTTGTCCGATCCCATCGTTGTCGGAGAACATGTCGAACTCTTGGACCTCGATGGCCGTCTCAAGCAAGGTCTTTACTGTATCAAAAGGTAGGTCCGCGATCCGGCTCTGAACCCATGTGAACAGCGAGCAAGCATCTCCCACCGCCTTCCATAGGTTGAAGGCCTCGGGCTTATATTCAGCCACCGCCTTCGCAATGGTCAGCGCTTCCAGCGCACTATCCGCAGCTTTGCCGAAGAAACTTGTCTCGATGTATCGCCAACCCCTTTCGACCAGCGTCTGAAGCAATGCAATTTGAACACCAAACTCATTTTGCCTCGACTCTAGAACGGCCTTGTAACCGTCAATGGCCTCCTCGTACTGGCCGAGTTCGCGGTTGACATTTGCAAGCATGTACTTCGTAAACCAGTTCTCGGTGGGCTTCTTCATCTGTACTCCATCCGCGGGGTCCTCTGCGTACCTGAAGGTTCTGAGGGCCGAGTTGTACCTGCCAGAGTTGTGGTAACTCTCGCCCAAGCCAACATAGGAGTGGTAGTCATCTGGGCTGATGCGCAGCGCCGAGAGGAAAGAGTAGACGCTCTTGCTGTACTCCTGTTTGTTCATCTGGACGATTCCCATCGCCGAGAAAGGCCAGCTCACACCCTTCTTCTTCTTGGATCCGGGGGCAGGACGGCATTTACCAGAGTCGATAGCACGCTCAGCGATGACTTCTACGATGTCCCAGTCGCCTTGGTCAGCGAATGAACGGGCAAGGCGCTCAGCAGCCTCCAGCTCCGACGGAGACAGCTCGAAAGCTTTCTGAAAGCATTGTCTTGCGCGCTTCTTGTCTCGCGCATAGTCCTGGTAAAAGATACCCAAGCTGGTATATGCCGGAGCAAGGCTCGGATTCGTTTTGATGGCTTGCAAGAAGCTGGCGTATGCTCCTGTTCTGTCTTTGCGAGCCTGTCGTGTGGGATCGATCTCCCATATGCAGATTCCAATGCGGTATAACGTCTGCGCCCTCAAGTCTCGGGACCTGAGATCCGTCGTCTTCATCTTCTCAACATACGTTTCGAGCTCACCTAGAGCAGTGGTGTGATCGCCGTTGAGAGCCTTACACCAAGCCGTCTCGGCGCCTATCCGTGCATTCTCCGGATCCCGAGCCAGGGCTCTGCTCAAAAAGTCAATTGCTTCCGCGTACTCTTCCTCTTCCTCGAGAATGAGACCAACGCCGATGAGGGCTGGGGTGAAAGTAGCCTTGCGTTGTAGTATCTCGTGGAAGATGGACTTCGCTTCAGGATGATTCTTCGGCGACTGGTACTGAATGAGTGACGTAGCAAGAATGCTATTGATAGCGTCTTTGTTGTTTTGGAACTCCAGCCCGCTCTTCTGCGCTTCGGCAGTAACAATCTTCAGTCCTTTCCTGGTGACTTCGACGGAACTCTCGAATTCCTCCAAGTGGAGATAGTATTCACCCATCAGTCGGTGGGCAAGAGGAGAGTGCTTCGCGTCGTCGAGTCCTTCTGTCATGAGCAACAATCTATCCTCTTGGCTCAATGGCTCCTCTTCCTCTTCTTTCTTTTCTTCCTCTCCTTCTTTCTGCTCCTGCGGTAATTTCAATGGAAATGGCGCGATCTCGCTGGTCAAGTAGCCCTTCAACAACCTCGCCAGACCGTCTTCCGGAAAGAACTCGACAAACTCCCTCACAACATTCGCATCGAACTCCGATAGCGTCTCCACATCCGTCCACTCCAGCTCGAGTTTCCACGCGAGCGCAAACGGATGCTTAATGATAACCATGCCATGCGCAAGCTTAAGCACCTGGTCTCTCTTCTCCGCCTTCTTCGCAGTAGGTAGCACCGCCAACGTATCAAACGCACGCTGCAGTAGTTTTTCCTCGTACTGCCTCCTCACCTCATCGTCCTGCGTCCAATCCACAACGGCCTGATACAGCTCCTCAAGCTGACTAGCCTCGTACACCTCCCTCTTAACTTCCGTCGTGACCTGACCGATCCGCGCCCCGAGTCGCGTCCTCCTCTCGCCGATCTCCTTGTTGATCTTTTCCTTCTCCTCCTGCTCAACGATCTCCACGATGCGCGTGTACGTCGCGCTCGGATGCGGGACGCGGCCTTCCAGAAACCCGTAAACGTCGCTGGTGGGAAGGTACACCTCGAGCGCGCGCTTGTACTGAGCCTTCGAGCCCTTCGCGCGGGCTAGATCTACCACCTTGTCGACTGCGATCTGAGCTCTATGCGCATCGTCCCTACAACACCCCGTGCATCAGCAAAAAACGTAACTTCACCCAAGCCTACTCCACAATCCCCAGAACACGAGGAAAAACTGGCCACAACTCACATCCCCGCATAGATAGCCGCCAGCTTCTGCCCGACCCTCGTGTGCTCATCCACCCGTTCCCCTCCCCTCGCTTCGTACACGCCCCTCAGACCCAACCACGCCTGGTCATCGTCCGGCTTGATTTTCGCCGCCTCTTCGTACGCCTTGGCCGCGTCGTCCGGCTTGCCCTGCTTGTCGAGTGCGCGGCCGAGGAAGAGGCGCGCAAAGTAGTTCTGCGGGTCATTCTCGAGGACAGCTGTCGCGTGGGTGATGGCGTCGTCCCACTTCTGGGCGTCGATGGCGGCTTTGGCAGCCTTGAGGGCGGCCTTGTTGGAAGAAGGTGGTGCCATTGCGGTGGCTCGCGTGCTCGGTTTTTACGATGAATGCGACGGGAGGAGCGAGCGACTCGGTCGGCCCATTGGGTGTGGCTCGTGTTCGTGCGGTCGGTGAGGTGGGCTGCGTGGAAGAGGATTTTGCTGAGGCTATGGTGGTGGAAGACGCGGGACGCGTTTGAGATGGACGTCATGGGTCCTTCAGCCCTACAGAGCACGGGCCCAGCAAAAGAGCTCCCCCGCCATCCTATAGATGTCCTTTTGCTATTGTTCACATTCGGGCATTGCATATCATTGTAAATTGAGTATCGGATAACAGTGGCTCAACTAATTCCCATATTCACACACCAAGGAGGAAGGATTCACAGAACATTATCGACAACCAAGCAATTATCACCTACTATCAATAATACCGGATAAATCGCAATATCCCAGGAGTGCCACCGCCCAGACGCCTCCAACACCGCGCGCATGCAGCAGAAGTTAATTGACCTACCAAAATTAAAAGTTGCCCTTTCACTCCTGTGCATCCCTGTTCTTGCTCGGCGTCTGCACGCCCGGCTTTTCCTGATGCGCCGCCACCTCGACAACGCTGAGAGCGCTCTCGCCCGCCGTCGGCACGCTCATCCCCAACATCCGCTGCGCCACCGCCTTGTGACCCTCCTGGTTGGGACTGTCACGGCCCGCGGTACCGTCGACCGAGAAGCTTGCCCGGCGTTTATTCAGCCACGCCACCTCGGAGCACCGTTTAGCCAGCCGGATCGTCGTTTCATCATGCGCCTCGAAGTGCCGCCAGGGGTTTTCGTTAGATGCACTGAGGTAGTCCAGCATTTTAAGCAGCTCGTCCGGCTTGTAGTGTGGCGGTCGGTTGACCTGGCTATTGGCCAGCAGCGGGTGCAGCACGCGTAGATACGTGTGTCGAATCGCCGCCGACGTTGTGTCGTCCGACGGCAGGTCCAGCAGATTACGAATGATAATGTCGATCAGGACGTAAAGGTCATTGGTGTAGAAGTAGTCGCACGTCTTCTCATTCAGAAACAGAAGGTAGAGGAGCTTTAGGATCAGCAGAGTGAGCGAAGCCTCGGTCTCGCGGTTGAGCAGTAGGATCATGTTCTCTCCGAAAGTCTTGTAAATGTGGCCGTGGGTTGAGAGAGCTTTGATAACGCGGTTTGTGAGCGGCACAGCTGGGGTCGGAATATTGGCGACGAAATACTGCTCGTTGAGAACTAGCTATGGTCGATTGTGAGTATTCCAGAGAAGGTCGCTAGTTGGGTGGAGTCCATACCAAAACACGAATGACGTGGTAGCAGAAAGGATCGTTTGGATCGCCAAAAAGCTCCTCAACAGTCTGGAAAAGACCGAGGACGAAGGCATCGTCAACCACAGCTGTAGCTTGCGTCAGCAGCGTGCATTCCTAGCGTTACATCTCCAGGCATCCCACCTAGCTCTGCGGCCGTAAGGCGTTGTATCCTCGACATCTCGTAAATGAGCTGCAGAAGCAGCCGGTGCATGTTCTTCTGCTCGTCGACATTGGTGTCCCGAATGAGCTCAACAAGGCGCTGAAAAGCTCCTTCCTTGTGCATCATATGGAAGACGTGTTGGTCGTCGATATCGGCGAGGCCATCGAGCAGGAGCACAGCTGCAACCAGCTGCAGCGTCGGCGGTTCATCCTCCTAGCAGGCTGTCAGCAGAAGCCTCGACACCAGTATATCCAAACGGGCGAGCAAAATACCTGAAGCAGGCTGTAGACAAACTGCGTGCGCACGTAGTCCTTGTTCTTGGTGAAGATAGAGCACTGCAGTAGCGTGCTCGCGCACTGCTTGAGCTCGTCCTCGGTTTGGAGATAGTCCTCTGGAAGCGTCAACAAGCGTCCAGTCAGGCAGGCAGCCGGAGCGGGGCGTACCGTGAAAGTTGGCGGCGAAGGCGAGGTAGCGGCGGAGGGTGCTGTCTATGGCTTCGTGCGAGTCGCAGCGTGCGGAGACGATGTCGTCCAGCTCTGCGACGCGTCAGTAAGAACAGCGGGCGCTGGCGCATGGTGTTTCGATTTCATACCTTCCCAGAACTGTTCGGCATTATCGAGGCTATAAGACACCTCGAACTCCATGCTGGCGCCGGCGCGCAAGATGCATCGTCTCTGGTGCTGCTTGCGTGGGGCGGGCGGAGGGGCTGCCAGGCGGTGCAGTGGCCTTTTGTAACTTGCAAGGGCCTGGATCTTCCCACCCACGCCAGATGACCCCAAGCCGGCAATCGCATCCGCTGCCTGCATGGTGCTCAACCACCAATATCCCGTCCCACGCGCTAGCCTTCTTATTCGGCGACCGTCACAATGCTCCGCAATTCATTCTACCCAAAACGTCTTTTCATTGAGTGCCATGGAAAACAGGGGCGGCGCAACCGCGCCCCTCGGCGTTCGACTATGAAAGCATGACCCAAGACTCCTTCCCCTAAACACCCTATACAGCACGCTGCCTGATCGGCATTCACAGACTGTACGCTACCGACTCCTTCAATTAGGATTTTGCCCTACTCCATACTAACGCCGCCATCAGGAAACAGTAAAACTCCTCTCCATGTGTTGCAAGACCTCTAAAACTGGAATCCACCGGGGAAGCCTCCGCCAAATCCTCCGCCAAATCCACCACCACCCGCATGGAACTTGAACGAGCCTCCTGGCCCTTGACGCATGAAAAACTGCTGTCCACCAGGACCGCCAAATGGCGAGCCCTGGAACGGGTTTGACTGCCCCTCGTGATCGTTGGGGTCGTCACCGTTGTCGAACCGCGCCTTGAGCTCTGGATCGCTGAGCACTTCATAAGCCTCATTGATCGCCGCCATCTTCTTCTGCGCCTCTTCTGCCGTAATGCCTTTCTGTGATGCCTTGTCGGGGTGGTATTCCTTGGTAAGTTTGCGGTATGCGCGCTTGATCTCTCTTTCGTCCGCATCTCTTGAGACGCCCAGAACCTTGTAGTAGTCCTTCTGCTTCGACCGCTTCAGAAGATTATGCGCCTTTTGCTGGAGCTCTTGGATCTTGCGTTGTAGTTGCTGGTTTCCTTGCTCCTTGGCCTTCTCCTTGGCATCGTTCAAAACGTGAATGGCCGGTTCAAACTCATCTGCGTCGATTTTGCGTTCTGCGTCAAGGATGAGACCATGAAGATTGTCGGGGTTGAGTTTCACTGCTTCCGCGCAGTACGTCTCCGCGCGCTTCTTGTTGTTCATCTGAAATATTGTGAGCGTTCGTGTACCATTCTAAAGCTCTCAGGCTACTCACCTCAACATAAGCCTCGCAGACCATCTCAACGAGGCTAGTGTAGAGTCCATCCGGAGTTTTGCTGTGGATATACCCCTCCTCTTTGTACTTCTGCACATCCTCCTTCACGTCCTCGAGAAGACCTGCGCTTTCGCTCGACTTGATCAGAAGCTTGACTGCGCTGGCATACTGCCTCTTCTCCATCAGGCCCTTTGCCTTTTTGAGTTGCTTGTCTAATGCCTTCTCGCGCTTCATGAGCTTCATGCAAGCCTTGGAATCAGGGTCTGACTGAAGACACTTGCGGATATGCGCCAAACCCTTATCGGTCTCGCCCAGGGAGTAAAACGTCATGGCCGAACTCTGGAGGTGGGGCTCGATAGACCCTGAGTTGATCTGCAGCACATGCTGCAGGTCGTTGACACCCTCCGCGACTTCGCCTTTCTCGAACCGGCACCTCGCTCTCAACTTGCGCAGTTCGAGGTTACCGCCTGCGACCATGACAGCGACACCGGCATTTGTTATGCAGCCATCCCAGTCGCCCTGCTTCTCCGCTTCGGCCGCCAGAGTCGCGGCGCCCTGGGCCTCGTCCAATTCCGCGATTTCATGGCCCCCCTTCTTGCCCGCAGCCTCGAAGTCTTTCCGCGCGGCATCCCAGTCGCCATGGCGACTCTTTAGCTTTGCGCGCTGAATCAGGGCGCCCTCGAAGTCGGGCTTTATAGCGAGGACCTTGTCGAAGTCCTGCTGGGCTTGGTTGTTCTTGCCGAGGGAAAGATAAGTGGCGCCGCGCTTGAATATGGTAAGGTAGTTCTTAGGGTCTCGAGCGACAGCGGCATCGAAAAAGGTCAAGGCATCCTGCGCGTTGCCGGCGGCAAGCTGCTGGTTGGCAGAGGCGATCAGCTCCGAGACGGGCGTGTCGGCGGGAATGCTGGCGGGCGAAAGAGCGAGCGCGAACGGTAAGGCGGCGCCGACCGCCAGGACGCGCAGTGGAAGTAGCATGATAGCAAGTGTAGGCAGGAGGACAGCGAGCGTGGTCGAGTGTCTTGGACTCGGGGGTATTAATACCAGCAAAGGCGCATGATAGGAATGTGAAAGCTGGCCGCATCGGCAGGCTGCCAGGCACCATCTTATCGGCTTATCTCCGTCCGAGGATGTGCCGACGCCGTGTCCAGATTCGGGTGCTGAGCCCTGGCAGCTGAACCATTATTTCTGAGGCACGCAACCAACCATACTCCGATTTTAGAGTGAAATTAACATTCCGGTCAGACAAAAATGTCGAAGCTAGCGGCTAGCAATAGTGCGCATGTCAACACTTTTGGAGCCTCCATCCCGGCTTTCGTACCATGAGACCCCCGCGCACCGACCGGGTCAATGACGCACGCCAGGATGCCGCGGCGTGCTCTTGTGGCGCCTGAACCCTCCGCCTCCGCTTGCGGGCCTACCTCCATTAGCTGCTCGAGCCGCACCTACCACTGCTCGTACTCGTACTCTCGTCTTATATCTACCCTACCCTATCCTACCAGACCCTACGTCCTCGCCTCTCTTCCCCTTTGATTTTCCCTCCACACCCGCTCGACATGGCTCCTCTACGCTTGCGTGTCGACGGCTGTACCTTCCGGGACCCGAGCAACCGCGAGGTCACCCTGCACGGCATCAACGTCGCCGCAGACGCCAAATTCCCCGCCCACCCGGACCAACCCTCACACGTCGCCGATGCCTTCTATGACGGCGACACCGTATCTTTCGTCGACCGTCCATTCACTGTTGACACCGCTCGCACCCACTTCACAAGACTGAGGAAGATAGGCTATAATACCATCAGATACGTCTTCACGTGGGAGGCAATCGAGCATGCGGGACCGGGCAAGTACGATGAGGAGTGGATACAGCACACCATCTCCATCCTTCGAGTGGCCAAGGAGTACGGCTTCTATGTGTTCATGGATCCGCACCAGGATGTCGTACGTAGGCTTGAATGCAATACATCTCCCTTCATGCTGATCCCTCTGATTGTGAGTGCAGTGGTCCAGATTCACCGGCGGCTCGGGCGCTCCTCTCTGGACAATCTACGCCTGTGGACTGAATCCGCGAACCTTTGATGTCACCGAAGCTTCCCTCGTCCAGAACACTTACCCCGACCCCGAACAATTCCCCAAGATGATCTGGGCTACGAATTACTCCCGGTTGTCGTGCCAGGTCATATTTACCCTCTTCTTCGCGGGGAAGACATTCGCGCCGAAAGCGATCATTGATGGCGTGAACATTCAGGATTACCTCCAGAATCACTTCTTCGCCGCTGTTAAGCACCTGGCGCTACGCATTCAAGAAGCGGGTGATTTGGATAATGAGTTGATTATCGGCTGGGAGAGCTTGAACGAGCCGAACAGGGGACTTATCGGGTGGGAGGATCTGTCGGCGATTCCCAAGGAACAGAAGTTGCAGAAAGGCACATCGCCAACTGCCTGGCAAGCCATCCTCACGGGTTCTGGAAGAGCATGCGAAATCGACACCTGGGATTTTGGCGGATTAGGACCTTACAAGTCAGGATCGGTGCTCGTGGATCCTGAAGGGCAGTCGGCCTGGCTACCTGCGGATTACGACGAAACCCACTACGGCTTTCAGCGTGATCCGGGGTGGAAGTTGGGGGAGTGCCTGTGGGCACAGCATGGAGTTTGGGACCCTGAATCAGATACCCTGCTCAAGAAGGACTATTTCTCCAAGGATCCCGAGAACGGCGAGACGATCAGCTACGAGTACTTCACGAACAAATGGTTCATGCAGTATTACAGGAGGCATAGGGACATGGTCAGGAGCGTTTTCCCCGAGACAATCATGTTCTGCCAACCACCGGTCTTGGAGATTCCACCCTCGATCAAGGGCACCGAGGACGATGACCCGAATATGGTTTTCACGCCTCATTTCTACGACGGCGTCACGCTCATGACGAAGAAGTGGAACAGGGTATGGAATGTCGATGTTTTTGGTGTTCTTCGCGGCAAATATCTGTCCCCGGTATTCGCCATCAAGATTGGAGAGACCGCCATTAGAAACTGCTTCCGAGACCAGCTGGCTGCCATCAGAGATGAAGGGTTGGACAAGATGGGACCGCGCCCTTGTGTCTTCAGCGAAATAGGAATTCCGTACGACATGGATGACAAGCACGCGTACAAGACTGGCGATTACACCAGCCAGATTCTGGCCATGGATGCAAACCATTACGCGCTAGAAGCTAGCCATGCAACTGGCTTCACTCTATGGACCTACGTGGCTACAGTAAGGTTCCCTGTTGCGCTCACTTTAAAGACATACTAATGTAAAATAGAATAACCACAGATGGGGAGACCAGTGGAACGGAGAAGACTTGTCGATCTTCTCGCTGGACGACCCGCCATTACCTACGCTGTCGTCGCCTACGTCGGATCCTGAGTCACCGTCGTACTCACGCAGCCAATCATCCGAGACAACACGCGTGTCGCCGTCAAACCTGAAGCAGACACTTGGCGAGGACGAGATGACCTCCAGTGCGCTTAGCAACAGCAGCAAGTCGGATAAACAAGGCTACCGGGCAGCTGAAGCTTATGTTCGGCCGACGCCAACGCTGACTCACGGCACGATTCTCAACTATGGGTTTGACCTGCGCAACTGCGTGTTCACGCTCTCATTGGAGGCGCCCAGCTCGTCCGGTGAGGGAGGCCCTACGGAAGTGTTCCTGCCCGAGTTCCACTTCCCGCAAGGAGACGTGTCGGTGGAAGTTAGCGGAGGAAAGTGGACGATTAGCATGGAGGACACGGCAGCAGGCCCGATCCAGATGCTGAAGTGGTGGCATGCGGAGGGCGAACAGAAGATTACGGTGACGGGCGTGAAGAGCCGGCAGGCGCTTGGCGGGGACGAGGACGGATACATCGAACAGTGCCAGCAGACGACAGGGCAAAAGTGCGTGGTGATGTGATGGTCACGAGATTCATGTATATAGTTGCAGGACAACACACGACATCGGCTATGAAGGATTGAAGTCAGCCTTATCAAGCCGCATGCATGGGACCCGCGCGGGTGGGACAGGCAGCGTGGGCAGGCAGCAGGTGACTCCGCGTTTCTGTGCGTTGGGGCGGGGCCTTGGCACTCCGGCCGCGGCGGGCAAACCATCTCGCTGCAATTGGAAACCACCGCCAGCTCTCTCTTCTGCTCACCACCATGCTCGCCGCCGCATAATCCGCGCCCCACCCCGACTCCGCTCCCGCTGCTATGACGGCCGGCCCTGCTCATATCGCCCACTGCATCCCTAGGTTTCCAGAGGAATCCACTGTCTTTCACTTGCTCTTTCCCAAGAGCACCTGAGGCCGCCGCTTCGCCGCATCGCAATCCCTGCCTCCACTGACATCGCACCACCATGGACGGCTTCGCGCAGGGCGGCAGCAACGGCCTCGACGGCCAACAGAGCCCCGCCGACTTTTCGCGCATGCTGCAAGCGCTGGAAGCCATCTTCGATCCGCGCTCGTCCAACACAACGCGCCAGGACGCCTCGGCCTACCTCGAGCAGGTGAAGCAGCACCGCGACGCCCCCGCCTACGGCTTCCAGCTTGCCCTCGACGCCTCGCACCCCGTACATCTTCGCTACTACGGCCTCACCGTGCTGGAATACTCGATCAAGTATGGCTGGGAGGACTTCAGCGACGAGCAGGCCGACGCCATGCGCGGCTGGGTCATCCAGCTTGCCGAGAGCGCTGTCCAGCAGGGGCCTATCTACGTGAGGAACAAGATCGGACAGCTGTGGGCTGAGGTGGCCAAGAGGAGCTGGGGCGCGGAGTGGATGGACATGGACGAGCAGCTGGTGCGGTTGTGGGCGACATCGCTGGAGCATCAAGGCTTGGTCTTGTACATACTCGAAACCCTCGCCGAGGACGTCTTCAACAGAGAGGATCCCGTCGCCAGTCTGCGCGGCAACGAGCTGGGCAAGGCCTGTGTCAGCATTTTCACCCCAACCGCCGTCATCCAGGAAGAGCTGCCCGGCCGCGACCCCAACCTCGACGTGCGCTTCGGCGATGAGGGTTGGGTCAAGCGCGTCTGCGACCTGCTTGACTGGTGTCTTGCCAACAATGCCGAAAATGACGAGAATGTCTGCCACATCGCCGTCAAGGCGCTGAACACCCTCCGCGCGACCATGTCGTGGTTGATTCCCAAAGCCATCGTCTCCACTGACAGTATTAACCACATCGGAAGAGCCCTTTCCATACCCGTCGTCCCGCTGCAAACGGTGAGACAGCCTGATTTTATTGAATACCACTCTTGTACTAAATCTTCTAGGCTGCCGTCGAGGCTCTTTTTGCCATCTACGCCCGCCAAAACTTCGGCGACCAGGACTTCATCGACATTATTTGCCCCATGTTCGCACCACAGATCGTTAATCTCATGGCTGAGCTTTTCCAATGGACATCCAAGGGCTTGGATGCTACCGATATAGACGAACCCAAATACACGCTATCGAAGAAGCTTTCCGAGGTAAAGCCTTTTCCGCCGGCATACCCGATGTGTATCTAACAAGCGTGCAGTTGCTTTCAAATCTGGGCAGCTTTGTGGAAGCCAAACCTACGCTCATTTCCGAGGACAGCGATATGCCTGCCTTCCTCCGGCTTCTTTACGAAGTCCTTGGACACCCTAGTCTCGTTGTTTCCATCCCCGTTCTACATGCGTGGACAAGACTGCTGCGTACTCGTTCCATCAGAGACTCTTCTGCGGTGCTACAATTAGTCCCTGCCCTACTAGAGACTTGCAGTTCTCGCCTGCTCCGCTACGAAGCCCTGCCCGAGGACTCGGACAATCCCACGTTCGTGCTCCTTAATGAGGATCTAGACACCGCGCCTGAGAGACATGCATTCCTCGGAAATTACCGTAGGTATTGCGTTGATGTCGTAGAGGTGATTGTTCGCAAGATGCCGCTGGACGCTATGCAGCACATCCTCGGCCAAGCCACCGCCTTGTTCACAAATCTCTATGACGGTCTCGCTCCATTCTCGCCGCAGACGTTTTCCAAGAACTCGCCATCGGTACTCCGGGCGGACGCCCAGATCACTGTCGTTGATGCAGCTTTGAAAGGCTACTTGAAATGGGTAAACGGCCATGGGTCTGAACCTGAAGAAGATGAGGGCAATAGAAAGATCATGCAGGATGCATTTGAGGAGTGGTGTAGAGGCGTCCTCACCATTCGCTTTGAGGATCCGGAAATCAATAGGAAGATCATCCAGCTCATGGTCACATTCGCCACCAAGGCGTTGTCCTCGAGGCCGAGCTTTGCTTTACAGTTGCTCGAATACATCCTGAACCTGCCCCTGCGCGACGAGCCTTCAGCACCACCTTATTCCGAAGCGGTCAAAGGGTTGGAGCAAGCCTGCACTGCAGAGATCCAGAGACTCGCTATTGCCTTCCCCGATCACTTCTTGTCAGTTTATGACGAACTCGAACGCAAAATCGACGACATCGTGACCAACCGTCTCATCGATGAGCGGCAACGAATGGGTTACACAGCATTCCTGTTCATCATAGTCCACCGCGCCACCACGATTGATCGCGATGTTCGGGAGGCCCGCTTGAAGCAAATGATGGACATGGTAAAGGATGGCTGGATGAACCCCGAATTAGGCGCCTCTCTATCTTCATTCCACTCGTTCTGCGAGATGCTCGGTCTTGGCGATATCACAGACTTTTTCGCGTCCCGCGGCTTCCACAGGACCTCGGACTGGGCGCAACAGCAGTTGGATGCCGAAGGCCAGGCGAAGCAAGCTGAGATCCTGGCTCGCTTCCAAAGGCTGCCACTCCGGTTGACGAAAAACCTCCTGGGTGCGTCGACTGAAAAGCTTCGCGAAAGCTCTCAGCCATATGAAATCGCGTGCGCTCTTTGGTCGGATGCCCTTCCTGCAGTGTTGCCAAATCTCCTGCAACTCGTTAGCCACGCCCAAGCCTTCATGAATATGCGTAATTGGGCGCATTTGCCCGCAGACATGCAAGTGGTTATGAAGCGCGTTCTTACAGATAGATTCTGGCAGGCGGGTATTTCAACCGAGAGTAGGGACGACTTCTTTGCGCGTGTGAGCGGATCCAAGTCATCCTACGAGGGATTTGCTTCAACGGTACGCGGCACCGTCAGGCAGATTCGCGAAGTCTGCTACTACATTCTCTACGGATTTACCAGGTTCAAGGACCACTTCTATGGCATCAGCGATCTCCCTATTCCTCTTAGTCAAGCACTGTTTGAGAACGCGCAAGCGCTCTCCGCACATCACGTTTCCGTCCTACTTAACATATCCACGCAGCTCATTGAGAACTGCCCGGTCCACCTTCGTTCTCAGTTCCTACCACCTATCGTCTCCAGTCTTTTCAAAGAACTCGATACCAAGATCAGCACCGAGTGGGATACATTAAACAGACAGATCACTCAAGCAGGCGACCAGGACAACCTCGGCGATGAAATGAAGAACGAGAGCATCCTGCGACAGCTCACGCACTCAGCCGTGATGCTGGTCTCCCTTCTCTTAGAAGATGTCCGACTGGGTACGAATACCTCACGAAGCACGCAGCTGAAACAGCAGAAGGAGCTCGCCGCGTTCAACGAACTACAAAGCGTACTGACCACGCTGACACTCTCGGCAGATACCTCTTCCTCATCCGCCAGCAGCGCAGCGACAGCCAAGGAACAGCGCATGGCAACCTTCATCCTCAGCACGCCTTCGGTCTTCGAGCCCGTCCTCATCTTCTGCCGCACCGTCATCCGCGTGCGCGACACGCGCTGCGTCACGCTCGTCTCGCGCGTGCTGCGCGGCGCGGCGCCGCACCTTAAGGAACACGGCCCGGCGCGCGGCTACCTCTGCTGCGACGTTCTGCAGGCGGCCATCACGTCGCTGCACGAACCGCCCTTCGTCGACGCGCAAAAGGACCTGGCCGCGCTCATCGCAAACATCATCCTGCTCGACGCGCCGCAGGCCCACGCCATCATCCTCTCCCTGCCCGGCCTGAGCAATCGCCCGGACAAGGTCGACCGCGCCTTCTCGCACATTCAGAGTGTCGCGAGCGAGCGCCAGCAGCGCGGCGTCGTGCTCGACCTGCTGAGCGGCGTCCGCGGCGTCAGCATCCACGAGCAGGGCAAGATCGGCAGGCCGGAGCGCCAGAAGAAGGTCCAGGTGCAGGAGCAGTACATGGCGGTCGAGCAGGGACCGGCGACGATCAAGAGGGGTGGAAGCCCGGAGTTGGGAGGGCTGGCGGATATGTTTGGTTGATGGGGGAGGGGATGTTGTTGTGTGTGGGAGGAAGATCTAAGAGAGAGGGAACCGCGAGGTGCAAAGGATGGAAAGAGTGTGGTTATTGGAAGATGACATTGTACAGATGGGTGGGTAAGGTCTGTCCAAAGGAGAGTGGTGTTGTAAGATGGAGTTCAGCTCGGTGTTTTTTTTTTTCCCCTCCCTCCTATTTGCATTTATGAGAGTGCGTGCGTAGGCGGATGAGAAGGAATTATGGCATTTTTTGCGTAAGTCTGCTCGTTCGGAGAGTGCCAGAGATTGGAGGGAGTTTCGGAGAGACTGGAAAGGAACGAGAGAGCGAGAAAAAGATGAAAAAAGATATCCCCAATGGAAAGTTCCTTTTCGAGTTAGCTTTATTATCGCATGGAGGATTCCTTTGTAAGTACAGTTCGTAGAGTAATGAGAGCGAGACTGAGTCTATAAGGGGTTGGTGCTTCTATGAAAAGAATGGTTGGGTTTCCATCTGACGTATCTGACTGAAGTGTAGATGTTTCCGAATGACATAGCCAACTGGATGGAAGATGAACTTCCCAGCGACTTCCTTGGGATACAAGAATAAGGGTAACAATCTTCGCAATCACCATTGAGACGAGTGGCTACCGCGGTTTGGATGATGTCAGGCTGATAATTTTTGAAGACAATTTACAAGAGGAAACAAAACCTCAACGAAAGAGGACCCACTCTAATGCTACCCAACACCCAGAATCAAGGGGTGCACATCGACTTCGTACTGATTTTCAGAGTATTGGAACCTTTTGTGGATCTTTGCGTTGGATGTAAATGAGTCGGCCCCAAGAGGGGATGGTTGCTTTGATAAGTCTCTCAACTTTTTGACTGCTGTTGACTACGTGCTAAACTTCAAGGGTATATTTAGAATCTCACACCAAATCAATCATCTCAAACCCTCCCGAAACTTCATCGTCCGCCCCATTGAATGCCTCTCCATGCATAATACCGTGCACATACGCCTCGCCAACCAATTTATACCTTCCCTCATGCCTCTTCTTTCCCCCATCGTCACTGCCATTATCATCTCTTCTATCCTTCTTCTCTCCATGCTTACGACCGTGCTTACTCCTCTTCCCCTTCACTCTCTTGAGAATAAACGGCACCCTCGCGCCAGCCACCAAAGCGATCTTATCTCCAGGTTTGGTATCAACGGGACCGAGACCCAAGTAGCCCTTCGCCGTCCTGAACAGAGCACGCTTCCTGTACACGCGCAGAAACGCAGACCTAAACGTCGTACCGTCGTCATACGTCACGCAATCTAGGGCGTGGTAATTACACCACCTGAATCCCCCTTCCGCGCACTTCTCCGAGAACTGCTTGCCGCGCTCCCCAATCTCCTCGACGGACGGCATGAAGAACCTACCAGCATCAGCCCCCTCAGACCCGTCAGCAGAATCCTCGGCAGTAGCGCACGGCGGCGGCGGCGGCAAGTAATCCACCCTCTGCCTCGCCTCAGTGACCAAGTTCCACACTTGGTCGTGCGCATGACACACATTACCAGTCTCGTCTTCGAGCTCGTACGCCAGCTCCCAGCCCAGGAAGTCCCTGAACGAATCACGCACGCGCTGCTGCGCGTCGGCGTCAGCCTCGTCCCACAGCTTGTCGGCCATGAGGGTGCGGCACAGCGCCTGCATGCCGCACTCGCCCGTGGGGCCGTAGTTCCCGCCTTCTGGCAGCAGCGCTAGCAGCACTTCGAGCCACGGCGGCACGTCGATGGTCAGCTTCTCGTCGCGCTGCCACAGGTCTTCCACCGCGGCCACCTCGTCCCAGTCGACGCGCGCCTTGACCCTCATCACGGCGTTGTCGTCTGGATGCGGGCCAAACTCCAGCGGCGGCGCCGTATCTGACGCGGCGGCCGAGAAGCTGCGGCGCCAGAGGCGGGTGGTAGTCAGGGGCGTGCTGAACTCCGGGGTCCAGGACGGCATGCCGGGGATGCGGGTGCGGTGGCCCATGTTGGGGATCTGGACGTACGAGAGGCCCTCGAGGGGCTCGAGGAAGTCGGCGGCGGCGCCGGTGGCCGAATGGACGATGTACATGGCGTCGTCGCCGGAGCCGCGCATGAAGAGGTGGGCAACCGAGGTGAAGAGGCGGTGGACGGGAACGGAGTAGTCGATGGTGATCTGGTCGGGTTCGGGAAGGGGTTGGGCAATGGTGAGGAGCGCGAAGATCTTGTCGCGGGGGTCTTTGGACTGGAAGGTCCAACAGAGGGAGAGGATGATGGGGAGGCTGAGGCGGCGGTGGTCAGCGCGCCAGATCATCTTGCGGGATGACGATGACTTGTCGAAGGAGCAGTGGTTGGCGAAGATGGGCTCGAGTAGTGCCCATTCGGAGGCGTTGTCGCGCGTGCGCAGACGGATCTCGGCCAGCTTCCAGGCCTCGCCGCTGTCGCCGCCGATGTTGTCCTCGCTCCGCTTGCCGTTGTCGATGCGCCAGAAGGTCGAGTTGTCGAAGTAACCCACCCGTGCCAGCAGCCCCAGGAACTTGAGCACGTCCGGCCAGCAGAACTCGTATGGCCCCGAGAACATGCGCACGCGCTTTGCCAGGCTAAGTTCCTGCACAACCCAGGTGCGCGTGAAGTAGGATCTGGTTAGCCAGTGCGACAGCTCCTCAACCTCACCGGGTGCCAGGATGCAGCCCTCAGGCAGCTCGTTCTCGCCCGGCCCCATTCCGTTCCGGAGCAGGTACTCGAGGGAATTCTGCCACTTGCGAGCCAGCTCATCTAGGTCCCCGTCCGCCTTGTTTACTCGCGAGATGGCGCGCTGCAGTCTCCAAGCGCGGTCGAGGCCGGTACCCAGCCAGACGAGCACTTCATCCGCGCGGTCGTAGATCTGGGGCATGATCTTCACCTGTGCCGCGCGCTCCTCCAGATCGTCCTGATTGATACATATCGCATCGATCCACAGCATCCTCTCCCCGCGCTCCAGCTCGTCCTCCGACTCCGTCCCACTCTCCCCATCCGAATCCGTCCCGCTATCATCATCCTCATCCCAGCTCTCGTCCCCCTCCTCGTCGTCCTCCGACCTAGACAGCCGCCGCCATTCCTCCTCCTCCTCGTCCCTCAGCCTCAGCATCTTCCGCCTGAACTTCTCATCCCACAGGAACTTCTTGACCTTCTTGTGATCCGCCCCCTTCCGGTACTGCATCGCGCACTGCAGCGGCGTACGGCCTTTCAAGTCAAACAGCCCAATCTGCGCACCCGCCCTTACCAGCTCCTTGACCACCTCGTAGTGCCCGTTCTCTGCCGCATAATGCAGCGCCGTCTCGCCCCAGCCGTCCAGCGCGCCGACGCTGGCCCCGCGCGCCAGCAGCCTCCTTACCTCAACCAAGTTCCCGTTCTCCGCGGCCTCGATGAGCGCGTAGTCGACGTCTTCCTCTTCCTCCTGCTCCTGCTCCTCTTCTCTGTCTTCGTCTTCACTGCTACTACGCTTCGCCTTCTGGTGGTTCCTATTGTCCGGCCGAAACTGCTGCAGCGCCTCGAACAAGTTCTTGCGCACGAGGAACAGGCGGCCGTCGACGGACACCGGCCACGACGTTCCGGGCCCGTAGTCGTCGCGCGTCGCGTCGCGCCCGCGCATCAGCCAGTCCGGCTCCGGCGTGTCCCATGTGTACGACAGCGCTGCATATGGCGGCAGCGCGTCGGAAGCGAGGTCATACGTCTCGAGCGAGCATTGGATGAGCGGGTATCCGCAGATGGATGGCGGTGGAATGCTTCTGCTGGCGGTGTTGGAGTGCTTGGCCGAGGCGGCGGATGATTTATGGTGCTGCGGGTGGGCCTGGAGGTAGGAAGGGCTGTTGCGGCCGATGATTTTGAGGAGGCGGATGGAGGTCGGGGTTAGGAGGGGCGCGTAGCTGAGGGGGGTGAAGTCGAAGAGGCCGGCGTGGGCGGGTGGTGGTGGCTGTTGCTGCATGCTTTTGGCAGGCGGGGTGGGATGTTGGCTCTTTCCTTTTTTTTCTCTTCCTTACTATGTAAAAACGCTTGTATGCTTGAACAAAACAAAACAAGTACTAAATGGCAAGATAACAGAAATATGTAGAAAGAAGACGCAAAAAACCTTTTTGTATGGTCGCGGGGAAGTTGCTAAGCCTCCACACGTTCTTTATAAATGCGCCATCTCGGCCCCCACCAGGACTTCGTTAGCATGAAGCATGAAATCGGCCCAGTTTGCCGGACTAGGTGAGTTTTGCCCCGCTGTCGGGCCGCAGGATGCGCTCGCCAGCATTGCTGCCTTCTGATCCTCGTCGTTCAGTGTTAACACGGGAGTTAGTCAAAAGTGATTCGTCCTGAAGGCGCCTTCTGATGCCGCGGGCGGGCTCACGTAAGCCTGCACTTTTCAATGCCCAATTGGTCAGTTCTCGCCTTGGCAAGAAACCTATTTTATACAGGTAAGTATCCTGGAATTAGTTCTTTTCTACAAGCATTCGTACCAACAGTTAGCCTAAGAGTGGCGCGGAAGGTGTGGACTTGGACAAAATCTGCTCATATCATGGGTAGTTGAAGCTATCGTCCGGACAAGAATGTAGAATTAAAATTTGTACATACACGTCCGGACAATAGCTTCAGCTACCCGCATATGTCATTTTGCTGGGAAAGGATTGAGGCATAGCTACACCTGGGGCCTTACTATTATTCATGCTAGCCGTCGGCTGCGATATCCCCCTGTATCTACGCCTTCGTTAGATTTATTTGCTGCAATTCTTCGAAATGGCGTTCTGCGAATCAAAGATTCAATTTCCCAAGACACAAGTTCATTCATGCTGAATATCATACGAGGGAGCCACTACCTACGGTTGAAGATCGGAGTCAGCAGGACGGGTATTAGCAAGTTTGCTTGAACCTGGTCACATGGAAACGGTCAATCGTATGGCGTCAGATTCTTTGGGGGCTCTGACCATGCAATTCGAATATGCCGGTAATATCCTTCTTTTTTCTGATCAATTATGGTGGTTTGACAAGTTCAATGGGGATGTTAAGAATTGGTGGTAGCAACAGCGGAACTGGGTTTCGCTGGAGAGCTGTGGCGAGCGGAATTCCAATTGGCTTGCGTCCTTTGCATAGTGTGTGAGATCCATATCAGCAATTTAGACCAGAAACTGCTTCGAGTCATTGCACAAATACATCCGTCTATCGTCTATCTGACATCACCTTTTCTCGATATATGGTAGTCCTCTTCAACTCCTCCCTAGCTAGCATCGCACCGGATAAATGTCCACGCCAAGGAGAAAGGTCTTTATCCAGTAGATTCGCCCAGGAACCACCATCATGCGGCTTGCATTGGAACCTTGTGTGCCAAGGAGATAACGTCCTGTGGTGATCGCAAGTCCACTTGTGGATCTCGTATAACGGTTCTGGAAAAGGATAAACATGCGCTATGTCGTTCGATACGTGACGATTCCCCACCTTTTATTCCTCGGCAATCCGTGCGTACCATTGGACCCCCCTTGTCCACGCGACGCGGTCTCCATTCCTCTAAATAGAGTTAAGACCGACCGGATGGTGAACACTGCCGAACACCGCGTGGCACAGCCGAACATGTTCAAATGCCGTGCATCCCCCCGTCCCGGCATTGCGGCGTGATCTACCCTCACCATTGTTACCACCCAAGATGCCGTCCCCGAGCCCAGAACGAACCCCTTCCGCCCAAGCCGAGAACATCATCGAGGTCGACGCTGATCATGAACAAGCGGATAGCACTTATGGCGACGACCAGTACGCGGTCACCACTGCGCCGCCAGCCTGACTCGCGCTGACTTTAATGTAGTGAAAGCTTTACCACCTCGCTGACCAGCAGCGTGATGGCGTACAAGTTTGAATATGGTCGTCGCTTCCACGCCTACAAGGAAGGATCGTACAGATTGTACAGAGATCCCAATCCAATTGTGATGAGCATTGGCTGATGTGCGTAGTCCCAATGATGAAGAGGAGCAGGATCGGCTCGACATGTTTCACGAGGTCTGCAAGATGTTGACCGAAGGAGTCATTGCCTTTGCACCCTTCAAAAAAGAAGGGAGAATACTTGATTTGGGCACAGGAACGGGTATCTGGGCAATTGAAGCAGGTGTGCACTCCTTCTCGATTCCCAATTGTGCTGGGATCATCTGACTTGGTGGACCCATAGGCGACGAATGGCCAGCATCAACGGTGGTACGAAAAGCAACCCCATCGTAGAAGAAACCATGCTGAAATTTGAAGCTCGGCAACGACCTCTCCCCAATCCAGCCGCGGTGGACTCCTCCAAATGTCAAGTTCGAAGTCGACGACATCGAATCCGACTGGGCCTACTCCACGCCGTTCGATTTCATCCACAGCCGCTACCTGGTCTGCTCGATTTCGGACTGGCCAAGACTAGTGCGGCAGGCCTTCAGGTATTTCCTCTTCCGGCTCCCAGGTGCACCTTGGCTGATTGCCCTAGCAATCTAAAACCCGGCGGTTACGCGGAATTCCAAGACTGGAACATCGTCCCGACATCCGATGACGGTTCTGCAACTGAAGACAACAAAATCATCCAGCTCCAAAAATTGGTCGTTGAGGCGACGCAGAAAATCGGCAAAGAACCCGTCCCCGGCCCCAAGTTAAAGAATTGGATGGAGGAGGCCGGCTACGTCAACGTCACGGAAAGAGTGTTCAAGATGCCGCTGGGAATGTGGCCGAAGGACCAGAGATTGAAGAAAACGGGGGCTTGTTCTCTGATGAGTTATCTGGACGGTTTGGAGGCAATGACGTATGGTCTCCTTCCGACCGTGTTGGGGTGGAAGATTGAGGAGGTTCAAGTGCTCTTGGCTGAGGTCAGGAAAGAAGCGAGGAGGAAGGATGTTCACATGTACTACGATTGGTAAGGAGCCAACTCGTTGGTACCGGGGCCTGCGCTAACAGAGTGGACAGTCATTTCGTTTACGGTCAGAAGCCCGAGGAATAAGGTTAAGTGAGTACGGCAATCACAGTCAAATACCAAACAGGGCACGATCGGCAACCATTTTACAAGGAAGTGACCATGTGAAAACACATACCCAACCCGAGGAGCATGCCAGAAGGCAATTTTTACCGATAACCCACTGCGCTGCGTTTGCTACTATCTCTTTGATGCCCTATTAGGGTTAGTGTAGTCAGCCTCATCCAGGCCAGCGAAGTCTGCCAGACGCCAAGACACAGAGCTCCCGACCCTGTACATCTCAAATAATACAAAGCTACTACAAAAAGGGTTCGATGCTCCCTGTATCATCCTGCCAAGAGACGAACCCGGAAAAATCACATTCCCTGCAACCACGAAAGACCAAAACCTCACTACCGAGACAACACGGCATGTATCGCAGCATTCTCCGATCGGCAGGTTTCTTCACCCACTCCCTCGATAGCATCCAGATATCCGTCCACCCCATTCTTCACAATGAGAAACGAAAGGCATGAAAAGAAAGCATAATAAGTTTCTCGATTCTTGTATACGTTCCTGTATACGCCTACTAACAACGGATAAAAAGCACGTTCCAGACTAATAAACGCCGTGAAAGCCTCTTTCTTCCCATCAGTTTAGAACCCCCAGTCTCTTTTGAATTCTCTCTTATACTGAACACAGAATTGCATGCGCGTGGGACCACGCTAACGCTCCAACTTACACGCCGATATTCCATTTGTCCTGTTTTTCATGCAAAAGTAATCATCTCAATGGGCCGTCCGTCCATTCCGCATTCCCGTATCCTGATCACCCTCTCACGAGGTGTAGAAAGGAGATTTTTCAACTGCATCACGGATTCTCTCGGTCAATCCGTTCCAACCTCGTTTCGTTCTCCAAATCAAGCCTTCGGCGGCCAAGGTCCTGCATCCGGTCGCCTGAACGGATGCGCCTCGGTATTAAGCACCCACTCGTCGAGACTGACCACGTCCTCGTCGGCGAAAAGCAGCCAGAAGTACTTCAGCGTCTCCGCAAGCCAAAAGCTCTCCATCTCATCTTTCAGGGTCGGAGCGGACTTGGTGATGTCGTCGATGGCCGAGTAACCGAACTCAGCCCGGCAGTACGTCTGGATGGCCGTGAACATGTTCCATCCGGCCTCGCGCCAGTAACGGTCGCCTGTGATACGGTACATGTACCAGACGGACTCGATAGCCTCGGGTCTGTTGGGAGATATTTCCGTCAGTGGTCTTGCAACTCTGGTAGCAATTGAGCAGAACTTACCTCAAGATGTAATGCCTCGACTCCACCCTCGTGAAGCCCGTAGGCAACCTCTCCTCCTTAATACGTCTGTCAACATACGCCTCGTGGGTGAGCGGCTTCTGTGGCTTCCAAATGTGCGAGATGGCCGGATCATTCATGTCCTCCGCGTCATCCTTCAGCACATCAGCGGCCGGCTCGTGGGCGTCGCTGTACGTCGTCCTGGTCGGTTTGTTGACATCGTTCTCTACTCCACCTAGTTGCCTGCGGTCCCAACGGTTGACGGGACCAGCATTCGGAATAGCATTGGTAGGTATGGCCTCAGCGTCGGCGGCAGCGGTCGCGATGCCAAACTCGGGGAGGGCCGTGGAGGTTGCGGTGGCCTTGGCGCGGGCGATGGCGACCTGCGAGCTGTAGTGCTTGAGCTGGCGCTGGTACGTCTCCTGCCTGCTATCTGCGTTCGGGTCGAGCTCCTCGTGCCACCTGGTCTGGTTCCACTCGCAACCGGTGAGGTCATCGCAGGGGGTTAGGAGGAAAGACTCGGGCATGATGCCTGTGGCAGTGACGTTATAGGCCCACACGCATCCCTCGGTCAGCTCAGCACCAATCTTTACGTCCTCCGTGCGCTTGAAGATCTTCGCACCGTAGGCGAACATGCCGCCGGCAAAGCAGGTCAAGTGGGTTCCCTCGTGCTTAAGCCTCTTCACGGCCTTTCTGCTCTTCTTGTCAGGAGGAGTAACGCTCAGGGTGCCGGAGAAGAGCATGTCAGGGGAGCCATCAGGCAGCATGGGCCTGTAAAGGAGGTCGGACTTCACTGCGTCTGCAGACTTCTCGTACAATTCCTGATATTCCGGAGCGAGGCCACCAAGAAGAAGATATTCCTTGGGGAAATATTCGTACATCGAGTCAGACATTCCGCCAAGGGTAAACTGTTGAGATCCGTGAATGCTAGCAGGCGCCAGACCCTGGGGTGCACAGTCCGCCAGCGTTGCCGTCGGCTTGGTCTTGGTGGTGAAAGTTGCATCCTTCTCAACGGAAGAAGACGCCTTTTCTGTGCGAACCTCATCCTCAGCCTCATCGATAGCCGCCTTGGAGAGGGAGAGCGGGTCGTCCAGCTGACGCTTGACCAAGTCGTCCGAGATATCATCATGGTCGTCATCTGGAACCGGGTTCTTGCCACCGAATCTTTCCGGGTTGTTCTTGTTGACGTGGCTTTCCGCGATCAATTTCTCCTCGGCCTTCAAGGGCGGGTGGGCCGACTTGGCGGGTTCTCCTAGCTCGGGCTGCTCCGGCCTCTTGCAACCGGAAGCGTCAACATGAACTGGCCACATTCCAGGCAGGAGGGTGTCCTGCCACTCCATGAATGCATTGGTGATGCGGGCAATGGCGTCGTAGTACTTCGGCTCCTTGGTGAGCTGGGCAAGCCTAGTGAATTCGACGGAAAGGGAGCCGATCTCCGCAAGGACGACGCGCGTGCCAGCACGGTGCGGTTGTGACGCGTATGTGCTGCCATCAATTCAGTATTTGTTGCAGAAAAATGTTAGAAGCGATTATGACGAGGTAAACTTACGGCATCCAATAGTAGAAAGTCATGGGCATGCGGTTCGGCGTATCAAACGCACCCATCAAAACTTCGGCCAGCTCCACAGCCTTGTCCAGCAAGATCCTGTGCTTCAATCCGCTGATGTCGTAGGCTGCGATCAGACCGCCCAGGTACCTAATAACCGTTTCGAACAGCGGGATATCCTTGCGGAATGTCGTGGTGAAGTCGATCTCCGCCACAGCCGCAACCGCCTCTTCGAACTCGTCCTCCATGCCCATGATGTATAGCGTATCCAGCGCATCCACCAGCGTGGCGCCCCAACCGGCAAAAGGGTTGCGGCTGCCGTTGGAGACGGGCGACAGCTCATCTTTCATCCATGCGTACTTGCGGTATCCGTTCCACGAGAAGGTCATGGCCTCCTTGATAGCCATAAGCTGAGCCTTGCGCTCCTTTACCTCGGCTGAGGACTCCTTCGGGAAGGTGGCCTGGATCTTGGGGACCGGTTTGGGCGAGCCTGCGGGCAGCTGGATCGTTGACGTCACAGGGAAGTGTTCCTCCAACTTGTGCCAGTGAATCGCTTTCTCCTCATCTTCTATTTCCTTGCGGCCCTCGCCGCCCTCATGCGGCACCACAACCTGCGGCTCGTGCGGACTGGTCGGGGTATCGCCATCGAGGTAGAACGAGTCCTCGTCCTCAAACGCCGGTGGCGGCTTGCCCTGCACAGGCTTGCTGGGCTGGGGCAGGGCGGGCGGCTCCTGCTGGTCCTCGGGCTTCTCAGCCTGCGGTACCTCGACATCAGGCACCTCGTCCTTGTCCTCGGTGGCGATGGGGCTGCCGTAGTTGTTGCTCTTGGGCGGAGCGAGAGCGTCGGGTATGTCGTCGGCGGCGGGCACGGAGCCGTGAGAGCTCGAGCTGGAGCTACCAGCTCCCGACAGGCTGGACCCCAAGCTGCTCGAGGTCCATGTTTCAGAGCCGGCAAACTGCCAGAGCACCAGCACCGTCAGGACGGCGAAGACGACGAAGGCGCGGTAGCGGCGGTAGCGCAACATGGTTGCGAAAGGGGTGTCGGCGCGGTCGCGGTCGAGGTCGCAGTTGCACTTGCGGCGGCGCGACGGTCGCTCGCTACGTGCGGCTGGCGGGCGGCGACGCGGGGAAGCAGGGGCTGGGCGCGGTCGGCGGAGAGTGTCGCGTGCTCAAGGAACAGCAACAACGCAGGGGCAGCATGGACGTCCCGGGCTGCTGAGGATGTAGGAGCTGCGTCGCGAGGGGCGCAGGCTCTGGTTTATGAGTGTTTCGTGATACCGCCGTGCAGTTAAGCTCACTCCCCAGAGCCAGCGCGCTGCCAAGCCAGTGCGCCCGCTTGGCCGTCCACCGCTCGCAGCCCAGGTGGGTGCCGTTTCGAGTCGGCCCACCTGCCCAACAGAGTCCAATTTTACCACCCTGCCCGTGTTTCGAGCCCGTCGCATGCCCCCATTGGCGCCGCCCTTGCAGCCAAGCCATTCTCCTCGCATTCTTGCTCGCCACCACGCTTTGCATAGGGAGCAAAGTGCCGCACTGCCGAGTTTTTAATTGCCAACGGGGCCCGCATCTGTCATGCGTGGGCGCCACCAGCCCACGTTCTTTTTTAAACTCTATAAGCTTTTGAGGCCACCTATGTTACATGTGCAAACATTCCGCCGTCAATGCCATTATCCGCAATTCCATCTTTCCAATTGCTGAATTGATCGTGCCTCATGACCCTCTCGCTTACTGGTTGTCCGCCGCCGGATCCGGTGCGCGGCCCATTTGCCGTGCCTTGAGCATCTCGTCGCAGAGCAGCAGATTCGAAGCGATGCCCGTGCTGGATGCGATGCAGTTGCGGAGAACGCGGAACGAGTCGTACACGCCGGCCTGCACCGGATCCATCGCCTCGCCCGAGTTCAGGTCCAAGCCCACAATGTTGCCCTCCGCGTGCTCGTCCTGCAATTCGGCCACTGTTGTTTCATGTTAGAATCTCCCACACTGCACATTACACAGCTTCCACTTACGGGCATCCTGGATGTCGTGGCCGGAGTTCGCAGCCAGCGTCTTGGGAATGATAAGGAGCGCGTCCGCGAACGCCTCCACGCCGTAACGCGCCTTGCCCTTGATCTGCTTCCTGAACGCATCGCTCTTAAGGTGTGCAGCGCACGCGACCTGGAAGGCACCACCGCCGGGGACGACGCTCTTGTCCACAATCATGTTGTACACACTCCTCAGACCGTCGCGGACGGCATCCTTGATCTGCGTGATAGTGTGTGCGTTGGGGCCCTTGATCAAAAGGGTGACCGACTTAGGGTCCTTGACGTCCTCCTATCGCAAAGGTTAGCATCCGCGCGTGCCAAGTGCCGCATGATACGCACCACAAAAGTGTACTTCTCCTCGCCCAGCTGGTGCTCGTAGACCTTGCCAGCCCAGCCAAGGACCTCGGGGGTGAGGTCGTCCACGCTGTTCATAGAAGTACCGCCGCAGATCAGCTGTAACCGCTCCATGTTCCTCCTCTTGGCCCTGCGCAGGGCAAGGATGCCGTTCTTGACCAACACATCCAGACTCATGGGGTCAATGCCCTTCTGGTTTATTATCACAAAGTTCTTCTTCGGGTCGTCGCCGCAGACCTCCTTCTTCAGCTCGACGATCTTCCTCAGCTTCTCATCCACGAACCGCCTCTCGCTCTCCACGAGCTTGTCACGCTGCTCTGCGCTCGAGTAGAAGAAGCCTGAGTTGATTTCCGACTTCTCGTATTCCAGGCTGACATTGAGAGTCAGGATGTAGGCATTCTCGACGTACTTGGGCATGTCGGGATGGCGGGCGCCGTGGTCCAGAGCCAGACCCCTGATCAGCTGGGTATCGGCGGCAGTGCGGTGCTGCATGGTCATGATCTCAACCATGTGCAAGTCAGGCTTCGCGGGAGCGTTGTAGATGGCGAGGACAGCATCGACGATGTCGGGCGTCAGCTGCTCGGCGAGCGTGTTGTTCAACTTGGTGGAGAGCGAGGTACGGGCCACGGAGAGGAGCAGCTCGCGGTCAACCTCCTTGGACAACTTGAATTCGTCCAGGAACTTCAGGGCCTCCGTCTTTGCCATCTCATAGCCATCCGTAATCACGCGGGGATGCAGACCCTCGGAGATGTACCTGTCTGCCTGCTTGAGCAGCTCGCCAACCATCAAAACCACGGAAGTTGTGCCGTCGCCGGTGATGTCGTCCTGGGCGGTGGCAGCGCGGGCAATCATAACGGCGGTGGGGTTCTGAATCTGCATCTCGCGGAGAAGGACGCTGCCATCCTTGGTAAGCTTAATGGCACCGGCGCCATCAACCAGCCTGCCTGTGTCAGTCTTGCTTGTCAAATAAGGCGTCGTTGCACAGCTCACATCTTCAAGGTGCCGCGGGGACCCAGGTTGGACGAAAGGACCTGTCAAAGTTCAGCACTCGGCGTGTCATTTGAATGTTTTGGGGAAGTCATACCTGCTGCAGACCCTCTCCGGCAGCAATGTTGACCTTCAAGGCCTCGCCGCGTCTCTGGAGCTCCTATTAGCATGATGTGTACCAGAACGGGGGGCTAGGCGTACCCGCGACTCGGCCTTTGGGTTGAGAAGCTGTGCGGCCGACATTTTGTGTTGGGACCGCGAATCTGGGATCGGACAGTGGGGAGATGGCAGAGAGGAGCTCTTGCCGGGAGATTCAGGCGACGTGGGGCAGCACGGGGGAGCTGGGAGTCGGCCTGCACGCGCAGAAAAGCGGCGGACGCGATTTCTGGAAGCTGCGACCAGTTTATCCGCTCCGGGACTCCTGCTCTTGGCGCGCCCCGCCAGCCCTAAGTCCGCCCTGCACGGGCCGCCGCTGCCCCTCGAGCCGGTCGGCTGCTGCCGTCATCGCCGCCATCGCCGCGTGCTCACTCGTCGCCGCTCGCTGAGAACAGCGACTCTCTCCACTCCTCTTCTGCTGGTAACATTAGCTGATTGAATTCCATTACACGCCTCGAATACACCACCTAGCATCAATCTATTACTCGTACCTGAACTTTATCACCTCTCTTCGCACTACTCAGGCAGCTTGCACAGCTCCGCACCCCGCCGAGCTCCTCCACGATCTCCTGATTTCCAGGGTCCAAGACATACTTTCCGTTTCCGCCCGTCTCTATCCGCCGTCGCGATGAGAATACGCGTCCGCGGCCCGTCGGGCGTCACCACCATCACCCTGGAGGAGCATGCAACGGTCGCCGAACTGCAGTCGACTATCGCCGAGAAGAGCGGGGTCCCCGTCTTCGACCTCAAATACGGATACCCGCCGCAGCCGCTTGATATTTCACAATTCGACCCTGTCATCGCCCTCAGCGACACTGGTCTGAAGCTGAACGGCGAGCAGCTCGTCGTCGTGCCGCGCGATGTGGGAGGGCAGCTGGCGCACCCCATGGCCGACTCCACGCCTGGCCCTGTCGCTGCTCTACCGGGATCGCAGCAGGCCAGAGAGAACCAAGAGAGTGGGCTCCAGAAGCCTCTTTCGCTCTCCAGGAATGCGAGAGATGTCGAGTCAGACCCGCCAGAGGTCGCGGTTCCTGAGGCCGACGGTACTTTGATCTTGCGCGTCATGCCTGATGACAACAGCTGTCTATTCAGAGCCGTGGGAAGCGCCGTTTTGGGAGAGGGGATTGATGCCATGCGCGAGCTACGAGGGATTGTGGCCTCAGCTGTTCAGAACAACCCTATCGATTACAACGAGGCCGTTTTGCAGAAGTCCCCCGACGACTACTGTCGATGGATTCAGCGAGATGACAGTTGGGGTGGAGAAATCGAATTGAACATTCTGAGCCAGCATTTTGGTATTGAGATCTGCAGCATCGATGTGCAGAGCCTGCATGTCTACCGTTATAATGAGGGGAAGCCGAAGCGCTGTATTCTGGTGTACTCCGGTATTCACTACGATACCATTGCGCTCAACCCATCGTCACCTCCCCATACCAAGGCCGACATGCCTCCAGAAGTCGATATCAAGCAATTCGATTCCATCGATGATGTTATTTTGACCAAGGCGTTGGAACTGTGCCAAATTCTGCAGAATCGGCATTATTTCACGGACACGGCAGGCTTCGCAATCAGGTGCCAGGATTGCGGATGGACAGGCAACGGCGAGTCGAGTGCTCTGGAACACGCTAAGAAAACGGGCCACTCGAATTTTGGGGAAGCCGAGTGAAGCTGGAACAAGCGGCTTGTGTTTCCTTGGTACGTGTGTATCAACTGTTAATAGCGCACTAATAGATATCCCTTATTCTGCCTTGGTAGTGTCACCTGACAGCCTTAGCTCAATCACTATGACAGTGTCAGAGGCGACAGACTAGGTAATATGTACCAAAACTCTTACCAAAGGCTGTCTGAATCGTTCCTTGTGTCTAAACACTGAGTGTAGATTTTCTAATCTTTTCGATCAGCTCACGACGAGTACAGCGCCTCCATCCTCATAGTCACATATTGCTCCGCCGTCACAGCCTCATACTTTTTCGGATTTGCCCCCTCATCCCAGCACCCTGGCAGCGCCTCGATGACAGCATCGTCATTCGGCGCGCTGAAAAACGGGATCGAATACCTCGCTTTACACATCTCTTCCCTCCCACCAGCACCCTCTACCACCGCTCCAGCCTCCCGCAACCGCTCCACGGGTGGCGCTCCAACCCGATGCACCGTACTACGCCACCTCCCGTTGCTCCAGCGCTCTAAAAGATCGCCCACATTAACCAGCAACGTTCCCTCGACCGGCGGCGCGGGGCGGAACGAGCCTTGCTGGTGCGGATCTTCAACCTCGAGCCCGCCAACAGCGTCCTGGAACAGAATGGTCAACGAGCCAAAGTCCGAGTGGGCGCCGATGCGGGATGCCGTCGCCTTTCCCTCCCCGTCCTCCTCCCCCTGACTTCCGGCCAGCGCCCTCAGCGGCACCGGCGGGTAGTGCAGCAGGCGCAGCTGGAACGGCGAGCGCGAATGCGCGGCGGAGAGATAGTCCTCGGTGGGCAGTGAGAGCGATAGGGCCAGGGCGCGCAGCAGCGTGTGAATCATGCCGTCGCAGTCGATGAAGAAGCTCTCCATGAAGGCGCGGAAGCCCGGCAGCTTGTCGTCCGGCAGCCAGATGTTGGGCTGGCGCGTGTCCGTCACGTTGCCCGTCTCGTAGCTCTCCTTGACGTCGGGCACCTGCCGGAGCGCCGAGATGGTCTCCTCGTCGAAGACGTGCTGCGAGACCTTTTCGATGCCAAGGCCCGAGTAGCCGCGGTGGTGCGAGCCGCCGGGCGGGTGTGGGGCGAGGTTTTTGGTGCTGGTCGGGAGGTCGAAGAATTTTTTGGACTTGGGGATATTTTGTTAGTTCTAGTGCTATGGATTACTATTGAGTGAATTGTGACAGCAAAGCTAAGATGCTGGTATGTATAGGGGATGAAGCAGTCGAGAATAACTCACCCATGCGAACGCCTCATCCACTCGCTCCTGCGGCACACCGTGGTTCTTGAGATAGACGAAACCCACCGTCGACAGCGCGTTGTCGAGTTGCTTGGCCACGGCCCGCTTCGCGTCCCCATCGCCCGTGTAGAAAGGTCCAAAGTCGACAATTGGAACTGGCGTGTTGCCGACGCCACTGTCGCGGGAGCCCATCCTCTTCACTTACGAGCGTCTATCCAGAGAGAAGAAAAGTTCACGATGTGGAGCTAGCACGAGAAGCTGTGTATCGGATGTGGCTGGTGTTGGCGGTACCTTCCTGACGTATGTTAGTAGAGTGCGGGGGCGGGGTAGATAAGGGTGGCGCAACTGACGTTGGGAACCTCGGGGCCTTAATTACTGTCACTCGGGAAGGAGACACTAGTAGCAGTGGTAAAGAAGGAGGATTTCGCTGGTTGGCGAGGTTTATATATGAGGCTAGCACACAATGCCAGTGATGCCAGTGATCGGCGTATGTCAGCAGCTAATGACTTCTGGTCTCAAGTTGGCGCTTACGGTCTCCGTGTCAGCCGCGGAGACATCGGGATAGAGCTTAGGTCTCATGCAGTGTTATTATGTAAGGCTTGCCCAAAAGAGAAAAAAAAACACATTGTAGTGTTGATATTTAGGGCGTTGCGATGTTGTTTTGTAGATAGAGTGGTTTCACGTTTGCATTTGACCTCTCGAAAGGCTGATTTATAGTTTAGATCAAGAACCAACCGATTTTGTTTCCAGTTACAGCCCTATGGAAGCGTGCCAACTCCAAATGTGGTTTCTGTTCGTCCTACGACCGGACCCACTTCCAGACGTGCCTTCATATGAAACACATCCATTCAACCAAGTCGAACATCCCGTTTCTCCATGCTCAAATCGCGCAGAATGTGCCTTTTCCGCAACACATTGCCAGAGTCCTCGAGCAAAACGTCCGACAAAGTCCATAAACGATGGAGTCAGAGCTCGATATATCCAACGCGTTCGGCGTGATCATCCAGTTCCTTGACGAATATGATCCATGTTTTGCCGCGCCAATCTCTCACTCGAGTCTTCCTACCATCCAAGACTATGCCTACATAGACTTCCTTCTGAAGTTTCTCTAGTAGGTCCTCAATAACAGAGTCCTCCGGAGGTTGAAAAGCAGCATCGTCCTCAAGTTCGAGAAAGAACGCTTCGGCCACGAACCTCTCTCCGCTCGTGGTACGGCTGATCGCAAAGGATCTAGGCTTCTAAGGCTCTGCCAAATCTCTAGAGCATTCGAGGTTTCTTTTCGGGCGGCGCTCCAAGGCCACCGGCATGCTCCAAGCGTTTCGGAGACGAATGAAGCGTGATATTGATGTGGGTTGGTCTTTTGAAACCGACATAGTCTCAAACTCAGACCAGAGGAATGGATCTACGATGCGTGCTTTATTGTAAGTCCCGTATTTTTGAACAATACTAACTGAGGAGCTAAGGGGCTAACCTTTCTCTACCGTAGCCCGTGCACGGCTTGCAATATCTTTGCGACAACTGCGATCAGACTGGCTTCTACTATAAGTGCAATGCACTCAGAGAGGCGCTGCCCCCTAGGCACAGTTGTATCGTCTCTAGTGAAGAGTACAAAGAAACAGCGGATTCGCAATCAGAAGCCAGTGTTGCGGGAGCTGAAAGTGATGAGGACGTGGAAAGCGGTGGGTAACTCGAAAGTGGCCGCAGCGGTGAAAACTCGAGTCATGACAACTGAAAGAATCAACGAGGAAAAACAGACAGGTATCATGGTTGAGACAGATTCACAATTTGGTATTTTAGCGGATTGTGGCAGCTACCTTCACTAAAGTGAAAATGACAGTGGCATGATTTCTTGCAATTGCAAACGCAAGTCAATCCCGATTCCCCACAGTTCATGACCCTTTGTCTTCCACGTCGAACACTATCGCCTCACTTTTTGAGTTCCTTCACTATGGCATTGGCACCAACGATTGCAAAGCCAATGGCAGTGAGTGTCGGGTTGGAAGCAGTCTGAGTGGGGATGACGCTGCAGCCTCCCAGGAAGAGGTTTCCGTGACCCCAGACGCGCGACTCACGATCAACCACCGAGTCCTTGACCGAGGTGCCAGCGCGGGTCGTGCCCTTTAATTCAAAATTTCGTAAGCTAAGAATTGGTGGGAGGATAGAGAGAGATAAATAACAATGAGGAAGCGGGGGAGATCGCCGACTTACACAGATATGCAAGGCAGATCCAGGTGGGAGATACCTGGGCTCGGAGCCAGGGAGCCAGCCACCCAAGTTTGAAGCAACATCGACCATACTTTTTTTCTTGTTAGCACAAGCTTCTCTTCAGTATACTGGGTCAAGTTTAGGAGAGGCTCACTCGTTCATCATCCGATCAGCAATCTCCGCGTCCTTTTTGGGAATTTGGTAGTGAAAGGTGGGTTGCGGCATTCCATAGCCATCCTTGATCGTCTTGGAGAAGTCGACGTAGTTCTCATAGACGGGCTTCACAGCGCTGTAGAAGCGGAAGTCTACCACCAGTCTCTGATCGATCTCGGCGGGCGTCTGGCCGTAGTAGAAGGCATCCCTATGGATCTGTGGTCGTGAATGTTGAGCACAGTAATTTCCCCTAATTTCATTGTATCATATATGTAGGTATCTTACCTGAGCATGCCATGGGCGATCCTCTGTGACTGGCATCCAGACCTATTCGGGTTAGCGATAGCCCTGAATGGTCAGTTGGAAAACCTACCTGCGGGTCAGGATCGTTGAAGGGTAAAGGCACGGGGTCTTCGGGCCAGTTTTGCTCGTGTCTCATGACAGTTTTGCTCCAACCCAATTGCCACGAGTCATCTTTGATTGCCTCAACCAGATTACGATCAAGCACAACTTGGCAGAAGGACATGACTGGCTCCGTAAGGTAGTGGCCCTTTTTCGTTGCTTAGAAGAGTCACAGTGGAGGATATGTTTAGTCCCACTTACCAGTGCTGGGAGAGAGTACTCTTCGGCCGTGAATCCAGAGTTGAACAGAATGCCGGGAGTGAGGGTGGCACCCGCACAGACGACATAGCGCTTTGCCTGGACGAAGATGTGTTCGTCCGCCAACAGGTCCTTTACCAGTGCTCCCTTGATTTTTCCGGTTACTTCATCAACAACCAATTTCTCACACTGGTGCGAGGATAAGAGCGTGAAGAGATCATTCTCAGAGGACGTAATATCGCCGAAGATGGTGGCGGAGCTAGACCACTCGACGTAGTCCGTATTGCCCGTCTTTCTGCGCTCGCAAGCTAGCGGCAGTGGCTGGAACTTCCTGTCTTCGCCCTTGTACGCGCCCTGAAGAACCTTCAGGACGAGCTGCTGTCGGATTGAGTTGTCGAACGACGTGTTGTTGGTCTTCACAAGGGTCTTTGCTTCGGCATAGAGCTTCTTCCATTCCTCGTCGCTGAACAGATCGGACCGTTCAAGCTCTGGGTGCTGCTCCGGAGTGCAACAGGTCCAGTGCGCGCCCATGCCACCGACGGTTCGGGTGGCCGCAGCTACGGGGAGATTGTCGAAGGCATCTTGGTCTGGATTCTGACCGTTGCGAATGTTCCTGTTCCTAGTAAACTGTCAGTTAAGTGTGCCCACGAATAGAATTCAAACACTTACGTTGACCAGGATGTCGAGTCCAGATCTGATTGAGGAGCCTTGTCAACCGGAATAGAGAGCAACTCCAAGTCTCCCTATTTTTCTTTCAGATAGAGTTATTGAGAATGTGAAGAAAAACCTACTTGAACAATGCTTTAGGTTTGAGTCAGCGCGCGCGTGTGAATAATTTGATGTGAGAGAGTATACTTACTCGATGAACTTGTTGAGATCCTTCTGCGCCTGAACACTATTCTTTTTGTGATCACCAGGAATGGGGCGCTCTCTTGGATACTGGGTTAGATGAATTGCGTATTCCATCAGGCTATGGAAGCTTACTGATCTCCCATCTCAACCATGAGAACCTTGATACCGGCATCAACAAGCTTCCGTGCGTATGTAGCCCCGACAGGACCTGAACCAACGATGAGCACGTCGGAACGGAGGGACCGGTCGTATGATTCAACAGATTCAGGAAGAGACCCCATTTTCTTTTCTTGTTCGATAGGTTGTTCGTCAAAGATTCTTGAGAGTAGATTGGGTTGATAGAAACGATTAGCACAGGTCTGGACGCAAGTACTTTATACCTTGAGCCCCAGGCCATTTCAGATCGATTCGGCATTTCCGTTGCGTGCATTTTCCATTTCGGGCTCAGAAGAGCTCAATGAGGGGTCATTTTTGTGTGACCTGTACCAAGGGACCCTTGCCGTTCCCGGGCCGAAACCGTGACGTCGACTGGACCATTTGAAGCGAACGATTGGTAGAAACGTAGTGCTGAAACTTTATTTCTCGGAATACCGGGTTCTTCCATACAGATGAGTTATAACTGTACATGACGCGGTGTTGCTTTTGGTGGTCTGATATTACATACTCTCTCGGCGAGTGACTTGTGTACAACACCAGTTGCATACACGGCGGAGTGCAAGGGCTGCATCAGCGAATTATATGAGCTCATTCGATGAAGCTCGCTGCGTTGATCTCGGTGTAACATACTATCGTGATAAGGTACATCTCAGTGCAACACACTTTCGCGATAAGAGTGCAGCATGCAAAGGAACTATTGGTACACATAAACCTTGGTACTTGAGGGGTACTCTAACAAGCAGCCTTACACCGCATCTTTACGGAAGCCGGAACCCGATATCCATTCTGTGTCGCTCGAGGTTGAATTTAACATGGGTGGTCTCAATCTGCACAATGACCGAATCGGACATACTCCGTCAGAGGTAGATGGATGTAGTACGAGACAGAAAGGACAGCGCGCAACTTCAAAACAAAACGATCTCTGCAAAGTATACCTGCGCGTGTGGGGAGGCGGTGAGGGAGAGGCATTCAGGTGTGACGGGACCTTTGTCTTGGATTTTTACCATTAGCACCAAAGACGAGGATGCTATGGTAATTGGCCGAACTTCCCGATTGTAGACAAAGCTCTCGGCTATTGAGGATCAGTCCCTATCAAATATTTGAGAGACTTCAGTTCCACTCACGTTGAACTCCATTACCTGGTTGAAGTTGTACGCTCTTGGACATGTCGGCTCTCTGTCCGGGCAAGCTTCAAAAGAAGTGTGTTAAAGTGCATGAGGATGAGATCCAAAGCAATATAGAAATGACACGTGAAGGAGAATCTGGAGAGTCAAGGTGAGACCACTGAAATCACGTTACAATCTGGCGTTCCCAAGTTTTCAAGCCTTTTGATAGACGTAGAGAATTTCTGGTGGAACATGGACCTTTTACCAATTAATCCCTTATACCACACCCCGACCAGCACGAATACTCTTAGCCAACTCTGATTGCGCGATATTGTCCGCATAGCGCTTATAGAGTGGCTTGTAGTATTCAGGCTCGCTCGTAGTCTCCTTGATGCTCTTCCTATTCTCGATAGCCTCCGCAAACTTGCGCCACCTCTTCCAAACCTCATCGTCCCCCTTCTCCCCTTCCTTCGGGATACCAGAGCCACCCTTGAACTCATCAAAGACCCATGTACGGATCTGTGACACCGTTGATCAGTTTCCTTTCCCAAAAACCACAACGCAACGCAAGGATCCGCAAGCAAGCAAGTAACTCACCACCCACGGCGCGAAGCTGAAGTCAATCGCACCAGGCTCCTTCCCCGCAAAGAACGGGCCCTCCGGATCAGCCTCCTTGATCCACTCCCTCAAGTGACCCAAGAACTCGCTCTTCACCTTCTCGAACCCCTCCCTGCCGCCCTCCTCAATCTGAAACTGCAAGAAGCGATGGTAAGCCGGGATGATGCGGCTGGTCACGTAATCGATCCAGATGCGCTGGCGAGCCTTCTCGTAGGGATCCTTGGGGTACAGCGGCACGGATCCGTGGTCCGGGTAGGCCTCTTCGAGGAAGTCGACGACGACGGTCGACTCGTAGAGCGGCTTGCCGTCGTACTCGAGCGTCGGCACCAGGCCGCGCGGGTTGAGCTTGAGCAGCGAGTCCGGCTTGTGGTACGGGTTCACCTCGATGTACTGGTACGGGATGCGCTTCTCTTCGAGCACGAGCCAGACACGCTGCACGAAGGGGCAGAACCAGCCCGCGTAGAGCGTGAGCGGAGCGGGGGATTGGTGGGCTGAGGGATAGGAGTAGTGTGTCAGATGTGGACAGTAGATTTAAATTGTAGCAGTGTGGGCAATTGGAATCTTGATGGATCGTTGGGTGGGATATTGGTGGTTCCTGCGAGGATACTCACCTTTCACGGTGTCGATGGCCTGGCCAGTGGCCTCCGGGTAGATGTCAGCGTCGGGTGGCGCCATTGTGGGAAGTATGTGAGCAAAATCTTCGAGTGGCGCAGGAGTGAATCGCGGAACTGAGCCTGTTGAAACCTGGATTTCAAGATGCTTAGCTACTTATACTTAAGCCAGTTGTTAGAACCAGATTGATAAGCGAAGTCGTGAAGTGATGGCCGTGAAATATGACGCAAGCGGGGTAATCAGATATGACAAATTACCCCGCACCACCTTAAATGACGAACCACTCTTTGAATCTCTTCGTGGACATATCACCAGATATACCCCAAAGGAATGCATCGCAGGATTCCAATAATCGTCACTTGCTGACTCTTGCAAGTTCAAAAGTGCTTGGCGAGGTGAGCATTTCAGACTTCATGCAGGCATATGAGTTGATGGCGGCTTACTTCTGTCAGAATTTCCCCTCTTTCGTGTTGGATTGCTTGAAGAGTAAACAGTGTAGGCATTCACGGACCAGCCCGAACCTTGCAAGAGTCCATTCGAAATCAGATGAGTCTCCTCAACCGACGCCCAGCGGATAAAGCATTAACCTGTCACCTGACATTTGCCGTACTAAATTTGTTGAGCAAACCTTTCTTGGAGTTTGTGGGATGGTTTATCAGGACACAAAAGAGATATGCAGTGATAGAAGATCACTCTCACTTCGACATTAAACAAGATGTTTTTCCGAGGTTTTCCCTCGGCCGAAACTCACGATGGCTTTGCTTGTAGGTGTCGGCGATGTCTCAAGCATGTCAATTAGTTGACTGCCTTTCTGTCGGCCAAGCTCTAAAGTCCGAAAGGCCTTTCGCGGACATCAACGTATATAAAAATGTCCCTGACCTTGAAGGCAATGCATATCAGAGAGCCAGAGACCCATTCTACACTCATCACTTCTTGATATCCCTCCAGCAAAATGTCGCAGCATTTCAAGCCCGCCGAAGAGCCACCAACCGAGCTAGGACGCTACCGGATCCTCTCAGCCAACTGCTCCATGCGAGTCTCGCCGCTCCAGCTCGGCTCCATGTCGATCGGCGACGCCTGGTCCGACATCATGGGCAGCATGAGCAAGGAGCAGTCCTTCCAGCTCCTCGACGCCTACTTCGACGCGGGCGGCAACTTCATCGACACGGCCAACTGCTACCAGGACGGGCAATCGGAGCAGTGGATCGGCGAGTGGATGGCGGCGCGCAACAACCGCGACTCGCTCGTCATCGCGACCAAGTACACGACCGAGTACAAAGCCCACTCGCTCGGCAAGCGGCGCACGGCGAACCACAGCGGCAACCACAAGCGCAGCCTGCTGATGAGCGTGCGCGACTCCCTCGCCAACCTGCGGACGGACTGGATCGACGTGCTCTACGTGCACTGGTGGGACTGGTTCTCGTCGGTCGAGGAGATCGTCGATGGCCTGCACGTGCTCGTCCAGCAGGGCAAGGTGCTGTACCTGGGCATCTCCGACGCCCCCGCCTGGGTTGTCAGCGCCGCCAATACCTACGCCGTGGCCCACGGCAAGACGCCGTTCAGCATCTACCAGGGCCGCTGGAACGTCATGCGCCGCGACTTCGAGAGGGAGATTATTCCGATGGCGAGGCGCTACGGCATGGCCTTGGCGCCGTGGGACGTCCTGGGCGGCGGCCACTTCATCACAAAAGAAGCACTTGAGGAGCGGAAGAGGAAGGGTGAGGGTATCCGGGCCATGTTTACCGCTGAGCAGACGCCCGAGGAAGAGAGGATCAGCAAGGCGCTGGCGAAGGTCGCGGCTGAGCATGGCATCACGTCCGTCACAGCCGTTGCGCTGGCCTATGTCATGGCCAAGGCCCCGAACGTCTTTCCGATCGTAGGAGGGAGGAAGGTGGAGCATTTGCAGGACAACATCCAGGCGCTGAGCATCAAGCTGACATCGGAGCAAATTGCGTTTCTGGAGAGCGCGCAGCCATTTGATGTTGGGTTTCCGAGTAACTTTATCGGTGAGGACCCTCGTGTCACCGGTCAGCTGGGCCGTCTTTTGTCCAGAGTTGTTCCTCTTGAGTATGAGAGGGCCCCTAAGCCTTTGGGTCATGCGTAAAGAGCATGTAGGGTTTAAGTAGACAGACTATATACCAAAAGAATATGAAGAGCAAGAGGTTGAGATGGACAGCAGCTGTCACGTGCAATGTACTTCACTTTCACCACCAACCACCAACCGCCCCATCACCCTCACCCGTTCGAACCATACATGGACTAAAGAAAAAAATGGCAAAAAACCTGCTTTTGCTCGCCTTGTGAGTGGCTCGCTACAGGACAAAAACCCCCAAGTCTGACCCCGTCCATAGGGAGCTGGCAAGGATTTTTATTACTTGTTTTTACGCCCAATCTTATAACCTTTCTTTTTTTGACCTAGACCAAGTGAATTTAGCATGTTCCTTTGATGGTAACTGGAGGAGTTACCACTCTGCCACTGTGGGCGAAAGGAGAGGCTAACTTCTCGATTTATATACTTCATGCACCCTCAGAGTTCTCCGCCGAGCACGCCGCTCGCTTCCCTGGCTCGGGAAATGCCTTACCAACGACGTAGTAGCCAGCTATCTCTTTTGTCGCGGTGAATTAAAGCAGCTCCCAACTTCAATCCTTCCTCGATACTGTTTCCGCGTGATACTTGGGCTGAATGACACCACCGCTGGTTCGTCGGAAGCTACCAGTTCTTACCTACGCCAGCATGCAGTTGTCATCGCCTGTAGTTTGCTCTTTTGTAGTAAGTATTATCGATCTCCCTTCTTCCTGTCTCACATATGCACTCCTCGTGGTAATATACAGTCGGATCCTCACTAACTGAGAAAGCCAGATGGGACCTATCGTGCTGTCATGAGTAAATGCAAGAATCTCAAAAGTTACTAACATTGTGCGACAGGAGAGTAGTATGGCTCTCAAAGGTAAGTTCTGATTTCTGCGAAGATGAAGGCCGCACTGTAGCTCGTATCAAACCCCAGTCCCGCGGCAGACGGTAATGCTTCCATTACTGTGTATTCCGGAAGATAGCCGCCAGGAATGCCCTCTTCTAGCAAGCCATACACGCTTTTTAGTAGTCCGACCAGACAGCAGCAGCCCCCCGAAAAAAACGCCATCGCCAAATGCAAAAAGGTAGTAGTACTACAACAACAACCCGGACCCGCCACATTTCTTCCTTCCTTAGTCCTTGAACGTCGCCGTCTTCCCCGCCCTATCCTTCTGCGACCTACCCAACCCCTTCGGCGCGTCCGCCGCCCTCGCGTACGGGTTGAACTCCTTCTTCTTGTTCTTTTTGTTCTTCTTGTCCTGCTTGCCCGCCGGCGCGGGGTTTAATATCGACGGCGCCGACGCGTAGTCGAACGGTTCCTGTTCCTCTTCTTCCTCCGCGTCTTCCGCGGCGGACGACGCATTGTTGTTCTTCTGCTGTTGTTCCTTCTTCGCCTTCTTCGCCGCCTTCTTGGCCGCCTTTGCCGCCTTCTTCTCTTCTTTCGGGTCGAGCGGCAGAGCGACGACGTCTTCCTGCATCTGCATGTCATCGTCTTCAGCTGCATTGCCCTTGTCAGCAGCACCGTCACCTTCCTCCTCCTCCTCCTCCTCCTCCTCCGCCGCCACGTCCGCAAGCTTCCGTTTTTTATTGCCGCCGAGCTGCTTGATGATGAACACGCCGTCATCCTCTTTCTTCGCCGGCCTATCCTCCGCCTTGACGAATGCGTGCTCGGCGCGCGAAGCCGGGTTCAGCTTCTCTTCCTGCTCCCTCTTCGTCGCGCTCGCCGCCGCATCAGCCGGGTCCGCGAAGATTTCAGCCGTGAGCGGAGGCAGCGGCACAGCGAGGCGTATGCTTTCCGTGGCGGTAGAAAAGCCACGCTGCTGCCACAAACTGCACGGGAAAGCCTTTCCCCAGAACGACGATTGGTCGGAGCGCACCAGCGCCGCGTCGCTCACAACGGGCTTCGTGGCAAGCGCTGTGAAGGCCGTGGAGAGGGCGACGGACGTGGTTGGTGCTACCGTGGCCTGCGTCGTCTTTTCCCTCGCGAACACCTCCCACATTTGCGGGCCGTTTGCGCCAGCCTCCTTGGCGCGTGCGATCGTACCGACCAGCTCATCAGCACGTAGACGCACCAGCGGGGAGATGGGTTGCGCCACGTTGAACAAAGCAGCCTTGTCCAGCGGCATGGAGCGCGCCACACTGAACAGAGCGTGATTGGCCATGACGTAGTGCGTGCTCTCATCCTCCTGCCGCGCCACCGTGTCGCGCCATTGGTGGATGGCTTTGAAGACGGAGAACTGTTCTTTGTTGAAGGCGTTCGGGTTCCTGTAAAGCGCCTTGTACCAGCCCATGGGCCCACTGCCCTCCTTGGCATCATAAATGGGATTCTCGTAAGTTTGCAACGCTGTCTCCTTCGACTTGTCCAGAACCCGGAGGATTCGATCTTGTTCAGGATCATCGAACTGCGATTTTTCAACCAGTTCGTTGCGCATGTTGTCGTATATATACAATAGGAAATGGGTATCGGACCGGGCGTAGTCAAAGAGTTCCTGAGGAAGCGGCCTGCGAATCTTAGTAACAAGGCTAAAATATATGGTGCATTAAAGCTTACCGAATTCGCCAATCGGCCGTCTGATATTGCTTCTGCGCGTTGAAGTTGACAAACTTCTGCAAAAGGAAAGCAAGGCTACCTCCAGAATACCCTAGCGCGCGTGCGGCGTGGTGGGTATCAAAGAGGCCAACGAGATAGAGTCCGAGGTCACGCTGGAGCCAAATAGCATCCATGTATGCTCCATGCAGGACCTTCACGATGTTGGGATCGGCAAAAACCTCATTGAGGCATTGCAACCTTCTCCGCCAAGGCTTCAAAGTGTCGACTATCCAGTCTTTGTTCCGGGTGCTGATTTGCATCAAAGAAACTATACCAACGTAGGTGCGGGTATCATGGTGTTCCAAATCTATTGCGATTTCTTTGGCATTTTTGAGCTCTGCAAGCATCTCGTCCACGGCCTCCGGAGTATCGACAAATGTAGCGGTAGTGCTCTCGAACGGTTGGTAGGGAATTGGGTCGGCCTTGGTGTAAACTGAGGAGGGGTACTGGTAATCCTCGATCTCTTTCTGGTAGGGATGCTGGTAGCTGCATGAATTATTAGCTGGAGCTTCCACTTGCGAGACTTGTCTACTCACTGTTCGACGCCATCTTCGTCGGCGTAGGTATCGAAGCTCTTCTCGAGCGGAACGGAGGCATGCGGTTTCGAAGTGATGAGAGGCTTCCAAGGGCTCGTCTCGTCGTTCTTGGGGACGTGTTCGAAAAGGGCCTGGGGCTTGGGCAGATCTTGATTTCTAAAGTTGTTTGCGCCTCTGGCCTTGGGCGCGGGTGCCGGCGACTATTTTGCGGGCGTTAAAAGAAAGCTTTCCGACACGCGCGCATTGTCTAATCGATCGCTTACCTGCTCCTTGCTTGGGGTGAGGCGCTTCACGATTCCGGTGAACTCGTCCAGGCTGGTATCGGCGCGCTCGAGCAGGCTGTCGACGACATCAACGACCCCCCTCCAGTTGGAGTCGACAGCGTCCAGGTCGTCGAGTTTGGGACCTACAACTTCCGAGCCCGCAGCCGCAGAGCCCAAAAGGCGTTCCGCCAACGAAAGAAGCCGCGCATTTTGCCGATCAAGTGCAGAACCTAGCTGGGGGTCCAATGAGCGGTGGAAGCCTAGGTCTTCGGCGCAGAGGGTGGTTGTGCTGCGCGTGGTCTGGACGAGAGCGCTCTGGACAGTCTTTTGGAATTCCTGGAAGTCGTCCATGGCGCGTGAGGTTGAATTGACTCTTTCCGACGCTCAGCTATTCGGCCGATAGTGCATTTCAGAACCGAGGTGGGAGGAGGCAGGGGTTGCGCGGTTGGTCGAGTCGCGTCGGAGGTGCTGATGTCGCGGCGAATCTTTGTCGGAGAGAATTCTTGGGGAGCGATAGCGATAAGACTGCCTAGATCAGATAAGATTAGATGGCCTCCGCGCCTGGCTTGACGGCAAACGACGGCGGCCCTGCTCTTCCATCGCCACACCAACATGTCTGCATCACTCGCACCAGAATGCAACCAAGTGAAGGAGTAAGTTCTGTCGCATCTTTTGACCGTAAGAAACTGACCGCGATTAGGCGGTATGATACCTGCTTCCTGAAATGGTACAGCGAAAGTGAGCTCCCCTGCACCTGATCTACCCGCCACCGCTGACCCACCCAAGAGTTTCTTCGCGGCAATGCCACTACAGATGAGTGCGAGCCTCTTTTCAAGCAATACAAACAATGCATTAGCGTACGGGTCCCCGGATGTTTTTGATTTTTACATCCTCACGTCTTGCAGAAAGCTCTCCAGGAACGCGGCATTGACAAAATGCTCGATGAGGCTCGGGAATCCAACAGAGATAACGATGCCGAGCACATGAAGGGAGGCTGTGAGTATACATTTCTCCTTCTAGTCTTACAGGCGCTGATGTAAATGACAGAATGAGATTTCACAATTGCATACAACAACGGCGCAACCGAATAAGGACACTGTAACATTAAATCCATTTCAACCTCTACTGCATCATCAAGGTCTTAACTCATGCTATTGCTCACGTCAGATCTTGGAATTCAATGGCATGCTCTCTTGTATCGAAATATACTAGCTTAACAAAGACTAACAGTGGATTACTTTTTGGTATCGCCCTTTAAAGACCCGTTTCCCGTCAGCAACAGCGCATTCTGTAATAATAGCAGATAAGAAGCTCCATAAAAAACAATACCGAGGAGCAGAAGTACAACTGCGGACCCAGCGCTAGTAGAAACAGTCCCACTCGTAGTACGCCATCGGCTCGTACATTTGGCCACTCAATTCAGAATCAAGATCCGAGTCCAGCCCATCATCATCGAACTCATCCTCCAAGTCATCTTCGTGGTCAAAGCTATCATCGATCAAGCTTACATAACTGCCTTCCGACTCGATCTCGTCGTCGTGGCCCATATCGGGATGGTTGATGTTGACATTGGGCGCAACACCTGGTGGCACAAGCGGACCCATGATGCCTTGTACTACATCCAGCATTATTTGCTCATTTTCCAGGGAGCGCTGAATCTCCCAATCGGCCTCGGATGGCGTCATCTCTTCCTCAAACCGGTCGTCCAGATAGCTGATCAGGTCGTCTTCGAATCCGTAAGCGAAGTTGGTCGCCGGGTCGAGCGGGCCGCCGCTGGCAGTTGGGTCCTCATGCAGGACCTCCTCGCAAAAGCGGCGGTAGCTGGGCCGCGTTGAGAAGCTCTGGTACTTTTTGTCTTTTGGATTCCACCGCGTCATCAGCCGGATCTTGGTGTCCATTATCCAGTCGTGCATTTGCGGGATGGGGAATTGCATGTCGATGGGCGGTTCGGCGTACTCGATGCCTTTCTCTTTGAAAATGTCCGGGAGGCGCTTGTGGTCGTCGAACTGGGCGACTTTGCGCTTCGACGTGTGGATCTGCACGGATTTGAGGTGGGGGTGCTGATCTCGGCTCGAGGTTTCGAATGCGATAAGGTTCTCTATGATGACTGGGGGTGCTTGGAATATGACGAGCTCCTGGAGAGAGGCCGGAAGGAGGTCGGGAAGAGGGGGCTGGGTATTTGCTGCGTGAACATCGCTGTCATCATCCCGTTCTCCATCGTCGTCCTCCATCAATGTTACAGGAGCCAAGAAGTGTGTCGGCTTCCAGCGGAGTGTTCCATAGTCCATGACAATCTTCTCCAAATTGGTGAAGTCGGCCATGGACTTGAAGCTCGTGAAATTGCGGGGAAAGTCCCAGTGCGAGAGGTCCAAGGCAAGGTACTTCAGGGTCGCTTTGTGCTTGAGCAAGTGTTCTTTGGCTTCCTTGGCGCGGAACTGCTCGTAGCCAACGTATCTCCCGCCAGCAACGTAGGAGAAGGCTTCAAGGGCTTTGCAGCCTTCGATGAGATTTTTGATCGTTTTTGGCCCCAGTGCACAGCGTTCGAGATAGATATGGGTAAGCGAAAGCGACTTTGGCTCGACTTGCAGGTATTTGTTGACGACATCGTCCCATTCATCACTTGTTGCCATGTACCCATGTAGCTCTCGTAATGAAGGTAGTCGGATTACAGTGTTGATTTCAGCAATGTCCCAAGTCGAGTCACTGCTGTTACCAGCCAACTTGAGTTTGGTGAGGGAAGTGAGAGAATGCGAACAGAGTCTGTCCCACGGCAAGCCCTGACTCATGTGAGGACCGCGCAAGGACAGCTCCTGCAAGCGGGGGAGCTTGGAAAGCAGCAAGATGACTTGAGGGTCTTCGATCCCACGCTTGAGGCAGCGCAGAAATTCAACATCGTCATGGGATTTTGGGTTAGGAGAAGGTGCGGAACCCTCGGAATCGGAGTCGGAGTCGGAGTCGAACTCGTCGAGATCATCGGAGGTATAGCCGTCAGAGTCATATGTTGAACCATATTCACACCAGAGGTCGTTGTTTTTCCTGATGGGCCTGAGGTTTAGACAGTCTTGATCATCCTGGACGAGACCGGACTGCTTTGCAGCGGCAACAAGGGCATCGAATTGGTCGTCAGGCAACGCAGGGACGTCTTTGCGGAAGCCAGGGTGGAGAAAGACTAGCTTGGTGTTCCAGACGCCGAGCTCAAGGCGGCGCACGTGATGAGCGAGGCTGGCATCTTGGGCAACTCTGAGAAGAAATTTGGAGATGGGACGACGGTATTGCAAGTTTGTGTTGATGTATTCCGAGTACAAGCGCGAGGCCACAAGCTTGTTGAAGGACTTGCAGACCAAGGAGAGGTTGAGGAGGTCGACTTGGTCGGCGTAGGAGATAACCCAATCGAGCAGCTCGGGCGGCAGGTCGTAGAGCCCGGTGACGCTGGCCGACCGGCGGTCGGTATTGCGGTTTGAGCGGAGCTTCATGGCTGCGCTTGGCCGTGTCAGCGTGGGGGAGAAGATGGAGGTCGAGGAGCTGGCGTAGAGTCCGTGCAGTGCAGCTCACCTGACTGAGGCTGAATTTCCTTGTTGGGTATAACAGCACCGGATCACAAAGCTTCTCGGCCGGAGCTGCACACAGCGACCAACAAGACGCGGGGTCGTTGCGCGTGAGCAGATCCTCGGTGTCGAGCACCGAGGTGTAGGTAGGTACTGGCGTGGCGCGAACCGACGGCCCTTGGTCGATAGGTTTTTCCGCCCAAGACCGCGACACGACCCAACCACACGCGTTCCGTACCGATGACGTAGTCGCGTTGCACCCGCGAATCCACCTGACTCATCCTACAGCTTGCATGCACATTCCAATCGGGCGCACATTCTGCCAGGCGTCCCAAGGCTGAAAGCCAGTACAACATTTCTGTGTTCTGGAGAGGGCGAATGACCCGAGCCTTAGGTTTGAGGCATGTCTAAGTTAATACCAGGATACTGAAATGCAAATTCTCTCATTAAGCTTTTTATGCTGCAATACCGGGGCTCGGAGACGTTCCGTAAAGATTCACAAGACAATATTAGCCGTGACAAAACAAAGCCTAACCCAAAATCTCAATCGGTCTCCCAGACCGAGTAAAATGTTTGAAAGAAAAGAATGATATATCAGGATCACGAACGGTCTCGCAAAACTCCTAGCCATCACGGCTGATGAATCCACTTCCACAGACACAATGACCAGTGATCTTGCCAAGGAAACATACCCGACGATTCGAGACGTACTTTCAACCGCCACAGACGACTGGGCCCGGATCAACCTCTCAATGCTCACGCGTTATATGGCCGCTCGAGTCTCTGCCACAGCCTTCTCAGCGAGCTGCTCTGCCACAAAAAGGACTGGCTCGACATCACCGATGCGCACAATCAACATCATGAGCGCCAAGCAGCAGATGAAGCTGATGGATAGCTGTTTGCAGGAGAGTCAGCGCTTGCATCCCATGGATTCGCGTAATGATTTCCCTCGCTTTTTTATTTTCGTTCCACTAGATCCTGCCGCAGTGATGGATGTGGACCCTTTTACTAACACTGCGCGCAGTCTTAATTATGACCCGAGAAATGGTGAACCTAAGATATCGAGTATGGTAGAGAATGAGTTTATACCGGATGTGAGCTAGAAGATGTGGGTGAAAGTGAAGTTCCGGAAGTGGATTTGAGCGGGCTTTGAAAGGTGTGGTGCTTAGACCTGGGATGAGCGAAGCATCTTTAGTCTGCTACTTAGCTTCAAAATTACACTATCTCCGGGTTATACTGTCATTTACAGATGAAATGTTATTTTTCCCAGTTCGACGTATGTCCTTCTCAATGTGGAATTAAAAATTCTACATACACGTCCGGGCGATAGCTTCAGCTACCCATGACATGAGCAAAAAAAAAAAACAAATCCACGCTGGCCATCGGCTGCGATAGGGGACTGTATATAATTCCTTCGGATTAACTTTCCTGCTGTCCCCGCTAGCTCAGTTGGTAGAGCGACTCCTGCGGCTCTGGATCGGCCGTCGTACATCTATCTACTCCTCTTATTTAGGAACTCTGCATAAAGAGCTACTACTCTCACTTCGTGATGCATCTTTAACTTTGATCTAAAACTGCCACTTCCGCACTATATAAAAATCATCTGTAGTCTCGAGCGAAGCTCTACCGAGGCATACCCCATGCCGAATATCAGATGTTGTGAATGTACTCAAATTGAGTCTATTGATTGTAATTCTGTCGCAATTGGATTCCATATGCTCAAAAGCGCAGCTGCGCACATCTGCAGTCTCATCGAGGGGATTGAATGCTTGCCTTTTCAGGCATGGTCTGTCGATCACTCGGACTAGAATCTGACTCGCGCCGGATCAGATAAACGTTTAAGCCTTCGGAACAGAACGCCTGACTTTAAGCGTCAACCTTACACCTTCGAAAAGGACAACAAGACAACACCGGCTGTCGTTGCGCGCCAAACAATAATGATCTCACTGGAGGGCTGAGCCAGCCAAGTACAATTCCGCCGTTGCGATTGGGCGAAACAAAGAGCTTGGAAGAACATACGGCTGTGTACTACCTCCCGTAGCGGTGGCCGGGGTATTTTCTACCCCTTACAACACCCACATGCATCACGACAGTCACGGAACTGCCACCAGGCCTTCGGTCGAGAGCGACAACGTTGAGCTCGGCTGGCTTGACGCCCGCGACGACGAGCCGTTCCTGCCCGACGCCAGACGCAGCGACGACGACGGCGATGGCATTCCGCGGAATGCCACGGCAGAGGAGAAGACGAGGAAGCCACGCGTCATCTGGCTGACCGTCTTCTTCCTGATCAGCTCGTTGTCCTTTGGCATCGCCGTCGTGCCGCGCATGAACCTGATCGTCTCGCTCATCTGCCGGCAGACGCTGCAAGGGGATTTCGATCCGGTGGTGATTGGCGGCTACAATCGCCAGTGCCAGGTAGATGCTGTGTCGGCGCACACGGCGATGGTGCAGTCGGCCGGTAACGTCATCTCGGGTGTGCTGTCCGCCGCCGTCGCCGCCTTTCTCAACGTGCTCAGCGACCGCGTCGGCCGCGTGCCCATCATCGCGTACACGGCAACAGTGCTCGCAGCCGTTGAGGTTGTGCTAGTGCTGCTTGCAAAGGCGCCGTCTACCACCAGTTATCGCTGGCTGTACCTTGCGTATACGCTTGACGGGCTGAGCGGCAGTTTCGCAACCGTCATGGCCATGTCAAGTGCATACATTAGCGATTGTGTGGCTGAAGAAAAGAGGAATGTACAGGTTGGTGAGTACTTTGGGACCTTGGCATATGTGCCGTGTGCTAACGCAGATCTCTTTATAAAGGCAGAATGCATGGAGCCATGTTCATCGGCATCGCCGTGGGCCCGGCCATGTCGAGCGGCATCGTAGCTGGGAGTGGCCAAAAGTCACCACTACTTGTCTTCTATCTAGGCCTTGTAGGTCAAATTTGGCTATCCATGTCACTTTGTTTGCTAACGGTATCACAGGCCATGCGCGCCATCTCTCTTGTGTACCTCCCGCTTTTCGTGGCCGAGAGCCTGCCGCATGCACGGAAAGGCTTAGCAGGCGCCTTCCCCGTGTTCTCCCGAGCTCGATGGCAGCAGATCACCAAGCCGGCTAGGGGTTTAGACGCTATCTTGATCAAACTAAGGAAGCTCAGTCCCAGGAAGTGGTTGGACAGACTCGTGCCCCCTAGTTCTCCGGGTAGCCGGCGATTGCGGCGTAACGTGGTACTGCTGCTCGCCATCAATCTCATCTGCTACATCGCCGCCATGGCGACTTCAGACATCCTGATCCTCTATCCACAAGTATGTTGCACCTGCCATATACCCCGCTACCACACTTGGCCTCTGACCATTTTATGTTCTCTCGCTTAGGTCGTCTTCAAATGGGGCAATGTCGAGAACAACATGTTCATGTCCGTCATCAACGGCTTCCGCGCCGTTGTCTCCACCCTCGGCATCCCAGTCCTCATCTTCTTCTTCCAACGCCGCCGCTCTCCGGCGCTCCCACTCGATTCCACCCCCATCCCCCATACAACCCCTACCCCTGCCCCCCCTCAACCGACCACCTCCCCTACCAGCCCCGCCATGCTCGACCCTTCCGCCTTCCCCGACCTCGACGCTCTCACCTCGCCCACAACCCCAATCTCCCCGTACCAGCCCCACCAGCACCCCAACGACGAGTCGGCAATGCCTCCGCCGCCGCCGCCTCCGCCAGCAAATCAAGACACCCTCGACCCCCTCGACCGCACCCTCATCGTCACCGCCATCCTCTTCGACATCTTCGGCTACCTCGGCTACGCCGCCTCGCCCAACGGCATCCTCTTCACGCTCTGCGGCGCGGCCGCCGCCTTCGGCGCCGTCGGCCTGTCGACGTCCGAGGCGGCGTTGACCAAGATCGTGGCGCCATCATCGTCATCCACCACCACCTCCTCCCCGTCCCAAGCGAGGACTGCAAGGGCGATGAGGGAGGAGGCGATGGCAGGCGGTGGGTCATCGTCGAGGGTGGGTGAACTGATGGCCGGGCTGGGGTTGCTGCAGAGCGTGGTGCGGATCGTGGCGCCGGCCGTCGTGAACGCGGTCTATGGGGCCACCGTCGCGGTGGGTGCGCCGGGGACGGCGTTCGTGGGCGTCGCGGGCGTGTTGGGCGTGGGAGCTGCGTTGACGTGGGGGTTGGTTGTGGGATGAAACTGTTTCTCTTACACTTCTGGGTCTTAAATTTGGTTTTCGATTGGTCGTTTTTGAAAACATGCGGTTTGCGTCTTCATTGTACGAGATTTTTGTCAATATAGATGTGTTTCGGAGACTTGCGGCGAAGGAAAGAATACTTGGTCAAAGTTGTCGCCGAGAATGCTTCAACATTCCGTCGTTTGATTTCAAGAACAGCGCAGTTTTGGGGAGATCGATTCGTTTTTTTAACTCATGCAAAACCGCGTGCTATGTACTAGTCTGTATAATTATGATCATTCCAAGTCTACAAGTATGAGAGTATGCGCTCATTATACTTCGCTGCATTCTTTTTTTCGATTATCGTCTTCGTCCGTATGGACTTCCGTAGATTCATACATTCAGGAGATGGAACAGGGACACTGGCATCTCCAGATAAAGGTCGCGCAGATGAATCTCGTGGAATTTATTCCATGTCTCCACTCTCTATTGCTTCTTCAAGCAATGGGTATCGTCTAAAATGAACTTCCCTCCAGGACGACCTGTCCCGGGGCACCCCCGAGACATCTAGGCCGTGCCCACACAAATCCTGACCCTGGGCCTAAGGGCAGACTTTGCGACATTAACTACCCTCACACCCTCATTCACTCATTTTTCTCTTCTCCCTCAGGCGAGGCCGACCCGCTGTTACTTGCAAGCGCTTCTTCACACGCCATCTTCACCTCCTCAGCGCCTTGCACGCCCTTCCAATTCTCCAGCAACCTGCTTATCTCCTCCCACTCTTTTCTCGCTTCTTCCTCCTCACCCGCAGCGACCTTCGCCCTCAACCTCCTCGGTGCATCCAAGACCCAGCGCACAGTCTGCCGCTGTTTTTCTTTCTCGTCCACCTTCTTCTTCCCGTCAACCGACGCCGGCGAACTACTGCGGGATTTGGGAAGGGCATGTTCGGCGATGGACGCGGACAGCGCGCTCGCAGTTTCGGCGATATGTGAGATAGCCGGGGAGAGTGTCGAAGTCGCGGGCGTGAGGGGGTCCATATTTGTGCGCATCTGCAGCGATTCGGTCAGTCCTTTCCTTGGCCAAGCCCGCCTGCTCCGGGATAGGAGCCATACCTTCCGAATCGTATCCGTCGCCGCGATCAGCTTGGAGTAGTTGTCGTATACGAGCGCCTTCCGCTCTCCATCGAGGCCCTTGATCTCTGCCGCCACCAGCACGTCAGAAATAGGAAAAGTAGAAGGGGGAGTGGTATGCCAACTTACGGCCAACCAACCCGCTCTCCACCCTCAACACGCCCTCCAAGCCCTCTCTCTCCAGCGTCTTGCGCACATACTCTTCCGCATCAAAGCCCGCTTTGTCCAACTCACTTGTCTCGACAGCCTCTTCCTCCTTGACACTGTCAATCCCCAGACCCTCAGCCGGATGGCTCGTTGGCGCCGATGTGGGCGATTTGAGGTTGTAGTAGTCGCGTAGGGCGGAGCGGTCGCGATTGCGACGCGATTTGCTGGAGGAACGGGCGAGCGAAGAGGAAGTGGGCACTTCGAGGGAGGTGCGCGTCGAGCTAGGCGACCGGATGGAGCTGGAGGGGCGGGGGGACGCGATTGTGGACATTGTTTCTGTTGGAAAGCCGCTTTTGTCGTTCGCGTGGTCTGTTGTAGAGGCGGTCGTTATTCGCTGAGCAGGTACGGCTAGTGAGGCGCAAGTGCCGTCGGTCGATCGTGTGTTGTGAGAGGAGAGTAGTACGGGAGAGGTGATTGTAACTTGTTGCAAGTTTGGCCCAGCTGCGGCGACAGGGATCAGCCATAGGGCTGAAGGGTGAGCTGCACGAGTCATGCAGCTTGCAAGCTCCTAAGCTCCGATAGCAAAGCTCCGATCTACTTTCTTCACATCCGCAGACCATGAAGCTCGACATTCGCCAGCAACCCTTCCGCGTTGCGCCGCGCCCGATCACCACCTTCATATGCGTTCCGGACTGAGGATCGCCCATTCCCACTTTACCAAAGGGAAAACACCAATCTTCAAGCTCTCCACCAAACCTCTAATGTCCCACCAAAAACCCCAATCCACAATGGCGACCTCTTCCAACCTCGTCGCCGACCTGACCACCCACCTCACCAGCCGCGGCCTACCCCCATCACCCACCTGGCTCACGCAAACCCTCCTCCCCAGCCTCCCGCAGCGGCCCAACACGCCGCTCGCCGCGACGCGCCAAACGGCGCTCTTCCGCCTCCTCGCGACCGACATCACGACGACGGCCTGCCTCGCGCACTCGCACTCGCCGACCGCGAACCGGCTGCCCGCGGATGTCGCGACCGGCGGCGCGATGACCAAGGAAACGGTGGTGCCGGGCCCGGTGGCGGTGCAGGTGCTGGACGTCGAGGACGTGGGCCGCAGCCGGTGGAGCCAGGTCGAGGCGCTGGAGGCGCGCGAGCGCGGCGAGGGGACGAAAGGACGGGAGATCGTGCGGCTGGTCGACAACGCTGAGGATGGCAACGAACCCAATGGCACTGCGCGGACGGCAACGGCGGCGGCGGCGGATACAAGCGGGCCGCACAAACTGCTGCTGGTCGATGCGGCGGGGACGCGAGTGTACGGGTTCGAGCTGGCGCCGGTGCAGGGCGTGGGCATCGAGCGGATGGGCATCGGCGCGAAGCTGGTGTTGCGTAATGCTGTTGTGGCGAGAGGGGTGGTGCTGCTGGAGCCGCGGACGACGACATGTTTGGGTGGTAAAGTAGAAGCGTTGGATAAGCCATGGAGGGAGGGGCGGTTGGCGAGATTGAAGGAGGCGGCCAAGATGGAGAAGTGAAAGAAGCAGACTTGCTAGAAATTTAGAATCAATAGTCTGATGTAGGCTGAGTCCACAGCAACGTTCAAGTATCAGAAACAACTGGAGATTATTATTACACTTTCGATTGATTGCTCAAAAGAGTAGTGAGGCTCTTTGTCGTACTACTACACTCTATAAAACTAAGCCTTTACATCTAAAGATTGGTAATACACGCTGAACTCGCTTTGCCTGAACAGACAATCCAGCTAAGGTCTCAAGATATCCGCTCAAAAGGAACCTCTGACCATCCCACGCTTTTAGTTAACTTTTTCACATAGAGAATTTTGAGTGGGAGTGGTTATCGCAAGATCAAGAACGCCTCTCCTATGCATGTAACCCATCAATTCTCCCAAGGGGAGAGATGGATCAAAACGCCAAAACTCCGCACATCATTTCTGATGGCATGCAACAACCAGTTTGGGTTGCCTTCTTTTCTACCGGTTCAGTGTCTCCGCTCATTCACTGTTCCAGCCATCTTCTTGCCGACTTCATAGGTAGAAATCATAATGGCACAGGCTGGTGCGACCTTCAAGCATCGAGCTGCCCAACCACGGAAGAGACCTGGCAACCCTTGCTCCTGGAATATGTGCAGAAGGAAGCGCGGCATGGACGATTCCTCTGGTCGAATGGTGGCCACAACATTGCCAGCCGAAGCCGTGCTTCCGCCGTGTCGAACAACCTGCTGTCTAGTCTTGCCAACATCGAAAGGCGTAGTGACAAAAGCAGCAACAGCTCCAGACGAGGCCCCTGCCACGAAACTGTCGACGAGGGTCTCGGTATGATCCTCTTCGCTTCTGCTCCTACTCCGACTCCGAGGCCTGACTGCACCAGAACCCATGCTTCTCCTTTCGAGGTCCCGACCACGGAGTCGCTCGCGCTCGTCCGTGATGACGTTGCGCGCAGTCTCGTAACCCCACCAGTAGATGGCAGAGAATGGGACATCTCGCCATAATGTCAACCCGAGACCTCGCCACAAACTCGTCCATCCGTCTTGGCGGACCAAATCGCCCATGCCCGTAAGAGTGTCACGGAAATGGCTGCTAGAAGCACTCGAAGGTGAATGAGTAGCTTGCATGCGAGTCCGGAACATCTCAATGGGAGAGACGGCAATGGCGGCAAGGACTCTGGCGGTACTTCCAGCAACCAACGGAGCATACGCGTCCCCGACGTTCTTCTTTACGGGTGAAGCTGAGGCGGTGCGTAACCAGTCGTAGCCAGCGAAGTAGATGACATTGGCAGGAACAGACATGACCAGGGTGGGTGAAAGCCCGCGCCAGAGGGTACGGGCACCTTCATTGCGAGCAATCTTGCGAAGGCCGTCGAGGGTTGATGTAAAGGCCTTGCGCTGAGTCTCTTCAACAGCACATGAAGCTGCGCTTGTCGGGGCGATTGTGGGCATTACGGTGGGGCCGGCGACGCAGTACGAGGCGTTGTTGTTCACCCAGAAGACTTCGCGACAGCAGGCGGTAACGCCGAGGTTGGGAGGAATGTTGGTGAATTGCGCATTGTGGAGCTGGAGGGTCGAGAGGGCAGGGATCGTCCGGCGTGCCGCAGCAGTGGAGGTAGGAGTGGAATGGTGTTGTGACTGGAGACGGACGCGGACCACGTCAAGCGGGGTGACTGTGCCGCGGGTTAGCAGGGTGGTGAGGGGGGCAAATGCGGAGACAAGCAGGTACCTAAAAGCGAGGTGAGGATGCTGCCTGTAACGGCCGACAGCATCTTCTGGGTCATGGAGATGTCCTCCGGAGGGTCGTCCTGGCCCGCAGGAGGCTTCGCCATGGTTTGCAGGCTGATCGAGTCGGGGGTTGGTGGTAATCTGTCGTGAGGTTGACCTCCGACGCGGTTGGCCGCTGCGCCTGCGGTATCGGCCATGGAGGCGGCGAGGATCTTCCAGGCGTCGCCGGAAGATGGTGATAGCGAGAGCTGGATGTGCTACCGGAACGCAGGTCGCATGCTGGGGAGGGAGGAGTATTGAGCTTCGCAGGCTAAGAGATCGCGGCGGCGGAGGTGTAAGTGTCAGTGATATGTCAATGACATCTTTTTCGCGGCTGGGCGCGGCAAAAGATCAGAATGGGAGATCGCGACCAAAGGGAAGCAACGCCACTTTGCGCCACGTGCGCGCTGATTGATAGCGGCAGCCACGGCCGGGCCTACCGATCCTTAACGCCGATTACCTCACACGGCTGCCTGCTGCTCGTCATTCTTCAAATTGCCCCGTCCCCCCACCCACATGCGCTCATGACTCTGGCTAGACCCTGTTCACGGCATTCTTATTTTCACCTCCACTAGAGTGATCCGCAGCCCACGCTATCATGTCGAACCCAAACGATCTCCCCGTGAATCCCGCCACTCCTACGGAAGAGGAGCTCGAAACGTTCAGGCGCCAATGGCGAGAGGAAGTTTCGGCGCGTTCCAGGCAGAATCAGCCCTCTTCTAGCGCTCCGCAACATACCGCACACGCCACATCGAGTAGACCACAACATTCTCAGAGGCACAAAGCGCCACTGCCCTCTGACCGACCCAAAGATGCGCACGCCGACGAAGCAGAACCGCATGAATATCATGATCTAGGCGAGAAGCAGTTTGGCAGGAAGCTAGCCGAGCCAGCACCAGAATCGGCCAAGGTGCCTGTATCAGCGTTGGACCATTATGAAGAAGCGGTCAGGAGAGAGACGCAGGGCAACCTGGGCGACAGCGTAAATCTGTACCGGAAGGCATTCAAGGTACTTTGTGAAATGGCTGCCTAGACTGATCCGAGCTGACATGCTCCGCAGTTAGACTCAGCGGTTCAAGACATCTACAAGAAGAAACACTTTCCCGCCGCGTCTTTCCCGAAGCAGAAACCGACAAACGCGAACCCGTCGAATGCGTCCGCCACGGTGCCCAACACTGCCCACCACTCACTAGCCGGCTTCTCTTCAAACATAACCGACCTGGTTTCCTCATTCGCTTCCTTATCCATCCCTGGAGAGGAGCCACCTACCAATCTTTCGGCCCCACCACCATGTCCCATCGCCGAGCTTCCCGAAGAACTACTCGCCGACATTTTGATGTACGTTGCGGTGGATGATGTTGCACAGTTCGCTCGTCTCGCCCAGGTCTGCAAAAGAATGGCGTATCTCGTCATGACAGAAGATCGAGTATGGCGTCGGGTTGCTCTTGGAGATGAGTTTGGATTTGCTTCTATGCATTATAAATGGGCCTGCAGATTGGATGGTAAACCGCTAGACGATGATGGCGAAGGCGGGCGCCTCCTCTCCAGCTATACAGGAATACCGGACCCCGAGGAGGAGGAAGAACGACAAGAAGCCGCCAGAAGGACCAAACTCATTGAATCAGCCCTGCACACGCTACCTCTCGTTCCCGACTCCTACCCGAGTTTCCGTAGCCTCTTCCGCTCTCGGCCTCGCGTTCGATACAATGGTTGCTACATCAGCACTGTGAACTACACGAGACCCGGTGCGCAGCAGAGCAACACGTTGACCTGGGGGATTCCGGTGCTCATCGTAACGTATTACCGTTACCTTCGCTTCTACCCCGACGGCACTTGCATTTCCCTTCTGACTGTAGCTGAGCCACCTGACGTGGTCCCGCATTTGAGCAAAGAATACCTGCGCGGACAGAACGGAGCTCATTCCCATTCTGCCCTTCCGCAAGCAGTGATGAAGGATGCACTACCCGGTCGATGGCGCTTATCCGGTCCCGAACACCCAGTGGATCCGATGCTTTGGCCGTCGTCGTCTTCTTCTTCGTCTCCGTCCACCCCCGCGGAACCTGCCGCTGCGGCTGAAGCCTTACCAACCAGGACCTTGCAGGAGCCCCCGGCCTCTCTAGACTCATCTCTTTCTCCCTCCGAGACAGAGGGTGTCCTGCACATAGAGACTGATGGTGTGACCCCGAAGTATATCTACCGCATGTCTCTTGCATTGAGCCATGCAGGAAAGGGTGCACGTAACAACAAGCTTGCTTGGCAAGGCTACTGGAGCTACAACCGCCTTACGGATGACTGGGGCGAGTTTGGCTTGAAGAATGATAAGCCCTTCTATTGGAGCCGAGTGAAGAGCTGGGCTTAGATCTGGTAAGCTTCCCGTTTTTTTTTTTTTTTGGCATAGTACATCCTGGACCGTGAAGACTCTATAGGAATGGTTGAAACTTGATATTATCATGTGCCAGGACCTGAAAATATGAGCAAAAGCTCAGAATGTAGAAGCACGAGATATTCTAGACGCCTCAGCAATGAATACCATTTGCAGCTTGTCAACACATTTGTCATCTAATAGCTCTTCAGCTTGATCGGTGTCCAATGTATCGTTAAGGTGGGGCTCATTCACGGAGTGAGACAGTACAGTAAGCCTTTCCGTCGAGGGACAATAATAGCCAGAGATTCCTCAGGGGCACAAGACGGTTGTGATTACATAAGCAGGTGTCAGCGATAAAGTGGGGTCAGCCGCTCCAAGGCTACTCTAATCTCGACCTCGCCTGCTGACAGGCAGCACACTAGAATGGCAGAATCCACAACGGGACTGTCATGGACTCCGATAGAGTGAGCCTGGACAGAAGTCGCTAGCGGAGATGATACTAAACTCTGTTAGGTTTACAGCTGCTGAGACGAACATTGTTTGGCAAACTGAGTCAGCTCCACACAGCAAACCCAGACTTTCCCGTACGAGCACGCAGAAAGTACGGACGGGGTGTATTACTTGCAAAAAGCGTCATATCAAATGTGACGAGGCCAGACCACGCTGCGAAAATTGCCTTAAGAACAGAGGTTATTGCGAAGGTTATGCAGTCGAGCCGAAAAAGAAGAAAGCCCCTGGGCCCATCCAGCTCTGCTGGGATTCCAGGCAGGTTGTCCGTAGCACGCCTCCAAGGATACCGCTGCAAATCAATCCAGACGCCCTCGATTTTCGAGACGCCACGAGTAAGCTTTACTTCCAGGAATTCATAGATCTGGTTCAAGGGCCGTGGACCAGTGCGGCATACAACGCCGACTTGTGGGAGGTCATGCTACCTCAACTCGCCCGAAATAGCAACACACTTCGGCATGCCGCAATGGCTATCGGTGCGATGAGCAAATGGCATCAGCAGTCTATATACAAGTCGCTTCGCACTGTGTCGATGCCTGCTGTCGCGACAGCTGAAGACCCGCATTACTTCCACGCCGTCGCTTACTACTGCCATTCCCTCAAGCTACAGAGCCAACAAGGCTCTATACAGGATGCAATTGTTTTGTCAGTGCTGTCTCTAGCATTCGAAATGCTCAGAGGCAACAGGAGAGCTGGGCTGGACCACGTCAACCACGGCTTGGCTCTATTGCTCTCTCTCCTGACGGATGAAGATGCGGCTCGCCAGGTAGCCAGCGTGGCACCGAACCCGAAGCAGCTCCTTGGCACTATAGCAGACGTCTTCGCGCACCTTGCATCACAGGCTCGCACCATTCTCCGCGGCAGGGTCGGCCACGGCCCGTCGCTCCCAAACCTCGCGAAGGGACTGAAGCAGAAAAAGCAAACAATGGATTCCTTCCTGGTCCTTCTCAGCGACTTGGCCCCTGCCCCTGCCACTATATCAATTGACACTATCCCAGACGTCTTCAACACCCTCGACGAGTTCGGACAGTACTGGGCCGCCACCCGGCGTCACCACACAGCCCTGACAAAGATCATGACAGACGTAATGAACGACGCAGACACAATCAGCACGAACAACGAAGAATCCATCAACAGATTCTACGCCGAGCTTCTCGGGAACAAGCGGCTGCGAGACTTCTGCGACACGTCCCGGAAGGCGACGCACAAGCTGGACACGGCGTTCCGGCCTCTCTTCAACAAAGTCCTCATGGGCGACCCCTCGTCGCCCGACTACATCCGCGCCGTCCACCTGCGCCTGCAGTTCCTCGGCATGGTCGTCTTCGAGGACCCGCCGCAGTACCTGCAGGTCGCCGCGCTGGAAGCGCGCACGCCGCTCTTCCGCGAATACCTCACCCTGGCCTCGCTCGCGCTGCGGATGCTCTTCCAACAGCGCAACAACGACATCAAGGCCGCCGCAGTCAATCCAGCGCACCAGCTGTCGCTGCAGTGCGGCATCGCGTGGAACCTGTTCATCATGGCGCTCTTCTGCCGCGACCCGCCGACGCGCGACGAGGCGCTCCACCTGCTGCGCGACTACCCGGGCCACGACGGGCTGTGGGACACGCGCGCGCTGCACGCCCTGGCCCTGAAAAATCGTGACGTCGAGCGCGCCAATATGGCCGAGGGCACGCCCGACGAGCAGTGGCGCCGGCTGTGGCGTCGCGAGTTCGTGTTCGAGGACGCGGGCGAGCGCGTCGTGCTGCGGTTCATGGCGAAGGATGAGGAGAAGGGTGGAGAGTGGACGCTGGTGGAGGAGGCGGCGGAGGTGCGGACGAGGGTGGAGGATGTGAGGTGGGTGCGTCAGCCGCTTAGGGGGCAGAGTTGGTTGCTTATGGCGGATTTGTATGCGGATAAGTTTTGATGGCTGGTGGTGATATCCCTGGCGAAGTGGTGGTGGTGGTGGTCGTAGTCGTCGTCTGCTGCGGGAACAGGAAGAAGGCGCGCCAAAGGAAAGGCGTGCACTGCATTGCTATTCTACTCACATGTATTAAGCTGATCTCCACTATCTCAGTGAAAGGTAGTCTATTCTTATTACTTCATTAAGCAAAAGTGAGAGCGGAAAGTGTGTATCATGATTAACGATGTCTGACCCCATCACCCGAAAGAAATTCAGGTTTAACACGGCTGGGATTGATGTGGGTCTCCTTGGTCACTTAGCTGAACCCTTCGTTCAGCCCCACTGAACCTGGTCTAGGCCCACCTTCCGCAACACAGCCAGAAACTCCTCTCTCGCACGCATCTCCTTTTTGCGTGCCTCCGTCACCGCCATGAAGTACTTGCTGCGGCTTTCCAACAAGATCTTCATCCTGTTTGCGCTGTCGTTGTCAGGGGCGTCGTCGTAAGCTTCAAGCTCGGCAGTGCGTTCCCGCAGCTGTTCTTGCAGCCTTTTGATCTTGTCCTGCGCCGCCTCGTACGTCTCAGTGGCCAACTCCAGCTTGGTGCGCAGAATCGTGTCCTCGCTTTCCTGTGATAGGTCAGCACCATCTGTTGGCGCCAGAAACGGCTGCCCTTACCTCATTGATTGGTATCGTGTTGGTGCGGTGGCGATTGGCACTTTCGAATAGCTCGTCGAGGTTCTGTTGTCGCTTGGGTGGCGGCTTGAATATGTCAGCCTAAGGTAATTCCGCATCATAAGTTCAAAATACCATGCTTCAGCGCAATAGTAGGAGCCGAAGCGGAGTGGATTATCGCTCAGATGATAGTGTTTAAAAGCGGCGATGGCTTTTGAACCAGTGCTGATAACTCTGTCCTCGAAAAGATATGGAGTGTTGGTGGATGAAGAGGGCTGAGGATGAGATTGCGCATGACGCAGGTATGAGGTCCGCAGCGCGTGAAAGCCTAGGTTGGAAGGCGCACGAATGCGACTTCCTCCGTTCGACCTACCTTCTACCTTCTTAGCTCGGACGAGCTCTTGGACATCCCCATCACCCAATCCCATCCTTAGCGCTGCACATTCATCTCTTACAGCCAAGACAGTCGAAAATGTCAAGGGAGAACGCGGACAGGTTTGCCAAAATGTTTGCTCAAAGGCGAAGTGGTGACCGCTGACGACTCTAGTAGAGATGCCAAGCGCAATGAAGTCGGCGAGCTCATTCAAAAGACGACAGAGGTGAACAGAACCATAGTCGAGCTTGATGCACAGCTTGCGCATGTAGCGGCTCAGCTGAATGACAAGCGGACTCGCGGCAAAGACGAGCGAATCATAATCAAGAAGTTCTTTGGAAAGGACGAAGGGTCAATGGTAAGGAAAACGATGCGCAATGGCGATGGTTTGAGGACTGACAAGGCTTCCAGTCGATTGAGAACAAAGCCCTCGTGAAGCTCCGCGAAGAAGACGTGAAAGGCATGCAGAATGTGCTGAAGAAGTTCGAGGAGTCGATGTACAACGAAATCAAACAGATCTATTCGGAAACGGTTACTCCTGCTGAAGTTGCGGAGGAGATTGAGCGGCACGTTGATGAGAACAGCGAAATCGGAGAATACTGCCGCTGGCTGAAGGAAAACGTACCCATTGACGAGAAGGAAAAGGACGAGATGAAGCAGAAACTCAGGCAGCTCCTCAAGGGACCGGACTAATCATTAATCGCAGTACATACTGCATACTTTACACCAAAACCCGGCTAATAATCCTATTATCCTTCAAGCCATAAACGGTAGAGATGAGAGAGCTCGTTCGTTAGTCAGGTCTATAATGCATCGCTGGCATCCGTCTACTGATCCAAGGCTTGACTTTGACACTGAGAGTTCTCACGTTAGCATGAACTTAAACGAGCAAGAGCGAAGGAGGAACAGGAACTCACCATTTCCCAATAAACACCCTGCTTCCTCACAAGCTCGTTGTGAGTGCCCTTCTCCACCACCCTCCCCTCATCGAACACGAAGATGACATCAGCATTCTGGATGGTCGACAGCCGGTGCGCGACGGCGATCATGGTGCGGCCACTCCGCGCCTTCTCGAAAGCCGCCTGGACGATCTTCTCCGACTCCGAATCCAGCGCCGACGTCGCCTCGTCCAGCAGCAGGATCTTGGGGTCGCGAATCAGCGCGCGCGCGATGGCGATGCGCTGCTTCTGGCCGCCGGACAAGGAGACGCCCTTCAGGCCGACGTCGGTGTCGTAACCCTCGGGCAGCGAAACGATAAAGTCATGGATAAAGGCGTCGCGGCACACCTCGTGGATCCTCTCCTCCGACACGGCGGCGCTCTGGTCGGCGTTGAGGCCGAACAGGATGTTGTCGCGGATGGTGCCGCGGAAGAGGGTCGGCTCCTGCGCGACGAGCGAGAGGCTGCGGCGGTAGTCGTAGACGCCGATGCTGCTGATGTCGACGCCGTTGCAGAGGACGGCGCCGCGGGTGGGCTCGTAGAAGCGCTCGAGCAGGGAGATGGTGGTGGTCTTGCCGCAGCCGGAGGGCCCGACGAAGGCGGCGTACTGGCCCTTTTCGATGGTCAGGTTGAGGCCGTCGAAGATGAGGGCGTCGCGCGTGGGGTACTTGAAGTGGACGTCCCGCAGTTCGATCCGGACGCCGCCCTCGGATTCGGGTATGCTGCTGTCGTTCTCCTTTGTTGCTGTTGGGGGGACTTGGTCGAGAAGCGCGGATTCTTGGATGTCGAGGATACGATTCGCGGCTGCTCGCGCCTGTGCGGCGTTGGGCGTGATGGAGAGGGCTTGACTTGCCGCCTCGGTTCCTTGGATGATGGCCATGAAGCAGACGAAGAATGCCTCCATCGAGTACTCGCCGCTGGCCAGGAGCCCGCCGCCATACCAGAAAACCAAGGCCTGGCAGCCGAGACTGGCGCTGTCGGCGAAGCCGAAAAGCGGTGCCGTCCACTTGGCTTTGTGGAGCGCTTCCCGGACGTGGCCGTGCAGGAGCTTCTGGTATCGGCCGTTGATTCTGGACTCCATCGTGAGGGACGAGACTGTTCTGATGGCGCCGATGGCCTCGGCCGCGAACTGCGAGCTTTCCATGAAGACGGCCGAGTTCATCTCTTCGAACTGCACCTCCTGCCTGTACTTCCAGAAGCCTGACGCAAGCAAGATCGGCATCGTGATGAACATGGAAATCAGGCCGAGCTTCCATCCAAAGACGAGCGCGATGGTGACGCAGCCGATGACGTTGAAGATACCCGAGAGCATAAATGCCAGATTCAAGCCAAACAGCTCTTCTATCTGCTTTGCATCGCTCGCTATCCGCGCGCTCAGTGTGCCGTGGGCGTTTTTGTCCTCGTCGAAGAAGCGGAGCTCTTGGTGCAGCATGCCGGTAAGGTATTCCCTCTTGCAAGCTGCACTGACGAAGAACTGAATGCGTAAGCTGATCCACCCCTGGAAGAGGTACGCGATGCCGACGCCCCCAGCCAGAGCGAACCACATCAAGCCCCAGAAGTCTCCTGCCTTCTTGAGTTCGTCGCCCTGCAGAAGGAAAACGCCGACGACCTTTGCGAACAGCCAGGCTTGGATCGGCGTACCCGCTCCTACCGCCATGGCGGACAGGATGACGGTGAGGTAGTAAGGCCACTGCACTCGCTGGATGGATAGAACTCCCATGAATGCGCGGATAAAGCCCCGAGGCTTGCCGGCCACCTTTCCTTCGGACTTATCGTCGTGATCTGGGACCATGGCCTGTTTGGAACTGCTGGATACATTATCTGGCTCTGCGTCGAACTTCGGTGCCAGCGTACCAGGCTCCACTTCATCAGTATTGGACACATGTAATGCTTGTGCCCGGACCAGAGCGCTGTAGACGCCAGTGGGATTGGAAATAAGGCTCTGATGTGTGCCTTCCTCGACTGCTCGCCCCTTCTGCATGACAACGATGTGGTCGGCCTTTTTGATCGTCGAGAGGCGGTGGGCAATGGTGATGGTTGTGCGGTTCCGCGTGACTCTGTCGAGGGCAGCTTGGACTATCCTTTCGCTCTTGGCGTCGATTGCGCTGGTGGCTTCGTCCAGGATGATAATCCGTGGCTTTTTGATGATGCTCCTGGCAATGGCAAGACGTTGCTTCTGACCCCCTGACAACTTCGCCCCGGCATCACCGACTCGTGTGTCGTAGCCCTGCCGAATCATTAATTAGACTTTGTCTGCCATTATTTCGAGGGACTGGATGCTTACATCGGGTAGGCGACTGATGAAGTCATGGGCATAGGCTTCCTGGCATGCCTCCTGAACCAGCTCTCGCTTCCGCTCTTCGGGCTCATCTTCCCACTCGGTTCCGAGAAGACCGTTTGCAACATTGCCAAAGATGGTGTCGTTAAAGAGGAAGGGCTCTTGCTGGACCAGGCCGACCTGTGCTCTCCACCATTTGAGGTCGAAATCTTCCAAATTGAAACCACCCGCCATTATGGAGCCGGAGAGGGTGGGATTGGCAATCGTCTTCGAGTCGTCTTCAGTGTGGTCACTCTTCCCATCTTCAGTGTTGTTATCCTTTCCATCATTTGATTTCTCCTGCGGCTTAGGCTGGACCACCTGGGGCAGCGTGTGCTGTTCTCTTAGAGAGTACCACCGCTCCAGTAAGCCAACCACTGTGCTCTTTCCAGATCCAGATGGACCAACGAGAGCAGTGTTCTGGCCTGAGCGAATGCGGAAGCTCAGCGCATCTAGAACTCTGACACCGGGCCGGCTGGGATATTCAAACGTCACGTCCTCGAATAAGATGTCTTCGGAGGTGATTTCCGGCTTGAGGGACCCAGATTTGGGCAGGGGCGCATCGATCACCGTAAACAGCTCACAGGCGGCAACCATGGCCTTGCTGACAGCCATGAGCGGCGTCGCAATGCGCTCCAAGGAGGTGAGGATCATCATGACGGACATGAGCACGACAATAACCACGCCGGCGTTGTCGATGCCGCCGGCAATGTACCGTTGGATGCCGTACCAGAAAGCCAGGCCGAACGCTCCGAATACCCCGAAGAACTGTTTCTACGTTAGCTCGTCTTGGGGGCCGCGCGGCTGGAGGTTGATTCAACATACGAGTAGACCGAACTGAGCACCGATGAAAGGGGCCATTTTTTGGGCCCTTTTCATAGCCTCTTGCACCCATTCTCCGTAACGAGAAGCAATACGGCCTTGAGCACCACAAGCCATAACCAGCCGGATTCCCTCGAGAGCTTCGGTGGCAATAGCTGTTCCTTCGGCATCCGCCTGCCCAGTCGCCGTCTGGGCCTTGACGATGAATGGCAAGACGACCGACAGGACGACCAAGGTATACAGGATCAACGAGGACGTCACCAACGTCAGATCCCAGCTCCAAGTGAAAGCGATGATCACGGCAGCCACGATGGTGCTCAAGAACTGCACGAATGTCCCCAGGCGCTCAGAAATACCAATCTGCAGAGTATTCGATGTAGTCGTGATAGCGGTCGCGGGCGCTCCAGGAGGCATGGAGTCGATGACGTGGATCGATTGGGCAAATATCGATTGCAAGTAATGCAGGCGCACTGCTGACGACAAGCGGATGCCTATCATCCTGAAGCAGAACTTGTCGATGGCGTTCAGGCCCCAACGGGCAAGGAAGAGGGCCATGATATATAAAGCCTGTTGATTCAGGAGTTTCTGAAAATCATCGCGAGTTATGTCGTCGCCATCTCGGAAGTAGTCCGTGAACTGGTCGACAAGCTGCCCGAAAATGACGTTCATGAGAGGCAGAGTTATACCCGCTCCGATCGACACCAGCGAGGCGATCGCGTATATGCAAAAGTCCCATTTCGTCGCATAGCTGAAGACTCTGAGGTAGTCTGCGAAAGTCGGTGTTCGTTCTGGCCGTTTGGGGTTCGGTTCTGTTGTGGTGCATTCGTCGGCCGGGACTGGGTTGTCGGCTGGGACTGGGTCACCGCCCATGTTTCGTACTACCTAGACAGCACTCGTTAGGCTAACAACTCTAAGCAACGAACAACGATCGGGCAGGCAGGCCTTACACTTGATAGTACCTAAGAAACGTCTACTGATCGTGGTAACAATGGTTGCTGTCTCTATGCCGTTCTGAGAAATCCTGGACAATCTTGGGTTTTTGGTGCTGCTTGGGATAGGAGTCCAACCGATCAATTGGTCGAGGAAAAGTAAAGATGGAATTGTAAAAAGAGGAGAGGGAAGCTGAGAAGCTGGCAGTTTCTTAGCAAAACGATCCGATGTCTCTTGAGAATTTGGCGAAATATGAACATCTTGAATGCCTGGAAAGTGGCAACTCCTACTGCTGCTATGGTCGTAAAAGCATTACCGCTTTTGGATTTTACGACCCGTGCGCTTCAGCGTGGCACCATCCTCCGTCTTACAATCCTCCACTCTGCGAGGGTCTTTTAGCGTTGCCTCTTTTGGACTGTTACGAGCCGTGCACTTGTGCAGGATACGACGCCATACTATATCGGGAATACCGCCTTGGCGTGGGGGCCTCTGCGTGCTGGTGGGTGTTAACCAGTCACATACAAGCCACGTGCTTCTGATATCACATCGGTCTCACCGAGAGATGAGTCAGAGTCAAGATGAGGGGCGCAATAATCCGGTATGATGAAGTGTACGCCTTGCGCAACCTCTCAGCGTCCTGCAGGACAAGCACGCCGATAACTAGAGGAATAGGTGGAACAACAAACCTTTGACAGGAGGTTATGACTGGGTGTTGAGAATATCAAAAAGTTTCTAGTAGAGGATAGCGAAACAATTCACAGACCCGAATTTCTTTGCGGACAATTATCTTTACGACACTGGCAACTTCCGAGGCAATGCGCTCGGCAGTTTTTTTTTTTTTTTAAATCATAAACAAGCGCACTAGATATTATTTGACCAACTTGCAATATATTGTGTAACACATTATGACTAGTTGAAAAAAAAAAGGGGGGGGGGGGGGCAAGATGATCCATAGAATATCCGCAGGCAGTGTAGATAGAATATATACGCTGTAGTGGCTAACTAGCAAAAGAAGAGAGGCGAATAATATGGAATACACCAGATACTCTGTTAACTAAAACTCAACGTGTTTGCCTGGTTCAACACTACTTACTTGTCGCCTTTACGAGCGAGACCTAAGCCCAAAGGCAAGGCCAAATATCAAACCTGAAATGAGGATAAAACCGATGGCGAATCCAGCGTACGTTCCAGTTTTGATCTTTGATCCCTGGGCATTGGCCGGTTGCACCTCAGTCGTTACTTTCGTCTTCCTATTCCCTGCATGGCTCAGTGTGGCCAGTTCAATGTCATCCCCGGCCTGTGCGAAGTTTTGTCCCGCTCCTTCATCTTCACTCTCCTTCGTAGCCATAATTTGACCGAGTATTTTCGCTCTGTACTCCCCCAGCGCGTTTTCTTCCTTTAGCACTGCCTGCACTGCTCTTTCCCGCATCACATCTTCCTTCGTCTTCTTCGACGCCCTCTTCATCTTCTTCCTCCTCAAAACGTTCCGCAGGTGCGTCTCAAAGTACCCCTCGATAACATCGATTGGCACGCTGCTCCAATCATCTAGCTGCGCTTCGGACACATCCGATATGGACAGGTTGTATTCCTCCAGTTTCTGCATAAGCAGATCCCAATGACGGTTGGCGGACTGCGGGTGACCTTCGTCCTGCAACAAGGTCTGGCTAGCACTCCCGCTGGCTTCCGCCGGTACTCGCTCAGCTGCAGGAAGACGATCAGACGGCGTAAGAGGCCAGTGTGGGGATGGAATCGGTTCGGCCTCATCCTCCTCTTCCTCCTCTTCTTCCGCCGTCGCCTCCTCCGCTGCCGAACCTGATGCCTCATCACCCCCATCATATTTCTCCGCCCCATCCTCCTCGTCAAATTCCAGCTGCGCGCTCGATCCATTCTCGTTCAGCGCCTCCCTCAAGAAATCCAGGAACTGCCACAACGACACATCCACGAACCTCTGCTGTCCTCCTCTTCCCCTTTCTCCTCCCCCCTCATCATCATCTCCTTCACCACCACCCTCACCACCCTCACCACCCTCACCACCCTCACCCCGCCCCAAATCCACAAACCTCACCGCACCCCCCTCCACATCCGCACCGGCATCCAACCCGCACCGCTCCGCACCCCCGGTCTGCACCGCATGGTCGAGCACGAACAGCAACCGGCGATCCTCCTCGCACAAGCGGCTCGGATCGATCTCCGACGCCTGCAGGAAGTCCGCGATGCGCGGCAGGAAGCCGTCATCGTCATCGATCACGTCCCACTGGTCGACAATGCTCGACAGGATGGACAGGTGCGCAGCGGAGGCGCCGAGCCAGGGGAGGGTCGGGGTGAGGGGGTAGGCTTTCGGCGGTGGTAGCGTCGGGCGGGGGAGACGGCGGCGGTGGCCGGGGCGGCGGCGGCGGTGGGTGCGGGCGGCTAACGGTGTCCAGACGGTGGGGAGGTCGTTGGAGATGACGGTGTCGATCTGGCCGAGCGAGTTGCGGCGCGAATCGCTCTCTTCGGCGGTGGTGTCGGTGGGCGGCGGCGGGTAGATGGGGAAGATGCGGGGTGGTGGCAGGAGGTTGTTGTTGTGGTCGGTGGGCAGGGACTGGCTCTGCGGAGGGCGTAGTTCAGTTGCATCCGTGGACGAAGGGCCGGAAACAGGAATTAAATATTCAAGGGGATAGTCGTGCCTTAGATCATCGATCCATTGAGCTCCGGTCTCTGTGCGTGCGGTGGAGACGTCTGGTTGGACTTCAGGGGAAACCGAGGTCGTCTGTACGTCTTCAGTGGTGAATTCGCTGTCCTCCGCTTCGGAAGCGATTTCTAGTTGAGATCCAGAGGGTCTAGGCGAAAATATCTTTGCTGCTCTTGTCATGCCAAGGACTTGCTCGTCCTCCCACAACGAACTGAACGCAGGGTAGGGGTAATGCAGCCTAGGTGGCATCACACCTGTCACGGACGCTACATCATCATTACTAATCTCATCCACAGTGACATATGCCGAACTTGTGTGCCCTGCCGAGTCCAACTTACCTTGCTCTAACGGTAGAGGACTCACTGGTTGACGTTTCTCCAGATCTTCCTCCATCTTGTCAATGATCCAACTGACCACGAACTGCCGATTTGCTGACACTTCTGTATGCCGTTTTGATTTTTGTAGTCACCGGCTTCTGGGTGATGTGATATCGTTCGAGTCACTTATTCTCAGCTCTTGTTGGTGAGTGGTGAGTCAGTGTGGGTGTGCTCGCTACATCGTTTTATAGCTGCATGGGGAGGGAGGGATGCTTTGACAGGAACATTGACCTTGCCATGGGCGTCTAATATAGGCTTGGGTATGGGTGCTCATCGACAGATTTTACTAGCACGATATGTATGGTTAAAGGGTCTTTGAAATATCGGTAGTTGAGTTTTAGTATCCAAATCCGCAGTCTTGTTGAATCAGGGTCTTTTCTGTCAAGACTTCGGCAATAAAAGCCGCACGGCAGATTGAGAACATGCCTAATGCGATGATGTTTTGGATAATGTACAGCTTTCTGAGTATAGGGCACTCGATATCCAACGGGATCGCACCTGTGAACAGAAGGGTTGAGCTCTCGATGCATATATACAGTCCTCAACTTACCTTATTGCCAGCAAAAAGAACATAGACCATGGAAGCAAACTCGTGCAGGAAGAGACCGTTCCCGATATACGCAGAACGGTGCCTATTAGCTCTTCGGTAGCTCCCGTTAATCCTACCCGGCGATTTCATTTTCAACCAAAAAAAAACTCGCCACGTCCCCAAACCAAGGCCAAGGACTGGGGAAGCGGGAGTAATCCGGACACGACAGTTGGTTCCGCGCCCAAAGCAAGGATAAAGCCGTCTAAATTTTCCGTTCCAGTACAAGTTATTCCAAATAAATGCAACCCTTTCCCATGATCACCACCTACCATGAAGAGATCACTTTTCGGCAACCAACATCTTAGCATCCTCCACCGCTGCCCTAGAGACCTTCTTGAGCAGGACCTTGTGGTCTGCCTCACGGTACCTCTCCCAGTGGTCCAGGTCCTCTCTGGCCTGGATGGAAAGGGTCTCATAGCCTTGCTTGATGACCTTACTAACCTCTCTCGGGCTAAGGTTCTTGCTCTTGACCTTGCCCTTCTCATCGCCTTCCAGCAGCGCGTGGTAGTGCTTCGATACGCTAACCAAGGTCTCGATCGAGTTCGAGCTAGACTGCTTGGAAAGTTCGTATGCATCGCGGAACTTGGTGAGGATGTCGCCCGTTTCGACCAGCTTGTAGAAGAGGTCGTCGTATGCTGCCGCATCAGGGAGGAAAGACTCTCCGGCAGATAGGGAGAGGGCAATGAGGTTCACCGTATCGTCGATCAGGCGACTGGATTCACGGAGCGACTTGATGTCGTTGGCGTATGTGGTTAGGAACCGGATGAACGAAAGAAGCGATCGCCACAACTCGGACCAGTGGTAGACTTTTTGTGGTGAGTACAGGGTCTGAGACGGCGTGAACCAGTGAATCGCTTACCAAATCGTATCCGGGATCTGGCCAGGAAAGAGATGATGCGTAGTATGACTCCCAAACAGAGACTAAGTAAATCAGCGCCAGTTCCTCTACATATGGAATTCAAGTCATACATGTAGTACTCGGTGTCAAGGCGACGCCGAAGGTTGTGGTTAATGCCATCAATCACGATGTCCAGAATGTACGCTGCCAGGACCCTATCTGTCCGCACAACAGGCAGATAGGGCTGTCTCTGCCTGCAGAGCCTGACCGGAGTTTTGCTTTCTTCGCTGCATATCCGCTTCGCAAGCGCGGGATCTTCAATGACAATCTGCAGAATGTAGAGATTCACGTGAGAATAGAGAGCCGTTCTTGCCGAACGATGGGCATGCTGAAAGAGATAAGACGTGAGAGAAAGAAAAGCGCTGAAAGGAGTAATGTCCGTCTTGCTCGCAGCCGGTAAGTTGATCAGGTTGAAGCAGAACAGTTTGTTTGCGTTTGCGAAGTCATAGGCGGAAAGGAGAATGGCGGCATCCGGACCAGGCCTGCAGTGATCGTCAGTTTGATCTTCATTAACTGAAATTGAGAAGTAACATACAAGGTAGTGAACAGAGACTGTGCCTCTTCCGGAGAGGGGGCGGGTGACGCAGGACGAGATCCAGTCAGGGCACCCAAGCCCACATAGCTGAGAGCAGTTCCAATTGACCAAGCCTCAGGGGTATCATCCTGTACAGCAACGTATCTGTCCCTCAGGTCGCGGCAAGTGTTTCCCACGCATTGAACTGTCTTCTTGATAGCCACATCATTGACGAAGTCGTCAAGGCGCAGCCGGTAGGGGTTCTGGAATTCGAACTTGTTGTAGTTGGCTAGGAGTCCCAAGAGAATGAATGGTTCGGAGATCTCGCCCGACAGCTCAGAGTCTTGAACAAACTGTATAGATTCATTAGTACAGCAATTGCGAGAGACTGTGCCTTGCCTCCATACCTTCATCAATGATGGGAATAGATCGCGATGTGTGAAGTACGAAATCAGGCCAGTCGAATACGCTCCTGAAGTAATGGAAAGAGCCACACGGATGGCCTTCCTGCGGATTTGTACTATCCTGGTGTCAACATGCCTTCCAACGAGAAGAGGGGATTCCCAGCGGTCTTCCGTGGTCTGTCAAGGAGACTCACTATTCCGTCCGCTTCGAATGATATTATCCAAGGCAGCCACCAGGTCGGTAAGGACGGCATCGGCGTCATCGAGGCCGGCGAGCACGGAGAGGATATCGGAGCTCGGATTGGTGTACTTCTTGCTCAGCACGGCGCCTAAGAAGACTGTCAAAGTCTAGTTCGTAAGTCGGCGGGTTTTCTGGAAAGCGGAAGAGACGCAAACGGCGTGGTCGGTCGGTCTTACATCGAGCGCGATCTCGTCGGACGGAGCTTTGGCAGCTTGCACACGATCAATTGCGCGCAAGAAGAGCTGCTGCGCGGGAACCTTTCCAGCAATATTGTGGTGAGCATGGATGCGTGGCACAGCTGAGATTGCTTCGGGAGCCTTGATTTACCTGGAGGTGCAGCATCTGGTCGGCATTCAGGCCCTGCAAGACGCGTCGCAAGCTCGGGGGGTCCGGCTTGAGCAGGAAGAACTCCTGCCAGAAGCCCTCGGATTGTTCATAGTCGTGGTCCTCGTCAGCATTGGGGAGCTGGAACAGAGCCTCGTAAAGCTTGACGATTTTGGGCTGGAACGTGTCTGGGCGAGACACCTGGGTCAGCGGCGACGGCTCCATCTCAGAGAGCTAGCTGGGCGATGTTTCGCTCGTATGTGCCGGAGGCCGGAGACTAAGGACACGCAGGTGTGTTGCGCTCACCTGGGGCAGCCCCAATTTCCGCGCCAGATCTGCCCTGTGCCTGCTTGCCGCAAGGCCGCCGCACCAATCGTCATAGGCCGCTCCCCGGCGCGGGGTCCATCTGCCAGGTGCCTCGCGCTGCCCCTCCGTTCCTGCAACGGCCTCAACCGCTACAAGAAAAAAGGGAGAAAATCCACTTTCTGGCCCCCCTTACCTCCGCTGCGGACCCTCGCGCGACCCTGTCCCCGGACGAGAGCCCGGCGGAGGCCCGTTACTACTGTCCCGCCATGGTCTCCCACAACCACCCCACCGCCCGGTCCTCCCCGCCAACCCACCTCTCCGCCGCGCAAATGGCAGACATCGCGCAGACGGACGCCCCGGGCCCGGGCACCTTTGACCTCACCGCCGGCAACAGCAGCAGCGCCGCCGCCAAGCCGACGTCGCCGCCGCCCGCCGTCCTCCTCGGCCTGTCTGGGCCCTCGAGCAGCGGCAAGACGACGCTCGCCCGCCTGCTGCGCGACATCCTGCCGAACGCGTACATCCTGCACCTCGACGACTTCTACAAACACGACTCGCAGATCCCGGTCAACGACAAGGGCATCCAGGACTGGGACTGCCTGGGCGCCATCGACGTCCCCGCGCTGCGCGCCGCGCTCGCCCACATGCGCGCGCACGGCGAGCCGCCGCCCGACTTCGTGAGCAAGGAGGACAAGAACGCCGTCGGCGAGTGCGGCATCGCGGCCGAGGCCATCGAGCGCTGCAGGGCGCGCGTGCGGCGGTTCTTCGAGCAAGCCGGCGTGGCGGAGAGGCTGGGCGGCCGCAGGATTGCCATGGTGGACGGCTTTCTGCTGTTTTCGGAGGAGATGGCGGAGCTGGGTATAAGAGACCAGTTTGACGTGAAGCTGTTCCTGCGCACGAACTATCAGACGGCTAAGCGTAGGCGAGAGGCGCGGTCTGGGTACGTGACGCTGGAAGGCTTCTGGGAGGACCCGCCAGGTTATGTGGATGATATCGTGTGGCCAAACTACGTCAAGGACCACAAGTTCTTGTTCAAAGAGGGCGATATCAATGGCGAGGTAGACGAGGAGGTTTGTAAAAGAATAGGCATCAAAGCCATGCCCAAGGATGCAGCTGAAGATATGGGAAAGGTCCTCGATTGGGCTACCAAGGTAATTGTAGATGAGCTGGACAAAATAACCCGGTCATAAAAAAAATATTTAGACTTCAATACGGCGTTCAATCCAGGACAGAACATGTAAGATTTGTATCTCTTCTGTCAAAGAGTAGAGCTGCATAGCAGCGGGTATCACAAGATTAAATAGATGTCAAAAATAAAAACAAAAAAAACACAGACGCTTCAAACTCCGAGCCCATGCATCATCGTGCAGCCTCCCATCCCCTCACCCTGACAGCTTCAAGAAGCCGAATATAATATTCAACAAAAACCCCGTCAACACCGCAATCTGCCGCCTCCGACTCCACACGCCCTCCTCCCTAAAGCCCCATCCCAGCGCCCCGAGCGGCCAAAAGAAGCCGACCACATTTCCGTACAGCATATCATCCAGCCCGCCATTATCCGACCACGTCGCGGTGCCCCAGCCGCCGCCGCCGCCGCCGCCAGCGTCGCCGCCCTCGCCTCCAGTAGCGCCATCCGTCACGGTGCCGCCGGGCCTACCGCTGCCTCCGCCGCCACTGTCGTTGTCCAGCCACCGGTCCTCCATGACCCTGATTTCCTCGGGCGACGGCATCGTGTCGGGCGTGTGCGTGAACGACAGGTTCGCGCGGAACTGCGAGCGCAGCTGCTGCACCTCGGCCGGCGTGAAGCCCGTGTTGAGCAGGCGGTCGAAGCCGCGCGGGGCGGCGTCCGTTGAAGCTGTCGCCGTCGCCGCCGAAGACGACGAGATGATGCCCGGCTCGCCTGGCTGAGCGGCGGAAGCACCGACGCTGCTCGAGCTGGAAGCTCCTCCACCACTCCCAGGGAGTAATGTTGCTGCCGTGCGGGTGCCACCACCACCACCGCTGCTGAACGCGGCTTCGAGCGCGGCCTCGGCCTCGGCGGCGGCGGTGGCTTCGGCCGTGAGGGCGGACGGCGTCAGGGTGTCGCCGATCGAGCAGTGTATGTAGACCTTGCGCGGCTCCGGTGCGCTGTCATCGTCCTGCGTTGCGCGCTCCTTGCCCTTTCCTTTGACATCATCGTTGCTTGGGGGCGGTTTGGCGCGAGGGGGCGGCGGTGGTGGTAGGCTAAGGCTTGTCGTGAGCGGTGCGGTGTCGGCGAGGACCTTGCCGGCGTGGATGAGGCGGAGGCGGGAGGTTGCGTGAGCGGCAGGGATGTGCTTGCGGATGAGTTGCTTGAGGGAGAGGGTTGTGGTCGTCTTGGGTGTAGAGATGGGGAGCGGTAGATCCGGAATCGAGGCTGTGAAGCGGATGATTAGAAGGACTTGCGGAGGTGGTGAGTCTGCCATTGCTGGGTTGGTAACGTCTTCGGAGTCTGCAACGTGGTGGTGATGCAGGGTAGGCGGTAGAGCTCTGGCATGATGTCGGTCTCCGGGCCGCCAGCCGGCAGCTATTCCGTATGGCGTAACGTCATCAACAAAGTATTCATAAGCAGCTCAACCCCACCAAATCATCGGAATCTGTCCTTATCAAGGCCTCAGACTTACGAACACTGCGCAGAGGTTGTGAGGACCTGGAATCATGGCTATCATTCACATTGTCCAATTCGGCTTCAAGCCGGAAGTCTCCGAAGAGAAAATCGCTGAGGTAAGAATATGTTCAAGTACTATTCTTCTATGTACTGATTCTAATTGTCCTCCAGATCTGCCATCATTTTATGTCCTTGAAGGACAAATGCATCCATCCCACTTCTCAGAGACCTTACGTCAAATCGGCCGTCGGCGGACGGAACGATTCTCCCGAGGGCCTCGCGGTAAGCGTTGCCGATGTGCCCCGCAAGTAGCACGTCCATCTGATTACGTGTACCCAGGGAGGCGTCACACACGCCTTTGTGATGGAGTTTGAAAATGATGAAGACCGGACGTATTATCTAGAGAAGGATCCGGCGCATTTGGGGTTCGTGAGTGTTGTGAAGGACCTTGTTGAGGCTGCCCGCGTGGTCGACTTCAAGCCGGGTAAATTCTAATCACCGAGGGGATATATCCGATATTCCGTAGAAAATTGACCGTGCAGTCGAGTGGTTGTCGACCGCAAAACGCCTTCCCAATGCAACGCCAGTCGTGATGGAAATAGGAAACTTAAAAGGTCATTCCCGGAATTTAACTGATGCTGAAGGACTCGCCGCATCCGCATTGCTCCGCTGCGTGGTTGTTAGCGTGAAATCGTAGATAGAAGCTGCGTGGCAAACTTACTGATGTTGGGGTTCTTGAAAACGAATCTCCTGGTGAGCTTATCCTCAACCCAGTCCATCTCGCTGCCGAGGATGTGGATAAGAGCCTTGGAGTCGATCAAGACCTTGACGCCGTCCTGCTCAACGGCATCATCAAACTTGCCAGGCTTGTCGACGTATTCGAGGTGGTATGCCAGGCCGGAGCAGCCCTTGCTCTTGGTTCCAACCCGAATCAACTTGGGCTCAGGAGAGTCCAGAAGCTCACGTAGCGCGGAGACGGCGGCGGGTGTGAGGGTCATGGCGGCCTTCTTGGGCTTGAACTTGAACCGGCTTGGTCTCGTGGAGGGTGCCTGGGACGGCGCAGGTGCAGCGTTGAATGCAGGCTTCGGCTTCTGGGCCTCAGTCTCTGTCACGCTGATGCTGCTCTTCTTGTCGCTGGTGGCGGCGATGCGACTCCCGCGCTGCTCGGTCAGCCGCGGGGGGCGTGTCTCGTGGACCTCGGGCTTGCCGCCAGCAATGGAGGTATCGGGAATGCCAGAGCCCCTCGGAGGTGCGAGCGGAGGCTGCAGATGGTGGGGCTGGTATGCGCTTGCAGTCTGCAGATGGCGAGTCTGTCTGGCAGATGACATGGAGCGGAAGCATTGGGGAGAGCTTCTCGAGGCCGAGAGTGACGTAGAGGTGGCGAAGCGGAATAGCGACGGCGCAGCAGCGACCGCGCTGGTGGCAGAGCGCGAGAATGGCATGGCGGTGGTGTGCGGTAGCGATACAGGTGGAGGGTGGTGATGGGGGACGAGATGTTCGAGTCGCGGGCGGACGGCGAGCTTTGATGATGTTTGTCATCCTTAACCGCGGGCCGGCGACCATCGTCATATTCTCTGCCGAACTCAGCCCGGCCAATCACAGCGAAGCCTAAATAATCATCGAGCCCCTTCTCTCGCTTTGGCCCCAGGGTCCCATGGCCCACGTTTCACGCCGCCTGCCGCCTGCCGCCTCCCACAGGATGCGCTGCTTGATCCGGCATCGCTGCCGATCAGGCTCGTGTCTCTGTCGACCTCACGCTGTGCATCGGTCAATCATGCACCTTCGAGTCCACGGTTTGTCCCACCATGATCACATGATGTCGTTGTCAGTGAGTCCATGTGGTGTACCATCACCATGTGATGCTCTGAAGTCCAGCTGAGAAACAGACGACAAAAATACCAGCCTGGCTGAGGTATGCCGATCAGGAGAGCAGCGTGTACCGTATCGCATGATTTTATCTCCCCATGCATCTTCCCCGCCTGCCATTGCGATGTGACTTCCGTTAGACCGCTACCCCATGTCCGTCTGCATGTACTAAACAGCAGCACGGCCAATGAGCGACAGGCACTTCCGATCTACAGTCCCCTCTCGCAGCCGATAGTTTTTTTTTTTTTTGCTCGTGTCATGGGCAGCTGAAGCTATCGTCCGGACGAGAATGTCGAATTAAAAATAGCTTCAGCTGCCCCCATATGTTACTTTTCTAAGGCAGACCCAGGGCACAGTTACGCTATGTTCTAAGCCCTGCTATTCTTCGCGCTAGCCATCGGCTGCAGCACCCCTCTGTACATCACAATGGGTTGCAAATGCTCTCGCGAAATACAAAGACTCCGGTGATATCATTATTTTTATTATCCAAGTTTTTTTTTCCGAGGAGGAATGGTTGAAAAAAAAAAGACAAGAAAACGACATGAATACAGTACGAAGAAACAATGAGTGGTTCAGTGATGACGGTCCGGTTTCAAGCATTTCCCTTGTCGTCCCACCTCTTCTCGCAGCATCTCCAACTTCTGCTCGTCTTGGAAGTCGAAATCGCCGCTCCAGAACCCACAGTCGATATTACTTGTCTCCTTCCGACTTCTACTCTGCGCCAAAGCCTCTGCATCCACGGGAGGGAGATGCACTTCCTCCTTGGCATCTGCTACGGCTATAAGACTGTCACCCATGACATGGTGGAATACTTCCGGATTGACCGTGTAGCAGCGCATGCCTCTTCTTCGACACCCATGCATGACCGCCATGTCATATGCCGGATCCGGAGGATTTTGTACCGACGCAAGGTCCTCGATTATCCACTTCGCCGACGAACGCGTCACTGCATAGCCGAAGGTGCAGAGAGGAAGGCGAGATCGGTGCACAACACGGGTCTTCTCGGGTATTTCCAGGGCATCCAAGAAGCTTTTGGTGTACGGATGAAGATCCGGCCGATCGGGAAGAGTGTTATCTCGGAAAAGTTTGTGCTCCAAGGCTGTCAGGTTGGAAGGGAAATGGTGGCCTGGACCTATCCCCTTGTCGATCGTCTGGAACCAATCTCCACAATGGCCCAGCCACAGGAGATCCCAGGCAGAGCTGTTGCCGTAGTACTCAGCCTGCGACCGAAAGAGCGTGCGAGTTGCTGCCGCAATATGTGGAACTTGCACGGTGCGAAGACGGACATCCCAGTCCACATCATCTTCCAGAATGAGCGCTGTCTCCAGTCCTGACTCGAGGAACCTAGCCCTGCGGTCAGACCATCTCCCTCTGCTCATTACCCAGCACTTATATCTTACAGCTTTAGGATGTGGATATGCGAGAACCAGGCCATTATCGAACCATGTCCTGCGTCACGGTCTTGCTCTTTCAAGCCGGCTCGAAACGTTGTTTCGTCATCTGCCGTCCATTGCGGTAGGGTTGGAATGGTGAGATATATCTCGGTAACATTTGCGGCTTGTATCAACCTTGCTCTCCGAGGTGAGTCTGTCGCAGAAACAGCGTAGATGGCACCGAAGCCCAGCGTGGAGTTCGCCGGCTCGGGGGCGTCAGCATCGGCATGATTTGATAATCCTACCACATGACCCAAGGGCACAGCAAGGCGGTAAGGATGGGATGAAGTGCTGCAATAGAGATAGAGGCTTAAAAAGAAAAACACAAAGCAGAATAGCTGGACGTACTTCTTCGGTACGAGCATGGTGCGAAGAGAGATGTGCTGAGGAGGGTCGGGCCGCGCATGCCAGGTTTTGAAGTTACGCTTCTTTACGGGGCAGCAGACATTCCGCTCACAATTACACAGCAAGGTCCAATAACAGGCCTTTCCTGTTGTACTGACATCCGTGCCAGCCGTACGAGCCTTGCGTACTCGCTTCCTTTTCCGGCTAGCCAGACCCGGCACGTGCGGCACACTTGTTCACTCGCTCTTTCCTCGGAACCACACCCGACATCCGAATCCTTTGGGAAAACCGCCGCGGCGCATCGATATACCTTAAAGTGCGCTCATCCAGAGCTTCTCGCCAGCATTTGGAGGAGCAATGCAGCGGTAGCTCTGATCTTCCAGCAGATACGTGTTCGCCGCTTGCAGATCATTTCCAAGGATCCTTTCTCCTGGAACCCGGAGCTGACGATCTCCACACGCGTCGCAATCTTTCTCACACGCTTTCTGGAACGCTTGCTCATCAACATTACGCCATATGTCGCAGAATCCATCTCGACAACACGGACTTCTATATCAGCTTATGTTCGTTGAATCTTGGTGAATGTTGGCCCCCAAGGCTGCAGGATCGCAAGCGCGCTGCGTAGCCGCGCGATCTCCACCCGAGCGGATAATTCTTCACCACCATTGGCTCATCACCCAACACAGCTCTGTAATTTTAGGCGTGACAAGCTAGAGTGCGGCACAGCGATAGTGATGAGATGGCAAACACACTCGCCGCATGTAGTTTCTATCAGCTCCTAGCCGCGCCTTTTGCTTCTCTTCACACTGTCGTTTCCTCATCATGTTGTTTCGTCTCTCATGATTTTCTGTTTTTGACTTTCGGTTTCCCCATTGCTTCATTCGGCTGAGTGTAGCTGACGTCATCCTTACTTTTTTCACCGCCCGACTAATCGCTTGTAAACAAGGTGGATCTCATATGCGAGTCCGAGGCTTACAGACAGCCCTTCGGGCTGTGTCAGCATTTGCTCAAATCCACCAAGGATACGCCGCTTCCAATTTTCCTGTTCCGTGGAGCGTAAAGTACTACGGCCCAGATGGACCGTGGCAAGCAGTCAGTGTCAGCGTCGGCGGAGTTAACAGTCAGGCTACAACTCAGGTCGACTTGTATCCCAGCGGCGCATACGGCTCGCCCATAATAACCTCCGAGGCGTGCGAACCCTACCCCGATACTCCTTGCGGTGCAGGCGGTATCTGGTCTCCGACCAACGTAGAAGCAACGGCTACGAGCTACCGGCAGGGCTGGATTGGACATGCGGACCAGATCGAAGCCTATGGCGCATCGTATATCCAGGCCATGACCATCAACGGACAAACAGTGCCATACGTCCCGCTGGTTGCCATAGACAATGCCACCATTACAAGTCCATCGGGAAAGAAATATGGTCCACAGTGCGGTAATCTTGCACTGGGCATCGGTGGCGGCGTCCAAACTCAAAACTTCCCGGACGCGTCATCAGACGTCGATACGGGATTTATGTTCTTACCGGGACTTTACAATCAGAGCGTCATCCCTTCCTATGCCTACGGTCTACACTACGGCTCCGCAACTCTGAAGTACGGAGGGTCCCTCGTGTTCGGCGGCTACGACAAAGGCCGAGTGCTGGGTAAATACACCAACTACACCGGTAGCGAGATTTCTCTTCTCGATATCGGCATCGGTGTCGAGAAAGGCGGGTCGCCCTTTGAATCGGGCTTCAAGAGTAAATCCGGCCTACTCCTCAACAGCACGGGTCACCAGACATCCTTCACCGTCAACCCCAACCCGGGAATCCCAGGCCTGTACCTCCCCGGCAAGACGTGCCAGGAAATCGCCAAATACCTACCACTCACCTTCGACACCTCCCTCCAGTACTACCTCTGGAACACAGACGACGAACGCTACGAAAAAATAATCACCTCCCCCTCCTACCTCAGCTTCACCTTCCCCTGGACCGGCGACTCCTCCTCCTCTTCCAACATAACCATCAAAGTCCCCTTCCTCCTCCTCAACCTCACCCTCGACGCCCCTCTCGTCTCAACCCCAACCCCTTACTTCCCCTGCATCCCCATCGACCCCACGGGCGGCGACGTGTACCGGCTGGGCCGCGCCTTCCTGCAAGCGGCCTTCACGGGCCACAACTTCATCGAGACGCACAGCTGGCTGGCACAGGCCCCCGGCCCGGGAACTGCGCGCAACGGCCTCGGCGTCGACCGCGTCGACCTCGCCGCCCACGCCACGGCCATCGAGACCAACGGCGATCCGGACGGCGCCAAGTGGGCCGCCAGCTGGGAGGGCTACTGGGAGCCGCTGGCCGAGGACGGGTCGCAGACGGCGACGCCGACGGCGCTGAGCAACCCAGAGACTAGCGGTGAGGATGGTGGTGATGGGGGGTTGAGCACGGCGGCGAAGGTTGCGGTCGCGGTGGTTGGTGTGGTGGCGGCGGCGCTGGTCGCTGGCTTGTTAGTGTGGTGGCGGCGGAGGAAGGAGAAGAGGCGAGTGGAGGAGGTGCGTGAGGGGCACCGGTTGAGGAGCGATAAGTGTCCGTTCGGCTGTCCTCACGGCATGCACGCCTTCCAGTGTCCGTTCAGACCGCCGGCCCCGCCTGTGGAGCTGTGGACGCAACCGCCGATGCTGCCCGGGACGGAGATCATGCATGAGATGCCCGGTAGTGGGCCTTTGTCACCCAGGGAGTTGGATGCTTGGAGGAAGTCGATGGCATCGAGGCGGTCAGGAATATGACGGGGGTTTGAGAAAGTTTCAATTCTTGATGTATGATTAAATGAGACATTGATGCTAAGAACAATATTCAGAAGTTCAGTATAATCGGAGGTGACGTACCCGATTCAAAGCTTCTTGACAGATTTGCGGCATGAAGCAGGAAGTTTCAATCCGGCGCAACTGGGATCCGCCGATTTCAAAAACATCAGGATCCGTGCATGCAATCTTACCACGGAAAGGTGCGAAGCAAACGGAGCCGCCTGCAAGGAGAGGCTGCTCATGAAACACCGGGAGGCAATAATGACGTCGCCGCAGCTCCTTCTTCCAAGCTTTCTCTCCTGAATCATAGCTGGCCGGGAATACCAAAGAAATTGCCTAGTACGGTAAGCGGGGGCTGCGGGGTGGCGGGGGGAAGCCTAAAGGGTGCGGGGGAACGTTCCATTCCAACTTTTTTCCCGAATGCACTAATGCGTCCTTCCCTGAGATCGAGCCACGATTGCCCGTCGTCATTGATCGCGCTAACAGATACCTTTTTGAGAATGCCTGCAGCAATGCAGGTGCGGAGTGACGTGCAGAACTAAACCTTAATCCATCGGACCTCAACCCTCCTCCGCTCCCGATATTAGGGACTTCTTTCACGGCTATGATTCATGCGAGACGAGATCGTCCAGGACGAGTCAAGGAAATACTATCCATTCAGATCTTCTAAAGGCCTCTATCATCGAGATACCGGAAATATTACGGGACATTAGCTTTGAAGCGCGTAGAAAGCATAATCCTTAGGAAGTGAATCTGTTTAGGAGCGCGAAACCTTTTCGCAGCGACAGGTAGGAAAAGCTTTGAGAAAAAGAAACGCAGTCATCTTCCAGGAGCAGAGCTGGGCTGTCATGACCGTTCAAAGGAGCTACAAGCAATCAACAACGACCTCTCAGTAGTCAAAAAGAAATATACACAGAAATGAATCTACGGGCAGTCATGTAAGAGGTGGATGAGCCAATGACGGATCATGCAAGCTTCTTTCAAGGCTGAGAAACGCCAGACTTAGAGGAACCTGTAAATTAATATATACTCTGTTCCATCCTGCAGAACCAATGGCTCTCATAAATCGTGCAATTAGCAAAATAAACATCAACATCAATAATAGTAATCCCTCGGCCTCGCTATGAGCCTAACTCCCTTCTGATCCCCCCACCTCCGTTCTACTTTTCCCCCTGTCCCCATCTACTTCTTCGATCTATTGGCTCCCTTCTATCATTAACTTTCTTCACTTCCTTCCAATGGTTTTCCAAGCCCCTCTAGACATAATCCTACTACCCCGTTGCATCCTCCATCGCTAAGGGGTAATGCTCTTACGACAACACTACCCAAGCCCCTTTAGCTCAGTGGTAGAGCGCGACACTAGTAATGTCGAGGCCATCGGTTCGACTCCGATAGGGGGCAGGCGCCTTTATCCAAGACCTTGGAAGTCATCAATTGATGACCAGCCTGTCTTTTTTTTGTTTGGTGCCACGACAACCTCTTCGGCGAGACTGCGGAACGAATGGCGGGCAGGGGAGGGAACGGCACGCGAACATGGAATGTGGGGCAAGGGGGTGGAAGAAGGGCCGGTGCGGATTGGCCGTTGCAATTTTTTTTGGGTGCACAGAAGTGGGAGTAGTTGGGACGATGGGGCGGATCTGGGTGAAGGTCGAAAGGCAGTGTCGTGTGCAGTTGATTGGAAAACGCGAACACAAGCAGGAGAAATGTCAAATGGTACGAAGAGCCATGAGTTTGCTTCAATGTTCCAGAGCATTTCAGAACGAGGGGGGTGTGAGAATGTTGCAGGGATGGGGCTGGTAAAAGATCGGTAGCTCCCGGCGCCGAGGCATGCACACGTTCCACGCGACGACCCGAGACATCTTTGCGGTCAAGGAGCGAAAACGTAACAAAGAACGACTGAAACAAACCACATCGGCATTTGATGGATGGGAGCACAAAATAAAGCTGTTCGAGACTCGCTGCGTGCGATGTGAAGTCTCATTCTCGTAGATCGAGGGTAAAATGACCATGGCTTGATGCACAGGGGACCGGAAATTCTACCTGGTTCACCCGAAACAGGCAAGACCAGAGGAGCATTTCGTCGTGTTGCCAAAGAAGCGGCACATCCGCTCTCGATGGCAGTTCTTCGGATCGACATAAAATGAGAGGCGAGGATCGTGAGTCACACTTCAGAAGTGGAGAAAGCGAGACCCACGGTAGCGTGCAAAAAGGGCAAAAAAATAAGCCAATCTTAGCTGCGAATGGTTTCGATCCATTGTCCTCCGGGTTATGAGCCCGGCGCTATTAAGGTCGTTAGTTAACTGATTCGAATTGTGAATCTAGAGGATGGTAATAGCTTACCGCTTCCGCTGCGCCACGCAGCTTTTTGTTGCTGACTTGTAAGAAAGAGTGGCGGATATCCTTTATGACTTGTGCTTGTTATGCAACCTGCGGATGGGAATGAGGGCTTGGCCAAACAAAGCAACAAAGCAGTGGGATGAAGAAAACACCCACATGTTATGCGTTCTTGATGGATGATTGAAGATCTAAGAAATTTTGAGGGTTTATATGATCGTTGCGACTCCAGCATGGTGCTGTAGTCTTCGTGCATGCAGGTGACAGACAGGAACGAATGCCTTTAAGATGTGAAGCTAATATATCACAACCAGAGCCTCGTTGATCAAGATTATGAAGCCGGTACGGAGGACTCTCCTTCCTCCAGCAGCCCTTGCTTCGCCGCCCTGTCCACCTCTCCGAGCCGTTTTGCCCTTCCACCACCTCTTCCCCGTCCTCGATATCCTCTCCCACGTCCACTAGGTCTTCTATTATCTCCGCCAAATCCGCCTCCAGCCTTGTTACCAACGGCGAATGGGATTCGTATCAAAGGCTTTTCCACCCATTCGACACCCTTCAGGCTCAATCGTTCCTTCTCCTTCTCCGGCAGTCGCCATGCCTGGAACAAGCCCATCAGCATCTCCTCTCCCTTCCGTCCTCCATCCTGCGCGCCATCCACGTCCACATCGCGGAGTTCTTCAACCCACGTTTTGATGTACTCTCCGCCTTTATCGTAATCAAGAGCTTGTTTAACAGGATTGAACTTGCGACCTTGGCGGGGATCATTTCCGACACCCGCCACATACTGCCAGTTCCCCCAGTTGTTGCTCAGGTCGTAATCGGTGAGCATGCATTCGTACCATTCGGCTCCGACACGCCAATCAATGCCCAAGTGCGACGAGAGGAACGAGGCAACATTCTGCCTCGCACGGTTAGACGTATAGCCGGTAAGGAACAGTTCGCGCTGAGAGGCGTCTATGAGACCAATGCCGGTGCGTCCAGAGCGAAAGCGTTCGACAACCTGGCGCGTCTTCGCAGGGTCGTCGCCGGCGCCGCCGCTGCGGTCGAGAAAACGCCATTTCCTCTTGCCGTCCGAATTTTCCGACGCTTCGTCCGAGCGGAAGCCATCGACGTGGAACAGCCTTGGTCCGAACTTGCGGGTGCAGAGGCGCATGTAGTCACGCCAGAGCAGCTCGAAGCGCACTGCGGCCGTACCGGGGTTCTCTCCCTTGCCAAAACCCGGTGCGGCTTTCCAAGCGTCTGGTACGTCGGAATTTCCGTCTTCGTAGGCTACCAGCGATGCGTGGACTTGGCGAGCGGTTACGCATCCTAGTGCGAGCCAAGCCGATAGTTTGGTACTGTAGTCCTCTCCAAGAAGCCCGTTTCGCGTGTCTTTGTAATCAGCCATGGCTCCAGAAGAAATCAGGTGCGACAGTCGTTTCCGAGCTGAAAACTCTCCTCCGGAAAATGGGTGCCCTGACTTTGCCCCTGAGGGCCATTTTGGCGGCTCTTCGACGTCCATGGACGGGCGTAGAGGCTTGTGCAATGAGTCAATCATTGAAGAAAGGGATTCAGGTGACGTAAAAGGGTCGGCCTGTGGAGGGATGGATTCGGCGGGAGGAAGCGGTGGCAGAGACGAGGGAACAGGCAACGTCGCTCGTGGTCGAGAACGAAGCGGTTCTAGCGATTTACGGAATGTGGTATAGACGTCGGCAAGGTCCTTGATATCTGTGAAAGGCAGGTCTCGGCTGTGTTGGAACACGGAATTAGTACTGGAGGATGTTCAAAAGTCAGTTTGCACTTACTCGTCGATGAAGAACTTCTCGTCGCGCCAGAGCTTGAATTCGACGCCATTGGCCTCGGCAACGTTTCTGGCATCGCGCTGCTCTCTTTTCTCCTCGACTCCCTCTTCTGCCGTCATCCAGATTGCTGATATCCTTCCACTTGGCGTGCCCTCGCTGCTCCCATACTTTGCCAGCAGGTCTTGTAGCACGTCACCCACCATGCCGACTCTGATTACAAGGCCGCTACCGATCTTTCCTAGGGATTCTTTCAAATCCCACACGCTCTCGGCTAGGAACTTGGCGCGGTGGGTGCCACATCTCCAAAAACCAGCGACCTGGCTGCGGGCTTCTGGATACGGGCTTTTCGCGGCAGGCTTCAAGAAACCGGAGATTTCGACCTGGTTCGCTGGGAGGACGTACAAGGGTAAGACATGGGTAAATTGCGGAGAATTAGAAGCGGCCAGATGGTGTAATACTGGGTTGTCGGCGAGGCGCAGATCTCGCCGGAGTAAATATATCAGGATCCGGGGAGCTGACGTCGACATGACCCGGGTGACACAGAGTGTGGTGGGAAGCGGTGACGATTGGCAAGAGGAAAAAAAGCTATGGGAATCTGCAGGCAGAAACTGCTGTGCGGCGCGGTGGATATGTATGCACAGGTGGGCCTCCAGGGAGTGGGAGCTGAGCGTTTGCCCAGACAGGAAAGCTGGGGTGGATCAGGCGGGTGAGATGGCCTGGGGCGCGTGAGGATTTGTGCATGTCCATCTGCACATTTCGAGACGCTCGGGCAGCCAGATCCTCAGCGTCATCAGGGTTCAGTGAGCGAGCTAGCCGGTGAGGGCTGGCAGACGGCCGGTTGGGCCCGATACGAGCTTGGCCATGCAGACTCTGGGGCCAGCAGCCAGGAACGGGCGTGGGTGTGCATCGATGACGGGGTCGATTAGGGCGCAAAGTGGTGGGCATGTAGATCGAAGGGCTGCGTGTGGATGGAAAGCTAGCTCCACTAGCCCAGATCGCCGCCCGGCCAGCAGGGAAGGAACAGTCCCTCGCTAATCTCCAAAGTACCAACCTCTCGAGCAGCGCGGACATCGGCACGCCAGCCGCTGCCCAAGCCGCCGGTTTCGTCCCGCGGCCAGACCAGTCGACGGACCCTCTGCGCGTGCATGACGTCGCGAATGCAGGGCTTGCGTAGGCTCGCGGCCCCGCAGGAGGCACCGCTAGCCGATATTGCCCGTGTTATTGCTTCGCCTGCGTGAGGTGGTTACACGTCGAGTCGTCGCCGCCGACCGGGGCAAGAGCGTGGCGCGCGCATCGTCATCACCTGGGCTTGCTCGGTTGCCGTTTTGGTGGTGCACAGTGGCCGGATACGGCAATGCCCCAACGGCGCCCCCGCACGGCTCCTGGAGGCATCCTCCACGTGCCTGTCAAGCCGACAGGGCCTAAACCAAAGTGCCGGGCGCCCAAGGCCGTTATATGCATCGTGCCTTAACCACTCGCCGCCACTTCTCGTCGACCTCTGCCACCGCTCACCGGTCCCGGCGGCAGTCCCGCGCAGCGCTACCTCAGCCCGCCGCCCCAAGCTGCAGCAAGCACTGTTGCCAGCAGTCGGACCCAGGCCCGATGCGACGTTCCAACTGGGGGAGCGGCCAAAAAGCATCGTTATTTGCGTAACATGCCGCGCTAGATGGACGCCACATGCAATCTCCCGGTTCCGCACCTCAACTTCCACTCCAAACTTTATCTGACTTCTCATATCCCCGCTATTACAGCGGCTCATTAAGCTCACCGGATCCTCACCCGCCGCGAGCCACATTTGCTTCTTTTCGTAATGCTGACATGCCGCTCGGCAACCACGCCTCAATCTATTCCAAGCCACTCACCTCGTCATCCACTCGTTTCTGCCTGAGTCTCCAACCTCGAGACAATGTCTCCGCTCCATCTCCACCTCAGCCACGGGCCTCGAACCACCTCTCTTCTGCCTTGCCCCTTGTGGCGTGCTAGAACCACCGACCCTCTTCCCTGTTCTTCGCCCACGCTTACTCGACATGGCAATCCGACGCGGGCACACGCCTCATCTATCGGAAACCTTCCAGATCTTGCCGCTTAATGCACCCGAAGACTTGTTCTTTCGTACGACCCACAAGCACAATTCAAGGAGTACATTGTGTTCCGTTCGACGAAGATCTTGCTCACTTGACACCCTTTCTTGTTTCATTCGCTTTTTTCCGCCACTTTCCCCAGTCCATGACGCGATTCGAATGCCTTCTTCTCCTCGGTTCGGCCCGACCCGATGGTGAACGCCTTCAAACCTCTCCACCTTCGACGGTAAAGGCCGAATCATCGTGACGATTAGCTTCTTATAAAGACGTCTCTTCGGCCCGAGAAGAGGGATCCCAGCAAGAAAAAGAAAGGAGATGCCGCGTCATCGACAACGGAATCAAAACTAGTAACTCATGCAGCATCGATCACCACTCATTGCTCGGAACATTCAATGTGTCACCATGGTCTGCACGACATCTAACACGCTAGCCCTTCACCGCCAGTGCAAACAATTATCGCGCTTGTCCGCAAGCACTCGACGCTAATTGACATGCATGTTGGTTCCTGACTCACTTCGATGAGATTGGAACAACATACGCCACGTCCTAGGAGTCGTGGCAATAATGCTTGCAAAGTATTACAAGGGACCCATCCAGATTCTCGGGTGGAGATCTTCGTAATCGGATCATCTGAAACCGGCGCCTTAGTCCGTTTGATCAGGTCCCTGATTCCCAGGTTATCATTGCGCAACGGCCCGTGGGGGCTCTTCACAACCCTAAGGAAAAAGGAATTCATGGAAGCGCACGGCCAGACGGGATGAGCATTGTCCTACGGGCTATTGTTGGAAGGAAAAACAAAAAAACAAAGATCGAACATCGATGAGAAAGAAAGAATAAACAGAAACAACAAAAATAGTGATAGTGACGACCCGAAAAAAAATAACACGGCTCAGACCGTCGATGACTCTCCAGCTAACTCCCACCCCACTTCATCGTCAGCCTCCCCAAACCGCCATGTATTAACTTCTATTCTACCTGCTGCTCTCCCCCGCTCGCCGCCTCCCCGCCCCACATGCGCCAAGCCGCCGTTGCGGAATCGCCGTAGATTTATGAGCCTCTGACGGGGGGCATTCTGCGGGTGCTGACAAAAAGGTGATATGTGGGACGATTGCAAGGGAAAAAAACGGAAATCCGATGCCCCCACCATCGGGGCCCAGGTGTGGATACCGGATCACAGAGATGACGGTTGGGGGTGTGAGCGGGAAAGGGCGTGATTGGACAATGAAGCTAACGGGAAGAGAGGGGACCACTTGCGATCTCGTGGGTGGTGGACGTGCGCACTGTGCCTGTCGACAGAACCTCGGCCCGTTCGTCATTTTTATCCTGCTCGCGGGTGCACATGTTGTGTGGGTGTGCTGCGTGTGCTGCGTGTGGGCATATGAGCCGACGACACGAGATCTTATGCACGTAAACTCGAATCGAGCGGGCGCGTGAGTCCCCCCTCTCGCATGCCCACACACCCTTTGGTTCTCTGCGTCATTGACAAGTTCCCGAGATTCTCGGCTGAAGTAGTTGAAGAGCTGGTGACGCACACGTTTGCCTCATCAGGCATTCTATCATTTGTGGCATGGAACACGGTATACGACGTAACGCGGAATCGGCGCTTATTCCGATGCAACAACTCCTCGTCGTCGAAATGAAACGTGCTTCTGTGGGGCAGAAGGTGATGAGAAGCGAAAAAGCAAGAGGAACGTGTGGAACCATAAGCGATTGCTCCTGCGGGCGAATGTGGGAAGGTTTAGACGCGAGAAGGGGTTCGCGTCGGAGGAGCGGCTGAGCACCGAGTCATAATCCTGATGGCCTACATCGGATCGACAGAAAATCGTGACATTATCGAACGTCTCCTGCAGTGGGATTCGCCGAGATAAAGTTGTGAGAAGTTAACGGAGATAATGGCCCTGATCTCGCCCGGGGGGAGGCAGCCATGTCAAGCGGCAGCAACTCATAATGGTTCCTGATCAAAATAGCCAATCGTTGGCATGCTCCCCATTGCCGAACTTGCCGAGCGTGATTGTGATTGGATGGAACCCAGACGTGTGATATGTGCGAATAGAGTAAAGAGATGCCTGCGTGTGATGCCGCGGTGAGCTAGCTGCTAATACATACATACAGCCATTTAGTGCTGTGAACAGGCTCATTCGATAAGAATATGCGACTAGAGCAGCAGCGAGTCCCAAGTACTCGCATTATCAGGGTCGTGATCTGGCGCAAGATCCGGGATCTGATTCATGTTGTTGAGCCAGTAAGTTGAGTCGAACGTATTGGCATTGTCCCAAAAGGCCATAGATGGGAGGTTCTCATCCAGAGGCGCCAGAGTATCGTTCAGTCCAGGTGCAAATTCCGGCACAGTCCCATCCGCAAGGTTTCTCGGGAGCTGGGACGAGGAAGATTCGGCAAGCGTATCGCCGGACCACCATGATTCGCCTGAATCACCCGATCCGGTAGACTTTGTTCCGCCGATTTTCAGGATCTCTTTAACTTTCTCGTAGCAGGTGCGAACTACCTGTAGTCCTGAATTCGCTGTAGGATTGCTCTTTGCCATGATGTTGAGTCTGCTGAGGGCTTTTTGCAATGCTTCGTTTATCCGCTTCTTTACCTCATCATCCGCAGGAGGATACATGACTATGATCGCCGAAAGCATGATACAGGAGTCGATTGTGTAAAAAGTGAGTCCAAACAGCTTGTAGTGATGAGGTTTGCTTATAGAAAAGTAGCGCTCCTGCGCGTTCAGGACGTTGAGTGCTGCTTGCACGGCAGCTCGTCGACTTTCAACATGAATTGCCATATGGGATCGATGGAGAACCATGATCATGTTGTGCGCCACGCTAATGATCTGCCACCTTTTTGTGGGTAGAACCGGGTACTTCTGGTCGAAGGATGTGTCTGGGTTTTCCGGTCTGACGAGAGGTGGAGCACTGGCCATTATTGATAGGATCTGTTTGTGAAAGTTCCAAACGATGCCGTAGTCTCTCGTATAGGGCTTGTCTGCCATCATTTCTCGCATCTCGTGGACTTTCTTTGAGAGTTCATACTGGACGATAGTGCTGGAGAAAAGAGATGGCATATCGTCATCGCCAGACGGTGGGGTTGCCAGTGGGACTTTACTTGACGGGTCATTGGGAATGTTGCAATCCATCGGGGTTCTAATGTCGCAGTCGCTGATGTTGATCTGCCGCGGGCGACCCAAAACCCAAGCCATGAAACTGCACCAATTAGATCACATCTCTGCCGTATTTCTTTCGCACACTCACCTGTTCCAAGAGAATAGGACGATCCAGATCCGTCTCTTATGCTCGTCGTACCAGAGTTGTTTCAGGGTTTCTTCCAGACATGTGGATTGTTGAATTTCGGCCTGGCGATGCAGACCGATCTCCTGAGCTTGTCTAAGACTATGTCAGTGCTTTATTTTGCTAATGCAGGGCGGTATACTTACATGATTGCGTCATTCAGAGCATGCCATGCTTCAGTTCCACGCGAGGAGTTTTTCAGCCACACAGCTCTGAGAAAGTCGGTCTGCACTGCACTAAGAGTGGGATCATGACGTCCCAGAAGATTCATGATCTCCATAGCGATGTCGCTGAATTTCTGAGAAAGCCGGTCACATTCTGTCGCGTTCGCTACAGAGAGTTCTTTGAGGCAGGGCGCATTTGGTGGGATGAGTTGCAGAGCCATTGCGCAGACTTGGAACAAAAGAGCGCCGAAATACTGGATGTCGCGAGACACGCCCTTTGGGCCGGTGTATCGGGTGGTCGTAGAATTCAGGGCGAACCAGCTCGTAAATAGCTCGTTGAAGAAGGGGCGTTCGGCAATGGGATAGGACCAATTGCTCTCAACGAAATACACTTCGGTGAGCTCTTCGACGATGGCCTTGGTGGGCAGATTTTTGATGAATGCAAGGTATTTGGTCTCAGCCTCATCAGCATACTGTGTCCGATTGTTGTTCGATGTAGCCACGCGGAAAAAGTTGTCTCCTTCCAAGATCTGTGTCTGTTAGAGAAAAAGGCTGCTGATGCCGAATGTTGGCTTTTACCTTCTTCAAGTCGCCGAAAGCTGTCGCCCCCTCTAGGGCGGAATAGCCTTGCTTGTCCTGATTTCCGGTGCTTCTTGGGAGCGGCGCACCAACATCCTGGCTATTGGTGGTAATAAGCGAAGAGGTCACTAAACGGGAGCTTCACAAAAAGACGACATACGCGACCTCTCCATAAAAGCACTTGTCTGGAACCTCGCGCGCTAAGCAGACATTGCACGGCTTCTTGCGGTCGCACTAGGGGCGAGTCAGAAAGGGATCACGCCAGGCGGTATTCCCGCACCTTTTGTTTGCGACGATGGCATTCGGCACAGGCCGTGACAACACGTCGCTTTTTGGGCTGCTGTTGTTGTTGACTTTCCATATTGCGTCTTTCAACGGTCGGGAGCGTAGAGAAGAAGCGTGCGGGATGGCGAGCAGGCTCTTAAAGTATAAGGCCCCGGAATTTAGCACAAAGTCCGCCTAATGCCCGGAATGGTTTAGGCCAAGAGATGTTGCAAACGCTCATACTCGGACCGGTCCGAATACGATTCGGATTGGTGAAGTTGTAGTAGTTTGTAGAAATGCCCAAGGATGAGATGGTTCACCTAAAAGTCGCCAAGACCCACGAAGGAGCTGCGCCCGGACGGGAGCTTTGCAACTCTCTGCTGACTTTATACTAGCAGCTCTGCGTTGCGAAGGGCATCATGACGGCCCCTCTTCTTCTGCTACACGACATTGTGAGCTACGTCACCGGTCGTAGCGACGCTCTCTGTTTCCGCCCGGACTAGCCTTGCTTTCCGATGGAGTGGGTTTGAAATGCAGCATGTGCGGCTGTGTATGTGGTGCACGACACGTGTTGGGCGCGATCAACCGGGGGTGCGGCCATTCCCCGGGTCCATGGCGATCGCTCCGCCGAAGAACCCACTGCCGTAGGCTTGCCGAATCCCGACGCACTTGGCTGAGAAGCCTGTCCGCCACCGGCCTGCTCTCCGACAGTCAACGGCTGCGATGCCCCTGGATGCGGACGAGGGCCCTGCGCCCACGTGCCGGGTGATCTTCCCGATCGATTCTGATCCTCACCATGTCACATGCCATCTTTCCACTTTGCATCTGTCTGGACACAACTCCATCACTCCTTCTTGGCGGAACTGCCCAGCAAAGCGCCGCTCGTTAAGGCCTTCAGTGCGTCAATGACTTCATAGCGCCTGTCGCACAACCGCCGTTGCTCACCCGCGGTTACACCTGTCTTCCGACTCTGCGATCCATACATCAACCGTCTTCAAATCTCTCTGGCCGCATCACGCGACAATGGCCGGTTCCCTCACCCTGGTGCTCTCCGCAATCGCTGGTTTGATTGTCGCGCTTTGGGCAGCAGCACAGACCGGCGCGAATCCACCTTTTCAGCTGCCCTTTCTTTCTCAACAGTGCCATGATGCAGGCACCCTTCACGGCTACTATGCATCATCGCCTTATTCTTCGAGCTGGAGGAGCTGGTGGAACAAGGACCGACATGTCCCCTCGCTAAACGGTGCGCGCTTGGGCACCGAAGGCAGAGGCCAGGGTGGCGGCGCTATCGGCAAGGATTGGAATGTCCTTTACCACCTTGGAGGTAACGGTCCTTGGGTCGAGAAAGTTGATGGTATTCTTGATCATGGTATTGTGCTGCCCGAGGGTTGCACGGTCGAGCAGGCGCACATGGTAAGTCTTCGAATTTATTATTGGCTCTAACTTGTTCGATGGGGAAGTGCAGCAGCCAACAATATTCTCCGACGGAAATCGGGGACTTTGTTCGGGCTTTAAGGAGAAAAAATATGAGGTCGGTTGGCCTGGTACTACAATGATTCCGAGATGGTTGAAGTTATTCTCCGGATTGCTGTGCAACTATACCTGGATGGATGCTTCAACTGGCCGTCTGTTGCAATACTAAGCCAACCGACCTCGTATTGACTTTGTTGGATTCCGCACTTCCCCGGCGAACATGTTAGTCCGATCGACGGTGCATTTAAGCTTAACGCTGACCAATTTTCTTACAAGATGTCACGGCATCATGAGCGGTTCCCAACTTTCAAGGCCGGTAGCAGTGTGTAAAATCTCATTCATCTGCAGATTTTCTAAGGATGCTAACAAAAATCTAGAGCAAATTGACTTACTAAAACGGGTCAAAGACTCAAACGTCACTTTGAAAGGTGACCTGGCATTCGCCAATGACTGGGAATACTTCACGCCAGGTACGTGCGTCTGCTCAGTTTTATACCTGGGCACTGTTCTCACCGCTTCTAGACCCTGAGCGGGACTTTGAACAACTTACCAGCACTGGCCCTTTCTCTGGAGTTCTCGGAGCTTTTACGACCGGGGTCCGGCTCCGTACTCGCTACCAGCACCTGTTGCCATCAGGCGGTAAACCGAATTTCTGGGCAGGAGACTCGCCTCGAGTCATTGACACGGCCCGCTACTTCGCTGCTGGCTTCTTTGGTCTCGACTGGGAGAATCACTCCACCTTGCACATCATCCCGGAAACGGCTGAGCTTGGTGCGGACACGCTTACCCCTGGTGACACCTGCTACGCCTACATCGAAGACCTGGAATATGGTCATGATTACGGCGCGCGCATGCTCGCCCAGTATCGAGCAACATACCTAAGCGAGATTCGAAAGCGGTTGCTAAAGCAGAATCCGGACATTGAGTTCACCGACACCGAGCTCTACTCCATGCAGGAGATGTGCGGGTTTGAGACGACCGTGCGTGGAAGCAGTGCTTGGTGTGACGTCTTCTCCAAGGACGAGTGGTTGAGCTTTGAATATGCTCGGGATGTCATTCACTTCTACCGTGCTGGTCCAGGAAACAGATTCGGAGCACTGATGGGATGGCTATGGTTGAACGCTACGACGAATCTGCTTGTTGAGGGCCCATCTGCCGGACCGCTCTTCTTCAGCTTGTATGTTGTCCGTGCCCCGATGTCGGACTGTGCTGACGTTTGTTCACAGCGTTCACGACGGCGACATTGTGCCGATGCTCGCTGCATTGGATATTTTTCACGACGACGAGGATTTGCCGATAACGCATCGAGCCGATGGCCGTGCCTGGAAGACCTCTCAGATCACCCCAATGGGTGGTCGCATCATATTCGAAAGGCTGTCATGTCTTTCAGGAAGCGAGTCTTCGACGAAGACCTTTGTGCGCATCAATGTCAACGACGGAATCGTGCCGGTGCCAGGCTGCAATAGTGGCCCAGGTGGAAGCTGTCCGCTTGCGGAGTTCGCGGAAAAGGTCAGACATAGGGGTGCGGAGCTGGGAGACTTCAGGGAGAAGTGTGGTCTTGGCGACGACATGCCGGACAGAATCACGTTTCTGCACCAGTAGAAAGGCGTGCGTATGTGGCGTAAGCGCGCAAAATCCTGGCTATAGAAAAGAAAAATCAATAGAAGGGCATCTCGCCAGCTAATTTGTGCCAGTTTGGCCTCGCCTGCGTCTTCCGGCGGTCGCTTGCGAGTCGAATGGTGGTTTCATAGAGGATTAGGGAGGCCGCCAGTGTCGCAACTTCTAGAAGCGCTTGGACGGTCGAGTCAGGAAGTTGGCAGCTCGCAGAGTCATGTAGATCTGACAGCTGAAGTTTTCTCGCAGACAGCAAGCCAAGTGAAACAAAACCATCCCTGGCGCACATCTGCGCAATTGCCGTAGGGCATTTTGCAGCGTTACAGATAAATTGCCGGCGGCGACCGGACCGTACTGTTTATTAACCGCCGCACAACCGTCCCCAGAAACCCCACAGTAAAGTTAAATCGGGCTCATCTCAACTGCAGATTGGTGGAGCCCGATTAACAACAATGCGGATCACGGCCTCCTTGGTACTGCCGGGAGGTTGACGTGATGACCCGAGCTCACCGTCCCGTTTCGAATTCGGTTCACATCCGTTCGGACGGAAGCTTTCCGGCCCATACTCATGCCATTCTACAGTGAACAAGAGTCAGTGTTGGTAGTTCACCGAATAGTCCGCAGCGTCCGGGCACAAGTTCTAGGCGACCGTTACCATATAAACATGCATCCCCTACCCACCTGGCCCTGTGCAACCTCTGTCCTTTCGTTCTACAGACTGCTAAGCAGCTAGCCTTCCATTCTTTGTACAATATAAGCTTGAAGCTTTGTTCACTCTTTACCCCTACCATACATACCTTTGCAAAGCAGCTCGAAATGTCTTCGCTCCTTGTCATCCTCACCACGCTGGCCGCCACCTCCCTCGCGGCGCCCTACCGCTCCGCCGGCTACCGGCCGGGCTACAGCACGCGTCACCGCCAGATCAACACGACGGCGGCGAGCGCCCAGTGCCCGATCCTGCTGGACGGCCGCGTGCCCGCCAACGCGACCCTGGCCTCGTTCGACACGGCCAACGGCATCTTCAACCCGGACTACGTCAAGGGCAACAACGTCACCTGGTCGCAGATCCTCGAGGAGCCCGCCGGCGCGCTGGCGTCCAAGTTCGACGCTGCCCCCGAGTACAAGGCCATCGAGGTGACCATCGACGACGACTCCATCTTCCAGAAGCAGTACGGCTTCCGCCGCGCCGGCCTGCAGTTCGCCGCCGACAGCTCCAACGACACGTCCGACTCCGGCGTCGTCACCCTGCACTGGAGCGTCAAGCAGGACTTTGAGAAGCCGCTGAACCTGAGCCACGAGTACCTGGTAAGTTTTTCATAGAACGGATGGAGGGAAAGGGGTAGAGGGATGGATCGTGGATTCGAAAACGTGGAGCCCCCAGCTGACCTTGAATTCTCCCCCCTAGAACGTCTGGCACGAGGCCGCCGACTACAGCGCCAACCAGTTCAACTTCAACACTGGCTACCGCATCGGCACCAACGGCTCCGACAAGGAGTCGTGGCAGCTCCTCGGCCGCGACTCCAACCTCCTTTGGTCCACCCCCATCGACTTCACCAACTGGCAGAACTTCGCCCTGACCCTGGACTACACCGCCAAGTAAGACACCCCAGCCAGGTCATTCGACCCGTCGTTACGTAATAATCCACTAACATGGAAAATCAGCACCCTCACCATCTACACCTCGAAGAACGAGGAGCCGCTCGAGAAGGCGGGTGGTCCCTTCACCAACGACAACTCCGGCGCCGGCCAGTTCCAGATTGGTATTCTCAAGAAGCCGACTGGCACTGATGATGTCGTCAACAGTGGTTTCCAGGAGAGCAACTTCAAGGAGGGCCAGATTTATGGTGGCATCTTCGTCGAGAACAGCGCCAACGGTTGCATCTCCCTGTAAGATGTTGATCAGAAGGAGCAGATCTGATGAGAGGCATTAATTTCTTTCCAACTTTGACATGTTGGCCGGTTAAATCCTAAAGAATATGTTTTTGGGGCGCGTTGAGTCCCTTTAATGAGGCATATGATGATAGTGATGGTCAAGATGATGTTTTAGCACAAAATCCGAGATGCGGGTTGTACCGGCTGTGTGAATGCATGTGTTCGCTCGATTCTATAGCCAATATTCTCTTTTCTTCATGTAACATCACATCAACGGACATGCTGCAGTGGATCCGCTGAAGTTGTCGATAGGCTCGACAGTTGAGCCCGCTTTCTGCCCATAACGCCCTGCAACCTCGGTAGGCTTTTGAATTGATCCACGCTAACATTGTAGTTACATCTCTTCGCACTATTATCACGCGCTTCAATCGAACTGTAGACCTCATCAGTGTGGCTTCTTGGCGGATAAACAAGCGAATACATACAGGAGTCAAGAAAGACTCGGCAACGAAACGCGCTCTAGCGTTCAACTGTCACGGACATTAGTTCATGTTCGTCGATTGGCCGATAGCTGCCCGAGATTCGGCTTAGGCTGCGTTGTCCGGGGCCACTTACGAAGAGCTTCATTTCCGAAATCTCCTTGTCCACTTCCTCCATGAATTGAATAATGAAGTCCACCAGCTTGTGCTTCAACATCTCCTCGGTGTGGAAGTTCGTGATCAGGAAGGAAATGTCGTATCCCTAAGAGACGTCAGCTCCACCGCCCTGAGCGCAACCAGGGGCAACGTGCGCACCTTAATCGGCTTCCTCCGCAGGATGAAGAACGACTCGGCTCTCTGGGTCAGGAACCTCGTGAACTTGTGGACCAGGATATGCTCAATCTCATCCGCCTGCTTGATCTTGATGCTGATTCTAATCGAGTTGATACTCGGCTCGATGAAGACGCGCTCGTTCTCATTGCGGGAAACGGTCAAAGGGTTCAAAAGTACTTCGGGTGACGTCTGCGCCTCGATCTCAGGGACGTTGTGGCGTTCCGACGCCTGCGAGGCGAAGTTGGAGAGCGAAAGCGCCGCCGTGAGCGAGGAGCGGACGCATTGGAGGTACGGCCGGAGAGATTGCGACTACCGCAAGGCATCAGCGAGCTGCGGCCATGGTTTCGGAGGATGCGGAAGGTAGGTTTACCATTTTGACGGGGCGCAACCGGCGGGCGGGACCAGGATAGGTGCGGAATGTTGGGGGAGCTTGGGCTGGCGGTACGGAGGAGCTCCCTAGACCTGGGGGTATGATGTGGTGAGGCGGGGGCCCTTGGGCGGTGATGCGCGGCAGGTGCGGGCCTGGCTGTGTCTCCGAAGAAGTCCCGGACGCGCCGGTGCCCCAGGCAGGCAATTACATACGCAGCTCACAGCTTGGCTTGGCGCGGTGAGCTAATCGCCGGGCAACTCTATCCAGGACATTCCATCCGCTGCGTTCGCCGCTCGTTCTGCCCTCCCCAGCTGCCAACCTCCCCCCGGGGCGAATCTCCGCGACCCTACCCACCACCTTTGTTTCCATCATCCAACCGCCAAAATGGAGCCCATTCAAGGTACGCTGCCCCGCTCCCATTCCTCATCATCATCAGCATATCGTGGCGCATTACCCCCGTCGTATACCACAGCACGCATCCATACAGGTGGCGCGGATCGTGAGGGCATTTGCACGTCGAGCACTTTGCCCCGATGCTCGAACTCAGTAGAAGCAACGCCTTGGCCCTTACGACCACGCGTCTTGATTTATAATACGGACATCGCTGACTGACTTGCGCCACAGTGGTTGTCAAGCACCAAGGAAAGAAGTACGATGTCGAACTAGACCCCTCAAGCACCGGCGAGACCTTCAAGTTCCAGCTGTTTTCCCTCACCGGCGTCGAGCCCGAACGTCAGAAGATCCTGGTCAAGGGTGGCCAGCTCAAGGATGACACCGACCTCTCGAAGCTTAACGTCAAGCCTGGCCACACCTTCATGATGATGGGTACACCTTCCGGAGATGCCAAGGGTCAGATTGAGCGTCCCAAGGAGAAGATTCGCTTCCTCGAGGACATGACCGAGGCCGAAGCCGCCCAGTCCGCTGGCGCGATACCTGCCGGTCTCCAGAACCTTGGAAACACTTGCTACATGAACTCGACGTTGCAGACCCTGAAGTCTATCCCGGAACTGAGGGATGAGCTGGTTAAGTACAAGCCTAGGTAAGACATCTGAGAGGCCAGGATGCCACCGAGAGCGTGCTGACGCGATAAATAGTGGTTCCAGCGGCGCCGGCCCAAGTGACTTTAGAGCCTTCGGCCTGGGAGGTCTTGGAGCGTCCTCCGACCTTACTGAATCTTTGCGCGACCTATTCAAGCAAATGTCCGAAACCCAAGAGGGCTTCCCTCCCATGATGTTCCTCAACGCGCTACGGACCGCCTTCCCCCAATTCGCACAGAAGGCCAAGGACGGTCACGGATATGCCCAGCAGGATGCTGAGGAAGCCTGGTCCCAGATTGTCACGCAGCTCCGCCAGAAGCTGAAGTCGAACGATGCTTCGCAGGAAGCTTCCGAGTCTTTTATCGACAAATACATGTCTGGCAAGTTTGAGACGGTCATGGAATGCGACGAGCAAGCCGCCAAGGACGGAGGCGAGCAGCCAGTCAAGGGCGAGGACACTTTCCTCAAGCTGAACTGCCACATCACGGCCGAGGTTAACCACCTCCGTGAGGGTCTCGCCGCAGGCATGCAAGAGAAGATTGAGAAGAACTCTGAAGTCCTCGGCCGCAACTCCATGTACACGAAGACTTCCCGCATCGCGAGACTCCCGAAGTATCTCCCGGTCCACTTCATGCGCTTCGATTGGCGAAAGGATACGAGCAAGAAGGCCAAGATCATGCGAAAGGTCACCTTTCCCCACGAGCTCGATGCTGTTGAGTTCTGCTCCGAGGATCTGAAGAAGTTGCTCATCCCCGTTCGTGACAAGATCAGAGAGATCAGGAAGGAGGAAGAGGATGTCGAGCGGGCCAGGAAGCGGAGGAAGCGCATCCAGCATGGCGAAGACGTTGAGCCAGCGGAGCCAAAGGGCAAGGGTCCCGCAAGTGAGACCGAACTTGCCAAGGAGAAGAAGGACTCACAGAAGAAGGCATCTGGCAGCACAGATGTTGATATGGAGGACGTAGAGTACAAGACTGACGCTCAGATTGAGGCTGAGCGTACTGCCTCAATTCTGAAGGCGAAGAAGGAGCTGCTTGAACTGGTCGATGGAAAGCTTCTTGCCGATGACTCTTGCAACAAGACCGGGCTTTACGAGCTTCGTGGCGTCATCACTCACCAAGGTGCTACGGCAGACAGTGGCCATTACACGTCCTTCGTCAAGAAGGAAGGTCAGAAGGACCCTGTAACCGGCAAGCGCAAGGAGGAAGATGGCAAGTGGTGGTGGTTCAACGACGACAAGGTCTCTGAGGTCGATAACGACAGGATTGAAACCTTGTCTGGCGGCGGTAAGTATTTGTCGAGGTGAATATTTGGAAATTGTACTAATTGTTTCCTAGGCCAAAGTCACTCTGCCTTGATTTTGCTCTACCGCGCCGTGGGCATTCCCAGCAAAGAAGATATCGCGGAAGCTGAAGAACAGGCCAAGCCTACTGCTTGAGCTGCTCCGTTCGCGCTGTCATCTTGACCCTGGCTTATCTTGTGACAATTGGATGAGCGTCATAGACGGTGGACTGTACGAGTTATGAAGCATGGCACGACGGGCCCATAGATTCTGTTTATTCTTAGCATAGCATAAGAGCGGTGGCACTACACGAGCTCGAAAGAAATTCGTAACTAGGTAAAAGCGAATGGCAAAAGAGCAAAGCTCATGCTTGGTATTTCGTGATGCCTTGCTACGCGGTGTGGGTGCCTTAGGCGCGTCTAGTTCGCGACCCTCTTTCCTCAAGAGCTTCTTCTCTCCAGCCTCACAACACCACTCTTTCAACGGCGCGCTCGCACTGCCTCTCTCTCAGCTCGACGCGCCAACCTTTCTCGTTCGTTTTATCTCCTTTCACTCCAGCTCGTAACCTCGTTCTACGCGTAGTATGCCGTAAATTGTATTCACGATGTTCTACAGCCACGAGGGTGAGCTTGCTTCTGGCGACCTTGTCAAGACTTCACTGACAGAGGTACCAGTGCTCACAAGCCGCAAGTATGGCGTTGCGACCATCTGGTAAGCGACGCCTGCGGACGCTTCAGTAGGATTCATCTGCTCATAAGCGCAGGTTGGTCGCGACTCTGGGCTCCAAGTCCACCACCTCGAAAAAGGTGACTCGCAAAGCCATCCTCAACGTCAACGTTCCGAAAGCATGCGAAACAATCCTAGAGCCCGAAGTTCCGCTCGCTCTCCGTCTCCAAAGTAGCCTTCTGTAAGCTAGACACTTTCGAGACAACCATCAACGAGTATACTAACTGCGCCACTACAGCTATGGTGTCACCAGAGTCTACTCGCAGCAGTGCAGTTACGTTTTAGCCGATGCGCAGAACGCACAAAACAACATCCGCACGGCCCTGGTGGCGATTATCAGGGACACTGAGCTTGATCCTGAGGCGGGACGTACGAGGTATGAGCGTGGCGCAGGTGAAGTCGCGTCGTTGCGCAGAGCTTCACTGACTGCTGCTCACTTAGACCCGACCAACTCCTTCTCGAGGATGATCCGTCGTACCTGCCTGACTTCGCTCTCGCGCCTCTCTACCTTAGCGACTCGGAGCTCGAGCCTCCGTCGCTCACTCGTTCAAGCAGCCTGTCATCGCTTCACCACTCGCGCACTCCACGACGGAGCATTTCGTTAGAGGACCAGCAGGGTGGCCCGGTCTTCGGAATCCAGTTGCCAAGCTCTGATAGCGGCGGCCCCAGTGGTATCGGCGGCTTCGTCGTGCCGGGAGATGAGGGCCCGGGTACAAGGGTTCCCGGTGGAAGCGCTTTAGACATCGAGAACGAAGGCTTCGAACCAGGCGTGGATTTTGGCTTCGATGCCGAGGGAAACCTCATTGAGCATGCATTTGCCGACAAGCTTCAGAGGACACCTTCTAACGCTGCGAGGCCGGATCCGCTCAGTAGGGCCCTGCCAAGTAGTTCTGCTGCGAGTGCGAGGGCTCGGCAAGAACATGAAGAAGCTCAGCAGTTTGGAGCCGATGTAAGTTCCCTCTAAAGATGCAAAGAGGTCCCTAACATTAACATTAATCCAGTATGGTGAACAAATTGACATCGATATACCAATCGTCGATGATGACGAAGTTGATCTCTTACCTGAGGCTCAGCCGTTTCCCTCCACTCATGATCGCTTGAGCTCCGCTGCTTCCGGACGCCCGGATGAGGGTGAGGAAATTACTGAGTCATCGTCTGTCGTCCAGGCACCTATCCGCCGCCAATATAAACGCCGTGCCATTCAGATGGACCAGACTATGGAGCTTCGCAACGCAGAACTTGCTGGCTGGATGAACGGCTACGTCGATAACATGAACGAGGCGAGAAAGCAGAAGCAAGCTCTTCTTATCACGTCCCAGGCCAAAAAGAACGCTGAGTACTGGGTTCTGGGCTTGGGTCTTGGTGGCATAGGTGCTATTGTAGGTAACACAGGCCTTGCTGGGCCACTCGATCAGTTCAGGGGCGATGCACTGCTGCTTTCCCTTGGGATCGATAGGAATGTGGCTAAGAAGAAACGTGGACGTCCGCGTGCCGACGACCAAGACCAGTCTGATGAAGATGGCAGACGTGTACGTCGGCGCTCGGAGGAAGAAGAGGTTGCCCGTGGTGAGATGGAGGATGGTGGGTTCGTCAATGTTGAAGAAGAGGAGCAGGACATCGAAGCTCCTCGCGAGGCAGAACCGGAGCAGGAAGAACGCGATCTCGACCAGATGTTTCCGTGGAACGTAACAGCATCGGTCCGCGATTCTTCTCGAGCTCCCAGTGCACGTCGTGCTCTCGGGTTTGGCGGGTCGGGCATCTCAAGTTCAGCTGGCGGATCCGCCGGCGGCTTGCCAGGTTCGCTCGGACGCAGGGGACGGTTGGTCAGTGAAAGTCCTCTCCATGGCCGCGGTCATCGCCACAATCTCGAGCCTCTTCCCAGCTCTGAAGCCGCCGTCGATCTGGAAGATTATACCCTTGGTGGAATGGGCGAAGACGTCAGCATCGGTGAAGGTTCTCAGTTCGAGATGCACGGTGCTGCTGCTGCAGACACCCAGGCCACGACCGACTCGCAACTCGCTCGTACGGCCTTCGCGAGGGAGATGGAGAACTTCGGCCTGTTCATCTTCGACAGACTCAAGCAGAAGGAAGAAGCTATTGCTGCCGAGGGTTCTCAGTCCATTGGAGGCGTCAACGAGGTCTTGTTCGAAGACATTCTTCCCCCGCAGTCGACCACAAGCATTGTTGCTGCCCAGGGCTTTATGCACCTGCTCGCCCTGACGACCCAAGGTCGTGTCTCGACCAGGCAAGATGAGCCGTTCGGCGAAATCGGCATGAGCTTGCCTTATGCTGATGAGGCTGAGACTGCCCAGTGAGGATTAACTGCATGATGACATGACGACATGGACGATATTCAGAATGATTCCTTTCGCTACATCGCTGATATTTTTGTTCACTGTTTTAACGAGGCATGTTACGAGACATGATTCGATGGGGGATGGCGGCAATGTTATGGGGGATAGATATTTGCTGACATTTGCACACTTAAGTATACAAAAGAATGTTGTAGCTAAAGGCTAGCACCGATTTGTTTTCTTTTATGTCATGGGGAATCGAAGCAATGTCTGGACGTAAATGCAGAATGAACAACCGTACATTCACTTCCGAACGATAGCTGCCACTGTCTACATCGTAAAACTGATCAGGCACAGTTTCTCTTGATTCTAGGCCCTTTACGTTTAGCTAACTTTGAATCAATCATATCGAGCAAATCACAAGCGATAAGTTTGATATATGTCAGAAATATCAACGCCACTAGCTCACAATGAAATTCAGGGTGGCGTCGTACATTTTTCTGGTTCAGCAAGACACCATCACTTTTACGGAAGAATGTCATCCTTCGATTTGAAGGTTCGATCAATGTACATGGAACAACTCATAATGCTCTTTGTTCTTCTAATTTATGTGAGGCTGTAGCTGATTCAACTACTTATGCCTCGGCGCACTTGACGATGCTATTTTGAAATACTTATCAATCGAGTGGATGCACCAGGGCTGACCTAGCCCGCAAATGCCTCATCCTCTACCTCCTCCATTTCCACTTGTCTCAATTCCCGCTCGAATCTCGCTGCTTCCTCGTCGATATCCACGTCTTCTCCAGCTTCCACAGCCGCATTCATCATCCTGTACTCTGCCTCCGCCGTAGCCGCTTCGGCTGCTTGTTCAGCGTCCTCCATTCCCTCCTGAGCAATCGCAGCCTTCTTCTGTCCGTAGCCCTGTTTCTCGAGCTTATCCAGCTCCTCGGGTTCAAGCAGCTTCCCCGGAGTCTGCCCCTTAGCCGCCGCAAGCTTCTGAGCCACAGCCGCTGGGACGAAGCGCTGTGTGGCCTCCTTACGCAGGTCACGATGCACAGGAGCAGCGCTGTACACGGTCTTCGCTTCAACTGCCGGCGCAGCCGCCGCGCTGGACCCAGGCTTCGAAGGCAGCGGGTGCGGTCCATCCCTCGCCAGCGCCTCGTCCTGCGGCGCGCCCCTTCTCGGCTTCCGCGGGATCGGCGGCGGCGTGTCGCGCGGCATGGGTATATCCCTCACATCCTCATCCGTCTCGCTGCTCTCACTACCATCCTCGTCTCCTCCCCTCCCACCGTCCCTCCTCCTCTTCCCCAGCACGCCTCGACCCCTGCCGCCACCGCCACCCTCTCTGCCTCCCCGTCCTCCCCTGCCGCCTCCACCAAACGTCGGAGCCCGGTCACCCAGCGCCTCGCGCGCCTTGCGGATCGCCCGCACCTCTTTTTCCAGGTTGTTCAGCGTCTCGCGGTCCCGGGGCCGCAGGGACCCGCCGCGTTCTTCGACCTGCTTGAGCTCGTCGATCTGCCGCTGCAGCCGCTCCGGGTTGCGTTTGGACAGGCGCTCGTTGCGCTGCGCGGCTACGTTGGCCTTGTTCTTCTTCAGCGCGCGCGCCTTGTCGGCCTTGTGCTGCGCGGCGACGGGGTTGAGGGACTTGTCTTTCGCCATGGTATGGTGTGTGAGGCTGTGGCGATGGGGTGGAGGTTATGGGGCTGCGCGAGCGGGTGAGCCCGTTAACGGGGATCGGGACGGGATGGAGTGATGGTTTTGGCTCGAGAGGGTCGCGTCGGGAGGCGTTGCTAGTCTTTGAACGAAATTTCGAGTGAGATGCCGTGTATGTCAGGTCATGAGGAATGCAGCAATGGCGCGATGGAGTAATTGGCCAGTAGGTGGATCAAGAAACCTGGTGGGAAAAGGTGTGAATGTGTTTCTGTTAGAAGTCGGTCGGGAGAAGCTGTCCAAGCTTTAGGAGCCGTTGTGATGACTTCACTTTTTCACGTGCGCGCGCGCATCCCTGTCGCGCTTTAGGAAATTTCCAGTCAGCTTTGACATCAGCTCCCCGCAACACCCAAACACCCCGCACCAACATCAATTCCGTCCGCGCCGCGGTCCGCCGACGACCGACCATGGCGGACAAACGCAAACAACCGCCGTCATCCTCGAAGCAACAGGGGGGCCAGTATGGCCGCGACCGCAAGCGCGCGAAGACGCGCGACGCCCGCGCCATCGCGGCGCAGAGCACCGGAACGGCGTTCAAGAATGGCGAAGTCGACGTAGACAAGTTCGTCAAGGCGCACGAGTACGCGATCAAGGCGCTGGAGAACGGCATGCAGAAGGCGCGCCAGGGCCTGACGACGCGCGCGTTCCAGGGCGTGCCCAAGGAGCTCCGCCGCCGCACGGCGAGCCACAACGCCAAGCGCGTGCCGAAGCGGTTGCGCCCGAGGGCGGCGCGGGAGATGGTTGAGGATAACACGCCAACGGTGACGGCGAGGAGGAGGAAGCCTAGCGGGCACATGCGGCTGAGGCTGGAGAACGCAAAGAAGTTTCAACGATTCGTGAGCAAGGTTCGGGCAAAAAAGGGAAAGAATAAAGCGCAGGGCGATGCGGCGGAAGGGTCTAAAGAAGGGGATGATATGGAGGTCACCGTTCAGCCGACGGAGGAGGCCATCAAGACCAGGAAGCCGCGTGTGAAGACCTCGAGACCGAAGAACCCGCCTGTTCCCCGGGCCAAGTTCCGCAAGCGTCAGCTGAACAAGCAATGGCTTCCGACACATATGTTCCACACGAAGCGCGCACATATGACGCCTCCCCTCGAGCCGTTATGGCGTTTTGCGATACCAATGGCACCGACGATGAAATGCTACAGGCCTACACACAGAGCAAGCGTGATAAGGGGTGCTGTGGCTTGGGATACAAGCTATATGTCGACCATTGGTTTATATGGCTCGGATGCGCATATTCAGAAACTGCTAACGGACTTCGGTGTTGACAATTGGGGCAAACGAGGCCAGAAGTGGAGAGATGGAACCAGGACATGGGAAGGGTGGTTATATGAGAAGGGTGGGTGGCCTGAGAAGGCTATCGCACCGGTGGCAATCGTATGGTGTGCAAAGCCGAAGCCTGAGGACGTGGAAATGGGGGATGACGCTACCGAGGGTGTTTCCTCAAAAAAGAAAGACAAGAGACAGGTCTTGATACGCATACATCCCTCGGCATTCCTTGAGCTGTTGGATGCGATCCGGAAGCTCAACCCGCCAGTCACTGTGGAGGACCTCCGGTGGGAGATCGGAAGCATCGAGATTACTGGGCCAGGAGCTACTGAAGCGTTATGTGGCGTTCTATGGCCAGTAGCTGCGGAGAATGCGGAGGACAGCCCCAGTGATGTTTGGAAGAGGCTGGCTCCAGTAACTAATCTGGGCACTCTCCCGGCCAACGCTCTTCTAGGATTCAACATATCGGACCCCAGGCTGCATCATCCGCCTCGTACAGTTCAGATACCCACTGACAGCCAGTCACACTCTCGTTTAGTAAACACATGCGCCAACTGGCCTCTAGACCGGACTCAGGGCCCTCCGGATTTGTTCACACGTAAGAAGCGCCTGGATGCTTCACGTACTCTCTCCAGCCAAAAGTCGATCAATCGCCGAAAGACTGCGGCCATGCCAAAGGCGTACCCTGAGCCTCTTCCTACAGATCCCTCGATTCCGATTCTACTCTTTGCATCACGCGCTTCTGGTGCAGGTAATGGAACATGGACGCTGGTCCTGCCGTGGAAATGCGTCTCTCCTGTTTGGAACTCACTCATGTACTACCCGCTCTCGACAGGTGCAAATGTACGCTTCGGAGGACTGAATCAGAAGAGACAACTGGCATTCGAAGCAGGTGTTCCTTTCTTTCCAGCTGATTATCCGGGAACAAAGGCAGGGCAGGAATGGAACGTACGGGAGACAGAAAAGAGGAAGACGGAGTGGGAGAGACGGCCAAAGGGAAAGAGGATTCAGTGGGAGAGCCTGGAACTAGCGGAGGGTCGGAAAGGTGAAGTAGGCAGAGGCTGGGCTTGCGATTGGGATGCGCTGCGTGAGGGAGTTGACGCGCCAGACACCAAGCCTTCGTTCTATCAAACCCCACCTTTCCTTGCCGAGGAAGCGACATCATCTCGCAAAACCGATGATGTACCCAATCCCGAGGTCGCCCTTGCGACTGTCCGCATTACTGTTATTGGACGTGGTGCCCCCACCGACTGCGCGCGCATCTACCGTCTCCCCAGCGCCGATACTGACCTGCGCCAAAAGTGGCTGGCTCTCGTCTCCGACCCCCAAACAAAACATAACGCAAAGAAGAAGGCCGCGGAGCTGCCTCGCAAGCCGGCACCGGATGCTCCGGAACACATCCATCAAGCTTTCTTGGCGGCCAGCTTGCTGGAAGGCGACAAAAAGGACGTGCAGGCCGGTGGAAAGGACTATCCACCCGTACCGGACAGGGAGGATTTGATTGGATTCGTGACAGCCGGCAACTACAACCTGGGCGAGGGCCGAGTGACTGGAGTGGGCAACGTGGTGCTTAAGAAGTTGGTGGAAGGGATGGGTGAGGAAAAGGGCAAAGAAAGACTCTGCATCGTGCGGAATGCAGGAGAGACGGTGGGAAGATTGGCGAAATGGGAGATCGTCTAAAAGAACTGCGGATGAGGTCTGCTTGAAGAGACTGGGATGAGTTCGAGCTCTGTCGGGTGAGCCCGAGCATCAATTCTAGACGCTCAGAGTCTGTGCAAGGGCCGTTTTATGAAGCTTTTGTAGGATTGCTGGGGCCAAAAGCAGGTTGCGAGACTGCTGCGAAATAGCATTGCTCCGATTCGGCAATCCGAGCGGGAATAAGAGCGTGGACATTGCTATCCCCACAAAATCGAGTTCCCTCGGTTGATGACATCCCCTGTCAGCTTTCTCCGTCCAGAGAGCCTCTTTCATGCGGGGAACTTGCATACACTAGCATTGTAATCGCCCCATCATAAAGAGTTACCGTCTCATTCCCGAAATCTCCTTCACTATGGCATCCGAAGCCGATTCTTCTAAATTCTAGTTCAATTGAATGACTACCAGAGTAACTATGCGAATGTCAGCCCTTCAAGCCGTACGATCGAACCTCCGCCATGTTCGTCGAATACCGAACAAGCGAATTGTTGCTGCTAGCCGAACGCTGGCTACTGTCGGGAATCAGACTGTGATAGATCACCACTATGAGTTCGTGCTGCCATCTTGTATTTATCTTCTTAAACTGCAAAACTTACTAACGAGATTCTCAAACATCCAGCGCCATTGTCGTCGGCGCTGGAGGAGCAGGCCTACGCGCGGCTGTCGGCCTAACAGAAGCTGGCCTCAACACCGCATGCGTGACCAAATTGGTAATTCAAAAAGAAGAAAAGAACAATACACCACTCCATCATCACCACCTCCCATGACATCCGCCCCAACTTAATACAAGAGAAAAAGAAACACCCACTCCCCAAAGACCTATAACTCCCAAACACAAGACAACAGAACGCGTAGCTCACCAACCACACTCTCCCAGTTCCCCACACGCTCGCACACGGTCGCGGCGCAAGGCGGCATCAACGCGGCGCTAGGCAACGTGACGGCCGACGACTGGCGGTGGCACTTCTACGACACGGTCAAGGGGTCCGACTGGCTGGGCGACCAGGACGCCATCGCGTACATGACGCGCGAGGCGGTGGCGGCCGTCGTCGAGCTGGAGCGCTACGGCGTGCCCTTCTCGCGCACGGCGGCCGGCACCATCTACCAGCGCGCCCTCGGCGGGCAGTCGCTGAGCTTCGGCCAGGGCGGGCAGGCGTATCGCACCGCGTGCGTCGGCGACCGCACCGGGCACGCCGTGCTGCACGCGCTGTATGGGCAGAGCTTGAAGCACGGGTGTAGGTTTTTGGTCGAGTATTTTGCGTTGGATTTGATGATGGTGGAGGGGAGGTGTGTGGGTGTGACGGCGATAGGGATGGAGGATGGAACGTGTCATCGGTTGTTTGCGAGGAATACGGTGTTGGCGACGGGAGGTGAGTTCTCCATATTAGGGAAGAAGAGGGGGAGGGGCAGTATCTCTACCTACCTCTTTTCTTCTTTGGTTTGCTCTGGCAATTCGGTCTCCTTTCTCACTGACGGCGTGTCAAGGCTACGGAAGAGCATACTTCTCCGCAACAAGCGCGCACACCAGCACTGGTGACGGCAACGCCATGGTGGCACGGGCGGGCCTGCCCCTGCAGGACATGGAGTTCGTGCAATTCCACCCAAGCGGCATTTATGGGGCGGGCGTACTGATCACCGAGGGCGCAAGGGGTGAGGGCGGGTACCTACTAAACAGCGAAGGGGAACGATTCATGGAGCGCTACGCGCCGACGGCTAAAGATCTTGCATCGCGCGACGTTGTGTCGCGGGCGATGAACATGGAGATCCTCGAGGGCAGGGGATGCGGTCCGGACCGCGATCACATCTACCTGCAACTTTCGCACCTGCCACGCGACATTATTCTCGAGCGGCTGCCGGGTATCGCGGAGACGGCGTCGATATTCGCTGGGATAGATATTACTACTCAGCCTATACCGGTGCTACCGACCGTCCATTACTGCATGGGCGGTATCCCGACGAACTACAAAGGACAGGTGCTCGACATCGGGCCAGACGGGAAGGAGACTACAGTGCCAGGCTTGTACGCTGCGGGCGAGGCGGCCTGTGTGAGTGTCCATGGAGCGAACAGGCTGGGCGCGAACTCCCTCTTGGACATCGTCGTATTTGGCCGAGCGTGCGCCATAGACATTTCCAACAGCAACGAAAAGGGTATGCCGCATGAGAAGGCACCAGAAGACATCGGAATGGATTCGATATTCGAACTCGAGACAATCTTAGCATCGAACGGGGACAAGCTGACGGCTGAAATTCGTGGCGACATGCAGAAAGCCATGCAAGCGGATGCTGCTGTTTTCAGAACCGAGAAGTCGCTGGCAACCGGCTATGAAAAAGTCAAGGCGGTCGAGAAGGATTTCAGAGAAAGACTTGCGGTCAAGGATAAGTCGATGATCTGGAACTCGGATCTCATCGAGACGCTCGAGACGCGCAATTTGCTCACATGTGCTGTGCAAACGGTCGCAAGCGCGGTTGAGCGGAAGGAGAGCCGGGGCAGCCATGCAAGAGAAGACTTTCCAGAGAGGCTGGATGAGGAGTGGCTGAAGCACAGTCTGACTTGGCAGAAGGAGGTTGGTGATGATGTCAGAGTTGGATACAGAGACGTTGTCCTTGACACGTTGAATCAGACAGACTGCCCGGTGAGTTCGCTTGGATATCAGAGAGCGAGTCGCCGTTCATTGACATTCAACAGTCCATACCGCCGAAGAAGAGATCGTACTAGATTCCATAGACGATCAAGATATACAGCCAAAAGAAGATGCGAGATCCGGGTGAGTATCGCGCAAAAATGTGATTGTATATACTATTCGATGTCAACCAGAGGCATCGATCGGTTAATTTTTCTTTCTTTCTTTTTCGTAACTTGGCCAGGGAATGTTCAATCTTGAGTTCTGCCTCTAGGCACTGCTCTTGGAAACCTTGGAAGCCGCCTCCAATGCCTGGCTAACCAACGGCTTCGCGTCGGTTGCAATGCTCGCTTCGTTCAGAGGGGTGAGGCGATCGACCCAAGTCTCCCATCGATCCTCACAAAAACCATGCCAGCCCGGAGCATCCTTGAAAATGGTCAGGCTTCTCCCCGGCTTGGCGATCTTCCCATCGAACTGCTTCTTCTCTCGGCTCAATTTCGACAGCGTTTCGGCCGCGTATATGAGCCACACGGAAGCCGCCTTGAGGCTTGCCGGTTTTGTGTCGGTTGCAATGTCATCCTCCTCAGGGTCTTCGAGGGCGGCGCGCAGGATCCAGATAGCGTACAGGCTGAGGTCGCAGGCGCCGGCGGCCGTCACGCGGGCGTAGAAGGCATTGAGGTTCACGAAGCTGTCGTCGGGCTTGTCCGAAGCTGCAAGATAGCATTGGCGTAAGTCATTTCAACTCGTCTCACGATAAGGTGGTCGAGCAAGCGTACCGAGGTCCAGCCCTTCACGGGCTTTGGCGCCAAACAGCGGGAGCTGCTCCCAGCGCTGCTCCTCGCCCCAGATCTCCAGCTTCTTGCTCTCGTGCGCGGGCTGCGGCATGGCCTTGATGGCGAGCACGATGTCGACCAGCTTGCTCTGCTGGGCGTGCGGGGTCTGCTCGGCGGCGCTGGTGACGGCGGTCCACAGCCTCTCCAGCTCGTGCTCGGTCTTGCCTAGGTCGCCATCTTTCTCGAAGGCCTGGCGGGCAGGCGCAGCGAGCTTCTCAGCGGCTTCCTGAACGGAGATGGCGTCGGGGATGAAGGCTGCGATGATATCGCTCGGATTGGCTGCCATTGTGGAAAAGAGAAGCTGGCGGAATGGAATGCGGTGAGAGAGGCTCGTCGAGGCCAATTGGAGGTTAAAGGACCGAGGGGAGCAATTTGGGAGCGATAGGTGTTCGCCGGAAAGCTGGTGAGCTGTTCGCAAGGCGGGGGCCCCGCGGAAGAGTCGGTGACAGGCGCGCTGGACGGACGTGGTGCCGGTCAGATGACGTCGCAGGCGGACATTGCGCTGGCTGCAAGCTCGAGCCAGGCGAGGTCCGACAGCAAGAGGGCGATGGAGGAGGATTTTAGGTGATAATAATTCGGAGCGTCGCCAATCAACCGAGATAGATCAGCACATGGGAAAGGAAGAGGTGGTCGAGTGTGGCTGCACAGAGGTGAAACAGCAAGCGCCTTCCCTTTCCGGCATGGTTACCCGCTCCGCCTCTGCCGATCCCACCCCGTCCCAGACCTCGACAACCAGCCCTTCTCGTATCTGACTGGCCCCGACGGCCTGCTGCACATGCAACAAGTGTTTCTGTTCCAAAAACAAACAGCCAAAGGCTGGTCACAGGCCCTGTTCCTGCGAGTCCCCGCGTCTGCGAACAGCAGGTGCCCTGCCAATCCTTACGTCGACTAGACGTCTGTTGCATTAAACAACTTCCGCTTACTTCGCCCTGTGCTCCTAGTTTTATTTCCCGGCGCCAATGATATGCTCCGAGTCCAGCACCTGCCACGTTCGTTTAAAGGCCACTGTTATTCCACAGACAAGCGCCCGCTCGCGTCGCCAGATACATGCCATCTCCGGCGCTACCGAAGTCATGCAGACTTGGCCCTCACCACCTGTGTATCTTCGTATCTCCAATTCGCCGAGATCGGATTGGCCCTGCGATAGGACTGCGTGGGGCAGCCTCGGAGCTCCCCTACCCCAGGTCTGACGGCCTTAAGGTCGCTTAAGAGCGGCGGTCTATAAAGTCAGGCGTGAAACTCAACCACAACCTCATCCAACCAGCCAATTCACCTTCATTCGTCCTCGCTTGTCCAGCTCGAATCCGCCACAATGCTTGTCATCAAGGTTCGCCCCCTCCGTCATTCTTGTGCGCCACACAGCAGCCACGTTGACCAATGCCTTTCTCTACTAGTCCCTCGCTCCCCTGGCCGCCCTCCTGGGCCTTGCCATTGCCAGCCCCGTCGAGAGGTCTGAGCCCAAGCCGCTCGAGGTCCGCCAGTCCGCCACCACCTGCGGCTCCACCTCCTACACCGCGGCCCAGGTCCGCGCCGCCGCCAACGCCGCCTGCTCCTACTACCAGGCTGGCGACACTGCCGGCAGCTCCACCTACCCTCACACCTACAACAACTACGAGTCAGTTCTAACCTCCCCCAATCACCAAATGAAACCAATTTTCTGACAAATACTGTAGGGGCTTCGACTTCCCCGTCAGCGGCCCGTACCAGGAGTTCCCTATTCGCACTAGCGGCGTTTACACTGGCGGTACGTTCTTGCTAATTTCTCATGTGGTTAAAGCTTCCGTTCTCTGACTTCTTCGGTGCAGGCTCCCCCGGTGCTGACCGTGTCATCATCAACACTGACTGCGACTACGCCGGTGCCATCACCCACACCGGTGCCAGCGGCAACAACTTCGTTGGCTGCTCCGGTACCTCGTAAATGGCCCTCGTTTCTGGCGGTGAAATGGAAATTGTCCATTAAAAGTATTGCGAAATCTGTTGGCCTGAGTTTGGAGCGAGCGATCTATCATTCAGCGCGCTGCGCACGTACATATATGAGAATGAATCGATTGATGAGTGAAACCTGGAGCCCCGTTGTGTCGAATCCTGATCCGATTCCTCTTGCTACGTCTTGTATTTTTCCGCTCATGCCAAATCACTGGTCTACTGTGCAGCATATACGAGCTGGATTTGAATCAAATCTTGCCAGCAGGCCAACACTGATACCTGACCAACAGCATTAGTACCGCCCACGAGAATAATTACTAATTGGAGAGGGCCAAGAAATTCAAATAGCTAGGCGGATGAAGAGAGGGAGAGGAGCGGCGACGGCATAGAAAAGTTCCAGACAAGAAGTATGATTGATGACGAGACGAAGCGCTGCCAGCAGCATCGTCCCGGAAGCTCCCTGGTCCACAAAATATGAACAGCAATCGCCAACAGCACTATATACCAACCCTCAACCCCCCTCAACCCCCCGCACCCTCCTCCCCACCACCACCACCACCATCATCATCAACAAACCCCCGCCACTCCCCCATCCCCCTCCCCTCCTTCTTGAAATGCCTCCCCAAATGATCCACCCTCTCCCTCCACCCCCTGAAGCAGTCGTCCCGCCGACAGAACCCGCACCAGCGGTACCACCCCTCCAGCTCCTCGCCGACCTCGAGCTCGCCGACGGCCCCGTAGTACGCCATCGTCTCGGCGTCGTCGTCGGCCGCCCCCACGCCGTGCACTGTGCGCAGGTGGACGAGGAGGTGGTCTTTGCGCATGAACTGCTTGCGGCACCAGCGCGGTATCGTCGACGTCGTGCTGTCGTTTTCCAGCAGCTCGTCGGCAGCGGTGGCGGTAGTAGTAGTAGCCCAGTGTTTGGAGACGAGGTGCGAGCTGGTGGGGTCGGGCTCGCCGCACGAGGCGCAGAGGCGGCGGCTGCGGCGGCTGGATGGTTCGTCCGCGAAGGCGGTGGTGGAGGAGGAGGAGCTGGAGGACGAGGAGGACGAAGGGGGTGGTAAGAAGACGGCGGCGCCGACGGTGCACAGCCAGACGCGCTGCGGGCGGCTCTTCTGCTCGTGCTTGGTCCACTCGCCTTTGCGCGGGAAGGAGCGGCCGCAGGCGCGTGTGCATTGGAAGGGCCGTGATGGGTCGCGGGTGCGGAGGCGCTCCGGGTGGGGAGTCGGCGTGCAGCAGTGGGTCTGCGCTTTGAAGGCTCGAGGAGACGCTGCGTTTCGGGAGGTGGCTGCTACGGCGATTGGAGAACCGGAGGAAGGGGTTGGTGGGGTGGATGACGGAGGAGAGGCTAGCTGCAGGTGTTGCCTGCTGGTGCTCGGGAAGGATGGTGATGGCGCGAGTTGGGATAGTCTTTGACTAAACCAGGTTTTGATCCTGGTGACGGATTCGCCGGTAAGTTGCTCCAATGCAGCGAAGTCTTTCTCCTCGGGCCAGCGAGGCGAAAAGTTGGAGAGCCAGCGATGGCAAAGGTCTGCTGCCTTCGGGTCGATGGACGTGATGGCATCCTCAATGTTCGTTTGCGAGAAGGAGTTTTCAAAACAACTGCTAGATAGCATACTGTTGGAGAGGCTTGATGGAAAATCAAGCTGCGTGGTGCCGGAAACAGTACGAGACAGGAAATTTGGTGTTATCGAACCAGGGGTTTCGGCGGTCGATATGGTCGAAGATGTAGTGAAGTCCATGCCATGGAAAATTGACCAATCAATCTCACAGCTGTCGTAGGGACCCAGCCTAAAGGAAGACTCGCGCATGCGCGACTCTGGCGAAATTGCGGAAACATTCAGGACATTTCCGCTGTTGTGATACACTGGTGACGCTAAGGTAGTGCTATTTAGAAGATTGTCCTGAAAAAGCGCAGATCGTGGCGTCTGCTGAGGATGCGGATCGTCCAACTGTAGCACAGGTGGAGAATTTGGTTGCCGGTGCGGGTATTCAAGTGGGGACTGGAATGAATTCATGGGCATATTGGTGGCCAGTAGGATGGAGAGGGCGTCTGAGGGAACGATTCAATTGGCCGTTGGCTGGAGATGAACTCGTTTTTATTGGTCGCAGAGCCTCATGGAGACCGGTAAACTTGGGAACAAGGATGAGAAGGCGCCGTTGAGCCTAGTGCCACAAAGACCGGGGTTCGAGGGGTTTAATATCCTTGCCAGACGTGATGGAGGGCGGGGAGGTTGACGAAAATGATTAACAAGGCAGACAAGTCTGCAGATAGAGTGAAGCCTGATTGCACGTACGCAAGCTGACGAATTTGCGGGGAAATATGCCGAGGAGCCTGAAACTCAGTACGAGCTTTGCTAATGCGTTAAAACAAGCATATATGTTTCTTCTTTGACGTTCATCTAATTCATCTGTTAGCAGCTCCGTTATAGTTAAGCTTGAGAACATACAAGACGTCTGGAGAGAATGAATGGCGCAGTCAACGAACTCACCTAGAAGGTCTACGGGTAGCTGATTTTGTTTGTTAAAAGAGCGTGCGTGTTAATCAGCAAAATAAATAACCGTCTCCTCGAGCCGAATGCACTGCTGACGCAAGCACCAGCAGTTGAAATGAGTAACTTTCGGGACTCGCCTCTCATTGCAGGGGTGACTAAGCGCTTGATTTACCTGTCGCATAGCTGACTTTGCGGTTTCCTGAACACGAAGGATGAGTGGCGCTCAGAAACATGGCTTAGCCAGAGCAAAGGAGGGGCAGCAAGCCGATCATTGCTGCCTAAACACGCCATATCTGCAAATCTGTTGCCACAAATCGTAGCATTGCGTTGGTCCTATTTTTCCTGTGGCTGAGGAAAAAGGCAAAAAGGCAAAACTTTGCCTTGTCCCCGCTCTGATAGGACGGCTGCCTAAAGAAGATCCTGCTTGCGCTCGTATCAGCGGCTGCTGACCCCGGCTGTGCTGCATGCCCCTCTGCAGATGAGTCAGCACCTCAGAATAATCATGGAGGCAAGAGATGGACAGAGATGATGGTGTTGATCAGTCCAGAGCGGAACAACAGCTCGGCTCAACCGCTTCCCCGCTCCGCGCCAGGGACCAAAAGTCATGGCATCGTCGGATAACCGCAAGCCCTGACTAATTCAATGGTTAGCTAGCCCCCACTAATGCGCAGCGCGTCTCCCCAAGCAGTATAAGTTCTCGAAAAGTGTCCCAGAATGCTCCGCTTCCAATGATGATAAATCGTTGAGAACCCCCGAAACCCGCGCGTCACAAGGCATCATCGCAATGTGCGGTCCCACTCTCAAAGAAAAGCTGCTGCGCACCGTTGCGCCAGCTTACTTCATTTCCCTGGGCTTGTACCGTTCGTCATACCACAAAGTTCGCCGCATTGGATTTTCCAACTGACTACCGTATTGCAGAATTTCTCCTAACGATCATTGATACGGTCACGGTCCAGCATGAGCCCGGCGTCCTTCTCCAATTCTCAAAGCTGCGCGATCGCGCCTTCTCTCGCTTCTGGATAGCATACGGTGACACGCACTGACACAATTGGTTCAAATGGGCCGGCGGCTGACTGTGTCAACCCACAGGCGAATTCATGTCGGAAGGAATGGCTGACGAGGCCGTTGCTCTTATCGGTTCGGTGCGCGGCACTGTCCTCGACATTGGGCCCGGCAGCGGTGGTACGGACTTCCTTCGCTCCAGGTTCTGAGATAAGCGCTTTTTCTGACGTGTGAGCTGTGCAGATCAGACCGTGCACTTCACGCCGGCGAACCTCACGCGCGTCTACGGGGCCGAACCGGCGGGGCAGCTGCACGACAAGCTGCGGGCCAAAGTCAAGGGGGCGGGCCTGGAGGGCAAGTACACGGTGCTGCACGCCGGGGCGCAGCCTGAGAGCCTGATCCCGGCGCTGGCCGACGCCGGGCTGTTCAAGAACGGGTCTGAGGGCATCTTCGACGAGATCTGCTGTATCAGGGTGCTCTGCGGCGTGCCGCGGCCAGAGGAGACGGTCAGGGGCCTATACAAGCTGCTGAAGCCTGGCGGAAGGATGGTCGTGCATGAGCACGTCGTGAATCCTTGGCAGGAGGCGGGCGGCAACTTGGGCTCGAGGGTGCTGCAGACGGTGTACGCGTGGGCTGGGTGGAATGTCTTTCTTGGCTGCAGCATCGACCGCGACACAAAGGAGATATTGCTGAATGCTGGGGGGAAGGACGGGTGGTCGAGAGTGGAGCTGAAGAGCTTGCAGACGTGGAGCGTGTTGCCATACTGCACGGGTTATCTAGTGAAGAGGGGGTAGAGGGGTTTCATGGTGTTGTCGCAGAGAGGTCTTGGTGGCTGCTTGGCTGCGCAAATCTGTGTTGCGAGTGGATGCAGATCTCTGCGGAGACCGAAGGCGCTATGTGCGGACGCTAGCGTTGGGCAATGGTTGCGTCAGAGCTGCTTCGGGGGCGCTTTCCAGAAGCGCACACAGATAGTTGCTGTCTAGTGGGAGAAGTAGCCGTCCGGCCGAGCCGGGTGATCGCTCTGCATGTACGTACTTTCTGATGCACATGCGGCTCATTGCGCGTGCCCTGCTCGAACAGCGCAGCGGCTTTAGCTGCGCGGCATTTTTCCTACGGTGTGCGGGAAAACTGCCGCAGCGCACATGCTCTCTTTCCCTGTGCAGCCTGAGGCTCGGGCTAATGGGTAGCGAGTGCCTTTGCGGTGTTCCTAGAAATTGGAGGCGCTCGCCAGCAGAGGAAATATTCGGAGGTACGACGCGTTTGGCTGCCGCTTCCGTCCTGCTCCCTCGACCCGAGCGGACCCGACCAGCAATTGCATGCCGAGGAAGCGCGTGCAGGACCAGAGCACGCAGTCGACTGCTAGGTCGCAGCCGTTGCGCCGCTGGCAGCGCGCGTGTCGGCAGAGCGGTCAAGAGATGTCACGCCGCATCGCGTCAGCTGGGCGCAGGGCCTGAGCAATTCGATTGGCACGTGAAGACACTGGTGCGTTGAGTTGTGTTTGGGCTAAGGCGGGGAAGGTGATGCGGGCAGACGGGAGCGACGTCTGGGGTCTGCGCTCGCTCGCCTCGGTGGAGTCCCTAAGCTCCAGAAAAAGCGGCCGATGACTCCCATCCACACGCCCGCTCTCGAGCTCGCGCTCTCCTGAACACCACCAGTGCTGTTGCTCGCGCCGTGGTCGAAAGCCCCTGGACCCATCATCCAGCGCGCCCCAGCCCCGCTGTGCTACAGATCGACCCTGTCTTCGCCCATACCTCGGTCGTCTCCGAGAGCTCCTAGCCGCGGGGACCAGCGCGCGCCGTCCGAACCGCATTTCCCTACAAAGCCTGCCTGCTACACCACGCTGGAGCGCCTGGGATACGCATTGAACCCATATCCGCGCGCTGCGAGGCCGCGCAGCTGCTCCCACCATGAGTTGGAAGAAGACGGCTGAGCTCATGAGCAACATCCGGCACTATGCTGGCTTCCCCGCCACCGGAGTCAGTTTGCGCCAGATGGTTCAGTTCGGCGAGCGCCCCTCTACTGGTATGCACACTGCCCTCCAGAGCGACTCCGACGCCTATACTGACAGGACCCCGCGCAGGCACGCTGTTCCGCGCCTCCCAATTTCTCTCCGAGGAACTCCCCATTCGCCTTGCCCACCGCGTGCAGGAGCTGGAGGAACTGCCCGACGGCTTGAACGAGATGCCCTCGATCCAGCGCGTCCAGGACTGGTATGCGCAGTCCTTCGAGGTACGCACTGCACCCTGAAATCTCCCGTCGGGCCTTCTGACGCTGGTGGTATGATTAGGAGCTTGTCACCCTTCCCCGCCCAAAACTGTCGCAAGAAGTGCGCGAACGCCTCTTGAGGCCTGCGAAGAAGGCCAGCAAGGAGTCGAGAATCCTCAGTCAGACCACCCAAAACCCCAGCATCACCAAGGGACAATACCGCTCCGAGCCAAGGGGCTTCGACGAGAACGGCAACGGCAACGGCGTGGGTAAAGTGGCCGCGTCCAAGAGATACTATGTCGCTGCGGACGACGGGCAGGAATGGCCGCCTGAACTACACCAGTACAACCTCAAGTTTGCGCAGACTTTGGAAAAGATAAAGCGCCGCCACGACAGCGTTGTGACGACAGTCGGTATGTTGGGAGACTAATCGCTGCGGCTTGCGCTCGGCTGACACGTGAAAATAGCCCAGGGTATCCTCGAATGGAAGCGGAAACAGCAACGGATGCAAATCGACCACAACGTCCAAGCCTTCCTCGACCGGTTTTACATGTCGCGCATTGGTATTCGCATGCTCATCGGACAACACATCGCCTTGACGGACCAACGGCAACGGAGCGACCCTAATTATGTCGGTATCATCTGCACCAAGACAAACGTACGGGAGCTGGCCATGGAGGCCATTGAAAACGCGCGGTTTGTTTGCGAGGATCACTACGGCCTGTTCGACGCTCCGAAGATCCAGCTGATCTGCGATCCGCACATCCACTTCATGTACGTTCCGGGACACTTGTCGCACATGCTATTCGAAACCCTGAAGAACTCCTTGCGCGCTGTTGTTGAGAGGCACGGCCAAGATAAGGAGGAATTCCCGGTGACGAAGGTCATTGTCGCAGAGGGTAAAGAGGATATCACGATCAAAATCTCGGACGAGGGAGGTGGCATTCCGCGCAGCGCCATCCCGCTCGTTTGGACGTACATGTACACCACGGTAGACCAGACTCCCAACTTGGACCCGGACTTCAACAAGAGCGATTTCAAGGCGCCAATGGCTGGTTTCGGATACGGACTGCCCATCAGTAGGCTTTACGCACGGTACTTTGGCGGCGACTTGAAGTTGATTAGCATGGAGGGGTGAGTGCTCTGCCCAGAACTGAGTCGAAGCAGGTCTCTGACTGACGTAACCAGATACGGAACGGACGTATACCTGCATCTAAACCGACTCTCGTCGTCGTCGGAACCTTTACAATGACAGTTGCCAGTCATGAGGAGCGAATGGGAAAGTAACGCGCGCAGTGGCACTAGAAACCAGAAAACCATCCTCCAAGGATTGACGCGGCAGTCGGGACAGTCGATCAGCGCACAGAGCACAGCGATCGCCATGGCGAGTCGCGTGAAGCGTCTCAAGATGGACAATACCATGAGTTGGGAAGTCAACGAGAGACGCCAGGTCGGCGATGCTGAGAGCATGGTCAATGAAGGCCTGAAGGCAGCATGGTGGAGAAACGTTGGTATTGAAGAAGGTGTGTAAGCTGGGGAAGATGTTTTGCATGGTCTCGCATGGATGAGACGGGAAGAGCGGTAGAGGCAAAATTGCCCGGCTACTGCGAGTCGTTGACGTTACGCTTCGTCTTTTCTTTCCTTCTTTCTTTTCGTACGTGGTGTATATTTTCTCTTGACGAGGGCGGGCTTTTTGTGCATATGGGATGGCGATAGGTCATGGGCATGTGAACATGGATTGGGTAATGTTTCCGTTTGAATCAGCGCGGGAACCAAAAGAATGTCAGGTCACACAAATGCATGCTGCTCGCTCAACCCGCCACTCAGTGACGTTTGGAGTTACCGATCCGGACACATCGTATGGTCAAATCTTGGAAGACGGTGCGGCTCATCAGAGCTGCCTGCAAGATGAGGTATCACATCTCAAGGGTCTGCCCGGAAGTGAGTTTGCTGCAAGAATCCGTCCCCATGGTTGCAAAAAAGGCAGGCCGTCCCAGCAACCGCGGCCTGTCATTGCCCGGACGCTCGCCAATTACTCGATCCAAATGTCCACTTGTGACCGCAGTCAGTTTCTGCCGTGGTGGTCACGCAGCTTTGTGCGACTTTGGCGGCCTTCCCTGTTTCGGGGAGCGTACCGCCATGACATCATCGGCTGTTGCGGGCGACGACATGGGCCCCGCCTAGCCCGCCTGGGGCCCAACCGCCACTAGCCCTCTTCCGTCGCAACACACAAACGTTGATTGACGCAAGATCGAAACCTGGCTGGAACAGGGACGAGATCCATGTCAGCTTGTAGGATATTTTAGAACCGGGCTCGACCCCCCAAAAAGCTGACCCTGCCTAAGCCAAATCACTCTACTTTATTTCTTCCAAAGTTATCCTCGGAGGAACCTCCCAGATTTTGAATAAACAAATCAGAAGACCACATAAACATGTCCAACCCGAACAACTCGAGCGAGGAGGCTGGCAACCAGCCCGGCGGTACGTCTTGCTTGCCAAACCCCTCGCCCTCTTTGACCATACCTTCCCGGCCCCACCACCCCCCGCCTAGAGCACAAGCACACGACTCTCTCTCTCCCCTCAACCAGCCAACAACCATCACCATGCATCAGCATTCCCTTAAATTATAAAAAAAAAAAAAAACTCCCAGCGCCGCTCTAACTCTCTTTTTCCACACAGGCATCATCGCCAAGGGCCTCGACCCGGTCGGCAAGGGGCTGGGCGCGGTGCTGTCGCCCGTGGGCGCCGTCGTGGGCACGGTGACGAAGCCGGTGACGGGCACCGTCGGCGGCATCACCAAGCCGGTCCTGGACCCGGTCACGGGCGAGAAGGACGACCGCGCGCAGGTGCTGGGCGGCAACAAGCGCGCCGAGGATTTCGGAAAGCAGGCACAGAAGGACAAGGAGCGCTTCGGCGGCAAGGAGCAGACGGGGGATAATCCGCTGGGGTTGTGATTGGGGAAAAGAAAATAGGGGGAAACGGTTGGCTTCTAACGCTGGTTTCACGTGTATACTTATAATAAGTGTTTGATGATGAATGATGATGGTACTCTTTTGAGGATGGGTTATATGAAAGAGTCTAATGAGCAATGGAATTTTTGAAAAAAAAAAAAAAAAAGAACGCCGTCTTTGTCTTGTCTAACGCCTGAACTCTGCCGTGTCTTCATCCGAATACCATGCAACTAGAACATGGGAAGAATCTCTTAACCCCAAACGTCCTCCAACCACTTCCCCCTCCTCTTCAACGCCTCGCTCCACTCCTTCACACGCTCCTCACTCCAACCCTCCTCCTTCCTCTTCATCCCCTCACCAACCCTCCTCCCAACCTCCCTCGCCATGCTCGCCCTCCCGCAAACGTAAAAGTTCGCACCAGCCTCCAACAAACCCAGCACATCCTCCATCTTCTCGTCAACGCGGTCCTGCACATAGCGCCTAGGCTGCCCGTTCTCACGACTAAAAGCCGTAACGATCTCGAGCTTGCCGCCGAGCGCCTGCTCCCATCCTTCCAGCTCCTCGCGGTAGATGTAGTCCTCGTCCGCGCGGCGGCAGCCGAAGAACAGCACCATGCGGCCGACCTCCTTGCCCATCGAGTGCAGGCGCGCGCGCTCCGCCACGAAGCCGCGGAAGGGCGCGAGACCGGTGCCCGCCGCCACCATGATGAGGGGAGTCGACCCGGCGCCGGGGAGCTTGAATTTGGACTTGCGGATGTGCGCGTAGAGCTTGGGCGCCGCGGCGTTGTTTTTGTCGTCTGAGACGAGGGCGCCGTTGGGGCCGGTGAGGGCGTACATGAGGCCGTTCATGTTGGGGTGGGATGAGTCCCGGGTCGGGTTGCTGGGGTGGTGGTGCGCGTGGGCGAGGAGGTAGTTGGAGGTGAGGCCTGGGATGACCGAGGGGGTCGAGTTGTCGTCGTCGGCGGCGGCCAGGGGCGTGGTGCTGACGAGCGCGGTGATGCTGGGGTGGCGCGGCGAGATGACGGACGAGGAGGAAATGCTGTAGTAGCGGGGCTGCAGCCGCGGCAGCGTCTCGATCACGTAGGACAGCGGCAGCGACGTCCATGTCTGCCCGGGGCTGGCCAGCGCGAGAAGTCGGCCCAGATTAAGGTGTGTGCGGGCCAGGTACTGCGCGTAGGCGTTCTTGTCCTTGCCGAGCGACAGCAGGAAGGACTTCGCTTCCGGCGTGGGCGCGAAGGGGGAGAGCGAGAGGATCGTGTCACGCGAGACGGGGGCGCAGATCTCGAGGTAGTAGCGGAAGAGAGCCGCGGTGGTGGTTGGTGTTGGCACCTTGACCTTGAGGGTCGGGTCCAGGGACTTGATGGAGATGGGGATTTCGGCGCGGGAGGTGAGACCGAGGGCAGCGAGGAGGCGGTCGACTTCAGCGTCAGGGTTGGTGGGCCAAACAGCAAGGTGGTCGCCCGTCTTGTACTTGACCTCGGCATGGTCTGTGAGGTCGAGCTCCATGTGTACGCAGTTGCGGTCCTTGGTGTGGAACAGCTCGCGAGGGTTCTGGATGCTCAGGGGCTTGATGGGAGAGCAGGCTGCGGCTGCCTTGGGGTTGTCCCTAGGGTGGAGGGGTTCGCCGTGGTAGAGATCAATGGGCTCGAGAGAGTCATCCTCGACAGTGGCGAGCGTGGGCTCGTACTTAATCTCACGCTCCTCCAGCTTGAGCTCGTTCTTGAAAACGGCGAACAGCTCGTCCTTCCACGCCATGAAGTCTTCCTCAGTGCCACCCTCTGCGTCGTCTGCCCTACCGACGGGCAACATTGGGCGAGCGCCAAACTTGTCGAGCTGCTCAACGACGACGTCGATGACGCGGTTGTAGTACTTGTAGTTGCTGTTTCCGAGACCGAAAGCAAAGTAGCGCAGGTTCTTCAGCGAAATATCCTTGCTCTTGAGTAGCCAGTCCCAAAGACCGGCAGTGTTGTCGCTGGGGTCGCCCTCGCCAAAAGTGGAGCAGATGAAAATGGCAAGCTTGGACTCGGGGATAAGCGCGATGGTCTCGGCGTCAAAGTCGGACAAGTCGGCAGCCATGGTCTCAAGGCCAAATCGAAGGTGGCATTCACGCGCAAGGCGGTTTGCGAAGCCCTCAGCCGTACCAGACTGCGAGCCCCAGAAGATGACGAGGTCCTTGTTGGTCTCCTCAAGCTTCTGTGCAATGTTGCGCGTCTCCTTCTTGGCGTTGAGCGCACCGCCATTCTTCAACTGCGGCCGCTCATACCAGATGTAGTCGTAAGGGTCGGGCTTGTCCCAGGTGTAGTTGCGGAGGATGTAGCCGGCAGAGCCGAGAGCGATAACACCGAGAGCAGCAACGTCGGCATAGCTCTGCGGCGTTGCGGCTTTGGAGAGCTCCTTCAGAGTCTCCTGAAAGGCAGGGGTTTGCAGGATGTGTGCCATGTTGGCGGGTATCGTCGAAAAAAAATCAGAACGTAGACAATTTCAGGAGAGGGGATAATGCTGAACGGCAGGCGTCAAAGACAGGGGGTCATAAGAAGAGCATGAGGTGCGCTGAAGTGTGAAGAGCGACATTGTTGGGGTTTGCTGGACGTTGATATAGAAAAGAGTCGACGGGACTGACTTTCCATTTTGGCGTTCGTCGAAGACGCTGGAAAAGGCATGCTCCTCCACCCCACCATTTTGGGCGCCGAGGCCGCAAGAGCCTCCACAATTCGGATCTCCCTTCTCCTGCACGCCGGCCGCAATCTGGATCCCGCGCCTCTGCGGCGGGAGTATGTGCGTCAGTCCGGGGCGAGGACTGTGGGGAAACGCGAGTAAGTCTGGGGAAGGTGCGGGGAATTTTTCCGTCTTGAGCGTTCGCGATGGGCGCGCCACTTTCCTGAAGGATGCGGGGCTAAGCGGGTCGTCAGCAGCTTCTACAACATGAACAGATGAGGGAATCCAGTCCGACGTGCCTTTTAGACCCGCATTCCTACACCAACCGCAATCGTCCGTCGTGCGGAGCATGTGCCGCGCCTCGGGAAGCTCGAGATGGGCCACGGATCCACATGCTTCGCATGCGTCATCTCTGGCCGTGCCGTTTTTTCGAAGGGGGGCGCTAGAGTCTGCAACCTCCCCGCAGCATCTTGCCTCCGTGGCGCGCGCCACTTATCAGGCGCTAGGGACCCAATCGCATCAGCGGGATTATTGATCACAACGGGTACCAAGAGAACCGACACTTATGGGAGTTCGCGCAAAGATTCCATGGCGCGTTGAACTGGGTTTGAACAGGCTTGGTTATTCACAAACCCCATCGGGACATTCAAGACAGCGCATTTACCAACCCGTCAATGCTGACCCTGCTCGCATCTATATGCGAGTCATCGCCATCTGTCGGCCAACCCCAGGCCTCTTTCAGCTGTATCTGTCTGGAATGATCTTAGCACACGTTCTTATTCGCTCTTCAAAAGGAAAAAAAAGACACTCACGCGACTCGCGTCGGCCATGCATGAATTGTCTCACACGTGTGGAGTATTTCCATGAGCGCTTTCTGTTCAGCCGGTTCGGTGAACCTCTCTCCAGCAAGCGCGATGGCCATAGACGCGGTTCTAAGAGATGCGTTAGACCGGCTGGGGCTGAACTTTGGCGGGTGGCTGGACAAGAACGGTTCGTACACGTAGTTTGGCGGACAGCGCGAATTTGAATTGGCCATGCCGCACAGCGCCCGGACATCTTCCTTGATTTGTTCCTGTCGGAAAAATGAGTAAAGGCGTGATAGCTTGTAGGGGTGTCAACGTACATCCATCTTTGTTAATGCCTGCTTCTGTCCTGGACCAAGTCGTGGAACCTTCGGGTTATGTGCCGTAAGGAGGATCTTCGCGAGATGGTAATGCTGTAGACCAGTCGTCACAGCGTCGCAAAGAAGCCAGATCTCGGGGAAGACGTTGTTCACGCCATCGGACTCCCGGTAGAACATGGGCGAGAACGACGGCGGTTTGAACATGTACCACCCGTCGCAATAATCCAACAACCTGTTGTAGTTCGCCGTGGTTTGTTCTTCATCGCCGAAGCAGTACCGCAGCACATCTGCACAGTGCGTCACGATCCGATTCGCCCACACACAGTCGCTCGCTGCGTCAAAGGTGCGGTCTATGTTGCAGTGCTCCAGAACCGGGATGATCGTTCGTTGGTTGACAAATGCCATGTAAATCTCTTGTCGGAGCCCTACCCAGAATGCAGCTTGTCTCAACCCACCGTATACAGTCGACCGTTCTTGTGCTGTGAGGAATACCTGTGTCCCTAGAAGGTGACTTTGAGATTCAGCGCCAGACACCGGGATGTCGATCTCCTCCAAGAAGCGCAGTATCACCGTGGCCGCGAGGAGGTTTTCGTCCATTAGAGCCGCCGTCTCATCCAGCATTGGAATCAAATGCTTCAAGCATTCCGAGTGATATCGCTCGGCAACGTAGGGGTCGTACTCTCCCACTCTGCTCCAATGTCTCGCTGATACGGCCAATATGGCGTTCATCAAAGGCGGACAAACTGCTGCCCTTTGGGGCACGACGAGCTGAAAATGTCGATCCGGATCGCAAAGGTCGAACGAGGAAGCTAAGTTGTCGACGAAATATCGTAACAAGGCAGCCTCTTCCTTCTTTTCTAGTGGCCATACTGGCGTGTCCAAGTATATGTGCGACAACGAGCTGGGAGCGTTTGAGATGGAAGGAAATTCCGGCGCAAAGTCGCTTGCTAGCGAAGAGGTAGGCTCTAGCTGTGGAAAGCCGTCTCGAGCGCTTAGATGGAGATCTGCAGCGACGTCTGATGGTGTGAGCTGTGATTGAGACTCTGATCTCAGCCTCGTAGCAGGTCGGCTGAAGAGGTTGCTCCCCTGACCAGGAGAATTGTGCGACAACGATTCGGAGCGATGCGGTAACTCGAGCTTGCGACGTTTTGGGGAGGATCCGGCCTCACTGACGCTCTGGCGCGTCTCTGAAGGTGGTCTTATTGCCGTGGATTGCGACAGAGTTCGGACAGGAAAGTCTTCAGTGGGAACCGAGGGGATGTGGTCTCGCCACCCAGGGGGAGTGACGACTATGTTGTCTTCGGGGTCTTGATCATGGTCGTAAATGTTTCGAAGCTCAGGAGTTTCGTCGACATAGCTGAGGTTATGCGTGGTCTTGCACCACGGCTGATTTTTGGAGAAGTCGTATTCACATTTCCCAATTCCAGAACCTTTGATGTTGGCCACGCTGCTGATCGGTCAGTCATCTCAAAATCTAGGACTAGACATGGCCATTCTGTGGGACCTAGAGAGGGATCGCTCGGCTACACAGGGGATGGCGTGCGCAGAATGAAGAATTGCACATAGAGGACAGTGTTACCTTGGGTTTAAACTATGTCGGAAGCGGATGTTGTAGCCCCTTACGCATTCGATGCCACTCTTCGCGCATCGCGTGCAAGAGGGTCGCTGTTCATCACCTGCACCACATTCATCACCATCAGCCGGATCCACCAATAAGACCTAGAAAGTGGGTACTGACATTTCAGATGCCTAGATAGGGCGTGTAGTTAGCCACCAGTTGCACACGGCGTAAAGGACGGGAAGTGTCACACACCTAACACGGCAGCTCTGCAAGCTTACATCAGCGATGGACAACCAATTAGGGCTTTTGGCGGTTGGTTTTCTTACCTGGCAGCCAGTGCGAGTTCGGGGCACCGAAGACATGTGGCCTGAGCTGGGAAATTTTGGATGCGTCTGAGAGAATGAGACAGAAAGTATGATGTGAGTAGGCAAGGTCGGCTTTAATGACCTTTTTCAGCGCTTCGGGAAGGTTTGCACGCAGCGACCTTAAGGCGGGTGAGCCCAGACCTGGCGTGCGGAGGTAACCAATGAGAGGCAAAACCAGGTCCAAACATGTGGGGAAGCTAGCTGAGGCATGTGTCTCCGAAGGCTTGGACGCATATGGCAAGACTGGCGGTGGGGTCCGCCTCAACTGCAAGAGTACCGGGGTGCTCACAAGATTTGATAGAAAAGGCCGGCAGGTGATGCAGGTTGTATTCTTAGTACTTCATTGATAACCGAACGTAAGAATAACATCACTCTCCCAAGTTTGCTATGGTAGTTGATGGACTAGATTCTCCGAGTACCCAGGCGAATTATCCGAATCACCGGCCGAGAGCCCTTCGGGGTTATTTCCCGGAAATCCCCGGTCAGTGGTCGTATTTTCCGCGCACGAGACTTCAAACACCTCGTAGTTGTCGATGCATCATCAGAACACTGCCACACTCTTGCAACTCGACCGTCGAGCCCATATTTCGAACTGACAACAGCAGACAGGTCACCCAGCGACGCAAGGTGACGAGCGAAACGCTGCTTCGAGAACGCTCCAACAAAATCTTCAGTTTGGATTGGCGCAGGAAAGTTTGCAGGGCCGCATAGGAAGATATCCATGGACTGGTCGTATACGCGCAGTTGAGTCGGATTGCCAACTCCAGCGCAACAAGCAGGCCAAAAAAAAAAAAAGAATTGGATTGAATGGCGTGGCTGCTATATCCCGAGAAAGCACAATTCCTGGTTCATTAGGCATTGAGAGATTCTCCTCACGAGTGGGTGGCGTGATTCGTCCCGGTTCTGAGCCAATGCAAGCCGCAATGCCGGAGGTTGCTGTGTTTGGCGGGCTGTAGCGTCTGTGGTCGCAGTTTCTTTCAACCATGCGTCCGACTGCTGGCAGAGTCGTCCAATACAATGAAGTTGGTGCTGCTGCGGTTTAAGATGCTGTTCTGGAGGAAGGTTGAGACTGCTCTGCTTGCGAAGTAGGCTTGGACCAGATGGAGTCAACGGTGCGTCTGAACCACTCACGGACCTTTGCAAAGTCAGTATACAGGTCACTTGAACAATCATGCGGGGAATTTACCCCTTGGAAAGGCTGGGCGTTATCTTCACGAGAACGACCCTTGGTTTTGATCTCGTCATTCCAGTCCATGAAGAGTACACCATAGATAACCACAACTGCTTCGCATCAGCCACAGCGCCGTGATAAAGCCCCAATGCTTGTCCTCACATGATATTGTTGCCCACTGTGTCAGATTGACGAACTTCTTCCACCGCGGACGGGCCCATTTGAGCTGAGATCGGCGCCTGAACTTGCGCTCCAGACGGAACTGGTGCTTCGGCGAGAGTTTGGAGAAGTCGGGCGGCCACAGTCGCTTCGCTTTGTAAGGGTTGCTGTGTATGTCGAAAGCCGGGCGCGCGGGCTCGGCGGCGCGGCGGGCTAATGTGCGCAGCATGGCGAGCGTGCGGCGACAAAGGCGATGCAGCGCAATGGTGTTGAAGCGGGCTGCAGCGGCTTTGCTGCCCTTGCATCGGCCCTCGCTTGCTCACCGCCCGGGCGTCATTCCCGCCGCATCTTTCTCGGCGGCGACAGACAGCCCACCACGCCGCCCTCCGTGACTCACCCAGCCCTAGAGTTCACCGGGCCTCAGTTCGCATTCTGCGCCGCGAGCACTCCGCAATCATGTCGGCCGCCAAAGCGACGCTCGAGGCGTTGGACCCTAACGCCAGCTCCAAGAACACCCTCAAGATCGAAAACGTGCGCTGCCCCGCCCCGCCGCAAATATATTTCGTACCCTGACACCCAGCAGACCGACAAGCGCGATACCCTCATTGCCGCCGAGAAGAAGTACCAGAAGCAATGGCAGGACTCCAAGGTCTTCCAGCAGGATGCTCCCTCCACGACCGAGTTCCCCTTCGGCTCCGTCACCGGCGACGACCTGCGTGCGAAGGCGCCCAAGTTCTTCGGCACCATGGCCTACCCCTACATGAACGGTGTCTTGCACGCCGGCCACAGCTTTACCGCGAGTAAGGTCGAGTTCGCCACCGGTTTCGCTCGTATGCAGGGCAAGCGCGCTCTGTTCCCCCAGGGCTACCACTGCACCGGTATGCCCATCAAGGCCTGCGCCGACAAGCTGGTGCGCGAGGTTGAGCTGTTTGGAAAGAACTTTGAGGGCTGCAAGGAGGATGACATTGCCGAGCCCAAGGCTGATGAGGTTCCTGCGCCCACCGAGGACACCACCAAGGCCGACATCACCAAGTTCAAGGCGACCAAGGGCAAGGCTGCCGCGAAGACCATCAAGACCAAATACCAGTTCCAGATCATGCTCTCCCTGGGCATCCCGCTCGAGGAGATCCACAAGTTCGCCGATCCGCAGTACTGGCTGGAGTTCTTCCCCCCGAGATGCCAGGAAGACCTGACCTCCATCGGTGCGCGTGTCGACTGGCGTAGGTCCATGGTTACCACCGACGCCAACCCTTACTACGATGCCTTCGTCCGCTGGCAAATGAACCGCTTGAAGGGCCTCGGAAAGATCAAGTTCGGCAAGCGCTACACTGTTTACTCTCCCAAGGATGGCCAGGCTTGTCTCGACCACGACCGTAGCTCCGGCGAGGGTGTCACCGTCCAGGAGTACACTGCTTTGAAGATGAAGGTTCTTGAGTGGCCCGAGAAGGCCAAGTCTATCATTGGTGATAAGATCCCCAGCGGCGCCAATGTCTACTTTGTTCCTGCCACTCTCCGTCCCGAGACCATGTACGGCCAGACCTGCTGTTTCGTTGGTCCCAAGGTCACCTACGGCATCTTCAAGGTCACGGATAACGAGTACTTCTTCCTGTCCCACCGTGCTGCTCGCAACATGGCCTTCCAGAACATCTTCCCCAACTGGGGTGTTTTCCCTCACGTCATCGACCTGCAGGGTTCTGACGTCGTTGGCACTCTTGTCAACGCGCCGCTCTCTACGCACAAGGATGTCAGGATTCTCCCCATGGAGTCGGTCAAGCCTACCAAGGGTACTGGTGTCGTAACTTGCGTGCCTTCCGACAGCCCTGACGATTACGCCACCACGATGGACCTCATCAAGAAGGCGGACTACTACGGCATCAAGAAGGAGTGGGCGGAACTCGAGATCATCCCCATCATCAAGACGCCCACGTACGGTGATCTCACCGCGAAGACGCTCGTTGAGCAGATGAAGATCAACTCTCCCAAGGATGCTAAGCAGCTTGCTGAGGCTAAGGAATTGGCCTACAAGGAGGGCTTCTATCAGGGTACTATGACTTACGGCGAGTTCTCTGGCAAGTCCGTGCAGGATGCCAAGCCTCTTGTTCGTAAGCAGCTGATCGATGCCGGTGATGCTTTCGCCTATGGCGAGCCCGATGGCATGGTTATGTCTCGCTCAGGTGACGAGTGCGTTGCCGCATACCTTGACCAGTGGTACATGAACTACGGTACCACTGAGAACGGTGGCGATGGCGAATGGTGCGAAACTGTCCTGAACCACCTTGAGAACGGCATGAACACCTTCTACCCCGAGGCCCAGCACGCTTTCAAGATGACTCTTGGCTGGTTGGCACAGTGGGCGTGCTCGAGATCGTACGGTCTCGGTACCAAGCTGCCGTGGGACCACACTCAGCTGGTGGAATCTCTCAGTGACAGCACGGTCTATATGAGCTACTACACCATTGCTCACTACCTCCACGGCGACATTTTCGGCAAGACCAAGGGTCTTTCCAAGCAGAGGATCACTCCCGAGCAGATGACTGACGAGGTCTGGGATTACCTCTTCTGCCGCTCCGAGGATGTCAAGACCGACATTCTCAAGGAGGATCTCGAGGCCATGCGGAGAGAGTTTGAGTACTGGTACCCTCTGGACGTCCGTGTCTCTGGCAAGGACCTGATCCAGAACCACCTTACTTTCTGCCTTTACATCCACACCGCTCTCTTCGGTCAGCAGCACTGGCCGCAGGGTTTCCGCGTCAATGGTCACCTTATGCTTAACGGCGAGAAGATGAGTAAGAGTACCGGAAACTTCCTTACTCTTGGCGATGCTGTGAAGAAGTTTGGTGCCGACGCAACCAGAGTGGCTCTTGCCGATGCTGGTGATGGAATCGAAGATGCCAACTTCGAGGAAACCGTCGCCAACGCCATCATTCTCAAGCTCTTCGAGCTCAGGAAGTGGTGCGAAGAGATGGTCAACGAGGCGCACCTGGTCGAGGGCGAGGCGCAGTACAAGGAGGCCCGCGATAGTGGCAAGGTCAAGAATGCGGATACCATCCAACGTACGGGCGAGAAGCTGCTCTGGGACAAGATGTTCGAGAACGAGCTCAACAGCTTGGTCATTGAGACGAAGGAACACTACGTGAAGTAAGTTAATCAGCTACGACAAGCAAAGACAATGCTAATATGGTCCAACTAGCACTTCGTACAAGCTGGCGCTCAAGTCCGGCTTCTACGACTTCACAGCCGCTCGTGATTTCTACCGTGAGGTCACTAAGGCTGCCGGCATCGGCATGCACGCCGATCTTGCGAAGCGTTTCGTTGAGCTTCAAGCCCTCCTCCTGACGCCCATCGCTCCTCACTGGGCTGAGTACATCTGGCTCGAGGTTCTGAAGAAGCCTGAGACTATTCAGAACGCCCTTTACCCAACTGTAGCCACGCCGGATCCGTCTCTCACGGCTGCCCGCGACTACGTGCGCACTACGACGTCGAACATCACGTCGGCCGAGGGTCAACAAGTCAAGAAGCTTGCCAAGGGCAAGAATGTTGCTTTCGATCCCAAGAAGGACAAGAAGCTCACCATCTTCGCTGCCGAGGCGTTCCCCGTTTGGCAAGACAAGTACCTCGAGCTTGTGCGCCAGAAGTTCGAGGAGCTCGGCCTTGTTGACGTCAAGGTCATCACCAAGGAAGTTGCCAAGCCTGACATGAAGAAGGCCATGCCTTTCATCCAGGGACTGAAGAGGCGTCTCGATGGTGGTGAGAAGGCTGGTGAGGTGTTTGACCGTCGTCTTCCGTTCGATGAGGTCGCGACGCTCAAGGAGATGGTGCCGGGCCTGAAGCAACAGGTTACCAAGCTCAAGGTCGTCGAGATTATTGGCGTCAAGGAGGGTGAGAAGGTCGGCAAGGTCCTTTTCGGTGAGGGTGAGACCAAGGATAACCTCCCGCCGAACGCTGAGTCTGCGGTGCCTGGCGCGCCGACGTTCTTCTTCGAGAACTTGTGAAGCGTGGGATGGATAGAACAAAAGAGAAAGGGGGAAAATTACGGTACAGTGAAAGACGTTATGCCCGATACAACATGACCTGAAGAAAAGAAAAAGATGTAGAGAAGAAATGATTTCAGCCAATTTCGGATGTTCACCCTGCTGCTCAGCACATTATGAAGTTCGTGGGCCATTTCATACAACGCGTAGAGAAGCGCCTGCTACCGCAGCCTAGCGTAGCAGACTATATTGCTGCCTGAGGTTTGGCTCTAAACACGGTGCTAATGTTTATCCGAAGCTGGCGCCAATAGGTTGAATTTTTACGCTCCACTCATGCCGCCTCCCCCTGAGAATCGCTTTCTACTTTCTGCGATTCGAGCAGAGTCGAGACTTCAGCCTTGCAAGTGAGACATTCTCATGCGCTACCGCACTTCTCGTATCGCCGAGGCGGACTTACGAGAGGCCGCCCAGGCTGCAGGGACTCGTATTCGCGACGCCGCCTCAGCCACAGAGAGGCTAAAGAACAGGAGCAAGATGAGAAATTGAAGGGAGGGATTGGAAGGAATAGAGAGAGATAGAGAAAGAACGAATGACACGAGTAAGCGTGTGGTGTGTCTCGTCGCGCCGATCTTTCACCGCTGCGGGTCCCGGGCGTTTCCAGTCACCGCCTCTCATCAATAATCATGCAGCTAGAAGCAAAGACCATCTTTCTCGAAGGAATGATGACTTGTCCCCATAAGCTTCCACCCCACAGATTGCCAGCCTGCTACCCGGGTCTCCCTTCCATTCCTTCGTCGTCCGCCGTCCCCTTATCCCGGGAGTCCTACCCACAGGCAAAAGCAGATGTCAACCGTGCCCGATTGCCCCATGCTGTCGAATCCACCCAAGGACGTACCGTGTCGGACCTCGTGCGCGCTTTCTGGACGATACGCCTGAAGGACAGGCCGCTCTTGTTTCGACTTTTTTTTTCTTTGGGAGGAAAGGGCTGTGTTTACGTGCTACGCTCCGATCGGACCGACTGTACCCTCTGGACGCTTCGGTGGGCGAAGCTAAAGAAGGCCCCCTCTCCCTGAAATCCTTAAAGGAAAAAAAAGTTTCTGATTTCCAAAGGGACGACGTTGTGGGGGAGCGTGAGTAGTGAGAGAGGAGAGACGAAAAACCCGGGGAGGGCTTTTTAGGGCCCGGGATATGGCGCCCTTCATGCATGATTTGGACACCGCCGCATCGCCGGCACTTCCCGCACGCTTTCTGCCTCATCATCATCGTCGTCTTATTTCCGCCGATACTCCTGCAGCAGCTACCGCCGCCCCGGCATCATCCACGGAGCCGTGCCAGCACTGCGTTGATGTGTTCACGACCTCACAACAGTCCATCTCCACCGACGACCGCTTCGGCTCCCCGTGGGCCCTGCTGTGCAGCCCGGGCCTCGTCTACTCCCGCCGCCGCGGCTCGCTCGAGGAGTCGGCGAGGCAGAGGTGCGGCCTCTGCAGGGTGCTGCTCGACTCGGTCGTCACGGGCGAGAAGCGGCGAAGCAACCTGAAGAAGAGCTGGGATGCCAACGCCGTTGCCTTGGGTGGTGACCAGGGGGTCGGCGGCGGTGGTGTCGGTGCTAACAGAAAGAGCGCAGACGATGTAGTCGTGCATTTTGAATTTTCGTTCGAGACGGAGGGTGGCAGCGGCCCCGGCAGTCCAGTGGTGCGGGATCACCAGAGATTTCCGTCATGGCCGGGTTGGGGGGGTGTGGTGGATGGTGAGGTCCAAGGGCAGGCGTCGCAGCAGGCGCCACTGGTGCCGGTACTGAGGGTGCGGAGACTGGGCACGCTGTTCCCGGGGACGTTGCTGTTCGATGTTGCGACCGAGCACGGTGAGTGTTGCTCCGTTGGATTTGGCGTTCGATACCGTGTTAACGAAGAGAAAGGTGATCCGTTGGCAGAACCACAACAAGCCGTTGAAGATGACGACGCTTTTTCACTCCCCGTTTGCAGCTTGGACGCGGATCGAGGGACGCCCGAAGAGCTTGCAACGGTCAAGAGCTGGCTGGACTGGTGTGACAATGGGCACCGGTCGTGCGTGCGAAAGAGGCGTGCCCTCCCGTCCAGGGTGCTCGACGTGGGCGAGGCTGCCGGCGTTGTGCGTCTAGTCGACTCGGAAGGCATCGAGCCGGAGCCATACGCCACACTCAGTTACTGCTGGGGAGGATCCCAGTCCATCGTGACGTCGACGGAAACAATAGGGGAGCACATGGCCGGCATCGAGGTTGCCGAGCTCCCGCAGACGCTGCAGGACGCCGTCAAGACGACAAGAGCATTGGGATTGAAATATCTCTGGGTGGATTCGCTGTGCATCATGCAGGACAGCGCCGACGACAAGGAGCACGAGATGGCGCGCATGCAGCAAGTCTTCCAGAACTCGCACGTCACCATCGTCGCCGCCCGCGCTCGTTCCTGTCACGAGGGCTTCTTCCACGCCGAGCGCTCGCGCGACCCGCTCGTCAAGCTCCCCGTCCGGACGAGTGGGGACCAGGTCGGCAACATGCTGCTGCTGCCGCGCAAGCAGCCGCTGGTCGAGCAGCCCGCGCGAGAGCCGCTCCACGAGCGCGCCTGGGCGCTGCAGGAGATCGTGCTGTCGCCGCGCCTGCTCATCTACGGCCGCGAGCTGACCGTCTGGCGGTGCACTGCGGGCGAGAAGGCGCGCGACTGCAGCAGCAGTCGCCACCACCGCCACAACAACAACAGCAACAACCCCCTGGACTGGAACGGCTACTGCGCCGCCGCAGGCCTCACCACCATCCGCCTCTCGCCCAAGGGCCGCATCCACCAGCCGCGCTTGTCGACCCACTCGCCGCACAGCATGTTCGCCCAGCAATCGGAGCGGCTGCCCAGGCTGTTCCGCACGTGGAAATACGTCGTCCACGACTACACGGCGCGGCTGCTGTCGGACCCCATGGACAAGCTGCCCGCGCTCTCGGGCATCGCCACCTACTTCCGCGACGCCATGGAAGACCAATACCTCGCCGGCCTGTGGCGCAAGCACCTCCTCAGCGAGCTGTCCTGGGTCGTCTCCACCTCCACCACCTCATCATCATCATCCCCACTCCCACTCCTCGAGAATAGCAACAGTAACAACAACAGCAACAACGACGACATCCTCCCATTCTTCCCCGCCTCGGCGCCCCTCACCCCCATCGCCCGCCGCCCGCCCCGCTACCGCGCCCCCTCGTGGTCCTGGATGAGCGTCGACGCGGCCATCGCCTTCCACGCCGACTCGTGCTCGTGGTACGAGCCCGTCGCCGACGTGATCGCATGCACGGTTCAGCCCGCTCGACCCAACGCCGCGCCCTGCGGCGCCGTCGTCGGCGGCGCCCTCACGCTGCACGGCTTCATGCGGCCCAACGTGCCCAGCCTGCTGAGCCCGCGCACCCCCTTCGCCGTCGCCACCGCCGGCATGCCCGGCGAGGAGATGATCCAGGGCGCGTACGGCACCATCTACCTCGACGTGCCGCCGCAGCCGATGTCGATGGACGGCGACGAGGATGATGGGAGGTTTGGGCTCGGTAGCGGTCTGGGCTTGTCGCCGCCGTCTCTGTCGTCGTCGTCCAGGAGGAGCTCGCAGGGCGTGTACTGGTGCTTGCTGCTGGCCCGCTGCTTCACGCGCACGCCGGCAGAGGACGACGTCATGGTCGACATTGAGACGGCGTGGGGCCTGGCGCTGGCGCTGAACGGCGAGGAGTTTGAGCGGGTGGGGTACTTTGTCGGCAGTCCGACGTGCAGGACGTGGTTCGAGAGTGGGGGCAAGAGGGATGTCACGATCGTGTAAGAAGAGGATGATGGGTGGGGGAAACTAATGAGAAAGCAGGGGAGAGGGGGAAGGAAAGGACTGTGTGTTCTTTTTTTGTTTATTTCTTGTACAGGGGCATGTGGCGTGTATATATGATAATGCTTGTATAGTACGACAATCTCATAACATTGAGGGGTCAGAACTACCTACGTATTTTGCTTTTCGTCGTCAAGATGATTCCTCCAACACCTACACACCCATGTCCAGCAACTCCGTCAGCATATACTCACTGAGTATGCCCACCAGCCCGATCACAAACGGCGTCACCCGCCCCGGTGCGGTAATCGCGTACATCCACTCGTCCCTCAAGTCACGCACCTCCCACGCTTGCCCCTCGTGCTGCTCGTTCCACGCGTTGATCGCCGGCAACGCGTAATACTCCACCTGATCCAGCACGGACGCCAATCGCGCCGCAAGCATTCGATCTTCAAAACCCATTCCCTCCACTACCCTTTCAGCATAGAATTCCGCTGTGGCAACCCGTGCAAGGTCCCTCAATTCGTACGCCATCGGCTCCCCGCGGACGGTCACCGACAGGGGCCAGTCGTGGGTGCCAAGAGCGTGGGCGCAGGAGGGTCCACATCCATCATAGTTATGGTTGTGATCGTGATGGTGCGAGTACGAGTTGGAGCTTGAGTGGTGGCGTTCGACATGATCGCGGCCGTCGGCATAGCCGCCATTGAAACTTCCGTAGTCGTCGTCGTCGCCATGGTAGTGGGGGGCATCTTCGTCATATTCTTCGTCAGAATATTCGTAACCCTGGTCGGAATAGTAGCCATCTTCGTCATGATAGTAGTCATCCCCGTCGTAGTAGTGGTGGTCCTCGTCATAAAAGTAGTCATCTCCGTCGTAGTAGTAATTTTCGTCGTAGAAGTAGTCACCACCGTCGTAATAGTGGTCATCCTCGTCGGGAGAAGGTTGATCATCCGGCGGAGCTTCCCAGAGCACAGCACGGCATACGGGACAGGTGTTTCCGACCAATTTCTTGACGCATTCCGAGCCGAAGGTGTGGCCACAGATCGAAAACCTTATTGGTCTTTCGAAGTTCGAAGCGTACTCCTCCAGACAAAGGCAACACGAAGCGTCTGGTTCAAGTGGCGAGGATACTTCCGACACCCCTTCCTCAAGAAAGTCCTTAAGAGATGTAAACATCGACATGGCAAATCACTGCTTCTCGGAAGACTATAGCTCCGCGAGATTGATATATATAGTTCGGTAATAGCACTTGATGGGAGACGAGACTGTGAAACAAGGCTTTGAGACAAGACTTTGAGACAAGGGTAAGTGCAGATGGTGAAGTAGATTCATTACTGTATGTAGAAGAAACTATTAGATTCGTCTCGGTACCTTTTACTTCTTTGTCAGAAGCTTGCTTGTTTCAGTTCGGCTACGAGATGCGTGTTTAGCAAACACTGCGATGCACACCATGGTGCATGGGCCTCTTCGCCTTGTGTTTCTCGGCACTGCTGACACCACGGCTACCATGGGTCTTCTCGATGGTGTTGGCGAACGGTTGCCATGCAGCAAGGTCGATAGCGTCGCTTTGCATGACTGACTCTGTCACAGCGCAGATATCCGTAATCAAGCGATCAAGTAGGTCGAGACTCATTGATTCGCGGACAACAACGCGTAGAATCTCAGTCTTCTCCTCGTTGGGTGGCAGAGGGTAGTCTGGAAACATCTTGGTTAGTTGAGAAAAAAAAATACAAATAAACAGGGAGCGAGCCTACTGGGAATGATGTATTGCTTCGATCTCAATAGGTTGCTGATCGATACTTGCTTGACGTGCGGGAACTGTTCCTTGAACTTCTTGCTCAAGGTAAAAGCAACAACAGGCAGACCGGCATTGTAGGCAGCACTGTTCTCGCCCTCGTCATATGGCTTCTTTCCCTCCTCATACTTGTGATCGCCCTTTTTTCTGTGAATGTCGCTGACGCACTCGTACCATCCGGTGGCCTCGAGCGCCCGGCTCAGCAAGCGAGCGTTGGCAAGTGCGTTCTCCATGATCGTTCGGTAACCGGTGAAACCAAGGTGTATGAGATTGAAGTATTGGGCGATGATTTGCGCACCTGGCCGAGAGAAGTTCAGAGTGTACGATTCCTCGGTGCCACCTAGATAGTGCAGCTCAAAGATCAGGTGCTTGGGCAGGTAAGCCTCGTCTCGCCAGATGATCCAGCCAACACCGGCGTACACCAGGCCGAACTTGTGACCTGAAACATTGATGGACTTGACGCGAGGAAGCTCGAAGTTCCTATGATCATCAGCATTGTGCCAAAGCGATCTTAGTGTGAGACAAACCACTTCGATCCACCAGCTTGAGCGTGGGTGAAAGGTGCAATGAAAGCACCGGAAGCTCCGTCAACGTGGATTGGAATATCAACGCCGGTCTTGGCCTCGTACTCATCCAGGATCTTAGAGATCTCCTCGACTGGCTCATAGTGGCCTGTATAGGTGGAGCCCAGAATCACAAACACACCAATGGTGTTCTCGTCAATATTCTCTCGAACAAGATCGGGGTCAAGACGGTACAAGCTCTTCTCGCTTACTGGCAGGATACGGGCCTCAACCTCGAAGTAGCGTGCAAACTTCTCGAGAGCCACCTGAGCGTTGGCTCCCATGATGATGTTCGGCTTATCCGTAGGCTTTCCTTCGGCCTGGCGCTTCTCTTGCCACCGCCGCTTCATGGCAAGACCACCGAGGTGAATAGCTTCGCTTGAACCGGTTGTGGCAGTTCCCACGGCCTTTTCGCCTTTCTGCACACCCCAGAGGTGCGAGAGAATGGAAACACAGCGAGAATGCCTATGACAAGTCAGCTTTCAGCTCTGTCGGAAGGTTGGTCGCCAGTATACGCACATCTGCATCATCGCCGGATACCTACAAGGTTGGTGTTAGAAGCTGGATATAGGAGGGGAAATTTCAAACACATGTGGGCAGTGGAAGCTGTCGTCCGGACGTGTATGTAGAGCTTTTAATTCGACACTCTCGTCCGGACGATAGCTTCAACTACCCATGTGTTGATAGGGAGGGGACAACGTACTCGTCCGCATCGCTCATGTTTTTGCTCAGATTTTCGATCATAAGCTTCTCGGCCTGCTCTTCCATGTATGTTCCAACAAAGGAGGCAAGATTCAGGTTCGGACGGCCATCGAGATCGAGCCTGCAGGTGTCAGTTACTCCAACGGGTAATTCGGAACCAGGCAGAAAGGGCCTACTCGTCCTTCAACATCTGGTGGACAGCATCGGCAGGAGCGCCATCGTGAGGCATCCTGAACTTCGAAAGCTCGCTGATCGAGGCATAGCGGCTCGAGTAAGGAGTGTTGTGGTTGACGGCGGTGTTTGAGTGAAAACCACGGTGGTGGGGCGGGTGATCGTGGAATTTTTCCACGAGGACTTCAGGGTCAATGTGGGACGAAAGCATGTTGTGCTAGAATTGGCGCAGGAGACGCTGTGAAATGCTGGAAACTGAGGCCTGCCGGTCTTTTGCGGGCGAAGAGGGGTAAATATAAGCTGCCAGCACCAGAAATCGGGCATTGGAATGCGCCAGCGCCCGGCAACGGCGCCGACTGACGTAGATCGAAGACATTGTGGGCCATTGGGAAGCAGCGGATGAGTTCTCCAGGCGGGAGCTCGACATGGAGCAAAGCTTGGTAAAGCTTGTCTCCGGCTGCGCCTGCTGTTCTTGACATCATCGTTGGCGCCGCTCGGCGCAGCAGTCGGCCGAGGCGGCTAAACCTCGCCTGGCGTGCGGCTCCAATCAGGGCCAGCGAGTTACGCGTCCCCGTGTTCGTGTCGCGTAACTAACGACTACCCAAGCCGTCGCCAGGCCAGCCGTCTCCCCGCAGCACCCAACGGCCCTGAACCACTCAACCCCGCGCAACAAGCTCCCGTCCCTTCCGCCACCAATCCAGGCAGCAACATTTGTCGCGCTCACGATGATGCTGCCAACGACGGTTTTCCGCCCAGCGCAATGCGGCGTGGCGAGGATCTACGGATAGCGGGCCCTCGCGTCACTTCATTTCGGCTTGGCGCCAAAGCAGTCGTCAGCTTCATAGGCGTGGGCGTCGTAAGCGAAATCCCAGCGCATGCTTTGATTTTGCTGCGCCTTGATTTAAAGTACCGGTGGCGCCCGCGCTCGACCAACGTTTTTCTGTTGCTCTTTGTGTTTGAGAAACCCTCCGACGGACTTTGCGGAGAAAGCCCGATACGCGGGTGTGAGTGAGCGAGCTCACCTGCAGGTCCTGACGCCATCGAGCTTGTCTCGGCATCCATCATTCGATCCACCCTTTCCTATATACCCCTCCTTCCGTCTCATCCCTTTCAAAAGTCTTTCCTTTCCTCAACCACTCCAACATGAAGTTCGCCGGCCTCCTCCCGCTGGCCGCGCTTAGCTCCGCCATCGTCCTTCCTGACGAGGCCATACTTCGCGAGCTTGCCACTCAATCCGACAAGCTCGCAGCTCCGGAACATCCGGTCGCCGACCTGAAGGGTGCCCTCGACGACCTCGTTGACGACGCCAGGGATGACTTTGAGTCCGTCGAGTTCGGTCTACGAGAGTCCTTCCATGACGCCAAGGATGCCCTCGATGATGCCTTTGAACGGATAGTCGACGCCGAGGAGTCCGTCTGGGATCAGATCCACGAGAGTGGCTTCGACGTCGAGGGCTGGCTGCGGAGTGGCTCCCCACGCCGTCCCAAGCACTTTGACTTTGATGGTCCTCCCAGACCACACCCGCATGGTGACCGCCCACCTCCACCTCCACCACATGGCGACCACCCACCGCCGCCTCCTCCTCCACATGGCGACCACCCACCACCACCTCCCCATGGCGACCACCCGCCACCTCCATATGGGAAGCATCTCGCCCCTCCTCCCCATGGCAAGCATCTCCCTCCGCCTCCGCCTCCGCCATTCCATCGTCACCGTGAAGGCGAATTTCCCCCTCCCCCTCCCCCTCCTCATGATGAGCCTCCGCATGAGAGGCCTCCCCACGATGGCCCTCCTCATCCCAGACCTCCTCATGATGGACCGCCTCACGACAGGCCACCGCACAAGGGAAGGCCGGATCATCCACCGCGCCACAAGCCTAACCAGACCGTTTACGAGCTGATTGCCAAGTCCAAGTATACCACTAAGCTGGCGAAGCTGATCAACGATGATGCCGAGCTGGTTGAGTTGCTGAATGGCACGACAGCCAACTTCACTGTCTTCGCCCCTACGGACAAGGCCTTTGAGAAGATCCCCAAGCACAAGGAGCCCAGCAAGGAATTCATCAAGAAGCTCCTCCTGTACCATGTGTCGCCCGACTTCTACCCTGCTGGCCGTGTCCTTCACACCCACACCATCCCTACGCTCTACAAGGAGCCGGCTCTTGGTGGCGATGACTTCGCGCAGCGCTTGAGTGTGAACATTGGCTTCAAGGGGTTGACGCTGAACTTCTACAGCCGCATCGTCGCTATCGACATTGTAAGTAATGCCCTTGGGATTGGCGAAAAATATGTAACGTTACTAACCACCGTCCTTAGTTCGGCACAAATGGTGTTATTCACGGTCTTGACACCATTCTCATCCCCCCGCCCAAGGCAGCTGATATCATCTCCCTTCTGCCTGGAGAGTTCTCAACCGTTACCCTTGGCCTGGAGAAGACTGGTCTCTTTGACCTTCTGAACAGCACTGATCATGCTGGCGGTACTTTCTTCGCTCCCTCCAACTGGGCCTTTAAGAAGCTCGGTCCCCGCATCAACGCCTTCTTGTTCAGCTCCTACGGCGAGAAGTATCTCAAGGCCCTGCTCAAGTACCACATCGTTCCCGAGCAGACCCTTTACTCAGATGCCTTCTACCGTCCGTCGAAAGACGACGATGAGCATAGCCAGAGATCCTTCCACGTCGATCTGCCAACCCTGCTCGACGACAAGGCTCTCAGCGTTGACATTGGGTATTATGGTCCTTTCACCGAGATCAAGATCAACGGCTTCTCGCGTGTGGCTATCCAGAACGGCATCGCCAAGGACGGTGTCATTCAAGTCGTTAGCAGCGTTTTGATCCCGCCGAGGACTGCGGAAACGAAGGACTTCTGGGAGGGTGAACACCTGAGCGTCGAAGAATTCAAGGCAAGGCTGGAGCCTTTCGTCGAGTCTGACGAGTCCGAAGCCGAGGACCTTGGCTGGGGCGAGCTTTGAGCGGTTTCAGGGGAGTGCATGAGAGCACGGATGTTCGATTTCCTTTGAGTGATTTTTCCACAGCCGCTATCGCAGCATTTTAGGGCGCAAACCAGCGCAGCCACATTTTTAAATATACCAGCAGATTTCCTTTTCTTCACCAATAGCCTTCGTTTGCTAGCACATTTACTAAGTGTAAGAAGATCGGCGATCGTCCGTGAGGAAGAGGGGGCTTATCAGCAGCAAACAATCATTCTTGTTCCTGATACGCTCGACGCATCGCTTTGCATCAGCTGCCGTATGGACTGATGGTGTTCTCACATGAAGCATAGACCCCTGTATCACGTCCAACTTGCATAGCCTATGGAATTTACGTCCAGATGCCACAGCATTTCTGAGGGTGGGGAGTAGACGCACATGCCCGCTGGAGGGGTCTTTCATGATCTGGTTTTCGTTGGGGATTAGAGAGCTAGGTGTCAGCTGCGGGGCGGTCTCGAAGCATGTGGCACGCGCTTGCGTTACCAGCACTGTCGATGCCGACATGGCTCCCGGTCAGCGCTTGGGTTGAAAGCAATTGACATGTGCAACTGCGGACTATCTTTTCCGGTGTGCACTTTCAGGAGGATCTGCTGACGAACGCGTGCTCAGGCAGGAACGACGTCGTCAGCCCCGCCAACAAGAATGCCGTTACACCAAAATGCATCATAAACAACGCGTAGTCCAGGCCGCGGGTTCCTTCGCCCCGCAATGCCCCGCTTTCTCTACCTGCGATCTCTGAAGCGGGTGGCGGGGCAAGCTTGCGGCTTAGCAGCAGGGCTAGGCCGAGGCAGGAGTAGCCAAGACGATGAGGATTTTGTGTCATTTAGATGCATCTGGATTCGCATAGGCGGTGCCACAATGCAGCATCCTAGCATGGGCAATCGACGATGGCGATGGGAAAGTGTGCATCGAGATCTATGAAGTGACGTCACCCCTGATCCTTGCACCACGCACGAGACGATGAAGAATCGCGAGCAACACCAGATATCTGATCGCGATGTAAAACAGGGCTGCGACGACGGAGCAGCTGATCACTGCATTTCGGGCATTTTGGGGCGAGACACAGAGCCAGGAGGGCGGCTTGCAAGTGACGCAATGATGATTCGCAGCCATCGAAGCTCCCCAGCCCCACGGCCCCGCCTACCCGATCAGGCAAGCGGCGCGCGCCCTTTGCTCCAACCGCAAACAGTTCAGCGCCTACCACAGCATGACGCAACTAAATAATAGCAGTTGCGTGTCTGGGCCTTGGCTGCCGTCGACTCAATACATAAAGCCTTCACTTTGCTCGACATCTTCTCTTCTCCATCAGCACCAACAGCTTCTCATCTGCAAACAACACTTCAAACCACAACCTTCCAACACAATCCATCATCATGTCTGACGCAGGGTATGTCAACCTTTGCTCCATGTGGCAGCCTTCCGCTGACCTTCATCGCCTGCAGCCGCAAGTCCACCATCGACCAGGCTAAGGAGAAGGTCACTCCCGACAGCCAGAAGTCCACCCTTGACCAGGCCAAGGAGTCTCTCACTGGCACCTACGACCGGTAAGTCGCACTCCTCAGTACTCGAGTCTTTGAAACAACACCCCGGCGGCTCATACCCGCATTGCCTCCGCGCCCCATTGTTACGGCGTCAGTGGAGTAGTTGCGCTCACATCACGTTTTTCCCGCCGTACTACAGTGCTGCCGGTGCCGTCCAGCCCGACGACCAGAAGTCGTACACTCAAAAGGCCTCCGACAACCTTCGCAGCGGTTCCGACGACGCCAGCAAGCAATCCAAGTCCTATATGGAGAGCGCCCAGGAGACCGTCGGCAACGCTGCCCAGAGCCTCGCCGACACCATTGGCGGCAAGAAATAAATGTTTCGATGATCACGACCAACGCCGACACCTCACAACTTGATCCTACGAGAGAACTCTACGACCTATGGCTACGAAGCATGACTCGCCGAGGATGTAACAGAGATGGGTGGGTGGCATGTACTTTATACCCTATGAGACAATGAATAAGCCAACAAGGCAAACGTAAACAACCACTTCTGTTCCCGAGTTGCCTCTGTGAAGTTGATGTACTTGATAAGTAGTGTGAGGTGATCCGCAGGATCTTCAGCCTGATTCATGGTACCCTTGCAGCACATGTACTGGCTACTTTCCGTTTCGGGATCAAAGTCACGAGTCATGTCCTTTTTTCCCATGTCTTATCGACTGTTTAAAGGCGCTTTACTGCGATAAGAATTTTTGCGCAAGCCATAGGGCATTCGAGGCTCTATGGCCTGCCACGAAATGATTATACAATTGGTGTCACTCACTTGTGGTCAATGGATGAGATAGACTACAACCGGGATAGCGGATACATATCCGATTTGGAAATCCTGGCGCATGCAGCCGGCGGGTGCGCTAGCCTGAAGTTTCCAGTGCAGCAGACGACGGGCCGGAATTTCTCCTAAGTGGATCACTAATTCAGGAGAAGTGGAGGGATTGAGGTGGAGGATCGGTCGGACTTGTACAGGTCCAAACCGAAGTCGGCATCTGGCATGGCGAGCCGGGTGCCGCAGCAAACCGACCTTGCGGCAACGCGTGGTGGGGCAACTGGATGAGCACGACACCTGCATTCATTCTTGCATCTATAAACCGGCGAAGCCTATTGACATTCACGGTGCGTTGTCGAAAGTTTCAGCACCAAGATACCCAATTTTCAATTCCTCCCTCACAATGGTTGCAGCAAAGGTCCCGCCGAGCGGCATTTGGTGAGCACAGATCCCCCGCGGCTTCCCCGCTCCTCTCTTTCTCAACACCATCACGTCGCCTTGGCTGCTGCACCAACTCGTTTCATTGACTGACACCGACGCTTCTTCAGGGCTCCCGCCATCACCTTCTTCGACAATGACCAGCTCACTCTCGAGGCGCAAGCCAAATACTACTCCTACCTCGCACAGACCGGCCTGGCGGGCCTAGTCATCATGGGCACAAACGGAGAGACATTCCTGCTGACGGCGCAGGAGCGGGCGACGCTCATCGCCACAGCGCGCAAGGCGGTCGGGCCCGACTTCCCCATAATGGCCGGGTGCGGCGCGCACAGCACGGCGCAGGTGCTGGGCCACATCGAGGACGCCGCGGCGGCGGGGGCCGACTACGCGCTGGTGCTGCCGCCGGGCTACTTCGGCAAGGCGACGACGCCGGCCGTGGTGGAGCGCTTCTTCGACACGGTGGCCGAGAAGTCGCGGCTGCCCGTCGTCATCTACAACTTCCCGGCCGTCACCAACGGCATCGACCTGGACAGCGACCTCATCACGCGCCTGGCCCAGCGCCACCCGACCAAGATCGTCGGCGTCAAGCTGACGTGCGGCAGCGTCGCCAAGGTGGTGCGCCTGAGCGCCGCGCTGCCCGCCGACCAGTTCGCCACGTTCGGCGGCCAGAGCGACTTCCTGCTGGGCGCGCTCGCGTCGGGCGCCGCCGGCTGCATCGCCGCCTTCGCCAACATCGCGCCCCGCACCATCGTGCGCATCTACGACCTGTGGAAGGCGGGCAAGGCCGACGAGGCGCTCGAGCTGCACAAGAAGGCTGCTCTGGCTGAGAACCCGTGCAAGGCCGGCATCGCGACCGTCAAGTTCGTCGCCGCGCACTACACGGCTAAGAGGGCGGGCATTGAGGGCGCGGACAAGCTGGCTGTGCCCAGGGAGCCATATGTCGCGCCGGCTGAGGGTGCGAAGACGGCGACGTTGGGTGCGTTGGCGGAGATACAGCAGATCGAGGAGAGCCTGGGAAAGGCGTAGGGCGCTGGTGAGTCCTGATGGATTTAGAGGATAACCGGAGACAGGTCGTATATCAATTGAGACGGTAGATCGCCTATACATGAGGTTAGCGCATCGAGGAATAGCACTACAACGGCCAATAAGATGATTCACAAAAGGCACGGAACACAGGGGGGCGTTCGTCCCGACGGTTCAGTCATACCCAGCCCCGCAGTGCGATGTCGGTGATATTTCTCAAACGATGACTCTCTTCTCACGCCAGTGATTTCCAGGTCGGCGAATTAAAGCCGACCTGAAGTTGCAAATTCAATGACAACAGGAAGGCCATATCTATACCGGCAGACGACGTCTTTGACCAATTGGAAAGATTACAGCTCGCGGCAACGGCTCTAACCCCGCGGTCGTCACGGTCAGCTCGCGTGAGAGTCCTTCCGTGTGGATCCTTTGCTATCCGCGATCACGGGAGCGCAGCACGGCACAGTATCGGCTCTCTGCTCCGCGTCCCCCAAGGAAAAAATTTATGGAGCCGGAATCGCGGCCACTGACGGCCTGGACATAAAGGAATGACTCCCCCGCCTCGGAGACCGTGAGAGAGTGACATTGGCCTTTCCCCTCCCTCACCACTGCCCTTTGTACCAAGCTGAGCCGCCTACGACTCGTCGTCGCATCCTTCCTGTTCCTGTCACTTTTTTTCCTCCTACTGCCGCGACAAGCCGTTGGTAGCCGACCATCTTTGCGTCATGGGTTCCCTGCCGATTCCTGAGAGCCGCTTTGGCCATCTCGATGATGTGCCCATGGACGAAGCCTTCATGATCATGCGCGACTTTGCGCTGGATGAGCATCCTGGCAAGATAAGCTTGGGAGCCGGTGTTTACCGCGACGACGAGGCTAAGCCGTGGGTGCTGCCGAGCGTGAAGGAGGTATGCCGTTCAATCTTGTATTCCCCGCAATCCGCAATTGAAGCCGAATATTCTGGTATTGGGACGCTTCATTGGGCCATTGGAATTCAACCTCAATGCTTCTTTCTGAACCTTCTCGGTGGTCTATGGAATTATGGATTTATCCCCAACATTGAATGCTGACCGTTTTATCCCCAGGCCGAGAAGCGCATCATTGAGGACCCTACCGTCGACCATGAGTACCAGCCCATGACGGGCTACGCGCCCTTCGTCGCTCACGCCCAGAATCTCACCTTCGGCCCCCTGACCCCCCATCTGGCTCCCCGCATCGCCTCCATCCAGACCATCTCCGGCACGGGTGCCAACCACATGGCAGCTCGCTTCCTGGCCGACTCCCTGCGCGCACAGCGTGTCTGGATCAGCGATCCCACCTGGGGCAACCACCATCTGATCTGGGACGTATCGGCTCCGGGCGTCAAGCAATGCCTGTACCCGTACTACAACCCGGCCACCTGCGCGCTCGACTTCGAGGGCATGATTGCGACGCTTGACCGCGACGCTCAGCCGGGAGACATCATCCTGCTCCACGCATGCGCGCACAACCCCACCGGCATCGACCCGACCCCGGAGCAGTGGGAGGTCATCGCCGACCTGTGCGAGCGCAAGCAGCTGTTCCCCTTCTTCGACTCGGCCTACCAGGGCTTCGCGTCGGGCGACCTGGACGCCGACGCGGCGTCGATCCGCCTCTTCGCCGAGCGCGGCCTCGAGCTGGCCGTGGCGCAGTCCTTCTCCAAGAACTTCGGCATCTACGGCCAGCGGGCGGGCGCGCTGCACGTGCTGCTGGCCCACGAGCAGGCGCTGCCGCGCACCCTCAGCCAGATGGTGCGCCTGGTGCGCGGCGAGTTCAGCACCACGCCCGTCCACGGCGCGCGCATCGTGGCCACGATCCTGAGCGACCGCGACCTGCGCGAGCGCTGGCTCGTCGACCTGCGCGTCATGTCGGCCCGCATCAAGGAGATGCGCCGCCGCTTGTACGACGAGCTCGTCCGCCGCGGCACCCCGGGTTCCTGGCGCCACATCGTCGACCAGATCGGCATGTTCTCGTACACGGGACTCAACAAGAGGCAGGTCGTCCGTCTGCGCGATGAGCACCACATGTACCTCATGAGCTCCGGCCGCGCGTCCATCGCCGGCTTGACCTCCAAGAACGTCGTGGCTGCTGCCGCGGCTATCGATGCCGTCGTCAGGGCCGAGAGCGCTTAGGCGGCGGCTCTTGATCCTTGACTTTCATTTTTTTATGTCTTTTTGCCCGCCTCATTTTTTCTTGTTGAAGCATTATCACCAACTGCATTGAAAGGAGTTTGTTCCGGATTAATTGATCATAGAGACGGCAAACAAAAGTTTTGCTGGGTGGCATAGCGTTCTGGACCCTTTCTTGAGAAAGGGGAGGGAAAAAAGAGATATCCAGGTCATCACACGGTCTGCCGATTGGATACGGAAGCTTCTCATTGAGCTTTCATTCGGGAATGAGTCTGGGTTTTTTTTTTAGTTGTCAAAAATTTTCCTTGGCAAGATATCACATGGTCTGCCGACGCCTTAACGATTTTCAAGCTGTTATTCTTGCGCGTCGGAATGGATTTGTCTGAGGATTCGGATGGTGGGTTGTTGTTGTTGTGTACGACGGAGCATTTTCATCCCAAGGTCTGTCGATGCGCGGCTGGTAACGCTTCTTGTTCATGTTTTTGTAGTTCGTACGAGATTGGTGAATATGAAAGTCATGAAAATCAGGGCTCGTCGTTCCTTGCATGTTATGAATCATCAATTGTTCGCAATGATCTTTTTTCTGTTACGGATCAGTTGTGGGGAGAAGCCAAACGCGGAAATTCCAACGGACAATGATGCCGTAATCGTGCGGCAACGCTTGATGCAAACGTCATGGAATCAGCAACTCTGCACGCACTACGTATGTACAAACCAACGAATCCTCTTCACCTTAACTCTTCTTAAAACGCGCGCAGAACTCCATTTTCCTCGGACATTCTAAAACACGGAAACCTCAAAAATCATCCTTATCAATTCCTCGCCATCACCCAAGCAAACACATTTTTCGTTTAGAATTGTAAGAGGATTCACCAAAGGGGGAAAATGTCCTTCCTCTCCGAAATTTTTGGCTCACGCAACGTGATTGCTGAATCACCACGGGACGTCAATGATGGCATCAAAACGGGCAACGAGTCCGGCAGCGGCGGTACTGCTCAGCAGCGCGGTCACGCAGGCGTCAAGGGTGGCGCCAGCGCCTCGACACCCACGAGCAGGTCGACGCATACCGAGAGCGCCGAGGAAGCGGAGGTGAATAAGCAGGATGCGAAGAAGAGTGGTGGCAGTGGTGGCTCTGGTGGGTCTAGCGGAGGAAGAGAAGGTAGCGGAGGTAGTGGGATTGAGGCGAAGTTGAAAGGTATGTCTGTTTTGTTCTATCCCCAAGATGATTTTTCTTGCCTTTCATTCTTCTTCTTGTACTCTTAAAAATGAACGTGGTGTACAAGATAGATGACTGACAGCATCCTTCAGACTGTGTCACATCGAAGGAAGTCAATCCGGCGAAGAAGCAATACAGCGATTGCGTCTCGAACGGGAAGGGGGACTGCACAGAAGAGCGTAAGCTGAATTCTCCACGAGGAAGGCGCATGTCACCGCCGCCTAGTTTGAATTATTGCTAACTGTTTTTCGTGTTTAGTCGTGAATTTGGCACAGCGCATCACTAAATGTGCTGCTCCGGACAAGTTCGACGGCCAGAAATAAGGAAACGAACCGCGTGGGCTACAACATGTCTTATATTACCCACCTCATATTAGCTCCAAGAATGAATCTAGCGCTGTTTTATTACCATCTCTCAAGTATGATTGTGGGCAAGGACTGGAGATTTGCATCGGCAACTTGGCCACAACCCGATGAATGAGTTCTCCACGTGGTGCTGTTACGGCTGCAGCTCCAATCGGGCATCTTGGTTTCCAAGATGTTGTATCACAAGCGCACTGCTCTGCCGGAATTCAATAACGTCTGTTTTAAAGATGACAAACCAAAAAAAAATCATTATCGTTATTGGGTATCCGAGACGGTCGTCCTCAATCACAACCACACACACATGTACACCCTCTAATTCTGCGTCCCCATAGCCTCCCTCGCCGCCACGCTCCCCTGCGCCCTAAACAAATGCGGATTACGCAAAAACTTCTCATGCATGCGGAACTCGCCATCAACCTCGAACTCCTCCTCTAGCTCCTCCGGATCCTTCCCGTAGCCGCCACCACCAGGCGTCATGACGACGATGCGGTCTCCCGTGCCCATCAGCGTGGTCGCGCGGCCGCCGAGGCTGATGGTGCGGGTCGTGCCGTCGCTGGGATCTCTGCGGATCCACAGGTTGAGGCCGCGCTGGCCCTCGCGGCCGCCGGCCATGCCGTACGGCGCGTTGACGCGGCGCTCCGACAGGATCGACACCTGCATGGGCCGGCGCAGCTCGATGTCGCGCACGCAGCCGTCGCCGCCGCGCTTGCGGCCGCGCCCGCCGCTGCCGAGGCGGATGCTGAACTCGCGGAGGAGGACCGGGTAGCGCTTTTCGAACGTCTCGGGGTCGGTCATGCTGAGAGAGGGACGGTTAGACATCTTTTTTTTCTCGAAAGGCAGGGGTAGGGAAGGGGAAAGAATGTCGTTTTACTCACCGAGTGTTCGTGATGTGCGTATGCACGCCGCTCTGGCCCTCCCAGTCGGCACCGGCGCCGGAGCCACCGGCGATGGTCTCGTAGTAGCCGAAGCCCTTGGTGACGTTGCCGCGTTCGTCGCGGCCGCCGTAGCCGAAGGTGAGGTTGTTGCAGGTGCCCTGGCTGGCGGCGGCGGCGCGGAAGGCCTTGAAGATGAGGTCGACTATGCGCTGGCTCGTCTCGACGTTGGAGCCCACCGTCGCAGCCTTGAGGGACGGGCTCAACAGCGTGTTGGGCGGGCAGTACACCTCGATCGGCGTCAGGCAGCCTTGATTCAGCGGGATGTCTGAGCTGATCATGCACCGCAGGCAGTAGATGATGCCGCTGTACATGATGGCTGGAGGCGTGTTGAGGTTGTTGAAGGCTTCGGGTCCCGTGCCCGTGAAGTCGAACTTGGCCGAGCCGTCGGTAGGGTTGATGGTGATTTTGAGAGCGAGCGGCGTGCCGTCGTCCATGTAGTCAACAGCGGAAAGCGGGTGGCCACGGAACCTTTTGCTGAAGCCTTTGAGAAGCTCGCGTACGGATTCTTCGGCGTTCTTCTGGATTGCTTCCATGTAGAACTGAACGACTGGCCAGCTGTACTCCTTAACGAGAGAGCTGATGAGGTGGATGCCGCGATTGTTTGCTGCGATGGAGGCTTTCAGATCGGCAATGTTGTCACGAAGTGTGCGTGTACCAGAGCAGCCAGGATAGCTGCCGGGAACTTCGTAGAGGTGGTAAATAAGCCCCTCTTCATCGAAGACACCCTCCTTCACCATCTTGAAAGACTCGATAGCAGCACCTTCCTGCCAAAGCTCGGTCGAGTTGGGAGGCATCGAACCGGCAGCGATACCTCCAATGTCTGCATGATGTCCGCGATTGGCAACGAAGAAGAGGATCTCTTGTGGATTCTCTTCGTCATCGAAAACAGGCGTGATAACGGTCAAGTCAGGTAAATGGGTTCCGCCAGCGCAGGGGTGATTGGAAAGAATGACGTCTCCAGGCTTCAATTCTCCCTTCTTGTACAGATTGGCCTGGTAACTGATGGCAGTACTCATCGAGCCGAGATGTCCAGGGATATGGGGAGCGTTGGCCACCAGCCCGCCCGTGGCTGAGAATACAGCACAGCTGTAGTCGAGTCGCTCCTTGATATTGGTGGATATGGAAGTCTTCTGAAGAGTTTGACCCATCTGGCCTGGGTTTAGTATAAAATAACCGGATGGATCGGGAAACACATACCTGTTCCGCAACACTCATGAAGCGGTGGCCGAACACACTGAGCTGAATGGGATCAACCTCGTCCGTCCCGACCTTAACCTTCTCCGTATCCAACAGCTCGATGACGAGGTGCTCATCCAGGACAGTTGCCTCACTCGCAGGGTCCAGGATAATGGTTTGCGTGGCATCAATTGCCACGGCTGGTCCCTTGACTTTGCAACCCTTTGGAAGTTCCGCGATGTGGTAAACTTGGGAATCAACCCAACCCTCCTTCTCGAAATAAATCTTGCGAACGCTCTTGGCCTGCGCCCGGTCAACGTATGGCGCTTTCGTCAAACTCTCAAGCTGTGCGAATGGAGAAGATAGATGCATGTCCATTGCGCGGCCAACACTGCGCACGCGGATATCATCAACAAGGATATCGCGGGGCTGGGTGAAGCCGAACTCGCGATGGTGTCTGGCTACGAATGCCTTGCCAAAGTCACCGTCTTCGGGCTTGGAGATCATGAGGGCAGTATCAGCGCCCTTGTAGCGCATGTTGAGGAAGAGCTCGTGCTCGATGCGGTGGGGAAGGAACCCCTGGCTCTTTAGTGATTCCTCGGCTTGCGAGGACAAGAAGTCGAAGCGGGTATTGATGCGTGGAGTGGCTTCGGCCGTATACGCAACGGCTTCCGGCTCCTGCTTCTCAACCACAACGTCGGCTAGGGCCATGCCATAGGCCGAGAGGATACTAGAGAGTTGATGGATCAAGACTCTCTTGATGCCAAGATCACGGGCAATGGCAGTGGCGTGCTGGCCTCCAGCTCCACCAAAGCAGGCAAGGTTGTGGGAGGAAGTCTCAAAGCCACGACCTTCGCTAAGTGTGCGGATTGGCCTGGTCATGGTAGCATTGGCGACCTGTATGAAACCCATGGCAACTTGTTCAGGGGTGAGCCTGTCGTCTCCATGCTTCTCCTCGTTCACGATGTCGGTGAGCTTGAGAAAATCCTTCTTGACTTTCTCGAGATCGAGAGGACGAGGGAAGTAGTCAGGAAGGATACGCCCGAGGAAACAGTTGGCGTCGGTGATTGTTAGGGGACCGCCGTTCCCGTAACAGGCCGGGCCGGGGTGTGCCCCTGCGGACTGAGGGCCAACCTTAAAGAGCCCGTTTTGCCAGAAGAGCATTGAGCCGCCACCTAGTGCGGTTAGCCTTGCCAAGGTCAGGTAGGATGGAGTCCTACTAACCTGCTGCTACAGTATTGATATCCAGCTGCGGACTCTGAATCGTGACCTCTGCAGTCGTCGACTCGAACACATGTTCCAGCGAACCGCCATATCGAGAAACATCTGTGCTTGTACCGCCCATGTCAAAGCCAAGCACAGGTGTACCCTCGACTGGATCATAACATGTTCTCGCATAACCGACTACACCGCCGGCGGGTCCGGACAGAATGGCTCTTAAACCTGTGAAATCAGTAAAGGGAGTCAGACCACCATCTGACTGGGACAAAAGCAGCTTGTTGGCATCTGCTCCCTCAAGTCCGCCTTTGAAGCCCTTCCGAAAGCTATCCAAGTATAGGGAAATGATGGGAGACAGGTAAGCATCTGCTGTTGCGGACTGCGCTCTTGGCACGAGTTTGATCATCGGCTGAAGTTGGGAGGAGAGAGCGACCTTGAACCCCATCTCACGTGCAATCTTTCCAATTTCAAGCTCGTGCTCTGGGAAGGTGAATGAGTGCATGAGCGCAACAGCTAGACTTCGGTAGCCCTGATCCCACAAGGACTGGAGGCTTCCCCTGACCTCTTCATAGTCGGGTTTCTTCAGTACTCTCAAGGGCTCGCCGGTAAGTCCGTGGACGAGATCAGGGTCTGCCGCAACATCAATGGGTTCAGGCTCGGGATCCTCAGAGAAGCCCTCGACCGTCACACGCTCGTCCACCTCGACAACAGTCTCATAGAGGCGATCAAGCTTTTGGACCGACAGGTCGAACAAATGCGGCCGAGCTTGGTTACCAATGATGAGGAGGTCCCGAAATCCTTTGGTGATGAGCAAAGCGACGCGTTCGCCCTTCCGCTCTAGCAATGCGCTGATAAGCTTTAGTTAGCGGCGTTCGGCTAAGCGACGTGGTTGTTCCGTCTGTTATCTGGTTTGGACGGGGAAGAGCTCGTGATAAGGCCCGTAAGTGACTTACTTGGTGGCAACTGTCGTTCCCATACGGATGGACTCGACGGGAGTAAGGTCTATGGGCTCACCCCTAGGTACAGGCTTTCCTGTTGCCAACTCTAAGATCTGTCGGATGCCTTCTGTCGGCGCATCGGGATACTCGTCGGGGCAGACGGACAGAAGCTTGAGGACTACATCATCTTTGCGACCCGGAATGCGAGCCCAGCTGTTGTTGTTAGTATGCGCCTAGGATGACTTGAAGGTGGAGTACTAACAAGTCGCAGAAGGTACCGCCTCTGTCAATGGCTATCCGAACTCCCTCATGTGCGACTGAAGGCATGATTGGAAGAATGATAAGATTCTAAGTGAATGGGGGGAAATGGAGGGAGAGACGGGCGGATATATGGGCGGCAGGCGGAGCTACTACTATCACGGATCCATCATCGGCAGAAGCCCCTCCCTTCCCCTCATTGCGTAGCTAAGAGCTAGGTGCTCGAGAGGCGACTAGATAGATACGCATGGTGGACAAGCGCATAGAACGGATTACGAACAACAATTCCGTTGCGAAAACACCCAGCGTTGGATGCTTGCAGTGGTGGATAGCCGGTTGGATGCATGTGTTTCCGGTGTCACGTGGGAAGTGTATCGGTCCCATCGGCAGAATCCCGAGAAGCCGAGGGGGAGGTGGGCTTAAGGCGTCGTCTGCTGCAACCCACTGTTCCCCAGATTCTCGACGTTGAGATAGAGACCGTTTCTCTCGCTACCCCAGGATTTACGATGTGGGTGATGGCAGACGCGTTCCTGCCTCTCGTCTGTGCGGAAGCCCGGGACGCTGGGGCCAGGCCAGGCGGGAAAAGGCCCGACTTAGCCAAGGGTGCTAGCTGCGCATTATCGTACCTGTTCGTGCCGTTCAAGCGTTGCTTCTGCGTATCGCCCGCCACAGATACGCTCTGTCCACTTTGCTTCAGCTCCCTATCATGGCTCTTTTCTGAACGTCTCCTTTTGCCTTGCCTATCTCGTTCCGCTTTATCGCCGACGCGTCACTCCATGCCCGGTTCTCCTTGATATACTTTCTGGACGCGTGGTTCGCATTTGTTCTCGTTTTCTGTGAAACACCCTCTCTGCAAACATACGTGGCGGACACCAGCTGACCAGAGCCCAACAATGCCTGCGAAAAAAGATGAACTGCAAATCTCAACCTCCATGGGTGCCGAAGACCGTGAGCTCAGCCATGGCTCGAGCTCCGCCTCTCTTGACCCCGTCAAGGAGGCCAAAATGATGAGAAAATTTGATGTGAGTCAGCCATCGCAATTCAAGTGTGCTGCTTGCGCTGACCTGCCGCACAGTTTTTTGCAGTTGGCATGTTGGGTATTCTGTATCTGCTCGCGAATCTCGACAGGTACGCCACAGAGTGCTAATTTGGACTTTCTTCCGCAAGGGCCATCCTCTTATGGCTCTGTAGGTCGAATATAGGGAATGCTCAAGTCGCTGGAATGCCCGACGAGCTCGGCCTCGTCGGGAACCAGTACGGTAACGCTGTCACACTCCTCTACGCGACATACGTTCCATTCGAACTGCCTGTCGCCGTGTTGCTCAAGATCATTGGCCCGAAGTATCTCATCACTTTCTGCGCCGCTGCCTGGGGACTGGTATGTCTTGCCACTGGATTCGTTCAAAACTGGCAAGGGCTGTACACCTGCCGCCTCTTGATTGGTCTCTTCGAAGCCGGTCTTATACCCTGTATCAACGTTTATCTCGGCATGGTGTACAAGAAGAGCGAGCGCGGGAAGAGGTGAGTGGAGCCCTGCCCCACAAGCCGCACCACGCTGACAACCCCAGATCGTCCGTTATCTTCGCCTTCAGTGCATTCGCCTCCGCTTTTGGCGGCATCCTTGCCTACGCCCTTACCCAGATCAAGACGAGCACCTACTTCACCTCGTGGAGGGCGCTGTTCATCTTCGAGGGCGGCCTTACTCTCGTCTGCGTCCCCTTCTTCTGGTACCTCTTCCCGCATGAGCCGCGCAAGGCGTGGTTCCTGACGGAGGAAGAGAAGGACATGATGAAGATGCGATACGAACTCGATCCGCACTGGGGCATTGACGAGAAGTTCACCTGGTCTGCAGTCGTGAGCGCGCTGGTGGACCCGAAATGGCATGCGTTGTAAGTTATTGAATCGAGGCTTGGCGATGCTTGGCTGACGCGGCGTGTAGCTGGATCTTCCAGTTCTCGGTGGACGTGTCGCTTTACGGCTTCACGACGTTCTTGCCCAAGATCATCAACGGGCTGGGATACAGCTCGGTGATGGCGAATCTGATGACGGTGCCCATCTACTTCTGGGGCCTGAGCACGTTCCTGTTCACGGCGTACATGTCGGACAGGCAGCGGCAGCGGGGCTACTGGATCGCGGGGCCGCTGGTGTTCCTGGTCATCGGATACGCAATCCTCATTTCAGTGGACTCTGTCGGGGTGCGCTATTTTGCCTGTTTCGGTAAGTTGACCAACCTGCGCGTGGGTTGCGCTGACAAAGAGGAACCGCAGTGGCCGTCATGGGCATCTATCCGACGACAGGCCTCAGCATGATGTGGCTGCAGGACAACGCGGCGCAGCACTTCAAGCGGGCGACGATGGTGGGCGGGGCGCTGACGCTGGGAAACACGGCGGGCGTTGCCGTCGGGCAAATCTTTACGACGGAATCGGCGCCACGCTACATCAAAGGCTTGTCGATCGCGCTTGGACTTGCAGTGGTTGCGCTCTGCATGGTGGGCGCGCTGATGGTGGGCATGGCGCGGGCAAACCGGCGGCGGGCGGAGCGGCTGCGCAAGGCGGAGGAGGCGGGCGTGCCGCTGCAGGCGCAGCCGGAGAAGGGCGACATGGACGTGTATTTTGTGTACAGCCTGTAGAGCGAAGTAGCAGGGCTGGGGGTGGAATTGGTCAGGCCAGAGTCAAACAAGAACAAGCAGTGCCCCAAAGAAGCAATCTCATGCGCGCCGGGCGGGCCAGATGTGGAGGCCGATAGCCTGACGCCGGCCGGCCGCGGGCTCTCCAGGTCGCGGACCCTGGCCGCGTCAGCCAATGGCGAGCGGCGAGAATCAGCGAGTTCGGCGGACGGATTGCCGATTACCAACCTCGCGCCTGCGACGCGCGACCTGTTGACTCGCCGCGGGGGCGATCCCGGCCGGCACTGCAACCGTTACTTCAACCGGCTGCGAAGCCCGCGCCTCGTTTCGCTATGCTCCGCATCGTGCCTTACGCTAACCGCTTAGTGATGCGCGCTGACCGTCCCTGCTGCTGGAGCTCCCCGCGCCCTGCCCGCCCACGCCGTATCAATTTCGGGCTCGAGCATGGCGCAACCAAGCAACCGGGCTATCGCTGCCCTATCAGCTAGTTGTGGAGGAGTCGGCGCTGCCGCATGTCAAAACTCCCAGAGCCCGCCCTTCAATCGCGCCGCGCCCTGTGACTGACTCCCACCTCTTTCCTCGCCATGGACAAGCAGGAGAACCTACTCGCGAGCAGCAGCGGCAAGAAGCGCTCCGACGTCAAGATGGTTTCAGCCAGCAGCCCGGACGACCACTCGGCCCCGGAGCCTCCTACCAAAAAGTTGCGGAGGAGCTATGTCGCGTGCGTACCCACCGCAAAACCTTCGATTCCCCACGACACCGCTGACTGACGGACCCGTGCAGCTGTCACCGGTGCCACTCTCACAAGATCAAGTGCTCCGGCGAGACTCCCTGCCGCAGCTGCAGGAAATCCAACAATTCGAGCCAATGCGTCTACCCGGTCCGAGATCGGAAGGTTGTCATTTCTGAGAGGTGCGTCTTCCGCTGCCAGCCCCCGCTCCCCTCCCCAATTATGCTGACTTGCCCAGCTACCTGAAGAAGCTCGAGGCCGAAAATGCCGCCCTCAAACGCACCTCGCCGACCCCGCCGTCGCAGGACGAGTCGTCCAAGCAAGATGCCGACGCCGACGACAGCGACGTCGATGTTGCCAATGTTGACGTAGCCAACCCTCTCCTCGAAGAGCATGTCCAGCAGCAGCGCCCCGCTCCCTTCGACCGCGCCTCTGGCAAGCCCTTGTACATTGGTGGCGCCGCCTGCACCGCTTTTGGCACCCGCCTGCGCTTCTACGTCAAGGGCAATGACATGGTGCCCCAGCCGCGCCGCATGGTGTGCTACAAGCATCGCGGCCTGCTGCGCATAGCAAACACCGAGTTCCAGCTGCCGAACAAGACGTATGCCCGCATGTTGGTGCAGGTCGTGCTGCGATTCATAGGGAGCGACTACCACCTCATCCAGAGGAAGAGCTTCCTGAGGCGCATGGATGAGACGTACACCGCGCAGACCCACGACGACCCTGTCTTCCTTTGCAGGTTGTTTGTGGTCTTCGCCTTGGGTGAGCTCTACTCCAAGAAGACGGCCGTGGCTGGCAATAGGAGAACGGTACCTGGAACGGCGTTCTTCCTGCAAGCCATGTCCCTCTTCCAGGACTTGCATGAGGAGGCAGACGTGGACTACATTGAAACTCTGTTGATCATGGTGGGTTGGCAAATGGCAAGGAATAAACAGCCATGCGACTAACAGCTTCTAGTCTTTCTACTCGCACGCCCTGAATCGCAAGAACACGGCGTATACCTACGCCGGTCTTGCTCTACGTCTCAGTCTTACGCTCGGCCTTCACCGCAACATCACTTACGACAAGAGCATCAGTGCTGTCGAAATTGAAAACCGCCGGCGAGTGTGGTGGACCGTGTACACGTTTGACCGCATGTGCAGCTCTAAGTTGGGTCACCCAGTCATGATCCGCGACGAGGACATCGATGCGCCGCTTCCATCTACGGACGGCCTTACTCCGGCGGAACGGGATGAATTTCTAGACGCCGAACAATTAATCGCCAACGTGAAGCTAGCACGGATCACTGGGAACATTCTCAACCTGATCTACAGCATACCAGGCGCCCAGCAAGAGATCAACTTCGTTCGCAACGTGCACAAGATTCTGAACAGCCTCAAGGAGTGGGATGCAACACTACCTGCCAGCTTGAGGCTCGATCCCACAGTATCTCCTCCTTACAAAACTCGTTCCATCGCTTCTTTACGTCTACACTTTAATCAGGTATGTGACGAGTAAATTGTTACCACAAGACAAGACTAACATCCTACAGTGCATTATCCTTACAACCCGTCCGATTCTTCTCTACGTTTTCAAGTACCATGTTCGTCCTGCTGGTTCTGCTGCCTCTCCAAACACGAACCGCCCTCTCTCCCCGATGACTACCGCCCTGAGTGAAGCATGTATCCATGCAGCTCGCAGCAGCAACAAACTCCTCGCTCAGCTCTGGATCGATGGTGCCATTGCAACGTTTGGGTACTTTGATGCCCACTACATCTTCAGCAGCACCATTGTTCTGCTGATGGCTAATATTCTCAACCCGTCTGAATTCGACAAGGACTCTATCGATCTTGCATGGAGTCTCCTACAGTCCATGGCCGATGACGGCAATCTTCCTGCAAGTGAATACTGCGAGCGCCTCGCGCTACTGCAGAAAGACTTGGACGACATGTCTGGCAACGGAGGCGATGCGCCACATGAGCTCAGTGGCTTTCCCGGCGCTACACCTCACGAGCATCGGCCGTCGTTTGATGCTGGGCTCAAGATGGAGCCGCATGTGTCTCCTGAGCTCCTCCACAAAACTTCACCGGCCCCTTCTCAAACCAACCTGCAACAACACACTCCCCCAACTCTGGACGTGAACCTGGCAACCGGCGAGCGGAATCATGTGACAGCCTCTGTCAACCAGTTCATCAAAAGCCTACAGGCCACAAACGGAGGTGCGCCTTCTCCAGGCGCGGCCGGCAGTGAGGCAGGAACCGCCCCATTGGATGATCCGTATATCCAAGATTTCTTGACTCAACCGGACCATCAATGGAGCCCGGGAACTCTAGGGATGACGGGAGAGAATTCGGTACCGTGGGCCTTTGCCTGGGAAGCTGGTGAACTGCAAACAGGGTTCAATGGACTTTGAAATTGGAACAAAAGGAGGAATAGGAAAATGACGCGCGACGAGGAACATGAAAATTTACAGTTGGATACCCGAAATACGAGATAATTTCACCTTGAACACGTCTTAATTGGCCGTCTGGCCCGTGTCGAACATCTGGAAGGATTCGACCCTAGAATTTAGTCTTTCAAAAGTTCACAACGGGCACCTTGGACCGATCCCCGTAGAACCAGTTCTCCAGGTTTTCGAACGTCACACGGTCGAATTCTCGCCATGTGGAATTGGAGCAAACTCCAATGTGCGGCAAAAGCGTTGTCATCCAGTTGTCCCTCAGCTTCGGATTGACGCCTGGCTCGTTAGCATGCACGTCCAAACCCACGCCCAAGACCCGTCCATCATCCATGGCCTCAATCAATGCATCCTCGTCAATCAGGCCTCCCCGCGCAATGTTCACAATCCGCACCCCGCTGGCCTTGACCAGCCGTAGAGTCTCCTTTCCCAGCATTCCTCTCGTCTCTTTGGTCAACGGACACGCTAGACACAGGCAATCTGCCTCCTGCAACAGGCTCTCCAGCGAGTCGTGGTACACCGCTTCGCACCCCAAAGCGGCCAACTTGTCCTCAGCTGCCGCGTTTCGCCTGCGGTTATAGTACGCAACGCGCATACCCAGCGCGGCCGCGCACTTCACGGCGATCCGCGTTCCAATATCGCCCATGCCCACGACGCCCAGAACCTGGCCGCACGGATCCTCGGCCTTTGGACCGAGCTGCCTAGAGTCGGGCCAAGAAAGCTCGCCGTGGCCTGCTCCTCCTTGGTTTGAAGCAGTACTACCGCTTCCGCTTCCGCTGCTGCCGCTGCTGCCGCTTCCGCCGCCGCCAGTTGGAACCCCACCACGGGCACACCGCTCGGCGAAGCTGAAATAACGATAGGTGCTCAGCACGAGGTGCAGGCCGGCGTTGGCGACGGCCTCGGTGCACGTGTCGGGGGTATTGGCATAGGCGATCCCCCGCGCCGCCAGCGCCGCGACGTCGGCCGCGTCGTGGCCATGGCCCGAGCAGGTGACGAACTCGAGGCTGCGCGGCAGGTGCGGGACGACGCCCGTGTCGAAGAAGCGGAGGTCGGCGTGCGGCCCGGCCTTGAGCCAGCCTGTGCGGAGGATGGCGCGGATGTCGCCCTCGCCCTTGGCGTTGTTGTGGGGCCAGGCCTGGAGATAGTCGACGAAGGCCGGGATGCTGGTGACGGTAGGGGGCAGCGTGCGGATGGTGAAGAGTTGGTGCAGGCGCGACCAGGTTGCGGCGGGCAGGACCGGCTCGGCGGGTTTGCGCGTGTGCGAGTGGATGAGCAGGACGGTTGGTTTGGGGTCGTGCGGGGTGGGCCAGGATGATGGCGGCGAGGGTTCCGTGGTCGTGGGCGGCGGATCCGCGGCCATGGTGTGTGGAGAGAGAGGGGTTGCGTCGAGGGTTTTTCGTTATGGACGACAAGGGGGGACCCGAGATGGTGTTGAGCTTACTGGATGACAGGAAAATGCTGGTTCCGCTGCACAAAATCAAAACTCCGGACTGACCATTATCTCCGATAGGCTTTGGGGTATCACCGAGAAAGAGTCAGGAAACAAAAGGACCTTTCAAAAGGTCGGCTTTGCCGGTGGTTGCTGGAGGGTTTTTGTCTGTTCTATCATTCGGAAAGAGTACGCTCCTCCCGGTGTCTGCATGATCGGTTGGATAAGATCAGAAGCGAGCGGGCTCTCAAGCCGAGTAAGAAGCATTATCTAATCAAGCGACCCGGCTCCTCCGGGTATATCTGATCCCCTTCAGAACTGCAAGACGTCTATACAAACCCCAGATCTGCCTCTCCACATGGTGTTTGCCCACGCGCACGCCTGCCCTACCCGTCGTCTAATTCGGACTTTGCCGCCCGCTTAAATCCACCCGCCCGGCGGCTACTACTGGTAGCCGACGAGCGTGTGCGTTTGAGACAGAAACGGGGCATTGATCCCCCGCACGCGAGGGAAAAAGCTCGCCGATGTCGGCGGGTTAATGGGAGCTCCACCGCGCATCATGCAATGCAATGCAGCCAAGGGGTGGTCCCTGTCCGCTTCGCTTGATAAAAGATTGGCAATTGGGCTTGCGCCTTATCCACGTTCTTCTTATCACTCACGTAAAAATCACGGGGTTGCTGCACCTTTCCGTTCGTCTGACCCCGCCTTTGATTGACGATGACGATGGTTGATGGGTGATGGTCAGCGGTGATAAGCTGGCTGCTGTTGAGGAAACTTATCGCGAACACGCGCGCGCGCGCACATTTTTGACGTAAGGTCCATGTGTCTTGCCTGTCTCACTTTCTGATGGGTCGGAGATTATTTTCTTGTGCTCTGAATTTTTTTTCTTGGTTCACGCGCTAAACGAAGGGAGCTGCTGCTTGCGGGCATTTTTGTGAGATGAGCGTGCCGTTAGTCACGCCTCTTATTCGCCAACAGTGTGGCTCTCGACCGCTGATTGTCTTGGATTGCGCGGGAAATCAAGGAAAGTCGAACCATTGATCTTTTTACGTATAAGGTACCGTCTCACCGCATATCTCCTCTTAAGCGGAAGGATTGAAAAGCTTCTTCATCCTCAACTTTTTGTTGTTCATCGCCTCGCATTAGTCGCGCGTCGTCACGGCCCACTTCACTCGTACTCTCTTGTAGCTGCAGCCGATCTCACTATACGGTGCACGCGCCTTCTTGTGTATTAGCCTGAACAATGGCCACCCTCAACCTCCCTGCCTTCTCCCTCGCCGGCGACATCGACATCGTCAGCCCCTTGTCTTCGGTCCAGTCGTTGGTGGTGAAATCCGCTGTTGTGCTCTCTCTCCACATCCTTCTGTTCATCATGCTCGTGCCGCAGCAAGAGAAGAAGAAGAGCCGAAGGTCGCATTGGCTCGAGAAGAAGGAGCAGACTCCCTCCCTGCCCGCTGGCTTGCCTGCTGCTGGTGGCAAGCATGAGAGGAAAGACAGCCTGATGGCGTGATCTCGACTGCGCCTTTTTTACAATTCACGAGCGCTTGGAGTGAATGCGATGCAAACCAAGAGGGGTTGCGGAGTTTGGGAAGGGGAAGACTGTCCCATTATGGATGCCCACGGAAAATCACCACACGTTCGTTTTTTGGAATGGTTGCAAAGGTTCCGATCCCCAGCGCACAAAAGAGGGAGACGATGAAAGCACCATGCTACGAACATATCACGACACTGTACGAACGAGCCCGCGGACGAAGCCAAGCTGCAGGGAGCCGACACCCACATCTGTGGGCCCCTTCCAATTGCCGACTTCGAGCGGGACGATTTCTGGATTTCAAGACCGACATGGAACTGCGTTTGTTCCGACTTCTGGAGTGGGTTTTCAGGTCGCAATGACGCCTGAAAGGCCTTCATGCCTGTCATCAGAGGCATGCTTTATTCTAAGCGAGGATGGAGTGACAGAAAACGGTGCTTGGGAGGATTAGATGCCGAGAACCCTCAGCCATTGCACGTACCGGAGAGTGGGATTGTAGAATTAACATTTAATGACCCCCAATAAACACACTTTCTTCGATTTTCGTTGACTGATGCCTCTTGAATATGTTGCGCGGTTTTTCAACTCATATTTCGAAAGTGGATAGCGTATGTGTACTGGTGCCAGTCGTCGAGATGCTGAACTATACTTACCTACTGATCTATGATGACTTCTGATCGTTGACTGACTCTGGGCCCATCTGCAAGCACTTGAAACAATAGTCCGAACATGACTTGTTGCATTGGTCTCGACGAATTCTTTCGGACAACGGCTTCAATTCCATCTGGTGCTCCCCTCCTTTTGCTCGCCATTCAGATTCAGCCACTTTCTCCATAGCGAGTTTGGACGGACAAATATATTTAGACAACAGCCTCCACTTGGGTTTAATAATACCATTGGTTACGTCTTGATGAGTTTTGTGTCAACGTCTATTTGGTGATGCAGCCTGAACTGCCAAATCTCAGAGTGTCAACCCACAGAACGACGAAGCCCCAGTTCTCAGCCATCGTTTGATGACTATGTTCAATATTGACTTAAATTGCTTTCCCTTACCGCCTTTCAATACCCAACTCCATCTACTGCTTTGACTTGCGGAAAACACAGCTCTACTCCGTGGGGAGAACTGAACCCCTTGATGATGTTTCTTTCCAATTCGATGCAGTCTCTTTCGAGAAGTGACAACGTAATTGTTCCAATGATGTGGGAGACGGCGCCGTCAACGTAAATATGCCCCCAATTGGCTTCGCATTGACAGGCTTCATCACCAGGACACTGTCCGACTTTCGCTGGCTTATAACATACATGCGAACCGTCATCCCATCGCAGCCTCATCTGATTGAGCCTCAATTCGCCCCTCCCAGCTTCCACAAGGCCGAAGCAGTTCTAGAATCTGAGATGGCTAGAACCCCAAGTAAGCGGGACTGAAGGCCTCGGCTCAGCCTTGCCACACCAGATGGTCTGTTCGTCATGCAAGGAAGGTCTGCGGATAATGGGATTCGGAGGCAGAACAAGCCTGATCGTGACGAAGACGGCGACAATGCGCGAGCTGGACGAAGTAAAGAGGTGGTTGCGCACGTCTGCCAAGCTGTAACGACGCATCTGCGCACAGCCTGGAGGTGGTCGTGCGTTGAAAAAGAAAATCCGTGTTACACAAAGTGTCTGAAATGAATCATAGATAGTGCGCCGGTGCGAAGTAGGCTTTCCATGTGAAGGTCCAATCGGCGCTGGGAATAGTAAAAAATAAGCCAGATTTAACCAACCGCGCACGGCCAGTGGATGGTATACCGGTCAACTATTGTACCTTTCGTATCCGTGTTTCTCAGCCTTACGGCTCTACGCGCATGCGCGTGTGGTTAGTACTGCGCGTCAGCCCGTAAAATGCGTATAGTTTCCGCACGATTCGGTTCCATCCGAAGCCCTGTGTAATGCAGCGACGACCGCAATAGGTTTCAACTCGGGGGGGCAAATTGCGCAGCAGGCAAACTCGTACGTGCTCGCAAGATTGCTCGCAAAGGTGTTGAGGCTTTCGAGAGTGCACGAGATAGAACGTACAGCAGACTGGCAAACGAGATAGGTACTTAAGTGTGGATGAACTCACTGAAATAAATATCACTGTTCTTTCAATATACAACTCCATCTTACCAGTCTTCCATTGAGAAATCGGCGATTAGTCGTACTTTTGCTTCAAGCTCGACATTATGGTCCACATGTACAGCACTCCATGCCGCCAGGATGGCAATGTCAAGAGTCGAGGAGAACCTGCGTACTACTGCTGTGGTTGTGGATATGGGCCGCAAATGTGGGCATTGCACCAAGCGTGCAGCATGTGCCAAAAGCCTGCCTGTGCAAACTGTTCAGGCTGTGAGATATCAGAGAAGCGGCCTTCGCCCGATACGCAGCTTCACGCCGAACGATCCAACGAAAGGTACGTCTCACCACTTGTATCCCTTTTACACTCTAGTCTGACCAGAATCCAGATTGCTGGAAGAGTCACTTCAAGCTGTATCCGAGGGTACGTGTCATGCCAGCAAAGGTCCTCCTCTCTATGCAACTAGGGAAAGGTATGTCTCCTGTTCTTCAACCCAAAACTCCAGATTGCTCACCAAGCTTGATTCAGTTCTCCTGACTCGATAGTAATGGCACGCTTCCTTGACGGCGAGCCAAGTATGCCTGAGAGAATTTGGGGCGGAATTGGGCGGAGCGGAGTGGCGGAGCGTGAAGCAGAGATTAACCAGGTTCTACGGAGCTTCGGCTATAGCATGCAGTAAACGGAGTACGCGACTGTTAAACATCATCCAGGATCTGCATGGGCAATTCAAAATCAGAATTCAGGATGTTGCTTTGTGTTGTGGTGTGCATTGGTTCCCGTGCGGAATAACAGGAGTGAAGTGTTGTGGTCGACGCAGGGTCGAAGGCAGGGCGACCTTGTGTCATATTTGAATGCAAAAATCGGGTTGAAGCAAAAGAGGATGCAAGAATTTCCCTAAGCGTCTTTTGATTTCAACGCACCTCCATGGTATGAATTAGGGATCTTCTCACTTTCGTGACAACTGTATAGATCGAACTCGTGAGATTCTGTTGGCGTTGAACCTTGTTTGACACGCAATCACCGGGTGTTACGCGGTGATTGGCCCTCAGCACTTCACCGAGGAATGCCCATCTCGGTTTGATGGTTTAGTGCTTTGGGAGGAAAGATCCAATCGATGAGAATCTTCGTCGGAACGGATACACCAGCGCAGCATCTTACGCCGGGCTCATAACCTGTTGAAACGGAACAGGGTACAAAAACTCGTCCAGGGCGTCTTATATTTCAACTGCATAAAGCGGTTCTCTTCACTTTTCTGGTCCATTTAATATACCCCATGGCTGTCAAGTGATGTATGCTACGTAACGGCAGGATGAACATTATCTTATAGTCGAGAGCTTTCATGCATACCCCTAAAGAAGGCTCAAGATGCACATCAAACAAGCACCAGATGCTCAAGAGATGGACTTCTTTTTCATTTGTGTGTGTTTCGTTATCTCATTGAAAATTTAGATGACCTGAAAATGAAAGGAAACGGCAAAGGATCCATCCTGAGCTCAAAAGAAGGAACATTAATAGCGAATCAAGCAGCAAGTAGTAAGACAGTCGCTCAACGACACATCTCTCACTCCTTGGGATCTCTCCCACCCTGAGCTTTCATGTTCGCCCGGTACTCTTCCTCACTCTCCAGGTCAAACTCCAGCGGCCGTGTGATGGGAGTAACGGGAATGCCCCTCTTCTCAAGAAGTTTCAGCCGCTTGGCAGTATCCGGCCTGGATTTGTTGATGCTGTAGATCTTGATCCGGTGGCAAGAAGATGTCACATGGAGATCCCAGTTCCTGTTCGCATTTCAGATTAGTTCTCAGCCACAGACAACGGGGGACGGGAAGAAGCCTACCATGCACTCCTCACGAAAGTCGGCTGGGTATTCAAAGCGTTATCCCAGCACCTGACACACAACTCCAGCCAGCCCTCGGCCTCAAGCGGCAGTTCGACGCTCCAAACCCTCCAGGCATGGAAGTACTTCTCGCTCAAGCCCTCCCAGGGCACCTGCCACCACACGCTGCCGCCATCCAAGCTGACCTCGACCCTGATGGGCCAGTGGCCGCCGCCGGAATACGCCCAGCCCCTGAGCCCGACGCGGCCGTCATGCACGATGACCTCCTTATCGCGCGGCACCATGATGGCGGAGCTGACGGGCATGTCCTGGATGCTGAAGCCGTTGCTGTAGACGGCGTTCTGCTTGCCCGTCTGCGCGCCATAATACAGATACTCCTTCTTCTGCACGGGGGCCTCACTGGGTCCCTCAATCGCCCGGATCCGGTACAACCACTTGCAACTCCGCGCGCCGATATACCCGGCCACCACAACGCGAAGCGGGAAGCCGTGCATGCGCGGCAGCGGCTTGCCGTTCATCTCCCAGGCCAGCAGCACCTCGTCGGCCTTGACCTTGCGCCAGGGGACGCTGACGCCGTAATTATACACCTCGCCCTTCTTGAAGTAGGTGTCGGCGCCGAAGAACTCGAGGTGGTTGTCGAGCGCCTTGTCCTTCAGCCCGCCGCAGTGCTTGATGACCTTCTTGAGGGACACGCCGGTCCAGCGCGCGGTGCCGATGGCGCCCTCGCCCCACGGCGCGTTGATCAGCTCGTCGCCGTCGCCCGGGTACTCTGCGATCTGCTCGATGCGCCGCGTGCCCGAGCACTGCAGCGTCACCGTCATCGATGCGCGCGGGAAGAGCGCTTCGTTCTGCAGGTCCGCGAGCGTCAGGCGCTGCGGCTTGTTGACGAGGCCGTCGATGTCGAGCGTGTGCGCGGATGCGTCGATCTCGGGCACGCCGCCGTGGTTGCGGACGAAGAAGTCGGCGTTGGTCGTGAGCGCGGTGGCGACGAGGCGGTCGCGCGGCGGCTCGCCGTTGTAGGGGAATTGAAGGAGGTGGATCATGTCGGGGGATTTTTCTTGGAGCACGTATTGCCAGCTGATGTCCGGCACGTCCTTCAGCGTGGAGCCCATGGCGGCGTGGTACGCTTTGAAGCGCTCGCCCTTGAGGACTGGGTTGGTCTTGGGAAGGGGGCCCATCTGGAACTCAGGTGGCTGTACACATTCTCAATTAGCATCCGCTGAGGAGGGAGCGCTTCGGATAGTCAAATAGAAGCTTTAATTAACGTACTTCAGGGAACTTATTCCTGGCCAAAACCTCGGCGGCTTGCTTCTTTTTCTCGGGGTAGTTTTCCCATTCGATGTAGCCTTTCCAACCCTCCCGTTCTTCAGCAAAGAAAGGCTCGACAGCATGGCCATCTTGCTTGAGGGGAGGAGCTACAACAGCAGCCATTGTGGTCTTGCACCGATCTTAAAGCGTCCGCCAAAGAGAGATATTCAGCCCGAGTTGCGCAGTAGCGTGGTCCAGGGTCTCTTTCAACGTTCTCACTAATGATTGAGAAAGAATGGCAGTTCTTGTGATATATCGTCACACCAGGGGCTGCCCGCTTCTTAGAGCTTCTGCCATCAGAGTCAAGGGTGTAAAGCCAGGATCTTCGGGCTACCAAGGTACTGCTCAACATGTGGTACTTTGCGTGCGGGCCAGATTCCTGTACCCTGTTGAACATGCAGTGGTGACAGGGGTCACAAGCATCCATGTCGTCATCATGAGAGCTGCATATGGGTGCAAACTCAGCTCCGGAGACGAACTTATTTAAACCTCCTGCCCGCACGAATTATCCTCGCATTGTCATGTAACAACTTTGGATGTCTCAACTGTGTCCAAAGAGATGTTTCTCTACTGGCAATGTTGATCCATACGACATAGCGTTGTCCTATGCCCAAGCTCGCGTTGTCGGAATTTGCGGAATGGATGGGAGAGCGCTGTCCTCATGCGATGCGAAAAACACATGCGAATGTATGCGTATTGCTAAGCCTGTACCTTGATTGGCTCGATGGACTGCGCTGCGATTCGTAAGCCAACTTGATAAGGTTTCCCCCTACATTGGGTGGTTGGCATGAAGTCAATTTGATGGAACTTTGGGCCAATCACATCACCGATCTTTCATGATTCGCGCTGATCAGAGGGGACTTCTGCTGGTTGAGTCGAAACTGTGAGATTCTGCATATGGGCGTATCTCTGGAATGTAAGGCAGCGGTGCTCGGTTCTTTGCGCACTCATCTGCTCTGATCAGTCAATGACCAGTTGAAGCTCTCAAGTCTCGGATTGAGCGGAAAGACAAGGCGACCTTGAGAGAAAAAGGATTTGCCTGCAACCCTGCATCCATTCCGCCCCTCTTCATCACACCCATATCTCCGCTGCCGTGTTTCCCGGTCTACCGCTGGAGACTTTTCCTTTTTGTTTTTCCGCCGTTCGCATCGCCCCTCATTTACCATTTTGCGCCCCCGAGTGGGGCTGCTGCTATCATAGTGCGACCCGCATGTAATAGGTTACCAGGCTTTTCCAAAATGCCGCCCTGTCCCGTCGATGCGGTTGGCGCGGGGCAACAGCGGCGGCCATCCGCCTTGGCAAATCCGCGGGTCTGGAGTGACCGCTCCAGTGGGACTGGGGGGAACGGCCAACTGCAGAGAAAGTTGAGCCAACTGGGGAACCGTTCGTAGGTGATGCCGAACACGGCGTTGGGCTGTCGAGCGGGTCCCGTTACTTGAAGAACTGATCAGCCGAAGTGACATCCGAGAGAGAGAGAAAAATGCCGCTGCCATGTGCCACGGGTTTGCGTGCGCCAAGCTTTGTGGTTTGATGCTCTCTTCGTTGGTCAGGAAAGGCGACGCTCGCGGACAAGGCTACTGCGTCCACTTTTGTTGCGGCCAGAACTAAGAGTAGCCGTCGTATGAATCTGTGAGTGGACAGAGGCATGAAATCGGGGGCATTCCAGGGAAATAAGGGGACCGGAATGCGTGAGTCGATCGTGGAATGACTCTGGGATGGTGATCCAGAGATAAACTGGTCTGTAGGTAAACCTGGAAACCACGAATGCCAGAAGTGATTCCACGTCATCTGTAATAGACGTTCTTACGCCTTCGGCAGTACACGCGTCCCGACACACGTTGGGAGCAACGTACCAGGTATATCTCGAAGTCAAGGAGTGCTCCCATGCCAATTGCGGCTCGGTATTCTACCAACATGTAATTGCCCGGGAATTATGTCCGTTCGTTTAGTGCTGACGCACTGCTATGAGTTGGTCGGCGTCTTAGTTTAGCTGCGTTCATATCAACTGTTCCAACGGCCCCTACAGTACCGCTCAAATGATACCAGCAGCCGGTGATCCTCGGCAGCATTCTACCCCATATCAAGATGATTGTACATCATTCCTGCGATTAGCGCTTATTGATTCATAGCGCAATTTATGTCACTAGCAGCATCTGGCACTTAAGTGTTGTCATGGAAAAAAGACATTATTTCTCGTATGGAAAGATATGTTTACATACAGATAGAAACGGTGCAAAGATACTTTTATGAATAGTATTCGATCAACTCCTCCGCAATGCCAAGGTATTAACACGGCCAAACAACACACGGAGAGACACGCATATTTATGCAGGTGTGGTACTGTTGTCAATGGGCTGCGGCGGCTCAACCTGAATCGCGAACTGGCTTACTGTTTTGGCGGGCTTGACTTCAGCGCTGGAGACAGTGACGTTGAGGCCGGGACAGCTCGCGACGACCTGGTCGTTCTGCACCACCTGCCACTTGAGTTTTTCCGCGAGGTACTGTTCAGTAGAGTCGCGGTCCGACGTGTTGATGTTCTTCTGAGCCAGCACGTCCGTGAGCATGACACTGCCAGAGCTGGTCACGATCTTTCGCTGAGCCCCCGGCGGCGGTGGAATTGCCAGCGCAGCGTACGAGGCGACGTACTGACCGTCCAGAGAGAATTGCACCTCGTAAGGCTGGCCGCCTAGCACACTCTTATCAAGCGTGACCTGTGCCATGTAGTCATAGGTAACGGCCGGGGCGCTGGCGTCGGCGTCGGCGCCAGCCCGCAGAGCAGAGTTGGTGACGCCGCTGCCATACATCTGATTGAGGTTGCTGATGAGCTGCGAACTGCCGCTGATTCCAATGAGGTCCGGGTAGGTGTAGCTGAAGACGCGCGTGTCGCGGACGGCGTTTGAGGTCCAGAAGGTGCCAGAGGTGTCTCTGTGGAAGGGTGTGAGCGGGGAGTTGCCGTCCTGACCACTGAAAGGCGCCATGGTTCTGGTGCCTGAGCCTTGAGTGGCATAGGTCACCCAATTGTTAGGGTAGAGCGCCTGCCAAATTGCAATAACCCGGTCGATGTTTGCATGATGCATGGCAAATATGGGATCCATAGCAGAGTAAGCGATCTGCTGCATATAGCCACCAACAGCAGAGTGGACGCTGTTGTGGATTCCCTCCAAATTGGTATTTTGGTTGTTGTTGGCATCGGTGGAGAAGGTATTGTAACCCTGGTTTCTGCTGAACAGTGTTATGAGACTGTTTCGACGGCTAGTGTATGAAGCCTGAAGGTTGGATTCGGCGTTGGCTGAACGAAAAGTCTGGCGGTTTCTAGCGTAGTTGCTTTCGAAGTTGTTGTCCGGGACAACTTGGAATCTATACGCGTAAAGCGGGTTCGGGATAGTGGTCGAGCTTCCGTTTTGAGGATACGTGACTTGAATGTTCGGCGCCATGAGAGCATCCGGGATTACTGCCCCATTCGATGATTTCCTGGCCCAATCCCAGTAGGGTAATCGCAGGCTTCCGACCGCGGCTTGCAGCCTGCTCCTGGCGTTACCGGGTGGGGTTTCGTTGATGATCTCGTTGGCATATTGAATGAGGAGTTGCTAATGAAGACTAAGCATGCAAATCATGTTTCATTTACTTTCTGGTACTCACTTCATAGAGCGAAAGGTATGGCCTGTGCCAGGATCCGAAAAGGTTGGAGCTGTGGGGACAGTAGCCGGGCCACCACGGGCTGGATCCGTAAGGTCCAACGCCATCCCAGTTGGCATAGGGACGTCCGTGAATGCCTGGAGGAGTACTCATTTAGCTTTGAAGGTTGCCATGGCTGGCTTGTGTGCCACAAAATAAGGCAGCTCACCGGCGATTGAGTACCACGAAAACTTGTCGTTCTGGTTCTTGGACTGGAAGCGCTGCATAGCAAGGACGAAAAGATTCCATTGGTCCGGATTTGTTGCCAGGTCACGAACTTCCTGGCGGGGGGCTATGCCACCGGAAGCTCCAGTCAGAGCGAAGAAGCTATTTTGCCTCTCAAAGAGCTCATGGTCAACCGGAGAGGCATTGGCTCCGAGAGACAAGAGGGAAAGGGCACCGAGTGCCGTGGAGATGTCAACAAAGCGCATTGTGAAGCAATGGATGGTGCGATTCACGAAGCGAGGGAAGGACAGGGAATGATGCGTCGACGAGAGCGATTGAAGATGCAAGGCAGAGTGTTTTAAGTATCCAAAGCTAGATCCCGTGCATCTAATCTGTGGGGCTATTTTGGGACGAGCTTTGCCTTCTCATTCCAGGCACCAGACCCTTGTGCCAAGGTGTCAGCAGTCGCCTGCCTCGGAGAGAACGTGCCCGTGGATGTTGCAACGGAACGGTGTAACGCGAGGCTAAACCGTGGAACAGAAGACGGGACGGAAGCAAGCCAAGGAGGTACCTGGCATGACCCCGGCGAATGCTTTTCCAAATGCGCTTGAGACGGGTTTGCTGAGCAAGTACTAGCCACAAATGAACACCCGGAAGCGACTGTCCAGAAGTAGGCTGTCATTTTCGTACCGTCGCTCGTGTTCTTCCTCATGCGATATAGTTCTCTCGCCCCGCTGCAATGCTTCCCGAAGCGGTCGCTTACGGTTGTCCTTTCCTGTGAGTTGGATCCCGATGTGCATGCGGGGAACACTGGACGCCCGTCGATCACAACTACTGTAGATACGAACGCCCTGTGACTGTGTGTGCAGAAGCTCCTATTCGGCCTTCGGCTCGTGCAACGGGATAATCATTGACCAGCGACACGGATTGGCATCGACGAAAGGCCGTTGACCGCTATTTTGGGCAGAGCCGCAGCATAATTTGAAGCAGGCTGGGGCTCGTTCAGCTGGCGGTGCTGCAGGCGTGGATCCTAAACCGGACTCGTGGGCTAGATCGGCACTGCCGCATGACTGGACAGGAACGGGCTGTTAGTGGGCTGACATGCCGGAATGGAAGAGGGCCTTGCAGGTAGGAGCCGCATCAAGCATAGGGATGCAGGGCCTGGATGCGGGTCGCTTCTGGCTCTATCTGGCACGGCGTAAGCTTAATCTATGGGGAGCTCAGGGACATCGGCCCATTGCTGCCTCCCAGCTGGAGGCGGCGCTTTCTTCCCTCACGTTGGCAGAGTCTCGTTCGATCCACGTGCATGTGAGCACACCGCAAGTCGCCTGTCGGTCTCAAAAACGCAGGTCGTAGGGCAGAGAGCACGCGCGACATATTGCAGCACTGTTGTGGGATCAATACTCCGGTGCGACTGGCCGGAGCGAACGCGTGTGGCCAGCGAACGCCACACCCAGCCAAGCTGGCACGGGGGCGCTCTCCGTCACGGTAGGCTGCAGCCATGGCGGGCTCCCATGACGCAGGACGATATGTTCTGCAGTGCAAAAATAGCCAGAGCTGAGAATGCGGGGGATCTGCGGACAGAGTAGAGCGGGAGGATTGCTGGGTCCATGCGGATACGGTCACATCTGTACGTAAACTTCCGTTCCCCGCAGCGGGTGAGGCGATCCTCTTTATCGATGTCTTTAGCGCGATACGAGGCTAGATCGAGGTGGCTGTTGTGCTCGTAGGTGACGTGGTGGAATTGGAAGGCGGCGGCGCTCAGCAGGCGAGCCAATCGCGCGGCGCAGATTCGCGGGCTGCGCGTGCGGGTGGCCGTCTATCAAGGCAAGTGCACTAGCGGGGCCGGTCTGACGAAAAGCTGCCGCATGACGGGCTCATTCTGGCTGGCAACCGCCAGCATCCCGCCAAACACCACCCGATCGCTTATCCATCGCCTGGGGAACCTCTGTGCCTTCCGTGTGCATATGCGCCTCCGTTTCCGCAACTCGAAATCTGACCCGCCGACGCAGCCCCGCCTAGCGCATTCCCAGCTCCGCCCCCGCTGTCGCTGCGCCGCGCTCGTCCGCTCCAGCGCAGGCTGCCCACTCTTCAGGCTTTGCCTCTGCCATGAAGCACTCGGCCAGGCCCGACCTGGAGCAACGCCGCAAGTCGTCTACGCTGCACTACCAGACCTTTCCCACCAAGCCGCCCACCTCGCGCGGCGCTCCACCCTCGCCTGATGCGTCCTTCGGCCATCGCCGCGGCGATTCCGACGCGTCTGCGCAACACCATGAGTCGCCGCTTCCCAAGAAGCAGCTCGCCGTGCTTGCCGTCATCGCGCTGGCCGAGCAAACCGCTCTCAACTCCATCAGCCCGTATCTGCCCGAGATGACAACCACATTTCCTGGCGTGACAGAAGACAAAGTAGGCATCTACGTTGGCTTGATAGCGTCGTCGTTCGCTCTGGCGCAGTTTGCGACAAATTTCTTTTGGGGCTGGCTGTCAGACCGCATCGGCCGCAAGCCAGTCGTGCTGCTTGGGACGCTTCTGACAATTGCGTGTTTCATAGCCTTCGGGTTCTGCAAAACGCTGTGGCAAGCCATAGTTGTACAACTCTTCATGGGTCTTGTGAATGGCAATCAGGGCGTCGTTTCAACGTGCTTGGGCGAAATCACCGATCGGAGTAACCAGAGCCGGGCCTTCACCTACCTGCCCGTGGTCTATGGCATAGGAGGCATTACCGGGCCCATCGTAGGAGGCCTGCTCGTTTTCAAGAAGAACCCCTTCACGGGCAACAAGGCCCGGTATCCCTACTTGGCGCCAAACTTGTTCTCGGCAGCCATTCTACTTGTCGACATGATCCTTACCATGCTATTCTTGGAGGAGAGTTTGGAAGGAGCCAGAGACCTGCCGCCGCTCGGACAGAGGATCGAGAATCTCTTCGCCTGGCTGTGGCAGTTTACGAGCTCCACCCGGCCGACTTACATCCGCCGAGTTATGGGCAAGGGTCGTCGCCGCAACAGCTCTAGCACGCACGCTGATGACGACGAAGACGACGCCTCAGATATTTCTCAAGAATCTGCTCCCACTCTTCTGCCAAATGTGTCCAATGGCGAGAACTTGACGAGGCGAGAAGTCCTCAACAGGGATACACTTCTCCTCCTCCTTACCTTCCTGATCTTCCAGTTTGCTAATATCTCCTACAATTCCCTGTATCCCATCTTCGCGCAAGCGCCCCCACCCACTGGTCGCAGCTTGAGCACGGAAGAGATCGGGGTTTCCCTAGCCTTCGCTGGAGCTATCACGATCCTGTTTCAGATCGGTATTTATGGAAAGCTAAGAGAGAAGATGGGCAACAAGACCACATACAGAGTCAGCCTTGCCGCCTTTGTGGTTGCGTTTCTGCTTATGCCCTGGGTCGGCTACAAAAACGGCGAAAATACGGGCGCGGGTCTTGGTCGCGGGAAGACCATCATGTGGATCGAGCTGGGATTCGTGCTCATTGTGAAGACGGTGGCTGCCGTCGGCGGTTTAACTTCAGCCCTGCTCCTGGTGCGTATTTCGGACTGTGACGAAACATGGCCAAGCTAATTTACTTTCAGATCACCAACTCCGCCCCCGACCACGCCGTACTTGGCACACTCAATGGCCTGGCTCAGACTCTTTCCGCGGGTGGCCGTGCGGTTGGGCCTTTCGTATCTGGGAGCTTGTTCTCTGCTGCAACCCGCATCAAACCAAAGGGTGAGGCTATGGCTTTCGGCATCTTTGGCGGAATAACTTTCGTTGGATTCCTGCTTAGCTTCGGCATTAGAGGCGCAGGTCTCGAATCTGAAGGATTCGACGAGGAACAGAGCAGTGAAGCGGATGATGATGCAGATGACGAAGACGAAGAGAGCTCAGATGAGAGGTCAGGATTGCTTCGCGGGAAGTGAGACATGCTTCGTTCAGTGCCCCTTAGGGCCGCCTTTCGCAGCCATATCAATGTCTCAGTGGCTCATTTCCAGCGAGGCGTTACATTTGAGATTATTGTTAGACCGGGCACACAAAAGACGCGGTAGATGATAGGTCGGTTTCGAAAACACGAGCGGTTTAATATCCGTTGGGCATTGGGTGGCGGTGTGTACCTGGTTTCGGTTGATACGACTGACGATTTTGCTACTGTAAATAAACCATATCTACATTGTACTGCTTCCTATCTCAGCCCAACGCTGGCGTGAAATTGTTTCTGTGTACCCCAGCCTGACCAAGTTCCTGATTGGGAGCTTCGTCCGGACACGAATTCCATATTCTCATCCGGGCGACAGCACCAACTGCCTACGTAAGCTATGCATCGTTCATCGCTGGCGGGAAGCAAAATAATCCTCGAATCACGTGACAGATTTGCAAGATCGCCGCTCGTCATTGCCAAGGGCGGACACCGGCCAGGGTGCCCGCGCTGGGCGGTGACCTGAGGCCCCTGCGCGAGCTGCTCGCTTCGACGTCATCCCATGACTCCAAAGAACCTCCTCCATCCTCCCATCTCCAATTGCACCAATTAACAACTCATTCAAGATGCTGCCAACGCTTAGCAGGATGGGCCTCTTGGGCAAGCTCTTCGGCGAGGTACGTTTCCTCAGCTCTCTCACCCATTGGTTCCATTCCTCTTGCTTCGATCGCGGACCGAAAGCTAACCAGAAGCTCTCTGCTCGAGAGCGCGCTCGCTCATTAGGCCGGCACCAAGAACATCGTCACACTCTTTCATAACCCCGCATCCGCGTCATCCGTGCGCGTGCTCAACCTGCTCAAGCAGGCTCAAGCCAATGCCAGCACCACCACGACGATTGACCAGGCGTCCGACAACTCCACGCAGGCCAAAGCCGAGCAAGCCGAGTTCACCTTCGAGGCCCAGGAAGAGCCACCCACAAGCGACCAGGTTGAGACGATTCTGGAATACCTGGGAGCTGATAGCGCGGGCAAGGTCGTGCAGGGCGCGACGACCCAAGAGGAGGCGTTGAAGAAGTTTAAGATGAATGCGAACAGCTTCTCGAAGCCATTGGTAAGTTGCTGGCCCTCGCCTAGATATACATGCAGACGTAAATTCTGCGGTAGTTGGAGACATGCTCTGGACTGCTTGATTTCGGGGTGTATCCGGTTGCTGACAATGTTTAGGTCGTGGATTGGACCAGCGGCAAGGTTGTCGTCGGTGATAACCAGTCAGAGATTCTGCGCCTGCTGGGGCAGTCGCGCTCCTCGTAATTTGCACAATCGTGGAGCCTTGTAGTATCAAATACTCAACCGATTGTATCAATCTCTCCTCTCGAGCGGCACAGTCAGCCAGATATGGAGTAGTAGTAGTGAATAGTGGCTGTGGCTGGTCAAGTATGACGCCTCTCAATTACATGTTTTCTTTGACAATCAGCGGGAAACAAATGCTCCCGAAACTCTACACTGCAGGAAGCTGCTGTCCGGACGTGTTTGAAGACTTTTCCATGATTTCATTATCTTTTTTCGCCCTCTGAGTTTGTGTGCACCTGAATTCATTGTCCGGGCGAATTTGAACCTTTTTTTCCATTGCCTTTGTGCGTAGCTAAGTCCATTATCCAGACGTATTCGAAGCCTTCTCTATAATTCTTTTCTCGCGCTTTGCATCTAGGTGTGCGGCATTCGGGTGGGTGCAGGTGACCGCACGCCATGTGGCTCCGCGCACCTGCCGTTTGTCGCCGTCACCGTCGCTGCCTGCGCGATGGTGCCTTCCTTTCGCAGCTACCTTCCTCCTTCACACTTTGTCTGCCAAAACCCCGATCCTCACTCTCCTCTTGCGAACCTTCCTCCTCATCGGATCTGCTTACAACTCTCTTCATCAGCCGGCCTGGCTTTCTCGTCGCCGTCTACGGACACTTTATATCGACGAGCCATGGCGAGCGCCGGCGCTCATTCTCACCCGCCATCCAATACCCCACCCTCGGTCGATATGGAAAACAATCGGCCATGCATCGTGTTGGCAGAGGTCGCCGGCAAGGCGCTGTTCTCGACCAAGCTTGGTCAGATTGCCCCTCGTCCGGTACCTGATCCACCCGAGCCAGTCATTGCGCGCACACCTAACGTGAACTTGGAATGCTCGCACCAGATCGACCGCTTCGTGCAACAGTTGCGCGACGAGTTTCCCGCCCAGTGCAATGAGATCTTCGTCGGCTACTACACTATCTACGATTACTTTGACGCTTACGATATCCATCGCCTCGGCGAACGCCATGTCGCTTCCGCCCTTGACCGCATCGCGACGCAAAACAGTACCGCTGTCCAGAACTTCGTTGCCGAGTGGTGTCCACGCAATTATCCCAAGGTGCAGAAAATCTGCTATGGCACAACGCTTCTAGAATTGTTCAGCGAGGCCGAAATCAAGGAACGCGGCGAACTGTTCCTTACCATTGCAGTCATTAGCATTCGCAATGCTCTCGAGAGTACCGCTAAGAAGCAGGAAGCGCAGGCAAAGGACCGCACTCGCGTGATCAGCAGCCCGAACGAAGAGGCGACGGTAAAGCAGGAGGTACCTCACGCAGAATCATCACGGATCGACCAGGGTCAGACATCCAGAGTCCCACCGGGCCTACTTCGCGTTGAGTGGCGCCAGCCACATCAATCTTCGGCGGCGCAAGTCGGCACTGTCCCGTCACTTGAACCTGCGCATCCACCTAGCGTTGCCGTCCATCCAGCTTCTGCCATTCGTAGGGGTAGCCAAGCGAGTACCTCAGTCCCCGTCACACCAACCCTGTCCCAGAAGTCGCCCTACTTAGCTGCCAAGTCACACCCTTCGAAGAGCACACCTCGGGTGCAGGCCTACCATTCCAATACTGGCATGATTCCATCGACGCACCAGAGGCACCGCAGTACACCGCGGATGAATGCCATGACTCCTGGGTTCGTTCCTCAGAGCTCTATGGGCGTTCCTACTTCGGCTCCTCCTACCCGCGGCCCGCCATCTCAAGCTGCTACGCCTCAGACCATCGGTGCTCAGCTCTACCTTCCCCCAGCTCCGTTCCAGGGTATCCCTCATGGGTTTGAGGTTGGCGCAATGCACAGAGAACTCAGTAAGTCTTATTATTTCCCCTACTTATGTGTTCAAGTAATCTAGAAGCCGATTTACTGATGTGATTCAGACCCCTTTCCCGGTTTCACTGGTAACCCCAACCTGCACTCGAACTCTCCCGACATGCCTTACGCGGCTACGCAAGCTACCCCACATATGCCTGTTGCGCAACCTTCGGGAGTGCCTGGACCGGCCTACATGCCTATCCCGACCCTTACGTCGCCACCAATGCTGCCACCCCATCTGGCCAACATGACCAACTTGCAATATGGAGGGACGATGCCAAGCATGAGGTCACGTCGCATGTCAGGACCGGCATTGCGTCAGGACTATGGTTCACGTTTCCAAGGCAAGCAAGCTGGGAAGGGTTCCCGCGGTGGTCGGCGCAATTCTATGCGTGGAAATCATATTGGAGGCACCTTCCGTGACCCTGCTGCTGGTCAGCTGGGTCCCGCCGCAGGTACACTTCCCGTAGGCAACACAGAGCCATTCCCGGCTTTCGTGCCTCAGGTCGAAGCGCCCAGAAGGGCTGATGCTGGGAATAGCCTGCCTATCAATCGGGGATTAAAGCCCTCTGTATGGGTCCACAACTTCCATCGCGGGTTTCCCCTTGACGTAGCTTCTAGGGAGCTAAAGGCCTTCTTCGAAAGTCAGCTTCACAGGCCCGTTGTGGATGTAAAAGTCAGCATCGACAAGAGGAACCGTCCCTTCGCCCATGTCAACATGACGACTTTCCAAGATGCGAACATGGCCCTACATCTAGATGAAGCTCTCTTCTTTGGCTACCCATTGGTCGTCAAAATCCCTGCAAAGGCGGAGTCCTTGTTGCCCGAGGGCTATGATCTAAAGAAGGGCTACCCGCTTTCCGCGCCTGCGCAGTTCGCCCAGACTCCGACCATTCGGCACACTGCACCCTTTGTCCCGATCGAAACTAGTGCCATGGAACCGTTTGGTCAAGATCGTAGGCAATCAGTATCGGAACACCGGGCACCGAGTGCCACAAGCAATCAACGCAGTCGTGGTCCTTCTCGTACTTATGAAGCCACTGCCGATAACCCAATGTCTTACTCGCCCCAAGATGCCCGACGCATGCAGCCGATCGAGGTTTCTAAGCAGGCCGTCGGAGACACTCCACAGGCTCCACAAAGCCATCCTGCCCCTACCACAGCCACATCGTCAACTGAGGATCCTGGCCAGCGTCCCGACTCACGTTGTTCATCTTCAGCGAACTCTACGAAGCAAAAGAAGCGCAAGATCATTCGCAGTAAGAAAGCAGACTCGAACAAGTCCAGAAGTGGTACCACGACTCCAGAGCCCTCAACTACCGGCTCCATGGAGCGTGCTGCTACGACCGAAAGGCAAAGCCAGATGGAATCTGCTACGAAGCTACATGGAGATGATGCTGGTCTCGTGGACAAGAAAATGACGACAATTCTGGAGCGCCGCGAGCAAGAAAAGAAGCAGAAACCTACTTCTTCTTCAGACAGCCAAAACCAGAAGGATGTCCCCTCGGCTGATGTCGCAGTTGAAAGCAAAGACTCGGAATTCGAGCGTACCAAGGAGAAGACCAACGCGAGCGACCAGGAGTCCAATCATTCAGCTCCCTCCACCAAGCAAGGAAATGTCGCTGGGAGCGAGGAGCGGAGTGGTGCTGTCAAGGCGGAGAAGCCGTCTTCTGCCCTACGCCAGGCGAAGGTCGCGGTTCCGGACATTAACATCCATTGTCGCAAGGAGAAGCAGGGCTCGCTGTCCGCCGCATCATCTACACGCGTAAGCTATGCTCAAGCAGCTGCTTCGGCTAAAGCGGCCACCGTGGCGGCCAACTCTGCTAGGTCTCCAATTCCGGAGCGAGAGGCAGAAAGCAGGTATTACACCCCTATAGAGACGCTTCATTCCCCTCACTCTACAAAGTCGGAGAAGACGCTGTCTCCGGGTACGCCGATGAAAGGCACCACGAGCCAGGTAGAAGATGCAACGCCTGAGAAGGACGACAGCTTCGTCACTGTCCAGGAAGAACCGCCTCTGGCCGCAAAGGAGCAGAAGGAGCGTGAAGACTCTCCACAAGAGGCGGACGAGCAGATCCATGACAGCAGAACGGTCTCTCCCGAGGCTGCCGACATTCCTACCACCCCTCCCGCAGAGGAGGAATACGTGCAGGTTGAAGTAGCCTTGCCCACTACGGCTGCTTTAGCCGACCAGCAGGTTTCCCTAGCGCAGACGGAAGCGATATCAGCAAATGAGAGAACGGCATCTTGGGCTGAGGATGTAGCAGCGTATGCCAAATCCAGCTCTCCTATGGAGATGAGGCCCGATGAAGGAGAAGCTGCTGATCAGACGGGTAACATAAGCATGGAGAGTTCTACCGTAGCTGAGGGATCGGCAAAGACCACTTCTCAAGACACAGGCTCAATCCACCCGAACGCGCGCCCCAAGGGCGACAAGAAGAAGCAGTCGAAGAAGGGCAAGTCGTACGGGAAGGGCAAGAAGGGCACTTCCGGTAAGTTTCCATTTCCCCTCAAATTCACAGAGAGAACTTAGACAACACAGTGCACAAGTAGCAGGTTCCTCCGACGACTTCGAGTTCGTAGACTTTGCAGACGGAAGGATCTAAGCACCAAATCAGACTCAGACGACAACATCGTGATAGTAAAGGCTGCCGGAAATACCCGCCGCTAAAGTGCTGTCTGCATAGATTGAAACGGGACGATTGCTATACTCGACATGGAGGAATGGGGGATAATGGCTTTGGGGGAAGTTTCAAGTACAAAATCATACTCGGGTGTAAATGGGGGTTCAGGATGCGCCTTAGGGCGTAGTGCATAGAATTCTGAGAAAAATTGGAACTCAGTTGCTGATTTCCTACCAACACTGACTATCCCAGCATTCCTGGAGAGCTGACTGTGTGCAGATACGTAATGTCCTGTTTTGTTCCTTTCGCATACAAGATTCCAAGGTTTTCAGTGTTCGTTGTCGAGATAACTGGGCTCAGTCCTGTCTTATGTGGATCGTCGAACCTTCTGTTTGGATGTATCTGTACAGTTTCATCTCCAATATACGGCCGAGGACCTACTGCAATCACCCAGGGAGGGAGAGTGCAATGTCTTGCAGAACACGAAGGCTAAGTTCTTTTCAGATCCGCCGTAGTGTTTCCCTCTGCTGACCAAAGGTGAAGGTCCCTAATCTCTTAGCAGCACTTAATAATATCCACACCACCTTCTCACGGAACGTCGTATGAGCCAGCCATGACTTGAACACAGCCCCGATCGACACTTCATGTGGGACGAACTGGGTCGCAATGATCTTCCCGGTGTGGTTCTTGCGCTCAATTGACCTTCCTGACCGTGCAGGCCAGATCTTCCGCTCCACCATGTCTCCATCGATCGTCCATAGCAGCGCCACAGCAGACTTTTAAGCTTGAGCTTCTGCCACACCGTTGGAAAGTATAATCAGCGGGAACGGGGTTCCTCGCCACTCCGACGGCGGAGCTAAGCGGGGTCGTGTGATGTTTTCGCTTTCTCGATCTACGTTGCAGACAGGAGCTAATTCTTGAAACATGAAAATGCGGTCGCGGGACGGTATAAAGCGTGGCAAGTACCTCTGGCGGACATTACGGTGCGATTTTGTTGACCTCGTGGCTTCCTCTACACATCCGAACGCCGTGGAATACACTTGCAATGAGAGGCCTCTATTTTGGAAGACGCTGACAACAGCACGAGTAAAGTTTACTACAGACTACATGAAAGGCCTCCAGTCAGCCATCGCACAGGAACAAAACAACAGAGTTGAAGGAGCAAACTGCTGAGCACTTTCCGGCAGTTGCCAAAAGAGGCAATACCGCGCGGCTGGGAACTTACGAGGAAGCGGGTGACCATCACCATCAACAAGCGCTTTCCCCCTCTTTTCGTGGGTGCACATACCTCACCTCCTTTTTGCCGCAACAGCCGACAGCGGCGGACCCATAGCTACAGACCGCCTTTCACGATGCATGCAACCGGTTCCTCCCCCCACTCCAGGCTGGCCCGTGCGGACAACACAGCAAGAACGGGTCCCCGGCGCAGCGGGAAGGAATGGCAAGGCGGGACCCAGCGGCTAAAGCACTCATCACCGCGATCAAGAGGGAGCTCCGCCGGGAGGCATCGGCAGGGTATGGATTAGCCTTGCATGAGCCTCTTCTCTCGCCCTACGAGGATGGGTTACCGGCCTGTTGGCTCCATGCAGGGCATTGAAGTTGGGTGGCGGATGAAAACGAGAGCTCACACACGACGAATTTTTCACTTACCGCCTTTCGGTCAAACCCACGCAACCAAAAACCGTACGAGGCGGTGCCAACGCATCAAGCCCAAGGAATCGCAGGATCGCGTGGCGAGCCACAATGGTGGCCGTTCCCCATCAAGATGAAGCAAGAGCGAGGGCAGGTCGAAGCAAGCGAACGGCGGTGATCGGCTGACAGCAGCGAGCGGCACGTAGGCGAGACGAACCGAACATGATCGCGCCGCGAAAATCCTCACGTTGTCACATACTCCGGCCCCCACCTTGCTCAACTCAGGCAGGATGTCATGCCTTGACCCTCTATCCGAGAGACGGCTCCACTACAACGTGCTAGGGGTGGAAACAAGGGACCACGGGCATGCTAAGAAGAGATGAAGTGGATTTGGGGCTCCGCTCCGGACGCCGTCTCCGCTCGCGCGTCGCAGGCGAATCGAGGGTGCACGAACGCCGTCCCCTCTTACTTCCCGCTGCTGCATGATGTCCTTCGCGCAAGCAATGATTGGACAACGTCAACTGGAGACAGCACATCCCCTTCATCTGCTGGCTCGGAGCCATCCCGTTGCTCGCCTCGACCCTTGTCAACACCTCCACCCCGGCCTTGAGCCCCTCGTCAAGGCCGCCCGGCAGAACATAGCACAGCCTCGCCGATGAACGGGGGAGCGGCGGCGTAACAGCGGCGCAACAGGGCTACGCCGGGGAAACTCGAGGGAGGAAGGCACGAACGTGCCAACGAAGACGCAGAAGGCATCGATGCGCATCCAACACGACACATGCCCACCATGCATCGTCCGCCACCCGCCCTGTCTTCCGGTAATCGCCATTTTGTCACTCGCCCGTTCCGTTTTCGTACGAAACCCCTCGTTCGGAGCCAAAGCCGCTGCCTGCTGAGCGGCGCAGTGCTTTCGTTGCCTAGTGACTCGTAAAAGGACGCGCCATGCACTACACACACCGCTCGCCGACGGGCAGATTGGGCAAGGTCACGTCGTCGGTCATACCTCCGCTGGCCACATCTACCCACGCCTTGAGCGCCTTACAGACGAATCGACCACTCAATGGTTCTCTGGTCCTACTGCGAGCAAGCCAACCGCCGAAGCGGTGTACCTAAGATGGCAAGCCGACCAGCCATGAGAATGACCTAAGGCCGAATTCAGTAATTGCCCAGGCCCATCGTGCTTTACGCTAGTCTTTCTGCCTGACGAAAGTGGATGCTAGGGATGTACATGGGCTTGCGCAATTGCGTACCTACAGGAAGAGAAGAACCGACCAGTCTGCATCGTCATGCATGGTGCATCATGTCCGGCATCATCGATACTTCGAGAGTGCAGGATAGGACCGACTGGTGCGGCGGCTGAGAAGGCCCGCATCTCCGCCGTTGCGCCGCACGAACTGCGAAGGCGGAGAGAGAATCGGCCTGCAGAAAGTTAGGAGCTAAGAGAAGGTGCAGACAAGTCTGCATACACGACACTACTGTGAGGCGTGCATTCGAAAGCAAAGTGATGGCTGTTGGTGGTCGCGAGGTAATGTGCGTCCCATCCACACTACGTGCGTTTCTTTCGGATTTACATCTTCGGGCGTCAATCATCAGGCAACCTGAGAGGATGAGGTGGCCATCTTTTGCCCATTCGGCCGTTTCCTGAAAATGCCACACTCTCTTCACATTCTTTGTTTATTTGTTTCTTTGTTATTGGTCTCCACAAGTCTCCATGGCTTCTGAACGCGAGGGAGGGGAAACGAAATGCTAACATTATTGTGCCGACGGCCCCTCTTCGCCAACCGGCTCGTCAACGTAATGGTCGATGATGGGGAAACGACAGCGCCGATCTCCGCTGGTGGGCGCGCGGCATGTCGTCTTAATCTTGGTCTTCTTCTATTATCGACAAGAGCACGTTCGTCTGGCTCGAGACGAGGCCACAAAGATACGGTGAGCACTTGGCCGAAGGAGAAACGGAGTGCCAGTACCTCCCTGTCTCTCCTTTGTCTCTGGGTCGCTCGGTTCGTGGAATGTTGAGCGAGAATATGAAGAGAAGGTGCAAAAGGAGGGAGACGGCGGACTGGTCGCAGCTCACCTGCGCACCACACCGTTGAGCGGTGACCGCAGATCGGCATCATCGCCATCGTCAACACAAAGCTTGAAGCACATACGACGACGCCGACGTGCAGAAGAGGGGCCATGGGCTTAGAATCGTCGACGTAAATGGGGACGGCTGACGTGGGAGAGGGGCCACGAGCAGCTGGCCGCTCAATGCGCGGCCGTTGCCATGCTGACTGACGACAACGGATTCACATAGCCGCGAGGAGCCGGCGTATTGGGACCTAGTGATCATCGGGGAGGGGATGGACAAGCGATAGGTTTGAGCGGCGGACACGACGCTTCCAAGTTTTTTCCCTACCTCGAGTCCACGTTGACCCGGAGGAGAGGACGTGTCCTGAGCGCACATCGCTCCCTCCTTGCTCTGCTCCTCCTCGTCTCGCGATGCTCGGCCTGTCTCTCCCCCCCACTTGGATGTGGAAAGGCCGTGATGAGCATCACCACGACGTAGAGATCGTCTCGGATGAAGGGCAGAAAGCGGATAGGACAATGGCTTTTGCTTGCGGTCCAGGTCCAGCCCGCGGCCTTCGATGATGAAGATGAAGACGATGATCTAAAATACGCGCGCACACTCAATCCCCGTCAGTCCCGCTGCTAGGAGGGGGGCCTCTATGCTGCCTTGTCGTCCCAAGTCATTATTGTTGCCCACTTGGCGTCCGGTTTTTCCATGCCCGTATGTACCATTTCATTTTCCCCTTTGATTAGCCCCCATGTCATGGACCTGCACATCCAGAAGGCAGAAAAAAAATGCGCCATCACGCTCGTTCTTCATCAGGGGACCCCACACCACCAAACCTTCTTTTCGTTTACCGGTCTCCGATCAGCGTTCATCATTTCACAGCAAAGAGGAAAGAACAGACGGGGGAGTGCAAATAAACGTACGATTTTCGCGGAGATTGCCATGAGGTGCATGGGTGCGGGTCGAATAATGAGCCTGGGGGAAGGGGAGACCGTGATGGTGAACAGGGGTCCCGTTCCCCGACCCATCTGTCTCTCCCCTCTCCTCGTCTTTTTTGATGAGCACAGTCTTTACGTCGCCTCGTTATTGCCATCGTGATCTCGGCGTTTGGGTTGTGATTTGCTGGGTCGCGGCGCGTCTCGGTGCGGCCTTGGGCTTCTGCGCTGCTGCTGCGCCGTGCGTAGGCAAACGCTTCGACATCACCGAGAGTTGTCGGTGCAGGGGGGGTGGGGGGTGGGCGCGGTCCAAACGTATGCGCGTGCCAGGTAGGGCTGGCCGGCTGGCTGGCTGGCTG